CAACTTGTAAGTTGGTGGTGGTTCGAATTTTGCATCGGGAAAAAAATGTTTTCGTCACGACCTGAAAGAAAAGATTATTTTTTATTGGGTTTCGAGGGAGAATTTCGTGTTACTGTTGGAAAGTTTCGGTAATTAGCTGCTTGAAAAAAAGGGCTTAATTATGTCCAAGACTTGATGAAAAATTAATTCAAAGTTCACAAGTATACATACGATGTAAGCACCTGGATGTTTTGTAGGTCCGCGTAATTTACTACATCTGCGACTTGTACGTACTCGTTATGGACGTTCGGGTACGTTCGCTATATATACACTATCCGCCAAAACGAAATTTTCCATTTTTCACTTTGCTTTTTTTTGAACAAATCTAAATGCTATTGCAAATGCCAAATGATCAAACGCAAATAGAATAGCAAAAAACGCCACGCAGTCCCAGTGAACTAATATGGTCATGGTTAAGATTTCAGTGCCCATGTGGAACATTCCCACAATCAACACACTGAGCTATGTCACATATATACTAGACATTTTTAATGAGATGTTGTGGCGTTGTGTGGTCTTCTCTTCTGAGGGTTTTCGGTTGTCATCTTTCCTTTCTTGACCCTTCTTTTTTGTGGTCACTTCTGGCAGACGGTCATGAAATTTTGGGCTCTGCGATTTCAAAAAATATCAGCTAAAATTCTTGTGATTTGGCTGAACATTTGATACAACTAGTAGAAAATGATGTAGAAAATATTACCGATGTTTCTACAATCGAAAATTACGATCCAGTTACGACAAATGTAGAAAGTCTAGATCAAATGAACGTTGAGAGTCATGAACAAACTTCGGCGGTCAACATGGGACAGCGAGGCATATAGTCGATTTAGAGCAAGGTGTTGTTAAGAAAAGAAGGAGAAAATGTGGTAGCTGCGATTCGTGCCTGAGGAAAATAAATTGTGGCGAGTGTAATTGTTGTTTGAATAGAAAGACAAGTCATCAGATATGTAAGCTTCGAAAATGCTCTAAGCTCAAAATAAAATCAAGCTGTATGGAGAACGAGTCGGCTACCGTCGCCTTTCAACACCCCGCACAGCAAGCAATTCTAATAGATAGTTCAAATATCGAGAAATTAGGACATTCGAAAATAAATCCTGAGAAAGCAAAGAGGAAACTGCAGTCACGCCTCTGCAACGGTAAAGCTGCAGAAATTTGCATGGACACGGAGAATGCGCTTTACAAATCCCCTCTGGGACTGATGGAATCGGAACAAAGCCATACAACGGAAATTAGCACAGAGCACAATAATGTTCGCATTCCAAATCGTTCCCCTGTGACACCACTGGAACCAAAATATAATGACACAGGAAATGCAAATAATAAGCCAAATCTACCTGAATTGGATGTTATGGCGTCTGAAATCAAAGAAAAAATGTGGGTTCTATTAGTCAACAAAGTTTATGCGATCAGATTAGTAAAATCTATGACGAAATCGTCCATTTTAGAAGGAACATTTTTAATATACCCTCCGGCAGATCGGGAAAAGATTTCATTGCAGAGTTGACTTATTGGCTAAAGCAATTCAATTCCAATTCTGATCTCAATTCGATTGCATTGAAAGCCTTTATGGTGCTTCCATCTTTGATTCTCCAAAAGCCCTCGGCAACATCAAAGAGCAAAGAACACAGCACGGCGATAAAACGAAGATTAACCCTATGGAAGCAAGGGGACTTGAATCTACTAATGAAAGAAGTGAGATTTATACAAGATCGATTCTTATCATCAAGAAACCCCGCACAGTAAATGATATCTCCAGAGTTTCCGCCAGATTGCTAATGCAAGGAAAACTATCCGCGGCGATTAAATTTCTGGATAAAGAAAGCTCCCCGGGTTTACTAGATCTTTCGCCGGAAACTTTCGAAGCTTTGAAAGAGAAACACCCGGCAGCCAGTGATGTAGAGGACGAATGCCTCCTAAATGGTCCCGTAGATCGAATCGCGTCCAATATTTTCGACCTCATCAATGAGCAGATGATTTATGACGCAGCTAAGGGCTCAGCTGGACCGTCTGGTATGGACGCAGACATATACCGACGAATTTTATGCTCAAAGAATTTCAGTAACGAAGGTAAGATCTTAAGAGAAGAAATATCAACGATGACCAAAAATCTGTTGAAATTATGCTACCATCCATCCCTGTTAAAAAGCTACACATCCTGTAGGCTAATTCCACTAGATAAACATCCTGGAATTCGACCAATGGAGTGGGGGAAGTGCTGCGAAGAATAATCGCTAAGACAGTAACTTCATTCTTGAGAGCATAGATAAGGGAAGCAGCGGGGCCATCGCAAGTCTGTGCAGGATACAGTGCTGGGGCAGAGGCAGCAATACATGCCATGAACCATGTTTTTGAGGAAGAAGGGACTCATGGAATCCTATTAATTGATGCGACCAATGCTTTTAACCAAATGAATACAGCGGTAACAATGCACAATCTTCGAATAACCTGCAACAGAATGTCCATATACATCATTAACACCTACAAATGCCCCTCCAGGCTATTCATATGTGGGGGAGGTGAGATTTTGTCGCAAGAAGGTACCACCCAAGGGGATCCTCTAGCTATGTCCTGGTACTCAATTACAGTGATTCAAAGTTTGAATTGAACATACCAGAAATCAACAAGTTGGCGGTTGATGACTCAGCGGGAGGAGGAAGATTGACACTTTATATAATTGGTATAAGCGAAGGAAGGAAGAAATACGGCTATCTAGTAATGGTCCAAAGTGTTGGCTGATAGTGAGACGCAAGAACTGGCAAAGAAGCAGAGCAGATCTTTGGAGAGAAGACTACAACAGAAGGAAACGCATTTGGGTGCTGTTATAGGATCAAAAGATATAAAGATGAGTATTGTAAAGAAAATTCAAGCATGGGTACAAGATATCTCATCACTCACGGAAATGCGAAAAGCCAGCCTCCGCAGCCACACCGAGCCCACGAAAGCACACAAACCAAAACCTACCTACTTCATGCGAACAATTGAGGCCTTCAAAGAGTACGTAGAATCATTGAATGACATTCTCTTACCACAATTTTTTGGTCAAGAAGAATTCCTTGCGAGTGAACTTCGTGAACTTGTGACCCTAACGTTAGCTCAAGGGGGATTAGGCGTACCGAGTTTGAGAATAGAAGCTCCTTTGCAATATGCAGCCTCAAAATTATTTACTAATCAACATGTAAATTCAATTAAACGGCAGAGTGAGGCTCTGGAACCGATAGAGCAGTCTATAGACGATCTGAAGCGAATGCAGCAAGCAAACAAAGCGGAAATTATTCAGTCAAGAATGGATAACATTGATGCAACACTTTCTCCAGACCTACTGTTCTTGGTAAAGCAATCCCAAGACAAAGGAGCGAGTTCCTGGCTAAATGCGATTCCACTCAAAGATCAAGGTCTAGCCCTCAATCAGCAAGAATTCAGAGACTCGTTACGAATGAGATACAATTTAACTTTGAACGATTTACCAAGTCATTGTGCGTGTGGAGATCGCTTTAACATCAATCATGCCCTCTCTTGTAAAAAGGTGGGTTCGTGGCACAAAGGCACGATGGAATCCGTAATTTGCTAACAGCGCAACTGGATAAAGTGTGTAAGAATGTGGAAATTGAGCCTCATCTTCAACCCCTTGATAATGAGAGATTTGACTTGAGATCGGCCAATATAAGTCCCGAAGCGAGATTGGACATCAAGGCGGACGGTTTCTGGCTACGTGGAGCTACTGCATTTTTTGACGTAAGAGTAACGCATGTAAACTCCCGATGTAACCAAGGCCGGCCAACCCAGAACATTTTTAAGGAAAACCATAAGAAGAGAAAATACCAACAGAGAGTTTTAGATGTTGAAATGGGCTCCTTTACCCCACTTGTTTTTAGAACCAATGGCGGAATGGGGTCTGAATGCCACAAGTTTCTTACTCAGCTGGCGCAGAAATTAGCAGAAAGAGACCATGAACGTTATGCAGTTGTCATAGCTTGGTTGAGAACCAGAATCTCTTTCGAAATTCTAAGATCGGTACATGCGAGTGTAAGGGGATCTAGATCACCTTTCTATAGAAAAGAACTTGAAGTGGTAGACGATTTTGGACTAAATGTTAAGATTGCAGAGGTTTTTTAAAGTTTCTTATACTTTAACTTTACGTGCAAAGTACTCCTTTTCTATAAAAATTAGGAAGAACAACAATCATTATGACTTTCGAAGAGTTTAAACAGCCCATTGGAAAATGCATGGTGATTAGAATAGTTAATTTTGATCTAGTTTTATTTAGAATTCTTTTAAATATGTATATAGTTAATTTGAATAAATAGAATGATGTGACTGTCTTCTCTCTGCTACTGCCTACGGCGGTATCGTTGGAGATCCTTCGGGATCTTTCTAAAAACTCTCTTCTCTTCTACCTCAATTAGGGGCGCGGCGGGGGTTTGTTTTTCTCCCCCAAAGCGCCCCGGGTTGTGGTAGCAACCTCTTTTGTCTTCCTTTTTAATTTACGATCAGTCTAATCAATATATGCAAATGAAGTTTACATAATCGTATCTATGACATAATAATTTATGCTGAACCTAACACATGCGCAGTTCACGATGAGCTTCTCTCTCGATCTATTCAATATGGTGGTCAATCAAGAAATGTTTTTGCTTGCAAAAAGATCGTAAAATGTTGGCGCTACAAGCTCGGAAAAGGTATTGAAAATATTCCCGTCTCCTTGCTTTATTCTTTAAGTGCAATCTTAAGCGATATAAAGCTTATTCGAATTCGAATAAGTGGAATTTAACATGTGGAAGGATAACAGCTGATTGCTTTTACTCATAATTGATGGTTTACTGTGATGACTACCAGCTAGTAATGGACAAATATTGCGTGGAAATATGTGAACTATTAACCCACCTTCTGCATGTTCGCCTTTTATCATCTCATTACTTATAACTTTTACAAATTAGTAAAACTTTTCAACTTTTGATATCTTATAGATTGTAAATGAGACCAGGCTTTTATCAGCTCACAGAATAACAAGGTATATTTATTAATTTTAAAAATTGTGCATCAAAAATTGTCTGCCTAGAACTGAACAAGTGTTGCTAAAGATGTATGGTGTTTATTAACTGCAGTTGGTATATGTTGCATTTTTAGAAGGAAGCATCCAAACAAATTCATTTGTAACATGGTGGATAACAAAGTCCCTCCTTGAAAACCTACTTCAGTCATTTGACGGTGAGTTTCTTACATAAATATAATCAAATATGATTTTCGTTTGGGCTTTCCTTTTCCTTTGTATTATTCCAAATGAGCTTGATAGGTTATTGAATATTGAGTAACTTGTGTCATAGTATTACAGCATTTTACGGACTCGATTTGATTGCACTCATAAATGATGCAATGAACGGTCTCTATCCTATAAACGTCTGAAACTACTCTCTTCAACATATGTTTGCATTAGGCATCTATGTCTAATAAATGCCTCTTCCGAATTAAAACACCAGGGGCCGGTTGTTCGAAAGGCGTTTAGCTTAAACGGTGGATAACCCAAGTTTAAAAGTACTCTAACAGATCTTGTGAATGAATGTACCTGCATCTTACGCATTAAATATGTACTTCCATTGACAATTAAACTATTTACATCGAAATATTTCAGCTCAGTTGTTCAATAAATAGATGATTTTGTTTTCCATTTTGAACTTAATCGTCCCAGTAATGTTTAATGTCCCTAGTGTGGTTGTGTGTTTCAGAGTGTCATGGTTATAATGTTCAATTTTAATTTGTAATTTAATTGTTTGTTTTGGAAACATTCACAAACAGTTTGCACAAACTTTGACAATGAGGAAATTTTTGCAATAGGCACATGCCCTAAATTGCGACTTTGAAACACATGGGAGACTTTTTAAGTTTACATGCACAAACTGCATTAACTAACACTTGATGCTGTATGTATTAGAATGGCATCACAAATTATTGATATTTAGTCTTAGTGGTATTTTCACTTCTTCAAAATATGGTGGTGTTAATGATATAAATGCCTCTCTCTATTAAATGCTCTCTCTAGAATTGGCAGATTTCATTAAGGTGGTGTTGGTCATTGAAAATGTAGATTTACCCTGTTTTAAAAATTTAAGGAGTCAATTAGCTTGTTTCATTGTTCTGTATAATTAATGAAAAACTTTTTTAGTTTTCTTAGCAACTAAAATTGTCATTCCCTTTACTTTCGTGCACGATAATTCGAAAAATAATAAAGGTAACTTGATAAAATTCTCATGGTTTATTCTAAAGACAATTGGCTGGGACGTGAACCATTCAGTCTACGTAAAATAGGGACTGTTTATTTTAGATAGATCATAGAAGTTTTAAATATATAGCCTGTAAAATGTTTTGGAAAAGTTTTATTTATTTGAGGTTCAGCTTGGAGGCAAAAATATTTAGAACTAAATAAAACTAATGCTGTCATTCTAGCGTTAAAACCTAGTTTGTTATCTTGTTTGCAAAAATCGTCTATTTTCCACCATTGGGTGTGTTTGTTCTGGGTAACTATAGCAATTGAAATTTTCTACAAGTCTTTTTTACTCAGAGCAACTTGACTTGCAATATGTCATGAAAAGATTTTTATATTTTTCAAAATAAAATGAAAAAAATTAATGACCTAGACTTAAAAGCCCCAGATGTTTATTGGATCATGTACAATATGTTAGTGCTTCAGTTGATCTCTGTACTCTTTTGTCTCTGTATATCTGATATCTGTACTGTATCTTTATTGGTATTATATGATGAAAATGGGAGCTCTGGATGGTTATGCAAATTGTGGGAAATTCCAAATTGATTTTGTGGGCCATCCTTCCAGGTTTGCCAAAAAGCCTGAGTAATTGATTGCACTGGGAGTCTTAGCAATAAAAAGTGCTGACTGAGGAATTTTGTGCAAAGAGCAAGGATTTATGAATTTACAAACATGAATTTTGAAACTTGTTCTCATAGGTTTAGAGTTTTGTTTTCTTCTGGGGGGCTTAAACTTTAGATACATGATATCTAGCTAGCAACACTTTCTGACATTAGATAAAATTAAATAGAATAAATTTCCTCTTGATATATAGTTGCATCGGTAGTCATGGTTCATATGGCCGATAGGTGGAGAAAATATTTACCAATGATTATGACCTGTTGTGGGTAGAAAAGCTAATGAAAGATAAAATGAACAAGCTGCCATGTATTTTATGATTTTACAAGCTGCCATGTATTTTATGATTTACAGCTCGAAAATTCTGTATTTCGCAATTGCTTTTCCGAGTTGCTCGATATTATAATATACTATAATACCGTTTCATGTGTATATAAAGATCTTTTTTGAAAGATTCAACATTGCTCTGATGCAATTATTACTTTCTGGCAAATTTTTAGGGGGGCTGAGGCCCCCCAGTAAGATTTCTTGGGGGGGCCGACCCCTCAGCCCCCATACTCTATGCCTATGCTTGTTCTCATGATTATTTACATGGAGAAAGAATCAAATAAATCATTATCACAATCAATTTTAAATACAATAACTAATTACCTGAAAAATATTGAATGTATTGAAAATATTGATCGTTTTAGAATTTAGACATGCAGTATCAATAATATAAAATTGTACGGTAAATTGTGCACAAATCAGGGGGGGCATTCGGCACGCCCAGTACGCGGAAAACCTGGGAACGAGGATAGATTTCGGAGAAGAAGGCGAAGGAAGGAAAGCCCGGAAATTTTTTAATTTTCTATGTTTTAAAGAGAAACTATAAAGTTATTTTAATGAAGTGAAGCTTGTTGAGAAAAGATATTCCGATTATAAGTATATCTAGATATATATCTTATAAGCGTATGTTTTTTGTTTGCTGCCTTTTTTAATATGACTTCGTCCTCGCGCATCGAATGTTGGAATTTTCTGAATATTTTTTCGGTCGATTTCTTTCGCATTAGTTCAACGTTTTAGAGTAAGAATGTTTGTTATGCCCAAGCATTTATTTCACGTAAATGACGTTCATTTGTTCTGCTTTGTTAGATTAAAAGTCCAGCGAGAAATGAAGTGAAAGGCGATTTGAAAACCACGAGGTAAGGCAGTAAGCCGCCATTTTATTAAATTTTCGTACTTTTTTAATAGTGTGTTGTTTTTGTTTTATTTTAACATTCCATGCCCCAACCGAACACTTCAGTAAGGGTGCAGTAGTTTTAAGAAAGATTTGTGGTTTAATTTTATTAAAAATCCGCCTTCAGTCGAGAGGCGAGAGGAATGGCGAATCATTTCAGACCATGTATTCGGTGTTTGACATAATTGTGGGACATGTGTTGCCAAATTAGTTTGTATTTTGAAACATTCGATTAAGTGCTGAGAAAAGAAATGGAAAACTACTTCTTTAAAGCCCGTTTTTGTTTTTGCCAAGGCAGGTTGATTTATGTAGTTTGATATATGGGAGGGGTCAGCACCATTTAGTAGCCTTAGAATGAGGGGAAGTAGAATTGTTTAAACGTTGATTCAATGTTGTTTTATCAGAGTCTGATGTTAATATTTTGTGTTTCAGATTGTTTTTGCCAATGTTTTGATCTGAGGGTTTAAAGAACCACTTTTACAATATTGGAGATATGTAGTGGAATAAATGCCTGGAAAGACAATTATTGTCTGACAATATAAACTATAAATTGAAACCGGAATGCAATGATAAGAAAGGGAAATATGGAATAAATGCCTGGAAATACAATATAAACTATAAGTTTAAACTGGAATGCAATGATAAGAAAGGGAAATAAACTATTGCTAAGTCTAAAGAACCACTGAAGCTGAAGAATTGAGATACAACAATCTTTGACTGACTTTAGGTGTAAGACTTTCGCCCAGCTATTGTAGACCGCATGGAATCGATTCAAGTCCTTTAAAAATTTGTGAATCAAGATGAGAATGAACTTAGTGAATCTGTAATTGCTGCTATATGTTTTGGCTAAAATATAAAAAAACTGTTGTATGTCTCCAAAACAAAGGAGCTTATATTTATGATACCAAAAAGTACAGGATTGTTTGACATCAGAAATACAAAGAATTCGGCACACAGAGACAATTCACCTTTTAAAACGAAACCAAAAAACTGGAAGCAAAAAACAAATTGTGCTTCAAAACAAAACTAGAATGCACTGCTTTTAAAAGGTTGAAATATAGGAAAGGACAACTTTTTTCTAGGCGTTTAGTGATTCGTTTATAGTAACATCGCTCACGATGATGTTCGGAGTTGATCGGCATGTTGTCGTACATTATCATACCACGTGATCTGCTAAGATCACATGGTAATTATTGCCTATGAAACTAATCTCAACGTTAAAAAAAAATTTCTTTAGATGGTGGCGATCGAAGGTGGACAGCAAGATCGAAGCTCAGCAAGATTGAAGATTGTTCGAAGAAGAAGGAGTTCGCCGTTGACTAAAAGGTGGGTTCCGGCGATTATATGCGTAATCTGCGGTTGCTTTGTCCGACCCCAGTAGGGGGACCGTTTGCCTAGAGCGTTTTGGTCCCCGCACGCTGCTAGTTCCCACTTGTAGGCCTTTACACTAATCTACGGGAAGGCCGTAGGCCTTCCTTAAGGAGTACAGTGTAGCTGAGCCGAACCCTTTTTTTTCGTTGTATATAGGTTTATCTGAACAGCTAGTTGTCAAGATGAATGCGAAGACTCGCCCGGCCAAATTCAAAATGGCGATGCCAAAGAAAACCATCCACCTGGACCGTTCGCAGACCTTTCTGGCAAGATTGTTGTGCTGTCTGGTCAAAGTTAAGTATTTTACTTTGATGTTTGTGTGCCTTCGGCTAATTGTTGGCCAGAAATGACAAAAAGCCATATACAATATGAAATATTCTGCGTACAAGGTTATCTAAATTTCGAACTTAATTCTGCCTGCAATGATGATTTTTTACTGAAAATTTATGTCATGAGCAACTTCCGCACCTATAGACTGAAGCAGAACTGAACATTTTGTCATTAACGTTTATCTCAACAGCCAGTTATCAAGACGAACGTCAAGAGAACAGTTGAAATAGAAAATAGAAATCAGTTCAAGACTCGCCCGGCCGCCGAATTCAAAATGGCGATCCCATACACGTGGACCGTTCGCGGACCTTTCTGAGCAAGATTGTTGTGCTGTCTGGTCAAAGTTAAGTATTTTACTTTGATGTTTGTGTGCCTTCTGCTAATTGTCGGTCAGAAATAACAAAAAACCATATACAATATGAAATATTCTGCGTACAAGGTTATCTAAAGTTTCGAGCTTAATTTTGCCTGCAATGATGATAATTTTTTACTGAAAATTTATGTCTTGAGCAATTTCCGCACCCATAGACTGAAGCAGAACTGAAGATTTTGTCATTAACGTTTATCTCAACAGCTAGTTATCAAGACGAACGTCAAGAGAACAGTTGAAATAGAAATCAGTAAATGGCGATGCCGAAGAAAACTATACACGTGGACCGTTCGCGGACCTTTCTGAGCAAGATTGTTGTGCTTTCTGGTCAAAGTTAAGTATTTTACTTTACTGTTTGTGTGCCTTCTGCTAAAACTAGACAATAATTAAGGTAGTTATAAATGCAATTTTATATTAATAATGTCTTATTATATTAAAGATTTTCCTTGGTCAACATTGGAAGTGAAGACGATTTCTGCACAGAGGTAATTCGATTGTTTCTTCTAAATTTATATTAGCCTTGCAGCTCAAATTCTTGTCACTACCTTGTAATACATATCAACTGCCTGGGTATGTATTTTGTTATTTCAATAGTATAAGAGGGAATTTGCTGCAACTAGGATCTTTTTCATGAAAATCGTCAGTGCGGTCACAATTTGGTTAAGATTACTAAGTGAACTTTGCTTCTGTACTCACTATGTGTCACCAGTAATAAATTCCTGTGGTGGTCTTGAAGTAATATAACCATAGTTATATATAGAAGGATGAAGTAACCATAGATTACCTGACCAAAAACTACAGTAATTAAGATAGTTGAAAATGGAATTTTATATTAATAATGTCTTTTTATATTCAAGATTTTTCTTGGACAAGAGCAACATTAACTGTGGATATGAACTTTACGTTCAAATGAACATTGGAAGTGAACAAGATTTCTGCACAGAGGTAATTCGATTGTTCCTTCAAAATTTATATTAGCCTTGCAGCTGAAATTCTTGTAGTGATTTTGTAATACATATCAACTGCCCGGATATATATTTTTTATTTATTATAAGGGAATTTGCTGCAACTAGGATCTTTTTCATGAAAATCGTCAGGCAGTCACAATTTTGTTAAGATTATAAAGTGAACTTTGCTTCTATACTCACTATGTGTCACCAGTAATAAATTCCTGTGCTGGTCTTTGAAAAATATAGCAACCATAGTTTATATAGAGGGATGAAGTAACCATAGAATACCTGACGAAAAACTAGACAATAATTAAGATAGTTGAAAATGGAATTTTGTCTTAATAATAACTTCTTTATATATTCAAGATTTTCTTGTCAAGAGTGCAACCAGCCACATTAGCTGCTGTGGATATGGACTTTATTGTCAGAGGAAAATTGGAAGTGAACAAGATTTTTGCAGAGGTAATTTGATTGTTCCTTCAAAATTTATATTAGCCTTGCAGCTGAAATTCTTGTAGTGACTTTGTAATACATATCAACTGCCCGGATGTATATTTTGTTATTTATTATAAGGGGGAATTTGCTGCAACTAGGATCTTTTTCATGAAAATCGTCAGGCAGTCACAATTTTGTTAAGATTATAAAGTGAACTTTGCTTCTATACTCACTATGTGTCACCAGTAATAAATTCCTGTGCTGGTCTTTGAATAAATATAGCAACCATAGTTATATATATAGAGGGATGAAGTAACCATAGAATACCTGACGAAAAACTAGACAATAATTAAGATAGTTGAAAATGGAATTTTGTCTTAATAATAACTTCTTTATATATTCAAGATTTTCCTTCATCAAGAGTGCAACCAGCCACATTAGCTGCTGTGGATATGGACTTACTGTCAGAGGAAAATTGGAAGTGAACAAGATTTTTGCAGAGGTAATTTGATTGTTCCTTCAAAATTTATATTAGCCTTGCAGCTGAAATTCTTGTAGTGACTTTGTATACATATCAACTGCCCGGATGTATATTTTGTTATTTTTATAAGGGGGAATTTGCTGCAACTAGGATCTTTTTCATGAAAATCGTCAGGCAGTCACAATTTTGTTAAGATTATAAAGTGAACTTTGCTTCTATACTCACTATGTGTCACCAGTAATAAATTCCTGTGCTGGTCTTTGAATAAATATAGCAACCATAGTTATATATAGAGGGATGAAGTAACCATAGAATACCTGACGAAAAACTAGACAATAATTAAGATAGTTGAAAATGGAATTTTGTCTTAATAATAACTTCTTTATATATTCAAGATTTTCCTTGATCAAGAGTGCAACCAGCCACATTAGCTGCTGTGGATATGGACTTAACTGTCAGAGGAAAATTGGAAGTGAACAAGATTTTTGCAGAGGTAATTTGATTGTTCCTTCAAAATTTATATTAGCCTTGCAGCTGAAATTCTTGTAGTACTTTGTAATACATATCAACTGCCCGGATATATATTTTGTTATTATTATAGGGGGAATTTGCTGCAACTAGGATCTTTTTCATGAAAATCGTCAGGCAGTCACATTTTGTTAAGATTATAAAGTGAACTTTGCTTATACTCACTATGTGTCACCAGTAATAAATTCCTGTGCTGGTCTTTGAATAATATAGCAACCATAATATATAGAGGGATGAAGTAACCATAGAATACCTGACGAAAAACTAGACAATAATTAAGATAGTTGAAAATGGAATTTTGTCTTAATAATAACTTCTTTATATATTCAAGATTTTCCTTGATCAAGAGTGCAACACAGCACATTAGCTGCTGTGGATATGGACTTAACTGTCAGAGGAAAATTGGAAATGAACAAGATTTTTGCAGAGGTAATTTGATTGTTCCTTCAAAATTTATATTAGCCTTGCAGCTGAAATTCTTGTAGTGACTTTGTAATACATATCAACTGCCCGGATATATATTTTGTTATTTATTATAAGGGGGAATTTGCTGCAACTAGGATCTTTTTTCATGAAAATCGTCAGGCAGTCACAATTTTGTTAAGATTATAAAGTGAACTTTGCTTCTATACTCACTATGTGTCACCAGTAATAAATTCCTGTGCTGGTCTTTGAATAAATATAGCAACCATAGTTATATATAGAGGGATGAAGTAACCATAGAATACCTGACGAAAAACTAGACAATAATTAAGATAGTTGAAAATGGAATTTTGTCTTAATAATAACTTCTTTATATATTCAAGATTTTCCTTGATCAAGAGTGCAACCAGCCACATTAGCTGCTGTGGATATGGACTTAACTGTCAGAGGAAATTGGAAATGAACAAGATTTTTCAGAGGTAATTTGATTGTTCCTTCAAAATTTATATTAGCCTTGCAGCTGAAATTCTTGTAGTGACTTTGTAATACATATCAACTGCCCGGATATATATTTGTTATTTATTATAAGGGGGAATTTGCTGCAACTAGGATCTTTTTCATGAAATCGTCAGGCAGTCACAATTTTGTTAAGATTATAAAGTGAACTTTGCTTCTATACTCACTATGTGTCACCAGTAATAAATTCCTGTGCTGGTCTTTGAATAAATATAGCAACCATAGTTATATATAGAGGGATGAATTAACCATAGAATACCTGACGAAAAACTAGACAATAATTAAGATAGTTGAAAATGGGAATTTTGTCTTAATAATAACTTCTTTATATATTCAAGATTTTCCTTTGTCAAGAGTGCAACCAGCCACATTAGCTGCTGTGGATATGGACTTTACTGTCAGAGGAAAATTGTAAGTGAACAAGATTTTTGCAGAGGTAATTTGATTGTTCCTTCAAAATTTATATTAGCCTTGCAGCTGAAATTCTTGTAGTGACCTTGTAATATATATCAACCGAGCATATATATTTTGTTATTTAGTATAAGGGGGAATTTGCTGCAACTAGGATCTTCATGAAAATCGTCAGGCAGTCACAATTTTGTTAAGATTATAAAGTGAACTTTGCTTCTATACTCACTATGTGTCACCAGTAATAAATTCCTGTGCTGGTCTTTGAATAAATATAGCAACCATAGTTATATATAGAGGGATGAAGTAACCATAGAATACCTGACGAAAAACTAGACAATAATTAAGATAGTTGAAAATGGAATTTTGTCTTAATAATAACTTCTTTATATATTCAAGATTTTCCTTGATCAAGAGTGCAACCAGCCACATTAGCTGCTGTTGATATGGACTTTACTGTCAGAGGAAAATTGGAAGTGAACAAGATTTTTGCAGAGGTAATTTGATTGTTCCTTCAAAATTTATATTAGCCTTGCAGCTGAAATTCTTGTAGTGACTTTGTAATACATATCAACCGCCCAGATATATATTTTGTTATTTATTATAAGGGGGAATTTGCTGCAACTAGGATCTTTTTCATGAAAATCGTCAGGCAGTCACAATTTTGTTAAGATTATAAAGTGAACTTTGCTTCTATACTCACTATGTGTCACCAGTAATAAATTCCTTTGCTGGTCTTTGAATAAATATAGCAACCATAGTTATATATAGAGGGATGAAGTAACCATAGAATACCTGACGGAAAAACTGGACAATAGTTAAGATAGTTGAAAACGGAATTTTGTCTTAATAATAACTTCTTTATATATTCAAGATTTTCCTTGATCAAGAGTGCAACCAGCCACATTAGCTGCTGTGGATATGGACTTTCCTGTCAGAGGAAAATTGGAAGTGAACAAGATTTTTGCAGAGGTAATTTGATTTTTCCTTCAAAATTTATATTAGCCGTGCAGCTGAAATTCTTGTAGTGGCCTTGTAATATATATCAACCGCCCAGATATATATTTTGTTATTTAGTATAAGGGGGAATTTGCTGCAACTAGGATCTTCATGAAAATCGTCAGGCAGTCACAATTTTGTTAAGATTGCTAAGTGAACTTTGCTTCTATGCTCCCTATGTGGTCACCAATGATAAATTCCTGTGGTGGGCTTTGAATAAATATAGCATATTTATATAGAGGGATGAAGTAACCATAGAATGCCTGACCAAAAACTAGACAATAATTAAGATAGTTGAAAATGCAATTTTATATTAATCATGTGTTCTTGTAATATTCAAGATTTTCCCTGGTCAAGAGTGCAACATGAGTCGTGGATATAAACTTTACTGTCAGATGTACATTGATTGGAAAGTGAACAAGATATCTGCACTGAGGTAATTTGATTTTGTCATGGATGGCCAGCATTTGATTTTAAAAAGCCACTACATTGTTGAGATGACAACAATCAAATTGAAATTTGCTTCTATGGTCACCATGTGTGAAACCAATGATGAAACTTAATGCTATAACAGCTGAACAAGTCTGGCTGATTACTATAATTCCTTTGGTGGTCTTACAATAAATATCCATGAAAAAGACCAGCAATTACTATTTTAAACTTGGGAGAAATTTTTCTGATTTCCATGTGATTTATATTCTGTAGTACTCAGAAGGGTGGTACCCAGTTTTTCTGTGTTCAAATTAAATAGTGAGATATTTCTAGGTTGAATATATGCATGTGACACATTCTTTTTATTGAAAATAGCTAAAATATAATTGGCATAAAACAAAATGCATTCACGAATGTATTGTCTATCCATGAAAGATGGCTAAAGTAAGATAATGAGTAATATCTTTTGATAATGATGTCAGGTTTGAAAATACAACTTTTTGCCTAAAAGGATTGATGAAATGCTTTTTCTCTTTAGAATGAATGAAGTTGAAGAAAGTTGAAAGGCACCCCAGAAGAACCTGAATTATTTTAGCCCTATCCTAGATTCATTGAATATTTTAGTGTGTGATAACATGTGTGAAATGTGATCAATGATGTGACAATTTTCAAAACTTGGATTTATAAAGATAAATTTTTCTTTGTAAAGTTTAAAAGTAAACCTTTTTTGTCGGGTGGTATTGGTGTTTTGATTTTGCATGTTTTTCCCTGTGCTTTCACAATTGAAAATATTTTAGCAGTTGCTTTTGGCTTTTTCTCATACTTCTTTTCTCTTTAATTTCTTCTTAGTATTAGTATTTTTTCTAAATATATTTTCTCTTATTATTTTTTTGATGAAATTCTTTTTTTCTTTGGTGTTGAAGAAAGTTGAAAGGCACCCAGTTTCATTGATTAATATTTTTTAGTGTGAAATGTGATGAATTATGTGACAATTTTCAAAACTTGGATTTATAAATCTTTTTTCTTTGTAAAGTTTAAGAAATAAACCTTTTTCGTCTGATGGTGTTAGTGTTTTTATTTTGCAAGTTCTTCTGTGTGACTTGACAATTCTAAATTAAACCTCTTAGTATTTTTTAGTATTTTTCTAAGTTAAACCTATTAGTATTTTCTTCGATTGCTCTAGTTTTTTTCCTCTAGTTTTTTCTTCTATTTCTCTATTTTTTCTTTTATTTATCTAGTTTTTTTGTATTTTCTCTTGCTTTATTCTCTAGTTTTTTCTGTAGTTTTTCTAGTTAGTTTTCTTTTCTCTGGTTTTTCTTCTATTTCTCGAGTTTTTTCTATTTAGTTTTTTTTTCTCTAGTTTTTTCTAATGTTTTTCTTGTTTTTTTCTCTAGTTTTTCTAGTTAGTTTTTTCTTTTCTGGTTTTTTCTTCTATTTCTCGAGTTTTTTTTCTATTTAGTTTTTTTCTCTAGTTTTTTCCTAATGTTTTTTCTTGTTTTTTCTCTAGTTTTTCTAGTTAGTTTTCTTTTCTCTGGTTTTTTCTTCTATTTCTCGAGTTTTTTTTCTATTTTTCTACTTAGTTTTTCTCTAGTTTTTTCTTTTTTTTTTCTCTTGTTTTTCTAGTTAGTTTTTCTCTGTTTTTTTTCTTCTTTTTCTCTAGTTTTTTTTCTAGTTTTTCTCTATTTCTCTAGTGTTTTTTCTATTTTCTCTTGTCTTTTATTCTCTAGTTTTTTCTCTAGTTTTTTCTATTTAGTTTCATTTCTCTGTTTTTTCTTCTATTTCTATAGTTTTTTTCTATTTTTCTACTTAGTTTTTTCTCTAGTTTTCCTAATGTTTTTTCTTGTTTTTTTCTCTAGTTTTTCTAGTTAGTTTTCTTTCTCTGGTTTTTTCTTCTATTTCTCGATTTTTTTTCTATTTTCTACTAGTTTTTCTCTAGTTTTTTCTTAATGTTTTTCTCTTGTTTGTTTTTCTAGTTAGTTTTTTCTCTGTTTTATTTCTTCTATTTCTCTAGTTTTTTTTTTCTCTAGTTTTTTCTTCTATTTCTCTAGTTTTTTTTTTCTATTTTCTCTTGTCTTTTATTCTCTAGTTTTTTCTCTAATTTTTCTATCTAGTTTTCTTTTCTCTGGTTTTTTCTTCTATTTCTCTAGTTTTTTTTCTATTTTCTGCTTAGTTTTTTTCTGTAGTTTCTTCTTAATGTTTTTCTCTAAGTATTTTCTAAATGTTTTTTGAAAAGTTTAAGAAGAAACTTGATTTTTGTCTTGTGGTCTCTGGTTTATTTTCTATTTTTTTCTTTTATATCTCTAGTTTATCTCCGAGATTTTTTTTACGAAAAAGTATTATGTCTTGGGCTACCTGTGTCAAGCCAGACACAGGTAGCCCAAGATTGACACAGCTAGCCCAAGACAAAATACATCTTCGTAAAAAAAAATCTTAGAGAATTTCTAAAAGCAATCTTATGTTGTCTGGTTGAGGTTTCTATGTTCATTCCACTATCTGTAAAATAAACGATACTACATCTCGTATCCCACTAATAGTTTCCTTAAAACTGAATGTCGGTCAATAACTGTTTATTTTTCAACCATAACTATAGTGTCCAGGTAAACAGGGCTTCCACTTGCAAGGAAATTTCCCTGCAAAAGGAAATTTTGGCTTTTTCAAGGAAAAAGGCAAGGAAATAAAATTGAGGAGGAAATGGACAGGAAATTTTAGCCTGGGCAAGGAAATTGCAAGGAAATCTTGAAAATTGTTTATATTAGACTTAAAATTGAATAAAAAATAATAAGTTTGCAAAGATTTGGTTCTTCAAGTATATAACCATTTTCCTCACTCATAGGTGTAGGGTTTTGTTTTCTTCCGGGAGGGGGGCTTAAAGCTTGGCTAACCAAGGTATAGACTTCATGTAAGCCCAGCTAAAAGTCTCCCTGTATAAAATGAGGAATACAGAAAGTAGTGGCTGCGGATCTAAACTTCGTATTTCAGAATTGCTTTTCTAAGTTGTTTGATATATTATTATATGTTATTATATTCACTAATAAAACTGTTTCATGTGTATATAAGGATGTCTTTTTAAAGATTCAACATTGCTATATGATGCAATTATTACCTAGTAAATTTTTTACCCTAAAATTTCTCGGGGGGTTCTAGCCCTCAGCCCCCCCCCCCCCCCAAATACTCTACGCCTATTTTACACTTCTATCAAAGTTTCTGTGGTTAATTTAATAAAAAGTGACCAAATTTTTGGATGAATTTTGGAAGTATTTTTGTATATGGAATATATTTCAGCTGTATCACTTAAAAAAATATTGTTTATTTTGTCACTGAGAAAAATTTGTTCCATTAAGGCCGCTATTTGCAAGGAATTTGCAAGGAAATTTGGAAATTTTGGCAAGGAAATATTTTTGGAAAAAAGGATTTTTTAGCATCTCAAAAGGAAATTTGGTAAATCAATTGTGGAAGCACTGCAGGTAAAGGCTACTACCATCAGGAGTGCCTAGGAATTGAAAGAGTACCTAAAGGAAAGTGGTAAGTCAATACATTTACAGTAATGTTAATACTTCAACGTCCTATAAATATGATTGACGTTCAAACAAGTTGTTTTTTTCATTATAGGCTGTGCGACTTCTGCAAACAGAAATGTAGAAAATAATTTAATTGAAAACATTAAAGAACGAATAAACCGTCCAGTTGCTGGCTAAAGATATGAAAAGTTACGAAAACTAGATCCAATAAATAATACTACGTATAACAATACGTGTATAATGGCTGTTTCGCCCTATCTCAGGGCTCGTCAGCATGCCTAGGAAACATTAAGTATTGCAATAATTATTAGCAGCATCAATGAATCCGACATGGACAGCCTGACCCATTTATTGCACGAGTCCGGGGGTTTTAAATCAGAGTTTTCCTTCTCCTAGGTGGACTGTCTTCCAAGACTGATGAGCTCCACCTACCCAACATAAACAACAAGCGCGCGATGAGTAATAACCCTAATGCTTATTTTTCACCATCTTTTATCACAAATTGCATATATGAATTCCTGCATAACATCTGCCCAGGTTTTAGCTGTCTCGAAGCTACGTCGTGTTGCTTTTTTACTATTTCCTCATTTTGATAGAAATCCATCAAAAAGTTATAAAAATAGTGCGTGGAAAAATTTTGCATCGTCGAGCTTCATAACCGTCGCACATTCTTTCGGTTGTTTTCGGACTCTTGATAGCTTGTTTTTATCGTGTTCGACTGAGACAAAAGATTTATGTTGTGATATTTACAAAGGGGTGACTTGTGAGGATTGCTTGCTGTGTGAAATCTGTCACCTAAAACATATCTCCTGGATGTGCCTGTCAATGGATGAATCATGCTACCATCCTCCACCTGTATCATATCATTGTCACTTTTTCTGTATTCTGCTGTTGTCAGCATAGGGACACTCATTTCCTAGAAGTGTCATGACGACAAAATTAATAATATATTTGTTCCATTTTATGGGTTTTCAGAATATTCTAAACTGTTTTCAAGTCATATCTTAAGTTAACCTTGACTGAATAAAAATGTTTAGGGCAATGAATGTGCACAATACACCAGTAATATGTAGATTTTTCGTAAACGATACCTTTGATGGTGGTTTATCCAACGATGGTACCTCAAAACACCCTCTGTTATCTTTCCATAGCTGTTCGGTCATTTCTTTACTGACCCGGCACTCTAAGTGCCTGACAAACCCACAAGCCGTGTCGCAAAGAAAAAAAGAGGAATATGCTTAAATGATAAATAGAGATCGGCAGCATCTCTTACTGACTCCTGTAAAGTCAGAAACTTTGAAGCTGCGGTTACCTGAAAGGAAAGGACACCCAAAAGGATTATTTTTTAGAACACCCAGAGTAAAAATTCTATAAATGTAAATTTTATAAATGCTCTAAATGGTATATCACTGTATACGTCTAAGACTAGGGCTACGGTTGTCTAAGAAAACAAGATGATAAATGCCCTGTTACAGGGTGCAATTTTCTCGCAACTTGCAATGCAATTCTGCTCTTGAGAGATGTTAATTAGTGTCAGTGAAGATGTTCGATATGTTGAGAGAACAATACGAAATAAGTTGTACTTTCGTAATTTACACGTCTCAAAAGTAGAGTTGCATTGCAGGTGAAATATTTCTATACTTACGCCATGGAGACAAACAATGTGGTAGAAACCACCAGTATGCCCTGGCACTTTTGTGAAGCCATGGCAAGGACATGAACCAACCAGCAAGGTTTCATACAATGACCGCAAATCAATGAGCATTCTTGCCTGACGCGAAGAAATAAAATGCAAGTTATTTCGTGCAAATTAATACCAAGTCACAATCGTAAATTACAGTAAATACCTTTGATTTGCCTGAAATTGCTATATTACACAAATGACAAAGTTCTTTCAGCTTCTCGACACTGCATTGCTCAATTGTGTTCATGTCAACTACTTGAGTGGATATCTAATGATGCAAAAGAGCTGGATCACCTGTGCAACAGATGCATAATTAAATTCACTTAAAAAATCAATTCTGGTCCAAATAACCATTTATGGTCACAAACAAGCTGTATTATATAGCATATATTATTTTAATTGAATGGCTAAATTGTACTATGAGTAATGCTACAAACCTTCATTAGGTTTGCCATATTGCTTGAGAAAAGCACTTTTTTTCCCCTTCAGTGTTGAACAATTTTGTACTTCTCAATGATGGGGCTATGACTGGTGGAATGGTGGAAAAGTGGATAGTGGCCTTTTCCGATCGTGTGTAGGTTGTCTTTTCCACCAAATTGTATTTTAATTTCTCCAAGAACATCTCAAGGGAAATAGGATCATCTTCCTCACAATCTATATCTTGTAGTGGTGAGTAATCAATCTACAATGAAAATGCAAATATTTGTGTAAGAAGCTCTGGCAAATCAGAGGGATCTGAGAACAGGCTAAAGACCAGCAAGGACATTTTAATAATTGAACACTACTAAAGACCAAAATGTTACTAAAATTCTCATGTGGCCATTCTGGTCCATGAATGCTTTACCTCGCTAATGCTGCAGCAATTTTTTTCATTCCCATCCCCAAAATACACTTCACCAACAGTACCACAAATTCCACAAACACCTGAATCCATATTGCGTTCAGTTATTGCCTCAAAGCAATAAAACCCATTGTATAAATGTGTAGCAATACTTTCCAACTCATTTTCTGTTGGCGATTCCTTAATAAATACAACAGGATACTTTGTTAATATTTAGAGCAAGACTAAAGGTCCTGTTACACAGTGCAATTTTTTTGCAACTTGCAATGCAATGCTACTCTTGAGAGATTTTAATTCGTGAAGTCACACTTTGCCAATGTTACATCAGTCAAGAGTGGAGTTGCAAGTTTCAAGAAAAATTGCATCGTTTAACAGGGCCTTAACAAATTCCCATACCAGACGATTTGCCAATTTTATTAGACTAGTCCTATTGTAAATACTAAGACTAATCTGACACTGACAGATTCTACGCAGTTGTACAGCATACTATTGCATAGTACATACACAATCATCTTGAAATTACCTCAACTTTCTGGACCATCACAGCTAATTTACTTTTTATGGCTACAGAAATTGGCACTCCTCTTTTGAACAATTCTCGGAACTCTAATAGAATTTCAAGTGCCACCAGAACCTTGTCACTAATATTAAACAGACCTAAAAGGCAATAAAATTGAATCAAATTAACCTTTGTCCCTGAGCCAACATGTACACTGTGAAATAGAAACTCACCTGTCAACATAGAATTACTATACTGCAAAAAAAATATTGAACTGTATATACTTACCTAATGTGTAGGGAAACACTTGGTTTATAGCAAAGCAACATGAGCAATCTTTGACTAGCATTTTGACTGTTTTGAATGGACATCCATTGGTCATTATGATTGATCGCCCACGTTGATTTGGGTGTGGCTTGGACTGACCAAGAGGACTTTTACACAAATCACACAAAGTTTGGTCTGGTTCAAACTGCTCTGGCCACCTGGAAAAATCCATTTTACCTGCTGCCTGAATAATGGGTTTTGGAATGACATATGGCAACTTTAACTTCATTTTAAGTCCTATGGTTGCCTTGCGAGACTTGCTCCCACTTCTGTCAATTGTTGTCAAGGAACTGTCTGGCACTATTGGTGGGGGAAGATCTGCTGACACACATTCGTTGTGTGTAAAAATGCCAAGAGCTAATAAAAGATGGATGTGGGTGCAAACTTTTCAGGACTTTTGCTGCTTGCTCTTCAACATACTTTTGCAGTCTTTGGAACAGCATTTAATTTCCTTTTCAGTTACCTTGACATGGCAATATCCAACAGTGTTGTTTGTGGTTGCCATTCCAAAGACGCAATACATAGTTGGAGAAACATGCACCACAACTGGAAATGACTGTGCCTTTGATGCATTTGCCACTTCTGCCAGGGTTTTTTTTGTTTCATCATCACAGAGATAACTGGAAATGACCTCATCTGATATCCCATTGAATGTCTGAAGAGGAGTTGTACAATCTCTGGTGGATTCCAAATGCTGACAACTAAAGCTTGCCACTTTTTGGCTGTTAATATGAATGGCTCTATTCTGTTTACACAGGTGATGCTGACACATAGATGAAGCCTCTTCACGAACCACAATACATCGATCATCATGGGTACTGGTATTAACCGAGTAGATTGATAACCCGTCTGATGGCTGCACCACCAAGGTACACTTAGGCACCAATGGACGAGGCTTTTTTTTAGGGACATATGATCCTCCAAGCTCAAAATATGCATCCTGAACAACTTGGTGGCTTGTAACGGCAACTACAGGGTGTATCAAAAAAAATGTCCCAAATGTAAAATTTCCGTTTTTCAAGATATTTTGCAGAAATTGGCAATTTTTTGTGTTCCTAGAGATGGTTAAGACTTATCTGGTATACCTAGGCCAAGTTTAGTTTTTCATTAACAAAATTATGTTACCAGGGGGGTGGTTCCTTTCCAGCGATATTGAGAGGGCTTGCGCGCGAAAATGTGAAGCTGAAATTGAGATATTATTTAGCTGTCTAAAAGTAGGAAAGCTTTTTAATAAACTGTCAAAGTTTCAGGAAGAATAATGCAAACTGGGAGCAACGCGCGACCCCTAAAAGTGACAAATATTTCATTGCGCACAGTGGATTAAATGCATGGTTGATTTTAGCGTGACCGATCTCATGCAAGGCTTTATGGGCAAATGAATAAATTAAAGCGAAAAACTGAACAAGAAGACGAAGAGAAGATTTAATAACAAGATTTTTATTCTTGATGTTAATCCTCAACATTTCCACCATTTCTTTCTAAGCAAACTGCGGCTCGTCTGAGCATGGTAAACACTGAACGGCGAACCACATTTGTCTGTCCTGCCTCAAATCATCCATTTCGTTCGAAATTCTTTCTTGCAAATCACCTATACGCTACCACCGACAAATCTAGGCGAATGGACAGACAAATGGTTCGCTGTTCAGTGTTTAGTATGCTCAGACAAGCCCCAGTTTGCTTAGAATGAGATGGTGGACATGCTGAGGATTAACATCACGAATAAATCGCTTTGTTTTTGTGTTCAGTTTCTCGCTTTAATTTATTCATTTGCCCACCTTGTATGAGATCGGTCACGCTAAAATCAACGATGCATTTAATCCACTGCGCGCAATGAAATATTTTCACCTTTAGACGTCGCGCGTTGCTCCCAGTATGCATTATTTTTTTTGAAACTTTGACAGTTTATTAAAAAGCTTTCCTACTTTTAGACAGCTAAATAATATCTCAATTTCAGCTTCACATTTTCGCACGCAAGCCCTCTCAATATCAGTGGAAAGGAACCCCCCCGGTAACATAATTTTGTTAATGAAAAACCAAACTTGGCCTAGGTATACCAGATAAGTCTTAACTATCTCTAGGAACAGAAAAATTTGCCAAATTCTGCAAAATATCCTGAAAAACGGAATTTTTACATTTGGGACATTTTTTTTGATACACCCTGTATATTGCAAACCACAATTTGGACAGGAACCCTTGCCATGCTTGGACCATCCTGAGGTTAGCTAATTGTAAAAAAATACACATTTAGGCACCTACCAATGCCTTGTCCCAACAGGCAGAGTGTGGCCTGATATATTAGATAGGCATTGACAAAATACTCCTGCCCGATGCAAATCAACGCAAAATAAATGGCACGTGAAAAGCGTCTGAATTGTCGTATTTATAAAGTTATTTTTGTGTTCATCCAACTATATCTGTCAATTCTAATGTAGTTGAGTTCATAACATTAAAAAATAAAGATAATTCGAAATATTATAAAATTTACTACAAGCAGAATATTAATACAAGCAGAAAAATTAATATTTCACCTTGGCTTTTGTTGTATCTGCTCCCCCTTCTTCCACCGCGACATCAGATAGGCTGGAAGACGCCATAAATAATATATAACCCGAAGTTGTCCCTCAAAGAACTTTTTATAAGAAAGAACCAATGAAGCCAGCGAGCGAACGTAGAAGTGAAAAACACTATTATAGGAAATAACCGATGATTCGATGTAGCCAGCCCAGCGAGCCAGTGTAGAATAATAATAAATTCATACAGAGAGCGCATATGACGTTTACATGGGAAAGATTTTTATTGGCTATGGGTCAACCAATTAGAATGCACGTTCTGAGGACTGCGACCTTACTGTCGACCACGCCCATATAAAAATCGGATGTTGAAAGTCAAAGCGTAAGGAAGTAGCGAAATAAGTCCCGCCTACCAAAAGTGACGTCATAATTAGATTAAGTGGGTGTGTCTGATCATGCCTACAAAACATCGGAAGTTGAAAGTCAAAGCGTAAGGAAGTAGCGAAATAAGCCCCGCCCACCAAAAGTGATGTCATAATTAGATTAAGTGGGCGTGTCTGACCACGCTAACAAAAAATCGGAAGTTGAAAGTCAAAGCGTAAGGAAGTAGCGAAATAAGCCCCGCCCACCAGAAGTGACATCATAAATAAATTAAGTGGGCGTGTCTGACCATTTCCACAAAAAATTGGAAGTCGAAAGTCAAGGCATAAGAAAGTAGCGAAATAAGCCCAGCCCACCGGAAGTGACGTCATAATTAGATTAAGCGGGCGTGTCCGACCTCGCCCATAAAAAAATCAGAAGTTGAAAGTCAAAGCGTAAGGAAGTAGCGAAATAAGCCCTGCTCACCGGAAGTGACGTCATAATTAGAATAAGTGGGCGTGTCTGACCATTACCGCAAAAAATAGGAAGTTGAAAGTCAAAGCGTAAGGAAGTAGCAAAATAAGCCCCGCCCACTGGAAGTGACGTCATAATTAGATTAAGCGGGCGTGTGTGACCACGCTCACAAAAAATCGAAAGTTGAAAGTCAAAGCGTAACAAAGTAGCGAAATAAGTCGTGCCCCCCAGAAGTGACATGATAATTAGAATAAGTGGGCGTGTCTGATCACGCCCACAAAAAATCGGAAGTTGAAAGTCAAAGCGTAAGGAAGTAATGACATAAGCCCCGCCCACCAGAAGTGACGTCATAATTAGATTAAGTGGGGGTGTCTGATCACGCCCACAAAAAATCGGAAGTTGAAAGTCAAAGCGTAAGGAAGTAGCGAAATAAGTCCCGCCCACCAGAAGTGACATCATAATTAGAATAAGTAGGCGTGTCTGATCACGCCCACAAAAAATCGGAAGTTGAAAGTCAAAGCGTAAGGAAGTAACGAAATAAGCCCCGCCCACCAGAAGTGACGTCATAATTAGATTAAGTGGGCGTGTCTGATCACGCCCACAAAAAATCGGAAGTTGAAAGTCAAAGTGTAAGGAAGTAGCGAAATAAGCCCTGCGGACCGGAAGTGACGTCATAATTAGATTAAGTGGGCGTGTCTTACCACGCTTATCGAAAAACCGGAAGTCAAAAGTCAAAGCGTAAGAAAGTAGCGAAATAAGCCCTGCGGACCGGAAGTGACGTCATAATTAGATTCAGTGGGCGTGTCGGTGATTCACAGCTTTAGGTAAAAGAAATTGTATATTACATACCAAACCCACAATATAAGGACTGCCGATGCTGTGGCTCTGTCTGTATCTACAAAGAAACAAGACAATTGCTAACACTTATATGATAGAAATGTCTTTACGGAAATATTAATTATATGTTTAATTTCAGATATACATGTTTAACTTACATAAGAAAGAACAATATATTTTAAAGCTAGGATCAAGGGCATAACAAGGAATGGCATACTGGATCATCTCTTATTGATTCAGCGTTACTACAGCAGGAAACCTACACAAACTAACTATATTTACATTGGATAATTCTGTCAGTTCTAAACAGTTCATCCTGCAGTAAGCAACATCTGTTGTTAAAAATCACCTACCAGCGTAACATATGTTTCGCATCATTCAACCATGAACGACGAATGATAACATCCTTGTCTGCAACAATATCACCCTGACTCTTTTCAATTTGCCCCTAGACAGGTTCAAACAACAGATATAAAGCCCAAGATGATAAGAAGCACACCCAAGATTGGAGTTACCTGAAACACATCAAGTAATAACATGTTTATTTCACATGTTTACATACCCTGTGTTTTCTTTATTATAAAATTATTGCCACCACGAAATGCGGAAGATACATTTGAACCAAGAACATACCAAACTATTCATTAACCTACCATTTTCCTTCTTTTTTAACATATCTGACTTCTAACTCACTGTATGAAATCAGTAAAAGCTTACATAGGTGTTTATTAAGTAGTGTGCTAAGAAATGTTGTTAAGGACCAGATAACGAGGCAATAGATCATAATGAGCTTGCAACTGTATCTTTCACAAATATAGCCAAATATTGGAGCAAATATCATATAGCTTGCAATAAATATTGTCTGGAGAAGGCCTCTTAAGGCATAATTTATGCTGAAAACAGTAATTAAATAATGATTGTGTACAAAAATTATATTGCATTCACATGTGATAGCAATTCTGACAGGATTGGGTAATGATAAAGGAGTGTAATCATATCTTGTGTAATAATTGCAGTAAAATTAACCACCAGCATTTCCAAATTTTTCTTGATTGCATACAAAATATTAGTTGAATTTGAGGTTGATATTGTTATCATATTTTAACTACAATGTATAGGTTGGGATGTTATACCAGGAAATTACATGACAATTATCAATGAATTGTCCGATTTTTAGAAGTCTTCACTTCAGTCTCACCATGCACAAATATTAAAGCATCTACGAAATTTTGCGAGGGTGAAGTGTCAGAAGCGATCCATATAGTTGAGTAAATCAAGAAAAAGATACCAACAGTGACTTATTAAAACACGAGGCGTGGTTTTTCTTTGTGGTGAATGTGGTTGAATTTTCAGGATTTTTTTTTCTTGCTCAGAGAAGTGAGAGAACGAATGGTGAAACATCATGTAATACGATAGGTAGCCCAACATTCGTGTTCTGTGCGCGTACATGCTACTCATGTATTATACTAAGGTTGGCAACTTTATCACCAATTATCAATAATGCATACATGTCAAACTTCGACAATTTGGATTCAAAACTATAGTCAAGAACCTCACCTGTGTCAACCGAAATAACAATATCAATTCCAAAGTTTGCAGTGAACCCTCGCGCTTAGACCATGTGCTATCATAACTCACAGCAATCTCTGCAATATCTGACTCAAAAATGACTGTGCTATTTCCATATCTACGAGACTCATCATCGGTAACTTTCAACTCTCCGCCTAATTCCCAATTATGCAAGGACTGAAATGCACTTGCTAGGTTTGAAAGTTCAATCATTCGATAACCATACTCGCCATCAAAATCCTCTCCTATCTATATCTTCACTTGTTAGCTTTCGTATTGAAGCAGTTTCATTCAGTGATGTTGACCCACATGGCATTGATGTCTATGATGAAACACACTCAGAAGAGCTACTTTGACCATTGAAGCATGATTATCTTGCTCATAAATCTGAATCCTGCAATATTAGAACAGAGTACGAAAGTATTTTATAAACAAAATCATTATCTGAGTATAATCTTTTATCCAAATTTAATAATCATCCAACAATCACTGTAAAAATAATTATACACAGTATCTCAAACTTAGATAAAATCGACAAACTTACAGGAGATATCTTCCAGTAGTTTTTTCAAAATATTTATTTGGTTGTCTTTTAAAAGACAATTGTTGAATGGTTTTATAAAGCTCCACTCTTCACTCTTGATGCGTCCGCCATTTTAATTTAGTTTTTGGATACTTCATGTTGTGCAAATGAAATGGATTCACACCAAAACGAAAAATATAAACAAAGCTCGCACATGCGTAGAAGCGAAAGGAAATTGCGGTGAAGAGCGGTGGAAATTGCGGTGAAGAGCCGTGGAAATTGCGGTGAAGAGCGGTGGAAATTGCGGTGAAAGCGGTGGAAATTGCGGTGAAGAGCGTGGAAATTGCGGTGAAAAGCGGTGGAAATTGCGGTGAAGAGAGCCGAAATTGCGGTGAAGAGCGGTTGAAATTTCTTATTTTTTTGCCTGTTTTAAAGACACGGCTTCTGCGCGTGCGCCAGCCTGGGGACTCCACCGAAGTTGATAATCCCCCGGATTGTTCAGTCTGACCCGCAATTTAAGAAAAAAAAAAGCACTGAGTCATGTCGTCGAGTAGAAAAAATATTATGCTAGTAGAGATGCCTCTAAAGTGTATTTGTTGGGTTCTTTCCCTCGATGGAGAGCGTTTAAGGAGCAGCATAAATTGAGAACAGACAAGGATGTGGCGGATATGCTTCTTGACAGCTATCTTGCGATGAATCGTATAGTTTGGTAAGTATAAAATGATAAAACCTCTGATCTTTTTTGTGTGTTATTTGTTTACTTGATTTGCTTTTTATGTATGTGTTGAACTCACTTTAGCAATGCAGAGACGCAAACCGAAACGGTAATGGAATCAACGGATATGCCGCCAGGTACACCTTCCAAATATTTTTCTTCTCCCAGTAAGAACATATGTTTTAAAGTGCTGCTCCAAAAACGTAAACATTTATTATTTTTTAAAAATTCGCATAAAACATTTGTATGAAATATTTTATAGTTAAAACCTCAACGCCAAGCGCGCACTCAATCCGCGTCGATTGTCTGCTTTGTCGGATGTTAGAACATCATATTCTATCAGGTAATTTGAAACTTATTGTGATTACTGAGTTTATAATTTGAAACCCATACATGCAAAGTTTCGCGCAGAGAGTATTACTTTTTAAATACGCAATATGTGTTTATATCTCAGGTCGGGTCAGAGTGTGATTTCTGACAGTCGAACATTGACAGCCAAAGATGATAGTTCTGATGATGAAAGTGATGATGATATGACAATTTTGGTGAACACACTATCCAGGCAGACCAGGTTTTGTCGGACGATTCTCTTGAGTAAGTGATGATGCAAAACCTCAATAATAATCTTTGTGACATTCCTACTGTAATGCTTATTGATTTAAAACATAAATATACACATTATATATCACTGAATATGGCATAAAATATTTCGTCCAATAATATCTCTTACTGCCATTTTACTGTAGTGTATGTCCCCCGGGTTTTGACGTGCCATTACTGGATGACTTGCTCAATGTGACAATCCGTGGACATGATGGAGATGAGCCCACAGAAGATGTTGGAACCCAACAACAACAACAGCAGCAACATAAGACGACTCAACCAGAATACATCTCTACTGTGGAAGAAGTCAGTCCTGAAGATGCAATCAAGAAGGAAAAGTGTATTGTGTTTACAGACACTCTTATAGCTTTGATAACATCATTACATCATTACAGTGTTTGTAAATGACAAGGATGTGGCCGTGTGTTGAGCTATAAGAAAACATATGTTGGAACATGCCTGGTCGTATCCTGGGGGTGTAGGTCTGGTCATGTTGGAGGCAGATGGGCAGCTCAACCCTCTTGCAACAAGATTAGAGCAGGCAACCTTGTGCTTGCTTCTGCTTTGTTGTTGTATATTCTCAGTATTTCTCATCAATATTATTCAATCAGTATCAGAAGTTGTACATCATCCCTGCCATTAATGACTACTGGAAAGAACACAAACAGAAATGTTGGAAAGAAAGAGAGAACAAAGAGGACCAGGTTATATTGAGTGGTGATGGAAGGAATGACTCGCCTGGCCATAGTGCACAATATTGTACTTACAGCTTGGCTGATACCAATGATCGTGCCATACTGCAAATGAATGTGGTTGATGTGAGAGAAGCTGCTGGTAAGAGCAATAATATGGAGAGGATTGGGTTTGAAAAAAAGATGGACACACTGCTTGCACCACCAATAGTTATGAAGGAGGTGGTAACTGATGGTCATATTGAAATTGCTGCATTGATGAGTAAGTATCTACATTATAACAATATGGCAATTCCTGAAACTCTAATAGTTCAACCTGTTATAATCAATATTGTCAGACTTTCAATAATTTAACAACTTCATTTGCAGATTGATTACAATGTTATATAATTAATTGTGTTTACCCTTTAAAAGACAGTGAGGGAATATTTACAACATGCATTTGTTTATTAATTAAGCATTATTGCATTTTTTAGAAAGGGAAGAGAAATATAAGGAGGTCACACATCAGAATGATGTGTGGCATGGAGCAAAGAACATTGCAAGGAAAATCACTACTGTAAGTGTTGAAGATATCAACCAGCAATTAGTTAAAAAACTTTCTTTATTTAGAATTGATTTTATTCTTTAGGCTGCTAAATCTAAAGACAATGCAGATTTGACCTTGTGGGCACCATCAATAAGGAACCATTTTTGGTATTGTTCAAAAACATGTGCTAATGACTCAAAAAATCTCAAAGTAAGATTCACATTGAAGTACTACTGGTTTTTGCAGCAATACTTATCTAGTTCGTGCAAAACTGTACATACATGTGTTAATATGTAGTCACTTTATGTTGTATTTTTATATTTTTTTAATAGGATAAGTGGATTGGTATTTTACACCATGTTGTTGATGAGCATGAGTGGGTGTTGGAGGAAGGTGTAAATGGTGGAAAATGTGAACATGATCCTCTTAATGAAAGTGAGAGAAAGAAGCCATGGCTTAAGAAAGAGTCTTCTGCCCATAAAGCACTGGCAAAGATCATTCTGGACACTCGCTTTTTAAAGACTTTGGTGTATTATGTTAACTTCAGGTAACAAATGAGATTGGATATTTGAAAATTTCAGATAAGTTATATCATCTCAAAGTTTGAAATATTTTTTAGGCACACAGGATTTTTAGAGTCCTTTCATAATGTAATTTTGATGTATGCTCCAAAGCGCCATGCCTATTCGTAAGTATATGACATATTATTACAAAGGTAACAGCTAATAAAACTCCTATCATGATAAAACTCTTATAGAAACCAGCTTGCCTCCTTGGACTTTAACCACCACAGAGGCCGAGCACCAGCAACTACAGCTGATGGGAAAGGTACTGGTATTGAAATTTTTGCCTTAGTGTTCCCATCCTAAGTGTGAACAACTTTTCAGGTCCTGTGCATTCTTATAGTGTAATGGTACTCATATTGTATGGAATTGTAAAGTGTTTTTTTTATTAGGTACGGTCGGAAGTTCAGTAAGCGTACACAACAGTGGTGCCGTGTTCGTGTTCTTGTACCAAAAGAATTTAGTTACATTCCTGAACTGATGCAGAAGGTTTTTATAAAGAGGATCACATCAGAAGGGAATGTAAACAAAAGACTTGGTATTCCAAGTGATGATCCTAGACAAATTGCACCCAATATTGCCCCTGTTCCTCCTCCATCAGTACAGACACTTGTCGACACACATAAAACAAGATTTTAATGGTTGTGTGTAAAATCAAGTTACTTTGGGTAGGTGGAGCTCATTAGCCATGGTAGGCAGTTCACCTAAGAGAAGGAAAACTCTAATTTCAAACCGAATTAAAATATTGCTACGTTCTGTCTAATACGATTTACTTCATCTTCTAATAACACTGGATCAATAACATATCATCCTTCCTGGATCTCTAGGAAGAACAGTTTGGAACTGATAGAGCTATAAGCCCATAATCTAAAGAATCCAATATCAATGCTTTCTTTTTTATTTTCCAATTATATGTACACTGTTAACAAAGTTATATTTCTATTTCGCATTGATCGGCAATGTTGATAAGTTTATGGCTCTAAAGTAATGTATATAAATAGTCGGGTTTACAATTCAACCGCATAAAATGATTTTGGGGAACTGCATGATTACGACAGCAATAAATGGGTAGGATTCAGTTTCATTTTTCTATTATATTTCAACCAAGTATTGAAGACTTGAAAAAAAACGTAAACGATCGACATGCATGGTTGAACTGGAAAACTGACGCATTTTTTTCATATGAATATACGTCGGAAATATATATATGTAAAGATTTGCAGACTGAAGTTCACATGATCTGAAAAGCAAATTAAATAGCATGCACATATATACCACATCTCTTGCAAAAAAACTTGCGACGAAATTGCCATTATACAATGGTTTTCCATTATAAAAACGGTTACAACTTCACTAAATAGCGGTGTGCATGTGCAAGCATGCGTCTAGCTATCCTTTGAAGGGTAGCTGGTCTTGTCTTGGGAAGACGAGTGCCTGCCTGTTAGTATAAAATTAATGAATAAAATCCCTTACGTGACACGTCGCGATGTTACGTCCAGCTAGTTTAACTGTTACAAGTTGAATTGCGTGTTGGCTGTGAAGTTCGGATTAACATATGAAAATCCTTTGAAATCGTCCTGATTAATTGTCTCTAAAACGTCCTTTCCTGAAGGTGTAAGTGCTGCTTCTTCTCGTGTGAACTCTAACTCGAAATTTACTGGATCTAAGTATGTTTTCTATAAAAAAGACAATACAGCTTTAAAAAATATAAAGTAGACCAGCGAAACCTTTTTTCATAGCCTCTTTAATGTTCTAACACGTTTTCAAACAGCATCACCTACCCCAACTTTTGGTTTGAAAGGCGGTTCAATTGCTCTTCTTTCTAATCTTCTCCAATCAATATCCTGAAAGAATACATGATCTCGTATAGCTCTCTCTCCTAATGAAGTACATCCCAATCTTTTACTTGGGTCCTTTGTCATAAACTACAAACGAACAATATTAAATAAGGATACATATATGACACATAGGAAATAAATAAATGTTCTTCCGTCGGTTCTATTACTAACCCCTTTGAGAACAAGAATGGCCTCTCTAGAAAGCCATACGGGAAACAAGACCTCCTCATGAAGTATGCAGTAAAACAATTCATCCTCGTTGTCAGCTTCAAATGGGGGCTGACCTGCCATCATTTCATACATTAAAACTCCCAGAGCCCACCAATCAACAGAAAAAGAATATGGCACTTCTTGCAGGATCTACTGAACGCAACACAGTTAATGATTTCTGAAACAAAACTTACCACATTGTGTTAATCACCCTACAGTTACAGAAATTTTTTACAGGTAGAGAGACTTGGCTAGCTCCAAAAGAAATAAGATTTTGCATTTTTGCCTCACTGACTTTTCATTCAAAATAGCTTCACATGACCTCTCGGTATTAATCTAATTTTTCGACAAAGAACTACCATAGTACCATAAAAAACAAGATATGCCAAAACACAGTAAAAGCGAGGTAAATGTACTCCAACAGAAAGTTTATAGCATATCTGAAGGCTTTTGAAACTGTGAAGAAGAGGGGAGGTTCTATTGAAACTATTGAAATATTTAAAAATTCTGAAGTTACATTAAAAATCAGTTCTGTTTTATCCAATCAAATTTGTTGAAGGGATAAAAATCCGTGTTCCAAAGCGCCTCCTCGGCACTTCACGCTTAAGATACGAACTCTGGCTCAATTAAAGCGTTTGGACGAATTTTGAGCAAAATTTAAAAATCATACATTGGCAGATTTCAATTCTTTTTGTATCCCTTACCTATGGCAAAAATATTAAAATGCGCTAAAATTCTCATGACTTGAGAATCTTTAAATGAAAACAAAACTTTTACACGTGTATACAAGACTTTTGGCTTCGAGGGGTAAATCTTGAATACCCTTAGGGCTATGACATAAGTTCTATATAGTGCTAATAATAATAAGTACGATATATGTACCTCAGGTGCAATATAGTCCGGTGTGCCACAGAATGTGCTGGTTGTTGTATTCAAAGACATTTCCAGCTTACACATCCCGAAGTCTGCTAACTTTATGTGCCCATCTCTGTCTAGTAACACGTTGTCTAGTTTAAGATCTCTGTTGAGAAGAATAAATTAATTGTTGACTGATTATGAACGTTTCGTATGTGGAGGTCCCATCAGCATCCATTATTTTAAAATGCAGTAGCTAATTACCGATAGATGATTCCCTTCTCGTGTAAATATTGTAGGGCTGAAACACATTCTGCAGCATAAAACCTAAAATTAAGGAACCATTTATACAAATGTGTAAAAGCAGAAAACGTTCCCTGACCCTATTTCTACAATATTTTCTTTAACCATATTGTCCATTACCTCGCACGGGGTTCGTCAAATTTTCTTGATTTCTGTATTTGAAACATGAGATCTCCACCATTAACGTATTCCATTACAAAAAATAATCGTTCCTTTAAGATAATGAAATATTGGATGTAACAAACTATTTACGGATAAATTGACATATGGTCGTTTCATTTCGACACAAACTAAACTAACCGGTGTTTGAAAACATGAATGAAGAGACGTTAAAAAAGGATGATAAGCTGCCAATGCTAAAACTGTCTTTTCAATCATAGTGCACTCAGCATCATCATCTTCCATTATTACTTGTTTCTTTAAAACTTTAATTGCATATAGCTCTGTTGTTCCTTTTCGTTCAGCCAACATCACCTGGAAAAATTGTAAACATAACCAGAATAATGGTGGTAGTTTGTCCACATTATTTTAGAATATAGAATATTTATTTCCATGTTTACATTCAAAATTAAGAAGGTAGTCTATATTCTGGATATATTTGCAAAATTTATATTTAGGGTAGTGTATGGCTGAAAAATACATGCAACTACGGAATAAACTACGTGCATTCCCATAGACAACACAAGATGTAAACCACACTTTATAATGTTGCAGCGATAATTTACTAATGATTTTAATTTTGTTATTGGAGTAAATTGTATTTCTACCTTGCCATATGTGCCTTTTCCCAATACTTTCAGAAGGTCAAAATCTTTAAGAGAGTAACTAGATACTCCATTCATCTGCCGTTTTACTGGTTTCTTCTTAAATCCAGTATGCTGAACATTACTGTCTAGACTGGACGGAGTTTTGGGGGGGCTCTCTTGAGATGAATTTGTTTGGTGGAGCAGAGGTGTGCTGTCCGATATGGAAAGCTAAAGGTAAAAAATTCAGTAATTATTAAAAGGACATCAGGCTATTTTTAAAGCTACAAATTCTCCTGCAGATTGAAATTCTCAACCTACTTTCTTCTGTGTGTTTTTAATACCATGGGCATTCTGTCCAATAACTGCTAGCATCTCAGCAATTTCCTTAGTTTTTACCCCACAATTATTTCCAACATTCATTTGGCATCTTTTGTGAACATTCATTCCACATGCTATAGAAGAAATATGCAAAATGTTTTGAACAATTAAAAATATTCACTACCCTTAGCCAGAATGGGTTACTCATGAAAGAACAGTATCTATCTACAACATTCTTAGTCATGTCTGCCACCTGTTTTGTCACATAGAATCTGTTGTTAATCACAAACCTTGACATTGAACACCCTGTCGGTATAGACCATACAACATTGAACCACAGTGGTTACAAAATGTTGGTCTTCGATAAGTGTGCACATGAAATCTGTGCGGCACATTAATTGTAAACCTTGACCCACCAATCTAAATCCAATGAAATGAAAGTACTATACATATCATTGGTGTGACATATATAAGAACTGAGAATAAGTAAGGTAAGAGCCTTTTGGAGGTACATAATTTTATCTTTCATTATAGATCCATAGTTTATTTATCTTCCAAAATGTTTGAAAACATTTTATTCTTTAATACAAATCTTACCAATTCAGAAGCTTCATCTTTATGTCCAGGACATGCTGTAACCACAGATTCATGGCATCTCTTGTGGACTACCTTTGTACAAACTGTTAAAAAAAAAAATTTCTACTTTCTAGTCCAGTCTTTCTAGTCCAACTCTGAAATGTAACAAAATATTGACCTTGACACTGGTAGCCTTGTTTTCCAATCACCCCCCTAAAAATGGAAAGATAAAAACACAACCAATCACTATCATATTATATATATGAAAAGTGAATAAAGTGGGATCTAATTGTCTTAGTAGTAAGAGAACAAAGAATTTATAGTTGAAAAACTGGTTGAGAATGTGACAAGAGACAAATTTAACTCACAGTAAACAAATAACATTGCCAATAAGAATGCAGCATAGCAATTGTACTACACTAAGTTGTTATACAAATTGCTGCACAATCATGAAAGAAGCAACAACAAAAAATTGCATCTTGGTTTACTTCACCCTAGGTGGTAAAAATGCCTCCTTGGAGTGTTTCTTTCAACAGTTAAACACACAAGCTGATTGGTTGAAAATTAAAAGGAACTGGGCTCCCAAGTGAAATAACATAATTAGTTTAAGTTGAAGCTGGCTGAGGCTAAATGAGGTAGATGACATGTATTAGGTTGGGTTGTGACTACCGTACCAAGATTAGAATCAGGATTAAGAAAGAATAAGAACTACAGGAAAAATTGTCAACTATGTTTAGACTCATGAGCAGACTGAGTATAGACTCGAACACAATGCTATGGTGATATAGATGATTATAGGTCTTTTATCACCCAACCTTCGTTGCTTGATATATACCTAAACATTGCTTTTAACATACTTCTATTTAGTAAGGCATTCAAATTGTCTTTGATAGGACTTTTAGTCTTTTACATGTAATTGCCAAAAATAATACAAGTCTCATTGTCACTTGGGACAAATATTTTACATTACGTACTTAGCTGTCAATTCAGTGTTTATTTTAAGACATTAACAGAGAAAACATAAACAAAACAAATTCTCAGCACTCAATTCTAACTGGAACTTGCAAAATTTATAACAAACGACCATGCTGGTGTACAGAACACGGAAATAATGGGATAAATCCTTGGGTACATCCAAAATCATCAAAAATGTCGGGCGAAAATAATGTAAGGAGTTGAATAAAGATTAAATCGCCAAGCAAAATGCAGGAAAAGCAAAATAAAAATTTGGACTTTATAGATTTATTTTGTGTGGACAACGTGTTTCGTGTCTCGGATTAAGTATCGGGTATATTACGTGGGCAACATTTCTCGTTTTGCATATGTGTAGTATTGAATAAAAACAAAAACGCGCATATTGTGCGATTGTTTTGTCTCAAATTATCCTTCTTTACAACATATATATAAATTGCGACAATATTTAAAAAATAAGCTAGGAATTTAGAATTCTCCAAGAGTATAAAATATGTTTTACTTGAGGTATCGGTAGCTATAAGCTAGGTAAATAATGCAGTGAATTATCCTCAAAATATCTAAGAGAAGACATTATAACAATGTTTAAAAACATGCAATCTTAGTTAATTCTGAAGCCTCTCAAAACTTACCAAATAAATTCATTACAATGAGCGCAAAACGTAGGCTGATACAAAAATGTTGCCATAAATTTATGTCCATTTATTTGATGAATTCTTCGCCTCATCGCCCCCCTTCGTCCACGGGCTTTCAATGCACCTTCTTTCATTTTAAATTTCGGTCTTTTATCTAAAATTTTAAGCATTGAAATACTTTTTACTAAACGGAAGACAATGTTGCATTCATCAAGAAACAAACTAACCAGGAAACAAACTCAGTCAAAAATACACGACAATAAAATAAATAAGGTTAACCTTATTTTAATGGAGGAAAATTCACAGGTTGAGCAGAAATTTTTGAATAGTTTAACATATTTGCAATTGGACTTCCGAAACAATAACATTAAAATTAAAATTACCTGTGCCAGTGGACTCTTTAAGTTCAATCTTAACTTTTACTCTTCCAGACGGCTCAAGTTTGATCTAGTGAAAATATTATATATTGCCGTTGTAAAGTGATACTACTTTTAGCAGCAACAGAAATCAATATGTTTTTCTTACCCACAAATAGTCCTTGGATGTTTCGTTTATAAGTTGTTCGAAAGGCACTGTGACATTCGCAACAAATGGATCAGGTGGAAGAATAGCTTTATGAAACACTGTCAAGCCTAATATCTCTCCATAATCTATGAATTTCTCAAATGCTTCTTCCCAACGTGGAGCAGAAGTCTTTCCTCTGGCTTGTGTTTGCGCCAGAAATATTTCGTCGACATATATCGATACATAAGGATCGAGGTTAGTTAATTTCACCCCATGATGATGTAAACTCGTTGGTTTCAAATCGGTTGCTTCAGATATCACCAATTTTAGAGTACCACTAAAACCGATCATGCCTTACTCATACGCCAGCCCTCACAACATCGGCAAGCTGGATAAAAAACAATAGTTTCAATATGAATAATCTGTTTTATTTCCTTCGACTTCTAAATGTTGATTTGAGATTCGAAGTCACGACAACTTACTTACGGTCCAGCATGCATCGCGGGAGGACACGAAGGGAAAAACAGCTCACTGGGGAAAAACTACGCTCCCCCCTGGTGATCAATAAACCATACCGAAATTACTAAACTAAATGTATATCTTTATCTTTGGTAAATAATAGTTTTGGTAACCGCTCTTCCTAGCACTACATTGGCCTGTATCATACAACTGCCAACTGTACTGTCGTTTATGCTGAACTGGTTATATCATTAGACTAAATAAATCTAATAAAACCTGAGTGTAACCATGGATAGTTAAAAGACTATTTTCCATGGTGTAACCATCACATAAATCGTTTGAAAATGTATTGAATGTAGTGATTCTATGATAGATTCCATCACAAACTTTTTATAAAACTGCAATAAGGACTTCAATAGATAGACCAGGCTTGTGTTGTTTAGCAACAGCAAGCAGTAAGTATTTACACTGGAGAAAAAAACTGGCCATTTTTACACTAGCTAGAGTCCACTCCAGAGTCCAGTGGACTGCCACAGAATATCAGAACAATAGACCTTTTTCTTAATGACATCAAACGCGGAAAGTATAATGTTGCACATTGGTTGGTTCCAATCAAATTTCATATAACATCAGACTTTCCACGTTTGACGTCATTTTAAGAAAGGTCTATTAAGTTCCATTCACATTGTCAAAATTTGAAAGATCCAATTGAACTCTGAAGTATGGAATGTAGTCTGTTATTAATAAAGATTGGTTTTGCAACCTCTGCAAGATTACTTTGAGGTATTGAAATGCTATTATCAGGGTGATTGTGCAATTGACCCCAATTGCCAAGATAAAGTTATATGCTTATTTCAATATCTCAAAGTCATCTGGCACTTCATTGAATCTTGACTAACTGGGACAATTTAAACAGCCCCTTAGAATGAAACCCATAGCTCTGTCATATCTAGTAGTTTCTCTTGCATCCCAAATTGCAACTGCTTCTGGTAATCATGCATTATTTTCCCCTAGTGTCTTTTTAATAAACTTAAGAAATTTACAATGATAACAGGTAGAGAACACAGGGTGACAGGCTATCTATCTTTTCAAGGTAACAAAACTTCTGTCACAGTCGTGTCACGTTGTCCAATGTAATAGCTCCTTCACTTGCCAGTGCTAGCTCGCGGGTTTCTTAAAACAAGAATCACCGAATCGCCTCGTAAAAACATTTTTGCAATATATCTATCCTTATTAACGGGCTTTCCTTTTTTCTTTCCTTTGCCTGCTTTTGGCGTTTCTGTCCAAACTTCTTTGACATTTTCCAAAACCATGTTACAATGTCGATCAAAAGCTTTCACGCGTGCAAGTAGCTTCCTATTATTCCGACAATTGATTAAAATTTGGGCATTATCCTTTACGGATTGTGTAAGAATAGACAGTGGACCAGTGGCAAACTCCTCTTGTTCTCGTTGAGCAAGCTCTTCAGGTGTCATATCTGACTTGGGCTTAGAAGCTCTTGATAAAAAAATAATAAACAATTTATCACCATCTCCTTCATAACAAAAAATACTGCCTTTTTATGTTACAGAAAGGATTGAATTTTCGTCTTTTAAGCTACTTACAGCGAAGTCATGACTGATTGTAAGGAATAAGAAAGATTTAAAATGACAATTTTTCTTGTTTTTTAGACGTTGCACGACGTTCGTTCCAGCTTCGAATTCCAAAATTTGAATCCGTAATACACACACCGATCAATAGCGTTCTCAGTACTTGGTGTTATTTCAGTGAACATGTGAATGTGCAGTGTTTCGCACATGCGTACTAGCACAGTATTACCCTACGTTTATGGTTTGATTCAGGCGGTGTGCGCATAGCGACCGCAAAGCATGGTGGGAAAAGAAAAAAAATTGTCATTATGCGACAAGCCGCGGTCTGGTGCACATGGGTGCACATCACTGAGCAGAATATTTCGATGCAACTATGCAAGTTCTATGCATGAACGAATAGGCGGAATAGCGAATTTAGCTCAATGGTTCTGGTTTCAATCCAATGGCAATGCAAGCACATTAATGCAATTGTGAATAATAAAAAAATGGGCATTAAAAATTTATTTCCCTATTTAAAACAATATTCTAAAGACGCAAATCTCTCTGATTTCGCTGGTAAAACAGCAGCGGTTGATGCTTCATGTTGGATTCATCGAGCACTAGCAGTTTCTGTCTCTGAAAGTGGAAATCGACAGAGGTAACTATCTTCGTGTTGTAAATAGTCTGTTGTCGGTGAGTCGTGTGAAAGCTATGCTATATAACGTTAAGTATTGAAATTTTGTATCATTAATATTTATGCTCATAGATCATTAATATTCATGTTATTTATTTCAGACTAGATAGTATTTTTCGAAAGCATTTACAGTTGGTGAAAGGAGCTGGAGTTTTTCCGTTTGTCGTTTTCGATGGCTTGCCACTACCTGCCAAAGCGAACGAAACAGCGAGAAGGCAAAGGTGATTATTAAAATTAAAAACCTAATGTCCTGGCAAGGAGAGTTAAACTACATAGTAGCCATAAGCCCATTACTGTTGTCGCTAAATATATATATATTTACACTACACAGAATGAAAGAAAATGCTTTAGCAAAAGCAAATGAAGCAGCCAGCTTGGAAGAACATAACAAATTTCTTAGCCAGGGGATTTCTGTTTCATTTGATGATATTTCATCGTGCATAGAGGTACCTATGTTCCTCTCCCTGAGGATTTAAATCATACTTATATGATCTTATTGTCGCACTGCAGGGAATTTGTTGCAACTATTGGGGATATCTCTGTTTAGATATGTGTAAAAGAGAATATTCAGTACATTGTATCCGCCTATGAATCTGATGCTCAGATAGCGTATCTTATAAAACATGGTCATGCCGATTTTGCTATTACTGAGGACTCAGATCTACTTACCTATGGTTGCAAAGAGGTATATAGTATACTGTAGTATACTGTAGTATACTGTATACACTTTAATTTGATTTTTTTGTAATTATTTGTGCAACAACAGATCTATAGTGGCCTATAGTGATCTATGGTGTCTCTTATTTATAACCCACTGCTAAAGAATATGTGCACACTTTTAGAGTTATTTTCTTCCATATTTCGTGTAGATATTTGTTAAAGTCAAGTTAAGTGGTACTGGAAATTATTTTGTCCTCTCAGAAATTTTAGATGGTTTGAAATTATCTTTCAAACAATTTCAAGAATTGTGCATCACAGCTGGGTGTGATTATCTTGATAATGTGAAAGGAATTGGAATTCACAGGGCATATCCTTTGGTTTGTGGAAATCATCTATTTGAAGATCTGGCTAAGAAGGGGGCACCAAAAGATTATGAAGAGCAATTTGTCAAAGCTTTTGCTGTTTTTAATCATCAGACAGTTTTTAGCATTGACAGAATAAAATGTGTGCCTCTGAATAAGTGGAATCAGGATATAAGTATTCTCTTGCTTGGGAATTGGTGAAGACTTAAACACAGGCGATGTAGAGAAGATATCATCAACTGTGGTTGTACTTTTAGGAGTTGCTGACTTGTGTTCTGTGTTGTAGCACCCAAAAGTGTTGGACATATAGTCAATGTTTAAGGACTCCTCTGCCTCAGACAATGTTTTGTACCTTTTCGCCAGGTGCTTAGTTACTCTTGTTCGACATGATCCACCTGGGAAAAAAGGAACATTGTTGAAAAGTTAATTGCATTACATTTAACATTATCACTTATTACATACTGTAAGTTATAATATCTTTTTAATTTAATTTTATTTCAAATAACTTAACACAAATTATAAAACAACAAGTATAACACAAATTATATATTACAATGTATACACATAGATGTGGTACTGTATGTTGTGATCAAAATATGAAAAAAGTTAAATATATGACAAACCTGTTCTCATTGAGTTGCAAACATTGTTAACAACCTCTGCACTTGCATTCCAGAACTTCATGTCCTTTGTTGTTGGCCATTTGTCAGAAAAAGCATTGCTCCAAAACAAACAAATATATTGCACTAAGCATGATTCCTCTTGCTCTGTCCAATCACCAACATGTTGTTTCTTTGTATGACCATCTTTTGATTCGAAAAGGCTTCTCCTAGAGGTGCCTGTGACAGTTCGCTTTGATGATGGTTTACCAGGCGTGTTGCCTTCCACTACCGAAGGCCTCTTGGTTGCCATAAACCAAGTTTTACCCTAGGTAAAAATGTGCATGTTTACCACAAGAAAATCGGGTGATTTGATGGGGCGCCTTTGGGCGCGATAATACTTATCTGTTTCGTAAAGCTTGTACTTTACTTCTATAGGCATTTTAAGAAAAAAAATAACAGTAGTTCGGTTGAGGCTCGAGTTAATGTAAATGCTTAACAACGTTACTTAAAACAGCATCCAAATAACATCCAATTTTCAAGATGAAACTAGCATGCAAAATACGAAAATAACAAAGAAATCTAGTTACGGTGGATAACTGTTTCTTAAGATATTGTTAACTAACATACACACCTCTGCACATTGGAGTAAAATACCAACAAATTTCAGCAAATTTCAGAAAGTTTTCCGCCATATTGAAAAAGCTCATACCAGTGTGCTTTGCGGTCGCTATGCGCACACCGCCTGGGTTTGATTGTTAAAAGTAAAATAACTGGTATTCAACATAAAAAATTGCAGTAAAGATTACATAAAAAATCATGTCTTTAGCTGATGAATTACTAGCAGACTTGGAGGAAATTGGTGAAGATACAAATAATGACATTATTGACAATGACACCATTGAAGAAGCAATGGAGACAAATGATACTTTGGATATGAAATCAGTGAAACACATTGCAAAACTAAGAGATGGGAAACAGCTTGTTGATGTACTTGAAAGAATTAAGGAGTATTCACAGAAACCAAGAGGCCAAATGTTTGGTCCTATTGAAACTGATCCTGAATACCAACTTATCGTAGAAGCAAATAATCTCACAGTGGAAATTGATAATGAAATTGGTGTTATACATAAATACACCAGAGACCAATATGCAAAACGATTTCCTGAGCTTGAATCTCTTGTTCCCAGTGCACTAGATTATATTAAAACTGTACAATTACTGGATAACGAGCTAGAGGTTGCAAATGTGGACCTTACTGAAATTTTACCTCCTGCAACAAAGATGGTTGTTAGTGTAACAGCATCAACAACCCAAGGTGAACATTTAGAACATGATGAGCTGGAACGTGTTATGGAAGCTTGTCAAATGGCGCTAGATCTTGTTGATGCTAAAGCAAAGATCTTTGAATATGTTGAGTCACAGATGTCATTCATTGCCCCAAATACTTCCTGGATCGTTGGAGCAACAGCTGCAGCAAAACTAATGGGAAGTGCTGGAGGTTTAACTGGATTGTCAAAAATGCCAGCATGTAATGTCATGTTGTTAGGTGCACAAAAGAAAACATTGACTGGTTTCTCAAGTGCAGCTATCCTACCTCACACAGGCCACATCTACCATTGTGATTTAGTACAGGTATATAACAGAGAGTTTTAACAAATGTGCTAAAATTTCTTTTTTAATTTTCATTTGTCAACCCTTAGAGTTTACCACCAGATTTCCGAAAGAAAGGTGCTCGCTTGGTAGCAGCAAAATGCACATTGGCTGCTCGAGTTGACAGTTTTCATGAAAGTGTTGATGGAAGTATGGGTCGAGGATTGTTTGAAGATATTGAACAAAAGTTCGAAAAATGGCAGGAACCACCCCCTTTGAAAGAAGCCAAGCCTCTGCCAAGACCTGATGAGGCACCGAAGAAAAAGCGTGGTGGACGACGTGTAAGGAAAATGAAAGAGAAGTCGGCAGTAACAGAGTTACGTCGACAAGCCAATCGTGTTCAGTTTGGCAAGATTGAGGAAGATATGTTTCAAACTGATATTGGTTTCTCAGTTGGTACTCAAGCAAAAGGTTCTGGTAAAGTACGAGCCGCTGCAGTGGATAAGAAAACACAAGTTTCTGTGTCTAAGAGATTGCAGGTAATTTATCAAATAGTTACTAATGCAACTATCAAAAGTTAATTTTTAACCATGACTCTGAAACTGTACTGCAATAATTTTTTTTCAGCGAAACCTTCAACAAGGTCAAGCTACATATGGCGGCAAATCAACTGTCCGTGGTCAAACATCCGGCACGGCATCAAGCGTTGCATTCACTCCCCTCCAGGGTCTTGAAATTGTCAACCCTCATGCAGCTGAGAAACGAGTAGCTGATGCCAATGCTAGGTATTTTTCAAGCACATCTGGATTCCTGCATGCTAAGAAGAAAACTGATGGTAAATAGCGGATTATAAAAATTGTTCCACAAGACCAGAGGAACTGATTATAAGCAACAATTATTAAGTTATAATACTCCATATGTACAGTATGTTGAAGAGGACTGGGTATTTTCAGGCAGACATATTGTTAACTAAACTTTACCGAGGACAGATGTGATATAAACTGTAAAAGAAATACATTTATTTACCCTTTTATTCCTATTTTCTCTAGTTGAAACCTACAGTAATACCTATGTTATTTTATATTGAAATAAACATGATTTTAATAAGTAATTTTTTGATTGTCAGCAAAGATGAATTGATAAAATGATTATACTTGTGACCCACATAAATTAATAGGTCAGGTAATCATCAAAGATTGTCGCCCATGAACGAACTCTAATATGTCTAATAATTTACAGTGAATATTGATGATGCTCTTTGTGTTTTTCTTTTAAACCTAATCATTGGATTGTATACTCCATCTCAAAGGCAAAAGATCTTTAAATTGGTAAGTAATTATTGTATACTATGTTTTCTCATGAAACGCTCATGAATGCGGTTTCATTAAGTATCGTAACCATAATGCATGCTAAGGTATTCACTGCTATTGCAAACAATTATTAGTGAACACAAAACACAAAGAGCTAATATGGATAATGAAATCCCCCATGAGCACATCTGATACTTTTGCGACCTAATCATTTTATAAAAAGCAGTCTTAAGTAACGATATCATTGTAATATTACATTAGACCATGACATTGACAAAGGAGCACGTATAGTGAGAGACATTCCTACCATTTCAATCATATTTCTTTACTGCGTTAGAACATTTAAAAGTAGACAGCGCTTATTCAACATCGATTATACATTTTACGATAAATGCTGGTGTGATATTAGAATAAAATTCTTATCAGAGACTTATCTAGGAATGCTTTAATCTGTCATTTACGAGACCAAAGACGGTTTAAGGTATGATTCGGGTGTGTTCACTGTTTCTTTTATTCAAATGTCGCAATTATTATCAACTACCATACGTATCTAATTATACGCTTTACCTGGTTGGACATACGAACTCCAGTTATTGGAGTGGTCCCCCCACCGAGTCCGACCAAATAAGACTTAAAGTTTATTTTAATCGCCTTAGTCTGGTATTACTATTGAAAGTTGCGTGATTCAAAGTTGTAAGTCAATTGACGAAAATCAGCTCAAGGTAAGTCGCTTTTTATTATTACAATTTGCGCCGTTTCATTTGTGGTATTGTGTGTGTAGTCTTTATCTTCCATACCATCTATCTACGGTCATTTATTCAGGATTTATCATTCTATACACATAACCAGTATTCTTATTACAATATTTACTGGTGTGTACAGTGTAGTGTAGAATACCAGTAATTAAAAAAGTGGTGATTCAGGTATATGTATATATTGTATCACCACTAATACTTATCAGTGGTGACTGAACTGTAATTCCGGTTGAGGTATTCATCTTCAGAACTGACTGAACCTCCAATGACTGAATGACATGTTTTAAGTGCATTCATGAATCATTGTAACTGTGAAGCAATATGACTATCATTTAATGCACGATTGATGCAGCGTGAAATATTTGGTATGTCTCGGCGTTTACATGTGTTCATAAGAAACATCCAGTAAAAACTATTTGTTTATTCAGATCTGTAATGGCAAGTACCGAGGAAGCAAATGTTATGGCGAAGAATATCTTCGAAAAGGTGGTAGTTGATAAAAAACAAGATGATATACAGAAAATTGTGGAAACTGTGGTACAAACATGGGAGTTGGTGAACAAAGATCCTCTTAAACATGGCAAGGTTTTTTACAGAAGGTATAGCTAAAGAAATATTTCTTTTAGAGCGCGAGACGGTGGGGTGAATTATAAAAAAAGACGAGTATATCGGTTGAGTGAGGTTCTCTGTTTACAATATAGTCTAGGTTATAGATAACTATATACTCAAATGTTTAATTTCGAGTGGAATTGTACACACTTCAAATTCAAGCCGGGATAAGTTGATGGAAAATGAGTCAACGGTCCACCGGCAAGAATCAAACCTACGCTTTTGCGATGCTGGTGCAATGCTCTTGCCACCGAGCTACAGAGGTAGCTGACAAGAGCACGCGTTGTTAAACTTTCTCATTCACTTTTAGACTTTTCACTACCCATCCAGAGGTCATAAGTTTGTTTTCATTTTCCTCTGAAGTAAGAAGCCAGATGGACGATAGCTCAGGGTTAAAAAATCAAGCTTATTTACTTATGTCAATGATTGACTATGCTGTTAGTGAGCTGGGTAATCTTCAAGAACTCACTCCAAAATTGAAAGTTCTTGGTGCAAGACATTTCCTTGATTACGAAGTTAAACCCGAGCACTTCAAGGTACCAGGTTAATTGACAGAATTATTAAGTTATAGAGTTTCGTCAGTTCAACGACGATAATGTCAGCTAATTCTCTCCGTGGCTTATGGTTTGATAACATTTTTCAGCCTGTTGGCGAGTGCTTACTTTGGACATTAAAAGTTGGTTTGGGAGAATTATTTACAACGGAAGTTGAGAGAGCGTGGACTGTTATATACACAATGCTTGCTGACGTCATGATTGAAGGAGGAAAGACTGTGATGGACGGTGGATCGATTAGTGTAAACTGATCATATTACTGTATCAAACTACTTATATCACATCCTTTCATCTAATCAAGCGATTATTCACATGCCCGGTTACTCTGTTTGGTAATATTAAACGAGTATTGCAAAAATTCCAAATATTAATCACAATTATCATGCATATGTGAATTTTTTATCGTATTCAAATTGTACAGTATATACCATGCAGCAAAGCAAAGTTCGATGCATCACAGTCCTGTCAGTCCACACGTATAGACCACACGTATATCAGTTATTTTTATGTGATAAATCATAATTCTGATGATAGTAATGAGAGGGTTGTGAACTGAAACATCTGCAATGCAGAACTGATTCATATAAAAATATTTTGTTTTTAAAGCGTTTTATCAACTCGCTGGGTAATAGCTACTATCTATACTCTATAATATGTAGTATATAGATAAGACGCAGGAACACTTGGTTAAAAATGATCAAACTTGGTGCATTTGCAGCATTTTTGCATCATCTGCTTAAAAAATCACCCCGTGTTGTTTTGTTATTCCGCGGCATTCTTTCAAGAATTATAATTTCATTTTCCTGTCCTAATTTAATTTTCACCAAATTCAGTTTACAATATCAAGCAATTTATACAATAATGAAATTACGTTTTTCTCAAATTTGACAACTGAACAAAATGCCGAAGAGAAATTGTTTTAACATATGCATGATTACAATATATAGACTACAGTTGTATTAGTATGAATTGCGATCATTGCGGTATGAACGTTCTTATACATGCATGTTCAGTTACAATGAAATTAATAGGATTATCGCGCCAATGCCAATGGCAATGTTGATATTATGCAGACGTAAAAAAGAGGGCAGGCGTTAAATAAAGTTTTGTAAATTGAAGTGTTGAAAATCCAGAGAATTCAGCGACAGAAATGAAAGTTTAGTTTCGGATTTTCAGAGACGAGCGTGTAAGTGTTCATCTAATTTACTTTTTTGAAAATATTAAAAAAAAACAAATTAAACATGCATTGGAATGACGCAATTTTGACAGAAAAATGTGTAGGTAACTTATCTCGAATTGTGAACATGTCGTTCATGCAGTTGTTGAGTTTTTAGTTCCAGTTTCTCGACCGACGTGTTGTCAGTTTTACTGTTGTTTGAAATTGTGAAGTACGGCTTCAGATTCTATATCAAATTGGTTTTGCAGCGTTCTTATATCTTAGAAGTGTTATAGCTATACATGCATGCATCATTATATTTATATGACAATTAATAGACAAAACGAACTTTCTAAAAAACATAAATTAGATTTTGCAGTTTATATCCTTAAAGTTACAGATACAAAAGTAAACACAACATTTGAGGTTTGATGTTGTAATGGATAGTACTGAACGAGTACTAAACAGTCGAAGCGAATGGTATAATACACCTCGTTTGGAAGTTTTGTTGGAATTGTAATTAAATAGCCCATACATGCAGCTAGGGACGAACAAAAAAGTGGGAGATAAAGGTATATGTTCAGAATAAAATGAGAGGTATACTCCCTCTTTTTGAGACACGCTACATGCTTGGTGATAATTGTTTGGTATAATTAATCTTGGCTCTCAGAACATTCTGGCACAGTATCTTGTATAGCTTTAACACAATCTCACATTCCACAAATATATATACGAATTAAAACTGAACCGCGGGGTATGATTGTCTTGTTTTAAACTTGTCTTACTTTATTTGGAGCAGAGACTCTTCGATATAATTTCGTTATGGTATAATGAAAAACATGCAGGTTATACTTGGAAGTATATATTTTAGATTTATAAGGTACCTCCCCTGATCGATAGCAAGCGCCTATATCCGACACATCTTTCATGTTATGAACAATCGGTTCCTTTTGCGCGAAATTGTTTGAAGAATTGTTTCACTCGTACAATAAATAAGAACTGCATGACTTGACCATGCATCCCAACAGACGCGCGCGGTGGTTAGTTAAGTATATATAAATTATAAATGGTTTCTATGGTTTTCTGTCGACACCTTTAATGAATTTATTTCTAAAATTCTCAGTCATAACAATGTCAATGCTGCATACATGCGAAGAAAATTTTATCTTAATACAAAGTGGATTGTGTATTGATATTATAAGGTAATTATTGTTTTATCATCATTAGCAAGCGATCGATAATTTAATGGAAATTATAAGTCAGAGAACGTCAGATGTCAGAGATAAACCTTTTTAGCCATTTCTTGCATCACTATATATATCATCATTTAAAAAAGACTGTTTTTGAGGCTCGCGGTGATATATCTGTTCTAAAAAATCCGAGATACCTGTGTTTTTCATTCGAATATAGTTTATACGCGAAGTGGTAACGCATGCACATATTTCGTTGTGATGGTAAGCTATGGTGATAATGCCTGGATATATACAACATACTGGATGTATACGATGTTAACATATTTAAACAAAGAAACGTTTCAAATAAACACCGTTATTAGTAATGTGTTGACGAATGAGTATATAGCTCCTACGAAAATTAAATTTGACAAAATAGTGTGAAATAATCAAGATCTACCATGAGGTAAAACTTCTTCTAACGAAAATAAGGAAGTTGTAAAAGAAATATTTCTTAGTCCATACCCATTATGGTTAAAATTTTTTTGGTTGTTTAGGGCATTACTCGTATTAGGCGGGCAACTACAGGACGTTACTTCATCATCTCAATGGCGTGTAAACAGCAATCTAGTGTCCCCAGACTAGACGGCTTACCAACTGAAATATCTGAGGAAAAAGCAGACGAGAACTCGTTGTCACAACAGGTTGAAAAAGTTGTTAGAACGTGGGCCTTGGTGAAGAAGGATATGGTTGGTAATGGAATTGTCTTCTATGAGAGGTAAGATTATTTCACCTTTTATCATTGAACGACTCCAAGACTATGCATGGTCTCCTGGTTGTCCGACAGCTTCGACCAGCTGTTTCCTTGACAAGTTTCGCTCATATTAGGATAGATTCTCAGATGATTCTACTTCGCGAACCAATTTCTGTCACGGTGCGATAATTTTAGCTGCAGTCGCCCAAAATTATTAGTGCAGACAAAAGTTCTCGTGTGCCCGAGACTTAACATTTATAATCATTCCACATAATCCAAATTATCATTGATCCATTTTATTCCCCGATTGTCAAACACTTTGTAATACGACAGGAATAAACCAGTTAAAAACTCATCAGCGATGTCATTGTTGTGGGTCATTGATATAATGGCGAAAGAATGCGACTGTTTATGATGAGAGCGTGTTCCAATATGACAGCGTGTTCATTTTGAGAGAGGAAGTGCAAAGACTAAGTCAACAATGTACATTTAGATTGTTTAGTGAAAATCCAGAGTTGAAAAGTTTGTTTTCATTTACATCAAACAAGAACAACACTGAGATGACATGCGATGATCCAGGTTTGAAACGTCAAGCGAAAATGCTCATGTCAATGATTGATTTCGCCATTCGTCGACTTGGAAATCTGCCAGAACTCATTCCAAAACTGAAAAATTTGGGCAAGAGACATTTTATTAAATATAATGTGAAACCAGAACACTTTCAGGTGGGTATACTATGAACAAATGCTGTTCAGGGGGCAAGGAGAATCAACACTCTTTATTTATTTTAACGAATAGGCTGTTGGCTCCGCCTTACTCTGGACACTGAAAAAAGAAATTGGTGGTGAAATATTCACATCCGACGTTGAAGCTGCTTGGTTTGCTATTTATAGCATACTTGCTGACGTCATGATTGAGGGTGGCAAAGAAGGTCTTGCGGAAAACAAGTGACGAGCTATAAAACACGTTGCCATGGTTCAGTACTTTATTAAATAAACTCCATAAGAATCTGTTATAATAACGTCCGCTGAATGCTATATTGTGCCAGGAATAATGGAAACGAGGCTAGTGAATCCCAGAATGCAGCAATGGAGGTGGAAAAAGAAGAAATTTCACTGACTGCAAAGCGGAATTAGGATTGCCACCAGATGTTTGACTCCCATATGAGTTGTCAATCTAAATGTATATTTGTATAGAGCACTCTTCTGGTTTCAAACAGATATCAGCTCATATTCAGCAGCAACAGGGTGTAGCATGCATATTTTATAGCAGAAACGTAACAATTGTAAATAGTTTTGAAAAAGTAAATAACAAAATTATCTGCAGTGATAAATTATCTCTGTAACAAAGTATACTAATCACGCTGATGGATCTTGCTGTGTGAACACCTGAATTGAATAAATTCAAACACAGTCCCAAATTCGTCAAAAAAATTGCCGACTCTGGTACAACAGACTGATTTTTAACCAATTCTTCCTAATCTAGGGGACGTAGTTTTCCATAAAACCTATGGACACTGGACACACCTAATTAACCTAGTTATCCTCCATTATTGCGAGCAATTTTCCCAGGGGGGGGGAAGTTTCTTTCCGGTCAAATATTGATATGCAAATTTTAAAGAAATCATTGAATACGAAATGTGAAATATTTTATAATTTATCATTAAAGAATAGTCGAAAGTTACTGTAAAATTTGTACTTCCAATATGTCAGATCTTGATACCCTTATGGAAATGGGATTTCCCAAGAACAGAGCGTAAGTTGTTAATATTTGTTAAAAACACGATATTTCTTAATTTTCTTTTCATATTAAATCTGCCATTAATATAAAATGATGATTTTTAAACATGTATATTTTAGTGAGAAAGCTTTGGCTGTTACAAGGCATCAGGGTGTGCAATCTGCTATGGACTGGTAGGAAATATATTTAAAATTTGCTTTTATCTTTTTCATTTGCTGGCACATGCTCCTGTGGACCACAAGGGGTAATAGTGACATGTCATAGTGGTCAGTAAGTGACATGGTGCAGGAGTAATTATAATGAACAATCATAACATTACATATGTCATATATGTGAGCAAGATCCAGGCAAATTAAACTCCCATAATCCCAGTTTATTTTTTCTAAAGTTAAACAAACTTTCTAGGTTATTTGCACATGCTGATGATCCAGATATTGATGAACCACTGAAACCTGACCAAGGACATACACTTGGAGCCGAAACTAAAACTTCTGGTATATTTATCAACACACCATAGGAACAAGGCACAAATAGTCATAGGTTTTGAGGCTGAAGTAGCAAGCTGCACAGCTCTAAGCTATTTGCAGAGGCAAATCATGTTCTGTATCCCAATGCAATGACAATCCCTAAAGACATAACATTCATGATGGGCAAATATAATCTGTAATTATTAAATATAATTTTGAAAACAGATGAAAATCATGAACAAGAAACAAATGGTGGTGCAGTGGAACTAACTAATGAACAATCTGCTTCAGCTCAAGCCCAGTCCTTAAAATGTGAAGAGTAAGTCGATCTTTTTCATAATTTACAATACTTAACAATTATTGCAGGTATAATTTCTTAGCTCTGAATCGTAACTTTATTATTAGGTGTGGAAAGTTGTTAAAAACTGAAGCCCAAGTGCAGGTATAAATATTTCACATGAAATTCATGATTTTAGGTATGTCATATTTATCACATTAATATTAGCTGGCAAAAAACCCAAAAATTTCTTCCTTAATTTCTTTTAAGCAAAATGGAAAACTGCTGGTGTAATACTATGTATAGACTTGAATGCTGATATATATTGCCATAGTAACATGTTGCAAAGGTGTGTTTTGATCATTACTTTAGATGCATGCTGCTCGAACTGGTCATCAGAATTTTGCTGAATCAACAGAAGAAATAAGACCATTGACTGAGGAAGAGAAAAAGGCCCAGTTAGTAAAGTATGTATGATAGGAACATTAATATTTTTATGTAATGTACTAAATAAATTAATTCACCAAATGCCATTTTGGTTTTGATTAGGTTACAGGAAAAGATTGTTGAAAAACGTCAAGAACGACAAGAGAAAGAGAAACAGGTCCTGCAATGTTTTGGTGCATTCAAAAGTTAGATCCAGTTAAATAGGGAACAAAATAGCTCAATGGAATTGATGATTATAGTTGATTTGAAAGAAACAGCATCAAACTTATTTCTAGGAGAATGTTGAACGCGAGAAAATCAGGCGAAAAACTGGCAAAGAAATGACAAACTTCAAGCAAAAGTAAAAAATTAGACATGTACCAGTGATTTTATCTTTTAAAAATATGTAATTCCATCCATTCTCGTTTGAAATTAGATTTGAGATGCAAGAAGCTCAAAAGATTGCAGAACAGAGAAGACGTGAAAAGTTGGAGGAGAAGAAACTGAGGTATTTACCTTTATGTTATTGCCTTTAAAAAATTGAGAAATTTATTAACAATTTATATTTCTGAAAGAGATAACTGTAATAATATTTGGATTTTTTTTATTATGACATTTTATAACATGTTTTACTAGACAAAAACTGAAACAACAGATTGCTCAGGATCGTGCTGAGAAAGCTTCACAGGTGACAAACTCCATAGGTGCATGATTTCAGTCAACAAACACTTGCTTTAGATAACTTATTCATTCATATTTCAGTCTCCTTCAACTGGTAAACCCACAAGTCATGTAACTACATCATCAGCACAGCCAGGGGATCAACAATCTGCCACCAAAGAATACACTACATGCAGGCTGCAGGTTTCTGTTATCTATTTTTTCACTACTACACATAGCTTAATATTTATCTTGATCTGATACCCTGGAATTTCCTTTTTATTGTATAATATGAAGCCCAATAATCTCATTTCACCTGACAAGACCCCTTGGTAAAACCAATGGTGATAAAGATTTTCATGTCAATGCAATATTTTCCTACAGTTCCGCCTAACAAATGGTACAGCAATCACAGGGACATTCAAGCCAACAGATCTGCTATCAAGTATTGTGTCTTTCGTCGAGTCTAACAGAACAGATGGTTCTCTGCCATTTACTTTATCAACTATGTTTCCAAAGAAGACTTTTAATGAACTAGATATGAACAAGTCTTTAAAGGAATGCAACTTAGTTCCATCAGCGGTGTTAATTTTACAAAGACAATGAGCAAGAAGTACTTTACTTTGTGTTAAGTGAAATTATTGTGATAATATGTCAAGGCTCCTTAGTGTGTAGTTCTGTATAACACTACTTAAGACTTCTACTTCAGAAGTTTTCTTATCATATCTTATTTCCCTTGCAAGTCGCAAGTCATATTTCATGTTTGAGAAAGCCACCATATTGAGCACCCTAATCCAAAAATGGACTTTTTTCCAGATGGAAAAAATTGCATTTTTGGCCATGATGAGGCTAAAGCTAGTGTAAAGTCTGTAAGTAGTGAACAAACGTGAATCAGTTCACTATGCTTCTAAATAAATAACTAGAGAGAACAGACTTTACCTCACCTCTGAATCTAACCATCTTAGTACAGTATGTACAAGAGGGGAAGATGATTTTTTAAATATGAGTAAAGGTACATAGTGAATGTCATACCGGTTTCACATTCCAGCTGGAAGGGTTTTTGAAGAGATTCAGTAGCCATATTTCTCATTCAATTTCGTCTTACCATCACCAACTTGATCTATAATTAAAGTAGATGGGCTGTTGATTTCATCTATAAATTAAAGTATGTTGAGAAAATATGCATCTTGCGGAGTTGAACCGACCTTCAGGTGGTGTCCAGCTCGTGAAGTATGGATCACTCGCGTCTTCAGTTTCCACAGAATAACGATTCACCTTTTAAAAAGCAAGAATGAAAACATCACAAAACTAATATATATAACTAACGGAACCAGTGTTCATAATAGCCAGGAATAGTTCAGAATTAAAACCACCCAACACGGCAAATCAAAAGACTTGTTGAGGGAAAGTCGTGACGAGATTTCGTTATTACGACAAGGTGATAGTCGATATTGACTTGCGAGCTTTCTTTTTATCAAGTAGGGTCTATTTAAACCATAGATTTAATCATAAAAAATACAAAAACAATCACCGTTGAGGTATTTTTAAGTACATCAATTCTTTTTCTATCTTTACTAGAGTCTTGTTCAATTTTAACCTCGCATTCCGAGTGAATCAACGTCGACTTTGATTTCTGATTTTCTTCTCCGTCTTTCCTTTGCGTGGTGACTTTTGTCGTTGCTTTAGCAGGTCTTACTGTGGTCGTAGGCACCGCAAAACCACTGGATGATTTTGATTTTAGAACGGTCTTTTCAGTGGAAATGTTTGCATCTAAACTATGGTTGTCAGTACTTGAATTTTCCTGTCTTAATGTGAGCTCGTGTTTTCCGGAGTTCTTAGGCTGAATAGGCTCTGCGATTTCTTTCATTGCACAATCTAAATAGTTGATGTACAAAACATATTCACTGCATTGCCCCCAAAAATGTTTCATACAGGACCGTACAACACAATACCGTACATGAACAACAACATACAGTATAACGCTGTTGCAAAACTTGCAACATGAATCATGATGCATATTCAATCATGTGCAGTGCAAAACATAGTCATAGAACAAAAATCAAGAATTGCATCAAATGAAGATAGCTAGGTTTAAAATTTTATCAGTCTAACCTGGTACTTTATTCCCTGGTGTTTTTGTGGGAGGACTAACATTAGACACAATGGGTGAAGGTTGTGCGGAGCTGTTAAAAAGGAGAAAGTCAATACAGTTATTATTAGAAAGCCAGCCAGGTAGCATTTGAAAGGGGAAACAATGAAAATCTACACAATTTGTAAAAACACATGTAAAACTTGTTGAGGTAAACAAAGGCTCACCTTTGCAGTGAAGAAAGATCTGTTGGTTTTGTCAGAGTAAGAAGTTTGTTTAGTCTCTCTTCATCCTAAAATACAAGTGAGTTGACAGACAATTAAGGACTAAATGCATGGTAAAGTCAAGGTTAAAATGAGAAAGTGTAATTTCAAACTTTACTTCAATGTCATTGTTGGACACAAATTGTCATAATTACCTTCTTTAATTCTACTATCTTTCTCTTCAACTTGATTTTACTCTGTCGGTCCATTCTTTGAGACATAGTGTCCATGAAATCATCCAAACTATCACTATTGTTTGCTTCATCTAAAGCTGTAAGCAAGAACAGGCATTTAAACAAACACATGTTAATTTGCTTCACATCTTCACTATCCTCATGTAAACACACCTTCTGCATTCTGTATTCTTTCAACCAATGTCTTTACTTCTTCTTGAACTTTTTCAAGTTTGCACAACTGGAAAAATTAAGAAAATATATATCTAAGATATTGTGTAAAAAGAATGAAAGAACAAGAAATTGAATGTACATATACATTTATAACTTACCAAGGAGTCATAGGTCTCAACTTCTGACTTGTCTTTCCCTGCCTTGCGCATTCTCTTTAATCTTTTTTGCTCAACTAAATTTAAAGTTAAATATATCAGTAGCTATTAAAGCTGTTAGCTATTAGACCCAGATCATAAGAGCAACCAGAATGAAATAAAGATTTACTTGTTCCAGTTCTGTCAAGAAAATTGTCTTCATCACTTTCATAGAAATCATCCTCTTCTAAATTTCTCTCCCTTTTCTTCCGGCTTTCTGCAACAAAGAATGAAAATACTGAAATCAAATAACACGAGAACAGCTAGCACATGATGCCAGTCATTATGTCATATTTGGCTTAACTACCATGTGATGATTGTCTCAACAATCCATAAGCATCCAGCATCTTGCATGCTTCATTTGCACATTCCTTTACTGCGTCTCTTTTTCGACCTGTCACAGAAGCTTCAGCAAAGACAGCAGATCCATTAGGACCATCCACAGGTAACCTTAAGAGTAAATATAAATAACAATAACACATTTGCAAATACTGCAATAAAAATCTCAAAAATCATGAAATGTTGAAATTACCTTACTCTACAATGATAAACACGTGCATGACCTGGTCCTGTTTCATCAACCTGGTAGTCCAGTTCAAGACCTTTTATAAAAAATGAAATACAAGCAAGTTGAAATATAATTTTAAAGGAAGATTTAAAAACAATATTGGTCCATGCATTCATAGTTGATTTTCTTTTCAACTTCTAACTTGTTTACTCACAGACTGAATTAGAATTTTTCCCTTAATTTAGTCTGCGTCTTTACCTTCTCTCTCATAATATCCTCTTAGTGTCTTTTTCGGATCTTTAAACTCGACACCTGAATACAACTCTTGAAATTTCTCCGAGTCAATTTGCTCTTCTTCAGCATCTTCACCTGAAGGTGAAGTACAATAAACAAAGATATTAAATAAATCTTTTACTAATAATTACATTATTGAGCTTAAGAGCCTTAATTTTCTTAATTGTGGCCAATCATAAAAGTCCAACATATTTCTGAAGAGTAATTACCTGAATTACAAGACTTCATGTGGCCCACCTAATAGCACAACTACATATTATAATTGTCCAGGAAGGTCAACAGATAAATTAAACATAATTACCAAATCCCCAATCAATGCCTTCACTTTTTTCACTGTCACTCAACTTTTTTCAAACTGTCATATTCTTCATCTGTAAATATTTGACCCACTTTTGCTTTATTCTCTGCTATTTTTGATGGCTGTAAATTTACCTCTTCATCATCATCTCTGGGTCCCTTCATGTGATAGTTAGTATATTTATATATCATATTGTCTAATTGAGCTTCTATATATGACACTATAGACTTTACTGTTGCAAAGTACAAACCTGGACGACAAATAGTCTGGAACTTCCACCAAACTTAATAACATATCCCACTTTTAGTCGATAATAAGTACATTGTTTTATTTTACTCTTGTTAACAACTGTTCCATGAGTACTACCAAGGTCGTAGAGGTAAAATCCACTTAAAGAGGGATCTCCATCTGTGTTTCCTCTGTATTGAACCAATGCATGGTATCTTGATATAGATGGATGCTCTAAGACAACATCACATAATGGTAACCGTCCAAAAACATGATAAGCTTTGTCATTTAAGTTTATAGTCGAAACAATACAGCCGTTTTTTAATACTTCTAAGTTGTAATTTTCGTCTTTTGGGGGAATAGCACTCCACCACGGTGCTTTATATTTAAGTTCAGGAATATTCTCCTTTTTCTCTACCACAACTGGTTCGTTTGGCTTGGTGTCCTTTTGAATAACACTAGGAATTTTAAATGCATCATTGTCTACAGGGTTAACAACTTCTGGCTCGCTAACTTTTTTACAAGTTTCTGACTTCGTTAAATCAACATTTTTCTGATTTTCCGCCATCTTGAGTTTGACGGAGTGTAGAGCAGTGGAGTCTGAGGCTTAGAGCGAGTAAATAGTAAACAAAAGTAAATAAAAATAAATAAAAATAAACAAAAGTGAACACTTCTGTCGAAAAAGTGAAAAACAATGATATCTCTTGACTGGACGAGACAACAAAACGGAAGTCGTCGCACAGCACACTAAATACACAGTTACTGTCTGGATAGTTTGGAAATATTGATTTCAGAATTTTCAAGTCTCATTATAGTCCTAGTTTTATTAGTCCTAGTTTCATTAGTCATGTTAAACTAGTTAGGAGTCATGATATATATATATCTCTGTGACTATATACTGGAACAATTTGTTTACACCCGATGATCAATCCTGTTCACTATAATTTGCCAAATTGTTAGTAAATATATGCTTAAAAAAATAACTACATTGATATATATTAGATTACATACTAAACAGTTTTAAAATGCTTTTGAAATATTGCCATCAAGACTTTGGAATGGAGCTTGCAGTGTGTTTAAGGTACTTTAAATAAAAGTGCATAGGGGAACACAAAAATCAATTGTGTTTTAAGAATTAAGGTCGGATTCAGAATGCTTTAGAAATTAGAATCATCCCAAACCCTATAGTTAATGATCCAAAATTCTCAGATTTCCAGACACTATTTTATTCTCAAGAAGAGCTCCAGCAGGAATATCTATTCTATCTCCATGATTAGCTATGATGATCACTGTACCCTAAAACAAATTTGGACAAAACATGTAATATGAATTACGGCATATTATTAGGAAAATGTTTGAAACTTTCTGAATTTGCTAATGTAACTAACCTTCAAAATGACCCCTTTACCAAATGTGACATCACCTGACACAGTGAGATGGTCAAGTTCCAGGATATCAGGTATGGTTTGAAATCTCTCAAGAAAACTGTGCACCTAAAACAAAATACAGGTCTTGACTAAATCACTTGTCAAATGAATTAGCAATAGAGTGGTCCACAAAAACACTTTGAAGTCACCTTCCAAAAGTATGGCCCACTAAGCTGTATTAAAGGTTTGTTGCAAACTGTCTTCTAGGATTCATCATTAGAGAACCAGCATCATTTGTTGTGTACAGATTGGACTTGACTAACAAAAGATCTGATGTTTTCTTCACTGGAAGAAATCTGCTACGTGGAACATTGATACCTTTTAATTTGAGAATATTGACAGCTATAGAACTTGCTGAAAACACTAAATGAAATATGTGCTTCATATTGCATTAGACCTTACCAAGTGCTCCTTCAAAATTCTTAATGGCCGCACCAACTGCTGTCTCTAATTGTATTACATTGTAACCATTTTCAAGATTCTAGGATTGAAATTTCCTATTTTTAACGGTTTTAGTACACAAGTCGGACAAAATCAAATAAAACTTTAATAAGTTTTTATGCAACATTTCATTTACAAAACTCACCTTATTATTTACAATGATCTCCATGTGCATTTTCTTTGCATCAAGTAATCGCTTTATTGCACTTAATCTTACCCAGAGATTGTTTGTATTAAATATTCTGAAATATGAGACAAAACTTTAGAATAATAGTGAAACTACGTACATAACCAAAGATGAAGTTATTATTCATATAGATTAAAAATACATAGTTTTGGAACACAGTAATGATGGATTTTTGTTGTCTACGATTGTTTCATCTGCTCCTAAACACTACATTGTCATGAAAATATTGTGCAGTTGCATACATATGAAACATCACCCCACCTGAACTTTGTAACTGATTTAAACTCATCTACCTAAATGGAAAAAAAATGTGTGATATGGGTTGCATTCAAATTAACATCACAAAAATGGCAAAATATTGGTGATATTTTAAAACAAAAATTAATGAATTAACAATTATCCAACAGCATACATGATGTTTTGGAACTTGGGCTATCTCCAGCAATCGAAGTTTTTCTTCATATTCAATGAGGGTTCCACCCTAAAAAAGAAGGTCAATTGATACTGTAATCTGGCACAGCTAGTTTATTTCAAAACAACAACTAGGGATAACACAGCCACCTTAACATCAGCCCTTGTCTTATCTGTCACTTCCATGATAAACTCAACTGTTCCATTTGGAGGATTAAGTATAAAATTCAATATAGCTAAATGCATGTCAAGGAGTTCAAATTGGAATTAGAAATCAAAAATACCATAACCAAGTTTAGAACCTAAAAATACTTAACCTGTTACTATTAGACTAGGTTCTTATGCCTATAATTTGAAAACCCTTGTGCAAATGAATGGAACAAATTTTTATAGCCTGGGTTAATTTTTTACACTATTAAATTCAATTTTAATGTCACAGGGAAAGGATATGAATATCAACAGTTGCTCCAAGATTATCAATGTTTGAGATAAAAACAACTTCTTTTCCTTGAGACAAAAACTGATCAAGTAAACCAGAATTGTAAAATGACTGATATGTATCACCATGTCCTGGAGGGTACCACCTTAAAAAGGTTTTTTTAAGTTGGTAGTAAAAAAGCACATTTACTGTACTATTAGGTATCATGATAGAAGCCTTACCATTCTCCTTTCCCATTGACCATGGTAGTTGCAACAGGTTGTAAAGATTCTTTATTTATCCTTGGATGACAACTTTGATTGAAACAATGTATGGTAACATTGAAAACTTCATATTTCTTAATCAATTTCATTGTCTCCTCATGAGTGTTGAATGAATTCATCAAGACCAATGGTACATTACATCCATACTTTCTGTTTAAATTCTGAAATGATATTCAGAAAAAAGTTATCAACTAACTTAAATATTATTCAGGTGGAAAATTTAAGGACAGAGAGATCTTCTGGTAACAGAATGCATCTTGATTGCCATATGTGCCACCTTACCTGTATCAAGTGAACAGTCAAATCAAGAAATGTCAATTCATTGCGAACTGGGATCAGACTTTTTGCACCAACACATCCCATACTTGTTCCAAGTCCCCCGTTCAGCTTTATCACAACTAATTTATCCAACAATGCCTTCACATTTGATCTGTTATCAAATTCGGAAGACAAACTTGCATAAGGTTGTATCTACAAATGTTAATAAAATTAATATTTAATTTATAGACTTGATTTGTGGAGGATTCTGAATTTTATAATATATAATATTAATTAATATAACTTGATACATCTAAGTTGTCAATGGATATAATTGAGTCAGTGTTTTGATAAACAAAGAAATTCTTACTCTGGCTTCAGGCGGTGGTTTAATTCTGCTCCAGTCCACTGCATTCCCAGCTTCTTTTAGAAATCTTGAAAATAATTCTTGGAACTGATTGAATTCTGCCTTTGTTTTCTATAAGAATAAATTCATTTATTATGGAATAATTTTCTTTTTAATTATTTCTTTGCCAAAAATGTTTACACAATAGGACAGATTTAAATATAATATTTACATAATGGGGATAAAAGACCTTTTAGAAACAATAGGTCATTTTTATGGTCTCTAGATTTCAATTTCAATTTAGTATACTAAAAAATGTCAATTGAATTTGTAAGAATATAGCAATAACTACAATGAATATGTAGCATAGTAGATTTTAGCAACATACTTCTCTAATCTCATTGGGAGCTGTTGCTAATAATTTTTCCAACTCTTCCGCCATCAATTCTTCAGCGTCTCTCCTCGCCATATCCTTAAAGGCTTCGGATGAACGCAAGCTGTCTTGTCGATCCTGAGATAATTTTTTGAAATTAATTGTTTATTTTTTAATAATGTGAACTCAAATTATGGTGCACAGATAAATAGGTTTCTTGCAGACTAGAATTACAAGATAGTATTACTTTTGCTTTCTTGTAAACACTCGTGTGAAAACATAGACTGTATGAACTTACCATTGATTGAATGGTTTCAAATCAAATGCCAAAATGCTCAAATTACCAAATTACAACAAAAAATCAACGTGGCGATTCTCTGCAGAACAACCAACCACCAACCGACCTGCGGAGAAAGGTCAAACTACGGGAAAATCCCATACACCAAAAAGACGTTGCTCTGAATGCGCTCACTTATTCGGAAGTTTGTCACATCACGAGACACATACGAGACTGAATTTTAAACGATGGTAACTAGCATCGGCGCGTTCTTATAAAAAATATTTTTTAAAACTGAAAAATTCCCAGGACTGCTTGAACACCTGCTGTCACTTGATCAGACAATAATGACTTTACGTGATTTGGTGATCGAAGGGGGGTGAATTTCCCATGCCTTACATTCAATAGTTATCACCACTGAGTTATCCCTACAGCCCTGAGGGTGCAAGGCAGGGTGCAAGGCAGGGTCCAAGGGCGTTTACGAATGGTTATATACATAAGAGCCCGCCTCCCCTCCGTGAGGTTCTATAATTCTATAATTCTGTTTGCCTAGTCATTTTTTCTTCACTTACATGAAGTTCTTCCGCATGTCCCAAGGCCATGACGCATGCGCATTTTTTACTGACAATTTTTGAAACAATTTCTCACAGAACAATTCACATTCGAATTCTTATTATTCGTTATCACGTGTTATGCTGTTACAGTAATATTTTTTCTCGAAGAAAATTGTGGAAAATGGAGGAAATATCTTTACTTGGCAACGAAAACATTATTATCCAATGCGATACATGCGGGCAATCGTTTGAAAATGAGCAAGCTTGGAGCGAGCATATACTGGTTCATCAGACTGAAAATCTTGAAACAATAGCTAGTGTTGATATTCAGGAAGAAAGTTCAGAGGAAAGTAACCATGAGATGGACAACTCTCAAGACACAAAAGAGGGCAATATTTATCCATGTCTTGAATGTGGAAAAATATATAAATCTAAGAATGGCATGGTCAGACATGTTAAGACCAATCACTCATATGGAAATATTTTTTTCTGTAAAATATGCACACAAACCTTTGCTGCTGCAGTTGATTTAAAAACACATTTGCAGAGCCATGCTGATGACCCAAAAGTAAACAAATGTGGTGTTTGTGATAAAATCTTTGTTGATAAATCCAGATTGACGCAGCATTTTAAGTCGCACAGAAGTGAACGGCCATTTAAATGTGGTGTTTGCAACAAGACATATAAAGAGAAACGTGATTTAGCTCACCACGAGAAATCTCATTCAGCAATAAGAGAATATACATGTGACAAATGTGGAAAGTCATTTCTACGTCCACGAGACCTCAAGCTTCACATAGAAACACACTCAGATGTAAAACCATTTAAATGTGACTCTGTGATAAGACATTTCGGACAAATAAGGATCTGACTGTCCACACAAAATATCATACTAATGCAAATGACTTTGAATGTTTTATATGTGAGAAAAAATTTGCAATGAAACACATCCTAAAACGTCATTTGATATCACATAGGCAGAAAAAGAAGTTCTCTTGCTCCCAATGTGATAAGGCATATAACTTTAAATACAGGTTGGACCATCATGTCAAGTCTGTCCACCAAAATGAGCGTCCCTATGAATGTGAAGTTTGCAAAAAAACATTCACAAGTAATGACAATCTAAAAGTACATTTGAGAGTTCACAGTGGAGAGCATCCATACCAGTGTTCTGTGTGTGACAAGACATTCACTCAGCTGTCAAACAAATATCGCCATGAACTTGTTCACAAAGATGTGAAGCCTTTCACCTGTTCTATGTGCCACAAAGCATTCTATACAAAATATGAGGTAAAGAAACACATGAGTGTTCATGATGCTCCTGATGGAAAGCCTTTTAAATGCACAGAATGTGACAAAAGTTTTGTGAAAGCATTCTCCCTCCGAAATCATATCCAAAGAATTCACCTGGGAATAAGGCATACTTGTACTATCTGCCAAAAGTCATTTAAAATTCCATCCAGCCTGAAAGAACACATGAAGAAGCATATCAATTGTGCAGCATTGTGCATTATTGGATCACAGGACTCAATTAATTGTGAAACAAGTATGAAAAAAAATGAACAAGAAAACATTGTTAACAAAACAGCTGAGCACGAACTTCATAGCCGAGAACAAAATAATTCAATTGAGTCACAAGAAGAAACATGTGGTTCTGCAGAACAACAGAACGTTATTTCAACCATGCCTCATTTGGTCAACTCGGCTGGAAATACTCTTGAAATCAAGTAATTTATATTTTGGAATTTATAACATAGTCTAAAAGCTTAAACCACTGAAGAAGGGCATACAATACTTTATAGCATTTATTTAAGTAACATACTCAATTATATATTTTCACAGCTGTCCAAAAGATGATAACAAGGATGACAAAACTTCAAGGCCATATTCCTGCAATCAATGCTCACAATCATTCCGCCGAGGACAAGATCTTAAAAGACATGCAGACCGTGTTCATATCAACCCAAAATATTTCAGGTGTAGACTTTGTAGAAAAACATTTATTGTTGAGGCAGAATTAGAGATACATTCCCGGACCTGTAGTGGTCCTGGGAATGAGTTTGTTTGTTCAATATGTGGAAACAAATTTGCTTCAAAAGCCAACTTAAAGCGTCACATGGATATCCATAGTGATACAGAGCCTAAAGAATGTGAAAATTGTGGTAAAGTGTTCAGAAATCAAAGGCTGTTAACCAGACACAAATTTATCCATTCTGATAAACGACCATTCAAATGCAGTACTTGTGAGAAAGCATTCCGTAGAGCTGAGGATCTTGTAAAACATGTCCGTACTCACACTGGTGAAAAACCTTTTAAATGCAGGTTATTAATAAGGTTATATTTTTCATAAGTTTAGGTATTTGTGGATAATTCTTAACAATGGTCTATGACAATTAAAATATCCTAGTTTTGGAGTAAAATACTGAATCTACTATTTTCTCTTCACAGGTACTGTGATAAAGCATTTAAGCAATGCAATAATCGACAACGTCATGAACAAACCCATGTACCTGAAAAGCGTTTTAAATGTGAAACATGTAACCATTACTTCAGCTCATGCTCAGAACTCAAAGAGCACATCTTAATTCATGAGGTTTCAGATGGGAAACCATTCAAGTGTCATATTTGTCCAAGAGGATTTGCACGGAAAAAGAGTTTGAAGTCACATATTAATGTTGTACATGTGAATCCAAAACATTGTTGTAATATTTGTGGTGAGAGATTTCATACTACACGAGAGGCAAAGAAGCACGCGAAAATACATCCTGTGGAAGGTGGAGGACTTGAAGTGGTAGTGGAGGAAGTCCAGGAAGACAATGTACATAATGTTAGTGTGCTGGAAGGAGGGGTGGGGGAAGGTGCGGATGAAAACGGTGGAGGAGAGACGGTAGAGCAAAGAAAAGATGATGTAATGATAGTTGATGGTGGGGTAGAAGCAAGTGCTGGGCGTCAGGGCAGTGGAACGGGCCTTACAATAAAGAGAGGAAGAGGGAGACCTAAGAAAAAGGTGAGAGGGGCGACAGGAAACAAAGGTGGACATGAAGTGAGGGAGATGGTAACGACAGAAAATCATGACACACAGATAAACAATAGCAATGAGAAAAGCAAGAAAGAAGTGAGCAATGAAAGAGAAAATAACGCAGGTAGCCAAGATGAAGACTGTAGCCAAGTGCGACGCAATGATTGTAAAATACAGCATGAAAATGGAATTCTCGATTTGAGAAATGATTTAAGGAACACGACAAACGATATCGAAGACGAGATAAGTGTGACTAGTCAGAGAAATAACGAAACAAATTCAAATGAAACAATTCTTAAGATCCTGGAAGGGAAACCGTTCGTATGTCCTGTGTGTGACAAAGGATACGCCAGCAAAAATGGACTAAAACACCACCATGATAAAACTCATAAAAATAAAAGCGTACTCAAAGATAATCATATCTATTATTGTCCTGAATGTAAAGAAGGGTTCAAAAGCAAGAGAAGATTTTGGCTTCATGACGTGAAAGTTCATGGACTTCTTAATACATCAGAATCAGAAAATGAAACGATTTCTGAAGAAGATGGCAGAGGTATTAGAGCACGGATTATTAGGAATGCAAAAGGTGATTCTAGTACACCGACTGATACTGTACTAGAATCACCTCAATAGATATAGAAGGGGAACCTACATACAAAAGTTGTTTTGCAAGGTGATTCAAGGATAGATAAAAATGAAACGATGGTCGATTTAGTTGCGGCGAATGATGATGGCACAGACTTTGTTGATGGTAAAAGAGTTGGTCAACGAAAGATCCGAGATTGGTTCCGAACTTCTACAAAATGATGTTTGAAAATAAATGGTTGCGAATATAAAATTAAAATATAGTGATGTAACATTGTCATCAGTAACACTGGTTTCGCCCGAGTTGGTTGTTAATAACTAATATGAATATGTGAATTGTATTGTTTTATAACTACATAATTAATCATCTTGTATTGTCGTTTGTTTAAAATATATACTTTAAAAAAATTATCGATGTTTTGTCTTTATCTCACTGGTATGTGTCATGACAAAAACAAGTCTTTTTCCGTCCTTCCCTTTGTTATATATTTATATTGTCTATGCTCATGTCATAATAATACACTTTACCTAATTTCATAGTTTATATATTCCTTACGTTTTTATTGAACACAGGTAACTTTATACTCAAATGGTTGATAAAAAACCTAAACTATCCCTTCGACGCAAGAATTGTCTTAGAGAGAGAAATCGAATTCATTTCTATCTGCAAGTATTACGAATTCTATGTGCAAGTATTACGAATAATGTCGCTCTCACGCTAAGAAAATCTTTGTTGCATGACCGCCGAGACAAAAGTATCGTGGTTGCCAGCTGAGAGGTATTGAAAACAATCATTGACAGTCAACTGCTGATATTTAATCATCCACATAATTCTAGCAGGAAGTCGAGCATGCCTTATGTAAAGCGACCTTACAGCAACTATGGGAAGGTATGGAAAGAAAAGAGAAATTTTCATTATGGTTTTTTCATCTATTTTTGGTCTATGTTTGGGATTATGGTTAAGCAAGAACGCACGGGTTGTTCGTCGCGTTTTACGATGTCATCAAACGGTTTACTCAATAAGCGGTAATCGTAAACGACAACACACACTTGGGGAGGAAATAAAATATAATTCAAGATTTATGCTAGTCGCTGTCTTCACAAAAGTGCTTCCTGAATCGAGCAACCTCTACAACGACTTAAATACTGAAGACATGGACATAAAATTCGTATACTTTACAGATACCATAGAGACGGCTTCGCATGGCTCATCAATGTTGCACATAAAAGACTTTTCATCTAAGAGAACAATATATTCAGACATGTTGAGATATGTTGCTCAAATGTATGCGACTAATTTCAACTGGTTCATATTAAGTTCTGGCAGCAGTTTCTTTCTTAACTTTAAGAAATTGAGGTTCTTAGGAAGTTTAGATTACTCAAGGAAGTATCTCTTTCTTCCGGCAGCAAGTGTACACAAAGGATTTCATAATGATACCAGGGGAGGTAACAGGATAGATAACTCTTCATTCTATCGTGAAACAGAAGGAAATGACAAAATCACGGATTTTATCCTTCAACCTGGAGTAACAATGAGCAGATCAATGTTGCAGAAATTATCAACAAAACATTGTTTCAATAAAACAAAGGTTTATCAAGAGTGTTTAGAGAACGTCACAATTTCCTGGTTCACAGAGGTAAGGAAAAAGAGTTTTATCATCACGATCTTTCAATTGAAAACATCCATTGTTAACCAAATTGGATACATCAATACAACATCTTATCGTATTACAATTTTTACCCAATTTAGGAAGACAACGATGGTAACAAGAAAAAAATAAACTCTGGCACTTGCCGAAAGGAAAATGAAGACCTTACGACGACAAGTTCAGTGACAACTGATCTCTCTAAAGATATTGATTGTTTATATAGACTTCGCATTCAGCTTCTTTCAAAAAAAGTTCGTAATCTCAGTTTCAAACACAAGAAACTTGAAATTAAACTAAGAATTCTCCAAAGTTTCATCTCCCGAACAGTCTACGAAAAGCTCCATGAGATAAGGTTCTATAAAGATTTCAAACGGAAAGTTGATTATGCTCACATGTTCACTCTCACCAAGGACTTGGAAGTAAATAACAAAGATTCCTGGTCATTACGTTATCATAAGTTGCAAGGAACAACAGGGATAATCAGGACAATTATGGACGCAATAAGTAAAGCTCATCACGAGAACCTCCAGTTTCACGCACTCTATTACGGCTACATGTTAAATCAGCCAATCAGAGGCCTGCAATATCGGTTGAATATTTTCACGAACAAAGACCGACACATAGCAAGATCATATCAAAAATTTGGTGCAATCGAAAAACGAATAATAAAAACATCTGAGACGAAGCCAGTTACTATTGTTGTACCGCTTGCGGGAAGATTAAACAACTTTAAACAATTCATGAAAAATCTAGAGCAAAATATCTTGAAGAAAAATGATCCAATCACGCTTCTTGTCGCATATTTCCCAGAAGTGACACCTTCATTAGAACACAAGAAGATTTTTCATCAATTTAACATGACGTACAGAAATCACATCTTCATATGGCTAGACCTGCCAGGCTCATTTGCCAGGGCCCAGGCCTTACAAGCTGCAGTAGATTTTAACAAAGACAATAATTTACTATTCTTTGCTGATGTTGACTTGACTTTTAACGAGGTCTTCCTACAGCGATGTCGTGATAACACCGTCGCCAAGCAACGCGTATACTTCCCAGTCATGTTTAAATTATTCAACCCAAAGATCCTTGGTTTTCAACTCAAACCAACCGAATATTTCAGATCATTTGACAGGGAAGTTGGGGACTGGGCATTATACTCGTTCGGGCCGGTATGTGCATACAGCTATGATGTCATCTCTATAGGTGGATTTAACGTTAAAATCAAAGAATGGGGATACGAAGATATACATTTGTTTGAAGCATTCATATCAAGAAATAAATACGATATTATAAGAGCAGCTGACCCAGGACTTATTCACATTTATCACGCGCATAGTAAATGTGACGTCATTAAAAATAATATTCAGCGGTTAATGTGCACGGGCGCAATGTTGAACAGCCTGGCATCTGAGGATAGCATAGTTAAATATTTACTGATGAAAAAATATGTCAACTTATAAATTTTATTAAGTAAATTATTCACTACACTACGTCGTATATTTATGAGAAAGTAAATCCTTCAGTTCCGTGTCTTATAGCAATTAATAACTTTTCTTTCAAGTCTTTTTTACTATCATATTTTGGAAGCTTTAGTAGATTAAAACAGGTTGAAGCTGTTGGGATCTAAATGGGGTCCAAGTTTACACGTGTTATTGCGGAGATTTTCATAGCTGAAGATAATGTCGTGTAATTGAGGCAATGAAACTGTGATTTAGTTAAAACACGAGCGGTCTTGCTGGACGAAGAAGATATAAACGTCCAGGGCGGAGATAACGAAAAACATACGATATAATAAAAAAGAAATTTTACCTTGTTGTATTCCGACTTCATTGTAATATGAAACATCGTTTTACCACCAAGACCCTAGAGAGGAAAGAATATACGATCTAAATACAACTGCATGATCAACCTCGCAATCACAATAAAATAATGTCCATTTTCTCAGTACTGAAGAGCAAAATCTTTCTGCTTTTGATAATATCTGATAATGCTAAACTCTGTTTCTACCTCCAACTGAGCAAATCCTCCGGCTGGCAGACAGGGTGATCCAGTGCTAAATTTCAGCAACAACGCTCTCTCCTCTTCCTTCAAATCCTTCACAACTTCCCAGAACCATTTTATTTCGTCGAAAATGCTTGATGCGTTGCTTGGCGTGTACTGCAGAAATAACAATTTGGGTCACGACACGAATTAACAACGAACAATATTAAAATAAAGGTTCATATACTGTAGCTGTATATTTTGATATACAGTAGCAACATAGGTTGATATAGAAGATATTCAGGTTCATATGTATACGATGCTAACCACAGTGTTTTCCTGCCAATCTTCAACAATAATTCTCCCAATTCCGTTGATCAACAGTGAAAACTCGTCAGCAGTAAACAGGCTGAAGAGTGGCATTGGTATCACCTTATTAAGAAAAAATGTTTAATTTGAATTGATTTTTTAATATTACCAGGCCTGAACACCATATTAAATTACTTATTAAAAGTCATGAATTTCCTTCTATATTGTAACACACACCTCAAAAAGACCTTCACATAATGCGTCTATTTCTTTCTTCATCAAATCTGTCAGTTTATACCGAGAAACCAAGTTAACATATTCAACCTAAGACGAGAAATATTTTATGAACTAAAATACAGCAAAAAAAAGATACAGCAAAAAAGTGACTACGAGCTTGAATCTTGGAAGATCAGGCAGACAAACCAGATTTTTTTTAAAACGACCACAAACCTTGTTTGTTTCATTCAAGAATTCCTCATTCCTTTCCTTCGGGAACAAATCCAACGTTGTTACTCGTCCATTCCAGGGATTCGATACATCAAGAGTACATGGTAACATTAGGTCTTCAACGTCATCACTTTCAAGAACAAATGTTACTAAGTCAGGGCTTCCACTTGCAAGGAAATTTCCCTGCAAAAGGAAATTTTGGCTTTTTCAAGGAAAAAGGCAAGGAAATAAAATTGAGGAGGAAATGGCCAGGAAATTTTAGCCTGGGCAAGGAAATTGCAAGGAAATCTTGAAAATTGTTTATATTAGACTTAAAATTGAATAAAAAATAATAAGCTTGCAAAGATTTGGTTCTTGAAGTACTTCCGGGAGGGGGGCTTAAAACTTGGCTAACCAAGGTATAGACTTCATGTAAGCCGAGCTAAAAATCTCCCTGCATAAAATGAGGAATACAGAAAGTAGTGGCTGCGGATCGAAACTTCGTATTTCAGAATTGCTTTTCTAAGTTGTTTGATATATTATTATATGTTATTATATTCACTAATAAAACTGTTTCATGTGTATATAAGGATGTCTTTTTAAAGATTCAACATTGCTATATGATGCAATTATTACCTAGTAAAATTTCTACCCTAAAATTTCTCGGGGGTTTCTAGCCCTCAGCCCCCCCCCAATACTCTACGCCTATGTTAACACTATCAAAATTTCTGTGGTTAATTTAATAAAAAGTTACAAATTTTTTGGATGAATTTTGGAAGTATTTTTGTATATGGAATATATTTCAGATGTATCACTTAAAAAAATATTGTTTATTTTGTCACTGAGAAAAATTTGTTCGATTAAGGCCGCTATTTGCAAGGAATTTGCAAGGAAATTTGGAAATTTTGGCAAGGAAATATTTTTGGAAAAAAGGATTTTTTAGCATCTCAAAAGGAAATTTGGAAAATCAATTGTGGAAGCACTGTACTAAGTTTTTATGAAGTTCAAAATCAAATGAACTGAGGTCGTCAGGATGACTTAATTGAACACCAAGAATCTATAAGAAGAAAATATTGTTAAACATAAAATACCTATTATTACTATTATAATGATATCCAATTTTAAATAATAATCTTAGAATGAGATATACATGTATAGGAAACGTCCAGCTTACCTGTTTCACGATGGGTTTGCACAAATTCAAATTAATAAAAAAACCTTCACAGATTGCTGTTCCAATTATTTTCCCCAGGAATTTTATTTGTGAAAAATTCTTTTTCAGTTTTTCATCAATATGTCTGCTAAATTCTCTCTTCTTATCTTCCTTCATCTTATCTTCAATATCGCTTATGTCTAACTGACCAATGATTTCGTCTCCCTTTTCATCCATATATTCTGACCAGGGACAAGAAGGAACCTCGATGGAATCTTGTTCTGCTTCTACCATTGTCTCCGCAGTACACGATTGTTCGTTGGATCCTCCGAGGTCCTCACTCATATCTTGTGATCCACTTGATTGGCCTGCATTTCTACTACTGAGAGATACTGTAACGTCCTCAACTATACCTTGGGATCCATTGATCACCGTAGTTATATTTGTATCGCTACGTCGACCAGAGGGTATATCTTCACTCTTTGATCTCTCAGCCAAATACGAATTAGGAAGAAAACTAGAAATGACCAAAAGATGAAATCACCTTGTCTAGCTTAAAAAAGAGTTACAAAATCCATTAGCTAAAATAAAGACATGATGTTTAATCATTTTTGGTCACACACAACACCCTTGTGAAATGGAGACGATGTGTTGGAGCAATGTTCTTTATTAATAAATACCTGTACTGGTTATCATCTGTCAGGTGAAATATTTGATGGCAGGAATTAACAATGTCCTTGCTGATGTTCACAAAGAACTCTCTTTTTGGACCCGTACACATTCCTAAAAAAAAAGGGGGCCAGGTTAGATATAAGTGCCGTCAGCTGGTGTTTATCTAAGGCGTCTCTCTGTGGAAGGAAACAGTTTACCTTCTTCATTATTAAACCTGACGTGAAGACTACAGTTTCTCAAACGATTACCGCTGTACGAGTTTAGAACCTTCATGGCACTTTCGAAGACGGCTTCCCGGTCGACACATACTGAAATACTTTCAGGATAATTTTTTCTAGAATATCACAAATAAAAAGTGAGTATCGCATGTGCGAGTTTGAGGGGGCGTCTTTGGGTGCAAGCAACGGGGAGAATCTCATCATAACTTCAGTATCTTTGCTGTCATAAAAGATGGACAAACCTGGTAGTTTTCAACTTTCGTTGAAACCATTTCAACTTATTGTCATAATCCAACAAGGCTCTCCACGTCTTTTGAAACAATCCACGGTCATACTGGTCAAGAAAGTCTGGATTACGGCGAATAAAGTCATTAAAAACCCGGTAGTAAGCATCTTGGTTAGCCAGGGCAATAAGAACATCTCTAACCACCTTAAGTAAGATAAATCAAAGGTCTCAATGAGACGACTCACGGATGCATGAATAGAGGATTAATTCCTGGCTAGTAGACTAACCAGATAAACAAGTTTTTAATACTAAGCGTGCAAAGCAGGTTGGTCAAGCTAATGGCATTAAAGAATGCGAGACCATTAGCAATGACTCCCTGGTACTCCTAGGGAGCACAGATGAAATGGGCACAGGTACCCATTTTAGCCTTGCAGTAACATACCAAAAATTGAGTGTAGTGTAAAAGGGGCTCAAGTTAATTATATTATACCTTAAAATTTCTCTCTTTGCCAGCTCCTGATGTTTGTCTCCTCAATAAATCTCCCAGGACAAAAATTTGTTTAGGATTTGGCTCCATGAGAGACAGAACACAGCTCTCTTGGGCAGCAAAATTTGCATACAGCAATGGAGGCCACCCAGACGAGTCTAAACAGTCAACTTGATGACCATACTGGAGCAATAATTGTACAGTGTTTGTGTCACCACTAATGGCAGCCAGATGAAGACTGGTAGTACCATGATGGTCCTGAGAATATATTAACCAATATGGATAAACACAATTGGGTTGTTTTATAAAATAACGAGGTTATAATGCTAGAACGACAGGTGTGATATCATATATCAAGTGTTAAATATTACCCCATAATATCACCCCAGTCGTAGCACTTGGTCACTTACTTTACATGAAAGTGAGGCTCCTGTTTCCAGCAATGCTTTGACACAGTCATGATCACCACTCTGAGCAGCATACATCAATGGTGTAAAACCTATGGAAGTAATTAGGGATTAGGGAAGTAATATATTGCATCCCTGGAGATATTCAAAATCGTAGGTATTGTTAAATACTGCAGACAACAACTATATGTAGTAGGAGTAAAATAAATAAAAGAAATGGCAAGAAATAAAGTACCAAAGTACAAAATTCACCTGAATTATCAGCAAAATCAATTTCATATTTCAAAGTTGTCTCTAACAACATATTAAGAAAACAAGATCTCCTTTCTTTTAGCTCAGAGGACTGAACAACAAGGTGTAGAAAGTTTCCTCCATTTCTGCCTTCAACATCATCCACTGAGGAACCATTATGTAACAAAAACTCAGCACACTACAGATTGAAAAAAAACATTCAACAGATGTACAATTGCTGGGTGTAATTGTGCATTCCCATTTGATTGAGAACGCAAAAATTTTACACCTAAATGGGCTATTAAATTCTCCTGGTTTATATCATACTAACCTGAGGATGGCCAGCAAGAACAGCAGCCACAAGAGGGGTAAAACCGTGATCATCTTTTCTGCTCATTAACTTGAAAAGTAACTTTTCATCATGTTCAGATAATATCTTCATACAACGAACCAAATCCCCATCTCCAGCCACATCACAGTTCAAGTCTGGAAACTTACTCTTTCCATATACAACAAAGTGTAACAAATTAAAGTTGAAATTATCCTCATATAACTTGTTCAATTCATGTAAATCTGTATCTTCCAATAGCAGTTTAAGACAGTTGCTATGACCAGTAAGTATACCATAGGAAATAGGCTGTAAAGAGTAAGTATCTCTGGCAAGTTTATCAGCATTTTCTCTCAATAAAAGTTCAGTAATTTCAGCTGAACCGGATATAATAGCAACATGTAACAATGAACGTCTTTTTGGACCAAGATCATGAAGAACCATAGGATTTGCATTCAGTGCAGACTTGACACTTTCAATGTCCCCTTCCCTGATAGACTTGCATGTTTCTAACACAATTGAGTCCAAAACAGTCTCATCAGCACTGTCATCTGACTCAGCTGGAATGCAAATTCTGTGAAAATTATTTGATTTCTCTTCTGTTAACTTTGACATTTTGTAGTCTTCTAGATTATAAAATTTTGTACAAAATTCAGCCACGTTATCATCAGCATCAGAGTAAAGCTCATCATCTACAATAAACTCTTCATCAGATTCATACTCTACAAAATCTCTAGAATTAATCACAGATAGATTTTCTTCTTCTGATGTATCACCATCATGCAGTAATCTTACCATGCTACCATGGCTTGTATTGCCCAAATTCATCTTCATATTCTTTCGCTCAACATTCTCTTTATTTCTTTTTGCATTAAGTCTTGCCAAGAGCACTGTTTCCTTTTCTTTCTTGGCACTTTTTGCTCTCTTTGGTAACTTACGATTTGGTTGATTATCACTGTCTGATGAATCAAATCTGTGTGAAACCTGCCTTTTACTTGGTTGTAACTTGATGGATATATCATCCTCAGAACTACTACCACATTTATCACTCTTTCTCATCCTTGTTTTGCCACCAGCTCTGTTGGTAGTGATTTCAGCTTCTTCTTCAGAACTTGATTGTATTGATCTTAATCTTCTAGATTTCCTTCTTGTTCTTGTATTGGAAGAATCAGCATCAATCTTCTCATCATCAGATTCAATTTCATCATCTAGCTTAAGATAACTACTTTCATCATTTGAACTCAATTCTTTTTCCTTTATTTTCTTCTTTTTCACCCTATACCTCCTGCCTTTGCTTCTGACAGTCTTTCCTCTTTTATTTGATCTTTCAGACTTCTTGGAAGGTGTTTCATCTGAATCTTCAATAAAACTAGACATACTGTCATCACTTTCAAAAACGTTGTTCCTATCAGCCACATATCTGTTCGTTCTAAAAATAAAGCAATAAAGAGTGTAGAGGTTCAGGTTCTAAAAGTCCCAATCAATAGACATGCACACTATGTTAGGTTTGTTGTGGTCTGACTTTATATAAACAATAACTGAAATGTTGACCAGTACTCAGCTAACAATGTTTCAACTTACCCCTTGACAAAATCGTTAACCAAACGTTTTGGCTGCAAACTTATACTCTCATACTTTATTGTTTTATCCACATAAATGTTATCCAAGATTTCACTACGACTTGGTAATTTCAAATTACGTCGTTCTGACTTCGTTCTAAGCCGCTCTGAACTTCGATGTGTTGTTTCGCTGAAGACATCTTTCTCTGGTGTTTTTTGTATATCTTTTTTCTCATCGTCTTCGCTTAGATTGGCCCTGAATCCGCCACTACTTTGAGCGTCCATTATATCAGATTTAGGGAACCTAACGTTACACTGTATCAGGTTTCGCGCTCAAATTTGGTGGGTTATAGAAATTAGCAGGGGGAGAGGAACGTTAGAGGGGCGAGGAACGTTAGAGGGGCGAGGGGGTATTGATTAGGTAAAACAAACAAAAATAGTGCACGTCAATTTGGTTTTTCGTATTAAAAATATCAAGATGGTCCACAAAAAAATTCTCCTGGGGCCAGTTGTTCAAAGCCATAGTTTGACTAATCACTGAGATCATAGACAATCCAAAAGACATGGATTGTCTATGCTGAGATCAATGAAGATCTACTGTATCCAATGACAATTACATCAAAAAATTTAATTAAAGTTTTGAATATTGTGTTTGATGAGCAACCATATCTCTTGAAATATCCTTTACACAGTCACATCCTATGGAAGAAATACAATTAGCTTTTTCACCAAACAAAAATTTGTCTAATTAGTTTATTGTGTGTCAGAAAGTTCCTGTCGTCACAGAGAGTATATTGATTGTCCTTATTAAGTCTAAAAAAGTCATACCTACAAGGCCCATTGCTAATTTAAATTCATCTTTGAATATCTGCAAAAGTTTACTCACACCTGCTTCACCCTATAAAAAAGTGAAATAAAATTAATGTGTTGAAGTAAAACATGTCATTTCTTTAAGATCATTTGATGTTTACCTGATAAGAAAGTCCCCATAAGATAGGTCTTCCAACAAAGACAGCTCTTGCACCAAGAGCTAAAGCTTTAAAAGCATCTGTGCCAAACCTCACGCCACCATCTAAATACACCTCACACTTTCCATCAACTGCAGATACTACTTCAGGCAAGGCTTCAATCTTAAACATAAACGACATGGACGTAAATCGTACAGGTTAATAGAAGAATAGTGAAAGCTGCCTCTTAATGTTTTTTATCTGGTAGAAATTAATAGAGGTTTATTGGAGAGATAAGTATTTCCTCTTACAGTGGCAGGAACACCATCAAGCTGTCGTCCACCATGATTTGAGACTAGGATACCATCAACACCATGTTGAACAGCTAATCGTGCATCTTCTGCTGTCAAAATGCCTTTCAAAACAATTGGCAACTTTGTCACAGATCTTAACCATGGAATAAACTCCCACTTAAAGATGAATTGATTGAGAATTATAAGAAGCGTTCCTTCCAGAATCTTTATCATCTTTGCTACCAGTTGCATAAATCCTCTCTAAATTGGCAAATGTCAGATGAGGAGGTAAAGAAAATTTATTGCGGATTTCACCATACCTTTGTCCATACAAAGGTGTATCTACTGTCACAGCAATAGCTTTAAAACCTGAACTTTCAGCTCTTTTAATCAAGTCTAGTGTAACACTTGGATCTTTATAGATATACAGTTGTAACCATTTCAAGCCAGATGATGCTTCAGCAACTTCTTCAATTTTTGATGTGGAATAAAAACTCAGCATCATACATGTACCAGCTTGAACGACAGCTGGAAGAGATTTAAAGCATCAATTTGATTTACAATATCACACAACTACAATATCAACAATGAACCTGCTTGAATGACAGCTACCATCAATGTTACAAATTGACTTATGATGTGTGTGTTGATTATGATGTGTTTGAAAGTAGAAGCTGACCGTGTGCGTAAACAATGCAGTTGAAGACTGATTATAAACAGATTTCTGGGCTGCCTATGGTGTTGCCTATGGTTTGATAGCAAACCTCTTGCTGTAGCTATTTCTCCATCAGGATGTGCCAACTTGTGTGTGCCAGTTGCAGCAACACAAATTGGAAAATCAATTTTTTCTCCAAGAATTGTGGTCGACATATCAATATTCGAGACATCTTTAAGAATACGTGGACGTAATTTAAGTCTGTCAAATATAAACATCTACATTAGTAACAGTATTTAATACAGCACAAAGTGTTTTAATACAGCATCAAAGGACCAGTTGTTCAAAAGACGATCATCTTTTTTACGTCCATTTTTTCATCGCTTGTCCATAAAAGGTGAATATTTTTTCCATGGGTATTTTCATTTTGCAAAGCATTGAAACGAGCGACGGTTGCTTTTAAGGTTTTACCAAATTAATATATAAAAGTAAAGCTGGTGTTCCACTAGCGATATTTTCTGGGCAATTAACTGTGGGTTAATTACAAACATTTAACATTGATACCTATCAAAGGCCAATCTGTTTTCTCTTAAAGTAATTAATTCGTTTGCTCCTGAACTATAATAATCCCAAACATCCTCTGAAAGAAACGCTTTGGCATGACGCTCAAAATCAGAAATACAAACTGGTTCACTATTATAGACCAGACTTGCACCCTGATCAGCCATTTTAAATATCTGATCGTGCACCAACTAATTGCATTTCTAATGAAATTCTATCTCAGTGTTATTTAAACTTGAGTACACAGATGATTAAGAAAAATATTTCCTTTAAAAAAAAAAGGAGAAAAAGCAAGTGAGAAGCAAGAGATTCTTCAGTCTTTTTATTTCTCAGCATTAATCAGAATAAATCTAATGAAGAAATGTCTATGGAAGAGGCTGGATCCACTGACAGCCCCAGATTGTTTTATATGCATCTTCTTCCATAACTCCTGAAATATGATAGGGGCTTGAATCCAGCTTAACAGAGGCCCTTAACAAATGAAATAAGTTTAGCAACCCCTGTGGGAGGTAAATATTTCATATTTAATATCTGTCTGGTCTTCATAGAAGATGTTGATTTCAGAAATGATCAAAGTTTTGCATATTGTGTTTGATGAGCAACCAGGTTTCTTGAAATATCCTTCACACAGTCACATCCTATATAGGAAAAAGAGATCTAATCAACCCAACTTACCCAAAATTATTTACCCAGTTCTTTCCCAAGTTTTTCACTTGTTAGAAAATTCTAGTTGGTCTCCTCTTAAAAAGTCATACCTACAAGGCCCATGGCTAATTTAAATTCATCTTTGAATATCTGCAAAAGTTTAGTCACACCTGCTTCACCCTATAAAAAAGTGAAATAAAATTAAATGTTCAAGTAAAACATGTCATTTCTTTAAGATCATTTAATGTTTACCTGATAAGAAAGTCCCCATAAGATAGGTCTTCCAACAAAGACAGCTCTTGCACCAAGAGCTAAAGCTTTAAGAGCATCTGTGCCAAACCTGACACCTCCATCTAAATACACCTCACACTTTCCATCAACTGCAGACACTACTTCAGGCAAGGCTTCAATCTGAAACATGAGCAAAAAATGGTGTAGCGAAAGCTACCTCTTAATGTTTTTTATCTGGTAGAAATTAATAGAGGTTTATTGGAGAGATAAGTATTTCCTCTTACAGTGGCAGGAACACCATCAAGTTGTCGTGCACCATGATTTGAGACTAGGATACCATCAACACCATGTTGAACAGCCAATTGTGCATCTTCTGTGTCAAAATGCCTTTCAAAACAATTGGCAACTTTGTCACAGATCTTAACCATGGAATAAACTCCCATGTTAAAGATGAATTGATTAAAGAATTAACAAAAGTTGCCAGACCAGAATCTTTATCACTCTTGACACCAGTTGCATAACTCTGCTTGTAGTTTGCTAATGTTAGATGAGGAGGTAAAGAAAATTTATTGCGGGCATCACCATACCTACGTCCAAGGAGAGGTGTATCTACCGTCACAGCAATAGCTTTAAAACCTGAACTTTCAGCTCTTCTAATCAAGTCTAGTGTAACACTTGGATCTTTATAGACATACAGTTGTAACCATTTCAAGCCAGATGATGCTTCAGCAACTTCTTCAATTCTTGATGTTGACCAAGAACTCAGCATCACACATGTACCAGCTTGAACAACAGCTGGAAGAGATTTTAGAAATTGACTTGAAGTGTGTGTTGACATGTTTGATAAAAGAACAGCCTAACAGTCTCTCAAAAACAAACCTCTTGCTGTAGCTATTTCTCCATCAGGATGTGCCAACTTCTGCATGGCAGTTGCAGCAACACAAATTGGAAAGTCAATTTTTTCTCCAAGAATTGTGGTCGACATATCGATATTCGAGACATCTTTCAGAATACGTGGACGTAATTTAAGTCTGTCAAATAACATGTGCATTAGTAACAGTAAAATTATAATTGCATTGCAATTTAGCTAACATTGATACCTTTCAAAAGCCTGTCTGTTTTCCCTCAAAGTAATTCCTTCGTTTGCTCCAGAACTATAATAATCCCAAGCATTCTTTGGGAGAAATGCTCTGGCATAATTTTCAAAATCGGAAATACAAACTGGTTCACTAACAGCTATAGAATTCAGATTTGCATCGTGATCCGCCATTTTGCATCGCGCACAGTCTGGGAAGTCTGGGGCTAGTATCAGTGAAGAGGCTGAAAGTCCGAAGACCAGACTTGGAAATCATTTCAAAACGGATGGAGGAAACGTTGCAATTCTCGCTAGAACAGTTCTATTTACTTTATGACTTCGAGTAACAACCAGAACGTTTCCATTTTTTGTGTATGCATGTTAGAATTTTAAATGTATTTGTGATAAATATTTTTCTGAGAGATCGTTAATTCAGAGGGTGTGACTCTATGGCTATGACTTCGCTTGGTCTTTCTCTAACAACATCATCTTTCAGCATTGTGATACAAAATATGTTGGTCTATTCTGAGCCATCGCTGCATTCTGTTCCTCGATATTATCACCTTGTTCACTGTCAATATTTACTTCGTTAACTATATCTAGTTCATGCTCTTCTTCAATACTGCTACCAAGATGACTGTCATACAAGGCTGCACCTGCACACCGCACTTTGTTGTTACCAGAGGTGTTGTACAAGGATGCTGCTGGTGATACACTCGGCGTTGTACTGCGGGAGCTACTGAGGTCACAATTATCCAATACTTGAAGTAACTCGTTTTGTGTCGGTCCGCCCATGTTGTCTGAAAGAGTGAATAAAACACTTACTATCACCCTATTCTACCATCTATACACGAAGAATGAATAGTGAAATATAATATCTACCTGTCTGTCTATTTGCTTGTTGTAGTGCAGAAGATAGATCCCACATCTAAACATTCCAAAGAAAATGTAAAGACAGAGAACTGAGAGAAGAGTACTCGCATTAATGTAGTGAAAACTTTGTGTCTGACCTGTATGCAGCCATTAGAATGGCCAGTGAACAGATATCTCCGCGGTCTTGTACCCATACCACTTGAACCCTCACATTCATTGACACAATATGAGATGATCATGCTGCCATCAACTGATCTTATGGTGCAAACACGTTTACCAGTTGATACAAGTCTGATAAACAAGTGATCAGAATCTGGAACAACTTTTTGAACAAAGATTTGTTGATCATCCCGTTCACCAAACGGACCTAAAAAAACGTACAATTTGCAAATTGAATGTTTGCTTCACATTACAGGAAAGTTACATTGGCAACTTTGCTGCGATTTTCGTTTTTCTGATGCAAACGAAAAAAGCTGTAATCGCAAATCTTTGCACCAAATTTTGTAATCATAAAGCTGAATAAGTTTTTCCATAAATATTTTCTGTATCTTTTGAATTAAACCAAGGGAGAAACTCACGAAAAACTTACGTATATATTATTAGCCGGCATTTACCTATCATATTTCCTGACGCAGAGCTTGGATGATGCTCAGATCGCTCTAATGAAACCACTTTATATGAAGCAAGAGGAGTGGAGCCAGGTTGCGTTGATAACATTCCTCGAAATCTCGTCACGTTCCACGTACGAACATGATTGTAATCAGAGCAAACTGCGACAGAAAAAATAAGCAAATAGTTTAGTAAACTGCGAACTTGTTGCTGGGTTTAGAAAGTCTTCCATAGCCTTGTTGCATGTAAGGTTTCACAACGTTTTAAAAGTCTATTGCATTGAACAACTGATTTTACGAAAATACCTGATATCAAGTGTTTTTCACTCAACATAACTTTTATGACGGGAGAACGATGTACAGTATAAGTTTGAAACAACTGTGGACCATGTCCAGCGGCATACACCGTCTCTGGATGTTGAACAATGATTCGCACCACCCCCGAGTCGGTACCATATGCTATCTCAATCCAGTTACCACCACTGATACCTATCAATATGTAAAAATTGATGATCCTCAATAATTCCTTGAAGTAACGTAACTAGGCCTGTGGAAATAAGCAAATTGACATAACTGCTGAGCAACCACTATTCTCAGTCAATTATTTTAAGATACCTACATGACTTTGGAGTGAGATAGACACTCAATGCAGTGACTTTATCACCAGCAGGATCTCGATAGAGTTCAGTCACCAATAAATCATTGTCTTTCATTCTGAGGGGAAATTTCTCCATGTCTGTTAAAATAAAATGGGCTAAATTAACAAGATTATCCTTAGGGACATTGAGCAAACTTCTTTTGCCATTCTCCTATCTGAAGGAGTCAACATACCAATGTAATAAATAGATCCATTATCACATCCCAGCAGGAGCAACGTTCCTCCAGTATCATAACTTGATATAGGAATTACCACTTCTTGTACCTTCAATATAATGAAAATTTTCACAATCTTATCAGTGCATTAATGGTTGATAAAAAACATACAACAAATGTCAGTCAGTTGAGGTATGGCAAAATATGAATGCAGTTGCATTCCTTCAGCACTATGATGTTGAACATGGTATATCAGCTCTGACCTGCCAATGCCTTGGCATTCTTGAATTCCAAATACCAACTTTTCCAGTGTAACTTAGAGCAACAACTTGACTGCCAACAAAGAACAGCGCATCAATTTGTATACCAAGATCAAATTTTCCTGAAATATGAAAATAATATTTGAAAAAAAATGAATGATGAGAAATGGTCCAATCAAACCTCAATAAATACCAGGCATACCTATAGCAGTGCCTTGTGTGCAGTTCCAGAGTTGAAATTTACTTCCTGTTTAGAAAAAAACCAAAGATACTGTACTGTGTTCATGGTAATGACTGTGGTATAACAACCAATAACTATTAACTTTTGTTGAAACATGAAATTCTGACCTGATGAAGCAGCAACCAATTTATCCCCCCATTGTCCAACCACACGTGTGTTAAGTGCAAGATGCTCAACTGTCTCTTCAAGAAAGGGACTGGTAAAGACTTGTTCTCTTGAACCTTTGTGATCGGTAAGTCTAAATAACAAGAACAATTGGTATAACAACTGCCTAAATAGACAAAACATGTCGCAATGTTTTGACCTGAGGGCCTTCGTCAGGAGAGCTACTAATTCTCCTGACAAAGGAGAGTTACTAACTCTCCTGACGAAGGTCCTCAGGTCGAAACGTCGAGAAGTGTTTTGTCTATATTTAGGCAGTTGTTATACCACATTTGATGCTAAGTTGTTTGAAGACACTGCCATGCTGCTCCTTGGTTACATTTGAACTACTTTGTTTGATAATCAATGAATCTCAACTTACTGAAAACAACACACGCATCTTGGATAAGCAACAGCTAACCAGTTGTGATGACCCGTTAACACTTGAACTCTGTGAAGATCTTAAGAAATATGAAGTGAAGAGACAACTATAGCTTGCATTATTTCATATTTTAAAAAGAAACTCTCTTGAATACCTCCCAATTTCTCTATGCCATCACATTTTGTCTCCTGGTCATCGGATGAGGTACTAAGCTTGTCACTGCAACCTACTAGTTTGAAGTATATCTTCGCAGGAATTCCTGGTAGTTCTAAAATCAAAGAATACTCATTTATATATTTTTGTTTTGTTACTATAATATATTTCAAAATATCAATAAGTCACCTGCAGTGTGTAGATATCCATGAAAATACACATTTCCACATTTTGAACCACTGATATCTTCACAGAGAGTGAGGCGTTTTACTAAATTTCCAGACAAAAATATTATTGAATAGAAAATCCAAAAATCAGAAAAAAATCTGGCAAATATGGTGGACATACCAAGCGGTGTTATTCCATAAAATTCAGCTTCATGCTTTACAACCTTCAAGTCCAAACCCCTTTGTTGGAAAAAAAGCCCATTAGGCAACAAACAAAACACCAACCACTGACCATTGGATAGATGAGAGCAAAATATCAGACACAACTTGCATACCTTAAATCAAGTTCCTTGGTTCTCAAAAAGTTCAAAATTGGAACAAAGGCATCTGGATCACGGTCAATAAAAACCTTTGGGAGCAATGATATTGGATTGAATGATTTTAAGAGTTTTCACCAGCAACAAAGTGAGCATTTATGATACTTACTGCTCCTGTCTCATCCTTTATTGATTCAATTCTTCCACTAAGCAAACTATTGAATGATATATTGATTGCATTAGTTTCAGATATTATCAATAAATTATTAATTGGATAGAAAATATATTATTGACCTGGAGAAGAATGAGTCAGGTATCCACATTAAAGTTTGTGTCGATGTGGAAAATCTAAACAAAATACACACAATGCTTCTTTAACATGAGCAAATTTGTTGAACAAGTTTTGAAAGTTGAATACATAACATGTTGATGTTAATAACATTCAGTTTTAATCGACACCTGAATTAACTTACCTCCTTCCCCCAACATTCAGTCTGACAATTTCTCCGCTCATATCTTGCTATATAAATACCGAAAACTTCAAGCTTCTGTACAAGGCAATGCTCTTCAAGTTAAAGTTGACTGTTTTTCCTCAAATAACATTTCCAGGCAAAAACAAAATCCCCGTTGCGACATTTTCTGATATTAAACGTCGTGTAAGGTCAATATTAGGTCTCGTTGTCGCAATTTGAGGGTAACAATTTGACAACTTTATGACGTTATGCAACTGCGTTAGAACAAATAACCTCGATACGTGATTTTTTTCCGCCTGAACGTATACCCAAGTACGAAAATACGTTCAAACGGAAATACCAAATTGTGAAAATGACGTGAAGCATATTCCGCAGTGCCAGTGGTAGCGCAATGATTCATTTTAATTCCTTCTTCTTCCGTATTAAATTGTGACTAATTGTCCAGTACAGAAACACGATTACTACAACCAGTTTGCATTTTTTATCTTCGAGACCAAGTTAGTTTAGAGCCCTGATATGCGTGTCTAAATATTCAATATTTTATTGTTTTGACGAGTGTGTCGCTGTCACGGATGAATAATTCTTTTTGTGCTTTATATCATTCATTCATTCAGACTCGCAAGTTCACAGCTGCCTTTATTTGTAAAGAGCGTTTCCGGTTTTTTCAAGCTTGATTTGTTTAAAACTATCTCGTGAATGTCACACGAAAATGTCAAACGTTTATAGGGAACTGCTCTGTTTTCCATCACGTTTAACAGTTTATGCAAAATACTTTGCTTAGTACTCGTACGTGTGTCATGTGTAAAAGAAATCGCCGGATTTTGTTTATTTTCTTCTGAAGTGCGTCAGGAACTGCGCTAGTATTATCTGGAATTTGTAAGTATGATCCGTAATATCGGTTAGTTTTATGAATTTCGCTTCCCAAAGAATATTTGTCGTATGATCATGTGTTTGAAATATATCTCTTTCCCTTTCCATCTGATGGTCATTTGGTAGTTTGTTTATGAGACGCTAAGTTTAGTAAACAATAATGGAAAGCTCTGTCAAGGTTGCCGTGCGGGTTCGTCCCTTGAATGAAAGGTAAGTTTTTCTAAACGAATTTCAAATGTATCCATGATAATAAATTGATAAGGGATTAATTTGACTCTTTTATCTTGGTTATTTTGACAGGGAAAAGGAGTCTAACTCAAAGGTTATTATTAGCATGTCTGGAAACCAAACAACCATTGAGTCAAATAAGGTCAGAAACTGAGAAACGCGATATTTTAATAACATTCAGTGTAATATTAAACGATGAAATATGAATGTCATGCGCTATCTTTGTTTAGAGGAGATATTCATGGCACAGGACTCGAGTCATGTTAATTTTTTAACTTCTTAAACCTTACTATATTATGATAAAAATAATCAATTGTGCAACACATGATTACATTGATAATATGGATTTATTCTGTAGATGGAACCATTTGTTTAATGTTTATATATCAGGAATAATCTAACTTGACTGGGTTATCTAAAGATATTAGCAAAATCCTTAAGGAATAACCCTGTCAAGTTAAGATTATTCTTGTTGCATATCCCAACCCAATATAATGTATGAAATACGTCAAAACACAATGACACAAACTGACAATAGATAATCTATCATGCTGGCAAAGTGGCTTGTAATTATTGAAACAAAGAAAACATACACAAAACAAGGCTTTGTTTTTATGTTGCTTCAGTTGAGCTAAGTTTAAAGCAGTATTTGGAATAGTCCAGCAAAATGCAACCATGAGTTTTACAAAAAGCAGATATTGGCTACGTCCATGTGCTCGCTGTATTCATTAACAGTTGGAGGGCCTCTTGAATACTTGAATATGAAGTAGCAGTCATTATGCAGATTTGGCAGTGATCAATATTCATTTTTTGTAAGGCTTGCATAATTAAGTGCCTGTCTGTGCATTTTACATTGTCTTTGCATTAGTTGTTACTTGGGTGAACATCTGTTATAAAGCTATGTACAGGCTGCAATCATAATCTACTCAATCTTTGTGCATATAAAACCTTGCCTCCCTTTTAAACTGTCCGTATCAAAAATCCCATGTTAATTTCTCTCCAAATTCTTAATATGACCAAAGCACAAAATAATCTTCTCTACAACTCTTCTATACACGTGCTAGCAAATTAACAAATACAATTTATGCATTCATCTATGCAGTATCACAGCTTAGAGAGCAGTCGCATTCCAGTGAATAATAAACCTTCAACTAAACGATTTGTGTATGATTATTCGTACTGGTCTGTGGCACAGAGTGATCAACATTTTACATCACAAGAACAGGTAAATTACAAAGCATTCTTCAATTATTATATTTGTTTCAATTGTAGTAGGTTTAACTCCATGCAATCAATGATAAATGCAGGTATTTCAAGATCTTGGTACAAAGGTATTGGATGCAGCATTCGAAGGATATAATGCTTGCGTATTTGCATATGGTCAGACAGGAGCTGGTAAAACATATACAATGATGGGAACACAGGTACTGTCATTGGGTGGGATGTTTCAGTGCCTTCTTCTAAAGTTATAGTTAATTTTTTATTATTATACTACAGAATGATCCTGGACTAACTCCAAGAATATGTGAGGTAAAGGAGTGTATTTTCTCATCTAGAAATAGTTCTTACTGCTCTTAGATTGCTGCCAATTACTCCATGATTACTTTTATAATTGTTCTAATTACTTTAAGATTTATTCTAATTACCCCAGAATTCATTGAAATATTTTAATTTAGGGCCTGTACAAACATGCCTCAGTTAATTCAAATGATCAAGAATCATTCAGGATTGAAGTGAGGTACTAATTCACTCATCTAATTTATAATTTTTTGGAGAACATCACGATGATTGCTTGAAAACGCGCATGTGAATATCAACTCTGAAACGGATTCGTTTTTTGCACAGTTATTTAGAAATCTACAATGAACAAGTGCTTGACCTGTTGAGAATCCCAAGTCATAAGAAACGTGATATATTACCTGCAAGACTGAGAGTACGGGAACATCCTAAGGATGGACCTTATGTGCAAGGTAAGTTATATTTTAGTGATATACCTCTAGTATTGTAGAAGTTTTATTACTACCATAGAGGGTAGATCTAAAAATTACAAGCGTAATACGCAACTGTCATTCGCCTTGTTTTGCAGAAGACGAAATGCATGTTTTAACTTAACATTTCTCGTCTCAGGTCTAACGAAACATGATGCACCAGATTACTCAGCAATTGAATCCTTATTAAACCAAGGAAATCAGCTTAGGTTTGTTTTTATCATATTATCAACACTTTACTTTTGTCAAAGTCTACCAGAAATATATGTAATTTAAGACTATATGAAAATGATTTAAAAACTCAGCCTTTTCCTGCAGAAAAACGGCAGCAACAAAAATGAACGACCACAGTAGTAGATCGCATGCTATATTCACAATCAAGTATACTCAAGCAAAGTTCGTCTCTGGACTGCCAAGTGAAATAACGAGCAAAATTAATCTTGTTGACTTGGCTGGAAGGTATTGTAGAAGAAAATATACTTCAATTAATTGTTTTTTCTTTGCCGCGACACTCCATCGGAAAGAAGAAAGAATCCTCATGTTCGAAGCGTTTTTTTTTGGCAGTGAGCGAGCAGCAAAGAGTGGTGCTACAGGAGACAGGTTAAAGGAAGGTGGTAATATAAACAGATCTTTGACGACTCTCGGAAGTGTGATTTCTTCCTTAGCAGAGAAATCCAGTCAAAAAGATAATGCTCAAAGAAAAGTGTTTATTCCCTATCGCGACTCAGTTTTGACCTGGTTATTGAAGGACAGTTTGGGTGGAAATTCAAAAACAATTATGATTGCAGGTCGGTGAAACTTGTCCGGTTGTGACGATCATAACCCGCAGAATGAGGAATCTGAAGAATTTTTCTTATTCTGTAGCTATTGCTCCTGGAGAAGGCAATTATGGTGAAACTTTGAGCACTTTACGATATGCAGACAGAGCCAAGAATATAATCAATGCACCAACAATAAACGAGGTATGACGGAGGAAATTCTTAATTGTAACGAAACATAAGAGATGCTAACATTGACGTATTTCCACCAGGATCCGAATGTGAAGTTGATACGTGAACTGAAAGCAGAAATTGAACGCCTGAAAACGATCATTGATGGAGATCACGGCCAGGTAATCGATAGATACTAGTCAATATTGGTCAATATTATTGATTGTGAAATCCCGATACTCGGTTATAAGGAAGATTTGAATTTAATGTAGGTGCAGCAAAGTGTTGCTACAGAAACACTTGACGAAGCACAAAAATTGTTGGAGGGTACGGAGAGTAAGATGGAAAGACATTTACGAGACTGGGCAGATAAATGGCGAGATACTTTGCTTATTATGGAGGTATGGATCCTATGAAATATTCCAATGATAATTTTGTTTTGAACTCCGCCCAATTGTTTCCACTATTTCTTTAGGAAAATGATTTGGGTCTTCATAAACATCGCTCAACATTGCGTATAGATATGGACCCACCTCATCTTGTCTTACTTGATGATGATCCTCTCAATACCAGTATAACAATATTTAGTTTGAAAGTAAGTTTAAACGTTTACCATCTTTCGTACCCTATCAACGCTTTTTAGTCTAGCTTATTGCCACAAGTTATGTCTTCGTTTCGAGGATGATATATCATTACTGTCTTTGATATCTTGTTCTTGTGAACAACGGGAGGTATTACATCACCCACACACATGCAGTCAGACTCAACAAATATTTCTCCTAGTCAGACCCCATCATTTTTAACCTACAGTATAATTACAGGAAGGAGAAAATTTCATTGGAAACTTGCATGCTGAGGAAGAACTTGACCTAGGTTGGTTGGTTCAAGCATTTCATGGCGTTTTTTATAAAGATTGTACAAAATTTCTATTTTAAAACCAATTGTTGTTGTATTCATTTAGTGTTTGACAATGACGCGATCCAGAACGAGCATTGTGTAGTAACTTATGATACAAGAAACGTTATATTAAAACCTCTTAATGGATATTGCAGTGTCAATAATAAAACTATAACCGAGCCGACTAAATTATCTCAAGGTATTTGAACCTTAGCCAAAAATGCTAAGCAATTTATGACTTAGTAAACTAGTCTGCCGTAGAGAACTTCTACTTGTAGATGTTAAATCTTGTTCTTTAATGCAGGTGACGTGATTTTACTCGGTGAAGATATTCGTTTGAAATTTAACTATCCTCAAGAGGCGTGTTTTCTCAGAGAACAGAGACGCTCAGGACATTTCACTCGTTCCTTTTCTTTGGTAATCCTATGAATAGTTCGATATCCCATGCAATATCAGTGACACGATTGTTGTATAGGCAACATTGTCAACCGTGATTTTTTTTCTTTCTAATGTTAAGGATAAATCCACGCACATGGTGTCCACACCAAGACGACTTGAAGAAGTGACGTTCATCGATCAACCACTGTCTCCTGAATCTGGGTCAGTTTGAACTGAGATGCACTCTTGCAATTAAAGTACAAGATAAATATCACAACAATGTAATAATCCCAGAGTTTGTCTTCTTTAGCGTTGAGATGGACCCCCAAGAGGAGGAGAGTACGGAGGAGAAGAATGTGGACAAATTAAAGTTAGTCTTGAAGATTATGATGGGCAGACCGCTGAAATTGACGCATGAAGCAGCATCTCAAAATGAATATAGATATGATGAATTGAAGTGTTTGACGGTTGATGGTTTAACGATAACTACCTTTATTTGTTTCAGACAACAAGTTGAAGACCTCTTGGCACAGTATAAACAGTCTGAAATCGAGAGATTTGAGATTGAAACGAAAAATAAACGCGAGTTAGAAGCAAAGGATAAAGAAATCGAAACGCAAGCGAAAGAACTTATAAAACGACAGAAAAATGACGAGGCTTTGCTTCAAAAACACCAAAAAGAATTACAAAATCTCAGAGAACAACTGTCTGATGAAAAAACAAGACTTCGTAATGAGCTGATGCAACAAATGGAAAGACTTTTTAGTAAAATGCAAAACACAAATCATGCTCTCATTGAAGACTCGAAGAAAGAGCTTGAAAAGCAGCGAAAAAGATTGAATAGACAACTTAAACGAGAGTGGTCTAAGTTAGATCAATATGAAATGAAACTGATCGAAGTTGAGGCTGAAAAGCGAAGAATCATACAAGACGCTGAAAATAGGTTAAAACAGGAGAGAAATAAGAGTGAAATAGAACGAAAACATCGCCTTCAGGAAGTTGAAACACAAAAAAAATCTTTACAAGAAATACTTGAAGGTCATTTAAAGGAACGAGAAGTTGCCAGAAAGGATTTTCAACAAAGTCGAAGTGAAGAAATAAAACTTTCTGATATTGTGGAGGAAAGCTTGGATATATTTTGTAAGAAATTAACAAAACTGGAATGGCTACAATACAAGCTTTCTGCGGACCAACTCGAAACTGATGAAAAGACTGAAATAATGCTAAAAATTGAAACAGTCAATAAGGATATTGAAATACTAGAAAGACAAAATGAGGAGAACGCTGAAAAGCTAAGACAGAGCGAGATGGAGCTAAAGGAAAAGGGAGAAATTTTGAAACGTTGTGAAGCGAACGTTGAACGAAGTTTAGCCGAGATGACAGAAGTACGAGAGAAATTGGTTGGATGTCAACAACGCTTTGGTGAAGAGTTAGGTGATGTCGTCAACATCGTCAGTTTGGAGCGAGATGCTGATTTGATGAAGATTGAAAAAGATCGAGAAATACTGATGAGCAAATACTTGGAACACCAAAGTGCGTTAGAGGTGTTGGTTAATGAAAATCTTGAATCCAGTGATGACGAAGACAGCCTTGAAGTGCGAGAAATTAAGAGTCGTGTGGTTGAGTTAGTACGTAGTGTAAGCCCAGGATTAGACGATGAGTCGATGCAATCACAAATTATTGAAAAGAAAGTTCAGATTCATTATCAACAAGCTCAAGTAGGCAAAAATGAGGAAGAAAGAAAGACACTGCTAGCGCATGAACAAATCTTTCTTCAGCAGAGTCGTGAGGTACAAAACAAGCGAGAAAATGAACAGAAAGTACTCCAGGAAAAACTACATGCACTGATAGAAATGACAGATAATGAAGAAGGAAGTGCAAGTGAAACAGTTGATTACTACCAGGCTGAATCATCAAGCCTCGTCACAGCTCAAAGACGAATATTTGATGTTGAAAAAGAACTAGCTGAGAAGATTAAGGAACGTAAAGATATTGAAGCTAAATTAGATCATGTTAAAAGACAAATGGAACAACAAGCTGAGTGTAATCAAGAAGAGTTTCATGGCATCTTAGCAAGGTTGGAACTTCATAGCAAAGATGTTGGAAAAGAGATTGAAGAAATGAAGAAGATATTAAAATATGAAGCCGAGAAATATCTTAGACGACTAAAGTAAGAATACCGGCATATTCAATTATATCGACTCCGTAATATTCACGATACCTCCCCGCCACATATATTGAGAAAAAAAACTTTTTTATAGAACAGAAAACTTTACCGTTTTGGAGCCATTGTCATACGGTAAGTGCTAATTATAATGCTCTATCTAAAAAACTTTGTCAACAAGTGTGAAATATTCTGAAAGCTATTTCTTGTTAATTAGACAATTCAAGTTTCGCAGAAATTGCTAACGAGGCCGTGGATGAAATACTGAGAGAGGTCAGTTCTAAGAATGTTGCATATTAACGCAAGCTGCCTTGAAGTGTCGTTTTATAGATTTTTTATTTCTTAGATTGAACTAGCTTCTCATTGCCCCGAGCTGGCAAAAACTCACAAGGATATCAAACAGGACTGTGGAGGATGGAGGTGAGACTTGGGGACAGCAAGGGAGAATGTGGGATGTTGTGAAGACGGCTAGCAAGACTCGCATTAGGCAACTCCATAAACGATCTGTTTAATGATCATACCATGTTTGTCTACAGGTATGACGGTCATGAAAAAGATGTTCATTTGTTACGGAAAGAGGACGATTGTGAGGCAATTCATAGTTTTCTTGGTCGAGGTATAATCCGTGCTTCACCACGTACTGTCCTGCAGACTGTCTCAACGCCGCCGTCCAGATTTGTGTACGATCGCATGCTCAAGGTACTATCGATCATAGATGTATATTTTTAGAAATTATCGTTGATCGATATCATCGATAGGAACAGCTGATAACTCATGTCACACAGAGACATGCCACTGATTTAGGCTGGCATTTTTCATACTAATCACTCTTTGCCCACTCCAAATTCTTTGTATAGAATATTCGTATAGTAGAGAAGATCGCAGATAACCTAACAATAGGTAAGATTCTTGCGATGATTTGGACCTCAGCCTGGTCGATACCTCGCTTCATGTTCTTCCACTGACGGTCTTCTGTCTTGTAGTTCACATGGTTCATGAGACAACACGCTGCCTTTTCAAGACATCGCGAGACTTTTGTTTCGTATCGATGGATCGCGAGAAAGTAGGAATTTCTTGATTTTTTGAACATTTATGCAAATCTCGTTTCAACAAATTTTCTCAAGATATTCTTGCCTACATACAGGATGGTAAACTAATCCTTGCATGCCAGTCAGTGGAGCATCAGAGCTGTCCTGAGGTCAGAGGAATACAACGTGCAAAGGTTTGTTATTTCACTAACTGCAGATAACCACCAACGTGGCCGCCAAAACAAACAAAATATATTCTGATACTTCTAGATTTTATCGAGCGGTTGGGTTATTGAACCGATAACAGTGAAAGGTCAAGCATGTTCTCTTGTTTGGTATCTCACTCAGGTATCTTCTTCACCGTTACCATTTTAAAATGACCTTCACCTGCACAATGTCTAGATACAATGCCTTCGATTCTTTCAAACTACACGTAAATTTTTTCCATAGGTTTTTCTCGGGAGGTCAATCCCATCAAAACTTGTTCAACTGGTTTCAAAACGTCAACCACTCAGTGTCGCTTACTTAAGAGAATACTTGGTGGCAGAATAAATATTGTGGGTTTGATGTATTGAGAAAGATATTGTAAATGTAACCTGGGTTATATAATTCTTCCAAGAAATATTTAATATTAATTATACAATTATAGAAGTAATAATATGTGCATTTGTTATCTAAATGCTTATAATATAATAACGTAAATCATTCATTCCTTGTGTAAAGAGAGAGGTAAGAATATTAACCAATGCATGCAAGCTTGTATTACGTACGATTTTGGTATGTTGACGTGTTTAAATTGATCTAAATATTTACTACACATATTTATTACATATAATACTTCTTTGATGCATAGATTAAAGGTGTGTAATTCGCGTTCTAAACACTTATCAAATATACGTCTAAAGAATAAATTAATTACAAATGTTATGTAATCCAAGTTATGTGTCCAAAAAATCGTTCTTTGCATGGACGGTTAAAAGTTGATGTGATACAAAAATCTGCAGACTGCAGAGGATAATGTTCAACTCTAGTCCATAACATGGTCTCCGTTCAGTTTATCACGGTGGGGGGGGTGGTGTGCAGGGGAACTGAATTAAGGAATCCTATTATCAACACGTGTTTTATATGCCAAAATGTTCATCCTAAATACATTGTAAGGAGCAGCAATAAGGATATTGACCGACCCAAATATAGTTTGAACTATATAGCGCATGTTGCAAGCTTTTGTAAACATCTTTCGTCATGCAGCGTGTAAAAAAACGCAGCAAGCGTGTGATTACACGTGGAGCGAATGACGCATTAAATTTTCTGCTTTTCCTGTGGTTTTAATTACAGCTTAATAGTTTATCTCAGGTGCCGCGCCAGGGGTCCCTCTGCATATTTTCATCAGGCTAGAGATGGTCTTGTTCACGGCTTTTACTGATAACATTAAGATGGCATTTCAATAACAATGTCTAGCGTTTCCCGAGCTTCTGAGGATTTTTAAAATAAAATTATTTATTGATGACGGAGACCAAGATCCCGTGAGGTAAGACCCGATTAGGCTGTTAAGCCAGCTTATTATACTTTAAAAATTGTTTTGTGTTTGCCTGTAACTGCAAAAGACGAGATCTACATCTGTCTATAAAGGACTGAACATTATGCACTGGGCTATCTTAGGCGATCATTACAATATACAAATCCATTTGGCCAAATACAACTTTGGAGATTTGAGAAAAACTATATAATAGCATGTTACGATAAATATTACCCACGGTTTTTTAACCCTTTGCACTTTTCATTAAAGTTGTAGTTCATTACGCGTCATAGTTTATTATGACTAAAGCTATCAACTTTAACAGGCAGCTTCTCTTCATGCTAATCTCGCGACTCAAAAGTTCAGGTTTCAGGAAACTCGAATGAACCACAGGTTTAATCGAGTCTCTGCCCATATTGTTCGCTGCAGTAAATAAACGCAGTTTCTATGCAAGGAATAATTTTTGTTTAAGTGAATAAAATATAATAGATCGACATAAAAATCGTGTATATATGTAATGCACTGTTTGAATAAAACTCATAAACGACAAGTCCTGTTTTGGTGTTATCTGCAGTAAATAATTATAGCAGCATTAGACTGCGATATACATATATATATACTCCAGCGCAAATAGTAGTATATATACAGCGTCGTATGTATAGACCTGCCCTGAAGCCAAATATTTGCAATATAGGAATACTCCATTACTATATTAGTATATTTCATAAGCAGATTTTGCACGTCATGGAACTAGTTACATCATGTTAAATTTTGTTATCATACATGTTGTATTGTAAATGCCTGGATGTATTTGATAAGATATTGGCTTTCCTGTATGTTATGAATTGCTTCAAGTACATAAAGATTATTCTCTTTCTGATATGCCGTCAACATGAAATACACAACATGATAGATTGCTTTTTGTTTCATTTGTATATCGTAAAATAAATCATTTCCAAGAGTCCCACGTTATTTTAACTGCGAACAAAAGATCTAAAAGCATCGCGATATGACGGTAATAACACGGTCGAAGGAATCTCATAGACAAACTGGGAAGTTTAGTCTAGTTTGGCATAACAACCAGTAATTTAAATATTATAGAGCAACATCTGTCGCAGGTTTGACTGGCGTTGTATACGTACACAATGCAAGTTCAATTTTCCAATGACAAAAATGATCTTACAGCATGCTAGTTATACAGTAAAAACATTTACAAATATACTATTTGCCTTCACTAGCAAACTTATAGATGAATTTCAAATTAAAACTCAACAGGAAATCAGAATATTTACAAAAATTAAAATACAGACATAAAGAATTGTTAATTAATATAACTGCGTGATAGAGCCGTACCTAAGACAAAAACCTTTCAGACAAAGCTGCAAAAGACGGAAAAAACTGATAAATTTTCGTATTAGCGGTTTCCTTTTTTAGGCAAATTTTTCAAAACAATTTTCTGTTTTTGGACTGAACACCTGAAAAAACATATACATGCAGAAGGTTTCCATAGATGGAAATTCCTAGTTGCAATAGAATTTATATCTATTTATCTTAATGTTATCTCCTAATCAGACCACTGAAAATAAAATAAATATTTTGCCATAATATACGCAAACACAAACTTGGAATATAGTTTGTGTCATAAAATATAAAAACACGAACCCTAGCATACTTCATGCACAATTTCCCTCTCGTATATTCACACACATATTGTAGTGTTTGTTTCACATTCACATACACGTTCAGAAAAACGCGTCCACAATTTTCAGAAAGTCTAATACATAAATATCATTATGATGTACCAGCTCTCCTGACAAAGGCCTCAGGTCGAAACGTCGAGAAGTGTTTTTTTTTTATCTATTTTAGGCAGTTGTTATATAGTACATTATCATTCAACGATGTATATTTGATAAGAAAAAATATATCTGTTCTGCTCTGCCTCGAAGTGGAAAAACACTTGTCAGCCTGGATCAATGAATGCAAGACATATAATGCACGATCATGCATGACATAAAATATGTTCGTTTACACTGACAGCTTGTATTGAATGTAACTAATACGGTTACATCCATGCATACGTGCATGCAGCTGTTGATTTCAAAATGAAAATAATTTTTCTTCGTGAACGTTTCAAACGACTAAAACAATAGACCAATCATGCATGCACTTTAGGATTATTTAATATGACTTGGCTCCGTGATATCTCAGCCGGAGGGCGCGGCAAACGACCGTGCTGTTTCTTTGTGAAAACTCGTAATACGAGACAGCTGAAACACGTATGAATAAAACAAATTGATTAAGACAGGCACTTCAGAAACTGGCAAACGTAAAAGTTTAATGCAAATTTTCGTATCAGTAATGAATCAGGCAAATTGTTCGTAGCCAAATATAAAGTGCATGTGGTGAAAACAAATGTTTTCTGGAACAATCGTATTGCGTTAAGGGTCTTCACCCCCCTGTATTGCATGCATACTTAATGAAGCATTTCCACGTTCAACATATCCCTGTCAATATTCTCCCAGGAAGAGATTTGACTTTAAGCCTACCTAAAAACTAACGCAAAGATGGTGACACTCGTTGAAAAACCTTCATGCACATAAACTTGAATTGCTGGAAACCTACATTCACGTGACCACTCGCCTTATAGACAACCAAGACCACATTGGCAACATATTGACAAAATTGACTGCATATAATTATATAGACTTCTCCGCAAGCCATGAAGATTTTATGGCATATTGTTAAAATATTAATTAACAACGTTTTTGGAAAAAGCAATCTTTAGGGAACGACAACAAATGTAAAAAGTTATGCTGGCAATTAAAATGCAAAAAGGGCATGTACCAGTTAATTAACTTGAAAACCTGCTAATAAGTTCTCTTGAGGTGGAAAACACCAGATTTCTAAGCCCTACTATTGAAAAAGTGAGATAATGCTGGAAACAAAACGTTGCTACGAGCATTTGTACTCAAATGTCACATGAAATATTAAAGCTAGGACATGCACCTTATTTTTTATGCTACATATTTATAACATGTATTTACGGCGTATTCACAATAAAAATGCATAAAACATCCAAGAAATGCATACATTTTACGAACGCCATATTGAAATAAATAAATGCTCAAAAAAGAGATAATAGACTTAAGGAAGTCGCTGTGTTTGAAGAGCATGCATGTTTAATAATCATCTATGTCGGGACACACATTTTATCAAATTCTAGTCTATCTCAGATTTAAAAATAAAGTTTAATGAACCATCAATATATTTCCTTAAATATTGAATAGACCACTCCAGCAAAATGCGTTTCCTATTTATATTCGTCTGAATTAATATTGGTTTGAATTATTAAATCGTTTAATAATGCTGTTATAACAGGCTGTACTGAGAAAGTAGATGAATCAGCCAATGATCTTAGTCGAATACAGATGGACCACTTGAGGACGCAAGAACAACAGACTTGTTTTTGACGGCTTGAAATGCTCAGAATTTTAAGCGTATACAGAGTTAATTTCTTGCTTAAAATTTGTTAAAATTTGCATAAGAGTTTCAAGATGTTGACATCCTGTAGCGACTTTGAAGCGGTGAGTTGACAAATTACTTTTTGCCATTCACGTTTGTAGAACATGCATGCATGTCCGATGAAAATTAATGAAAATCCCAATGGCTATATTTACCGTGCTGCACACAGTAAAAAATTAATTTATCCTGAGTAAATAAACTACTATGACGATAGAGAACCATTACTCGCATTTAGATCTCATATCATAAAAATATTTTTTCCAATCAAGAAGACCTTTTTGGAATACTCGGCACGGGCGCATTAACTAACACTTGTCTTTATGGCCATCGATACTTTAAAATAGAGTCTCATATTCAGCCTTTGTAAATACGAGGAAAAATGGTTGATTAAGTGTAAAATAAGATATCTATTCACTGTGTCGGACGCACAAAATACTAAATGATCTATAAGACTTGGCGCGTACTTAATCCGTATTCTTGATATACACAACATATCAATCATAATTTCGCTAAGTTTAGTTCTATGTGCAACTAGAAAGGAAGACAGGTAAAAACGTGCGTGACAACCTCCTGCATATTAAAAGACAAATATAAGTTTATTATTCAGGAAAAACATAAGAATAATTTCCGATGTTTGCGTCTTAAAGCCCTCGTAAAGAAATGGCAAGATGTCTGGTATATATTTTAGCACTTAAATGAACGATTTATGAGATGAATAACTTTAGTAATCAGGTTTTCGACAACTTAAAGCCTGTTCCATGCAAAGCTTCATTTGCTGCGGCTAAAGTTCAAAGCAAATGTGCAAAGTAAATGTGGTTGAACGATTACCAGAAAATGAAGTACATAAGTTCACGAATTCGTAAATGATGTAGCTACTTGTGGTCATTACGTTGTATCATGTGCAACCAATATTGTATATATCATACTAGAGATAAAACCACATATCAGACATTTCTATTTTCAATGTTCCGACATGAGATAAACAGAGTCGGATGTGAAAAATACATCAGAAAGGTAGAAGTATACGTGTGCACGCAAGTTAGTCGACTATAAACAAGAAATTGACTTTACAACAAGGATCTACAACTTCAAGTTGTCTTTCGCATTAGAGGATATCGGTGTAGAATTAGGTATGACACACACAGCTAAATAAATTCAAACACTGTCACGGAATTATTAATTGGAGCCAGTACAAATGATAATTCGATAGAATTCGATTCAGGTTTATTAGGGTTTTGAGAGTATATAACCAGCCAGACAGTGTAAATGAATGATCTGCTTTCGATCTGCGAGTCTCCATGCATGTTTATTTATCAATTTCCATCTCTTTCATTATTCTTTTCCTCACAGCTGTTCGAAAGCGAGCCTGAAATGGATCGTAAATCGAAGGACGAAGGTCATGGACGAATCACAATTAACGTTGGAGGATTACGTCATGAAACTTACTTGACAACCTTAAGAAATCATCCTGATACACGGTAGAGATGATTTCCATGAAAAACATGTCAGATATTCGTTCTGAAAACTAGTCAACCGCACCAGAGTATCGTCTCGCCCATTATTCTTTAATATGCATGATGATAGGTTTCTAGATAGTTTTCCAACAAATCATACTCGAACTCTTTCCAATAGGAAATACTTGAACTTTCTCCAATAGATTATTCTCTAATTCATAGATTATACTGGATCAGTGAACAACATCACACGTCAACAAGAAGTCCACAGTATAATCCTGAGAAGAAGGAATATTTCTTTGATCGTCATCCGGGTGTCTTTGCACATATTGTCAACTATTATCGTACAGGAAAGTTGCACTGTCCTATGGATGTTTGCGGACCATTATTTGAAGAAGAGTTAAGCTTCTGGGGAATTGACGAAAGACAGGTGAACATTCTTATGTTCTGAGAACGTGGCATGATGAGACGTGAGAATCGTAGAAAAAATTGTGTAATTTGACTAAATAACTGTTTAACGTAGGTGGAGTTGTGCTGTTGGGAAAATTATAAGCAACACAAGGATAAACAGGAGAAATTGAACTACTTCACAACACCGAGTGATGGCGACGATCAAGAAGAAGATGAAGATTTGGATTATTCATTTTGGAAGAATGTTAAAAGACAAGGTTATATGTTGTTTGAAAAACCAGCATCTTCAACGCCTGCCAAGGTAAGACGAATACGGACTTATTTACAAACCAGGATGAAGAAAATACTCATAACAGTCATTTTCATTATTTCAGTTGGTATCAATCCTGAATTTGATCACGTTTCTTATAACAATCATCCAGTTCTGTCTAACAACATTAAAATCATTTCAAAAGGACTCTCAAAAAATGAAAATCCTATCAAACGTGAGAGTTTTTACTGTTTCGTGGTTTCTTCTTGATCTGGTGCTGAGGCTTATTTTTGCACCTTCCCTTGTGGAACATTTCAAGAAGCTCCTGCACTGGTTGGACATTACCTCAGTCTGTGCGTTGATAGTTCACATGAAGATTCACCAAAGCCCGAATGCGATACAACCATTTGAGATGTTAATATTTCTTAAATCAATTCGTTTGTTTAACTTGTTGACGTTCAGTTTTGTGATTCAAGTGTTAACAAACACTCTCAAAGCCAGCACACGGGAGCTTGGTTTACTGACAATTGTTGTTGTGTTTCAAGCCTTTGTGTTCTCCATGCTTCTGTTTTTCATTGAACGAGGCGAATCAATCACAGAATTTGAAAGTGTTCCTCACAGTCTATGGTGGGCAATAATCACGATGACCACGGTAAGTATTGATCTGGATGATTACTGAGGTCAAATGAGGCAAACAACCTCGTCTTGGTGAATGATGGCTATTTTCAATTATGAGGAAGGACGCAGCAACCTCAAACGACTGGGAAATGTACAGATGGTAATTGTGAATATCTTGTTGTCTTTTCAGGTAGGCTACGGGGATATTCAACCTCAAACTTGGATTGGAAAGGTTCTTGGCTGTTGCTGTGCCATGTGTGGTGTGTTAGTGATTGCTCTCCCTGTCTCTGTCGTCGGAACTAACTTCAGTTTATTCTACACGTACGCGAAGGCCAGGCTGAATCTTCCTCCAAAGGTCGAACAGAAACCTCCACTCTCAAAAGAGTTGACATCGTTGAAGGCTAAGAAAGCAGAGTTACCTCACACAACATCTAGTTATAGTTGTAATTCCATTGCAAAGAAATATGAACAAGCTAAAGAAAGCTTGGAAAGATTAACTGAAAATCAGGGAGATGATAAAACTGATGCGACAAGTATCAGCGAGAGGCAACTAAACGGATCTAAACCAAAGCAGTTGCAAAACCTTTCAGACAGTGACCACGATGATCTTACCCCATCTTTCAGAGAATGTAACTTTGATTTTTTAGAAGTTCCTGTTGGTAAGCGCTTAAAAAAATCATTTCTTTCAAACTCAATCTCGCGCGTGATAGGTGCGATAACGCATCACCCGAGGCAGAGTCAGTCCCCTCCGAGCGCACTGCAGTTTGACGCACAATCGACGTATCCACTTTACCTTCGTCGGGGAGCAGTCGCCCCTGGCTCGATCAGCTCTCGTAGCTTCTCGTCAACTATATACGACAGTGGCTCGTCAAATATACCAAGCTGTGTTAAACAATCTGTGAGGTCTTTACGAAGAAAACAAACGCTGATCAAGAGACTGGGAAATAAAAGAAAATGTACTTCCAATGCAGAACTGCACCTCGTTTGTTTCCATCGCTGCGACAAACATCCTGATAACAACAACAAGAGCACAGATAATTGTTCTTGTCCAACACAACAATTATCAAAACCAAGGCTTGCAAAGAGTTGTTCTGAGCTGAATGATATCTTACAAGGCAATTACCAGAATAGTCTGAATAGTATGGCCAGTGAAAATATTTCTTCAGGAGATATCATGATTAATGACAGACCACAGAGTGTTCCTCTCAGTGAGATAGCAATCACCATAAACGGTTGTTCTGATGAGGGAAGTGAAACGAAGGAACAGAATGTCCCACTAATACGAATTAATGACCCAGGTAACAAAGGAACGTTCTTAAAACCGTGGGCACATAATCACCAGGGAAGATGACCCCTGGAACAATTATCCCAGGGAATAAAACTCCTGGAGCGAACAACCAACAAGGCAAATAGACTCTCAAGCCAACAGTCACCATAGAAAATTGTGTGCGATGTGATCGATGACCCTCGACCAAACCGATGCTTGGTCAAACCATTGCTAACCCTAACATCATATGTTTAAAAGTGATAGTGTAAATAAAGCGCGAGTGATTGTGTAGTATACTTGAATTATTACGACTCATAATGAAGTAGCATAACTATCTTCTAGTCGCCGTTATCTAACTAGTGCAAATATACCTTAGAGTAGAGATACGTGTACGATAGATACACACTGTGTAGGAGTTAGTAAATTTTTTCATTAAAAATTTCTTGCATAATATTATCAGATCACCGTCCATTCTATGATCATTACATCCCACAATGCAATTATTTAAATGTTAAAATATATATGTTCAGTATCTTCGTAACTGTAATTACGAAACCCAATTAACGAAAGGACGTTTCAATCAAACAATGCGATTAAAAATATCCGATTATTGACCTTTCGTAATACTCTTTACGGCTTTGTCATATTGACGTACTTTTCTATGAAGAAGATCAAGACCTTAATCTCGAGATCACGCGACCGTTACGTATTTTTCACGCGGGTTGGAATATAATTTCCTCTCCAACACCTGAATCAGTTCATTCATTATGCTCTTGAAAACGCGCACTATGTTCCTGGGGCATTTTAACGCACGGCACGATGTTATGAGATTACGAGGAATGGAAGAAAGCTTTCATGTTTATCAAATCTCATATCACAACAGAAGAACATTACTCACACGAAGATTTTCCACTGACCTAATTCTTTGTCTTTTTCTTCTTCAGTTTTTCTTGAAGGTCAAAGTTCTTGTACGAACGCTTCTCGTATTCTTTTAACTTGTATTTACGATGTGGCCTGATGTGAAAACATGATGTAAAATTACTTGCAATATTGACCTCATCACCTGGGAAACACAGACAATCTGACATGGGTAAACCTCGCACAGGTCGACGGTCGTTTTTCCCTCAGAAAGAAAAGCTTCTTCATTTATACAAAATACTCACATGACAGGTCTTCTAGGTTCAATGATGTTTCGACGCTGCAAATTTTTGAAACGATCTTCGAAGAGATTGCCTTCTGGCTGCAAAAACAATTTCAAAAAGCCTGTCAGTGTACGGTAGCATCCTTGCTAGGTATTATACTATACCTCAATATCTATCCTTAACCTATATAATACCTCAATATCTCTCCTTAACATACAAAATACCCCAATATTGCTCTTGATATTTACCTTCAGATTCCTCAAGCTTCCTCTCAGTTCGTTGGTTAACTGAACTTCAATATTCATTTCTTCAAATCTTTACACATAAGTTAAGAAGTTAAACCACTAAAGGACTATGGATGAATAAGACTTTAATGGAAAGTCAACATGGAAGATAAATGTTGACAAAAAGTTGGTCTTGACTATCTTCCATAGTAAAACAAATAGGATACTTTTGTCTTCCTAATCGCTGTGGTTTTGATGATGCTTCAATCATTTTCTTTTGCTTCTCTTCTTGTCGTTTCTGTGTTTTCTCTTCACCTTTCTTGATAGTCCTTTTGATTGACTTCATTCTAAAATAAGGAAGTATTGTTAGACTCCAACATTTACCATAACACAAATCACAAACTAAGCAATAAATTTAAACAAACCTGAAAATCTCATTCTCCTTCACCTTTCTGCGATGCATCTCCTTTGAACTTTCTTCCTGCCAAAAAAGAATTCATCATGATATACTAGGGGAAATGCTGACTCTAAGGTTCACTAAATCAAACTTGTTTCACAAAATGTCACCTCTTTCTTTCTTTCATTTGCTCTCTTTTTATCTTTCTTAGTCTTTCTGTCCTTCTTACCATTGGAAGGCAACATCAATATCATCATCATTATCATCATCATTCTCACTTTCATTATTTTTATCTTCATGTTTATCAAACAAACCCTGACTCATTTCTTCTTCCCAACTTGGCTGTTATTAAAAAACAAATCTTAGTAGTAGATAATGGATAATGGATGGTTACTCAGAGATTGTGAAAATCCATCTCAGTTTTTTCTTCAACACACTACTTACAAGTTTTGCCAATTCTTCTTCAGATGGTAGTTGAAGCTGCCTTTTTATCTTATCAATGTCTTTCTGTTTCATTATTTCAACCTCACATGCGGTCATCAACAATTCCTATGATTATATGAAAAAGCCATTGAGCAATACAGCTGAGATGGGATTCCAGATTTAACTACCATTTAGAACATCCTAATAATCCACACCTGATGATCCTCAAATGCTGGATTGTATGAAGCCCCAGGATGGCAGACTGCTAAAGCTGGTGCTGTACTTCGTATTTTGTATGCTGTCTTAGGTTGCTAGAAACACAATGAAGACAATCATTTGTGATATGAGAGGTCATGTCCTTAGCTGTTCAGTTGATGTAAAATATTCTGATTCTTATTTAGTAGATGAATAAATACCTTAACTGTCATTTTCTTTGTAGTTTTTAAATAATGTTCATTTTCATAAGTTTCAGTTTTGCTCTTACTTGCTATGTAACAGAAAAGGTTTCTAACTAAATCGATTCAAAATAATACAAACTAAATATATTGGTGCCACAAAAATGTTTCCCACATCCCATTAATCTTACTTTTGTCATCATTAGGACTCCATAAATCATATAACTCAGTTTTCTGAAGTTTATTTTGGTGATTTCTGAGTAAAAGATTCTTCTGTCTTCTTTCATCATCAGACTCGTCTGAACTTTCATCATTTTTCACCAACTTCCTTTTTTTAGCCTTCGCAGATTTTACGTTTTCTCTTTCTGTTTTTAGACAAAATGAAAAAAGTTAAAATACAAAACACAATTATTGTTCAACAGAGGTGATGACTGATGAATATTGTACCACAGGCACAGGAGTTTTCATTGAAAAATAAATGTAGTATATAGCCAACTTTTACCTTCTTTCTCGTCAGTATTCTTGGCAACATAAAATAATTTCTTTTCTTTTTTGTGTGATATTATTCCTCTAGAAAATACAGGCAAATAATAAAAAATTATAAAGAGCATAAAGTTTCATTCACTTCAATCTTTAATTTCTGAGCATACCCAGTTCTTTCTTGTCTCCTAACTTCATCTAAATATTCTTCAACATCTGTTATATCAACATTTTTCCTCCAGCTACGTTTAGATTTCTTACTAACACGTTTTCTTTTCTTTTTAACTGTTTCAACTTTTCCAACTCCTTCTGCATCGGCCATATTGAAAAAAAAACACGTGAAGAAAAAGCACGTGCACGTGAGAAAAACGCTTGCTTCATTGACCTGCTCGCAGGCAGATATAGGGCGCCACCTTTCGCCATCCTGCTGATAGTTTGTGAGTTTTTTCAATATGTTCTACTTGTCTGTGCCATGATTTACAACGAGTTTTGGAAGGAAGAAAACTGAGATATCATAAAATTTTGGAATAACTATTTCTCTAATGCTTATCTCTTTCTACAAGCTTTATTTACAGATATTTCACAACGTTTTCACAACACGACGAGGTGGCCGAGTGGTTAAGGCGATGGACTGCTAATCCATTGTGCTCTGCACGCGTGGGTTCGAATCCCATCCTCGTCGATAATTTTCATCCTTTTTTATCTTTCTTTTAAAAGCTAAATATATTTCAACGAAACTCTTCGGACAAATCTCCAAATGTCTTCAACAAGATTAGCGATTCTAAAATTTTTGGTCACATTTTCAGGAATAACAATCACAAAGTTACAATCTTACTGTTGCTATAGTAACCAATGTTGGTTTAGGTTCGATCAAAAGATCAAGGCAGGTTAATACACAAATCCATCTTTTAACTTGCTCTTATTTTGTCCTGTCTGTGAAGTTGTGCTTTAGACCTCGAAAAACGTATACAAAATATGAAAAGGAAAACATCAGTGTAGGAATTGGTACCGTACAAACATAAAATAAGGAACAAATAAAGCAATGGTGCTTTGTGGAAATTTTTAACCTTCACTAGCCGGCTGCTACAATGCAAAGTAAGTGGTTTTAAAATGACTACGACTGTCTTAATGATCTCTACTTTTTCCATATCACGTATCTGAATCACAACAGATATAGTTTATGCTAAACCTCTCTATTTCTCACAGAATACCGAGTTTTAGGGAAGAAGGGCGAAGGCACATTTTCTGAAGTGCTCAAAATCCAAAATGTCCGGGATGGTAGTTACTTCGCTTGCAAGAAAATGAAACAACATTACGATAGGTAAAATGCTACAGAGTACAGATGTCTATATTCCTAAGCAAAAAAACCAGCCCAATATATTTCAACTGTTCGGTTTCCTTTTGTACATTTTCTAGTCTTGAACAAGTGAATAATTTACGTGAGATCCAAGCGATGAGACGCCTCACACCTCACCCTAATGTTGTAGATTTAAAAGAAGTTATTTTGTGAGTGGACGATATTTATCTCTAAGTTTTACTGGAGTCCCATAACACAACAATTTGCTTTCTTTCTAACACAAAAATCCGTCTCTGAACCTTTTAGTGACCGGAAGAGCGGACACTTGGCGTTAGTCTGTGAACTAATGGATATGAATCTATACGAGCTAATACGAGGTATTTATTTAACATGAAGCATGAGATAAACTGACAAACATGCCAGCTCATATTATTTTTCACAAGATTTAAAAGTAATCAATTGCAGGAATAGAATTAAATGATTGCAGTTTCAATCTAGCCATCTTCTAAACAAACTTTAGATCAAAGAACACGATATTTTTTCCCGACAGACTGAACCATGCAGCTTTTTCCGGGCTCAGAAATAATCATATTTCTCTAAAACCGCTGTTTGTAGTTTGTTTAGTTAAAGTCTAAACCGCTAAACCGTCTTATTTAATTATATTATCAAGAAGATATAGTTACATCATCTTTTATATGACATGTAATATTCCTACAAGCCCCTGTGTGCACTTGATTATTGCAGCTGATGAAATATTTACGTTGTCTCGTTTAGAAAGACATTTATTTTAAACAATATTTTATTGTCTCGGTGAGGAAAAACACTCACTTTTAGGGAGTTATTTGACAAGTTGCTGTAACCAAGCAGAATTGTAAATTTATAAACTGCCTAAATCTACCTGACTATTTTACAGCAAAATGATATATCATCACTGAAATTATAAAGCCATGTTTGCATGCAGCTGTTAATTTATAATTATGTTATCCTTTGGGGGTCCAGAGTTTTCTTACGTTCATATTTCCATTTTTATTATATTTTTACGTTTTTTATGTTTTCTTGGTGTAAAATCCGTGTAATATTATTGCATAGGAAGAAGACATTATTTACCAGAAGAACAAGTCAAAAATTACATGTATCAGATATGCAAATCTATTGATCATATGCACAGGTAAGTTATTGTCCTGCGGTACAGCAGTAGACACAACAGGAATAAGCAATTATCATTGAGACAGATTTTAAAGGAAGTAATTAATATGCAGGAACTATAATTAGAATTTCTTAACAGGAAATGATTTTAAAATATGCAGCCATTAAAACTTAATGAACCAAATGCTTTTTGAAATACTTCATTAATCCTTCATATCTTTTTAGAAATGGAATCTTTCACCGAGATGTCAAACCTGAGAATATATTAGTTAAAGTACGAGCATACCTTCAAATTTACATTTGAATATAATATACCCTACAAATTTATAAATGCCTATTAAAATTTCCTAGAATGATGTCGTGAAATTAGCAGATTTTGGGTCATGTAGAAGTGTGTATTCCAAACAGCCTTATACAGAATATATTTCAACTCGATGGTTAGTTGTGATTAATTTCATCCTTCTAATCAGGTTGCAATTATTATTTAGTGGATCGATGTATCCTGACACATTTGCAATTCATTAGGTATCGCGCACCAGAATGTTTATTAACAGATGGATATTATTCTTATAAAATGGATATCTGGAGTCTAGGATGTGTTTTTTGAAGTTCTAAGGTTTGTAGTTTTGAATGTTGCAAAAATGCATGCGCACGTATTTGCGTCGGATTTTGTAAACGAAGTTGTAAAAATTCCTGATAAAATCCTTTTTCTTGAAAGGATGCGTATCGTTTAGTGTTTCAAAGCTTAATTGATCTGTTATTTCTTATAGTTTACATCCGTTATTTCCCGGTTCAAACGAAGTTGATCAAATTGCCAAAATCCACGATGTCCTTGGCACTCCTCCACAAAGCGTTCTGCAAAAACTAACAAAGTATGTGGCGTAGGTAGCTGACGAATGCAATATTCATAAAGGAACTTATATCAATTTTCCTTTCAGCAAATCAAGAAGTATCAATTTTCAGTTCCCGCAGAAAGAAGGAACAGGAATTCGTAAACTACTGCCACATGTCTCAATTGAATGTATAGACCTTATTGAACTCATGTGTACCTACGATCCAGACGAGAGGTGAGGCACCCAATGATCCTATCATCTTTAATTAAAAGATTGACGAAACTGTTTAAAAAACTGTAATATTGTTTCTATACGATGTTCATAGAATTTCTGCCAGACAAACATTACGCCATCATTATTTCAAGAAACTAAGGTATTTATAGAGTTAAGGTTCAGCTTTGAAACATATTGAACCCAAGCAAAATACAAACTAAGAAATGATCTTGAATATTTTCTCTCAGAGATGCAGATAAAAAAGCTGCCGCGTTGGAACGAAATAAAGATCGTGATCAACAATCAAGAATACTGACGAAACACAAGACACACAGAAGAACAAAGGTAATAAATAGCGTTATCATTTTTGAAACCATCATCACACGCAAGAGTGAGTGCTAATATACATGTTGCTACGGAATATTTCAGAAAAAGATCGTGCAAGAAGATGCAAAGTCTAAAGTAAGTTGAAATTTGTCTCATTTCTGTTGGACGATGTTCTCGTATGAAGCGTTGTCCTGGTTGCTCTGTCTAAACCATGTTTCTTGGTTTACCTTGCTGCAGGGTCTTTTGCAAGGAGACGGCAGTTTCTTACCTCGTATTGCTGGTGCAACACGTACATCAAACACAACTGTCAAGTTCCCAACAAGTTTTCCAACCATCACCAATATTCAGACGAAAGATAACAACGTGAAGGTAAGGTTTACTTGGAACTGTGGAAGATGTTTAAAGGTAGTTCCCGCCGGCTTCAGTGTATATCTGATGATCACACTATGACTGCTTTTCTTTTTCAGCAACAGAATGTGAAACAAATGTTCTCACATAGTTACACTTTACCAGCCCTGGAAAAGCACGGAGGGCACTAGACTAGAGCAAAGAACATTCTGAATAATGTTGAAATGTGACTGATATCAAGACACAAACGATGATAGCTGTGGTGTTACGAAGATTTTTATATTCATTTCCAATAGACCACACGACATGAATCACTGCTGTTTGAAGATAGAATTGAGGAAATTTGTAAATACTTCTGCATTTAATAAGATCACTAGAATACGATCTCGAAGAAAATACGGAATGGTGACAAAATGTCAATACTGAATAGTTGTAAGATACTGTATACAAAATTTGTTTGTACTGACTAGGTTTACAGAATTTTTTATTTTTGAATTTAACTTAATTTAGGTTTAATGTATTTTTTAAAGCTTCGACCTTTTTCTCAATAAACTTATATTTTTACGCAATGTCTGTGGGTGTTATAGCCTGGTTATAGTTATTATAAAACACGCTCAAAGACAAGGCATCACCTGAAACTAATCTACCCAGGAGTTTATGAGAGTATCTAGTTTCCTCAATCATTTGTTTCATTTCCACCATCTTCTCTTCTTTGCAATCTTCTTTCATAATCGGGACTGGATGTCGATGAGGACTTTGTTGCCTCTTTGGTTTGATAACGAAGAGTCATATTTGCTCAGGTGATCCCGTGGCAGCGACGAGAGGACGTAATACGGATGTACTCATCAGCTCGTCCAAACATCAATCTCACGAAAATAAATCCACCTTCCTTGATAGACGATATTGATACGTATACATCGAACTTTACGTCCGTTCAACGTCACATCTACTCTTCCAAACCTGAACTCACCGACGGTCTCGTAGTCTTCACAGACCTTCCCTTGCTGTGCAATAATCTCACTGATTTCCAATGTCCCAGTTACAATAGCATCATGTTCGGCAAAATTAGCCCCAGTTTCAACCACAACTCTTTGGAGCTTTCTCTTCGTCTTAAGTAACATGTTATATATTTTTTTTCCTGCACCACCAAAACGGGCATGAAAATAACCATCACCTTTTGTGTAAGCATCTTCTGGTTTTCCATGAATAGGAATAAGATCAGAAAAGATTTCTGCTGGGGGGTTATTTCCAGAGTACTTTTGATCAAATTGATCAAAAAATTTCTCTTTTAAAGTATTTGGTCTTTGAGATTCTTTTGGACGAAAAGAAGAAATAAGCCCAATGTGTTGAAATAGAGAAGCAGCTCTGCACTTTGTTTCTCCAGGGTCCTGTCCTCGATATTTTTTCCATCTTGGTTCTAACCAATCAACAGGCATTTCATTAAAAAAGAGTCTGAGATACGATGCTAAATTTGAAACCTCTCTTGTTGGGTATAGTTTACCAATGTAGCCAAGTTGGGCAACATTCAAAGAAATCCATTCATGTTTCTGAGAATCAACATAGTCAGAAATCTTAGAAAGAAACCGTGGACTAGCAATGACATCATCTTCAAGCTGAAGATAGTAATGGGAGATGTAACTGCAATAACACATGAGGTAGACATAATCTAAAGATTGCTTTGATCTCCACAGAACTCGGTCCATGTGGTCACCTGAGAAAAAACACAGAAAATAACTAAGTAAGCTGCAAGGTCCCAACCTGAAACTATATGTTACATATAATTACATCTATCATAGTAAGAAAGCCAGCCAACCTAAGTTAATTGTCTTTATATTGCTCCTTGCAATTACAGAATATTTAGCTTACCTAGATTTCGATGAAGATCATTCAGTGGAATATAATAATCTCTTGGAGCTTGAATGACTTGAAGTGCTCCAGATGTGATATATTTCTTGAACATCATAGTTATATCTGACAGTTGTTTTTGTTTAAAATCTGAGTTAAAATCAGCAAGAAACACAACAACAGTGATATTGCCTTCCTCATTCCCTTTGACAGCATTCATTACACTTTTTATTGTCTTCTTTAGGTAAGATCTTGTTTTTCGTCTAATGCTTGGAATACCAACTGCTAAAAATCCTTGATGTGAAATAGATTCTCAAGTCAATGAAAATACTGCAATGTCCAGGAAATTAAAGACAGATAAACAATATCAAACTAATTTTTCACCTACTTTTAGTTTTACGCCCCAATAAATCCAGTCCAACAATCGATGTTTTATTGCTGTAATAATTCTCTTTTGGACAGAAATCCAGAGATGTCAGATGAAGTGACTTCATTTTCTTGTTTACATCAAGTTCTTTCTTTTTTGGGTTTATTACTACTAAAAATATTTCAATTCTAAGGTCATGAATAAAGAAAACTTACCATGAGAAAACACAAAGTTATACCCCCACTCACCCAACACCTTGGGTCTACCCCACCTACAATGTCTATCTCCAGAGTTGTTAACCCCATGCACCAGCCAGTGTATACAAAAACATGTTTGTTTGTTTTTTAAATTACCTTTGTTATCAACGACATCAGATGTAGAAGCAATAATTTGATCATTTCTGTCAACAGCACTTGGTAATTCATTAGCTTGTAAAACAACATCACTAAGTGAGGCCAAAGCCTTCGTTTCCAGCTCAGAAATAAAGCAGTCTCCATAAAGACACAAAATGTTTGATAAAAAGTAACAACAACAGGCTAAAACAACCGCCACTAGAAGTCTTTTAAACAAAACAAGGCAATTTCGTTTAGGAAAGAACATTCCTGGCTTGAATAGCGGGCAGCAATTTAGGATAGATCATATGTCTTAATTATGACTTATGAGAAAGTTAATGAGCGCGTAGCTTGCATAATTAGGCCATAACAACCGATCGGTATTTGTTACCTACAACAAACTACAAACACTTTCAATATTTCCTCATCTTCCTGATTCAAACGAGGAAGTGAAATGCGGATCGTGAGCTGGAAGAAAATTCCTGCTTTAATTCAAATTATTTTACTCTTAATTTTGGTGTTTTTGGTAATTTCCTTGGTCTTCATTTCGGCGTCAACGAAGTCTGATGAAGTAAATTTTATAAATATTGATCCAAAAATACGTGAGTCTTTAGAATTTATAGAATATTTCAACGTTTATGGCAGTTATACTGTCACATGTGGAAGAGCAAACCACACGCTAAACGGCTAAAGGCATTAACTTGTATAAATCATTGCGATATAAAATTTAAGGTTTTTTGTTTTAAAATATGACATTAGCTGGATTATCCTCTGGAGCATGCATGCATGCAGTATATACCAAGCCAATTATTGTTCGTTATTTTTTATGCTGTAACAAATTACTTTATGCTGTAGCAAATTATTATATGCTGTAACAAATTATTATATATAAAAAGTGTCAGCTCTCTTCCTTTTAAAAATCCCTATAATCAATAGATAGATAAGAATTGCCAGCTGACAACCCCATGCATGACAACCAGATTCGCCCTTTGTCTTATCCTGCCAAGGTGACAGGGCAGTCATGCATGTGTACCAAGTATAATAAAAACTAATGAAACTTTAGAAATGCAAAAAATAAAGCCAAAATATTTTAGCACGCATGCACTTAAGTTGAAACATAGTTAATATGGTTGAAAACAGATGAAACAAGATATATTTCTAGTACATTAATAAGAGGCCAGTACATCAGAGTCTATATGCGGAACATTTAATGCACCACTGCCGGCCACTGTGCCAATATCTTGTATTCAAATCGTGTAATAGTTTCCATCTCGGTTGTAATTACAGTTGCCCAATTTATTTATCAGGTGCAAGGACTGAAGGTATATCCTCCACATGTTTAACAAGAGATATATTAAACCGTCCTGATGTTCTACTGTACAGCAACAGAAGCCAAAGTAAAAGATGTAAGCAATATAGCATTTGATATTGTCTGCTTTACCAGTTATCCCCAATTTGTCAGACAAGTTTGTGCACATGTTAACCTTTAGTTCCTCAATCATGCAGCTAGCTCATCATTCAGTGCACCATCTGGCCATTGAGGAAAACTGTATTCTTTTTAGATTATTTGACTATTGGTATTCCAACCATTGTTAGAACAATTGGCAATGAATATGTCTTAAAGACTTTGCACAGTCTTACAACACAGCAAACTGTAGGGAAGACAAAAGCTGATATACTTATTGTCATACAACTTGGTGACGAAGAGAGAAGCAAGAGATTACATTTAGCTGCTGTAATAAAAGCAAAATATCCGCATTTGATAAACAGTGGTGCATTAGATGTTATACAGGTTAATCCTAGTTTCTATCCATCCTTTGACAAGCTAAAGCAAAGATTTGGTGATAGCACAGCCAGAATAAAATGGCGATCAAAACAAGTCATAGATTTTTCCTTTCTTTTCTGTTACTGTCATGGTTTGGGAAAATATCATTTACAGCTAGAAGATGATGTAATTGCATCTCCATATTACTACCCAAAGCTTCAGGATTTTATTGAGAAGTATGAGAAAAAAGAAGCATGGTTTACGTTAGACGCATCTTTGCTTGGATATATTGGAAAGGTTTACCATAACTATGACCTTAATGAGATTGCAAGTTTTTATTATATTTTCTATGATGAAATGCCTGTGGATTGGCTGGAGTATACGTGGAGAGAAATAAAGGGTCAAACTGGAAGGTGGAGGCTTCGTTCAGCCTCACTTTTTCAGCACATTGGTGATGTGTCCTCTTTAAAAAAAAAGAAACAAATGGCTAGAGAACCATACTTTGATAACCAGACACAAAAATTCTTAGGTCTTAACCCCCCTGCAGTGGTACAAACAACCCTTCAATCAGAACAAAAGACCAATATAAAGTCTGCATATGAGCAGGGGGGTGGATACTTTTGGGGAAGATGTAAAGACAAATCTAAGTGTGTGATAAAAGTTATGTTTAAGAAAGCAATACCATTGAAGAGAGTTGTTATTGAAACAGGTGGAAATTTTGCTCTCAATGATACAATACATCAAGGGACATTACAGTTTGGTACTCTTCCTAATGGCAATGACTGTGTGCATTATCAAGCAAGTGCAGCTGTTTTCAAGAAAGGAAGTTTAGATATAAAATTATCTGATATTTTAACTGTGAATTGCCTACAAGTTGACATTCAAAAACAGAAAGCATGGGTGTTGATACGTGAGATTAATGTTTGGCCTGGAAACTAGTGGATATTTATATGCGTTGATGGTGATCATTCATTGCTTAGTGCTGGTTGTCTACATATAGTGTAACTGCGAACCTAAGAATGGTATAATACCATATGGCTAAATACAACACTACCCTGTCCTATAGGATTCAATATTTATTTGAATATTGGGAGTTAGAATGCATGTTTTTCTTAAAGATTTTAAAGTGTTTTTAATATATAAAAAGTTTACTAAATATAGGTGGGTATAGTTTGCGGTAATACCCGTAGTTTCGATCATTAAAGTGTATAAAAAGCCATACCTGATTTCTGGCTTTTACAACTCAACTTGAAACATATCCTACTTGCTGGTCATAAAAACAATCAATATAATAGAAAACAAGCCAAAAACTGACGTTCCCAGGACAAGAAACGGTATCAACTCTTCCTGGGCGCTCTCAATACCAGTAACACGAACTGCAAACATCGATGTCAGATTACAGAAACTACCAAATGAAAAATCACACATGACGCATGCTTGAACCAGCTAAAATATATCTCCTTGACCTTGCAATCCTTTCTCTGTATATATTAATGTATAACAGACCAACTTACCTGTATTCTGGATCAATGACCTTTGCTCTGAACACGTAAATGCCTTCACTGTTCCACGTTAGCGCAGACAAACCACTTTCGTTCAAGATCTCGTAAGGTTGATGTAAGTTCCCCATTTCATTATACTCCCGCACAAAACAACTTTTGTAGTTCTGAGAAAGAAGAGGTGACGAGTTTAAATACTCATTAGTTTTTCTGACTCACTCCGTACAAATGTGATTCTAATTGTCCAATGCCCCAAATGTCTTCAAATCACAAATGCAATGCAAATGAATGCAAAAATCAAACGCAATTGAATTTAAACAAAGGTTCATTAACAATTTGGTTCAGCCACAATTCCATCGTTTTCTACAAGAGAGTGTTTACTTCAATGGTACAACTGTACAAATTGATTATTAAAATACCTCTGGGGACCATGCAAGTGAAGCATCAGACATATGAGTCGCGTTATCAATCATTTTTTGATAGGTCTGCGCTTCCCTTACACAACCAACCTAAATAAAAAGATGAATTTCATCAAACACCAAAATTTAGGTCGCAAATTGTGTTAAGATGAAAGATGATACTCCGTTCACTACCTCAGCCATGGTGGCCACATACGTGTAGTCAAGTCTTCCGTTCATCTCAAATACGACAAAACTTGCTGTAATATTTCTCAAAACTTTCCCGTCTTCCTTCCTACACAAATATACATCAACATCGGACTATTCCAGTCAAATCTTGAAGATGATTTGGCCAACTATACAAGTTCAAATACTCACAGTTGAATCGTTGGTTTGAACACATCATAATAATTTGCTTCCAAAGGACAGCCAAGAGAAGAAAAATCATATTTCACCGTCTAAACAAATGAACAGGGCCATAATAAATAAAATCATTCTTTTATGCAAACCATATCTGATCTAATTTAACATGCTTCTTTGGATTAATATCAAGTGTCATACCTTGGGTTCCGTTGCTGCTGAGATCGGTGAGATACAGTCTGTGCAGTATTGCCCACTGAAAAGAACCAACGTTGATCGTTACCACAAGATCATGTAATTTTAAGATGTTGTATCAGGTATGTCAGATGGTTTACATATTGCTGGTAAATTATACACACCTTGGTATTGTGAAGGTATAGTTTTCAAACTCAGGACAATTTAACACGTCCCTAAGAAATAAAGAGATGTGAATGTGAATCACAAGCTAGCATCTTTTAGGAATTACAGTGTCAGTTTGTATAAAAAACCTGTAAACTGTCATCTTTCTTCCGGGTGGACAATCAACAATAATTTCTGTTTCCTAACAATGAAACAAAATAAATCGTACATATGTTTACCATTGCTTCTTGAGCTGTTGTAAAACAAAGAATAATCTGATCAAAGAGAACCGTGTTAACACATTTTAAAAAAAATATTATATATTAAATTCGTTTGGCACATTACTCACTGAGCGTACGGGATCATCATTTGTTTCTTCAAAAATTGTGATTTGAAACGTTGCATTGCCTCTTCTATTGTCAAAGGAACTGAAAGATTAGAAATGCTCCATAAAGGTTCACTGTCAGTGTGTGTATATATTTAACAAGATTTCACTGTTCTGTTTTGAATACGAACAACATGATTCGAGATCACTGCCTAAACTTTACATTTGTGAAATAGCTACCGTACCTTGCTTTTGAAACTCGTGGAACTTGAGATATTTGCACAGTCTGTATATATAAGGATTGATAAACATGGTTAGCACTTATTCATTACTTTAAAAAGTAATTTGTCTGAAAAAGGAACTCACCATATTGCGAATAACAACACCTTTTGAAACAACTTCTTCAACACACGATTCATTGAATTGCAGCAACGATGGATCAGAAACACTAGGCTGATGAATACAACTGAACTAAGTTGTGAAATAGTGAAGTTTCTAACAGCAAACGTTGCCTGGTCCACGCGATATATAGCCTTAAACTTTATAGCTTTCATAAAACTTTACTCACGACCAGTCTGTTATCTTGCCACGGGAATGGAACAACCTTGGCCCACACCTTCGAAAATACAAAAAAAAACTCCCAACTACTAGAAAGTGTCTTTGAATAATTTGCACTCCCGGATATGTCTCGATGTTTTGAGTGAGGACTTCTAAACCTATATTTCACGTTTTCTTATCTGACGAACTTTAAAACACATACACCGCCTTCAACCTGAATTCATCCTTCATACCTCAATTGTTTCGTTTTTATCTAAGAAATATGTTTCTTCCATGTTGTGAATAAAGGACTCTATCTGCAGAGAAAAATGAAATAAAAAATTAACCAAACTTGATACGAAAAAGAAATAAAACCATATTGAAAACGACGCTCCATACCTTCGCACTTGTAATAGTAACCTCGGAATATTCACATAAAACTGTATATTTAAACAGAACTAAATAGAAAATGAAAACTTGTTCAAGTAGAGAAATTTTCGCCATGTTTAGTTTAAAACTTCCCGCGAGTTCGCGCCACTGAGGATGAAATTAAAGACACGTCAGCAGTTTATAAAATACTTCATGTAGTGTCACTTTAATATAAAACGTCATCTAAATTACAATAAAAATGTACAAAAATATAAGTTAAGTTAAGTGACTGTACAAATTTAGATTATCCTCTAAATGCCGACTGAGTTATTGATCACGTAGTTTTAGCCTATCTTCTAAATGCCCACTTATTTCTTCATCGCAGTTTTCAGACAAAGCGTATCACAATCTAGTGTCAGTAAATGGCTGATATTTCATAGATCTGAAGGCGTCAACCTCATCATCATCACTCCAAGTCTTCTCGTCATCGTACTTAAATAAGAAAAATAAACGCCTAAATACCAAAGCAAGGATTTTAATCGGAACTAGATAAACGTGTTGCAGTGGTGTTGCATGGTTGCTCTAACCACTGACCAAAGACACTATCTAAAACAATAGTTATTTTACTCACCCTTCCACTATATACATTCCCTTCATATCCTTCCCAATCTATACTATCTTCTTGTTCATATCTCATTTTCTCTGATCCTCCAATGAAAGTTGAAGCTCTACTTCCTCGATCCTGAGGGTCGACCTGCAACACAACAATTTGAATAAAAGAGACGCTCTATTATAACATAACATAAAATATAGTATCCTACTCCAGGTCTTGAAGAAACTGTCTATAAAGTAATACTAGTTTACAACGATGAATGCTTTTGGAGAACCATTGAATACAATAAGTTCTTCTACGAGGGTAGAGGAGATTACAGGAGAATTAGACAGAACTACACTACAAAGAATATCAGAGGTAAGATTAGAGATGAATAAAATAATGAAAAAATCCTTTTAATCTTCTCTAACTTCCCCAATCATGCCTCTATGAAAACCTACTCTATGTTTAGATCGTTTGAATGAGTATTTTCTTCTTACCAATGCAAGATTGAAATGTGCTTCACTTGGCGTGTAGTTACTTGACAACGATGCAGCCGCTGAACGTGACTTCACTCTTACTGGCAAGGGATCACGTTCTCTCACGAATACCGTCCTATCCCCGCTTGTTCTCCGTAAACACAGCGCAACCACCGAAAACACGACAAGAATAAGGAGAACAGCGATGAGGACTAGGAACCAAACTGTTTCATACCATATGTTATCATCATCTTGACTTTGATGATCCGTTACAGGCACTAGCAAGGAAACGATCGTTTGTAAAATATTTTGAACATCGCCAAATTTTGAATAATACTGAAAACAATCTAAACTTACCACCCTTGACGTTAAAAGGAGGTGATTTAATCGTCTTCTTTTCTCCATTAACAGTTGTTGTTGCACTAACAACATAGATATATTCTAGAGAAATTCAAGAAACACATTAGCCGATATTTTTGTAATCATTTTTGAACTTCTATTTAGCAAAAGAAATATCTGACCAATATTTAGAGTTTGAGCTGTTCTTGCTTTACCTTCCCCAACTCGGCCTGTCAAATGACCACTGTTAGAACTCGTTCCACGGAAGATTAGGAAATCATTCTCGTATAAATTATATTCAAATAAAGGACCATTTAGCTTGAACGATTTACTCCAATCAACAATCACTACATTCCCAGTTTGGTTTGCTTCTGGTAGTCGAATATACTCCGGTGCTGGAAAATAGAGAAACGACAATGGATTGCAAAGTTCAAAATTCATACCACTGAAAGTACCTGAAAATATACAGTACACAATCTTCCTAAACCCTAAACATACCTGACGGTCCTGTCCTCCTCCTAACAGGCGCTGAGTCAGCCGAATATTTCTCATTAAATACTCGAATCACAATCTCGTACATAGAGTAAGGTTCCAGGTCGATGATAGCGTAAGTAGTGTTCAAGCCTACATCAATGGCAGTCTGAGACACTGAACGCTTGCTGATACAATTGTCAGAACAGATGAACTTGTACAAAACGGAATATCTAAAAACGTAAAACAACAATTTGAGTTCTTCAACTTGAGCACGGTCCATCATAGAAGTGATAAAGTTATCGTGGTAAAGTGTGGATAGCATTCTATCATGGTTCATGCCTGAACTATCTGACTATCTCTGACAAAAACCTAGACTCTTTTCTAAAAAATACTGAAGATTTCATACCTTTTAACATCCCCATTAGGCTTGAGCGGTGGTCGCCATTTCACTTCGATGCTATTTGCTGTCACTTCTCCAAATGTTGGTTCTTCAACTGTATTCGGTTTTCCTGCGCCCGTCTTGCCTGCAATTGCCTGACCGCCTGTGCATCCCACAATAGTGCAGGCATACACCTGCAAGGAGTATTCTACAAAAGGTTCGAGATTTCTAATCGTCCGTTCAAGATGAGTTCCTTCAGAGACAGGTTTATCGTTTAGCCTCACGATATAGTTCACAATAACGCCATTGGGTATACCTGGTGGATCGAACGCTACAACAAGGGTTGTTTCAGTTACTGCTAGGATACGTGGGGTTGAGACTTGCTCAGGAAGGTCACTACGCGTTGTGACACTCGTCCAATCACTAGTCACCAATCCAACGCTATTAACCGCGGTCACTCGGTATCCATATTTCTTGTAAGGTAACGTTGTAGTATCATTAAATTTGAAGCCAAGACCTCTAAAAATCTCGGCACTAGTATTACCATTGTCTTGACTACGATAAACCAAATATCTTAATGTCTTCCCATTTGGTGATTTTGGCTCGTTCCAGGTCACCATTACAGAACGCGCTTGTACAGTCGTATCTGGAAGAACAGGTGCAAGTTGGCCACTCGGGACGCCCTCGAGTGTCTTCGTGGATGCAACGTCACCGTCCGCGCACGACGAAGGATAACTGGTGCATGCTCGTATACGAAAAGTATAATCAGTAAAATACTTCAAATTTCTTGCGATGTAACTCATGTTAGAACCAACATTGACAGCCGGGAAATTGTTGTATAACACGAAGTACACCTTGATGATACCATTAGGCTTTAACGGCGCTGACCACGTGACTCGTATTTCAGTTCCACTTAAGGGGGTTACGTTTGGTTTGGTTACATTCTCCGGCGTGCCGTGCGAGGTACGTTCTGTATGAAGTACTGGGCTTGAGACATGTCCGACTAAGTTAAAAGCATTCACTTGGTATGAATAATATGTATATGGTTCGATGTTTTGGTCAATATATCTTAGACGTGAACCATTATAGACCAATGTGCCATTTCTTTGCAGGGTGTAATACAATATGACTCCATTTGGTTTTCTTGGCTCTGTCCAGCGTATTTCTATGACATTGGGACCGAATATAGTGTAGGTTGGCGCGGCGAGACTTTCCGGAGCAGCTTCGTGAGTTCTCGCCTCGTTCCAAGGTCCTTCAGTGCATCCACTTTTAGTACAAGCTACCACATGAAATTTGTGTAAGGAAAAGGGTTGCAATTCTGATTTGATGTAAGACATGCGTGTACCATTGTATTCCAGGGAATTATCCATATATAGTTCATAGCGGATTACAACACCATTTGATATTATTGGTGGCTGCCACGAAGCTCTGATAGCAATAGCTGACAAGACAGTTAACTTTGGGGCTCTGACTGCCCCTGGTTGACCTTCACCTGACCTAACAATAGTCTTATCACTATCAGAACATCCACCTTCTGTACAAACTGTCAACCAGTAGCCGTATATAATATTTGGTTTGACTGAAGAATCAGTATACTTCAAAATCGTAAATCCCCAATGATTGACCACGGTGTTATTACGTCTTAAAGTATACGAACGAACCACTCCGTTTAGTTTTCCAGGGGGCGCCCATGACATTTCCACACTTGTTGACGTCACAGCAATGATTACCGGGGGGTGAACCAGCTCCGGGGCAGCTTGATTCGTTGTAATGAACGCGACCCGTGAATCAGTTTTACCAGCAGAATTGATGGCTCGGATTGTATAACCATATTTAGTATAAGGTTGCACTTGAGAGTCAGTATACGAGGTTATATTGATATTACTCGTGTTATAAACAGCAAACTTAGTGTCTGTTCTGAATACTTGATATAACACAATTATACCGTTTGGACGGACCGGGGGCTGCCATTTTAGTGTAACGTACGTGCTATTTACAGAGGTAAACTCGGGTGCTTGCAACAGATCTGGCGGTATTTCAGCAGTTGTGACAACCTGGATACTTCCTTTAGTACATCCTGCAGAGGTACACGCTTCTAGTTGGAACGTATATGATGTGAATGGTGTAAGTCCTGGCAAATGAAATTCTCTTTTAGTACCACTGTACTCTTTAACACCATTGGAATAGACAATATAGTCTGTTATCGCTCCATTTGGCTGACTTGGTTCTTGCCAGGTAAATTTCAATCCTTTACCATCGCTATCTTTGGACGCAATCAGAGGTCTGAGATCAAGGGGTGGAGCTTCCAACGTTTCTGCCAGTTTCCATCCACTATAACCAGTCCCTCCAACCGTGCTAACAGCAAGCTGAAATTGATAATCCGTATTAGGATTCAGTCCACTCACGGTCACATTTTTTTCTGTAAGAGAACTACTTGCGACTAGGAACTTATTCCTAGAACTACCAATATCCTGTGCATAGAGTTCGTACAGGGTAATAATTCCGTTAGGTTCACGGGGTTCCTTCCAGGAAGCTGCGACTGCAGTTGAATTTAACACATGTATTACGGGGGAATAAACTCCGCTAGGAGCTCCTTCTCCTGTACGAACAGTTGCCCAGGCACTTCGAACGCTGCCGCCGCTATTGATTGCACGTACTCTATAGCTGTAGTTTCGGTATGGTAACAAACGACTGTCCTGCAGCTGCCATACAAAAGGTTTAGTAGTTCGGAACACTAAACTGTAGGTTGAGGACGCTAAACGCCGTTCTATTTCATAGCTCAAAATTATACCATTTGGAGTCCGTGGTCCACGCCATTTAACTAGGACAACCTCGTCGCTCTGGGCAACCAGAGCTTGGAGGAGGTTGACCAGAAGGAGCTGCTTCTAGTGTTCTTGACATACTTCGGTTACCAATCCCACAACCAACTCTCGTACACGCTCTGATTTGGAAATTATAATTAGTAAAAGGTTTTAATCCCGAGACTAGATATTTCAGACTGTCGCCTGCTGGGTGTTCTATCACTGTGTCCTGTATGACAGTATAGTTCTTAATCACACCATTAGGGTTACCAGGTGCTGTCCACGTGACGAGAATGCTCGCAGAGGTTTGCGGGGTTAGTGTAGGAGAGGGTATTAATTCAGGAGAATCTTGCGGGGTTTGTCTACGGGCTACGTCACTTTTTGTAGCACCAGCTTGTGTACTGGCTTCGATGATATAACTGTACGTTGTGTGTGGCTTGAGACCTTTATCAGAATACCGATATTTCCCAGTTGATGGGGTGGAAAACTTACATTCTCTCGAGGTATTACATATTGATATATTATCACGATATAAAGTATACCAGATTATTTCACCATTAGATACTGCAGGCTCTTCCCAGTTTATTTCAATCTCCTTGGAACTTCGTACCTGCAACTCAGGCCTTTGAACCGTTTCAGGCGCGGCTTCGAGGGTCATCACAAACCCGCGAGGCCCGTCACTACATCCAACCTTTGTACACGCTGTAATAACGTATGTATAATTTGTAAAAGGTCTTAGATCAGAGCTGTTATCAATATGAACCATGTTATATCCCCGCCATTGCCTGACAATATCTCCACTGTTATTAACTCGACTTATGTTGTAACCAGTTATTACCCCGTTAGGTCGACCAGGTGTTTGCCAACTGATCTCTATACTGTACGCACTCAATGCTTTCAATATTGGAGGGTAGACATTCTCCGGGGTTGATTCCCGAGTGTAAATTGCTTTGGAGGTAATATTCGAACACAGGGTCGTACACGCCTCGAAGATATAAAAATATCCGGTGACAGGTGAAACATTGGAATCCAGGAAAGATAACTCGAGTCCTCGGTACACAAGCGTTCTGACGGTTGAATTTAGGTTACCTCTGGTCAGTTTGTATTCTGAAATAATTCCGTTTGGTTTCTTTGGTGGAGTGAATAGAACTTCAATAGACCTGGCAGTCCGGACGATAACCGTAGGTGGAACGAGACCTTCAGGTGAATCCATCAGAGTTTTATTGCTTGAGTATGGACTGGAAAGATTTCCTTCGGTGTTGAAAACAACCACATAATACTCGTAGTCCGTGTACGGTTCCAAGTTTTGATCGTTGTAATGACGTAGTGTAGAGTTACCTGATATCACTTGCGTGAATGTGCCACAATCCTGCGGAGGAGGGGTGGGTGGGGTAGAAGTGATAGTATCCCTTAGTGAGACCACAATGTGAGGTTAATACATTGAAGTTACAACGGTTACACGAGGCTGTATTTCTGGATGTTTTGTCACAGACAGTACCATTACCACATTCTTCTTTATCAGCGCAAACCTGGGTACTTGCGTTAAATCCCTGATCATTACAACAACTCAAACCAGTGGAAATACGGTTCATTCCACAGCACACGTCACCTGAATCTTGTCGCTGTCTAACGGACGTGTAGTTGTAGATCTAAAAAATATCGAACGGAAAATCACTGTTTCACAAATCAAATTCATTGTCCTGTCAAACAATATAACGTCTTTTCAACGTGAGTGAGGCAGAATGTTATGGTAAACTTACCTTCCAAGATCCTGTATTAGACTGACAACACAAACTAGACATGGGAACATAGTGATTACCACAACACTTCTTCCCCCTGTCCTCCGTGTAAACGACGCCAGAGTCAGGCCCACCGCAACATTTTTGAACAAGTGCCACTATTTTCCCACCACAACATTTCCTTGTGTTATCATTGAAGAGGGTTCCACATACACAATACTTCGTGTTGTTGAAATATGGTTCTCCATCACAGCAAGCGTTACCGTCACCCACACGTATAGAACCACGGTTGTCTTGGCAACAAACCTGACCAGATTTGACCAGTTTATAGCTACCATGGCAACATTGATAATCAGTTGTTTGTGCATAAAAACGACCACCACAGCAGACATCACTGGAGGATTGTTTCTTTACATATTTATCATCGCAACACATCTTTCCTGGTTCTTTATCGTACAGTACACCTTGACAGCAAATCTAAAACATGAGATTGTTATCATTGAATGTCCTAATCATACGATATCGGGTGTCAGTCTACCGTCACGTAAGGTGACTTTACCTTTGTTTTAGGACTATAACATGAAGTACCACAAAGCTCTTCAGAAATAGGACACTCAATATAAGTGCAGAGTCTTACGGGAGGTGGTCTAAAAACACAAGAGAAAATCAAGGATATTAATGAAAGATTCACAGCTTTGTCTCTTGCCTTTGACTAGAAATTCACTGCACAATCATTACCACGATTATTGTGAAATAAGGAAAAATAATACAACTATAGGAGAACCTACTTGGTTGGACAAACACTTGGAGTTTGTCTGTACAAGATATATTCACGAATTACACCATTTGGTCGTCTCGGTGGATCTAAAATAAAATACAGAATAGTGAAGAGAAAATATCATTTAGGCTACTCGTATTAGAAGCGAGGAAAATGCAATCCACTCACCCCAAGTTACCAGAATATTGCGTCTTCCAGGAAACAATATCGGAGAGTCGAGGAATTCAGGAACTAAATGAAAAAACAAGACGTGAGCAATGTGTGAACTCGCAGAATAAAAATGTGTTAAAACATTGATGAAATACCTGCAGGCAGAGTTCTTGTGTTACTTGAGAGACTTCGTACGCAAGTATAGACTGTACATACTTCCACCTGGGAGGGATGATTCAATATTATGAAAACAATATCAAACTGTCTTGGAGAATGTGCTTCAAGAATGTTACCTGAATTGCATAATTTGTGAAGGGAATCAATGACGTTATATTGAAGTACAGAGCCAAGGTGCTGCCAACTCTTTGAGAATTTCTATAAAAATAATTTAAGTATAGTATCCTGATAAAATCATTACTTCAATCTCTTTGAATAAACACTTTGCATGTTTGAGAAAGGCTTACGCATAAACGCAGTCAACTTACGCATAAATATGATAGGTTGTGATTCGTCCATTGGGAGTTCTAGGAGATGACCAAGTAACCTCAATTGCTGTGCTGTTTATAGTCCTGACATTTGGTCTGTCGAAACCCTCTGGCGCTGAAATAAACAATTTAGAAAAATGCAGAACGTGCATGCAGCACAGCGGCGAGAATAATACAATAGCAAGATGTAAGTCAACATTTCTTTGGATAATCTTACCTCCATCTTGTGTTCTCACGATTACTTCATTACTGGATTTCGTGCCTGCTCCATTGTCCAAGACGACCTGGAAAATGTCATGTTGCAAGTTAGTCCAAACTGTTTGTCCGAGGCGGACAGCTGTCAGAACGATCATTAACAAACCTGGAAACTGTAATCTTTACTTGGGGTCAATGGAGTGACAACAACATTTCTCGCAGAGCCAGGAAGGTTGTTTGTGAAGGTAAACTCAAGGTCAGCTTCAATATCTTTATATCTGATTTCGTAACTGCGCACATATCCTAGAAGAAGCTTCACTTCTGGCAGAGTCCAGTTGAGCAAAACACTCGTGTGGTTCAGAGCTTGTCCGCTTAATAACACACCCGCACGGGGTGGGACAGGACCCGTACGATACGGGGGGGAATCTTCACTCGTTGTATTGCCATGTGTGTTGACCACTGTCACCTTCAAAGAACATAAAATTGATCAGCTCTACAGGATGAGCTTTACTCTACCCTCAAAATTTACAACCTCGTGAAATCACATCTTACTTTGTATTGTTGTTTAGAGAATATCCCCAGTCCTTTATCATCAAAACTTCGCGGTAAAACTCCGGAATGAATCTTTACATATGACGTCATGGTAAAATTCTCAGATAAAGGTTCACTCAATGTTCTTCTGTATAAAATAAACTCTTGAATGCGACCACCGGGGACAGAAGGTGGTTCCCAGGTCACTCGAAGACTCGTGGAACTCAAAGCTCTCGCTGATGGGGCAGGCTGGTCGCTAGGCAACCCCGTTTGGGTCCTGACGTCACTAGGATCACTCTCCCGGCATGCAGTGCCAGTACATGCTACAACCACGATGTTATAGACTTTATATGGCAGAAGTCCGCTGATGATGATATTCAGAGGATCACTTGCTTCAATTTTACTGTAGTTACGATTGTTCTCCAAGATGCGCACAATATAGTGAATTATGATACACTGGGACCGAGCTTTCGACCACGTGACATGGACAGCAGTCGAGTTCAGGCTCCTAGTTGTTGGCCTCGGTACAAACTCGGGAGCTAAAAAACAAGAATATGCTGGGTAACCAGAAATATATTACATTGTCTTGTAACTCTCAAGAGGCCAAAACGTAAATATCTTCAAATCCTAATCATCGAGGGTGCGGCGGGGGGTTGAATGACTAACTCACCTCCTTCCTGTGTGGTTATATTACTCCAGGAACTGGGGGTACCTCCGGCTTTTGTAAACGCGATCACTCGATAATAGTATTTCAAACACGGAACGACTGTGTTATCTAAGTGTTCTCTACTGAGATTCGCAGATACTCTTGCCACTGAGCTCACATCTAATAGATCCAACGCTGACCTTCGTTCGATTATATATTCAGATATTTTGCCGTTTGTGACTGTTGGCTCAGACCAGCGGATGATGACGTAGGGACCCGAGGCGTGGGTAAGAACTGGCGATGATTGTCCTTCAGGAACTAAAGACAAATAATAATTGATAAAGATAAAAAAAAAATTTGCGGGTCGTGGGTTTTTCGAAAAAAAGTAGCAAGTAGTCGTTCTTGCGGTGTCAGAGTGATCGTCGTCCTGGCAGAATGAACGTCGTCCTGGCAGAATGACATCGTCCTGGCAGAATGAACGTCGTCCTGGCAGAATGAACGTCGTCCTGGCAGAATGAACAGCGTTAAAGAGAATTACAAAGATTTACCATCTTCAAGTGTTCTGACTGGCCGAGAAAGTGAGCTGTTACTGCATCCAATAACCGTACAAGCAGCAACGCTGAATACGTAGACAGTGAATGGCTCCAAACCAGTCACTCGCAATCTTGTGACATTGTTAGCAACTTTTGTACGATTTGTGTTATTTCTGTATAGTATATAGTGAATAATGATGCCGTTTGGTTCGCTTGCCTCGTCCCAGGTCACCACAAGATCTCGCGAATTAATCTGAGGAATTGTTGGAGGATCCAGAGGAGTGGGAACTAAAAGACACAACAGATAGAAATACGCGTTGAATACTCGTCTGTTGTCGAACATTAATATCTGAACATTCAAATTTCAAACGTACCATCTTGAAACGTTCTCACTTCAGTGACATCACTCCAGGTTTTACCGCCCATCGTGCTAGCTCCGAGCTGAAAGCCGTACATCAGGTAAGGTTTCATATCAGTCATAACCAGAGAGAACTGAATACTTGCATTAACAATCTTTCTGACACCAGAATCAAGGTTGTGTCTCATTATTTCGTAGAACAGTAAGATACCATTCTTGCGTGCTGGTGGTAGCCAGGTTATCTCAACTGATGTGGAGTTAAGGACTGTTACATTTGGAGCTGTTAGACCCAGAGGAGCTGGAAGATAAAATTTGTCATTTCACTGAGAGTTTTAATGATTATCTGAGGTAGTACATGGTAATTTTTTACTTGTATCAGGTAGTTGATAAACAAACTACAGCTTCATATTTTACTTACCTCCCTGTCCAGTTCTGCCTTGCACGATGTTACTAAGAATATACCCAGCTGAGTTCGAAGCATTGATTTGAAATACAAATGACGTGAAAGGCAATAATTCGGTGAATAACATCTCTTGAAGTGGATGAACGACTCTGGCTACAACACGAGTATCATTCTCAGTCGTAAACGTTCCATGGATTAAAAACTCGCCGCTGACAACCAGGTTATAATAGACAATCCCATTTGGCGTGTGGACTGGACTCCACTGAGCACGCGCACTTGTGGAGTTAACAATTGTCACGTTTAAACTGACAGTTCCATTAGGCGTCGCCTCGAGTGTTGTTCCGTTTCCAACCACGCTACTGCCACAACCTTTAGCTGTACAAGCGGTTGTTCTGAAGTAATACCGGGTATAAGGAGTTAGTCCATCCTTCGTATAGTTCATTATTGATGTTTCATTCAACACTGGAACTTCATCTCGTCCAATCACTTCATGAAGTTCATAACGAGTGATGTTACCATTGGGTAACCTTGGCTCCAATATCGTTACCAGAATGCTATACGGGCTCAGACCTCGAACCAATGGCGGTGGAATATCTTCAGGACTGCTCTCAACTGTTCTTCGTCTGGTTGGTAAACTTATGGTGGCTCCACCTCCATTGATGGCTTTCAAACGAAATGAGTACCAGGTTCCAGCAGTAAGATTAGTAATTTCAATCAATCGTTGATCTGCAGTGCCATTTAAAACTAACGTTTCCCAACTATGGCCACCTGTAACAAGTATTTGGTAACCACGTATAATACCGTTTCTAATTCCAGGCTCCTTCCACGTGACCTCAGCGCGGTGAGCTCCTAAAATTCGCACGCCTGGGGGACTGAGCCCTTGCGGTGGTATCTCCGCTGTGTAGAATGTCTCAGGCTCACTCGAAGCACAGCCAATCTTAGTGCAAGCTGTCATTTGGATCACATGACGGGTATAAACACCTAGGCCAGTTTGATTGAAGGTTTGGTTTAATCCACCGTAGACCTCGGTATTGTTGATAGTCAGCCGGTATTGGAATTAATAACACCGTTAGGTTTTCTAGGTACTCCCCAGGATATCAGTAGAGAATGTGGATAACGTTGAACGTCTGGGGATTGAACACCTTGCGGCACTAGAAACACGCAAAAAATTCATCACAAATTTAAAACAAAATATCTGTATAAAGAAGCAGCTCAATCTTTGAGAAAGATTTTTATTTCTTACCAGATTCTAATGTACGAACTTCTTTGCCTGGACTCTCTCCAGTTCCCCCGTTAGTAAACGCCGCTACTCTAACGTCATACCAAGTGTAGGGTTCCAGTCCACTGAGTGTGGCATTGACAACACTGATATCATTAAGCACCATCTCAACTGGTCGGACGGAGGAGTTTCGAACGTGATAAGCTCGCAAGATATAACCGCGTAACACGCCACGGTAGACCTGTGGTGGTTGCCAGGTAACACGCGTGGAACGTCCACCGTTCAATGGAATGACGTCACTCGGAGGGCGATAGAATTCGGGAGCTAAAGATCAACGACAATATGTTTGGTGAACTCAAACAGCAAGAACTCGCATGCAACAGACGTGAAGGCGGACTGAGGCAGCTCCATATTACAAGAACCAAGGCTCGGACACAGGGGGGAGGGTTATCAGATATATTCCTACCTCCTTCACCACTACGAAGAACAAACCAAGAACTCGCTCCACCCCCCTCAGTTCCAGGCTGCTTGCTCTCAACACGATATAAATAATCTAAAAAAAAGATAAACATCAACTCCTGAACATCAGCTCCTGAACATCAACTCCTGGCTCAATGAATTAATGTAAATAACTGAACATAGAAAATATTACCTGTGAATGAAGAAAGTTGTCCATCAACTAAACTCTCCTCTGAGCCGACATACACCAGGTTTGAAGTCTCATTCTTACAACCTTCAGCAAAGCTGCTATTCACTCGTCTTCTCGTGGGACATCCACCCAAGTCGACATTCATAACCGAAGCAACATCTCTCAAAATATCCACTTCATTTGGAGTTTTAATATTCCTGAAACATCCGCCAAATGTCGAGTCCGTATTCAGCCCAAAACTGCCTGCTTTCTGGGCAGCAAGTGACCCGAAAGGCAGGCCTCCAAAGTAAAGCTCTGACGTGACACGAAGCTTAGCAATATTGATAGTTGTATTTGTTTTTCCGTCCACCTCAATGATGGAGTAGATTCCTGCAAAGTTGATGAATTCTAGTGTATGCCAGCCACCATCGCATACTTCTTGTAATGGCACGATTGTTATGTTTCCATAGCAACAACTCGTTTGATAAATTACCCGGATGTCGCCAGAATCCAAACTAACTGTGAGATAAGTATCGTTCCCAGACTTCTCGCCATAAACAAACATTAACATACCCGATGTGTAGACTGTTCGAAACTCAAACGAAAATTTATATATGTTTCCACCTGTGAATAAACCTTTCCTTAAACTCAAGTAACCTCCGCCTTTAAGATAAAATCCTGTCTCGTGATCTTTAGGACAGCCGCTGGACAAGGGTTCCACACTCACTTTCTCAACAGCGTTATCTAAGATGACGCGTTTCTTCTGCTGACGCAAATCTTTCAGACAACCAATGAAATTATTGCTATTCTTGAGGCTGTCGACATTGTCCAATATCTTTTTCTTCAGGGTAAGTCCAGATTTCAGTCCTCCGATATAAACACCGGTATTCTTACCAAGATACGACGCACCCGTTGGACTTTCGACACGACCAACAAAAACGCTGTCAACGGTGATCTCGCCAACACGACGAGAGCGAGTTATTGCAACAAAATGCCATTTCTTATCGTTAAACTTGGGTGAATTCTTGACAGTTGTTTCAGCACTGCCAACTCCAAGATCAAATATGAGCCAAGGTCTACCATCTCTTATTTCAACAGCCAGGAAATCATCCTGTGTGACTGAAGCTAAGAAAATGATCAAACCATCGGAGAATCCAGTCTTGAACCAGAAATCTACGACGGTACTAGGGCCCTCTGGGATTGTAGATTGGCTCAGCAAATAGTATCCATGACCTGGAAAGTACGCGCCTTTGATGGCGTTGATTGGTGGGTAATAAAATGAAGCATGGGAACGAGTCAGGTGATATTCAGGAGGAACGGGTCCATTGGGATTCGTTGGGAGTTTCCATCTTAGAACAACGTGAGTTGAGTTGAGTGGTTCGCCAGTGGGAGGTGACTGGCCGGATGGTGCTGAAAAAACACGAATTATTTATTAATTATGGACTTACCATGATTCAAATGAGATTAGCATTACAGAACTCTATGGAGATTAGCATACAACAATGTGGTTAGCATCAACCAAGATTGAGCGTACTCGGTCAACTACTTCATGTTACTGTACCTGATGGAAGCGTCCTAGTTCGAGTTTCCGCGCTATGCTTAGTACATCCAACACTATTACACGACGTCACCGTAAACTTGTAGACAGTGTAAGGTTGAAGTCCGCTGACCACAACGCTAGATGTCAAATTTGCAGTCTGCTCTAGGACTGGTGTTGAGTAAGCCGTTTCATTGGTATAGATGTATACACGTGATGTGATGATAATACCACGTGGAGAAGAAGGAAGATGCCACGTGATGTTAATTTTAGAGCTGGACACTGCATAAGATTGAGGCCGAATAGCGCTCTCTCCACTTGGAGCTAAAAATAAATAAGACAGTTTAGTAGATATTAAAATACCGAAAGATACCGGAAGATTAACGTTTAAACCGGATTCCAGTTATTTCACAAGTTAGCCGATATCAATCAATCAATCAATCACAGCCTCTTCAGTTCTCACCTGCTTCAGCTGTGCGTCCTCTAGTCCAGTTACTGGCAGTATCACCAGCGACCTGAGCTGTGTAAGATACAACTTGAAACTCGTACCACGTGAAAGGAATCAATCCACGGATCGTCGTGTTCCTTAAGTTATCCGCTCCAGGATTTTCTAATGGGTGTGACCTGTACGCCACTTTCCCGCGGTTATCTGGATGCGAAGGAAAGAGTCGTTTAAGTAACTCATATTGAAATATTCGACCATTAGGTTCCGCAGGTTCATCCCATGAAACAACAAAACTTGTCCCACCGGGTAAAGGAACCAGATTAGGTGCAGGCTGACTATCAGGAGCTGTTTGACTGGTGAGAACAGTCTTCGCTTCACTCACTGTGCATCCTACGGAGGTGCAAACTCGTATCGTGAAATTATAAACCGTAAATGGTCTTAAGTTAATGACATCACATTTCAGCACCAGGCCTCGGCAGTGTTCAATTGTGTTGAAATCTCTGTGATTCGTTGACTCCAGAAAGAACGAGGTTAATTTTCCATTGGATGTAGTTGGATATGACCAAACTGCTTTGGCTGATCTGGGCTGAATATCTGAAATATTGGGTCTGGACACACCCTGGGGAACATCTTCCTTCGTACGGTAAAGTTTACCATCGTCATAACTTCGTACACTTCCGCCATCTGTGTTCGTTACAATATGATAACTATACCATGTATATGGTCTAAGACGTGTGTCGTTGAATTCTCGTAGCAGGCCGGTATACACTCGAGATCCATTTCGGTAGAGTTCGTAGCTCGTGATTAGCCCATTTGGCTTGTCTGGGGGATCCCATAGGACACGCAAGGTTGTTGAGGATATCACATGAACAAAAGGAGGCCCTTGTTGAGACGGAACTCCGCTACAACCAAAAGTATTTTCCTCTTTCAAACTCCTCGTTCCAGGCTTACACGTGTCGCATCTGGTTCCCTGGACATTCTCTTTACAATGATAACACCCTGCTCTGTCACAACCATCTTTTTTTATTCCAGCTTTATTACAATCACATGAGGTACAGCTTCCTGAGGTAAAACTATGATATCCTGTTAAACATTCATCACAGAACTGCCCTCCAACACCCGTGCCATTCTTACACGTGCAAAATCCCGTTGCATTACAGGTTGTTGAGGCTGATCCTTGAAGATGACACCTGGGAAGAAACAGAGACAGTTCATTCATGAGATCACAGAATATAACACAGTTGTCATGCTGGTCAATAATTAGTCAATTTGACTTAAGAATTACAATTCTACTACATCAATTAGTTCCTCACCTGCAAGCAACACAACCCTGTCCTGCTTGATTCCAAACATAATTAGTGTCACATTGATCACACTTCAAACCACGCACATTGGAAAGACACAAACATTGACCACTAGTGCTACTGCATTGAAGATCACTATTCTTTGTACCATCTTGTGTCCCTTTACGATAACATTCACATGCTTGACAACCATTAGGATTACTTGAGGTAAGGTTGTAGTACCCTCTAGGACACTGGTCACAAAATTGTCCCGTGACATTCCTCTTACACGTACATACCCCTGTAATGTTATGACATACCCCTAAGGTTCCCCTATTATCACACTGGCACCTCGTACATCCATTGCCATTTGACTGACGTAGATTGTAATGTCCCGGTTTACAACGGTCGCATGTATATCCTGTTACATAGTTTTTACATTGGCACTGACCACTAACAACGTCACAGCGTTTTGCTGCCCCAAACCGAGTGCCACGTTCTGAGCAATGACAGGATTGGCAGCCTGAAGTAGTCAAAGTGTGGAAGCCTAATTTACATCGCTCACATTGACGTCCAGTAACTGTATTACGACAAGGGCACTGACCGTTGGTTTTATCACAAAGACGGCTCGTAGAACCTGACATGTTACATAAACATGGCTGACAACCCTCGGAATTAACTCTGGTTAAATTATAGAACATGGCTTTACACTGGTCACATCGTTGGCCAATCACGTTAGCTTTACATCGGCACTGACCACTAGCTGCGTCACAGGTGACGTCACCGTCCACAGTTCCTCTGACGTCACAGTTACACGAAATACAGCCAGTGTCATGTGTTGATTTAAGATCATAATAACCAGGTTTACACTGAGTACACAATCTACCAGTTACGTTGTCTTTACACTCACACTGACCAGCAAGAACTGTAGTATCAGAATCATCCTAAAATACATATTAAATAAATTATATCGTGATAATAAAAAGGTCAAAGAAATATCTCACAAATCACTTCACAGTATTTCATGTATACCTTAACACAATCTTGTTTGCCAGACTTCACCCCAGGTCCTGCACATCCACACGGCGTACACACGTCAGTATCGTTTAAAGCTTTCCCAGGCTCCCGGTAGAACCCCGCCGTACACGACTCACAGTTTTTACCAACGGTATTGTGTTGACATTCAGAACACACGCCACCACCGCCCTTAGCACGGTCGTTAGGGAATGGGTCTGATGCCTGGTTATAGTAGCAACTAGTAGCATGGTTGTGACATTCACACTTCACACAAGGATAAGCCGCGAAATTTGTGCCCCGTTTGAACGGTTTGTTGTTGTACAAGGCTTGACACCTGTCACACTGAATGTAGAAACAATATAAAAGTTATATGACACGTCGTGTTTCACTGTTTCTACAATAAACTGTCGTGGTTTGTGTCTGAATTACATGAAAAAATATCTTAAACGTGATGACCCATTGTAGGTAGTATTCTACAATAAGCTGCCCTGGATGTGTCTGAACTACCTGAGAAAGATCTCTCAAACGTGGTGGTCCAGTGTAAGTAGTATTCTACAATAAGCAGTCGTGGTTTGTGTCTGAACTACCTGAGAAAGATATCTCAAACGTGGTGGTTCAGTGTAGGTAGTATTCTACAATAAGCAGTCGTGGTTTGTGTCTGAACTACCTGAGAAAGATATCTCAAACGTGGTGGTTCAGTGTAGGTAGTATTCTACAATAAGCAGTCGTGGTTTGTGTCTGAACTACCTGAGAAAGATATCTCAAACGTGGTGGTTCAGTGTAGGTAGTATTCTACAATAAGCAGTCGTGGTTTGTGTCTGAACTACCTGAGAAAGATATCTCAAACGTGGTGGTTCAGTGTAGGTAGTATTCTACAATAAGCAGTCGTGGTTTGTGTCTGAACTAACTGAGAAAGATATCTCAAACGTGATAGTCCAGTGTAGGTAGTATTCTACAATAAACTGTCGTGGTTGTGTCTGAACTACCTGAGAAAGATATCTCAAACGTGGTGGTCTAGTGTAGGTAGTATTCTACAATAAACTGTCGTGGTTGTGCCTGAACTACCTGAGAAAGACATCTCAAACGTGGTGATCCAGTGTAGGTAGTATTCTACAATAAACTGTCGTGGTTGTGTCTGAACTACCTGAGAAAGATATCTCAAACGTCATGGTCCAGTGTAGGTGGTATTCTACAACAAATGCCGTGGTTTGTGTTTGAGAAACATGTTTTTGTTAAAAAATGAAATCACCTTATCTCCTTCAGTAAAGGTCGATGGTTTACATTCACAAACACAAGTTCCGTTGTTCGTTTCGTTTTTGGGAAGATATCTCGCAACTTCCGCATTACCGTGACATTCACACCTGGAATGATTGGAACAAAATATTATACTGTATGTGCCAATTACGTTACCATATCACAGGTCAATAAAGCACGTCTCAGAAATAACATACCGTCCAGTAATCACGAGCTTAGATAAGCCAAAATACTTTTTCATGGAGTCGGAAAACATCGTATGATTATAGAAGCTGATCCTAACGTTAGTGGCACGAAGGAAATTCAGAAGTTTTGGCGAGCAATGCAAGCTTGTGCATGATCCTCCGTATGGTCTTAATGGCACATTTTTGGCTCCAGGATTGTTTGGTCTGAATGATATTGTTTCTCCGGTATTTTCCAAACTAAGGAGATGGAAAATCTCGGTGAATGAATCTACTATAGATTGTTAGTCAGTTGTTAGTCAAATATTTTACCTGGGTGTCCTTAAGCAGTTAACTGAGTCTGGTTGACCTAAAGGACCATTGTTTAGCATACCAAATGATTTCTGACAATCAACAGCATAGTACTGCCATGGTCTATAACTTCTTCCATAGTCATTGGAACGCTCAAGGATAATAGCCGCAGGAATTGGGCCATAAAACTCATGGATAACATGAAACACCTAATCAAAGATGAAATAGAATTAAAAAAATTTAACATTTTCTCTTTTTCTTCCTTTAACTTTGTAATTTTTGGAATCAATACCATGAAAATATTTCACATTTTACTGACCTGTAATTCCCCATACATCAAATCAACATCAATGGTAACTTGTTCAGTATCTTGAGACAACCAGTGACTCAATGAGTCACCATCTGTTGCAAACTCAATTGGATGAGCTGTGTCTGCAAGTCTGTCCGCCAGATCTGTCTGTGTCTTATCACCGTTCTTTGCACACTTTCTACCTGGTAACGCTGAAGAAATTTTTGGGTGCATAGGTGGACATCTGCATCCTGATAAAATGTATGTACTTGGAAAGGTCCCTGTGTAGACTTCCGTTACTTCCCTGTGGGATAGAAAATTATAATTACTAGGACACAACTATAAGCAGACAATACACAACCAAATGATATCATATGTGAAGCAATTAAGGTGCAATATTATAACAACTTGAACTAAAATGTTATAGTTATATAATTACTTCAAGCTACCTGTTGGTTAGAGCTTTGTTATAGAAATATATATCTTGCATAAGACCACTATAGTTATTTGGTTTATCACCTAAAATATAAGAAATAGGATAAATTACATCTTTTATAGTAACAAGTACATATCCTATCTTTATGTGAGGAAGTACACGATAATAATCTATTACAAATTATATACATACTAGCAAACATCTGGCCAATCTGAGCTCTGCCATTCACATCAGCTATGTTATTTCTTAAAGTTTTCATTCCAACATATTCTCCATCCAAAAAATATGATAGTTTTGTATCAATGACCATTACACATATAAAATGCCACCCCTGAGGATCATTTGGATATTGACTAGCAAGAGGGGAGACAGACTTGATATCCTGAGTATTATTGGAACCTTCAGGTGTATAATATAGAGTGATGATGAAATTTTCAAGCACAATGCCATATATCACTGAAGTTGATATCAAAGGTGACTTTGTAAATATTGTTCTGAAAAATTAAAAAAGAATAAGAGAAATCTTTAGTCTCATAATTTTCAATTGAATTCATCCTTTCAAATAGAATGCTACAAGTGCTTGATTTTGGGGCATTAAAATCCTCTTAGTACAAATTGAATAAGGACTATTATATAGATCAATTGAACAAGAAATTACCACTAATACAAGTTCTAATTATGAACTTGCAACAAGCAAAGGTAGATCACTCATTCTAATTAAGGTTTGTTACTCTCACATACCCTTTATTTCCGAGGGTTTGGTTAACCCAAAGGCAGATGGTAAACCCTTTTTTTTTGTGGTCAACTGGACGTAACCTGGCAATATCTATATAAGATCCTTTCCGTGCATCAAAACCTAAGGAATTCTTATTGGATCCTGGTCTTGGTTGACCATCATATATATTACTATATCTTCTTTCATCATCTGTTAAAGAAAATCCATTTGGTGGAGCCTTGCCACAGGTTGGACAACATCCAGACTTGCAAATCTTAAATTTAGTGCAACCTTTGGGGATTTCCTTTGGATCACAATATCTTGTTTCAGTCTCGCCACAGGTCGACGAAGCTTTTATTTCGCTATTTCTAGCAAAGTCTTTGAGTTGTAGAAAGTAACCATTAACTCGCGAAAAACCGCAGAAAAACAGGAGCGAAAGAACAAGCAAATGAGCAATACGTCCCATATTTGAATAAGCAAGCGTGATACGTTCTTCAATGTATTCTCCGCGTGTGAAGACGCTCTCCAAAATTTTACTCAATTTAGTTTAAAACCTCGTTACATTGCGATAAAAAACAGTTGATCTCGTAGTTTAACTCTATCGGAATGCAAGCAAATAACGAATTATTTTAGTTTAGTCAATTGAGCTTTTCCTTCGTGACTCGACGCTATGAACACAAACGCAGTTGGTAATCTTACAATCTGATTGGTTAAAACTGCGCTAAGCACCACCCTTGGTTACCAAAACCTAACTTTCAAAATATTCGTTTGTTTACCTGAATAAACTTGTTGGCAAGTAAAATATAACATTCTTTAGCAACTAGGGTAGAACTAACAATCTTTTCTGCTCTTGTGAAAACAATAGTCATAAAAACCGTTTATAAATTGGAAATAAAACTGTTAACTGAGCGAGATTCTTATGAAACATTCCAAGAGCCTGATTAGTATTAATTAAATACCGTTTATTGATTATTATAATAATTAATTTGGTTCTTTCACGCGTGGACACCACGCGTGTTATAACCGGTATTTATTATCAAACATGGCAGCGTCGAGGAGCGAAGAAGAACTTTTAAATGACACAATATATGGACTTAGATCTACCTCCAAAGGGCAGTTATCATATGATGAAGATTGGCAGATAAATGATGAAGTGTCAAAGCAACTATCGTGCTCCTTTCAGTCATTTTTGAATGAATCATTTGCAAGCTTATATTTAGAGGAAAATGAATCTAATACGATGCCAACAATAGAGAATGGAACGGAATTTACCTCTAAGACAGAGCTCTCTGATAGTTTAAAGAAGAACGATGATTTGTTTGAGATTCCGATAAATTATGATGTTGAAAGTAAACTTAGCATAAAAGAATATCACGAGGAGTGTCGCGGAGATGTGGAACAACGGAAGGCGAAACGGAAACACGTATTTGACAGACGGTTCAAAAATTTAAAGAAAGATACTGAAAACACGTTGAGGAGTAAACAGGAATCCTTAGCTGAGGAGAAGAGAGACTATGAAGAAAAGATAAAGGAATTAAAACAGCAAAATGAAGAAGAGTTGCAAAGATTGAAAATTGAACTTGATAAACAAAGGCAAAAATGTATGGAGTAAAATTGGATGAAATATTGACAAGAACTCTGGCAGAAGAAAACTTTTTAGCAATAGAAAGGGAGGAAAGAAGAGCTGTTGTGGAAAATTTAAAGACAAAAATCTCCTCACTATACCAACATGTTTTAAAAAACGTTGAAGTAATTGAACAGAAATTCACTGATTCTAAAAATATGTCATTTGTTGATGCTCAAGTTTATGAAGAGATCTCATCAATGTTAAATGAAATAGTTACAAAAGGCCGACGTGCTGTAGTTGACAGTGAGGCAGTTGATGATCCTTCAAATGCAAAGACTTATTCTGAGTTTATGAATAAGTTGATACAAGTTACTTTCTCAATTGATGCTAAGGTTACAACCATTTTAGAGGAAGCGCATGAAAAAGCAGTAAACGAGTTGAAAAAGAGAGAATTAGAAGAAGAGGAGAAAATTAAGCTTGAGGCAATAAAACACGAACAACAAGAGCAAAAACGTTTCCAAGAACAAAAAGCAAGAGAAAGAGATATAATTCCTTCTGAAAAAGAAATAAGTGCAGATCATAAAAATAAGTTGTCTACAGAATCTACCAAAGACATCAGCAAAGGCAATGAAGTATCATCTCAGAAACTTTTACAATTTATTTCTACAAACACTTTAGAAGAGTACACAACATTGCAAGAACATTTGTCAACGGTTCAGGCATCATATAAAGAATTCATTTCAGATTCAACACAAACAAAATATAAATTTGATCTGCAAAAAGCTGTCAATACTCCAATCAATGCACTCTCAGCTCATTCGCCAAGTCAATTAAATGACAAAATACTTCGTCTTGTGAAACTATTGTCTGGAGGTAACGTTGAAGTTGGAGGGAAGAGAGTAAACTGCAAAAATCATCCAAGTGCTATGGTATGATAGATTTTGATAGATTATCCACTTCTCGTATCAATCTCAATGTCCTTAAAATTTGCTTTCTTTCTATTAGATATATTGCAAAGATCTGGTGGCCAAAAAGCTGGTTATGCAAGGTGCCCAACAAGTGTCATCAAACCCTCAATCTGCATTTCTCTATGCAGCAGTCATGGTTGGAATATGGTCTGCATTCCCAGATGTTGGTCAGCTTATTTTGGCCCATTTCCATAGAAGTTACCCATACCTTGTTCCCTACTACATGCCCCAAGTTGAAGGCCAGTCGAACAATGATTTCCACAAAGCTTTGGGTTACTCTGTCAACAATGACAAAATTGAAGATGAGGATCATTTTTTGAAGAAGTTCTCTGGAACCGTCCAGCTCTATGCTGCAGTGGTTACATCGAAAGGGGCAACCACGTCTGACCATCCTCATGGTATCGACAAGGGTTGGACCTGGCTAGCCAGGACCCTCAACCTCAAACCTTATCCAAGCATCACTGCTACCATGTTATACGAATTTATCAAAGTTGCAGGACACCTCCTAATGAAACAATACGGTAAACAATTTCAGAAATTGCTTCTTATGTTATTCAAAGATTTTATCCCAGCAATGGATGAGGTAACACCAGCAAAGAAAAAAGCTCCTGTTCAGAGATTTAAAGACTTCTTAGATGAATGTGTGAAAACACAAAAGATTGCCGTACCAAAAGGTTACCTTACAGAACGTTGGTGGCAGAGTGGACACTTCTAGTTTATTTGTACCTAGTCAGAGAGTGAAATTGCTGTGTTTTTTTGTGAAATGCCTTACATTTAAATGATTAAATGCCAGACAGGTGTTTTTATGCTGTTTGCACAAAGTGGAGAATAATCAATCTTTCAATACACGAAATTTCAATCCAATTCAATAAATGGTTTTGATTTTATTTCCAGATATTAGTTTACAAGTTTACAGCTGTTCTAACACTAAAATTACATATTTTCAATTGTCAATGGTTGACATGTTACGATCGACACGTTGCCATGTTGCAATATCGATCGACTTGTCTTTACTACACACAGTCACACACAGGACTATTTAGATTATCTTCTCAAGTGTTACTTGGGGTAATGGACCATGACAATATCGGAAACAATTGGCTCTGTTTCTTGCTTCAAATCGACGGGGTGAAATGTGTCAGTGAAGTAATCACCTTTACGAATCCACTCGTCGCCAGTTGGTTTCCAACCAACATTCAATACTGCAGATAAAGAGTTCATTGGTCCCAAATGCTTTGGCTTTTCAAAAATAATTGTGTAGTTCAATCCTTCAGGCCCGAGTTTTGTTCCTAACGGGAGCAGTTGTTCATATTTGCCCAAAACTACAGCACTGGCATCCATAAGACTTGTGTCCTCAAGCTTCACGGTGAAAAAAGATTCTTTGCCCAAGCTTATTCCTTCGTCTTGCCCAGAAACAGTGACCTTACCCGTTACTTTCATTTTTTCACACTCTAACAGTGTAACACATGTTGAACAAACAAGTAAAACTGCAAGGTAAAGTCCTACGCAGGAACCACGGGCTGCCATGTTTGTTTTGAAATAAAAAATTTAAACCTCGCGTTTTGCGCGCCAACACGCGCGAAAATGAATATAACGTCACACAGACACAAAACAAGTTCACTGCACAAAACATGATATATCATAAAATATATATTGAACACTGTTTTCTTTCTTTGCAAAACCGTTTTGTGACACATATAGTCGCATTATTATTATTCCACACTATAGAGAGTTAATAGTGTTTTTTGTATTGTAACCAACCCAACCATTGATGCTTTGGTTACAAAACATCAAGTATAATGTACTTCATAGATTCCACACAGTAACAAATTATTTGTCTTTCTCTTTATCTAACAAAGCAGATCTTATACCAACTTTACTAAGTTCCTCAATCAACTCTCCATTCTGATGTAACTGTATCATAATATCACAACCGCCAACCAACTCACCACCAACATAGACCTAAAATTTGAATAACAAATAACAATGTAATCTACAAGTGTAAGGTTGGCAAACCAATTTGAACAATTGCTTTAACCATTTATTTGAACCATTGCACAACAGATATTGCTAGCTGATGACATTATAACATAATTATGCCATATTTTTACATGCCATAATGGTACCAAATATTGAGAAGGCATCATACATTTTAATATTAATACCTTTCACCTCCAAAATTTATTCTATAATTCAGTATTTTAAATACTACCTTATTTTTTACTATCAAATTACCATCTTTTTTCATTTATACCTGTGGAAAAGTTGGCCAATTTGAGTATGTTTTCATACCACTCCGTAACTCGTCATCCTCAAGTATATTGTAACTGTCATATTCATCAACTCCATGCATTCTCAAAATCTGGACCACAGCATTACTAAACCCACACATAGGTTGAGCTGGAACTCCTTTCATAAAAACAACAACTTTGCTCTTTTGTACAATATTGTCTAGTTTGTTTTTGTTCCATTCTGTGTTAGTACAAAGGAGCCTTCTGGCTTGTAGTGTTGGACAACTTTTTGTCAAAGGTACAAAAGATTTTGTAAAAAGAAAACTTCGTCGAAAAGTATTGAAAAGCATGATGCATGTACAGTTGTTTATTCCTAATATTTCTCTTCCCCCCCGGTTTTCCGAACTTTCCATTAATACATTCAGGGGGGTACACAGATTGATTTTGAAACCCGAATCAGAACAACCCTCCGGAAACAACACAATTTGATTAAATATCAGGGGGTGAACAATCCACGGACTGTTTTATGCAGATTTCGCAACAATTTCGAAACAATTCAGCTGCGAAGAAGACAATATCTGCATCACATTCAAATTATTTATTTGGTTAATTTCGCTGTAAAGCTAGCTTATCATTATTTCTTTCAGTTTTTCCGGTGATATTGCACCTTGTTTAGCTACAACTTTCTCTTCGCGCAATTGTATTCAAATAAAGTAGAACTTGGTATGCAAATAAATACTACACCATGACAAATTACTTCCGGGAGCGCAAAGTCCAATAATCGGATGTTGAAATTCTATCATTCCTACGGAAAATCGCTTTCCTCGATTAAAGATAACACTAAAATTTCACAGTAGAAAACTAATCATTCCCTAAAAAGGACTGAAATGATAGCATTTCATTGTAATAGTAATTATAAAATATGAAGAAAAATTTTTATCCAATTTGAAATTTGGGTATCAGACGATCTGACGTCACAGATAATTAAATAAACATAATTTTTTTCAAATCGTCTTTCTTTTCAAAGGCGGAGTTTGTACAAGGAAAACCCTTTCTGCTGTTTCAAACGCTAGAAATGGGAGGCCAGGTATCAAGAACGGATTTTGAATGGTCTTATACAGAAGAACCTCACGCTACTAGAAGAAAAGAAATTTTAAGTACGTTTGTTTCGGCTTTTTACTATCTTATTCGTATATTGAAGTGTGTTTTCAACTGTATGCTCTAATTTGAATGATTTTCAGACGTGATTTCAGCGCCGGCCGGTTTGTTTTCTGCCTATAGATTTAGCCTGTCTTAAATCTATAAAGGATTTACAGTCCTCTAGTGAGCTACGAATTACAAATATTGAATTAACTGGTGTGCGTTTGCGAAACTTTTTATATGGCGGACCAGTTGTTATGTTTCAATCTTTCCATTTTCATTTGGACAACATCCGAGTTGGTCGTGAGTGGCATTTCCTATGTCTTGTAGTTGAATGTCAAATACAAAGCATTAGTTCTTGCACTTTCACAGAAAAATATATTGCATTCCGTCCTGACATATCGCCGTATTTATTTTGCAATTTGACATTAAAGCCAGGTTAAAATTTGTTAAAATTTCAATCTTTCTCGTTTCACACGGGAGCACGCGCCCTAAATATATCTCTTTGTTTCTTTGACAAAAGAGGTTGCAAAGTGTAATAATTGTAGTGTTTCTAATGTTTTAAGGAGCTGCAGTATAGCGAAGCGGCGAGTCCTCGTCTGTTTCGTATTCTTTAAATGATTTATACAAACAAACTCGTGCAAGTTATAACAAGTTCAAATACTGTAAAGCCGACTGCGTACTTGTCTGCCTTGGGATAACATTTACGACAGTTATTCAAACTTTATTTCTATAACTTTCTCTAGAAAGGATGGGTCATTAGTTACGCTTGATTTTATAGCAATTCAATAAGACAGCTGCAAAACACGACCACTCCTTTGGCAGCATGCGAATAATAGAAAGCTAAGTTGTTTGGCTTAAAAGATTAATATTCTGTGCTCATATCTTTTAGAAAAATACCCAGAGATTAAAAAGCTTATGGTGGTGGATTACCAATTCAAATACGTCGTAATTAGCCTGGTTTTTATTCAGTTCATTGCTGCATATTTGGTAGGAAAATATGCTAACTGGCCTGCAGTGTTTATACTGGCATATTGTTTTGGTGGTGTCATAAACCATGCATTGCTTCTGGCTATCCATGAAATATCACATAATGCAGGATTTGGTTATTCAAAGCCATGGCACAACAGAATCCTGGGGATGATTGCTAACCTACCTATCGGTGTTCCATGCACATTCTCGTTCAAAAAGTACCATCTAGAACACCACCGTTACCAAGGACAGGATGTTCTAGATGTTGACTTACCCAGCGAGATGGAAACCAGGCTATTTACCAACACCCTCACAAAGTTCTTCTGGGTAATAATGCAACCATTTTTCTACACAATCCGGCCATTGTTTGTCAACCCCAAACCACCTCTACCAATGGAAATATTTAATTTTGTCAGCCAATTTGGAGTTGATGTTCTGATAGTTTACCTCTTTGGTGCCAAAGCCTTGGTCTACCTGATTGCTGCCAGTTTATTGGGTATGGGTTTACACCCAGTTGCAGGTCATTTCATCTCAGAACACTATATGTTTAAGAAAGGATTTGAAACATACTCCTACTATGGTCCTCTTAATATGGTGACATTTAACGTGGGTTATCATAACGAACATCATGACTTCCCAAACATTCCAGGGTCGTTACTTCCAAAAGTACGAGAGATTGCACCAGAGTTTTACAACGCATTACCACACCATACCTCCTGGGTCAAAGTTTTATATGATTTTATAACAGACCCAGCCATTGGTCCTTATGCAAGAGTAAAACGCAAACAAGCTTTGAACAACCTCAAAAATGGAAAAAGTGTTGAACCAATTGAGGAGAAAAGTAACTGAACACACAAAAAAAATTTCAAAAATAATAATACCATCTGTAAACCACCACTGTTTGAAAGTAGGTTACACACTAGGCTTTTGCCTTTGGTACATTTTTGTCCACTTTGAACTTTACCTCTTGAATGTGAAAGTTTTTTCACACTTTCCTAGTTTATTTCAGATGTTTAAAACTTGCTAATGAATGATATAAAGGTTTGCATTTAAATGCACATATATAGCATGTTATAAATTTTAGCCGAAATTAATTATTCAAATACAATAACTGTAAATCTTTGCACAATAAAACTTGTTTTGTAATTGTCACTGGATTGATAAAAGTAGATATGATATCTAAAGACTTGCAACATTAGGGACTTTTGATCCGTTGTGGTTTATTGGTGATGTCTTTTTTCTGCATAGAAATGCTATTTACAAATGGATGAAACAAATGAAATGAACAGAGAAAGGATTTTATGTTCAGCGTAATTGATAGCAGTCAGAGCACAAAGATTTAGGCAGCTGCATTGCATCTGCGCACATCTGTTATTTGCATAGCTGCCTACTGGGTTTGTTCCTTAATGCAATTTTTTTCCCTTTCCAAATGATGCTGTTTTCATTGCTGATACCAGGGAATTAATTACATCAATTTTTACCTGGTTTTGTGTCTCAACAAGAGAGGGATTAGTGGATGTTCTCAACAGATTGCAAATTGCTCATACAGTAGCTCTCTGATCTTGTAGTAGTCATCACACACTGCTCCATCCAAACCAATACGTCCAGCTTCATTCTAAGGGAAGAAAATTAACTCTTATTAGAAAACAATTCCTGAAATTCCCATAACTTCATTCACCAGTATTTGATTGACATATGATTTACCCGGGTAATAGCGAGCACACCATTACAACAAACTAAGACTCCACCAGCAAATTCTGCCTGAATACCGTTCTTTTGAAGGATCTGCTTAAAATCTGACAACCTTGGATCATTTATAAACACCTGATCATGACCTGGAATCTAAAAGTAGGAAACCCAAATAGTGAGTTTTGTTGGATTACTGCACTAATAAATCTAACCACAGTGCCCACAACCACACAGTTCAAACACAGGTTTGGGTGTATTCCTCCCCACCTTACCTGCACACCTCCTCATTACCCAACCACCCACCCAACAAGTCTAGAAATCATACTGTACCTCAGTCAAAGGCAGTTGTTCTAAAACAGGTACTGAATCAAAGGTATCCACATCCATTATATCTTCTTGTGGTAAAGATTTCAAATGTTCCTTGATAAGCTGTCCATCAACCCAGGCAATTTCTGCATCACGCGTATCAGAAAACTGAAGTGCACTCACCAAGGAGTCACGTAGTATAATCTAAAGATTGGTAAAACCATGAATTGAGGAGCTCCACCAGATTATTTCAAATAAATACATACCCACCTGGTATATATGACTTTCCCTAGTGGCATCCACTGTCTCTCCAGTATTTGGTGTGAACACAGTCTTCACTTCCATATCGCTATTTCTACGGCAATATTCTGCCAAGTGTTTAGTTGCTTCTGGACTGCCGTGTACAACCACCTGGACAGAAGAAGTATTGTCTATTTATTGACCCACTGACTTCTAATATCAGATACTTCTGGAGTTCTCACAACTTACCAGCTGTCTTGGTTTGACAATAGAAATGATTCTCTTGATAGACTCACCATCTGATCTTCCTTCAAAGTCAATATACATGTGTGAACACCTAGATGGGAATAATAGTGGTTTTATTTAAAATTATTCTTGAACTAAATATTCAAATCACTACATTAGGTAACCATACTTGATATCAATTGTTCGTTTCTCCACTACGCATTTTGTTGGAACACTAAAACGATCATCTAAAGAAAGAATATGCAAGTCAAATGATGTAGTCACCTAAATTTACCCAATAGTCCTCACAAGGACATCACAAAGACAATACATACCATTTCCTACAGGAACCATTTCTGTGTCTGACATAACAGCATCTGCAGGCTCCTAGTTTTAAAAAGAACATTCATTGATGAAATAAATTTAATGTGCTTTAAAACTGTTCCAAAATTCCAGTTTATGTCCGATTGGTTAAGCTTTCTTATAACAGAAAACCAGGACAGAAACCAAATTGCCTGAAATTGCAATCTGAAATTGATTGCAAAAGATCAAGCCTGGTACAAAAAGGATGTCTTCCATTACAAACAACTTACAGTCTTCACTTTCTTTTCTTCAGGCAAAGTTGTTTCAGGTATGACATAATCTTCTGGTCTAATAATCTCACCATATTCATCCCATTTCACCTTCTCTTCCTTACAAGGAAACATGGGATATGATTTGGCTTGTTTGAAGAAACTACTCTTGTTTCCTCTCTGCAAAGAAGGCAAGGCATTTGTCAGGAACAAATTTGTGCTAGATTCTGTAATTAAATGTTTCTCAAATGCTTTACATATTCATTTAGTAGAACAAGTTTCTAAATCAAGAATCCATAAATTTTTTTGTGTTGTTTTGAAACACATTGAGAAGAAATAGGAATCCTGGGAATACCTTTTCATCGGACATCATCAAATCATGTCTTGCTTTTCCACCAAATGTCAAACCAACTCCTTCATCTTCGCTATCACTGTCACTCTCTGCAATTGTTTCTTTGCTGATGGGAGATATTACAGTGTATAGCCTTAAGTACTTAAAACTGCAAATGCTATTATTACAGGCATCTCCAACATGTTTGAGATAGTTCAAAGAAATACCTTTTGTTTCCTGAGTCTGTTATTTTCTTATCCTTTTCTTTCTCTTTCTGAACCTCCCAGTAACGCTCTAATTCTGCTCCCTCTAACTTGATTCTAGTCTTGATCTGAAAAAGTTTTGAACAATTAACTGGAAAAGCCCTTTTCCCAACAGTATCATTGAATTTTCTGGATAGCAATGCAAACATATCCCAGCTGATCACCCCAGAAAGGTTACAATTAAATTGGTAAAGTACATCGGGAATCCTGTACCTCTAAATCGATTTTAGTAGTGCCAGGATTATCAATGAGTTTTCTTGCTACAGATCCTGGTGCAGTTCTTGTTGAGAATATGATACTGTTTCTCTCATCTTCAGCCCATTCAATGAATAAATCTTTAGCATAACCTGACATGAGATCTTGCATACTAGCTAGTACTACCTAGGATAGCATAAGAATTTGTCAATTATTAAATAAACTATATTCTAACTAGGTAACCTAATAAGGTATAAAAACATTTCATGATCTTTGTATTCACCTTTGGGGAAGGGACCTTTTCCAAATCAGCCAGGTTGTGGCAAAGTTTACAATACCTGAAATAAAAAAAAGAGTAAGTATTGTTCGTGCAAATGTTTACTGAAATGTTTAATTTCTAAAAAGCAGGCTGCTTCTTACTTAAACTGATAAGGATTATTTCGACCAACTTCAAAAGATTTCATCACTTTATCACTCATCCATTCAACCTAGAGATCGACACATATGACATATACAAAACATTATTTTGCAATTGCAGACAGATCAAGTAAGTCCTTTGATCAATGCAGAAATGTGAAAACTTCAGTTACACACCAATGACTTAGCAAACTCCACAACATTGTAACTAACATTATTCAACAAAGCTAGTGAATATGCTAGAAGTCCTGAATCAGGATTCCGCCATAGCTGGTCCTAAAAAAATACAGGACAGGCGTTTATATATCATTAAAGATAATTTTCTAACAAATGAAATCAAGTATTAACTTACTAGTAACTGTGAGAGTTCTAAAACACGACCTGCTGTGTCTACTGCAAGAAGAACATTGCCACCTCTTCTTGTTGTTTTCAAGATTTGTGCTGCAATTAAGACTCTGATCTTCAGTGATTACTCTTGTTTTTAATTATTATTTTAATTAGAATCAAATTTTCCTGCAAGATTAAGTTCTCATTGACAATATTTGTTACATACACATGAGTTGAGTGTCTCTATCTCGCCTCCTCGCTTGAAAATTGAGGACATTGTAAGAGTCAGTTATAAGTAGCGAAGGTCCCGACTTAGTGTTTCCAAAACTGCACCATTTAAATGTCTAAAAATAATGCAAACAGCATTATATTAAAATCATTACTAGGAATAATTTCATTGCAAATTATCAACCTTTCTTTCTTGTGATTATAATCCACAGCATATATTATATCTTCTTCACCATCTTTAACAATTTTCCACATTGTACCCCCAATCATATGTCCCGCTGCATATGGAGTGATTGTTAAACCATGACCTTTGCCTATATTGGGAATTATTATCATCAAATATGCTAGCTCAACCCTGATGAACGCTGAGCTAAATCATTACAAACTAAAGTCAAATTGAGGTAGCAGTACCTTTCAAACTAACATGTTGGGAATACTTGAGCTGGATAATTTGATCAAATGCCGCATCAACATCATCCAGGGAAAAAAGTTCGAAATCTTCATAATTATGACAAGACTAAAATAATTAAAATTCAATGATAAATATGTAAAATAACATAAAAATATAGCTGCAAGGTGATTTCTGAGTACCATGGAATTGTAAACAAGGATTTTCTTACATAACACACATAAATGTAATGTTCTTACCTGATAAAAATCATACATAAACATTTGTCCCATCTTATAAACAGGAATGGTGCAATAGACTGGGCAAGTGAGGCCAGCATTACCAACAAGATATGGTAATGCTCCGAGATGGTAGATATCAGGATGACTAATCAATACTGCATCAATTTGATTTACATGTCTTTAAAAATATATACACCATTAGCATTAACACATCTCACAAACTTTACTATGATTTTACTATGTGACTATGCCCTTTTCCAGAATCTAGACAACTTCACCTAATTAGCAAGTGCTGTATAAAGCTGATTAAGCTAGGGCAAAGATCAGGCAATCATGTCCTAAACAGATCCCTGACCATAAAGCAATATGAACACAAGAATGTTGTACATGTGACAAGGAACATCCAACTATTAAAGTAAACTAACCGTTTTATAGGTTCAATAGCTTTTCCACTGACAGAAATTCATCCCATCCACAGTCCAATAAAAACCGAAACTCATCGACTTGTAAGAGATAAGCAAGTGGAGTCTCATCTTGTCCTCCTGAAAGAACTGTGAGCTTGATGATAGAAGTCATTTTAGAAGATTTTCGTGGCCAGTCTGCCCTACAATTGATGAAACTTTCTGCCTTTCCAAAATGAGGCAATTTCCAATAAACCGGCCTGCCAAGGATTAAGACACAGCAGAGACTATATATTATTTAGAATCACCAAAAGGAATAAAAAAGCATAATTTTTTCAAGTGAAAATTCAGACTGGCAGATAAATTCCGAACTTCCACGACGTCCACCATTTTGAATTTGACCGAGAGTGAAGCGTTGGAGGCATAGAACGAGTTACAGCACAGACACTTCCGTCCTTTTCGACTTTTTTTCGCTGTAAAATGTTTTCTAGTCAAAATACGTTTTTTACAAATTACGTTTCTATAGCGTCGATGAACTGTAGTGAACTTTAAATACCACTCAATTTATCTTTCCTCGCAAGGCACGCCTTTTAACAGCAACGCCCCAGTCATAATCCCCAGAGTTATGCAGGAAGGTGAACAAACATCATGGGTCTGGGGGCTGTAGTGCATCTCTCTCTTTTAGCTCTTATAATAAGAGCATTATTGGCGAAGGATTTTTCGGATAGCAACGTTTCTCGATTCTTTTTAAAATAGCTCAGTAAGTCCTCGGATATTGTCCATGGTTCGTCGAGGGAGACCATGCTGATAGGTTTGCTGGTGGTGGCCTATGGTCACTGGTCACCGCGAAGACAGTTGAATGTCTTTTCACCTACCTTTGCGCGGCAAAATGGTGCTCACATTATGTGCGGAGTGCATGAAATGTTGATGATCTGCTAATCTCATTTGAGATACTATAAATAAAATAAACTAGATTTATTGGATTGTCTGTTAATACCGAATTATCTCGAGGTTTCTCTCAGTTCTGCTGTTGCGAATTTTCTCGATTATTCAGTCTTTCTAGCAGGCAAATTCTTATGGCCATTTTTTACGCAAAAACCGCAAATATTAATCGCGATAATCAGAAAAACTTGTTATTTTTATGAGTAGTTGATACTGTTATTTTAACTGTACCCTGTTGTGAAATAGTTTGCAATCGTTGATTGAATCTCAATGTTAACTTCCTTTGTTAAATCAACACCAATTATCACGGAGTCAGTTAAACAGAAACCGATGAAATTTCTCAATTTACACTGGAATGTGGATATGACCAATGTCACAATATAAGAACTCACCTAGTGACCTGATATCCTCAGAATACCACAGTAACAAGCTCTAAGTATAAACGTTTCAAGCTCCACGTACTGTCAAGCTGATCAAGACCATATTCTGTTAAAGATGGTTAATACTTATCAAATGCTGCTATATTTTTTACTTGTGTTCCTGCTAGGTAAGAATTGCCACACAGAGGTATTTACGAGATTTTATTCTTCTCCAGGAAACTATTTCAGGCAGTGTATTTTGTGTTGTTTTGTTGTTGTGTCACTTAATTCGTTAAATTGAGAAAGTATGAAAAAGGAAATTTGGGATTAATGAAAACCTAAATGCATAAAGGAATCTCTAGCATGTTTTACGAAAATATGATGGGTATGTGTTGCATTCACGTTCCTGAAAAGGTCTGATGAAGAGAACTTTGTTATACGACAAACAATGTGAAAGTTACTTGAGATTGTTAGCAAGCTTACTATATAATCCTTTAACACAACGAGGTCATTGAAAATATAGAGTGCATGCGATTGAATGCTTAGACGTCTTGGAATGATAGGAAAGTTTAGGCAATCAAACTTCACGGCATGTTGTAATCAGTTGTTTTCGTTGTAGAGAAGCGCAAAATTACGAGTTTTTTTCCTCATCAATCAACTACTCTAATGTTCAAAGGCTCCACCTTAGCTACGTAACGACTTTATACGTGTAAAACACGGCTGAAGATACGTGCAAGTACACTCGTGTATATTTACTGCTATGCGATATCTCAATTCACACATCCTTCGAAGAACGAGAAGAATGTTTACATCATGACTGAATTAGGATACAAAACACAAATATACGTTTATTTAAAACATGATAGCCGTTGTTTTTTAACTTCTATTTATCAACATGTCAATCTGCCTCAGAGAGGGGTAAAAGATATCAAGCTGCGCCGTGCTGAGCTGATATCAATATCCAGGATAATTTTACAATGCTATTTTGTCTGAGTTTTTTTGTGATTTACCTGTAGTGAACAGAGGTCGGAGTATCGAGCATCGACAGAAACGCATAGTTGGAGGAGAACCAGTTGAAAAACCTGGAAAATGGCCTTGGATAGCATCACTCTGGTTCAACCAAACACATTACTGTGGGGGCTCAATTGTTGGTAAAAAATGGATCGTGACAACTGCACATTGCTTTCATGGTAAGATCCCGTACTGATATCGAAAATATGGAGGCTCAGTCTGGGTGTAAATATTTTGTTTTGTTTTTAGAAGCTCACACCTCACATGACCCGAGAGATTGGCTTGTCAAAGTCGGGAAACATGACTTGAGCAAAAATGAAAGTCATGAGCAAACTTTTAGCGTGGAACGGATAATTCGTCACCCAAATTACACAAGTATATGGGACACTTATAAAATTGATAAACCCGATGATAATGATGTCGGTAAGTATAAAATTACTTTGACTGGGTATTATAAAAAAAACTGGGTAATATTATTGAGATGTTCGTTATTTTTCATTGTTTTTAGCTTTACTGGAACTTAATGGCAAAATCAAATACTCGAACTATACACGACCGATCAGGCTTTTGAGAAATGGTATAAGATTTCATCCAGGTCACGAATGTTACATTGCAGGCTGGGGTCATACTTATTTCTCTGCAGATGCTATACAAAATATCATACGAGAGGTAAAAGTGGAGCTCGTCTCTCGAGAGAAATGCAACAGTCCTGAGTCCTACAATGGCAGTGTTCACGAGCGAGCAATTTGCGCTGGCTACGAGGAGGGTGGCCGAGATGCATGCCAGTATGACAGCGGTGGACCGTTGTTTTGCGGAAAGAAACAAAAAACAACTAAATGGTATTTAGTTGGTCAAGTGTCCTGGGGGGACAAGTGTGCAATGCCGCATAAATACGGGGTATATTCAAATATGGAGGCACTTGGACCCTGGGTTGTTCATACGATCAAAGCTTCGCGATCTAAAGTTCTATACAAGCGCATAGGCTGAATATGCGGTCCTTAAGTCTCCAGACAATTCTATAATCATAGGTTGATCTTGTACATACATACAATACGAAATCTTTATCATATATAATCATGTATTTTAAAAGATATTTCATATCAATCAGAAAAATCTGAATCTATAACGAATGCTTATTTGTGGATATACTTATATCGCATTTCATTGATTTGATTATTCGGTTGAAAATATGCCGCATATTTGTGCAATTTCTATCTAAAAATAATACTATTTAATTTGGCGAATAGAAATCTTTACTGCGCAAAGCACAATCGTCTGACAGAGATTTCATCAATCTCCTGGTTGGTGGCTATCTAATGGGGATGTGTAGCATACGTTTGAAGCTAATTATCTGGGTGATTCATACCGACATTGATAGCGCAACTCCACAGTTCAGTTGTTGAACAAGATCTGCCTGAGGGCAGTCGAGGAAGATGTTGAAATCTTGGGAAGATCCAGCGAAGCTCGTAACGACGAACCAAGCAACGCATTGTCAACAGTTCTGATGAATGAAAAATACTGTAGTGAGATTTGACAGTAAATAAATATACGAGGCAAAGGTCTTTGGAGGAATCGAATAAAAGGTGAAAGAGGCAGACGTAGTGTTGTTTCGTATCTCTTGTGTTTACACAATCACAAATCAGCCCTGCTATATATGAAGTCAGATATAACAATTATTGAGGAATATCGCGGTGTGCCTGAGTACTGGGATAATCAGATCAAGAACTTACCCTGTCCCATTCGCTCCACCAGCGTCCCCTTCTTTCCCAGCATTCATCAGTAGTGGGTTAGTCACGACGGGTTTAGATGAAGGTGTGACAGATCTCGTATTTCCAAGAGGTGTTGAAGAAGCAAGTGGACTGATGGGTAATGGAGAATCCCGTAGCCTAGCAGGGATTGCAGTCACACTTTTAGTCGGTCGTGTCTCAGCCGGTGAAGGCCTGGTGCCGGATGAAGGAGGCTGGAGTTCGGATTGAGACATAAGCTGATTCTCTGATTCCTTTTCCAAGAAACTCACAAACAATTCTGAGAACGACTGGAAGAAATAAAGAGTGTGAGGCAGAGAGTGTGAGGATAGAACTTTAGTAAAAGAGTAATATAGATATAATAAAATCTTTAAACAGACTTTACCTTATCGTGTTGTTGGGACTGATTACTACCAGAGTATGAGAGAAGGCCTGAGAACCAGCCAGTTGATTGAAGTGGGTGAGAACCAGTGCCAACCTGGGATAAGGTAACCACAGCCCACCAGTTAACTTGTAGTTGTAGAAAACGTTCTATACTCTAACTAACGTGCTTGTCGATTTATCATAAATTGGAGGTAAAAATCTTCAAAAAGATCTCACCTTTTTAATTTCTTCCTCAGTGAAGTTCAGTATATGACCAAGAATACCAACGACTTCACATCGTTTGTGTTCAGATGTGTTGAAATATGCGAGCAACATGTTCTTCATCAGACCTCTGAAGAAGGAAAATGATAAAGATTAAAACAAGGTTTGTTTTATAATGGATAGATTGAGTTCAACTACAACTGGGTCAATACACATGCAGGATTATTAATATATACCCTGCTAGGTCTAGAAACTGTACCCATTCCTCTAATAATTAACACTAAATTAAATTACTTTTCAATCCTGTTGTCGCTATTGCTCGTGAGCTTTCGTAACTTGTCGTGACTCGATTGTAAATCCAACTCCAAATTTCCAACTGAAATAAAAGGAAAAAAAGACGATAATTTCTTATTCCTATCAAATTACGTTTCTATACTCGTAAGATCATCTTACTCGTGAGCTTCAAACTCTCAATCTCGTCTTCCTTGATTTTCAGATCTTGACTCATTCTTTCTGCTTTGTTGAGCGTGTCTGAGGCATTCTCCAATAATTGCTAGAAACGACAAAGAAAGCGCCGGTGAGATAGCATTCGATTCCTGTAAACAACTTGATTTTGCAGTCTGATTTCAAGAGCAACTCTGATGCTGTTCCTCGCAGCTGCCTCTCAGACTCTGAGGCTGCTGTCTTATACCTGTAATTCCTGTTATTCCACAGACCTCATTCAACTGGTCATTACCAGTAATTCCTGTTATTCCACGGACCTCATTCAACAACTTGTCATTACCTGTAATTCATGTTCTCTTTCACGTAATCTCGTCTCTTCCTTCCTGACCTCGTTCAACTGCTCTCGATTCTTTTCATGTAAATTTCGTAGTTCTGATTCTTTCTCTGAAAAATATATCATAATCTCTTAACAACGGCTGTCAGGTGTGTCTCAGGCGTGTCTAGCGTTACGCCAACCATACCTCGTTGGAATTGTTCTAGAACCATTTGAAGATTTTCAACACTTCTCATGTACTGAAGACTTTGTTCCTGGGATTGTTCTAACAGAGCCTGCACTTCATCACGGTGAGCGGTTATGTTTATTAATTGTTCCTGAAGGTTCTCCATTCTCATCGATGCCGTGCGACTAACGAAGGACAAATGCAAATATGTGAAACACGGAATATGGTGACGAACCCTCACCTCAACACTCTGTAGCAAGAAGTATCAATGTTAACATACTTGCTGTCTTGCAGTGAATGAGAGCTGGTCAACAGTTGCTGTTGAATTTGTTCTAGTTGATTCCGTAATTCATTCTCCCGTTCCTCGCTGGCCAAAGCTTCCTGGGTGTAACTGTCTTCAACCTGCAATGAATGATGATCTAGATGTACAAACGTAAACTATCTCGAGGATTCGTCTATTTATCTTAATCTCAGATTCTTACCTGCAAAAGATGAGTCCGTAATCTCTCCAATTCTTTTTCCTTTTTCATTTCAAACTCTTGTGTAAGTTGTTTACTAGTTTCCAGCTCATTCTTCATATCTTGCGCTTCTTTTAAACTCTGGGAACATCTGTGGTTCAAATGTTCCAATTCTCTCTCTAAATCTTTGATACGCCTGTCTTTCTCATGTAAAACAACGTCCAGTTTCTCATCAGCTGAAGAGGTCAGTGTCGTAACCTCATCCCGCAAGATTGATATTTCATTCTCAGATTTCACTTTCATCTCGACCAGAGAATCTCTTTCTTGTTCCAGTATTTGATATCGTTTTTCTAGCAATTTATTCTTTTCCGAGAAAGCGTCTCTCTCAGCCAACCATTTTCTTTCTTTCTGCTTCAAAATATTGGAAAGATCAACGACTTGCGTCTGAAGTGACGTCATTTCATTTTCCTTTAGTTCCAGTAGTTCTATTTTCTCATTTTCCACTTCAACCATTCTCTGGTTCATCACATCTTTCTCGTGCATAAACTGTTCTAATTTTGCTTCTAATTGCGGATTAGAAATATTCTGGACAGAACTCAACGTTTCCACTTGTTCTTTGAGACATCGTACTTCATTTTCCTTATCGCTTAGCAACTTCGCACGATGGCTCTTCACTCTAGTTACCAGTTTTTCAAAATCCTCTCGGTTTTCAAGTATCTCAAATTGTTCATCTTTAAGATCCACATCGCTACTTATTACATCAAGTAAAGAACTAAGCTTGCTCTGCAGTCCCTCAACTTGTGAACTCTGTTCTAGAAGCAATTCTTCCTTCTCATTTCTTAGAGTATTAATCTCATAAATACGTCTGTTGTTCTCTTCTTTTTCTGCTAATATCTGCCTTTCTTTTGCGGACAATTCTTCTCGAAGCTTTTCTCCTTCAAGTTGAAGTCGTCTCAAATGTTTATCGTCTTCCATCTTTGTCGCCTGAAATGCCTGCAAACGTTGATTGACGACGTTATTTTCCTGCACCAGACTGGCCTTGTTCTTTCTCTCAGTCTTAACAGAATCATTCAACGATGCGATGGAATTTCGCAAAGTCGTTGTCTCTTTGGATAGTTTTTGGTTTTCCTCAAAGAGTCTTCGCACCTCGTCCTGATTTTGAGAAAGGTTTGCATGACTAAACCCAGAGCCTAGTACCTCTGGACTTCTTCCAACAAGCGTTTCTTGTGTAAAACTTGACAGGTGGTTATTTAAGTCCTGCGAGGGCATGGCGTTAACAACTACTTGTTGACTTTTCCCAATTGGAGTTTCTTGCACAATATTTGGTGTTTCATGTCTCAATAATTGCTTATCCTTGTCATGAACTAACCCCAGGAGTCTCTCCTGTTCTCCTTGTAATGCATCAACTTGCGATTGAAGATCAGAGTTTCTCTGTCGTAACCTCTGCACCTCGCTGCTGACGCTGTGGTCTCTTTCAGCCACAAGCAATCCAAGAGTAGCGACTTTCTCACGTAACCGACCAATTTCCTCGCTTTGTGATTCATTAAGATGTAATAACTTCTGGTGCTCAGCATGAATAAGAGCTGATGCTTGATCTTTGCTCGCTGATTTTATGTTTAACATTTCCAGGCGATCTTCAAGTGCGATTATTTGATCATTCTTTTCATTAATTTCATTAAACATTCTCGCTTCTCGCTCCAACATTGAAGTTATTTGCTTCTCGCGTTCCTCGCCAGACCTTCGTTTCTCATCTTCGTTTTCAGCAAACAAAGTCAACAAAGACTCGTTCTTAGTCCTTAACGCGTCAATCTCCACATCTTTCTCCTGCAAGATACGACGAATGTGTTCTTGTTTTGGGATGACGTCATTATCACTACCGCTGACTAGGTTTGCTGATACCTGAGTCCGAATTACGTGATCTTTCTCTTGAGATTGCTTGGTGAGTCTAGCGACTTCTAAACGAAGCACCTCGACTTCGTCAATTTTTCTACGAATTTCCACATCCATTTCAGCAGATTTCGTAGAAAAGCTCGCATCAAGTTGCTCCTTTTCACGCACAAGTAAATTATAAGAATCCATCATCTCTTTCTCGGAAATTCTTTTCTCTGATAAAGCCTCGATTAGTGTCTCATTCTTAGATTTCAATGACGAATTCTCAGATACCAATTCCTCAAGCATGCTTAACTTCTGAGAAATCTCAGCGTTGTTCTCGTAACTCTGATTAGAAAGCTCTATATTGTTCTCTTTCAAGCTCATTATTTCTTCAGATTTTGCATCCAGTTCTTTGTTCAAAGTTTCTTTGGTTTGTTTGATGTGATCTAATTGAACTCTCCAATTCTCTAATTCTTGAGCAAGTTCCGAGTTCTGTCTTTTCATTTCCTCGCTTGCTAGTTCTTGTTCACGTAAAAGTTCAGATAATTTTTCAGTCTCACGCAGAGAGTTACTCAGATCAATGTCTTTTGTTTCCAGTAAACTAAACAAATCAGATTTTTCCTCCTTCAGAAGTGAATTTTCTTCGCTCAATTCACTAAATGCCTCTGATTTCCCTTTTCCTTCGTCTTGAAGGAAGGTAATTCTCTGATCAACAGAGTCATAAGCGTCTTGCAGTTCCTCGATTCTTGCATCTCTATCATTCACCATTTCTAACAATCGTTCTTTTTCTCGCACCATTTCAGAAAGTTGTGTGTTGAGAGAATTTCTAGATTCCAGAATCAACGTCACTTCTTGTTTACTTTCCTGAAGCTGAGTTGCCATGGTTTCACGCGACAACATCACTTCGTCCAATTCCTTTTGCAGATTTTCAATCTTGTTTCGAAGCTGTAAAACAATGGTTCCTTTGTCATTCTCAAAATTCGACAAAGCCTCTTGCAGTTGTTCAACAGTGTTTCTTAGCTTATGAATTTCTTTGTCTTTCTCAGAGATCGTGAGGTTAAAGTTCATTTCACTATTTTCAAGATCATCTTTCAACATCTTCAACTTCGATTGTAAATCCAACATTTTTTCCGTGGCTTCCCCAACTTCAACATCGAGTCTCTCATTTTCGATTCTGGTTTTATCCAAGTTGCTCAAAGTCTCGTTCAACTTCGCGTTAGTCTGGTCGAGTTCGTCTCGAGCAGTTGATAATTCTGTTTTCGTTGCATGTAGTTCATTCAAGCTGTCACTCTGATCAATCGTAATGTCATCCGGTAGTGGCTTCTTCATAACTTCACAATCTTTGGCATTTTCCTCACTCACGATTCCCAACTCATTTTGAAAAGGATCATTTCCTGTACCGGGAGACATGTAGCATTGATTAGCGTCTCTCGCTTCAACGATCATTTCCTGATGGTTCTTGTCTTTTTTCAACCAATCCAGAACATACGAAAGAACAAGATCTTCTCTTGAGTTCTCTGCCATTCTCAACTCTTCATCACTAACATAGTTTTTCTTCACTAATAATTCTTCTATATCATTTATATATCGTATCTCCTTCTCGCGTGATATCTGACCAGCTGAAGTGGCCTCTTTTAATTTCTGTCTAAGTTGAACAACGACATTCTCTAAGGCTTCTTTTTCCCCTTCCCAATCATCTTTGATCAACTCAAACTCTTGAATCATCTCCTCGTATTCTCTTAATTTATCCATCAACATATTATAATCCTTATTAGCGACTTCATTAGAACCCTCATTAGAGCAATTATCATAACCTTCATTATGATTGCTGTCATCATCTTCCCTGGTGTTTTCACGGCTCTCCCCAGTATTCTGAGTCAAAACCCCATATTCTGCAGACTCTGGAGGTGTAGACGTCAAGACGCCGTCATCTTCTTGTAGATCAGGTGCAGCTCTAATAGAATCAACCGACACAACGGTAGAGACACTGCTACGAGATGTGTCACTGCACTCGAGTCGCTTTTCCAGTTCTTGAACTTTTTCTTCCAAGCCAACAATAGTTCTTTCGAGAACTGCCTTCTCAGACTGTAGGGATGCAACATGGTTGCTGACGGACCATCGTCTACCAAAATCATTGACTATCTCCCTAGTTGCGACCTTGTTTTCATTATGTTGTTGCGAAAGTCGAGATAAACTTTCCTCGTGGTCTTCGATATCATTCTCTACTCCAGGCATCATGGAGATCAGTTGATCTTTTTCCATAGTGTTCTCTTCCTGTTGTCCTTCAATCTGATTGGTCAGCTTCGTGCGCGCCTCGCTCAGGCCGTTCAACAGAGATTTCGTGTCGCCCTAGGAAAATATCGTGAGATAGTAATGATTGTAATGGTTCATGAACCCGCCCATGTACAGACTGTGACCTGTTCACCAGAGATCATAGTCTGTCAGTTTTACCTGAACATCTTAATGATTGCGATGATTATCCAAGATTATAATCGTTAACAGTGATTGAAATCATAATTAGTTGATTAAAGGTTAATAATCAAAGGTTAAAATCATCAAGATTATTACATGTCTATCCTGCACTTGGTTTAATAGTCTTCGTTTTATATTGATCACATCAAGCCTGACCTTCTCGTTTTCAAGGACAACTGAAGAATATTTCTGCCAAAGTACTGAAAAAGATGGAACGCTGGTGAATATTTGGAGTCAAACTGGATGTTCTCTTTCCCGCAAGATTTCCATCAATATTGAAGTGCACATTTCCAAACTGCTCAAGTACGGTTCGCAGTTCTTTATAAACAAACCTCAGAAGTACAAAACAGTTGCGAATTGCGATAGAGCTTGGGATGGAACTCGCGATAGAGAAATTTGCAAATATACATTTCAGTATTGACGGCAATATTGCAACATTTGATTGTTATGATAATTCTCTTCATCCCCCAATTTAAACTGTGCAAACAAACCTGCTAACATGTCTTTCAACTTCATCACCTCATCCACACTACCTTCACCTTCAGAAGCTCTTCTAACTTGACAAAGCTTCTTCAAAGATTCAATCTCAATGCTTTTCTCTTTATCGACACCTTGTGATTGTTCAACTTCTTTCATGAGTTCCATTGTGACAGCACCAAGTCTTGAGAGTTCTTCTCGTAAACTCTCCAACGATGCCGAGGTTTGAGCCTCAGATACAACAGCCTGATCACGCTGTTCCGTCAACTCTCGTATTTCCTGTTGCAAGTGAGCTAGCTCTGAACCAGAATCACTCGTTTGCAAGCCTTGAGACTCAAGCTTTTGAGCTTTGTTTAGTTTTTCACTCAAATCGCTATTTTCCTGTCGTAAGGAAGATATTTCGGAATCCTTCTGTGTTGCCTCGAGAACAAATTGATCAACTTTTTCTTTAAGCTCGTTATTTTCAGACTGTAGACGGTCAATTATGATTTTCAATTCGGTCACGGAGGACGACGATTGTTCATTTGACAGCGCCTAAGAAAAACAAATGACATAACTCTTGAGACATTTGAAAAACTCCAATGAAATAAACACATGTGGTTACGTGACAGCCATAGGGATATTACCATGCATGCAGTTATAGCTATCCTAAATTTGCTTTGAAATTATAAATAAATGCTGGTTGGGCTCAACTACAGAACCCTGCCTTCAGGCTTTATCAATCACCTCACTCACATGTAAGTCACTTTCAGTTGACTCTTTTTTAATTATCTCAAAATCACTTTCAGATTCCAGAACAATGTCCTCTGTCTTCTCCACATTTTTCTCAAATTTGACAAGTTGCTGCTCAAGTTCTTGTATTCTTATTGAATCTTCCTGATGAAAAGATTCCAGTTCTTCAATTTCTTGTTTGTGTTTTTTGTTCAGTGTAGCAATCCTCTGAGAATATGTTGTGTGTAAGGTCGCCAGCTCATGCTGGTAATGATCCAGTTCCTTGTGAAGATTTTCTGACTCATTCTAAAAGAGATGCAAACAAATCCCTTACACAGGAGGAAGGTGTTACATGGATGTAGAGATCAGGTTGGTGTTGAGAAGTGGAAGAGAATGAAGATGGGAGTTGGTAAACATTGCAGAGAGGATGAAGGAGAAAAATGGTACAGAATGACATGGACACAAATAATGAAGATGGGAGGTGGTAAACGTGGCTGGGGAGAGGGAGATGTGAATATTGGAAATAGCAAAGGTAGGATTAGACTTAATAAGAAACAATTTCAATCTAACCTGTTTACTCCACTGTTGTTTTTCTTCTTGTAGTTTATTCACAAGTGATTTGAGGTATTGAACCTCATCCTGACTCGTGCTTTCAACAAAGGAATCTTCATTAAAACTTGGTAATCTCTCATGCGGTTGCTTTGAACCATGTTCTTTCCATGTTTCCAATTGCTCTCTTAACTGGGCATTTTCATTCTAAACATAAAATATTGTGATTTTATCAATATAAAACACTAGTATACAGTATGCTGCTACGACCTCTGTCAGCAATGATCTCTACAAAGAGTGTATTGATGTAAAATAAGGTATATGCACAGATCATCATATATAGGAAAATAATTACCTCCTTTTCCTGTAGCAATACCCTATATTCACGTGAAATACTGCTGATCTGAAGTTCTGTAGCTTCAGCTCTTTCTTCAAGCTCATGATTGAGTTCCTTCACTCTGTCATACTGGTTAGTTGTGGAAGAACAAGTTATTTAATCAGTGTTTACTATTGTTATATTGCAAGTGAAATTGGGAGATATAGCATACCTCTTCTCTCTGTGTGAACAGAGTTAATTCCAGTTCTCTAACACGTGATTTAACAATCTTTAGTTCTGTCTCATGATCTACTTAGTGCAAACAAGAAATCAATAAATACATCATTTATCTAACCGTCTGAGCAAAATACCTATGCTATGGTGCATTCTTTGTAAACTGTACACCTGATAGTTTTCACCATAAATATATATTATATTCAACTAGATCACACCATACTGAAATTCATTGGTGATCTACATGGAATGTGCACGTGGGTACATCATTGAGATGTCTGGTAAATATGATGTCTGTTTTCCACCCTATATATCCACAGCCAACTATCTGTGGACAATCCTTTACTGTCACTCTAGTATGACCATGACCAATAGTCTATAATTGCATTTACGTATATCTATATATGCATCACACTAACAAATACAATAGCATTCTATCTTGCTATATACCATATTAAAAACAATAAAATACCATAAAAGTGTAGTACATGGCACAAATAATTATCCCAACGTTGCATACCTCTAATTCACCTACAAATCTGAAGTGTAAAATACAAAATATAAAGAAAATATAGAACCCAATGATATTACCTTCCACTTCAACCGTGCCTTCGGTCAGCATGTCCTTCGTGAAAGTAGAGATTTGCCCAGTTATGTTTGTCAAATTTTCCGAAAAACTGGTACTTAACCACGACATTTTGAAAGCAAAACAACATTAAATAATAAATTTCAAAATAAATTTTTAACTTAGAAAAATAAATAAACGAATCACGGATGATGTGGCAACATATTGTGGCTAGTTCCCAGATCTTCGTCTGCGCGCTTTGACGCGAGGGAAAATTTTACCTCAAATATATACGGATATAACAAACAATTATATTGCTTTTAAAGTACTTTTAATATCCTAAACGTTTAAATAGCTAAGGAGTATATTGTGACAGGATATTACATAGATAATTCTTCCCATTTTATTTTCCATATATGACCAATTATTATTTATTATGCAAAAACCGTGAAATTATTTTCCATAACTGGAAGCACGAAATCCAAGATGGCGGCCGACCCGGCTGAAAATCAATATGGAATATCATGGCACGATAGTGCTTGGATTCCAATATTAAATCCTGAAAATGTCCTGGAATATTTTTCACAAAGAACAAATCCATTTTATGATAGAACTTGTAATAATGAGATGATTAAAATGCAACGTTTAGACTTGTCCCAATTAGAGTAAGATTTGATCATTTAATCATTTTGATGTTCCAAAAATGTTTTAGAAGTAAATAATTTTTTATACAGCTAAACCTTCTTATGCCTTAGAATGATGCAAGGTTTGGAATATATTGTACTACATGTGCAAAATCCAATTTTGTTCATCATTAGAAAGCAACACAGACACTCGCCAAATCAAGGTATCAAAAAATGATTGACAGCTTGATGAGTTAAGCTCAGTGCTGAAAACATTTGTTATTTTTCCTGACAGTCACACCATTAGCAGACTATTACATCTTGGCTGGTGTTGTATATCAATGTCCTGATCTGGGCTCCCTTATCAACTCTAGAATGGTATAAGAACATAATTGCTTTTTTGTTCAACTAAATTACTCCTGAACATGGCAAAATTACAACTCAAATTGACCTTGGTAATCAATTACTGTCACACACTGCATGCTTGAAAGCTAAACTGGGAAAGGTCAATTGTATTTACAAATATTTCTAATTCCTTCTCTTAGTTATCTGCCTTGCACAATTTAACATCTGCATTTGATGAAGGTTTGCAATTGAACCTTATACTTTCCTATAAAAGTTTTCTACATTGCTATTCATTCGAATAAGTTCCCCTATAAAGCCGACTACCAGTTTTATATTTTCCAGCATTTTCCTATGCAAGATACCATCCATCAAAAGGTTATTGGTGGGAGTTTAAAGAAGGTGATAATAAAGGTAACCCAGTTGTTGTTACTAGTTTCATTGAATGAATAGTATAATGACATTCTATACCCATTCTTAGTTGCACAAGATGATGCAAAGAAAAATAAAAAAGAGAAATCAAAATCAGCCCCAAGTTCATTATTTCAAAGACAACATGTTGATTTATTGCTGGAGGAACTTATTAAAAAATTTCCACCTCAAAGAGTCAAGGTATTGAAGAAAGACTACTCCATACAACACTTGACATATAATTTGTTTGCAATTTACTTCAAAGCATGATCTAATATTCCAATTCATTTTTATAGTTTTCTGTGACTTCAACAGACTCCACTGGTAATAGTAATTGATGATATCTTTTGACCAGGCTCCAGCACAAACCTTTTATATTAATTTTATGTCTCCATCATTTCAGAGCCAGAAGGTGCCAAAGAAACTGTCTCAAAAGTTGATGCATCCAGCAGTCGATCCTCGCAAGATGTTGAACAAAACCAAGTCAAACGACCTCCGCCTGCTGAACTTTCTGACAAACCTCCTCCGTCAAAAAAACGGAAATGACCACAAGTCATCCTTCCTCGTGAAATCGTCTTATGTCTCTCCACTTAGGAACGTCTTTGAAAGGACGAAGGCGTGTTATTCAAAATGTGCTCCTATAGTCATATATTATAGCTACAAAGTATCCTCAAAGATCACTCCTTTGTACATCAAATACCATTTGTTTCCCTCGATTCTCTCTTTAGAATCTTTGTGAAGGGAAACAGTTGTAGCAATTTATTACGTCTTTTTAAATAAATCGTGTATGATAAACTCAACTTTGTCATTTTCTGCGCGGAAAAACAGTTTCTCAACAGAGTCTTGAGAGACTCGCTCGAATGCTGACAAGGTCAACAACATGCGACCAAATCTTGCAGGATTTTCAGCGTGTGTCGTTCTAGTGTAGTTGAGCAGTTTAACCTGAGCCTCGTCTTGATGTCTTTCAACTTGTTCCGAATCTTTAAGTCCTTTGATGTCTGGAAAAATAAGAACAAAATTAATCATTTCCGAAGGCGCAAATTCATTGCAAAACTAGGTTGGGTTAGCGTGATGTATTCTTGTGATAAATACAATCAGAGCGTTCCAACAGGTCGAGGCTTTACCTGGTTTGAATAAGACAACTGTCTTTAGATATTGACACTCGGTTTTATCCAGTGCTAAGGCCTGGATACGAGTGACAAGGTCTTGTAAAACGCGGAGACTTGAAATCAGTGTACTACTTCCTTCACCGGGGGGAGCAATGTACGACATATCGAGGGGGATGGAGAAGAATGCAGCGTCTATAATGAATAAATCTTTCCAAGATTCTTCCAATAGTATTATCTGGTCGCGAAAGGGCATCGTTTTAAAACTGGAAATATTTTTCGCAAAATTAACAGAATTTGATACAAGATGAACGGCCATCTTTTGAAGAGATTCCGAATTTAGTCTCAAAGAGATCTCGTTACTAGTCGGAGTATGACTTTCATAATGGCTGAGTGAACGATACGGAGGAACAACGCTTGATGTTGAAGGATATTGGGTTGGTTGATAGGGATAGCTGTGGGTAAATGAATCGTTTGAAACAACCGAGGGGACTAATTGAAGTTCCTGATTTGCTCTTTGGGTAAAAGACATAACAGGTCTTACTGGTTTAGAGATTGTTACCAAACTGGATTTTGTGGCGGCTATGTCTAGTTGGGACACAACATCTCTGCGTTCTGGGCTGTTCGAGGTCGTTGCCAGATGATTACCGACAGTTTCCGAAGTACTCGCGATTATCTCCGAGTTATTCTCGATGTGATTGTAAGTATCAGATCTTTTAGTTTCCACCTTGATGAATACAGGAGACACTGATCTGTTTTGAAAGTCAGGACTACTACCATCAGCCAGAGCCATTGAGATGGGAGGTGAGGAATTGTTTGTCGCAGAGAACGACGTAACAGCTAAAATTGAGAAGCAGAGAGGTGTATGGAACATGCAACGAATAAAATCACTGCCTCTAATACTAATAGCCGTGAGATTTACCGTTATCTGTTAAATTGTCTCGTGTGGTCATCCCTGCATTCCCTGACGCGTGATCAGAAGAATCATTGCATAAATAACCAGGTTCGCCGCCATCAGTCATTATTGAGTCCGTGTTCTCTTGTGATACTCGTGAGCCATGCGAATTTTGTACCCCTAAAAATCAGGTCACGACATTGCTGAGTTTACAAGTCACAACCCCAGCCACTTTACGTGAGAGATTGACGCATTCACATCACAATAAATTAAATGACAATACTTCACCATTACATACCTTCAGGTTTCATGTTGACCATCAAGCATTTCTTAAATCTACACGCGCGGCAGTCTGTTCGGTTGCCTCGGTCAACGACGCATTGGTTGTTGTTTCGACAGACCCACGGAGTAGATCTACGAACTGTGCGTTTGAAAAAACCACTGCAACCATCACAACAGTACACTCCATAATGCTTTCCCGTTGACTTGTCTTCACAAACTTCACATGCTGAAATTTAAGGATAGAAAATTGCCCCCCTTCACACTAAAGATAGAATATTCATGATCACAAAAGGTGTTATTAAGGAATCCTAAGTTTATTTCAGCTAAAAATTACTCATATGGTTAGGCACAGTTGATGAGTTAAATAAAATATCAGCCACTGTGGCATTTTGTTGTAAAGATTTGCGTGTGTTAACGAGGCTGACCAGGGTCGCAAACAGCAAATATTATTTGACGCATATCAAAGCCTTAGATCAAATTACAAGATCAAATTTTCCTGATGTCGCCAAGCACTGACTAACCTTTGTCATCTAGTGTTCGCTTGCGACGTGGTTTCTCCCCAAATTGCGACACGTTGGTAGTGTCAAAGTTTGACTCCATTGTACAGAATATCTTTCACAGACAACTTCGTCACTCCCCATAAACTAAGTAAACATAAAAACGTTACGTTATGTGGGATGCAAATGTGACGGACGCAACTCTCAAACCATGTTGTAACTCTGCGTCGCAGACGCGACCGAACTTGATGCCATTGTGTGGCCGTGACGGAGTGTCTTCCAGTCACATACCAGCATCTCATTGGTTGAATAAACAACAATACGTGTAACAGAATCTTTGAATAACTTCATGCAGGTTTTTGCCCCATGTTTGATGGGTATGATTTTTTTTTACTTTTTTAAATTGAACAAAACTGTTGACGGGCAAACAGATCGTTTATCATAAAACTTTTAGTCTAAAATTCTTTTCCAGCAGACAATCTGATGAAATATTAAACGAGAAGAACTCTAAGTGTTATCATGTTTCAAATTCAAAAAACGAACGAAAGTAGTAAAAGCCCCGTTCATATGACCCCGTCTGCCGAGACGAGAAGCTACTTTTGATGTATTGAAAATTACTACGGTCACAACCAGCTTCCAGTCTCCCAATGTCGCACGGTATAATCACAGTGGTATAATGATTTTGTAAACAAAAACAAAGTTACAAAAAATTGGTGAAAAAAACGTAAAATGGTTTGCGAAAAATGTAAGTAAACTCGTTTTATTTTACGGTATAAAGAAGTAAATATCCTTAGTATAAGAATCTAGTTTTTGGAGGTTTTTAAACCGTACCTTTTGAATGGTTTTATAAACTTTTGAATAAGTTTGATTAATCAGTTTACTCAGTGATTCAGTCAGATTTATAGCGAGATTACTTCCTAGAAAAAAATTATACACGTACAAGTTTTATTATGTTCGCTACATTTTGTACATTTTATACTAAAAGGTGAAAAAAAGCTTGGTAAAGTAATAACACCGGACCCGTGGAAGTCAGGTGCTCGCAATACAACAGGCAAGTGCAGTTATTGGGAAGGAAATAAAACAGAAATTTGTCTAGTTGTCAGGTTTGGTGTGATCTTTATTACTTTGATTCTTGTAGAGGGAGGAGGCAGGAAAGTTGGTGAAAATAAACTACTCACACAAAAAAAGAACAGGTATAAAAGAATGATTTCTTTTGTCTTTTTTTATCCTGTTCATCTTCCTCTGCTGAACATCATCTGGTAGTTCAGTCAACTGGTTTTCATTAACAATTTTCTTGTCTGTGTCTTTAAACAGGTTTACACCATACAGCCAATTTGCTAAATGTCGTATTTGTAAGACAACAGTTCACCAACCTCACTCAAAATATTGCCAAGGTATGTGAATGTCTTTAGTGTGAAACAAAATTCATCACCGTTCTATTTCAAATTTGTTTCAGATTGTAATAGTTCATGAACTTTTAGGTTGTGCTTACAAGAAAGGTATTTGTTCCATGTGTGGCAAGCAAGTATTGAACACAAAGGATTATCGTCAAACATCAGTTTAACATGACAATCATAAAATTTAGATAAAGTTAGATAAGTACATTTGCCCACCAGGTTTGAGAGATGACATGTTTAAATGGATATCTCTAAAAACAGACAGACCTAAGCAATTTGTTATATAACTTTGGTGGAGACCTAAAGCTGGTGTACAAGAATAAACAGCTGAATATGCAATAGAAGCAGCATATCTACAAAAGCTATTGTAAATACATTTTTTTGTCTTTGAAATTTTTACCTTTCCAGTTTGTTGTACAAAATAAAAATGAAAGTTGACAGATATAATGATGAAGTGACATTGAAACATTATTGTAAAGCTGTTAGTGAACATGCATGGCTGAAAATGTGATTAGATTATAGGTATACTTACCTTGAATCTTTGATTCTCTCATCTATCCTGTCAACAATGTAGTGAGGTGTAGTCCAGTGTGGATGCAACAGTCAGCATGGTGAGGTAACTAGATATAGGATTTGGCAACTTGAGTTGAGGCAGATGTAAAGAATATTACCCCTTTTAACAAGCAACATTGCAGAAATTCATTACACCTTTTTTGCAAAGAAGATTGCACATAAACATATTGCTCCATTCTATCCATGCTTCCTCCAATGTAGTATTCCCAAAGGTTTCCAGGCTTCCATCAGCATACTGATCAGGCACGCCACTTGCAGCAACACCCAAGCTTCTTGTTCCGTACGTTCTGCCACCAATATTGCAAAATTAATTCAATATTATGACTAAGATTGGAACAATCAGAAAAGACTGGAAAGTGACATTTTTAATAACAAAGCTTATTACAGTTCAATTGGGAATTATCTTGCCATTATAGTGGGATATGATTCCACTTTTTCAGTTTTCTTGCAATATTTTTAAGTCTATATAGTTAATTACAATATGCTATGTGCCAAGTTGGCAAAAATACAACAGTGTGCTTACTTATATATTGTCTTGAGCACAAATAACCTAAAAGAGGTCACAAACCAAAACAAAAAATATGAACTTCCAAATTATAATCTGTTTCCTTTTCTACTTTTTCTGGATCATGTGAATGAAATATGCTGGGGTTTCTATCTCTCCCTTTGGCTTGAAGTCACCCCAAACAACATGTTCGGTATCTTTCCCAAATACACCTTCCAACAGATGATCAAATTTTTCCAAACGATGAGGATAGTAAGACAAACGGAATTTGCTATATTAAATGAGAAGGAAACATGAAGCATTGTGAAGCTGGCAGAGTGGTCATTGAACCGAATGTAATCAATAAAAGAATAACCTTAAATCCTTTTCTGCAGAGCCACTTTGAATTTTCTTCTCATCTGTTCCATCAACAATGTAGTCAAGAGTGATCATCTTAGCCTCCCCATTCACATGCAGCACTGATGTCTTAATATCAATAATACGATCACTCTAAAATATGGTCACACAAAATCTATTTACCATTTAAAACAGGCAGAATATCTTTACACAAACATGCCTGATGTTTTCCTGACAATAAAATTGGATCTGGGTAGAGTATAATACTAAGGAAGAACATATGAGAGTTAAGAAACAATTGTAATTGAAGGTCAGAACCATTCTGATCTCTTGTTAATTAATACTCTATTCGTAACCTTACATTGTAATAGACATTCCTGTGTGGTGCCTTTCCGCTGTCAAGAATTGCATCATAGTTGCGATGGTCAATAAAGAGAAGACCTCCAGGTTTCAAAACTTCATGGAAATTCCTGATGGCAATTCTGTGATTTTCTTGGTCACCAGTGAGGTCAGGAAGATGGGCAAACGAATTTCCAAGACAAATCACAGCATCAAAGCCACCTTCTGGGAATTGCACATTGCCATGATTGTCAGCCAAGTCTAACCAGTTGGCCTCTTCAATTACTAGCAACATCAACAAAATGAAATTGAAGCAAACTTTAACATTCCTTTCTTTCTCAAACGCTTCCATCCAGGGAATTAAAAACTTAGAGTGCGGTTTTGGGAATGGTTATTCTTACCCCATTCATCAAAGGCTTTTTCTTTTCTACGTTCCCATCTTGTTTTGAGAGCATATTTCAACATCTTATCACTGGCATCAAAACTTGTCATTTTAAAACCATTTTCAAGAAATAAGATTGAATCAACGCTAAAAAACCAAGCATGTGTCTTAGTCTTTCAGTCACCAGAAAATTTGTTTCGCTGGTCTCACTTAACTCAGTAAGCATTGTGGTAATTAGAAAATTAGGAAAATTATGAGAAAATCAAAAGAGATTACGTCGATGTTCAAATCTTCCGTTGTGATGATATCTGGAGCTACAATGTGTAGCTCACAGACTACTTACATTCTTTATAACTCCTTTTTTATCAAGTGTTACAACTTGAATGGTGAAGGAGGTACAACCATGTTTCCTTTTTGTGGAGAAGGAAAACAACCATTGTTGCTTCCATGTTATAGCTAAATAAAATATTGGGTGGAAAGGAGTTAATAATACATCGAAACACATGTACTAGCATAAATAAGAATCAGATTACTGGTTGAAAACATTAAAAACTCTCAAACTTTGACTATAAACCCTATTTAATACACGCAAGCACTGAATTATATGACAAAAAGGCAGTTCAGGGCAGTACATTTCTTTCAACTTATTTGCTTGACGACTGATGACGACGCAGTGGCAGGGTTAGAACCAGAACAACCAGAACATTGCAGAGAGCAATCTAGAATAACTTGTTTTTATAGTTTAATTAAACAAATTGCAAAATAACCTCGATCGATTTATTCGATTATATTGCGAAATCGGGAATAGAAATAACTACAACTGTTCCTAATGAAAAGCAGACTGATTTTTAACTTCAGACGGTTCGTCGTGTATGCAACATAATATTATAACGTTATGAAAATCTTACCCATTTCCACAAGCAACATCGCAAATATTCATTACACCTTTTTTACGAAGAAGATCGCACATGAACTCCCTGTACTGTTCAGTTCTATTCCTGCTTCCTCCAATGTAGTATTCCCAAACTTTTGCAGCCTTTCCATCAGCATACTGATCAGGCACGCCACTTGCAGCAACACCCAAGGTTCTTGTTCTGTACGTTCTGTCCACCATTTCAACAACCGTCTGTATTCACTACACTACCTTCTTTGTGTTTACCTTCAAGTGTTTTGCTGCTGTTGCTGTTGAGGTCTTTTGTTGTTTTCTCGACGCGACACAGGTTTTACAAGTTTTTTAAACAAGTTCCTTCGACCGGATCTAAAAACTAAAATAGAACACAGCGCATGTGCGGGACGGACGCGTGTGTTCAGAAATCGAACATCGTGTCGTTTTCATCGACGATGAACAGGCGCAAACTTAATCCACGTGCGTCGAAGCCAGTGCTCGGAGTTGTAACAAATATAGTAACAATGTGTCTTAAATCATTTATTAAAATCTTTAACAAACCTCAATATAGAGGCTACTGTACGCCATGCTGGGATGAAGACAGTTGGCTTTGTGCCTGTGGAAAGAAATTTTCCACAAATACACTGATGATACAACTTAACATTGTCACTTGATAGGGGATGGCCTGGTTAGTTCACACAGAAGGTTGAATAATAAGAATGTGAATTCATGTCTTGGAAGCTACCACGCAACAGCTTAATGCATACTTTCTGCTCATATATACAAGTATTTTACAGCCCTTGTAATCATTGTCAATGTGCATAAGTTTGTCCATACTGTTGATACCAATTTCCATAGTTGTAACCCTGAAATAAGACAAGTTGAAATTACACACACATCACAATATTGGATTGATAACTGTCTGGATCATGGAAAGGGTAACTTTGAAAAGAGATTTGCTACTTGATTTTTCTTGCAGTATTAAAGAGCCATAAAAAGGGTCTCTCCTGGTTCTTGGGTAATATGAACAGAAGATCTTTGCATTGTCCAAGTGCATACTGACCTGCTGCTGTGTTGCATTATAGCCAGGCCATTGAGCTTGGTTATAGTTGTATGAATTAGTTTGATAACCAGCATTTGCAGTATAATCTGCTGTTCCATCATATGCATTATTGAATTGATTTGGATTGGATGTCCCATCTGCTTTGGCCATTTTGCTACCACTTTCCACCCTACATTGAAGGCACAAAAGGAATCATGTTGAATTGGTTTCTGTATTTGGTACCGCTGGCCATCAAATGTGCAATGCTGCAACTAATATTGAGATTCTAAATAAGACGACAGTCAGGAGAGAGAATGACATGAAAAAACCTACACTTCTTCATTTGCTCTTTTTTTCCCTTGGCTTGTTTTAGTCTTGTACAGCTTGCCATGCATCTCCCGAGCTTTTGTGATCCTAACAATATTTGAGCTGAAATCTTCAAGAAACTCAAGATGTCTTTGAGAAAAACTCTCTTTTACATCTTCTGGGAGTGAACTGTCCTTAACTAGTTCAAATACTTTATCCACTTGTTCTTCATTTGTTTCTTGCATTGAGAGTTCCAAGTCAAGCAGCTGTAGGTAGAGTCTCTTATTGTCCTGTAACAGAAAAACAAAATCATGGAAGCCATGTTTGTGTGATTACACATCCATTGATGCTGATGGGCCAAGGAAATGGCTTAAGTGTATCATTCCACATAGATCCCACCTTATCTTTATCCACTGCTGTCTTCAACACATCTCTTGCCTTATCAAAGTTCTGGGCAATCTATAAATGAACCAATATAGACCATGAAAATCTGTAGAAGCAGCATTGCAAAGCACTAGCAATTCAATGTCATTTTAACTGCATTTCATAGTCTGAGTGGCATTGAAAATTGAAGCTGTACCTTGGTCAAAAATTTAGCATATTTGAGGGAAAAGAATGAGATCAATTGCATATCTGTGCTCTCAGCAATAGCTTGTTCATATATTGCTGAGGCATTTGGAATCTCTTTGCTTCGTCTCTCTAGGTTGGCTCGACATAGTTTAATATGAACTAAACCAGGAAGAACATTATCCAGTTTTTCCAAGATCTCTCTTGCCTTTTGCACATTACCTTCAATGGAGGAACACAGTGTTTTAGTAAAAAAATAGTGATATCAAATGCACTTTATTCTTTGATTACAGGATTTCTAGTATCTGTTTATTTCTCATCTATTAATCCACAAAAACAAGAAATAATTTGTTGCAATGCAAACTAGAATCTTGAGGTCAAAATGAACAACAAGATTGTCTTTGTTCACAATGCATTGATTTTGGCAACAGGGAACGAGTAGAAAGTCATTGAATAGACACAACTACTAGCTAAAGGTTGCCTGTTTTAACTCTAGATTGTTGAATTGCTTGTGCAATGAAACATGAAACCTTTTTATTTACCATGTTTCTCCTCAAATGCAGCCCATGATAAATGAAGATTTGGCTTGTTTTGCAAGTGAATATAACATCCTCTTTCAAACACACCCCTACAGCCATCAACACAATCATGTACTTCCATGTATGAAGCAAATCTTTGCCAAAATTCTTCATATAATGCACATGCTATCACACATCGTTCAAACAGTATAACAACACGTCTGTGGTTGCCTGTACCAACTTCAAAATCAAGATAATCTCTCCAGTTCTTCAACTGAACTTTCTCTAATGGTTTGACATGGAAATATGGCCGTTTAATTCCTTCCTCAAATGTCCATCTTTTGGAGACCTCAGTTTCATTTGCATCGTATATAACTTTACGCTGTGCAATAACTTTCTTACGAATAGCATTTGCTTCTGGGTCCTCAGGCTAGGAAATCACAAATAAAATACTTGACATACTTGGCTACAATGCACAAAAATAAAGGAATTGATATCTCTACTCCAATGATATTAAGAAGACAGAATATAGCTGCAAAGACTGGTATTATTGTCATGTGGAAAAACACAATAACATATGAAAGTCTAAGAAGCATTAATTTTGGCAACAGGGAACGAGCAGACAAACATTAACAAGTCATATCTACTAGCTTTAAGGCTGCCATAGTCTGAACATAATGTCTCATGAATGAAACACAAATATAACTTTACTAGTAACCTACCTTCCCATCTTCTCCCTTAGTATCTTCTGTAGTGTCTGCACTTTCCACTTTCTTTTCTTCTTCTGGAAAAATAATTTACACTTATCAACTGTTAACAGCAAACAAATTACGTCTTTGTGAAAGGATGAATATGTTGCTGTGTAAACAAGGTATTGGTGTTGCAAAAGACAACAAAACGTTTTTTACAAGCATTGATTTTGGCAACAGGGAACGAGTAGAATAACCACAGATTTTATAAGGCATATCTACTAGCTTAAGGTTGCCGGCAAAGCATTCACGATATGATTGACCTTGTAGAGGTATTTATGAACCAACGGATGTGCTGTTATAATACAAATCAGAATACGCAAGAAAACCTCAATAATCTCTAATTCACTTCACAAAAATTACATGCAACCATGTTTTTAAACTCACCTGGTGCAGCACCAACAGCTGGGTCACTGTCAACTGTAAAACCAGGAGGGGCAGCTCCAGCTTCAGCCTTCAATTTTAGTAACTCTTCTCCAGTCAGCACCTCTTCCAATGGATTCATGTTGATATGATCCTGAAATCTGCAAAACCACCAGCTTTTTTAGGCAAACATGTGATGGTTATTTCATAGAAATATTGGTAAATGTTTATGGATGAAAGAGCAGGTTTGAAACATCATCATATACCTACACCCTGACAAAATGCTCACATGTATAGGTCTTGATTTAACCAAGACAGGACCGAGTTTTCCTGCCATCATAAAATATGGTATGACACAGAGTCAATAACCAACCCATGGAAGTCAACTATAATAGGTTTTATAACAAATGTTTAAATTATTGTTTAAACTTTTTAAAATCTCAAATACTTGAATGAAAGCGAAGATTGCTATTGAGATGGGCTTCACTTGAGTCCTCGACTCACTTTTTCCAATGCTTGCTATAATTCTGTGTTGGCACATTCAGAACACGATCGTACAAGGCTGTCACTTTTTGAAGCTGTTTTTGAGCTTTTTCCCATTCAATGTAAGCATCCCAAAGTTTATCTGATCTGAAGTCTTCACCTGCAGCAGTAATTGCTCTTTCAAACAAACTAAAATATAAAAAAAAATTCACATTAAGCCATTTTTATTTCCTTATCATCTTTAATCATTGTAACAGAAGAAATGTCACTGAAAGAAAAGAAAGCATACCTTCTCATAGCTGTAGCATTATTAGAAAGTCCTTTGGTAGTTTGAGATGTAAAGTTGAGATAATGTACCCAGAGATCAACACTAAGGGCTATAGCCTCCACGCCTTTCTCAAAAACCTGAAAATTATTAAAGATTTTCTTCATACTGTCTTCCAGATAAAAAGCAGCATTTTTATAGAAATACTTGATATGTCAAGGTCTATTACCTGTTGTGCACGATCCAAGTCACCATTTTTTTTCTCCATATCGGCAAATTTTTTCCAATAACCATAACAAAATGGATAGCGACTTAAGAACGATTCAAATGCCTTCCTTGCAGAGTCGATTTTATTCTATAAAAAGCGAATACCATACTAAAACGTCTTTCAAAGTCAGAATAGCATAATTTCAGGTCAAATTTGGAGTTAATATCCAACCAATTTTTTACTTGAAGCTCAGTTGAGAAGTCTTTCCCACATCAAATTCCTGTTAAAGCACACACATTAGATGATACGCAAAACACAAGGGATAAAAAAAACGTTATCTCCTTGTAGTAATCTAAGAAAAGCATTCACATCGGAATTTTAGATTGGAAAATCCAGGGGGGAGGGGCCCCACCACACTTCAATGACCTCATGCTTCTAATTTCGCAAAGAATTTGCTAACCTCTTGCTCAACATATTGAAGTAAATACGTCCAACTTGTAAAGTCTTGCGGATTTTCGTTAACTGCATTCCAATATTTTAATTCCTGTTCATTAACAGCAGTATTCTGTTCTTCTGAAGGCGTTATTTCACCAGGTTTCGGCTGATCACTAGACGCTGTTGTTTGTTGTGCGTTGCTATTTTCAATATTTTCTTGTGTATTTACACTTTCCTGGACTGTTTCTGCCTGCGGCTCGTTTGTTTCCATCTTTTCATCATTCTCAGCTTCATTTGAGACCACAGTCTCTGAACTTGCGCCATTTTCTAAGCTTTCTTTACCTGACTGAACTTCGCCTTCAGAAGCCGACATTACACCTTATTTTAAAATGAAAAAAATACACTTGAAGGGCAACCTATATTTTCAAAACCAACTTATATACATCGGATTTTGCGTAGTATAATGTAATCTAAAGTTAAAATATAATTCCAGTCCACTTACATGGAGGATCACTAGGATTACTTTCAACAATATTTTCCATCTCAATCGTTCCCTCCATATTTCTTTTTACTACCACTCATGACCATCATTCAATCGTTCAAATTGACATGACGTCACTTTTTCTCTAACCCGCAAAACCAAGGATAATCCAGTGAAATGGGATAATCACTGGGATAATCACTGGGATAATCACTGGGATAATCACTAGGATAATCGGAACAATCGGTCCATTAATGATTTATATATCAGATAAAATCCAATATGGCCGCTAATAAACAAGCTTAAAAACTCGTAATTTTGATAAATGCTAGTGTTTTGCTACTATGTCATCGTAAATCCTTTTCAAATCATACCAAGTCGTCGTTCTACAAGAAAACAACCATTCAACAAAATCAAATTTAACCGAGGACAACCTGGATTATGTCAATTGTCAATTTGGTATAAAAAGAACTAGTGTCAATTTTATCAACAAGGCTAACAAGAGTTTCACAATGATCTATAAACTCGTTCGAGTATCCACTCGCTCATATCGACGGGTTTTTGTTCTGTTATTACTGTGTTTACTGTTATACTTTGCAAATTGGTTGTATTCGTATATAATTGACTTTTACGTACCGACAATGCAACCCCAACCAGTCAGGAAGGACATGTCAAATATGCCTGTTATAAGTGGTCAGGAACATTTCATACCATCCCTCATCGAGCCTGTTGTAAGTGAAGACAATCTCTTTATCTTAGTTCTAATCAATTCAGCCGCAGGAAGCGAGTCTCACTTTCAAAAACGAATGGCAATTAGAAAGACTTGGGGAAAGCCTATAATAGGACATAAGAAATGGAAAATTGCATTCTTTCTTGGAAAGACAAACAAGCGGTTGACTGATGAAAAACGACTGATGGAAGCAAAACAATATGGGGATATTATTATAGGAGATTTTCCAGATACCTATAGAAATATAACACAAAAATTAATGATGGCATTTAAATGGACATCAAAGATAAATTACAAGTATTTATTAAAGACAGATGATGATGTTTATGTTAATATTCCTTTATTAATTACCTGGATTAATGGACGACTACATCCTAATGAACCTTTGTATGCTGGAGTGTTGTATAGGGCTAAAATCATAAGAGATCCATCACACAGACATTTTGTCAGATGGAGCGACCTACCCCAGCAAAGCTATCCCTGGTATCCTAAAGGAGCATTGTATGTCCTATCAAGTGACGTTGTGCAAGAGATGCTGAAGATAGTTAGTCGTGTTAAGATGATAACAGTGGACGACGCATATGTTGGTGTTTTGGCATCCTATGTGGGAGTGAGGCCAGTTTACTTAAATGGTTTTATACAATGGGGCTTTTTGCCAGAATTAGTAGAGCTTTTTGATAGATGTACTTATAGCAATATTATTGGAATGGCAGATAATATGAGTCCAGATGATATATATTTTGTTCATCAAGAAGTGACGTCATTACAGAACTCGTCAAAATGGATGTGCATTCATGTGTCTCACCCTATTCTAGCAACAGTAGGACTTGTGATATTTTTACTGCTAGTGTTATACACAAACAGACATAAATTAATATAACATTAGCATTGTGTCCCTTGTAATTGTTGCTAGTTTAACATGTGTTATTTGAAAAAATATAAACATTTATTTTTCTGACAAAGTTGCATCAACATTTTTTATTTTTAAATGGTTCTTCCACAAACCAAAATTGGGATCTTTCTTACCTCAACGTTACTGCAAAAATATAAAACTACTATATAACTTTTATTTACAATTATTTACAAACATACAAAACTCAATCTACTAAGCTATTTATCAGCTGTCAGCTCAAAATAATCAACCAATAATCTCTCTACAGATTCCAAAGTTGAGTTTGTTCTCAATTTGTCTTTGTTCAAAGAATGAGATTGACTGTCCATTAAAGAAAATAGGTCCAATATTGGCACATTGGCTTTACACAACTTTTTATTTGTAAATGCATTGTAAATACGGTAACCCTAGAAAATGGAGAATAAAATTCTTCATATGATTGTCAGTTACTGCCCTCAACAGCCTATCATTAAAACAAATCACACAAGGCTATAATTGCAAGTAACAACAACCTAAACTTACCAGGCTGCAACAGGTTGCTGGTGGCATCAAAGTACTCCAAATAACTTGTGCGTGGGATGTATTGTTGAAAGTATCCTGTAGTAAGTGTGATATTTGACTTATCAGCCTTGTGTAGCTATGATATGGTAAGTGCTTTATAAAACCTGCATTTAATATCAATGCATTCTGTGGCTGCCATAATGAATAGTTGAGTAAAGTTCTCAGACTGTTTAGGACGAGATCTGTGATGCGACTGCTGCTTAATTTCGTCAAATCTTCACTGGGATAAAATAAACTCGCGTTTTCACCTAAAATGTCGGAATAAGGATTAACTAGAGGAATGGAGAATAGCTCTTTGTAATTTTTACTCACAATTTTTGAAAATGTTTGAACAAAGCGGACCAAGACTGACAGCGTTGTAAATCCTCGCCTGCGGATCACCAAAGAACCAAAGAGTTCCATTCTTTCGTATTGCACGTTTACGATATTTCACCTTTTTTGGCCTGTCTAAAAATCATTTTTGAAAAGACGTTTACTGATGAACTCTGATGATAAAGAAACAATTTTCAATCATTCAGAACTGGTAAAAACGAGTTACGGTTGGTCTTACCATCAATTTTGATGTAAGGCCTCCATTTGAAGGAGCCTCTGACATTTTCCCAGGTGCCCAAACCGTTCCAAACGAAACGGCAACCGCGACAACAACCGTAACAGCGCTGATACTGAAACAACGAGCTCGTTCCGTAACAATCACGAAACTTCATGTGATATTGAAGTCCTAAAAACAGTTGAAAAACGAGGTCAAACACTTTTTCTCATAGGAAATGGGTCATTGTGTTTCTTGTATAATAATACTTACGGTGAAGGAGAGTGTCTCCTCTTCCATCAGGAATTTCTACATGATATTTCATCTTGCCTGGGGTAAAAATATTTAGAGATTTAACGAAGATATTGGCAGAAGAATTAGGAGAATTTATTTGGGTGTAACGCGAGAGTGTGTTATGGCTTGCTTATCATAATCTTACCTAAACTTGTCTGTGCCTCAGGTGGTCTTCTGACGCCAGAACAAGCAGTATAAATAAGATATGCATAAAGTTTATATTCTCCGGGAACAACAGGCAGAAAAACTACTTCGTAAGTACCGTTCCCAAGATCAAATACTGAAGAAGTAAGATATGATGGTCCTTTGAAATAAACCTGCCAACCATCGCCACCAGAAACACGATAAGAACCATTCGCATTTTTTGTTTTAATATACACACGACTAAAGTCTCCACTGGGTTGAATTACTTGTTTGGAGATATAGCTGGTCTTCACATCAGTTTTTTCATGAGGATTTATATTTCTACATTTCTGTTCCACGCATTCCGTGCACGACCCGAGGAGTTCAGTGACGTCTAGTTGAGTTCGTTGTATCCTGGCCCATGTTCTTAGGAAATCAGCCTCGTCATCGTTCATTAATAGCAAACTCCACGTGGAAATGTCCATCTTCGGGAAAGATCGCAGTAAGAATAATATGATCGCAATCATACATATTACGTATATACGTTTACGGTTCTTCATTTGGGATACGTTGGACTGTCTAGGGGAACCGTAGGATAATTAAGGATATGTGACTTCGGTTAACCGTCGATACAGGCACAATTCTCTGAGATTTCCTGCGAGCTTTTAGACACTTGTTATGGACGATGACTTCTAAGAAAGGCAAAGATTGTTCCATAAAGTTGATGCATCAGCTGAGATGTCTGTTCACGATCACCAGTCACTCGCTCACCCTATCTGAAATATGGAACAATGTGTTATATACATACCATGCATACCTAACAATCACGCAAAATTACTACATTGTAATTGTGTACTAAAACATTCTTAATTACAGCCTAACTATATAATTCACATACGAGCGAGTTTGTGTCTTATGATAAGAGATATCTTGTCAGTCAGAATTCAGTCTCTGAGATTAAACTTTCTAATATATTGTTCATCGGTTTGTTTCACATGATAATGCAGAGAATACCAGTTATACACAAACGAAGAATTGAGCGGTTTTCAACTGGTTTTTAAGAACTGAATATATAATAGAAATTCAACGCTATTAAAAATTCAAACATTCGTATTGGCTTTGATACAGAACAACCTCACATTTTTAGGCAATGTTTAATGTTCTCCTGCAGTTGAAAACATCAACAGGAGAGCTAGGTTAGATTTAATCAACATTTGTTTCTCACACAGGGGAGTAACTAAAGCTAGACTTGCACACATATTTAATCCAACAGGTTCAACATGTTATAATGTATCTATTGCTGTATGGGTTGGACACTATCTCTAAAACAAGTTCAGGATCGAATACATTTACAATTAACAGACTTTTTTTAAGACGTGCATGACCAGTTCCTTTATCTATATTATTTGTTCACGAGGCTCATTATCTTTTGCAAACCGTAAATGACTCGCAAAAATTGCTTGGATTACAAAGCTGACTACAACGACTGCTCTTGGCATATCATTACTTCAATTGAATGAAAGACCTACGATACTGGCAGGGTATATAGTATTCAGATAATTACAACATTATCGATTAAGTAATTATTAAACAAATCATTGTTTAAAAACCTGATATTTTCTCGAGGCTACGGTGAGAAAGGCCAAATATTCCTCGCGATATTCAGGTTGAGAGTGACGCTGAATAACTTTCATTAAATCTTGTGTCACTCGTGATTAAGCAAACGGTTTCCAAAAATAAATAATGACATATTTTTTACCTTTTATTCCTCGTAAGACAAACTGAAAGTAACTGGAATTCACTGATCAAGACGATAGAACTCGCCGAAATTAAATGTCGCAATATAAAAATTATGGTGTATTGTTCACTTTTGTCCATAGATACACAGCGATAAAGCTCAATGCTCGCCAACACGAAAGCACAAACGCGATATTGCAAGGTTTACATGTAAATTGTTCGTGCATGTACACCGTTTTATAGCCACACAAAATTCATAGATAAAATCATATCCATATAAATATTGAAGTGCACTTTAAGTCAAAGTCCACACATTATTACATCACCTTACTATAGATGAAAGCCGGCTATATATGCATCTTCAACAACAAAACGTTATTTACACAAACGTACTAAGCTATCGTTCAAAACGCATGCAAACACGAAATGAAAGTTTAAGAGTTTATAAAAAACAAGTTATCAGGTCGTTTTAAAGTGGGGGAATACGTGTACAGGCATTAATTGTTAAGACTGCTTTACACTTTAAAGTATTATAAACATATTGTTTATTATCCAATTCATTCATGCAGTGTAAGTCCTGCCGTTGTCTTGGCTAGCCTATTCAACCACTAGACTAACTAGTGAAATCAGACAGTTCATATACAAAAGAATTTGAAGACTTACCAACTCTCGGGTGGATTCGCTGAGTTTGCTAGTAATTCACGGCACTTGACTGTGTCTTGTCACTTATTACCGCTGGTGATGATCTTTATGAAATAAAAGATAACTCAGTGAGCAACGTGCAGCAGGTATATTGCTGGCAAATATTGTTTCAATAGTCGATATGTCTAACTTCAATTTTCCTTAATCATCAAAGCGCCGCTAACCACGAGGCCTGCAGTATTTATAATTTTCCAGACACATCTATTTTGTTTTTTCCGCATCGTATAGTCATCATGTTTTTATGATGATCGCGATTTACGTGTTGTCGCGATAGTTTGAATATGCAAACGAGGCCTCATCACATGGTTATGCAAAATAGGAATGCAATTGCTTCTGATATTGCGCCCAAAATTTCCATATTGCAAGACATTGGAATGTTTTGAGATTTTATCTGATGAACGTTTTGTCAAAACTTCCTCTCTGCACGAGACGAAAAAATGAAGTCTGAATTTATGAAGACGAGTACAGATTTCATTGGTCTGAAAAGGTCGAAAAAATATTTTGTGAATCTTCTGAGATAGTTCGAGTGCACGCAGCTTATATTGTGAAAACACGCTTGAGATATCTTTCTCAGGCAATTCAGATTTCAGACACAAACGACACCTTATTGATTGTTGAATACTACCTATATACTGGACCACCACGTTTGAGATATAGGTAGTTTTGAAGTAGTTCAGACACAAATCACAACAGCTAGAATACCTACAGTGGACCATCGCATTTACCAGAGACAAACTTGCATCTAATTCACGACGGAGTATTGTGCTATCCCCAATTTCCTCAATTTATTATCAAATTAACGCTGCCCAATGATCAAATTTTGCACCAAATAGGAAAAAAGCTTTCATAATAGTGATGATACGACAAACCATTAAACCTTGTTTTTTCATTTGCTCACTTCGAAAAGTATTTGCTTCAATCAAAGCATGTTAATTATTGAAGACACTTGGTGTTCAACGATTAAATCCTTACAATTACAAAATTAGATTGTCATTCACACACTACGTTAATAAGACGCCTTAGTGAAAGAATACAAAGATTATTAATTATTTGAATACCCAAAGTTACTGAAGTGAGAAAGATGCAAAGTCTTAACCACTTGTCCAGCGGATATTGCGCTGCACACGCTATGTTATGTATCCTAGCAACCCGCAATATAGTCATTTTATTGGTTCGGATAATCACGCGATTGAGAAAGTTTCAGCAGGCCTTTGACCTCTGCCCTGTGTCTGATCCCTTGATATGGTAACTATAGAACAAGGTGATGTTCACAAAGAGTTTATGTGAATACCAGAAAGTATTACGTAAGAGTGCATCACGCGGATTAATAAAATACTTGGCATTTCCTTCCAGCTTTGTTGCGCTATGATATTGCAAAAATGTTTAAAAAAAGCTTTTGTTTCTCCCCATGAAATCCTACACACATGACGTTATGCACGTCGTCAAGCGAACTTCCTCCCCCCCCCGGGGTATGAAATGTTGACGTCAAAAAACATAAACAGTTTACTCCCCATTTAATAACTTATATACACATTTCATTTAAAACCTACAGTAGTGAGTTTGCCTGCAATAAATTTAATAAATCGCTGATGAAAATTTCAATATTTTGTATTTATTCTAAGCACTGTGGATCAATGATAAAAATATATATAGAGAGCTGCACTTGATATACCATCGTGAAAAACGTTACGTCTGCATCTATCTCACCCTGTTTTATGTAAACCTCCAACTTTGATGAGTAGAATTCGATATGTAGAAATCGATATCGCATTCTTTTTTTAAGCGGGATTTAGCTCCGTGGCAACAGAACATATCGTCATATAAATACTAATATAATAACGCGAAAAGTAATGAAATACTAGTTAGTTTTGATACGCAGCTGTGATATTCCCATGAAAAATTATTAATATATTGTGTTTGATTGTTAGCAAGCGGCAGTAGGGTCAAGATCTTTAGAAGAGCACAAGGCGTTTGTAGAGTTCGTATTAAAAACAAGATGCTGCAAGTGCTTTTAGCGTGGATCTGGTTTCTGTGCTTAGGAACAGTTAAATCAGAAGGTATAACTCTTTGCTTTCTCCTGCTAAACGATTCATGCCAAACTCATATCGGTTCCCTATTTTTATTTACTTCTTTTATATAACTTACTAAATATCCTGGATCAGATTTCCCAACCATCGTGAAATTATCAACTAAAAAAGAAGACATTTTATAATATTATACACAATAAAAGCTTTCGAAGTTTTTAATTGGAATAAAATAATAATTATTATAAAATTACCTGGAATTTTGTGCAGAATATTTGGTCTAAAAACAAACTAAAATATTGCTTATTTTAAACAACTCATAAAAAGGTTCACCATATTGGAACAATTCCAAATTGCTGAGCAGGCGCAGTAAATGCCAGTTCCAGTCTTCTCGACTTTCTGTGCAAAAAATGCTAATCACTTCTGACAGTGCAGTAGGTATTACCAGTGCGTATTACAATCATTTAATATTCCAAAACATTTTTATTTACACCAGCCAACGACCAGAAATGGGACAGATTACTTGGTAAGTCAATCAAAATTGAGTTTAGATCGGCAAAATCGAATTTCTCTTTAAACAGCTTATCTTGTCTAGTGGGATTTCCAAAATTCTCGAAAATGCCTTTGAATGAGCTTGATGCAGAAGCAGCTGGATGGATAAAGGATGGTTGTTGCGATGGTGAGACTGACTTGCAGTATTCCACAATTGAAACGAGCTACAAAAGGTCTCAAATTTCGTTTTATTTCAGAACAAAATGATTATGTTGGAAATCGCTATCTAAAAGACAACGACACGTCGACACGTTTGATCTTTGGAATTGATGGGACTATAGCTGGAATACAAACGACAGTATGCATGATTATTTACGTACACTTGTATGAGACTGACATAGAATACAGCTTGGGTATTATCACTGCTTTTTGCTTGTTCTTCGAATGACGTGCTTCTGAACTTTCCTAGATAACACCAACGAAAATCTACCCTGGTCAATCCAGCTCATCGCCTTGGATAAGAGTGAACAAGGACGAGGCGATAGCGACAGCTTACTTTCGAAACCCAGCAACAATTTGTAACAAAATCAACTCTTGTGAGGCAAAACCAACTTTTGGTCATGAGCTGTACATTCAAACCAAAAGCTGGTTAACAAAAGAAGGAAAGAAAATGATTAAGATTCCAACTAGTGGTCTGAAAAATACGGCCTGGGTGAAAGGAAGATGTTTTAAGAATATGGGTGTGTTGAAGAGGCAGATCATAGTATTTGCCCGATTTATACTAGAGATGGATTATCCGTCTGGACGAATTTTTATGAATGGGTCAACTTTTTTCTAGGAATGCACTATTGGTTCAATATTTCCCAGAACTTGAAATGTGAAGAAATCTTTCCAATATTTCTGTTGTTTGATGACGCAAGCGAGAAGTTGAAGTCCTTTGGATGGGCGGTACCCATAAAAATTAACAGTACAATGTGGGAACATCCACCACAAAAATATTTCGGGGTGAGTAAATGATAATACGATAACGTAGTTTATTCCTGTTTTGTTGACGTTGCTTGTAAATATAACCATGCATCCACTGAATAAATCTAGAACAAGCAGCACAAAATACGCAAAAAAACAAATTCAAGTCGATAAACTGTAGCCTATAATAAGCGAACCCCTTCTACTTGTAATCTTGTTTTTTCTTTCTAGTTTTTCTTTAAAAAGCTGACCGATATTCCACGATGCTTGATGGACAATCATATCTCAACTCAACATGTTTATCTCACTGACCCAGCGAAGTTGACGTGTGTTAAAAGACTTTAAATGCAATTTAACGGGCAATGCGTAATTATATAAACTGTAATCTCAGTCATGTCAGTTGGTGAATTAATAAATGGTAAAATAGATTAAATTTTCAATGTCCTTACTGTGTGATATAGACGATTATTGTTCGGCTGCATTATGCTTGATTTCATCGTTCAATTTCTATCTGTAATCATGGCATTCTGACCTGGTGCAGACAGGTTCTTGATGCATCTGAAGAAACTACTCCCGGTACTCCGGAGCTGCTCAAAATTTCACCGAATTGATGAAATTTCTATTTTTTTTTCTATAATGATCTACCTTCCTGTGATTGGCGTATAAAATTCTGTTGTCTTCCACCAGTCGTGAAGATTATATGCATCCAAGGCCTCGTAGAATAACTTCCACCAAAGAATGTTCGTTTCCTGTTGTCTGAAATTGAAATGAAGGCTGAATCCTTTTCTCTGGATCTCTTTCACGTAATTTAAGGAGATACGGAAAGTCAGACAGAAGATACTTACTTGACAACAGGTCCAGGAAATGAGTTGGCTTCTTGTCTTGATGGTGGCTTCTTTAGTTCCCAAGGTTTGGGTATTATGCCGTACCCAGCGAAATGATAGGCTGAAATTTGACAAAACATGCAACGAAAGGATGAGATAACGAGACAAAAATTGAATATTTTCAGGCCAAGAAGATATAAAACCTTTCATTGGATAGTAGATTTTCCTTCTCACATTGTAGGAGTAAGGCAAAGGATTCCATCGGCCTGGAAAAGGAGAGCTTTTGCTAGTACGTCAATAACACTTGTTTGCCGTGTGTACGACCCCCAGGGAAAGGTTGGGCGATGTTTGCTTATGGTGTGTATACATTGATAGGGGGGGGGAGAGACGGTGCGCAAATGACGAGAGTTGGGAAAGAGGTTGTGATTGTGACCAGATGATATCTCTCATTTCTTTTATTGACATTTTGTCTTGATTGTTCATAAACAGGTGCAGATTTTCCCAGCCATTATTTCCCGGGAGTATAGCAAGATATGGGCTGCAGACTCACCATTAAATGCAAAGTAATGCCACAGTACTATTTGATCATTAGGACAGCCAATAACACGAGACAACTCCTGGAAGATAAACCATATTTAAACATTCAATAAAATTAGTTTTTCAACTTGGTACCTACATGGTAACCTCATCTCGGACTAACCTCCCATTTTTCCATCAAGCCTTGATATGTATCCAAATGGGGTCTAGAAAAAATTGTAAAATAGCAAAGGTCTGTTATCATAATGTTATTTATACTACATGATTAAAACATCTTCAGCTGATTCTTCAACTTAGAACTTCAGTAAAGTCAAAAGCACTAACTTGAAAACTGCTAGACCAGCATTAAAACATGGATCTAACACACCCTGAAATGGGACAAATATTTAAACACTGGAGCCGAAAAGAGGCAGGTACAATTGCAACTCATAGTTAAATTTTCATAGGTTCAGCATGAGGTCAGATTAGAATGATTCTAGCTAATGTGACTTACAGGACGACCACAGTACACAGCAGAGAACTCTTTTGGTAAATCAAAAAGCTGAAAGAACAAAAAGGTTGCTGAGCACAGAGTTGTTTTCTTCAATTGGAAAAATAAGTGGTCTTACCTCATCCATATTGACCAATGGAAAGAAATCTGTATCAACATAGACTATCTATTAAGAAAACAAGGATTTCACTCAAATCTTTTGCACAAAGAAGAGCTCATATGATTCTAATGTAATCTTAACAGACGTAGGATATTTGAAACAGCTCAATAAAGATAAAGACATACCGAATCAAACTGTGTGTATCGCCAAATGTTAAATCTTGTATGAGTACCTGGGATCCCTAGAAATTTCAAAACATTCAGGCATTACTGTAAATAATACATTTAAAATATTCAAAGATCTCAAACCTTTATTAGTTATCTCATATCCAAGTTTTTTATCCATCCAGTTGCAATCAAGACTCTCAACAACGTGAACACTAAAGCCAGTCTTTCGACAAAACAATATCAAAATTTATATGTTAGTTAAAAAATAAGAAAAATAAACTTAAATAATAAACAGGATATAATGCTATGACCTGGCAAAACTTACAGCCTCCAATGCAGATCTAGATTCTTTACTCACAGTGTCTGTCACAAGAGCAAGAAGATTTCTATATTCAAGATATACTAAGATATTAATGAAAACTTGGGTGAAAAACATCTAAAATTGTATATAAAAAGGTAAAACAAGGTTTATATGATATTCTTACGGATAACATGAAAACTTCTTGATAATGTGACCAACAGCGACTGCACCTGGAACAACGCTGTTTCCAGACTAAAGAAAAAATGTTGGAATATTTTTTGGAATTGAAAAATAAAATGAATGTTGGTGAATGAGTAGGAAAGAAAATCTTACCATTGACACAAACCAAGCAAGTTTTCTTTTTTTCTTCACTTTATTCTACAAAGCAATACATGGTTACATTACCTGCTCTAGCTAAAACCAAAGCTTTTATCATATTCTTCATGTCTAGCCGGACACCGAATATGTGTTTCATTGGATTATTTTAGTGTTAAGCATACATGGTTTGATCATAGACAATCCAAAAGACAGTCCTTTGGAGTTGTCTTTTGGATTGTCTATGGATTGATAAACCACTATGGTGAAATTCTCTACTGTTTTTAATACCCTACTGTGGTAATCCTGACCTTGCACCATTCAGGCATGAATTCTTTTTGAAAATGATGTAAATCCCACACTAACTGTAGAGAAACAATTTAATATTGGAATAATAATTTATTGTCAATGCTGCCAAAACACCAGCATTTAATAAGTTGACTGATAGGACATTACAAAGACCTGAGCATCCTGTCTTAAGACATCATTCTGTCGTTGCATGTCAGTATTAACCAGATCATAAATGATTTTTGCATAGGATATTCCATAAGAGAAGTAATTCGGTTTAGTAAGACGAAAAAACAGCAAGCACAATAGAAATCCTGCGAAGAATTTGATCAACTTGTGACGACGAATGTAGACCAAAATTGATGGAAAACTCCTGAAAGAAGAATAAAACACAGGTTTACAAAAAGAAAGACAAGTTTTTGATATACAGTACTGCAATATTTCGTTCGCAAAGTATACCTTGCATGTAAAGCAATGTAAGAAATCGTCCTTGAAGGCATAGTGGTAAATACACAAAGAATAACCCAGGAATTATCAACACAACAGCTCACATTCTTGAAAATATTCTTTAATTTCTGTAAATCAAACTATTTCTCGTCAAAACTTTCATGAAAAGGACCAGATGTGTTTCCACTCGTGTCATTAAAATTTAACAGTAGTAATCTCCGCCGTCAACCTCTTTTGCAGTATTATAATGTCGTTTGTCTCAAATATATTTAAATATATTCTTGCTTAAATATGCACGAACGTAGCATTAAACACAAACAAATTGAAACAAGGTATACATGGCCCTGAATTGGAAATGATATTGTTGTTGTAAACACACGCAACGAATGATATTACCCGTAAACATCGATTCGTATAGACTTATGTATTAAATCGGTCAATTGCTCATTCATGGATTCGGGGAGGCCAATATTGCCTAAATTATTACGACCGAGGTATGTTTAATGCCGAATACCTACGATTGTTCATGATTTATCAACCATATTTCCAAAAAATCGTTGTATCACATCATTTAGCTTACCTATACCAATTCTGGTACACTGGTTTTAGACCTTCATTTCAGCACTTCCGCCCACAATAACGTAAAAAAGAGAGTCCTTTTAATTGCAATAAGTGGCATGTTTTATACTCTAGTGCCAAATTAATAGCTTATTAAACAAGCTACTACAGTTTTAGACATTTTATTGTAAATTTTGAATGGATCAGAAATTAGAAATTTTAGTAGAGCAGTTTGTTTAGGCGTGGCCAACTTGCTGGTCACACCAATAAGGGCAGTAAGTCAATAACTATTATATAATTACAGAATATAAGACCAATAATATGTATTCAAGTCCTCTGTCTATAAGCCTCAAAAACACACAAGAATGCATAAAACTTCTCTATTTTTATTCCAGAAGTTTCCAGTCAATAATGGTGTACATACGACAACATAACTTGGTGAAATTTTTGTCATTATTAGTGCTGTTTTTGCTCCTCTTCAGGATCTTAGTACCTAACCTTTTTTCATATTCTCTATCATATTTCCAAATTATAATAACTATGGTGAATACCGACATGGATCGCCAGCAAGATGTTATCCGACAAGAAGCAGAGGTAATTTATATTCCCTGACCTCACCTCCCCTTGGTGCCAAAACTTTCATTTATATTTTTATAAACTGTTATTTTCTCATTTTTATTCCAATTTCCAGTTGGTTTGGGGCTATCATCAAATGCAGAAAAGATTCATGCAACAAATTTGTAAGGTCAGATATATATCTTAAATGCAGCACATTTGGCTGTAGGTAATATATACATCAGCTGAATTCCCTATTTTGTATACTACACTTGCTTTCAACTTTTAGGAAAAAAAACTGTCAAAAAAGAAGTATTTATGGCTTGTTTCCTTGGTGAGATTTAAAAAACTTTTTCTTGAGATTTTTTTTGCATGGTCAGACTATTTCTTTTTGTCTCTTCTTGTAGTCTTCAGACAATGTCCTTCCTGGGGCAGTAGCTGTCGCTCAATCAATTCAAAAAATATCTTGTTACACGTATGTACAAGAGTACCACCACAATCAATAAATTTTGTTGTGTAATTGTATACTATATAGCCAGTACGCGGATGGTATTATATGGTGTTCACATGTACATTATGTGCATCTAAGTAAAGTACAAATGCCTAACTGCATGTTTGTAAAGACACTTTTTCAATGCCCATTAAATCTAAAAAAATGTCTGTAAGTTCATGCTACTAATTTCAATCTCCAACTGTAGAAATATCGGTGCAATGGTGACACCAAATGTCAGCAATCTGACAAGAAGTGTACTAGCAAAGGTATGGAAAGTAGCTGGTAACTTCTACCTAAGCTGTGCTAATAATGTATAATCATGATGGTCACACAGATTTAGCTATACAGTGTAAAATAATTTTGTAATTACCACCAACCAGGCTGGTTACCAGATGTTTGATGTGGAGTCTCTTGATTGCAACTGGTTGGAGAAATCATTGCATCTTCCTCCAACAAACACAGGTGGGTACCATGTGTGCACGATCATCATCTACAAATATAAAACAAGACATTTTCACAAAAAGAGGACTCTCAAATGAACATGGTTTATTTAATTTCTCATGTCAAGGCATTCCAGGCACTCATACAAGATTTCACGCTTGGAATTTATTACAATTTGAGAAGGTACGTTGTGGTTATCTTATCACCATTCTCGTTGTGGCCTGTGTGAATAATAATATATTTCTTTTACCTAGATTGCATACGTGGATATAGATTACATGCTTCTTACCAATATTGACGAGGTACAAGCTTGTCACCACTGACACTGGTAGTGATTTGATTAATTGTAACTTAACCCTTATAACCACTCTTCTTCAAAATGATTCTGTCTACTATTTTCGGCAGATATTTGATTTACCGGGTGACCTATCAGCAGTTTACTGCGCAAGACCGGTAAGACTGTACAACCATTTTCACGTCGAAGTTCCTTGCTGCTAAGCTCAACACTAACAATTATATTATAACACAACTTTAGAGTGTGGTTCAACCTTGTTTCAACGCAGGACTTGCCGTCTTTAGGTAGCTTTGATAATCATTTTCAATATATACACAATGACAATGTCTGTAGTGTGAGACCACAGAGAACTTTGCTCTTTTTACAGACCATCAGCGAAGACGCATTCTGGACTTATGGACAAATGGAAGGTGATGTCTCTGTCACCTTGATCAACTTTATTTACCCTCAAAATACGTAGTAAACACTGAACCGTAGACCCAGTCTAAACTCTAAACTGTCATTAGTAAAATCTTTGATAGTTTACTGGTCGCCAATGTGCGGCGAATTACGTCGTTTCAACGCTTGTATTTTGCCGCGGAGTATAGCTTTTCATAACACTTTTATCTTAAAACGACATTTTAAATCCCTCGCAATATTTCCAGGAATTAAACGGAATTATGGGATGTGTTAGTGATCAAGTGGTTATGTGGTACTACTTCGCTTTTTCTGGTAAATATTCATGCGTGTCCATTGATCAAACAGTTGAAATGATTTTCATACCTGATTAACACCTTTTTTCTTCACCGTCAGATCGCTGGAATCCTCTGCCGTACTCATATAATGTTCGTAGAAAATTATTTTATCCAATGAAAGGTAGTTGCAAGCTGAATATATGCTGAAGAAACAAATTGTATGGATCAATGAAGATAGCTACATTAAAATAACGATGTTTAAATGTAATATTTATTTTCATAGCCTACCATTTTGCTGGTTATGGTGTAACTCCTAAACCTTGGGATATGAAGATACCACCCACCAAGAAAGAAGCTTTTGATTTTCCTGGTCCTGCCGTCGAGTAAGTCTCCCAGTTTATCCATGAGCTGATCTTTTTTGCACTCCAGCTTCGTGAGTTGACCATTAGATCTAGTTTAGGTTTCCTGCTGTAGTAACACTGAGATGATCCTTACTGGACCTCTAGGAAGAACAGTTTAGAACTGACAGAGTTATAGACATTATAGATGCAGTAATAATTGTTAATTTAATTTACGCAGACGAAAGGATATGAACTTCCTATGGTGGCAATTATTCTACAATGCGTTGGATCAATATAATCTCCATCAATGGTGGACTTCAAGATAACATCTGCACACATTTACATACATTCAAATCACTTTTCCAAACCGCGCTAATGTAAATTATGTCTACCGCCTCAAGCGAGTTATTGTATAGATGTCCATCACCAACTTTAACTGACTTTTTCTTCACCTGGAACGTCATATTTACACAAAAACACTGTATGATATTTTGTATGATGCAACATAACTCTCAGCACATAGCTTGACGTTTTTTTAGACATCAAATATTCGTCAAATACTCTGAACATAAAACACAAATGTCTTGCTGCACCATTTAGAGCAGGTTTTTATCTAAAAGATCGAGTAAATTAAGGGGGAGGGGGGTTGTTAAGACCAGTTTAATTGTGTCACATCCTTGACTTGTGACCACTGTGTTTCTCAAACGTCTGTCTTTCCATTCTTTAAAGCACTTCTGATTTTATAAATCTGAAACTTTATAGAAATATTATAATATACAATTCGTATGCATGATGATAAGGTTATATATAACGTTCTGTTCAATTCCCAATATTTCATCACCCAAGATCATCCATCATAAGAATTTGTTTGTACCCAATGTGTGATCCTAATGGTGATAATCTGTCAGCACATGTTATACTCAGGCCTGGTGACATTCCTACAGAAGGTGTCATCATCATGTGATCTACCTGATCGCAGGTCACACATCTCACCCACAATGCAAGCTCTAGTTTTGCATGTTGCACCATAGGGGGAGCATTTCCATTTGTATCTGAGGAAGAATAAGTATGTATTATAACCTGATCTAATATAGTCTTTATCTCAGATGATGGTGGTCATATAAAACTTATATAATAGCTTTACTCCCCCCCCCCCCCACTGACAAAATTCAGAATTCTTGATAGTTCAAACCATCACTTGGTATTAATGTTTGCTATGTACTTACTTGTAATAGGTCTGGAAGAGGGTGTAGTTCTGTCCCAAACGAGTGACAAAATCATCCCATGCAGCGGGCTGTAGAGAGCTCATGCTGTAGGCTTCCTGTAAAAAACAAACAAAATAAATTGAAGAACATAACGGAACTGACAATATCATAAACTAAAGGAGATCACTGAAGTGAGAGGGAAAGAGAATAAGTCTCTTGATTTGCATGAGCTGCCAAAATACCACTTAAGACTAGGTTACCTTAGCACTATATTCAAATTTCCACACCATGTTATCTTTTGTAGTACTAACAAGATCAAGATAGTAAGTTGAGTGATCTAAGATGGCCTGAAAAAAATTTTTGCTTGGTTAAGTAAATGTCCACAAATAAAGCCACGGCTCAACCACTTTGCTTTTTTCAACATTTGTGCGTACTTACATAGGTAGATTCATTGTAGCTCCCATCTGCTGTGTATGTACGATATCCTGGGTTCAGATTTTGATATGTGGTTAAACTTGGGCCAATATAGGCAATACTACAATATATATGAAATAAAATTAATACTACTTAGAAAGAGCTAGAAGATTTAGCAGAGAAATAAATGTGCCTACTTTGTAGCTCGGGTTATATTATTCAGATCATAATATAATTCAAAATGATCTTGATGTGTATGTCCAAAGAACTGTCCCATTATGATGCTCTCGTAACGATCAATAATTTTGTAGTAGTTCCAACTCCAGTGCTTCAGGCAGGTTGAACGACCCACAGGCATGTGACCTATGATATGAACCTGGAGGAAGATAGAAGGGGACATCATCTCTTATTGATTTAGTGTTAATACAGGATGATAACTGGATAGCTCTCTCAGTTCTAAACTGTTCTTCCTAGAGGTTCAATAAGGACAATCTCTTCCGATCTTGAAATACAACTGGAAATATGAAAAACTGAAATAATCACCTTTTCCTTATTGTCCTCAGCAGCTTGCAATACTTTGATCAGCCATTGAAGCTCACCAGCTGGATCTGTATTGTTGATCAATAACCACCTCAAAAAAAAATATTCCCAGAGTTATTACAAATGAACTTTCCTCCCTCTCCTTTATCAAGCAACTTGATACAACAAATATCTTACCAGTTTTCATTGTTGCAGTAATTATCATTTAATGAAATAATTCTAAAACCCTTTGAATGCAAGACAGTGTAATATCCTCCCCTGAAAGGAAGAAAAAACTGATGTTTTTCAAAGAACATTAGTTATCTGAACATTACAAAATCTCAATATGATACCTTTTTATTGTAGCTTTTGTTTCCTGAGGCAACCAAAATGACCAGAAATCGGCAAAACTATCCAATAACCATTTATTTGAACTGTGACCCTTTACATAAGGTGGTGGGAAACTAAATAAATGTGTATGTAGTTTAAATAATTAGGAATTATTTCAGCAGACCAATTGTAATTATAATAAAATTCCATGTAGTTGTATATAAATCTTTATCTTCTCAACCAACCTGTTAACAGGAGTGCTCTCATGGTTACCCATAGCTGGATAAACTGGTATGTCTGGGAAATATTTTATGAACATCTTAACTGCAGACTCCATTGCTTGGATCTTCAAAACAGTTTCAAAATGGTTACAAATACAATTTAATGCCAAACTAGAACAATTGGTTTGTGAATATTACCTGATCAGCCCTTGACTGGTTCCAGACATTGTGGGAAGGTACATCCCCAGTCCAATAAACAAAATCAATCTGAAAATGTATGTGAATTGTAATTTTTCAACCAACAGTGGAAAACCAACACCCCTTTCGCGGATCTAAATAAACATATGGTTGTTTTCTTACATGCTGATGAATTTTGTTGATATGTTTAAGTGTAGCTTCAAATGTTCTCATTGGAATATCGCACTGATACGATCCCCAATAACCAGCTTTGCCTTTACCTGAAATTCATTCAATCAAAATTAGGAAAAACATTGTCAAATATTAATCATCGTGCATCAAATGAAAATGATTGTGTCCTAGCTTCCTGGGATCCACCATAAATGAAAAATCTAACACTCTCAAACATCTTACCATTATATTTTCTGCAACACAGTGGCTCTCCACAATCTGTGCTTGTGTTCTCTGCATACTGATGGTCAATATGAACATCAGATAAATGAAGTATTTTAAATGTTGGGGAACCAGTCTAAAATGTAAATGTTAAATGTTGTTTTTTTAACCATTATTTGATCAAACTGGAATCTGATGGTGGTCCAGTGAAAGTAGTAGTTATACAATAGTTTGTTATTGCACAATAGAGTGGGTACCATCTTGCGTATATGTTACAATAGAGTGTGTCTTGCCTATACGTCACAACAAAAGTCAGTGAAGGTCAACATAATGTTGTTTGACCTTTACTTTGTAAGGCAATATTATTTAATTACCTAAGTCTTGTGACACCAAAACATTATGGAAATGAAATTGAACTTTTTTTTTCAATTAGTGCTATTAAACCATGCCCAAACATTGCAAACTTTTCAATTTAGTCAGAACACTATTACTGCAATACTCTTAATTAGAAAAGAGTTTTAAAAAAATAAGATTTACTCACTTTAGGCAATGGTGTCGGATGAACTGGAGGTTTAGGAACAGTGGTTAAACTAATATTCCAGTCTGGATATAAACTCCTCACTTGAGCACAAGTAGGGCCAAGAATATATCCACAAACTTCCTTCGGAGACAAACCAACATCATCAAAAACAGATAAGACTTCATTTTGAAACTCAGGAATGATACCAGTACAAACACGCGTGTCTTCAATTTTTAATTTGACGCACCAAAACGCAGCAGCTTTTTCAATGAATTCATGCGTCTGATTTAGACGAAATAGAGATTGTACTAGCCCTGTCATAAATTTACAAGCATCACATTCGAGACCATTCAAAGAAGGTGAGAAAATTGAATGAATGTCGTTGGATAAAAGGTTGTAATTGTTGTCTTGATTGGAATAAGCTAGAAGCTGTTCAGTTGTAACTCCACCATATTCAGCCGAAGCTGAGTTGTCACTCCTTTCTAAAGGTGAAAAAACTGCCAATGAAAAATTGTACATTAGTACAAGACAACCAAATATGACTCCTCGATTCCTCATGTTAACGCTTGATATTTTTATCCACAATTTATTGTAAAAATGCAGGTTTATTTTATTTTACACAACATCGTATAGAATTTCTTGTGTCAAATATAAACCGGCTTCTACTACGAAATGCGAAATTATGTATTTGTAAATCTAGCCTGCGAACAGGCGAATATGCCCATTTTTCAGGCAAACCACTGAGCTATATAGATATAATGTGCGATTGATATTTAAGATTACATATTTAAAGCATATTTGATGTATTTAAATGTATTTTTAAGATTGTATTTTCAAGCATAACAACATGCATCGTGTCCTACATGTAATAAAAATGTGTTGAACCAAAGTAATCGTTCACTAAAAAGAGTTTTAACGCATTTTAAGGGCACATCCCACAGGCGACTTTACAATTCTTTTTCATATATGGAACATAGAATCTCTTGCAGTAACCAAGACGTTTGTATAAATCACAAACCCGGTCAAGTTTTCTGTTGTGACAATCGGGTTTAGCCGGTTCCTTGACCGTAATTGTACATTGTGATGGATCAGTACGTCTGAAACAACAAGAAACATTTGATCACATCACCATGGTCACAACTGACATACATATACGAATGCGGAATGTCAGTTCATCTTTAGCACAAACCTTTCTGGATCAAAGAGTTGGTAAACGGCTCCTTCTCTTAGTTCATTGTCTGTAAATTTCGTTGATAAGAAATATAATTCACCTGAAAATAATAAAACATTTGTGAGTTCCCCGGAAAATGGCGAATTCGACCATGGTCGAATATTTGCCATTTTCCGGCGAATATGACCATGGTCGTATTTGCCATTTTCCGGCGAATATGACCATGGTCGTATTTGCCATTTTCCGGCGAATATGACCATGGTCGTATTTGCCATTTTCCGGCGAATACGACCATGGTCGTATTTGCCATTTTCCGGCGAATATGACCATGGTCGTATTTGCCATTTTCCGGCGAATATGACCATGGTCGTATTTGCCATTTTCCGGCGAATACGACCATGGTCGTATTTGCCATTTTCCGGCGAATATGACCATGGTCGTATTTGCCATTTTCTGGCGATTATGATTATGGTCGTATTTGCCATTTTCCGGCGAATATGACCATGGTCGTATTTGCCATTTTCCGGCGAATATGACCATGGTAGTATTTGCTATTCTAATACGACCATGGTCGAGTCCGCCGGAAAATGGCGTATGCAAGTACCGGCGTGCTTGACCAGAATCATGGGCTTGCATGGTGAAGAAGACTAAGAAGTTCTTAGATGATAAATCTGGTTGAAATGGACTTTTAGTGGGTTGCTGAAACGTTTTGCATGTTTCCCGGTTAAGCTGGACGTGATTGAGCTAACATTGTCAAAAAAAAAAGTGAAATTTTGCCATATTTACCTGACTCATCTTCTCCAAAAGCCAAAATCATCCCTGCGTAATCCCCAGATATCCCTGGTCCATTACAATATGAACTGTCACCAAAACATACTTCTTTTGATCTCCACGTTTTTCTCTTCTTATTTTCTTTCATTGTAAACATCCGGCTAGAAAAACAATGAAATTATCAGAAAGGTTTGGTTTAAATTTCAAGGCGATATTATACGGTAACAAACTCACCCAGTATTATATCATTGGGTTGACTAATATCCATCTTTTTAAGGTCTTGGTAATAACTTACCCGTTCATCGTATCCGCGAAGTAATAAAGTCCTCTCATTTTGGGGTACTTGCAGCCACGGTACACATAACCACCAACGATAGACTGTCCTATTTTGTGGCTGTAGGCGAGAATAGGAAGCTCTTCGTTTGCTAAAAAATGAAGTCGCTGAGCTCAGTCAATGAAGTACATACTGTACGTTGTCATTTGTCAAGGTATATATATATATATATATAAAATACGGCATAATAGTTACCCATTAGAGACGCATTTCTGCATATCTTCTTATCATAACACTTGAAACCTTCGCGTCCTCTCCAACCATAGTTGCCTCCTTTCACTATAATATCCACTTCTTCGTACCTGTTTTGTCCAACGTCACCACAGAATATCCTGCCTTTGCCATAACCACTTCCCCTCTCCCCACGGTCGACGGAACAGCGCCAGGGGTTACGCAAACCGTACGCATAAATCTCTGGTAAAGTGTGAGGCTCATTAAGAAAAGGATTATCTGGAGGAATGCTGTAAGGCTCCACTTTGTCCACGTCAATCCGCAACACTTTCCCAAGATGCGTTGATCTTAGCAAGAAAATAAAGTTTTAAGGTTCAGATAGACGTAATTACACTTCGTACTAGCTTAGTTTCTTGCCATTTACGATCAATTGATTCACACTTACTTGTTCAAACCGTTTCCATATTTTCCAAACGGATCTCCAGCTCCACCGCCATCACCGGGAAAAATATACAAATACTTGTCCTCTCCAAACAAGATCTCGCCGCCATTATGATTACCTTTTGGCTGTGGTATGAGCAAGATCACTCTCTCAGAATAAGGATTGACTCGATTCAAATTTGATCCCGAGACCCGCCATTCGCTCAGGACGGCAACCCCCCCATCCAGCCACCATTGTTCAGGATCATTCTTATCAGAACTTCTTGTGATGTAATAGACAAACAGCCGGCCGTTTTCGCGATATCTTGGGTGAAACACCAACCCCAGCAAGCCACGTTCATCTCCGAAGGCAGGACTGGTTAAAACTTTTGAACTGATGTTCATAAATGGTGTATTTAATTGCGTTCCGTTTGGTAAAATGATGTAAACTAGTCCAATTTGTTCCACTAAGAACATTCTGTGTGTTTGGTCGTTAGCGTGAACAAGGTCCAAAGGATTTCGAAGATTTTTACTCACCTGAAAGAAAGTCGATGTATTTCGAATCAACCTTTCGAAGCACTGAGCTTATAATTTTGTATGAATGAAGAGATGCCTTTCTCCAGCTATTTCGTCTTGAATGGAAAGGCTTACGCTTATAAAATTATTTTTACCCAAGCATAGGAACTAATTTGTACTTGTGATTTCATAAAGTGCCTAATCACTTGAAATCTAACATTAGATAAATTCAATTGTTGGACCAGGAACTGGTCCCTAACCGCTGCTAATCTTCTTGTTGTTGTTGTTGTTAGGAGGCGACGCTCTTTAAAAAAACCCTAAGGCTCTAGCATTACTTGTTTGATCGGAATGAAACTTGGCACAATTATTCTAAGCATTATTCCGCATCGACTGACGGAGTTCGAGTTTTTTACTTTCGACCTTTGAAGCAAGTTACAAGCAATTCTTGATATATTTGCAGCAAATAATATATACATATCATTAATATTCAGCCTATATATAAGTAAACGGAAACGATTAGAAATACATTGTCCTCTCCATTGTTATAAATACAATGCAGTTCAGAAATTAAACTCGGTTACGCAGTTCCTGGTCCCTATAGTACGATCGTACTTGTTTTGGCCATTTTTTTTCCATCCTTGACCCTGTACATGACCTGCGCAATTGCGTTGCGCAAGTTACAACAAAGCAAATTTAGTGTTGCAAATTACATGGTTTTTTTTAAAAACTACGGCAATGTAGACTACTACGTGACGCAAACAGCATTGGCTTTATTTGGCTACCCCAGTATGAATTATACCAAGCCTTGTATTTTCAATCAAGTACAAACCTCTCTGACACACAGACAACCTTTTTTGGCAGCCAAGGTTCCGTTGACAGTGTTGGACGTTTTTATCGTTTTCAAATCTCGAATAGTCTTCTTTATTTTCGGATAACATAAATTTCTATTTAAAGCGACCTCAGATTCACGACAAAAATCATCAATTGTAATGTTTCTTCTGTGCATCGCTTCCTTGAAAATGTGTTCGACTGCCTGCGCGCAGTTCGTTACAAATCTTAAACAAAAATTCCAGTTGAGACACGGTAACGCCGAATTCGGGTCGTAATTCGGATTTGCTTCAGCATCAAAAATATGCGCCGACCACGAATGACATTTCAAACAAACAACTTTAGATAAAAACCTCCCGCATTTGTTTCTATTTTGAGGAACGATGGTTTTTAAAGCGTTTTGGTAGAGAAGCTGCAACTTATCGTCATCATCTTTCGTACAGCAACCAAGTTCGGAGTAGTCTCTACACCACATTTGCCGAGCGCTTGGTTTAAATGGCGGTTGAGAGTCGAGGCACTGTGGATGTGTGTTGCAGAACGAAACACACAAGAACACTAGAAATATAAGTAACGCCATTGTTGCGTCGTGACCAACTAAGTATGTCTACTGCATCAATCCAATCAATCCGTGTTTATTTTTAATATGATACCTCTGAGGAGGTAATAGTCAGAGCAATTTGTGTGATTAAGGTATTTGATGATTGATAAGAACAATTAAGCTGTTGGTTTAGAATAGATTCGTTTCAAAATGACCTTGTATCAGATCTCTGCGTAACTGCGTTCCCTTGACTTGCATGACGCACACACTTCATAAGACATGAATTAAGCTAATATTAACATGACTTCATATGACATGAGCGCGATTGCCGAGATTCAGAATTTATGAACATAATTTTGCCTGTTTTTCGAATTTAAAGCAATTAGTGGTTATCCTCCGGGCTTTGAACTGTCAGACTGTCAGCCAGTTAGTTGAAGGAAATTTACAAAATCAAGTGGATTCTTATTATAGTTATTGTTATTACTGTTGTAATGGTTACTGTTATTACGGTTGTTTTATAAACGTCATCACCTCATCTAAGATCATATTTACAGTTTGTTATTTACAAAAAAACTACAAATTCCATAATTTCTTTCATTATCCTGTGTTATATTCCAGGGGGGTTGTAGAGTCTGTTCTTTATTGAGGCTACTTTGAACTGTGGAATAGCAGCAATAAGATATGACCTGAAAACAGGAATTGCTGGTTAGAAATAAGCCTGCAGAGCTTCCCAGTTTAGTGAGGGACTGAGGGCCTGTGGTAGCACTGAATCAATGATAGATGATCCTCAAGTTTTGAACTTATATGAAACCTTGTGTGTAGACAACAGCGTATATTACTTATAACAACAATAAATTATATCATTACCTTGCTCTGGATGCCATTTCATTGGTGCTCCACCGGGGACTATATGGGTAACGATCATCAATAGCCTGGTACGGCTCATCATTGAAGATGTTGTAGATTGATTTCATTTTAAACACTGGCTGTTCTTCTGGAAAATCCTTGCCTATTTCAACTAAAATAGCAGAAAACAATACAAGTGATTAGACTGACATTTTAAACAGGAATTTTATAATAAAATACATACAACATACTTGTTAAAATTAAAGTGAACTTATCATGTTCCATCAGAAATGAAATTTCTTTAAAACTTTCCAAATCATACTCAAGGACACAGCTGAAAAGAGAAATAAAAAAAAGGTATGGCTGAAGGATATTTTATGCAAGAATAAGAAACCCCAATTCTGTAACCTACGTTCCAAAATGACTCAGGAATGAAGCAATGTAGCTTTGTCTGTGTTCATAACTTTTGATTATTTCATCAACCTGTGAAATAACACAATGTTAGCAATAAGTTCAGCTCTGTGAAGTTTTCTAGGCTGGATTCATTTGACTTACTTTTCCTTCAAAGTAGTGATGGACAGCTAATATGTATGATACAAGACATTTGTCTCCATCATTCCAACTTGGATATTTGATTATTGTGTCTCCAAATGCACTAAAGAATTAGGACAAAGTTGAGACTCTAAATTTATGAATTTTGGAGTTTGAACACCATCAAACCTTCCCACATAGTTGCACAGGGATATAAATTCAAAAATGTCTTACTCTTCAACACTTGGAGAAAGAAATATTTTAGGAGTGACAGTAGAGCCATCCTGTCCTTCATAAGAAACAAACAATGTAATTGAGTATTCCCCAGGATGCTCCTTAAAAATAAAGAGATACGTCTTTTAGAAAAATGATATTTCATCAAATAACACAGCTAAACTTACATTAAGAATAAATGGAGGTAATCTTGCAAGGTCCATTGGAAGTTTGATAAGAAAATTTGCTTGCTGTTGTAACCTCTGAAAGAATGGACAAATAATAGATCAGGACTGTAGGATTGCACAGTACCATAGAAAAATATAACTAATTTCAAATTCATTTAGCAATTTCTGGATGACCTGACCTAGTTTCCATCCAAGACATGATGGTTTGCAAGCTAGCTGTGAACTAACTAGTAATACTGTCCAATGTGTAATACTACTGACCTGGGTATCCCTATGTACATAGACCTCAATACTTGTCAAAGTATCAAGTTGCCTCACAGATTCCAGTTCAAATTCTAATTTTTGTGAATAATTCTTGACTAACTCAAACTGATATTGTTTATATTGCTCCAGCAATTCTTTCACTACTGCTGTCAAACTGTTGCCATTTTCAGGATTCCAATAGTGCAATGACTAAAAATATTTGAAGAATATGGTTAACACTCTAGAGGGAATGGATTAGAGGTAGATTAAGGTAGTTCAACAGAAGAGAGCTCAAGAAATACATTACTGGCATCTGCTCTAAATTTGGTTCAAAATCTTCTTCATTATCACCAAATATAATGTCAGGTGGAAAATGAGGCTCATTGGAGTTGAATAAGACTTCCCCTATGAGAAATATCTGTACTGTCAGTACTGTAGGTTATAGATGACCTGGAGTCACATGTTTCAGAATTCTGTTAATCTACCTATATATACCATAGAATCATATTGCTGCTTACATTGCAGTGTTGTCCCACCATATGGAATTAAAATTCTAAAGCGATCACAATTGTCCTGGGTTATCACATTTGAACTGCGTTAAATGAAAAAAGATAGCACCTTTTAAATAGGATTTTGGATCTGAAATATCATCATATTATTCAATACTTACCCTCTGCGAAGTTTATCTATGCGTATTTGATCTGTACAAGTGACTATCTCATCGTTTTCGTATAAATCCAAAGCAAACTTATTTATCTCACTGCTCAGCTGAGGAGCGGCCATTGTTATTGACACAAGACATAATACTCAGCATTATATAAAGTATCGGTCATACTTCGATAGAGCTTCCACCACATGTTTTAATTTCCTTGATTTAAATTTCTTTACCGAGGCGTTGCCTTGGTTACATAAAGACGCTTATTTTATAAACAATATGGCTAACTTGACCAAAGTTGGCAGATGTGGTTTTAAATCTCTTAAATTGCTAAGTAAATATTTATTAAGATGACCCGACCTTTAACAGGTATGGCACGAGTTTCAATACATATTTCAGATATAAATTTAGAGTTGGCCTGGGTGTGTTTTAATACATAGATATTTTAATAATAGCCATATTTTGATATATTCCAAGCCCAAGGTCCATCACACAGGACAAGAACGCCAACTGTTTTGCCGATCGGACATCTTTCCACTAAAAGTTCTGGTTAGTTAAATCTATTTAGTATAAATTGTCATGTACCTGACACGTAGTGCTCTGTGTTATTCCAATCAAGTTGTTGTTTTACAACCTTGTACTAAATTTGTTCTAGTATATTCTCCGGTTTCAATGTCAAGAATGTCTCAAGATCTAGTCCAAAATCATATGAAATCACATTATCAACGTATTTCTTCCGCAAAGGGTAAATCCTTAGTCTCTTAAATTATATTGCAATTTCTCTTGTCCGTCTTGTGTTCCTTTTTACACTCTTGTATTCATCTTGAATAATAAGTCTATCCATATCTATCTTAGGAATGTGAACGTAATTCTTAAGTAATTTCTTTATGTTGCAGCATGTGTCGACACGTCAGCACCAAAATCTATGAAACTCACAATAAAAGGTATAAATTAAGTTCAAGTCAGCTTCGTTAGTTGCATTGATGAACGGCTGGTTTACTGACCAGAAGCTCTGGCTTATAAGAAATTCACGTGGTGTTTCTAGAAATTGATGATTTAAGTTATTAGTTGATTTATTCACCATGCAGAATTCCAGGAATAATGGTCATCCTCTGACCGAAAATATGTTTCGCTAATCGCGATCGTTTTACAAGTGATTTTTGCGTCGCGTTTTTAGAGAAAGACAGACGAAGAAAAGAGGCATTGCTGGCAACAAGCGTACAAAAAACGACTCCAAGATCAAGAAATGGAGAGGTTTATTGTCTATTTTTTTATTGAAATTCCATTGCAAAAAATGAGGACGCAAATTCTACTACCAAAGATGCGCAGCGCAGTCATCTCTCTCTACGTCGTACAAAATCATTCTTTCTCTTCAGCCTTCAAATTCTCCCCGAAACTCCACATCAAATCTCAGACATGTCAATCCACATGAAACGTCATCTCGTGACCAATTGCGGAGTGAAAAACCCAGCTCTAAAAAAACGCCATTTTCGCCAAGACGTGAAACTGGAAATGTGGAGAATGGCGACTTGCGTCAAACACACGACCGAAGGCGAAGGCTAAATGACGCTCGTTTAAATGGTGTTTCTGTTGGACCAAGTGTGCTTGATGAACAAAGTTATACGCGTTATCAGAGCACGAGGCGAAAAATGGACCAAAAGTCAACCAGAGAAGACTCATTCGGAGATCAAATGAACGAAAGCTCAAAAACTAAACCCAACGATACTTTAGGGACATCTGACTTACATCAGACTAAGCGAGACAACTGGAATGATTTAAAAAATGAAACGTTTGAGAATGGACAATACACAACAAGCACTCCAAGACCTAACAAGTTTGAAGTCGATCCAAGTTTATCCACGATGACATTTAGTTATAAATCAGCACACGACCCACCACCGACACGAAGACATCCAAGAAGAAAAACTGCACAGGATTTAATCTGGTAAGAATTAACAACGAACTGGTTTGCCTTCTTACATCCGTCATGGCCCTGGCTCGCATACAAATAACACAGTTATACGTACCTTCTAGATTTCTAGCCTTGATTATCAATCTCATTTACAGGACTGAGGAACAGAAGTATCTCCAGTTTATATCAGACGTAACAAGTGATGTTTTGGCACGAGGAATATGTTCAAATAGGTGAATCACGCAACTATCGAACAAGCCAATATGTATTCATCAAGCTCGTAATTGATCTTAAATTAGGAATTAGAACAAATTACGTACATCACGACGTCGTGATTTATCCAATTAGAATAACATTAACACAATTAGAATTAATTAACAGTGTTATTAATGTTTGTAGAGTCATTAATAAGGTTTTTGAATCTCATATCGAGAAACGAAAAAACGACCTGGATGAGGTATGAATGGTATTTTAAATCTCATGCATCTGACAACTACCTGACAGCAGTGTTTATATTATTTTTATTTTTTTCAAGGATAACATGAGGGAAATGATCGACCAGTTGAAAGAAGATTTGGGAGTCATCGATGACTAAGGAGTAAAGGACCGTTTCAGACGTCGAACTATTCATATTCCGAATGCAAGCCACCAGGTTTTTCTCGTACGAATAGTTTTCGGGCAAACTGCGTCAGGGTTAGCTTGATTAAAAATTGAGCACAAAGCTCATCAAAGTTTGTCTTTAGGAAATACAAACTAATAAACAATTACCAGCTGATGTACAGCAACAGAATTATTTTTATAATTACAAGTTTTTACTAAATGATGTTTATTTTAATCCGTGCTGCACGCCGAATTCAGTAAAAAAGCGACGCTATCCTAGTGTGGGCCATAAACCTGAGTCATTCACCAAAGGTCTGACCCACAAGCTTTACGTCAGCCGTATTTTGGCTTGATTCTATCCTGATAATCCGGGATAGTAAAAGCTAACATCATTCAATCTTTTCTTTACATGCTAAATGTTCAATGAACAAAGGTGTCAACAGCTCTCCTAGTTTCCCTCCAGCCTCTTTTCCAAGAAAATCACCAACAACTCCTCCTAGAAAAGCTCCCAGAACGGGCAGCACCATACCACCCAGGACGAAACCAACCACAAATCCTGGGATTGAACAAGCAGCACCACAAACTCTCTTCACAATCACCTCGCAATATTCTTCACGAGTTAACTTCTCTTCGTCAAATTTTGTTTTCGCCTCTTTGCAATCATGACCAAGAAGAGCTACCTCGATTATAAAAGCGGTGAATATAGACAACCCTGTACCAATGTTTGCCCCATATTCCACGATTTCTGTCACTCCTGGTTGTCTAAACCAACTGTTCTCAGAGCGAAATGTCATCCGAAACCACTTGACAGCTCTGTTTAAAAACGACGTAATACTAGACAAAGCACTTTTTCCAAGTATTTCAACTGAGATCCAAAACTGATGACATTTTTTCACGCCGGTTTTACACTCGCTTGCAAAGTGTTCGCAGTTATTTGTGAAAGGGCAGTACCGTTTCTCCCCAATCCTTGATTCTGCTTTCCGCAACACTTCAGAAGGTGCAATGATGGTTTCATTTTCCTCGTAAATAATGCGGTAAAACCTGAAGGATTTGAAGTAAAAATATGCTGTCAGGTTTAGTCAGGTATATTCGAAGAGGTTTCACACGCAACAAATATGTATTTGGCACATGATTTGACGTCGTCCGTCGACTGACGTCATTGTATCACCCAGAGGTCAATTGTATAAAAGACTAGTTAAAAGTTAAGGACAGAATTGACCAATCAGAGTTGTTTATTTCTGAGTTAACTGGGATTTAACTATGCAAAATGTAGTTAAAGAGTTTTATACAATCAGCGAACGAGAATGATTATTTTGCTTACCTGTCTGGGACGAATGTTAACGAAGTGCGGCAGACAGACGGCAACTTGAATAATGGCTCTAAATCATGATAATAATGAATAACATTGATCTGTTCCAGACATATATTTACACTCTCAACAATCATGTGATGCCAAAACGTAGCCCCTAATCCAAATGAACTTTCCAGGACAATATGATCGCCTGGTTTGAGTTCTTTAAGATCAAATGATTCTTTATCGTGGTCGAAATAACGGCCAAAGCCATTTGAAGCCTTTCGCATCTCGAATAGACGAGAAACGACCTGAGCCAATTAAAAACGACCTTTCTGAGTTTTCTGCGTAGAGCTTTGATTAAGCAATCTTTAAAAGTTCTGGTCTGTTCAGCCAATCTTCATACTGTATTCCAAACTGATGTTTGCGAAGAACAAACCCGGAGTTTGGGGGGTAAATATCAGCGCAGTGCCAGTGGCTTCTTGGGACTTCTATAGCGAGTATTGATCACAGGTGGTTGACTTATTAACATCAGGAATGTAAACATATCCTATCTGACGTAACAGAATACTTGGCTTCTTGATAAACCCTTGCATAGGACATTCTTTGTGTGGTAGAAAAATACGAAAACACTATTAAATTGGTTAAAATACGAGCCTTTTCCAAACAAAAACCTTTTTTGTTTGGAAACCTAAAGAAATTGACAACCGTTTTGTGCTCTTCAAAAAGCGCCATGGACATGAAATGCGTGAGGTATTTTGCATATGGATAAAATTTTTTGAAATAATCGGATCGATATTAGATTGTATTCTTCTCTGCTCATACACAGCGCCATGAATTTCTTAAAAATATCTGAAATCAATTATACGAGATGCGCCCATCATTTTTAAAAATTCTATAATATGTTATGACAGAAGTTATTATTATAGTAACTAATAAATATATAATCATTATAAACATTTATATAATTATGTACATTTTTAAAATGCCAGGGTTAGAATTGATGCTTGTGTTTGTAAATTCCAGCTTACCAGAGTTCACACACAGTGTTCTCAGCCAATTCTCACCTCTGCTGGGTATTTTACGTGTATTTTCATCGTAGTTACCTGGCCTACAGCAGCATATAATCCATGACCAAACGTGAAGTGATTTGCCAATGCATCGATCCAAAACACGGCTTACCTCCTATGACTGTGCTCAGTTCATATTTTCCTTCATATATTGTTGCAGAGCGTTTAATCTTGCATCAATCTCGGATATTTCCACTGATCTATTCAGCGAGTTATCGTGTCTTTTACCTCCTGCAAGAACCACAAAAAGAATGAAAGTTTAACGTTCAAATGTGAAACGGGATGACCCAAATATTGTGTCTTTTCCCTGCATCTCTCATCTGTCATGGTTAAAAACAACGACATATTTTACTATACTTTCATTAGCAAAGATACGATCTTCAGTAAGCTTACCTTTCCTAGAAATGGTTGCTCGTTTTAAATCCTGAGGCGTACTGGAATACCTGATCTTCGTTAAGAAAAACCACGACTGTTAACATCTCATAATAATCAAGATTTTGTAAACTTTTAAGTTAATCTACGATGGATCTAGAGTGTAAATTAAAGATACATTTTCCTGAAGTACTTTTTCCCTCTCTCCTAAAGCAAAAAAAACATTTAGTAATAACATGATTTTGTGGATTGTGCATTGTTTAAAGCCGGAATCATGCACAGTGCCGGCTTAGTGCATTTCCTACAAAACTACAGATTAATTTTGATCCAAAGTAGTTCGAAGTAAACAAACCTACCGCATCGGAACCCTCAACTGAGGAGCCATATGAAGGTGCTCTGTCTCGGCGATCGCGAGAACTGGAAAATTTCAAACAAGAATTAGCTACAAACAGTTGCAAAGATTACGACTATAAGATTTTCTGCAGTCATTCTCTCACCCTGATCGTTTCCGTGTTCTCTCGTTGTACTCAGGTCGTCCAATAGACCCAGAAGAACGTCTACTACCAATACTACTCAACGATGACGTACGATATACTAGAAAATACAACCAGCCACCTTAATATGATAAAACTCTGCCAGTAAGATACACATTTTCCGAGCTGATTTCTCCTGAAAACAACTCTTGATTAATTACTCCTTAAAGTTCGAACTGTGGTAAATCAAGGTGTAGGAAATCAAGGTGTAAGAAGGTAGACATATTAGGGAAGAATCCATTTCTAAATGATCATACTTCTGTTTCCATCTTGTCTTCTTGCACGTGGTTCTCTCGGCGAGCCTCGATCTGATGAGACTGATCTTTTACGAAGGATTGGCTTCGATCCAGATCTTGTTCGGCTTCGACTGAAAGTGTGAAAATAAATGAATGACTGAGCTGTGATATGAAGACAAGAGCAGCCTCGCTCGCACACAGTGGCGATCTTCTCACCTGCGACTTTCCCTCGCCTCCTTAAGCTTGCGTTGTTTCTCTTTCACGTATCTTTAAGTCGGGTTAAATCATTTAACAACATCGTTTCTCATATCCTACAACGTGACAGCTGAGTGGTATAGATACATACCCACCCAGTTACATTTCAAATACAAACCACGTTTAATAACATTCTTGCAATTTTTGCATGGCGAATCTACTCATAATAATCACAGACAATTATTCTTGATGAAATAATTTTAACTTTTTTTTAAAAGATACGCGGTTGGATCGAACCGTGGAACATTTGCTGTGGATGAAAAAGAGAAGATATCATTAACTGACACAAAGCAGAAAATGTCAGGTATATAATATTACCTGCGGACGGTGAGGGACTTCGGGTTCTTCTTCTGCTTTGGGGAGTCACTTTACGTTCTTTTGAAGCTGTGCGTCGTGGAATATAATTTGTCTTTTTAGCAGATGATGTTCTTGGGACAGACCCAGCTGAAGGAGATTGTCTTATCTTGGCTCTGCAAAGTCAATCATTGAATATTATCAGTGATAAATCTTTTATCATTATGTTTGAATTGATTTCAAAAACACTTCTCTTTGCATTTGGGTCAAACACTCTGGTACATATTAAACCAAACAACTGGAATACAATAAAGTCCTTGAGTTTTTACTCACCCTTGCCTCTTCAACAACGCCAGTTCATTGGTAAGATTACGACACCTCGCTCTTAAATTACGTTCGTTTCCACGAGCTTCTTTCAACTGGAAATGTAAAGGTGTAACTGAGCAAGGCTAGACCTTTCTGCTTTGAATGATAACTGTAAGATAATTTGACTGTAATGCAAAGAAAAGGGAGTCAAACAGGAGACAAACCTCTTGCAATAAGTCACGGTTTTCTTGGGACTTCTTACTCAGCATCTTTTGATATTTAGTTTTCTCCTTCAGTAACTCTCCCTGTATTCATAAAATATACAATGAATAACTACTTTCAGCTGTGAAAGATTTTCTTAGTTGAAGCAATTCTCATACTTACCTCTAAGTTTTTAATGACTTTCTTAAGAACTCTAATTTCTTTAGCAGTATCAGCGAGACTGGAATGCTTCACTTCCCGTTGAAATGCATTGAACTCTTTTTCAACATTCTCTTTCTCATTTAGCAGGTTGTCCAACCTAATTTGACGTAGAAGAATGTTTTTAGACAGTTCATATTTTATACAGATGTTATGAAACATTAAATTTTTAGTTTTTCCTAACTGTTTTTGCTTTTTCTCAGCTTGATAGCTTTGTGCTTCTTTAGTGAGTTGATTTTTTAAATTCTTGATTTCGTCTTTCAGTTTTCTGTTCATATCTTGCAGATGAACTGGGTCAGGTTTACCAACGTAGGGTAGGGGAAGTGGATAATGGATCCTATGGAAATATGAAACAATTAACCTTATTTAGTTGAAATGCATTTTTATTAGCTTTACCCTTAATTCCCATCAAGAAGAGTTGACCATGTTACTTTACCTGTCAAATTCCACAGTATAAGTCAAGATAAGATATCTTTTGGTTGATAACTGTGAGGTAGATCTTGCGCCAGGGATGTTTGTCACCCCTGTACCTGGTTTCTGCTCTCGAAGACTTTGAAGATCAGCATATGTCAGTAAGTCTAAACTAACGCTCGGAGAATCCTTTAAAAAAGCAAGAGAGTATGTCACATTGTTGTAAGTTCATTTGAAGCAGCCTGAGGTTAACATACGATGATAAGAGTCCCTTGACACTGCACATTTTCTAACCTTGTTTAATGCTGATTCAATCATGTTTACAAATACTTTGAACTGTTTAAAATTACCAGTCTTGTGTGTGAGGTCTTCAATGTCTAAAAATATTTTATCAAAACAGGAATTCGGGTAAGCTAATCGGAGCAATAATTGAATACAACTTCATACTAAAATAATAACGATAACTGCACGTGTACACAAATCACAACAAAATTTAATACTCCGAAAACATCCTTACATCTTGCATCAAATTCTGCCCTCCATTGATCAGCTGTGAGTCTATCTTCTGCCTCAACAATGACCACTTCATCTCGTACAAACATGCTCACGATATACTCAATCCCACGAAAGACATGTCTTGCTGAAAGAGAAGGCATTTTACCAGCATCCGACATCTTTTTGAAGTTGTTTTGTTCACTCGCTTTTCTGGCGGCAGAAAATTCAAAATAATACACGGCTTATTCGGAGCGGGGCTCCCCCCCCGTCCCCAGACCCAGGGGTCAAGAGGTCATTGCCTTCTTTACTGTTACTGTGTTACAGAAAAATGTGAACAGTTTTGAAAGAATATTAACTCTGTTATAAATGCCAGCGCCTAATGCAAACTCTCGTAAGCTATGTTATGAAGCCAGAGATAAATATTTTGAGTGTAAAACTAAGAATCTGGACAAACCTGAAATTTGTGAAGACTTGCGAAAAATGTTTGAAAAATCATGTCTGCCTTCTTGGGTAGGTATTAATGTATCATGCTTCTTCTGAAATATGTTTGGCCACTTATTCTCATCCAACCCATCCTCATTCCCACTTCATTGTGACCTGCATCTTAGATCATTATCATGATCAATATATTTTCCAACGTACTACCATATTGGACCTTCGAATCATGGTACAGAGTTTGGTACTGTCCTAACTTTCATGAGGGTCTGTGGGTTAGATCACCCTAATCCAATTTTTAATCTCCCTGCTAATCAGCCTTTTAATCCTTTTTTTCAAGACTATGACCATAATCTGGTAATCATAGCCTTAATGTTTCAGATACCATAAAAAATAAATTATCCTTTTCCTCAGGTGAAGCATTTCGATAGGAAAAGAGTTTATGAAGAATATAAAAGAAAGTTGAACACAGAGGGATATAAGTCCACAGACGATCGAGTTAATTATAAAGACGACAAACACTCAGAAGCTGGAATCAATAGATGAATCAAGGCTTGACTATTCAATATATTTACAATATAGCTGTACAACAAAAGTATTAATTTACATTATAAAAATGCTCAGCGAGTCTAGGATCTGTGCGTAATTTGTGTTCCAACTGCATGTATTTAGGAGGTGCCATTTCTTTATGTCTAAAGAATGGAAGAATAGATAACAATTGATGATTCTCAGAGTCTTGTTCATGTTTACACATGTAATAAATTCATTGCTTGTGTTCTAACTATTTGAGAGGCATTTCAGATAGATCAATGCAGAGAAATCCTGCTAGTTTAAACAGAGACTGTGCTATGGTTCAATACAATACCTCTGTAGACGATGTTCCAAGATATGGATCCTAAACATTGCTTCACTGCAATAAGTTAAATAATCATCCTCGTCCTCTTTATTCATAGATATTTGATTCTGTTGATACCAAGCTTGCTTGTGCTGTAACTCCTGTGTCTCCTTAAATGAAAATCAGCATTTTTCAAACAAATTCCATACTTGGTGTGCTGAATCAAGTGAATCCATTCTCTGCTGTCCCTACCTTCTCAAACCTCGCCTGAATAAGGTTTGCCCTATCAATCAATCTCTGTTTCAAATCTTGTAGACATTCTTCTTTTAGTTTATACGCCTCCGCTCTGCTCAGTTTGCTCGGATCACCAATCTGGGCGAGGAATGGAGCGAGGTAATCCATCTCAGTTTCGTGTTTCTTCTTCTCATCTTCCTCTGCCTTTCGTTGCTGGATGTGGGAAAATCCCACGATTTAATGCCAAGGCCAAGCAAACTGAATAAAAAGACTAAGCAATACCTACCAGTTCTTCTCTGTGTAGTTTCGCTTTTTCATTTCTTTCTGTGTCATAAACTGAGATGGTCAGGGCGCAAGATGCCTCTTCAATTGCGCGTTCTTTTAGAATTTCTTTTATCTGGTAAAACGGAAAGGATAATTCGGAAGAATATAGCTCGCTCAGGATACATACATATATACACGAATCCTGGTGTTACTCAGAGTTACCAGTCGGGCAAGTTTGACCAGGGTGGGAATCAATCCCGCGTCGGGCAAGTTTGACCAGGGTGGGAATCAAACCCGCGATCTTTGCTAAACACAATCAGAACAAACCTCGTCCTCCATCGCACGGATTTGTGCAATGGTTTCTTCTTCAGCTTTGATTAGGAACACCAACATATCGTAAACTGTCAGGTTTTTCTGAGGTTTCAACAACGGATCCACCTTGAAGAACGACAGCCTGGTTACTAACTTGAAATATCAACACATATGCGACCATACCACATATCTTTGTATTCTAACCTGGAATGTTGTGGTCATGTCAGGAGTCATCGTGAACGTATCGCTCTTCTCTTCAGTGTTTGCTGGTTTTACAAACTCTCGTGTTGATGCAGTCACTCTGTCTTCCTCCAAATGAAATATCAAACATATTCTTTCTTCACTCACAAGGAACAACCGCTCAGCAACGTCATCATTTGCACCTTTATCTGGATTACGATCAAATTTCTCAACAATTTTCTAGAAATATCGAAGCAGGAATCATCTCTTATTGCCCAGTGTAGCTCTATCAGTTCTAAACTGTTCTTCCTAAAGATCCAGTTAGGATCATCTCTTATTGATCCAGTGTTACTACAGGAGGAAACCTAAACTAAACTAACTTTATTTATACTGAATATACCTCTATCAGTTCTAAACTGTTCTTCCTAGAGACCCAGTAAGGATCATCTCTTATTGATCCAGTGTTACTACAGGAGGGAACCTACACTAAACTAACTTTATTTATACTGGATAGCTCTATCAGTTCTAAACTGTTCTTCCTAGAGGTCCAGTAAGGATCACCCCTTAATGATTCAGTGTTACTACAGGAGGAAACCTAAACTAAACTAACTTTATTTATACTGGATAGCTCTATCAGTTCTAAACTGTTCTTCCTAGAGGTCCAGTAAGAATCATCTCTTATTGATCCAGTGTTACTACAGGAGGAAACCTAAACTAAACTAACTTTATTTACACTGGATAACTCTATCAGTTCTAAACTGTTCTTCCTAGAGACCCAGTAAGGATCATCTCTTATTGATCCAGTGTTACTACAGGAGGAAACCTAAACTAAACTAACTTTATTTATACTGGATAGCTCTATCAGTTCTAAACTGTTCTTCCTAGAGGTCCAGTAAGGATCATCTCTTATTGATCCAGTGTGGACGAACAAACTGAACGAACTATATTTTGACGAAGTATATTTGCACTGAATAGTTCTACCAGTTCTTATCTGTTCTTTATGCAGTTAGGGTCGACTCTTCTATATAATGAACTTACCAGGATTGGTCTATAGTTCACTTGTTGAGTTGGACCAAATTTTTTTGTCCTAACACCAAACGTCACATGACGATAATACAAATAATCGTCTCTTCCCATGAAGTTTTGCGTCATTTCCGTCGAAGTTTCCTCCTGCTTTACCAAGCCGTCGATTCTTGCACTAAAACAGAAAGATCCTCAGTATTTCTGGCTGTTCCGCCTCTAGTAATACATTAGATATAGTTCATAAGATTAATACCATGAGTAGAAATGCATTGTTCTTTCAGATTCCGGACCAGGTGTCGTTGCCTTGTAGCAATGCTCTAAAAAGAGACACAAACGGAACTGACACAAACGCTGTGTGTCCACAGGACCTGCATGCAGCATTTCACAATCATCAGCTCAGTTTCCGAGTGCAAAACGTTTAAACCACCGGCACACAAACCTTTGAGACAGTCCAGTCTTCCGGGATTAAAGTACTCTGTAACAATGCCGGTCGTGTAGTTATGTGTCTTCTTGTCTAGTTTATCAGCGCGATGTTTGTATGTGTCGTTCACTTCAACCAGCTCTTTGACTACAGGACGAAAATACTTGTGAACTTTGGTAAAATACTTAACGAAATCCTTCTGTTCAGTAATAACAAAACCAGGCAATTTGTCGCAGTAAATGCGTGAATTTACTTTGCCTAAATGACAGAAGAATTCATATGTGAGAGTGCATGTGAGGTTACTGGAGATAAGTCACTTACGTTCATAGTCAGCGTATGAGGATAGTTTCATAACCAAGCCATCCTTGCATAAGTATTCCGCGAATTTCTCTTGTTTTGCTCGCTTGAAAAGGATTGTTCGTTTCCCCATCGGACAACGAGTTTGATAATCTAGTGAATTAATAAATTGTCAGGTACTATAGCTATCAGTAACGTGGGGGGAGAGAGGAAGGGGGGACTTGGGTAATCACCGGGGCCTAGGCCTGCGTCATTATTGATTGATCTTACCTCGAAGTGAGATATGGATTGGCTCCACCCAAGATGGCGGAAGATCAAAATCACCACTACCTTCATCCTCTTCCTAAAAATATAAAAAGGAAATAACTCAGTATTCATTCCTACCTTGAGTGATGCTTGCAGGGTAAAACCAGGAACGGCTAATCATGCTGGAAGGAAAATCAAAGAAGTTACATTACCTCATCTTCATCTAGATCCAAGCTACCTTCATTGATCAATGGTAATGCAAGCAAAGGTTTATCCGTTGTTGGGAAAAGAAATTCCCATTTTGCAGCATCGCCAAGATCGTAGGACATGTCCTGTGAAGAAAAACTATTAGCTTCGTCTACAATGAACGATAACGATGATAAAAATACACGTTATTAAAGAAGACACAGCAATAGATCTCACTATAACGCCTTTAGAGCAATCTTGCATGTTAACCCAGCAGTTTCTGTTATTCCAAATACTCTCCACACCAAGATATCCGGAGAAATTGAGAGAATAGGATTGACCAGTTGATGATTCAATGAAGAAACTTTCAGGCACCTCACGTTTTCCCGCCAAAACCAGGACCCAACAGTGGACTCTCAGACCATGAAGTTTGTCTGCCTTGGGTTTCTCCAGCTCCTTTCAGAGACAAAATATTGAAAAATTTTATATTAGGAGTTCTGCTTTCAGATGTTTTACCAAATGAAAGTTGGAGGTGAATGTCAGGTAATGTCAAAGGAAGCCACAAACACAGACCATAAGAAATACGTCAGCTAGTCCACTGGCATACTGTGTAATTGCACTAAGAGAATATTCAAAATCTTCTCCTGGTAAGGAATTATAGAAAGAACAGAGTTCTTACAGCAATCTTAGCAGCTTCTTCATTGCGTCTTTTCTGTTCCAAAGCTTCCTCTTCTTCCCTCGCTTTGGAAGCAATTTTTGCTTCAAATTTACTTGCAAGATCTTTTGGAGGTTTTACAGCATATTTGCTGACCACCTTCTTCTCTTCTTTCACTGTTAACTTTATAACAAAGACACACAATGAGAAGGTATTTATGAATATGGTAAAGATTGTGGATGATGAAGCATCCTTGGGTAAGCATAAATTAACATACTAGATGTTGGCAGCTTACACTAAATTATAAACAAATCAGACATGGCAAAGAGTTTAAGTAAAGTAACCATATTGGTTAATAACCAACCTGATCTTTTGGCTTCAACAAAGGGCAAATATCTCTTGTCTGGTCCATCAGTGTTACTTCACGTGTGGCATAACCACAGACACAATATGCATCATAACCAGCACCAATTAACAATGAAGACAATACTATGCTCATTTCAAAACAGTTGCCTTTTTGACGCTTGACTGTAGTTGTTGGAGACGCAACAATTGATGGCTGGTTTAGAGGAAAAGCACTGATTAACAACATTTAAACTTTACTTAAATCCTAATACTAATCTTAACACATAACCTTGATAATCCAAACCTAATCCTTATATATTAGATCTAATCCAAACTCCAACTGTAATCCACTAATCCTAATCTCAAGGTATTAATTAATCTTTGAGTAATGTAGCATTGTGCTTAACCCAACCTTAAACCAAACTTTAGCTAGTTCTAAATCACATGGAGCAATGAAATTAAAGGAAAACTCACAAGATCTATGATAGGATCCAGCATCTCAAACGTGATGTAATCTGCAACAAACTGGGCACATCTGTCATAGTCGTATATTTCTTTATACGGCAACAATGTTGGACGAACAGTAGTGCAAATAAATTTCTATAGAAGAGAGTGCAGCACAATATCAATTCATTATTCTTAAATCATAATATACCACAAAATATGATTTAAAACACATTTATACCTCGACACCAGCTTCGTTTAGTGGACACAATAACAGTGGTTTGCGGTCTCGGTACAAATGCACAAACTGTCTTCTGAAGTTTTCACAACATGACAGAAGAAGATTTTCTTTATCTGTGTTTGTTTTGTATGTTTCAGGCAAGTCATCTTCCTTTGATGTACTGAACAAAAATTATTTACAATTATAGCCAAAAGTCCGTCAGACAAATCACAAATCATTACGATATGTTTAAATGGTTAAGTTATTGACTTACGGCATTTCAACTGTCGGTGTTTCAACTGTTATACTGTCTAGTTTTGCTTTTAGTGATTCCAGTTCGTCCATTTTATAAACTGAAAAAGTTTACCCGTTTTATTCGAAAAGAAACATAAATTCTGGTTATTTTGCAGCAGCCATATTGAAATATCTCCATGGCAACCAAACACTGAGTAAGTAACATACAGAACAGAAACCATTTCAACAGAGTAAGTACTTAAAGATACAGAGCTGGGATACATGGCGTCCACTAGAAAATATTTTTGATGTGATAATTAAATAGACAACTACTTTATTGTGATCTCCAACAGGTGATAGTTATAGCAAATGCGTTGGATGTAAAAGTTGAATGTAAAATGTAACACAAAGTTTGATTGGGATCGCAAAACTAACGTGACATCAGACTTTCCGCGCTTGCATTATAAAAAGGTCTATAAATCAGACTCATGTATTGTTCTTCACACGAATGAAGCTATTTTATACTCTGTTAATGTTATGTACTGCGGTTCCATCATTGTCAAACATTTTAAAGCATGGATCTCTGCTCGGAAATGAAAAAGAGACATTGCAAGACATCAGTGGCATGTCTGAAAAAACATCAGCTGAACTGCGTGATCTGAATTCTGCTTTTTGCTGCAATTCACTGCAGGAACATCAAACCAACACCTTAGTGACCTCGCCATATTCTTCTTATAAATCACGTTCTTTCCTTTGGCAACATTTTACGTTGTTTCATCGCGTTTTTCTTCCTCTTTTTGTTCATATATCGATCGAGTTTCTTCGATTCCTTCAACGTCTTGTACTTCTCAGCTAATTCGAGTTTCTTTCTTTCAGCTGAAATGAATCAATCGATTTTCTTATAGCACCTGCTGTACGTAGCTGTAGCCTGGCTTTGAACTTCGTCATGAAACTAAACGAAACTCAACTGCTGAACGTTTGCTTACATTTTCTTAAATAAAACGGTCGTTTTCCCTGCTTGATCAAGGCTTGTTCTCCTTCTCTTCTCTCTTTCATTTTTTCTTTTCGTTTCTTCTTTAAATTCCTTAATTTCTCCGCTTGTTCCTAGCGAAATAAAGAACAGAATAATTTCTAAATCGTAAAGTGAGAGAAAATCATATAAACGGAAAATCTTACCATCCTCTGAGCTAGTGAACGTAGTTTGGTTTTTCGAGTTGGATCTTTTTCAGCCTTCATTTCTTTTTGAACTTGCTAAAGGTGCAAAATGATTGAACCTAAATTCAGTTGGTGAGCTTTTGCGCATCACCTTAAGGTGGCTCAATTCAAAATAATTTTTATCAGAAGATTTTGTCAGGAACATTTCAAAATCATCGCTTTTGACCAACCTCCATTTCCTGGTGTTTTATATTGTCCAGAAAGGAATAAGCTTTCTCAAACATGTTTTCGTTAAATTTCCCAGAAATATCATCAAATCTGGGGTCTCTAGGAGCCTGGAAGAAAAATGAACAATTGAGAATGAAATCTTATTTTAACGTAACAAATGAATTTTCATTAAAACAACCTTTTTTGTAACAGGAACAACTGATCTGAACTTTGAAACTGGTCTTTTCGATGACATTTCGCGTGGTCTAGAATATATTGCTCAAAGTTAAAGTGGCAAAATACTCTTTCTGTTTAGGCGGATACACAGAGAGTCAAGGCAAAATAATCTTCAAGGATATCAGCAGCTTTCGTATCACCTGTTTTTATTCTTTCTTTTCAATGTTGTGATATTCTGATTCTTTGCAGAATTTGACAAGCCATGAAGTGCAGCATTAAACCTATAGAATGTAACCATGAACCATAAGATTGTGAAATACTATGCAGAATAAATATCATTTAATTTTCTTACTTTTTTACTCCAATCTTATCTTTCAAAGCTTGAAGTTCACAAAATGGGATAGTTGAAAGTTCTGTAAAAGAGAACTTTAAAATATATACGTACATCGTACACCAAAGATTTTCCAAGTACCACACAAGAACCTTAGATAATACATGTGCAACCATCCCTGCTTTAAATATTTCATATGCTAAAACGGATGCAAGCAAATATATCAAACTTACCAGATCTAATCTTTGTCTAAGAAAGAAAAATAAAATTGATTTAAAATGTTATGATAAAATTAAGGTATTTAATAATATCCCCCCGAATATTTCACGGCATTTTGCACTCACAATTTCTTCGTTATCACTCTCGCTGTCAGAAACCTTTTCATTTGAGTTATTATTTTGTACGACAGCTTCTCTAAAGTCTTTTAAATTATCATCTTTTTCATCTTCACTTGTGGCAGCCATCTTGAATCACACCGAGAGGAGTCCTGGAACGAGGATATATCTCAATATGGCGGAACAACTACCCAGATTTCGTCGTGAATTCAAACGATACAAACAGCGAAAACCGCCGCCAGACTTTTCAGATGTGATCGATTTTGAAGTGGAGGAATCTTGGAAAGGACGGGTAAAAGTCTACGTAGTTACAACGAATTTCTTGAAGTGAAATAGGACGTGTCATGTGCTCACATCATATAGCTCAGTGGCCCACACACGTCATCTTGAGGTTTATGACGTCACTATGCTCGCTTTTTTGTCCCTTTTCTGTAGTTTAGAATCAAAAACCCGGCAGCTTTTTCCCAAAAGCCTTTTCCCATTTCTATCTAGTTTTCACCACACGATATATTGATATAAATTGTCCGTTAGTTTAATCTCATTTTATCCTAGTAGCAATAAGGCTGACCAGGGACTCTCTGTCTCTGACGTAAAGTGATTTTATTTCATGGTTAAGGTACAGAAATGTTGCTGTGGTTTACAAGATCAAGAAATTGAGAAAACTGATATCGTTGAGCTTGGTTTAAACGATATAGATGCCTGGAAATGTTATGAAATTGACGGTTACAAAGGTGCTGGAAGTTGCTATAACAGTGAAGATTTAAAACGTTACCAACATATTCTCTCATATGACTTGGTAGTTGGTAGCTTTTGAATGCTAAATTCTGTAAAGATTGTCGTGTATAGTCATGATTAAACAACGTAATCTTACAATTTTCCCTTACAGCAAGCAAAAAAAAAAGGAGACACGTCTTATGTCAAATGCTTTACTGACGCTTCTTCTTTCTTTAAGGATTTAAAATAATCGTGAATGCATTCACCCCGTCTTGTCAAATGCAGTGGATACGGAAATGTGTTGAGAACTATCCCGAAAAGCCCAACGTCTGTAATTTAGACGCAAACGTTGAAATAGGAAATAAAAATTTGTGGAAACTTTACGAAGAATATTGTTTACTGAGGTAAACAATTATTATTTAATCTTCTAGTTCTAGTACATCTCAAAACAGGATCTGAAAACATCAGATATTATTCTTACAGTGAAGATAAATGCAACGAACAGCGTTCCACGATATCAAAACCTCTAATGGATCAGTTACGATGGGTTACGTTAGGTTACCATTACAACTGGAATACGAAGGTTTGTGTTATGACATAGAGTATTTTAGCAGTAAAACATGTACAGACATTCTTTTCCTTGTTTCTATCAGAAATATTCCAAAGATCATTCTTCTACGTTTCCTTACGACCTTGGCAATCTGGCTAAAACTATTTCGCGGGTCCTGGGTTATTCCTGGTAAGAACATAATGAAATATTTAGCTTAGTGTTCTCTTCATATCGTAAACGCATAAATAACAATAAATAAAGAGGCATTCCAACTGTAGTTTATCTGTAATTTTTAATGCGTTCAGCACAGTACGAGGAGCAGATTTATTACAAGTCTAAGCAAGTGATTCATTTCATTGATTCAGTTTCACAGCCGAGGCAGCCATAATCAACTATTATCATATGAATTCTACCCTCTCTGGTCATACTGATCATTCAGAATACGATTTAACGGCGCCTCTGTTCTCAATTAGGTAAGCTGGCATTTTTATTTCAGTTTTTATCTGCTTCAGACAAGACATAGTGTGCTTTACATCATCTGTCGTGCTTTTTTAGTTTTGGTCAATCATGTATATTTCTTCTTGGCGGGAAAACTTTAGATGATGCCCCATGCGCAATGTTTCTACGCAGTGGTGATGTCATTGTTATGTCAGGTGACTCGAGGCTGGCCTATCACGCTGTTCCTAGGATATTACGTCATCAAGACTTCACCAGCGTACTCACACAAAACAACAAACATGAGACATGTGAGGAGCACACGCTCCGCTGTCTTGAGAGATATCTCAGCTATTCAAGAATTAATGTTAATATCAGACAGGTTGAGGGTCCGGGCGGGGGTTTTCCCCAAACAAAATGAAGCAATTTAGTCAATAAAATTAAACCATATCAACCTCGCAAGCCAGGGAACTCCCCCCCTTTCAACTCCCCTGTCTTTGCGACAACATAGTCAAGAAACCCTAGCTAGCGATAATATCTGTATTATAAAAATATCCTGCAGTTATCACAAGAAATATTACCTTAAATTATTTAAGATCATTCCTAATATTCGGGTCATTGATGACGCTTGGAGATTCGTTTCGTTTCATCGCGTCAAATTTATATTTCACACTCACGCGGTCTTTTGTCAACATCTTCGTTTTTTCACGGTTCTTCTTTTTCCACAAGCAAATCCCCACAAGAGCAGCAAGGATCAGAAGAACTCCAGAAATACCAAGAAGAATATAACCGACTATGTTTGACTCGTCATCCTCGCTTGTGTCGTCTATAATCATGCAAAACCAGCAATATTTGCTTTAGTAAAACTGAAGGCTCTCGGGTGATAATTTAGAAATTGCTTGAAGTTTCGCCACAAAAGTGTTTGTCTGATTTTCCTCACGGCATGAGACAACATTATCTTCTAAAATGAACAGATGAAAGACAAGCTTTGCAATAGTATTTCATTACGGTATACCTTCTGTTGAAATTCCCATCGTTTTGCTTTCAGGTTTGGCTCTATTTTGATCGCAACGTTTCCTCCATGTCTGCTTTTTTAGGCTAGCTTTTTTTAGTGTTTTAATGAAACAGGATTTAGATTGCGTGGATTTGCGACCTGATTCCGTGTTTTTTCTGCGCTCGCATTTCACGTCGCTTTCACGAAAGCCGTTGATACAAGTTCGTTTATCATGGCTGCCAGCGGCGCAAACGATGTTAAACGTCAGTAGATTAGCAATATTCCATGAACTGTTTTGACGGTCGATAATTATCCCCCTGGATTTCGAGGAACATAGATCCTTAAATTTCGTGACTTGGGTTTTACGATCTGGAAGGAAAATTTTGAACACGGGCTTTACTTCAAGGCTATTGACAGGGGTTTTAAAAGCCAAGTGGCCCCAGCTGAATTTACATATCGGTCTGTGAAAATCCTGAATTCTAGTGCACGAACCTTCCTTAGTTTTTTCCTCGTAGTCGTCATCATAATGTTTGTTATGTACTTTATAACCTGGGCTCTCACTTGCGACGAGCTGAAAAGTCAAATATGGGTGGGTGAAATCCGATTAAGAGCGGAAAAGGGGCGATAGGGCGACTGCTCCGTCCTAAGAGGTATTTACAAAACGCACGATATCACTTAATTTCCTCTCTACACTACTTTCTAGGACAAAGAGCGTGTTCTAAATTAAAGGCAAGCCAATGTGTTTTTTTCAGTAATACCTGCGTGCTGTCTGTTTTGATATTTTTGGAGTACTTCTTGAAAAAAGCGTCATTCCTTAATAATACTGATAACTCTGATGCAGTGTATTTTTTCAAAGGTCTTCCGGGGTTTTTGAATACCAGCATTTGCTTTATCTTGATAAACATGAAAGAATCAGCATCATGTTCAAAAATCTTATTGACATCATGAACTGCTTCCTGGATTCTCTTCTTAAGCTCCTTCCTGTCCTCGGATGACATGTGTCTTGTGACCTCGTAGACAAATGTCACCTCAACAGGATACATTATGCTTCTTTTGTGTTCGGTAGCTCTAGAATGCCGTGAAAAAAATTCCGTCTCCTCTCCTGAATGTCTACGCATCTCCTGTGTCAAAATAAATGGGTTAAGTTAACACTTTTAGGGCTTTTATTCATATTGAAATCACTAAATGAAAAAAGGGACACAAATAACTCACCATGACATCGAGGCATACTGCAGTCAATACCAAGACGGGGAATATGTTAATGAGCATCATCCTGGTCGAGGCTACGCGCGCTAGATTCTCACGCCATTTTGATTATATTTGTCGCCACAACGACCGTTGCATAGAAACGTTCGGTCATTATGACGTGGATAATGAGTTTGCGCAGTAAAAATGATGGGACTAACCACGCAGGCCTAACTGTGATGAAACTTGGACATAAAGAAATAACGTCGAATTATAAAGACGGAGCGACATGGTTTTATCACAAAGGCCTCAGGAAGAGAGACGGAGAGCAAGGTGCAAACCTGTTTTGAAAAGTTACTAGAGTAATAAGTTCAATATTAAACTGGGTTTTAAGACTGCATTCAATATTTCAATTTCCACAACTTCAACTGGAACACCGTATATGAACAGGATTAATTTTAAAATAAATTTTATACTAAAGATTTATCATTCAATTGATTGTTTTTTTAAGAATATGTGTACTTGTGCTGTTTCATGTTCAACTGAGCAAAATATTATCACCGTGCGCATTGCAATCCTGCATGTCAGCGATTTCAAGCGACATTTGCTATTACTTCTCTACCCATAAATAGCGATACCATTGGGCAAAGGGATGACCCGATTCGTCTTTTCCCTCGGCTTTCAGTCCAGCCAGATACGCCTCTCGTTGCAAATCCTCGATATCAGGAGATTCGTCTACCGAAGGAATATCTGACGATAAATCTAATTGTATCTGTGACTGCATTGCGGGCGAAGGAAGCCGACTTTGGTCAACACCGTTGCCAATGGTTTCCCCAGTATAACTTGGTGATGGTATAAGCAATGTTTTGCTAGTGAACTTGTTGTCATGGATACTGTCACTACATGACGAGTGCTTTTCCTCGACGTCAGCATTTTCAGACAGACTACAGACGAAGTCTTCGTTGATATTTGGCAAAATGTCATAGCTCACTTCGCGTCGTTTCATGCCAGACATTACACGTAATTCATTCGTGTGTTTGTCGTAAAGCTCTTTCTTCAATGCAGATATTCGAGTACAAAAGGATTCGAGCATTTCACCCGTGTCTTTTGGTATCTGTTTGTAGTTAGCTGTGGGTGGAAAAGGTGACAAGATTTAACGGTATGGTTTGGTATGGTTTGGTATGGTATGGTATGGTATGGTGGGGTATGGTATGGTATGGTATGGTATGCTAATGGTATGGTATGGTATGGTATGGTATGGTATGGTATATGGTATGTGGTATGGTATCGTATGGTATCGTATGGTATGATATGGTAAAACTCACCCTCAGTGGAATCTCGAACTTTTTTACGAAAACGTTTTCTGAGGTAAAACTGCAAGCAAAAGCCTATAACAATAGCTCCGACGTACATAGCAAGCGTGACGGTCATACTTTTTACAAATATGTCTGCTTTTGGATTGAAAAGATTCGTTGATTGTGCTTCCGCAGGACTCTTTGGGTTTTTCTTAAAAAGAAGATAAAAATAACTAAAACAAAACTAGTTTCATCCATGCATCAATACAACAGTTACATGCTATTTTATATTATCAGCTTATGTTTTGCTGAAGAACGTTTGACGCAATATTATTTATAAAACAGGTGATTTACAAATCAAACAAGCGTTCCTTACTTTGACAACTTTGATTTGCGAGGCAACATAATCGACAATAAAACTTCGCTTTCTTTTAACATAACTTTTGAAGCATCTTTGGAGTCGATGATGTATTCCTCCCAGCACAAAACCGTAGCCAGCGTTAAAATCAATGATTTCTTTCACTCTGATATGGTCTTCTTCAAATAATTCATTGTAACTTCCTGCCATGTAGCCATCCAACAAAGCTCCTTTTACTTTCCGTTCACGTAAATCACGCTGTAGTCCAAAAGCATCTAAATATTTGTTATCTAAAGAATGAGATGAAATACTTAAGTCGTACGGCAAAGGTGGGCCAACCAAAATAAATTGTTTTTGAAAGATTTACAAATCAGCAGTGATGCACGAGGCCGCATGTAGTCCACATTTTCCAAACTCCAAAGCATCACAAGAGTTGATAAACCATTGTATTGTTTGCAAGTTCCTCGATACAGAAAAAAGAAAACACTAACCTGGATTGACTATAGCGTTTCTACGGATCCCCACTCGAAACGAAGGTGATCCCTCAATAGCTGCCACTTTAGTTCCATATAATTTAATGGATTTTGCAGTAAATGTGACCGTTGTCAGAGCATTGGTAATGTTGCCCATCAAAATAGATGTTATGATTAATCCAGTGAGCATCCAGAACATTGTAAATACTCTTGCAGCAAATGATCTAGGACTTCGGTCACCGTATCTGGATAAAACAAACTTTTAAAATGAACGCTGATCGTAGGTTCGTAGGTTTATATGATAGTAAGATGTCACCAAATAAGTTTTCTGATTCTGTTCTTTACGCACATCTACGATTCTAGTCTGGGCCGGCAATGAACCTAAATCATGACTCACCCTACAGTTGTCATGGTGACAAAAGCCCACCAAAATCCTTCGCCACATCCTGTGAAAAACCTTCTCGTAAATTCCGACTCATTCTCACCGGCATCCTGGAAATACCACATAAATAAGTCGTCTTTTATAAAAGCGAAATTTAGCAACGACAAAACAACAACGAAAAACCCATTCGTACCAAAATCCACATCACGATTCCGGCCATAAAAGAGAATACTACAGTGAAAAACATCATTCCCCAAGAACCACTGACAGTTTGGAGTATCGCGTTAGGCATAGTATCAGGTGGATCATCAACAATGAAGAACGCTACGCCTGGACTTGCGACTGCGTAAACATACGAATAAAATGTTTGGAACTTCTCTTGTAAGTGATGTCCTAAGACTGGAAAATGGAAGTCAGTGTCTGTATTTATTATTGTAGAGAAATCGCCAATCTCTTCCTTAAAACCATCTTGTCCGTAGCCATCGGTTTTGTACAATATTTCTGACCGTCTGTGACCGTTCGAGCAATCACCACAGCATTCTTTGACTAGGTTATTTAATAACCAAGGCAAGATACCAGTTTCCTTGTCGCCAGTGCGGTTGGTATAAGGCGGAAGCATGTACCAGTTTGTGGTGAGATATTTTTCACAGGGACACGTTTCTGGAAAGACAAACCGGCTTTCATTAGTTTAGTTTAGGTTTCCTCCTGTAGTAACACTCGATCAATAAGAGATGATCCTTACTGGACCTCTAGGAAGAACAGTTTAGAACTGATAGAGCTATCCAGTATAAATAAAGTTAGTTTAGTTTAGGTTTTCTCCCGTAATAACACTGGATCAATAAGAGATGATCCTTACTGGACCTCTAGGAAGAACAGTTTAGAACTGATAGAGGTATCCACGGTATAAATAAAGTATGTATATGAAACATACTTGCAGTTTTTATGGGACTATGCACGCCTTCACCATATTTTGTTAAAGCAACGATTTGAAATCTGTAGGTAGCAAAGTTCAGCAACTTTCGCACAGTGTAACTCAAAGTCTCGGCATCAACATCAATGTGTCTTTCTTCACCAGCCACATCCAACATTGCATCTGAGATCAACCACATTTTTATACGATAACCTAGGTTGGGAAATATAGCATTAAAAATATGATAAATGACTTTAAAGCCATTAAGACACGCTATACAACAAATGGCGGTCAGGGTGTAGTCACTCAGTTACCTCCCCCCCCCTCCTCTGTGGCCCTTGTTAAGATGTTGGAAGTTAAAGTTGAAGGAAAGAACACGTTAAAAGACTCACCAATGAGAATGCCATTAAGATACCCCTCAGGAACTGGGTTCCAGCTGAGCGGAATTTCATGCATATGAATGAGGTTCACAACGCTGAACCCAAACGGCGACTTACTGGCCACTGTGAAAAAAAAACAAAGTAAGAATAGTAACGACTAAATTATGGTTCAAATGATGCGATATAAAGACGTAGATTTTAAGAAATCCTCGTCAAAAAATGATGGAATGAATGGATCAGAGTAGGATGCTGCAGAGAAGATAATGGTCTACAAGTGGTAAGGTCTGATGAAGATAGGAGATGGTAGATAAAGCAGGAAAGTAGCTTAACTTAACCTACCGTCTTCATCAGTGCTAATAACGACTTCATTGCACAATGGACCCTCGCCTTTTGACGTGAACGCAGTTATTTGAAACGTGTAGTTTGTGAACATAAACAAGCCATCAATGGTCGCCTCGTATTGCTCGGGTCCAAATGTTTTATTGAATGGCGGCATCAAAGGTGCGACAGTCAAACGATAATAAAGACGATACCCCAGCAATATCCCGTGAACAAAGCCATCTTCAACAGTTCTCCATTTGATGGATATTGTGGTTGAACTCAGATTATGTCCGCGCAGATCTCGAGGAGGCTTACTGGGAACTTAAAAAGAGTAAAAACCGCGTTAACAAGTGCTTCCCAAGATGTAACTTTGCAAGAGATAACTTAGTCTAAATGTGAATATTTATAGAAATGGTTTTGAAGAGCAATGCCATGATTTTCTGTCATGAAGCTGTTACAGACTTTGACTTACTATCTTCATCAGTAAGAACCCTCACGATTTGACTTTGTGCTCCCAGGAATTTTGTATACCCAATCACTTGCACGGTATAGTTGGTATATTTTGCCAAACCGGTTATCTTTATTGATTCACTTGTAACTCCAGCGGTTACAGATTGTTTATCCAACGTAAACACAGATCTACGTTTTCTTTTTGACACAGGATCACCTGAAAAAAAGGTTAGGTTAGTGTGCCATGTGCCATGTAAGCGCCAGGGTTGGTAAGTTACTGAATAAATAAGCCAAACATTGTAATTGCCGGCCCTTTGATTCCTTTGTTTTAAACAAAGAAAACAAATGTTATGTTAATATATTTGGCTTATTTATTCATAAAATCTACCAACCCTGGTAAGCGCAAGTTTATCTCATCAAGGTGGTTCAAAACGGCAGTGGAATAAGAACAACTTACCGTATCTGAGATATGCCGATGGGAATTCTGGATGTGCAGTGAACCAAATTTCATATCCGAAGAAGATACCGCGAATAATGTTTTGATTCAGAGCAAACCAGTTTACTTCAATTGATGTGGAGCTTGTATTGTACAGAGTGATATTACCAGGCGAGACCAGTGGAGCTGGAATAGAATATACCGTTTTAAACGTAACATGATTTCGCCTGCATCTACAGCAGATGTTGGTAAACATGTATTTATCAAAATGAGAGATCTTCGTACGTAATACACAGCAGGACAATTTACTAAAATGAGGAAACATTGGATGCTGGACTCGGATGCTACTTTGAATTACCAACGAGAATCGGGGAACATTGGACTATAGGCAAAGGTCACGGGTTCAATATCTACCGTGGGTCAAGCTTTAAACTCAAGCTTAATCCTGTGACGCATTCTCATTCGTGAAAGTCGTATATACCTTCTTCCTCAGTCCGAACGATGAAAGCGCTACAATTCGGGCCATTTCCTTTAGAAGTGAAGGCGTCAACTTTAAAGGAGTAATCTGTATATGGCAGTAGTCTGTGCTGAACAAACAATCTAGCTGGCTCTTCTGTTGTATTCATAATTGTGCGCTTATCAGGAGCGATATAGTCCGCAGGCATGGTAGCAAAATAATTGTAGACTTCAGTAGTGTAAATGTTGTATCCTAGAATAATCCCGTTTCGGTCTGATCGTGGAACGTCATTCCATACGATTTTTATCTTGTTTTTACTAACGTTGAAACCAGAACAGGCCGTTGGAGGAAGAGTTGGAACTGAAAATAAAACGGGAAAGAGAGAAGATGAAATGAATTTTATTGTAAACAAGCGACGTATCATTGTGACCCAGCAGGAGAATCTTATGTTTCAAAAACGACATTCTCATTTATATCTTGTAAAGAAAATCGTTCACATCCTAAATATCGCATCACTTACTATCTTGATCTGTCATAGTTGAAACAACTGCACTCAGAACTCCATCAAATTTTGTAAAAGCCAAAATGCTGAATCTATATTCTTGAAACTTTGTCAAGCCAGTGAAATCCAATGACTCGTATGATGGACTATCCAAGCGTGTTTCATTCTGCAGAATCACATTCCCAAGGTAGTCAACTTCATCCCAGAATATTTTGTACCCGCGAAGAATCCCTCCAACCTGCTCCGGGGGGATGGCTCTCCATGTCAGCCGTATTGATGTAGAGCTAGTGTTGAAGGCTTTCACATTGCTTGGAGCAACCTTCGGAGCTAAGAAAACAATGAGAACAGTGCGTCATGAACCTAACATGTGTCTGGATTATCAGGGAACGCTTGTATGAAACTCTTTAACTACATTTTCCATAGTTAAATCCTAGTCAATTACTCTGAAATACACAACCCCAATTCTGTCCATAACTACAGTTAAAATCTAACTAGTCTTTCACACAACTGGCCTCAGATTGAAAACACAGTGCTCCTGTACTCCCCAGATATTCGACAATCATCTCTTTTAGACGTTTCAACAAAGGTGAGGCAAAAAATTTAGACTAAAAACCCTATTTTCAAGTTACCCTCTTCCTCCGTCAATATTGTAGTGACATTACTCTTCGGTCCCATGCCTTTTGAAGTCCACGCGGCTATTTGAATATCATAATACTTGAAAGGCAGTAAAGAATCAAGATTTGTCTGCAGAATCAATCCAACGCGTTTTTCACGATGATTAATATCTCCATTTCTCCTGGTCGTGTTGAAGAATATTGTGTAGCCTGTGATTATGCCATTTTGATCATCGATGGGAACGAGCTTCCAGAATATTTTGATCGTTGTGTCACTTGTATTAAAGCCGTGAAGGCCCTGGGGTGAAGCATGAGGTACTAGAAGATAATGATCCGGTTATAAGACTAAACTAAAGATTATATCAGACTTATCGTCTATTCATGAAGGGTATTACTTATTACTGGAGGAAACCTAAACAAAACCAACTATTTATACTGGACATACCGTCCTCATCTGTCTCGCACGTGATTGGAACACTCTTAACTCCTTCGCCTTTGATTGTTGTAGCCAGCATTTCAACACTGTATTTAACATATTCGTCCAGGCCATGAAAACTTGTAGTAAACGATGTAGCAGGTTGAACATCGCGATAGAGCTCAATATGACGACCATCGCTTCGGTTCAAAAATGTCACGTACGTTCTGACAATACCGTGAGCCTTAACAACAGCCAATACTGACCAGTCGATTTTCAAAGTTGTTGAGTTGATTGTCGTACATTGAATGTCAGGTGGCGGCTCCGACGGGACTAAATAACAAAAACGACTTTTAAGAGAATGTGATGTTTTGATCATAGGGTACATACCTCAACACACAAATTCCTTGATGTTCGATTTTGGATATTATGTTGTGGACAACGTGAAATGTATTTGAAAGCGACGAAACACTACTAAATGTTACCATTACAACCTCTTCGCCACTCTCATGACATTCACCTCTCCCCCCAAGGCATCCCCCCTCACACTCTTCCCCCCCTCACACTCTTCCCCCCCTCACACCTCTCCCCCCCTCACACCTCTCCCCCCCCACACACAAACTCACCGTCCTCGTCAGTAATAACACGAATGGCTTCACTGAAGTTTCCCAACCCTTTGACAGTATAGGCAGCAACCTTCACGGTATAGTTCGTGTATCTCTCAAATCCCGCTCGCTCCAAGCTCCTGTTTGCGCTGAATTTGACGTCCTCAACGTACTCGTGACCATCACGTGTATCTGTTATGATCACCTGATATCCCCGAATGATCCCAAAGCGCCACTCTGCCGGGACGCGATCCCAGATCACCTGCAAACTTCTCGAGCTCGTGTTGTAAGTGTGGACATTAAGAGGCGGATGTAATGGAACTGTGAATTAGTTAGAATTAGACATAACTTAAATACACTAAAATAACTTCCTTTGCATAAAGTTATAATAATAGTTATACATACTGTCTTCATCTGTTCTTGCAACAACAGACTTTGTCATAACGCTGTTTCCAACCGTGGTAAATGCCAAAATTTTGAACTCGTAGTCACGAAATTTCTTCAAACGTTTTATTTCAGTATTTGTATTGTGGGAACCATTGACCTGCACTTCGTTCCATGAGTCGGCGGTGTTGGCTAAGCGCCAGAATACTTTATAACCACGAATGATGCCGTCTTGATATTCATAAACCACTGGCTTCCATTGAAGCAGTATACTTCGAGATGACGTATTCATTGCAGTTAAATTTCTGGGAGGTGCTGAGGGGACTGTTGAGAGAAATAAACAAGACAAAAAATCGTATTTCGTATCTCAAGTCAGGAGAACAAAAGTGTGGCTTTTCACGAAGTTGGATAAACACAACCTTGGAAAGTATGATATGTTTCCTAGCTATGCAAAGGGAAGCAAAAAGGTTGTTTTTCAGCTATTTTTCTTTTAAAGTTCCATGACGTTTCTGGAGCACTTACGTCCTTCTAGGGTATGATTTAAAACAAGCATATCACTGAATGGTGCAGTTCCCTTGATATTTCCTGCAGCAACACGTATTTTATACCATTTGTATTCTTTTAAACCTTTCACGATTATCCAAAATACATCCTCAAACCAGAATAAAACATTCAGTCTTTCAATCGCCACAGTGACGTTTGTATCATTTCTTGTTACAGTTATGATAAAATACTGCGCTGGTTTGCTGTGAATTGTATCATAACTCCAATGAATTGACATTGTATCGTTGGTTGCATTGACCACCGTGATGTCGGTTGAGACGTTGGTTGGCCCTTGTTAACATGAAAAGATCAACGAGTTATTGACTTCGTTGTGATAATGCACAATGTTTTAGCAAACTATAAACTTACTGCAATGTACTTACTAAATCCTGTTGTATTAACAATCACCACTGATGTGTTTACTCCATCCCCACTGTTGGTGAATCCGCAAAGCTGCAGTTCATACGGTCTTAAACTAAGTACTGGTACGCTTGCCGTTAGGTTAGCAACGTTGACAACAGACCATGGTCCGGAAAAATCAGCCAGTCTGTAATACAAGTGATAACCCCGGAGGATACCATTTGTATCAAAGGGGTGTATGGCTTCCCATGTCGCATTTATTGTGTCTGATGTAATGTTTACAATTGCAAAATTTTCTGGATAAGCACTCGGTACTGGAAGAGAGTAACGATATAAAATTAGACAAAACTTATTTATGGCTTTCTATTCTGTTCTATTACACGAAGGAATTTACACTTATATCCATGGCTTTCTATTCTGTTCTATTACACGAAGGAATTTACACTTATATCCATGGCTTTCTATTCTGTTCTATTACACGAAGGAATTTACACTTATATCCATGGCTATTCTGTTCTAACACGAAGGAATTTACACTTATATCCATGGCTTTCTATTCTGTTCTATTACACGAAAATTTACACTTATATCCATGGCTTTCTCTTCTGTTCTATTACAGAAAAAATTTACACTTATATCCATGGCTTTCTATTCTGTTCTATTACAAGAAAAAATTTACACTTATATCCATGGCTTTCTCTTCTGTTCTATTACAAGAAAAAATTTACACTTATATCCATGGCTTTCTATTCTGTTCTATTACACGAAAAAATTTACACTTATATCCATGGCTTTCTATTCTGTTCTATTACACGAAGGAATTTACACTTATATCCATAAATAATTTTTAGAATCAAACCGGAGAACTCTCGTGGGAAAATATAGTGGCAAATAACCCCTCCCCCCCCGTACCCAAACAAAACTGTAACAATAGTAATATTTTTTCTTTGCTAACCTCCTTCAGTCGTTTCAAAAAACACACTGTTAACAGGCCCTTCCCCAACCTCGTTTATCAATGAAACATTCACTCGATATTCTGTTAGTCCCCTCAAGTTCCAAAGCCAACACTCATAATCAACCGTTTCATCATCGGTTACACCTATGTCAAGGCTGTAGACAATATTTTTCGTCCGTAGTTTTTCCACAACAACTCGATATTTTATTTGCGTTCCGTACTGATAATCTGGATGCACAATCTTCCAGCGAAGGTGAGCTTTTGAGGGATGAGGCGTCACTATCGCATCTCTTGGGGCTCTTGCAGGAACTAAATCCAAAAAATGAATAAGCAGAACAATCAAATTCAGACATACAATACTATGAAATACTATGAAATAGATGCATGCATTAAAAGGTTTAAAAATGAAAACCTCTTTTTTCTCTCACAACGAATGTTAGTGATGGCTGTGTAGTCAAGATATTACAGAGTTTTAACCCGTTTAAACACAACAGATATTTTTTCTGACAAGAATCTCTAAACTTCTTTATTTTATATTCTCCTGCTTTTTACTTCAAAATGATCATGATCGATGCATAGCCGTTTTAAAATAAAATAGTAAGCTTTAGCAATGACTACGAGTGCAAAATTCGTCATTCTCCCAACACCTGTAGTCTAGGCCGTTAATGGTTGGCCCCATCTTCGAAAAAACCGCTTTAATAACACTTTTGTAAACACAGCAAAGTGCATCGTTTATCTTAAAACATATATTATACAACGATTATGATAATGTGATATTCAAACTGTTATAGAATTCAACATACTTACGCAATGGAGTCGCTCGGAACCGTACGTATGAGTTCGTTCCACAAACGTGATATGACGTATATCCACAGACGCTTATGTGATAGTAGACACCAGGGTGCAGGATATCAAAATAAGCGGTGTGAGTCTCATTTACCCAAACACAACAGCTGGTACGTATTATGCGTCTTAGGTCGGCCCCGTTCCGTAGTCGTATTGCATACTTTTGAATGATTCCCATCCTATGATATTCCGTTATATTCCCCCAGACAACGGTCACGTTAAAAGCATGATGCGACTTCACTGTTAAACCTGAAGGGCCTGCAGTGGGAGCTGAAAAAACAAAAGAGTAAATAATTTAGTAAAGATGAAATAGTATTTTCCTGGAGGTGGAGTAAGGATCATCTCTTATTGATCCAGTGTTACTATAGGAGGAAACCTAAACTAAACTAACTTTATTCATACTGGATAGCTCTATCAGTTCTAAACTGTTCTTCCTAGAGGTCCAGTAAGGATCATCTCTTATTGATCCATTGTTACTACAGGAGGAAACCTAAACTAACCTAACTTTATTCATACTGGATAGCTCTATCAGTTCTAAACTGTTCTTCCTAGAGGTCCAGTAAGGATCATCTCTTATTGATCCAGTGTTACAACAGGAGGAAACCTAAACTAAACTAAAGTGTCCCTGTACTTTCTGAATGGTTTCGCAGCCCTTAACTGGATAGATTTATTAGATCCGAACAGCCAAACCCTTAGCAATAGTTGTACAGTTTTCACTCTGCATTGAACTTTCCTAGAAATATTGTTCCTTTTAAGAAGATTATATCATGAGTTTGTGCTCTTTATTATGATGATAGGAAAAGCTGATTAAAAAGATATAAAAATTGGTTGTTTTCCTAACACACTCAATAACTAAGGCATGCAAACTGCCTGCTTTACTCACATCCTTCAGGAAGCTCTACCATCTTAAAGTTCGAGCAACGAAACCCGTATCCTTTCATGGTCATCAACTGGACTGTTACAGCAACAAGTTTGTAGGCGCCACATTTGACCCGGGCATGAGCTCTATTCAAGTTGTCTGGGTAGGAATGAGCTGTCCAAACATCCCACTTACTGCCGTTGACTTTATATGCCACAATTATGTATCCTCTATAATAAGGATCCTTCAAGTGCTCCTCTTTTGGGTAAAAATAGGCGCCAGCATAAGTCGGATCCTTATCGCGAACGGCTGATTCAAGAATTATATCATCATCACAGGATTCTACGAAAACATATACACAGAAGTTGCATTATTTTAAATATAGATATATTGTCCAGAATAGATCGCGTTTAGAACTGATTGTGCTATCCAATATAAATAAAGCCTGGGTAAAATTTAGAGGTTTAAAGGGTCTTAATTTCGACCTACATCGAGTGAAGTGCCAAAAATCATAATAGGTAAAATTTAGTTTAGGTTTCCTCCTGTAGTATCATGCACTGGATCAATAAGAGATGATCCTTACTGGACCTCTAGGAAGAAAAGTTTAGAACTGATAGAGCTATTCAGTATAAATAAAGTTTGTTTAGTTTAGGTTTCCTCCTGTAGTAACACTGAATGGACAGGAAGAACAGTTTAGAATTGATAGAGCTATATCCAGAATGAATAATTTTAGTTTAATATATTTAAAAATTTTGTGTTTTCTTACGTTGTTGGGGTTTGCATCCTATTACTTCGGCTGTGGTGTTCAAAAATTTATGTTCATTAATTGATCTGAACAAACGAAACCCATTCACATATCCCGCTTTGGTAAAATTTAATCCCAAACTCATTTGCAGAACGCCAGAACTATATAAAGACGAAGATACAGAGGTTCAACAGATAAGCAAAAAGGACGGTCATTTCTCCAGCAAAGGTCTTCTGGCTTTCTAATTCAATTTCAAAAATATTGTGAAACATTTTGTGTGAGCTATGCTATGGTTTTCGATTAATACAATAATGCTTTTTAAAATCCAGGGAAGATAGAATCAACTGTAGCATCATTTCCATGTTTGCAAGAGGTTTAAAAGTTCGCCAGCCTTTTTTATGACCCTTTTTTTAAAGACTTACTTAGCTTGCAAACTCTTCAAATGATATGATACAAACTCGAAGTCTTCGTGGTCATAAATGTCGCTTGTCTGAAAAAACAACGGACGGTTTATAAGTCATCTGTGATCTTGAAACTGGGCATTCTATGTGAAAGTTGAACGTACCAAATCATCAAGACCTCGCACAAGTTCTGTGTATACCGAACTTGTCTTGTCATTGTACGCACTGTTCCAGGGATAGTCAGGTACTTTTAGAGTTATTTCAGTCACTGTATGTCCGCTGAGTTCTGAAAAACGAAGGAAATACAAGATACCATTTATCGAGAGTACGATAATCAACAATGATCATTGTTATAATTGCTACAAAGACATTAATCGTGCTCAATAATCAATAATGATCATTGTTATTATTGCTACAAAGACATTCATCATGCACAATAATCAATAATGATCATTGTTATCATTGCTACAAAGACATTCATGCACAATTTTAAACGTTTAAAGCAGCTTAATTCATACGTGTAGCTAGACGGTACGGAGCCTTTAGTTCTGAGTCCGATAGCCAGGATTGGAATAGAATGACAAGATCGTCAAAGGAGACGTCTAAATCCCTGTTACTGTTGCCTGCCAGAGCTTCATCTGCACCAAGTGTATACACTGGATTGTGCTGAGTAGTGTTTTCAGTCGCAAGGCATTTTCTCTTGGCAGTAGGGTTCCCATTCATATAAACATTAAAATTACTCGCTCCCGGCGCCCATGTCATTGTAAAGTGGTACCAGAAGTTGGTAGAAATTCGATAATCGTGAAAGTAACAATACGTTTGTGAGCCACGGATTTCACCTCTCAATCTACCTCCTGTGCAAAGAATATGCATATATTTAGGACCATATTAATTCTTTTAATTATAGATAGAACACTGTTCTTCCTAGAGGCCCAGTAAGGATAATCTCTTATTGATCCAGTGTTACTACAGGAGGAGACCTAAACTAAACCAACTTTATTTATACTGGATAGCTCTATCAGTTCTATACTGTTCTTCCTAGAGGTCCAGTAAGGATCATCTCTTATTTGATCCAGTGTTACTACAGGAGGAAACCTAAACTAAACTAACTTTATTTATACTGGATAGCTCTATCAGTTCTAAACTGTTCTTCCTAGAGGTCCAGTAAGGATCATCTTATTAACGGGCAAACTGTATAAAAATTGGTGATTATTTCCTACCGCTGATATAGACGTAGAATCCATACATTTTGTGACCACTGTATCTATTTCCAAGAACATAGGTTGTGTGGCTTGGGAGTTTCAAAGCTTTCAACCAAACAGACACGCCAATAAAGCAATTGTGTGGATCAACTAAGCATGGCTGACTTGAGAAATCTCCAAGGTTTACCCATGAGGACTTCCCCTGTAAAAGAACAACAAAATAGAATTGATATTCATGCAGTGATGCGCTGTACTTTGGAAAAAAAAACTGAATTTATATCTAAGTATTCTTTCACACACAACAAGGACAGACTATAGCCAGTATACTGTGGGTGAAAATAAAGGCCATGTTACACGCTGCAATTTTTCATGCAACTTGCAATGCAATTCTACTTTCAATAGATATAAATTAGTGAAGAGTTCTCTAAATGTAAGTGTAAGAAACGCCATGGAGTGTAATAAACATGAAGGTTTCGTAGCTGCCAAATTTACATCTCTTAAAAGAAGAATTGCATTGCAAGTTGCAAGAAAAATTGCACCATGTAACAGAGCCTTAAGTAAAGACGTAAAGTTATAACTAGGAAATGATCTCTATGACTGCTTCTAATACCTTCATGATTACACACAATATAAAAATAGGGTAGTTCTCTCAAGAATATTCCTTACATTCTTGAGACACTAGAGATTTTCAAAAACTTTTTTCTAGTTCAGTAGTCCCTAGAATTAAATACCGAATTTACGTACTTTAAGATGAAATCCAGAATCTATAGGTGACCGTGATAATGTTGCTGTCCCATGAATCCTAGCCGAATGTCCGTTTTTTATGTCGTAAGATTGTCCAGTTGTAAATTCATCACAATTCCAGTAATGTGTTGCTTTCTCATGCGTTTTCGCAATTACCTCACGGTCTATAAAACAATAAAACATTGCATTGTTTCTATACGACGACAATCGAGGATAATTTTGTTCATTGACCATTGTGAAGCGGAAAGAGGAGTGAATACATAGATCACTCGTTTTCCACCTTTTGAATTGAGATATTTTTTCAGCTCGTTCAAATCTAACCAGTCCAACACTGGACGAACATATTGTGACTTGTGAGACATCTTTCCAGGCAGTTCAGACACAACTATAGTCCAATAAGTGTTATATTTTATATGGTAGTTTAGATCCGAGAAGTCCAAGACTGGACCAGAATTGTGACAAGTTAGTTCAGACATAAACCGCAGTTTATTATCGCATACTAAATACTCACATCCGCCCGAACACGAGACTGAAGTTTTCTGATTTGGTGGATTGCCGCAGTCATGATCTCCCCAGGGATCATGGTCGCAATCTTGTATTCTTGCATGGCTTGGATTGCATTTAACTTCATCAAGATGATAATTCGTTGGACCACTCGCTATGTGACCAGTCAAGCCAACAGCTCTCTCGTAGCCTAGCTGCACACATGCTGTTTCCGCTTCATTCATATCAAAATCGTCATCACACACAGCTCCCCATTTATCATCGTGAAATACGTCGATACGACCTTCCGTGGTGGAGGAGGGATCCAATGCAATACGAAGTGCGTTATCTAGTGTGAAAGAAAGCGTGGTTGTATAGTCGTTTAGTTTTTTCTTTCTAAAACTGGGCTCCGTCGTATCGTTTACTTCATTCATTGAATTAAAACTAATGATTAGACCATGGGAATTTTCAATTCTTAGCAAGATGATTATCTGGTCTAATCATTACTTTTAATTCATTAGTTTTAATTACAAAAAGCCTAGGATTCGTAAAAATTCAAGAATCCTTCGCGAAAGAAGTTGTTTTACCGTGACAATCTCTATAAGAACAAACTTGTCGGTCGTTGGATGGGGGGAGTGAACTATCATTTAAAAAAATGCTTTAAAAAAAATATGAACATGCATAAATGAATTAAACATTTGAAAGAAATATTACCAGCAGCATGGAGGCACCTGAATAGCCCGAACAATATAACTGCTTTATATCCTAAAAAAAGATTAAACAATTAATCGCACGATTCAACACGGGTTTGCTTTTGATTGCGTTTATTCAACTCAACAATAGCAAAGATCTATTGAGACATGCAACAACTGCACTATAAGAACAAGATTGAGGGTCCTTGCAACTTACTTGCTACGTTCCTACTTAAAAGACGTATTTTAATAATTAATGAGAGGAATAATTAACAATTTCGTTACATCGATACAACCATAGGGAGCCCAGGAGGAAGGCATAAATTATGTATGCTGTTTATATACTATATATATTTATCTAAATATATATTATATAATATATATACTATATATACTTATATAAATATATATAGTATATAAACATGCATAATTTTCGCATGTTTCCTGGGCTGCCTATGATACAACTTTGGACCTATACATCACATTATATTTGCACGCCTGAGTCTTTGCAAAAGTTTGTTTTCCGAACGTATCCATGCACGCTACCATCCTCCTCATGTTGTAACTTATCACGCAAGAAACATATTCAATATATGATGCAGTGTTTCAAAAACTTTCTTTGACTAAGGAACATCTGCGTCATTTTAAACAGACGTCGCGATGTTTCCCTAAATTTAACAAACATCTTCCCTAATATAAACTTTTCAAAAAATTTTGTTTCCATTTTACAACACTTTTAAAACAACATCTCAGGAACGTCTGTGCACAAAAGTAGATAATGAATACCAATTTTATAACCTGTATGTACGTTAGCAGGTGATTTTTGGAAAGTATACGTTAAACAGACTTGCTCTACCAAGAGCACACGATTAACTATATCGGTATATACTTAATGTATACTTTATTAAAAAAAAAGCGTGCAATTTCAAATCGTCTCTAATATTGATAGGAATAATAGCGTTAAACAAAAAAACTTACCACATATAACTGAAACCATGGTATCACATGTTAAGACTCAAATCTTCACAGCAGTTATAACCAATTGAGGGTATCATGAAGCTAAACTTCAATGATACAACTGTTAATCACGATATAAAGATATATTTCTGTTGTTCAATCTTCATGAGGAATCTTGGCGAGCATGGGAGAGAAAGACGTTTTGCCAACAGCGGCAGGATATGAATTCAATTCATTTAACAACATTCTGTCGTTTGTTTTAGAAACGGGCTGGTGGTTTGACCACAATCAAAACAGACATGCAGGTGAAGATTGGATTATAATATTCTCATTAACCGAGAGACAAGGGGGGTGCTGGTAGAAATAATACGATACTGAAATAATATTTACACCAAGAAATTATATTTATATTAAGTTTTTTACTACATAATCACGCGATATCTAGTTTTGAGAAATTGCGAAAGATAGGACCAGAGGTACAGGATGGAATCACTTCACCTTCCTCTTAGTAAAACCATTTGGTTTAATTTGAAATAAAGTAGGATATATTGCAAGCTAGACCGGTCACGAAGCTTTTGTGTTATTTTATTTTTAAAACGTTTATGCCTACGGCAATCTGACCCAATTCAAATAATACTCCTACACTTGCCTCCAAAAACAACGAAACTCTATTGAAGTTGAAAGAGAAAGGTTTTAAACGGCTTTCAGCTGCCTTCATGACAATGTGTTTTTGTCGGTTACAGTACCGAAATAAATGCGTCAAATAGAAGATACAATTTTGTATCAAATTAATTATAAAATTCTCGTTATATTGGACCTAACTAAACCACAGTTTAAATATATAAATATAGGTGAATATTAGATTTTAATTTGCTCAGTCGCGATTGGTTATTAAAATGCTTGTCTTGGTAACAATATTAATTATTTATGTATTAACTAAGATATTAACTCAAGTTCAAGGTTTTAAAAAATTAATGTCAAGGCAATATATGTTAAAACACGATGCCTGAGGCTGAGGCAAGCTAACGCTAAAGGGATATGCTTTAGTGAAGAAATACATATTTATTATACCTTTTTGTGGAAAGGCGGTAAAGTTTGTGTACGAACGGGGAAATACCTTCTATAAACATATGCGAAATGTACTGTACCTAAGTTTTTAATTATATAAATATGCCAACATTGTATCCAATTTAAACATTTAATAATTGTTGCATGAGATGAGAGGAAGATGCTTGGGTGGGAAGAACATTTCTACACCTCTTTGATTATGAAAAAAATATGCGTGTGAAAGAACTTAGTGGATAAAACTGTTATGTTACAAAGTCGTTGATCTTCATATTACGACTGGACTGTGCCAATCCGGAGGCTAAAGGAGCCAACCATTAGCTGAAGATCGCATTTCTACTATGTTTCCAGTTACATTGATAGATCAGTGTTTACAATTACGTCATTATCGGGAGCGTCTAGTTCTAGGCCCACGCTGCTCGCCACAGTCTAGACCTAGTTCTCCATGGCGGGTCTCAAAGTACGCGGAGAGCCGGACACCGGCCCGCGCTTCTTTGGTCCGCGGTCTATTATACTCACTACAGTTAAAGAAGATCTGTCGGATATCCGCTGTGAATTCATCCAAAATATTGTACTGATTATTTGATAGTTTTGTTTTTACCGTCTGTAAGTCCATCGGGGTTTTGATTATGACGCTGTAGTCGGGGACCTGAAGATGAGATTCACGTATTAAAGGATGAACTTTGTGAAATTATTCGAGTCAAAATAGAAATTTGATATACTAGTAGTTTTGAAGGTTTGATGGAAATGTTTAAGACAGTAGCCCAGAGTGTTAGTTAGCTCGTACGAGGGAATCTTTTCATTTGAAATAGCAGCAAAGCGGCTTTCGCAACTGGGTCTACTGTAAGGCTTTTATTACTCTCTTATTAAAGACTTTGAACACAAGACCTTTCATTTTTGGCCAGCACCTAGGCTGGATTGGGATTTTAGTGAAGCTTTCGAACTTCAAATTTACCAATGTACAACTCTCACAAAAATTATAGAAGCATTGAACCCCCTGAAGCCTACTAATAGAGAACTGAAAAACAGCTAATGAAAAACAAGCTGGGAACGAGGAAGCACTTCCTGTCATACTGTCTTAAATCATACCTCAGTGTGATCAACAGGTGATAGAAAAGGCCAGCAGTCTTCATGTTCCATTAACTCCTTTAAAAGTCTCTCACATTTCCTGGTGAGTGCCGCTGGCCACGCTGCGGGTTTCGTAGGTGCGGAGTTTGACAGACCACTACGAGAGGGTAGGGATGTTTTAGGGGTTCTCAATTTAGGCGTTCTGACCTGAACGGAGTTTTGATCCCTGCCAGTTGATGGAGAATTTGAACGAGTTTTTTGACTTTTCGTTCCAGCTAAGTTCTTTACTCCTCTCAGTTGTTTTGTTGCCAGAGATTTCGTCGCAACTTTCGTTTTCTTCGTCGACACGTCTTTGACCTTCACTTGCTTTTGAGCAGCTGAAATGGAAGAGATATGGAAGTTCAGGGTCGTCGATCAGTCGATTCCCGCAATATTCACTTGAAAGGTCGGTTGATAAGCAGTTTTGGTCCCCTGCTGTTGCATCTTGACCCTACCTCAGTGTTTTAAAACAACTACAAAACTATCCCACCTTTAATGACAGCTTTCTTTACCCGCCTGCCACTGGGTAAGTCCTGATCAGCTCCGTTACACACTTGACACGCCCAGCTACCACGAGGAATACGCCTTAATGGTGGGTATGCACACTCCAGGTGGTACACCAAGGGACATGTCTCACAACACAACAGTTCACCCTCACCATCACAACATGCACAGGTCTCCATATGAACTGAACCATCATCATCACTGGATTGCGCGTCATTGTCTTCCTCTGAGCCCTCGTCACCGCTGTCGACTAAAAGAAAGTGTCGAGAGTGTTTCATCAATCACATGAACCAATCAAATACGATAACTCTATCATATTGACCAATCACAATTGCTTTGAAAAAAGAACGTGAACCAATCAAGTGGGATAACTCTATCATATTGACCAATCACAATTGCTTTGAAAAAAGAACGTGAACCAATCAAGTGGGATAACTCTATCATATTGACCAATCACAATGGGTCAACCTCTACCTAAATAGTGATAGCTAAGTCAAATCTGAACCTCGCTATTAACTTTGAGACGGTTCAAACTTTGGTGATAGCAGTCCCTTGCATAATTGTGTGTTAATATCTAATGAACTGCAAGGTAAGACTGGAGAGGATCAGGCGATGGTTATTCAAACTTTGACCTGCTAATTTATTATCCCATCATGACTCTTACCATCAGTTTCTTCATCATCCTCGTCATCATCCTCTTCATCATCTTCATCTTCATCATCACTCTCTTCCTCGCTGTTCTCATCCTGACTATCCTCGCTCTCCTCCTCATTCTCCATCTCAAGAAGTTTCATATCTTGTCGTTCATCATCGTCATCATCTACTTCAACCTTACGTGCACGACGTATGCTACGACGTGGCTCCGCTGGCCGACACTGACTGCAGAACCAGTCTCCATCGGGAACCTAGAATAAAGAATGAGGAAAAATAATATTTCTGGACGCCAGCTATAAGCAAATATAAAGGCTTTACTGTTACTACAAGGAGGGTCAATAAAATGCTGATATCAACAGTCTGGAAACTCTAATCTTCGTTCACAAGGGGAAGCACGTTCATACCTGTTTTATAGGAGGTTTAAGGCAGTACATATGATGTCCTTTATCGCAGCCATCACAGAGAAGCATGTGTTCAGCGTCTCCTTTACGTCGACATATCCTGCATCGTGCGTTCAAGACTGATTTATCCCAGGAGATACAGTTATCAAGATTCGTCAAATGGATAAACACCTGTGCAAGGTTCGTGCACGCCATCAATGATTCCTCCCAACGCTCCAGCAGAGTTTTCTCTTGCTTCGTCTTCACTTTCTCCTCGGCCTTGCCATTTTCTGTGAAGAAAACGAATATTGCTTGGTTTTAACCAGGAGAAGCAAGAGGAGAAGCAAGAGGAGAAGCAAGAGGAGAAGCAAGAGGAGAAGCAAGAGGAGAAGCAAGAGGAGAAGCAAGAGGAGAAGCAAGAGGAGAAGCAAGAGGAGAAGCAAGAGGAGAAGCAAGAGGAGAAGCAAGAGGAGAAGCAAGAGAAGAAGCAAGAGGAGAAGCAAGAGGAGAAGCAAGAGGAGAAGCAAGAGGAGAAGCAAGAGGAGAAGCAAGAGGAGAAGCAAGAGGAGAAGCAAGAGGAGAAGCAAGAGGAGAAGCAAGAGGAGAAGCAAGAGGAGAAGAATCCTCCAGCGACGGCAACACAAATGAAAGAGTTCTTTAGATAGAGAGTCGTCAAGAAATAACTTACGTGGTTTATCATTTTCGTTCGTGTCATCTTCAGCAGTTTTCTCTTTTTTTTTCTTGCTCATGATATCGTTGAGTTCACGTTTGGCTGCCTCAACCGCTTCTTGCTGTCGTCGTTTCCTCGTGTTCTCATCATCTCCCAATGGCGGTATCAAATACTTCCTTTCAATGCCCTGCTCTACCTGAAGATCAACAAAATAACGTGTGTAGTACAGAGGAGAAGGTTTAATTCACGCGCATTTCTCAGCAAAGTCAAACCCCTCACCTCGAGAACGGCTTTGGCCAAGATGCGTACGCACGGGTTGATTGCTTGAGGTGTTTGTGATGATGTTGGCGTTGAAGCGAAGGAACTATCCACAGGTGTACCAGGACGACTGTCGTGGGATAACAGTTTGAGTTTAAGATCAGTCAAATTGTCGCTTAACGGCGGTGAATCGATATCCATATTCTCCGTAGTCTTATCCACGTTTACCACCGGTTGTTCATCGATATCCATACAGCCATTGCTTTGTTTAACATTTTCAGAGTTTTCTGTTACAGCGAGCTGAGGAAATATTTAATACGCGAGTGTCAAGGAGTGTCAAGAAGTGTCAATGAAAACAGTTTAGTGTCCTATGCTGAGAGAAAGAACTGAACAACTAGAAATAATAGTAATTTACGATAACGTTCACTTACATTCTTATGATCAGGTAAGAAATCATAGATTCCGTTTTCAACTTGTTTCCTCCACGATGTAATATCAGCGACCTTAACCACCCCCAATCCAGCCTGCCACAAGCGATCTTCCAAATCAAGTATGGAGTCTCTTAAACTCGCTTCAATAAACTCCTCCATGGTCTTGTACAAGGTTTTATCCACAGTTTGATTCCGCGTTACTTTAGGCTGCTGCTTCAGTTCTGCCTTCCTCCGTCTATTCTCCTCCTGGAAGAACAAAATATTTGTTTACAGCCTTGTTTACAAGACACTGAGGTAAAGAACATAAGAACTGATGACGGTGTAAACAAGAAGACTTGAATACATATTCGTGTACAGAGGATGAATTTGAGGATCTTAGTCGAAGGACAGCGAAGAGTGCAAGATGTCTCTGTCAAAAATGAAGCAAAAAAGAATACCTTGAATGGATTATCTTCAAGACCTTTCACGATGATATCATAAGATTCTAGCAACGATTCCCGCAGGTTTTTTTCACGAAAACCTCTGGGGTTTAATGATTTCAACAGCAGATCTAAATCATCTTTTGTATCAAGGTAAGACCACTGTACAACGTTTCTTTCGTTCAACTGAGCACAAATTTGCTCGCGATTCAAATTCGAGCCTCCAGTATTTAAAACACACTTCGCAGGTAAACTTTCCTGTGGTATGTTGTAGAGTTTCAGTATTCGACACAGTTCCCTCTCGCGTTCAATGTTTTCCTTGGATAATGACGTGATATTTGATGTATGATGAGGGATTGCGGAGGATGTTGATGGTCCTAGCTGGTCATCCTCGGTACTCACTGACGTTGTATCACTGTTTGCATCATCATCGCTCATCTACACAAAAGACGTCATACATTACATCATACATGACGTGGATAATTACGTCATAAATTGCAGAATCATTTCAACAACATAAAAACCTACATCAACAACATTCTCTTCCGGCCGCAAAAATTTCATTAAATTCGGATCATTGTCCTCGATGAAGAGACCATTTAGTGAGTGGAATATCCAGTATCGACGAAATAATCTGTCTGTTCCTATAGGTTGAACGCTCGACATTGATTGAGCCTTCCTGATCTCTTTCAAAAATGCCTTTTCTTTCTTTTTTAAATTGTCTTTTCTCTCTATCCGTTCAGCGTCTTCAGTATTTTCCATTTCAGCAGAGTGTTCGACCAGCACAGGTCCTTGAGATCTCGTGTATGCCTTGTCATCCTCCCTAGCTTCATTTGAAGTTATTGGGACGCCTTGTTTTGTGCTAGTGTGAAATATATTACACAGAGGTTAGTGTAAGACGCTCTCTTTACCACACAGTCTTAGTTCTAATTTAACCACAATCACATCCCCAGTTCGACTGTACTAAACATAAGCTAAGTACATAGCACAACTACTAACATAGCACAGCGGATTTCTCATCGAAGACTAAAGTTTAATCCTCGGCTGTTCAATTTTAATTTCATCGCAATCATGCATTAGACAAATGGTCTGAATTTGATCCAGCAAAACATCACAAGTTTTCTGTTTTCATCCATGGTTCAATATAAGACAATGATCGTTAGATTTCGAGCTTAATTCCCTAATCATTACCAACCTTTCTTGACTTTTAGGTTTCTCAGACTTTCGTTCTTCATTCTGTTTAGATTTCTCTTCTCGTTCTTTGGCTTTTTCCTCCAGTCGTTTTCTGTACTTCGCTGCGGCTTCTTCCTTGTCTTTTCTCTGGTCAGCCCACTGTTCTTCTTGTAGTTCACGTTTAGCTTTACGAAACCTAAACAAAAACATTCATGAGCAAGTAAATGCCTGCCTTCCCTTCATCCAAACCACGATCAACGCAAGAGGCATGCTGCAGTTTCGTGTAACTAAAGGCTGATCTCTAGTCATGAGGATACCAGGAGAGCTTCCTTTGTTTCCTAGTTTAGCTGTGATTTTCTTCTTTTGATAGATGTGATCGAGTGGATGTGTTACTGATGTTCAAATGAGAGCACTCTTTTATAGAGCTTCCGTAACAATCCGCTCGTTTGCATCTGTCAAAGGGAGAAAATCACACTGCGACAAAAATTGCCATCAGTGTGAAGCAGTCTTTTCACACAAAAGAAACTCCCCTTCCTGATCTGATCTTGAGAATTTTCAAGTGTCTATCCATGGAGCTATTAATCAGATAAGAAGAAAACAAAGAGTGACCTGTCAAAGCCATCATCAATGATATCTCTTGTGGCAGCGTATGTCAACAACTGCGCGCAAAGTGTCTTAAGAATCTTCATTTTCTCAATCGTATTCAAGTCATAAATATTACTAGTCACCAGGGCTCTCATGATCGCGTGTTCGTGATGACGGAATGCTACGCCAGCGTCGTCTGAGAAAGTGAAACCTCCCCTTCGTTGCCAGCGATAGAGATCGCCATCTGAACCTGCAACTACGGATTGAGAACACAAGATTAGTTCAACATTCGTTCAACACACCATCCAACCTTGTCCGATCCAATTCACGTCTGATGAATGGAATTTGTTATTAGGGAGATTTAGCACGAGGACGTGAACGTCTAAGACGACGTGGAAATGGCGAGTAAATGGCGTGGCATGTCCATATTTGGGCGCATCACGCCATTTATTCGCCATTTTCCCGTCGTCTTTGACGTTCACGTCCTCATGCTAAATCGCCCTATTAATAAGGTACTGCTTTGGGTTTACTTGTTTCGCTGCCCATAAACATTGCCAGTCAACAGACTATGAAGCATCCATCAAGGATGAATTGTTTCCGACGAAATTGGGTGCTGTGAACAGAGCTTTAGAGTGCTTGTCTAAGCAATATTCAACACTTGTTCATGAACGACTCACCCAGACTGGCGCCGGAGGATAAAAAATGCAGCCGTAGAATCTCGGAACACGTAAACGGATCCAAAGTCAACTCATGAAGATCCTGTCCTTGGTGAACCTGTGCCCAGGCTGCTGCCATTGCTGCTGACGCGGACACCGCTTTCTTAACACGTGATATATCGTTGTCTTCGTCATCCTCCATCCCCGTGTCCTTCACGTGACTATCCGCGTGATCAATATCATCCAAGCCCTCGTCTTCCTCTTCCTCGGCGTGTGTTTTTAAAATAGAAGAAAGGAGGAACCGTATGATGTCGTAAAATGATCCTTCAGCATCGTGCTCAGTGAGAGCATCTTCGAGTGCATCTGAAGAGCAAAACAATAAATGATTTCTCGGCGCCGGTGTGGGCATAAAGATCGAGGGTCATTTCATTAGGAAACAAACGTCTTATAAGAGAAAATATACTCCGAAAATAAACATCTTGTAAACTCAATATATGAGTTGTTAAAAAACAAGACACAATATTCAAGGTGATATTTCGACTCTATTTCATAGTCTTTGAAATAGAGTCGAAATATCACCTTGAATATTGTGTCTTGTTTTTTAACAACTCATATCTTGAGTTTACAAGATGTTTATTTTCGGAGTATATTTTCTCTTATATTTCGCAAAATTGTCTGCTGAAAAAGGTTTTTGAACAAACGTCTTTCTCTGTAAAAGATTTTAAATTTTACTTACCAAACGTTATGCCATCGGGAAAGTCTTGTCTTATGCCAAAAAACTCTCCAAATATAAACAGAAATTCCAACACCATGAGCAGGTCACCAATCATGTCTGGAGAGAACTTGCTCTCCAATGGAACTGAGTTTGGCAGCTCCTAGAACAAAAATAAATAGAATGTTCTGTACAAGGTCATCATCTCTCTGATGTGATCTAAACAATCTCACCTTATTATCATCAAGATCCAAGTCGTCTTGTGGAACACACCAGTGTAGCAAAAACATTTTCTGTTCTTTTAACAGTTCAGATCTTTCTTGTCGTGCCTGAAGATCAAAATCAACATATTTAAAAAGCACAGGCATCATTATTGACCATGGTTGGAATCAAACATTTTTCAATTTACCATGAATTCCTCAAATTCAATAATAATGTTATAATTCAGGCTGCCTCACCTTGTCTCTTTGTTGTTTTCTTAATTCTTTCTCTTTTTCACGTTTCAACTTCAAATCTTGCTTCAACTTTTCAATCTCTTCTAAAGTCAACTTGGGTTTATCAACCTTTGATTTTTCATCCTGAGACAGTTTTAAAGGTGCAATAAAGTTAGTGAAATAGTCATGAAATTTAAACTCTTAATCATAATAAGTGATGCAGAAAGATGTCAAACCATTTTATCTTTTTTTGTTTTGGCTGAACCAGCAGCCTTCTCTTTTTCGTTACTCTTTTTTACTTTCTTGTTTTTCTCAACTTTTTCACTTCCTCTTTTTCGTTTCTTTGACGCTTTCTCAACAACAATGACTTCATCGTCATCTACATCTGGAGAAAGATCAAACTTCTGCCTATACTCATCCTAAAACAAAAAATGCTTTGCTTAAATACTACTGGTGACTTCTTGTAAAGGTGGTACTCACACAACCTATCAATTACCACCAATCACCTACTTTGACTTTCCAGTAACCCGGCTCAGTTCCTTTTCCAGTGCGAAAGCATGTTAGTCGTAACAACAACTTCAGTTTATCACGATTAAATGATCCTTTCTTACGACTATATGATAAAGCAACAAATGTAGAGAAAGTTTAGACACAACATCATTAATTTAAAAAACTGTTTCTGAGAGGAAAGACAGATATTATGTGAGGGAGGGGATAGAGATAAACTTCACCTTATAGAAGGCTGCTTCACAGTAATAAACTCTGGTATTTTTGAAGGAGTATTTTTGGTGCGTTTCAAATTAACCATATATTGATAACTCTTTGCATCAGGCCATGGGGAATTCTTTTTCTTCTTCGTTGGAGTGCGACGTTCTTCTGTTTTACCCAAAACAACAACTTCATCAAATTTTCCAGATGGCAAATCCTGTTTACTCTTTGATTTCGGGGAGTCAAATCCATTTGTAAGGGTCTCAGGTTCAATGACATTGTGAATAAAACCAGTCAATCTGAAATGACACAACATGCGATAAAATGGATGTTCTGGATATTGTAATGTCAGCAAGAAATTTGTTCCGCTTTTCCGCAACGTACTGACAACCTGTCCAGTTCAGCTGATCAATGCAGGGTGGTTAGAATGAAGCATATAAAACAATATATACCCATGGTAGCATGGTGCATACATTTCATTACCACCAAGATTAGATAAATGTACAAAATTAGCAATTAGAATTGGGGTTGCCACTCCCAAAGAGAGTTGCAAAAAATATAAACAAATAAGACTTGTTTTTGGAAACCTTACAGACATTATATAAATATTACATATATAATTAACATGTCCGCCATTTTATATTCCTCCTTGGGAAGCACAATCCAGCTCTCTCTCTCTCTAAGAATCACCCCAACCCTATTTTTAAACCCCCAGAAAGTAATGGTGAATAAAATAAATGGTTAAAATAAAAAACGTACTTCTCTCCTTTGTATTTTACATCAATTTCTTCCCCTTCTTGGTAACGATCTCGTATGTAGTTGAAAACTTCATCACACAAATTATCCAACCGGCTGTGTCGAGTATAATGAACTAAGGTAAGGACACCTCTTTTGATGGGTTGTGGGACTTCTTCTATCGTCTTCCTAGCTTCTTGTTCAGATTCGGCTGCCTCTTCGTACGTCAGGCCGTGTTTTAATGAAACTTCACAACTCCAAACCAAGCTATTGCAAAGTATTGTCCGCTTAAAGAAGGTCCTGTATGCAAAAGAGAGAAATATAGCTCGCAGCACGAGGAACACGCACAGCTCAGTTGTGTACATGGTTTTAAATAGTTGTAAAAACATTATCACTTACTCGTAGTCGCGATAGGCTTCATTAGTCTGTCTGCAAACGAATATTTCCTCATTTTCTTTCAAGTCTGAGGGAGGTGGGTCCGTAGAAAAAGCTTTTCTATTGAGAAGTGGCATCGATAGTCGCTGACCACAGCTTTCAAAAAGTTTTAAAAACTCCCGGCAAAAATCGCGGCTAGCCTGTCACATTCGCTAGCTAGCTATTCACCAAAATATTACAGAAACTTAAACATAAACTGTCTTGGTTTTTGTCCAGAAATATCCAGAGAAAGTGTTAAATTTATTCGGCAAAAGTTCACAAACCATTCACAAACGCTTGCCTTCGTCTTGTCGTGCCGCGCGAAATGACTTTTGAATAAAAAGAGGCTGGTGTCGCAATCCACTCCGTTGGTCAAAATTGACAGCGATTTTATTCATGTTCTACTTGCCCAATCTCTGTCAAAAAAATTTTCCCTGATACTTTACTTCTACTAGTTTACTGTCATGCAATTTTCTTACGAAAACGAGTGAGTATTTGCGCTACAAAAAATATTGAAAATACTATTTTGCGCAAAATTTCGTCCAAAGAATCGTCCTCGCGTAGGCGGAGAATTGAATTCCTATTGGTCGTGAGAGTTTCTTTGCAACATGTACTTCCGGTGAACGGGGGAAATGAGATATGAAAATATGTACACTTTGTAAACAATATGTTTTTTCATTCAAAGATATGAATTTGTAAGGCTTTTAAGACGTTTTCTAATGTACATCCATTCTGCAAGCAAAAAGCTATCTCGGTTATGTCTGCGATCGTTTCAAATACTTCCACAGTCCAGCAGAAACTTGCATGGAAGTGACTTTGAATACAAGAAATTTCGTTCAATAAAAGGAAAATCGGAAAGCTCGAGTAGATGGCTTAGACGACAAGCTAAGGTTGGTTAAAATACAATGAATTGTGCATTTATAATACGGTGCACTGTAAAGTTTTCAACAGAGTCTGTTCTATTCAGGATCCTTTTGTGCATAAGGCAGCCAAAGATGGATACAGATGTCGTAGTGCATATAAATTGCTAGAAATGGATGATAAATTTAATTTTCTTACACCAGGATCAAGAGTGGTATGTATCACTTTGTAATGACAAATATTATTAGTTGTCAACTTAATAACTTCTGTCATTCTCTCCCCAGGTAGACTGTGGTGCTTCACCAGGTAAAGGCACACCTCTGAAGAATCACTCCCCCTCTCCCCACCCAAATTTTACACTCATAGTGATACTTTCCAGGCTCATGGACACAAGTTGCTTTGGAGAGGATAAAATCCAATAGAAGTAATGAAAGATCAGGAATGGTTGTTGCTGTAGATCTTTTGGGTAATATGGACATAAACCTTTTGGAAATTTTAATTATTGCTTGATATTATGAATCGTTATTTAATTTGATTCATCCAATTGATTACTCTTTCTAATTTACACTCTTGTGATAGATATAAAAGAAATACCTGGATGCATTACTCTGGGTTCTAGTGATTTCACTTGCAATGATGTCCAACAGAGAATAATACAGTATCTACCAGAAGGCCAGGCTGATGTTGTAATGAGGCAAGAAATCTTATTATTAGCACAACTGTAGCTAGCTGTTACGGCATTTCAAACTCAGAAAACTGAGAAAAGCTACTTTTTTCAAACCAATTATAATTTCACTGTTATAGTGACATGGCTCCAGCATCAACAGGACATGGTAAACTAGATCATTACAAGATAGTTGTACGTGATTCAAATTTTCATCATTTCTTATTTACTCATTCTCCGTACACATCATCAAGTAATTTTTGCTGTTTTGATCAGGATTTAAACAGATCCGTCTTGGAATTTGCTAAGACTATATTATCAGAGGATGGTTGTCTAATATGTAAACTCTGGGATGGCAATGAAACTGCAGGTACTTTATAAATCTGTGAAAATGCCTCCAATATGAAGGCATACATACGCACTGCATGCACCATTGATGGCCCCAAAATTTACACAGTATTTTCTAATTTCTAGATATTTTCGAAGAGATCTCAGATTGCTTCTCATTTTGTAAGAAAATGAAGCCAAGGGCATCCCGAATGGACAGTTCAGAATTCTATATTTTCTCACGTGGATTTTTAAAGAAACGTTAATATGAACTACTTATAATGTAGTCATTGCAACAGCTAGACTGTAATTTATTTATATATGTCTGTACAAGGTAGAAAATATGGCTATGAACAAAGCTTTAAAATAAGAATGGAAATGTGTTAACTTTGTGCATTATTTATTATGTCTATATAGTATATCATAATGACCAGGTTTATAGAGAAGATAGATCATGGGCTTGCTTCCATCATCTGGAAAATCATGATGATTTACAGAAGAGTCTGGACCACTTCTGTCTAAATGTTCAATGCGTATACATACTCCTGTAGCGTCAGATAAAGCAATGATATGTATATTGTCACTCTCACGAGACATTGGCTCAACTTCCTTCAAAAAATAAACAAAACATTTCAGCTTCATTTCATGATTTGAAAAGCCTGTCAAACATTTTGATCCTTTTCAAACTAGGATGCTCACATTGAGTTAGCTACAATTCAATATATCCACTCACCTGACTGCAGAAATCTTTCATTGTTTGACTCCCTTCAATAAAATTTTCAAAGAAATCTTCCTTCTTTTGTAGTTGAGCAGAAGTCAGCAATCTTAAGTACACTACAATATAATTGGACATTCCTTCATCCTGGAAAACCTGTTGAAATGATGATTTCACAATTAGGTAGATTTCATTAGCTTTTGTGTATAAAAATTTCAATTCAAAATAACTGACCGTTAACAGTTCATCAACAGTGATCTTTTCACCAACTCTGTCAACAAGCTCCATGAACTGAAATAGACAATAAAAAGTGTCAAACCAGCTGGAATATATAATTATAAAAATCCAGGAAAGATGAACTTCTCTTATTGATACACAAACTTACAGTATCATGAAAATCTTCTACAGTGAAGGAAGGAAAACCAAGAGCTACCAATTCATCTTTACTATTTGCAGCAAAATTTCTAAATCTGTATGCCAAAAAGTGGTTCCTTATTATATAAAATATGGAAATATTACCTGACTAAATTATGAAAATAATTACCTGTCATACTCAATCCTGTCACCTAGTAAATATTCTAAGTAACTGAACCCAAATGCTCGAAAGAAACAATTTCCATCAGCTCTGGTTGTTCGTATATGAGAATATTTCTTTGACAAATGCTGCAGAGATGAATAGTAAGTATCATTAGTCTCATTATTTGAACTAAAGCAAAAATAGATCCCTCTTTTCCTTAACTTGCCTTTATTTTGTTTTGAAAAATTGTGTCATCTTGCTGATAAACCTCTTGCAAAGTCATGATGTCCTCTAACCTCCCAACAAGTTGCTGGGTCTCTGAGATCTAAATTTGTAAATGACTTTTAGTTTACCATGAGATGGTGATCAACTGGTGAACCTATGATGGTAAACTGCATAGAGTGATAAACTGTAAGATAATGATAAACTGCAGATAATGGTGATCAACCATGGGTGATGGTAAACTGCAGATGATGGTAAACTTCAAATGATGGTGATCAACCATGAGTGATGGTGAACTGCAGATGACGGTAAACTGTAAGATAATGGTAAACTTTAAAAGATGGTGATCAACCATCATGAGTGATGGTATAAACTGCAGAGGATGGTAAACTGTATTCAATTGTTTTCAACTGAGTGATGGTAAACTGCAAGATGACAGTGACCTACAGTTGTTAAACTAACAATTACCTCTTTTTGAATATTCTCTACTTGACGAATTATGGCTTCATCAACATTTCCTGGAATTTTAAAAATGGTATGTTAGAGAACTTTGACTAAACCTTCGGTTAGAGCTCAAAAGATTTTTGTTCTTTTTGATAAGTCCGTATACAAACCTCCTTGTTCTGTAGCCATTCTACACAAATACACAACAAAAAACAAGGTTTTTATAACGTTTTTAACTTCGAAAATTCTTTGTTTTTGTTTGGTTTAAATGGCGAACAGTGCTTCCACAATTGATTTACCAAATTTCCTTTTGAGATGCTAAAAAATCCTTTTTTCCAAAAATATTTCCTTGCCAAAATTTCCAAATTTCCTTGCAAATTCCTTGCAAATAGCGGCCTTAATGGAACAAATTTTTCTCAGTGACAAAATAAACAATATTTTTTTAAGTGATACAGCTGAAATATATTCCATATACAAAAATACTTCCAAAATTCATCCAAAAATTTGGTCACTTTTTATTAAATTAACCACAGAAACTTTGATAGAAGTGTAAAATAGGCGTAGAGTATTTGGGGGGGGGGGGGCTGAGGGCTAGAACCCCCCGAGAAATTTTAGGGTAAAAAATTTACTAGGTAATAATTGCATCATATAGCAATGTTGAATCTTTAAAAAGACATCCTTATATACACATGAAACAGTTTTATTAGTGAATATAATAACATATAATATATACAAACAACTTAGAAAAGCAATTCTGAAATACGAAGTTTAGATCCGCAGCCACTACTTTCTGTATTCCTCATTTTATACAGGGAGACTTTTAGCTGGGCTTACATGAAGTCTATACCTTGGTTAGCCAAGCTTTAAGCCCCCCTCCCGGAAGAAAACAAAACCCTACACCTATGAGTGAGGAAAATGGTTATATACTTGAAGAACCAAATCTTTGCAAACTTATTATTTTTTATTCAATTTTAAGTCTAATATAAACAATTTTCAAGATTTCCTTGCAATTTCCTTGCCCAGGCTAAAATTTCCTGTCCATTTCCTCCTCAATTTTATTTCCTTGCCTTTTTCCTTGAAAAAGCCAAAATTTCCTTTTGCAGGGAAATTTCCTTGCAAGTGGAAGCCCTGATGGCGAAGTACCATTAGAGACTGGGTCTTACTACGAGTTTGCGCCGACTGAGTTCCGACGATTATGTAGTTCGCAAAATTTGGAGAAAAAGCAGAAAAAATGGTTACAACCAGAGTTATTGACCTCGAATACTGGTGGTGATAGAGGAAGAATTTCAATCTGGGGGAAAAAGAGCGAAAACTACTGCTGTGAAAATAGTGAAATTCAAGGAAACCTATTTCCGGCTCTTTACGAAGCTGTGAGATCGAGGAATCCCGGCAACAACCGTGAATCACGTGAACATGAACGTAAACACGTGATAGGAACCCAATATAAAAGCCGCCGCTGAAGTCGTTCGTCTTCGAAAACAAATAATTTTTTGAGTTGTTTTACTGTTTAAAAGCGAAATTTTTACTTGTAGGATAAAATATTTGTTAGGTCAACATGGAGCGTATGGACCAAGGAGATGATGACAGCCCTAGTGTTGTCAGAAGACAGGTTTGACATTAATTTCATACGGAATTTTTGTAACTTTTTTTTGATGAAATTACTTTGGTCTTTGTACACTAACCGATTGTACAGCTCAGCTAAATCTCTATTGAACTATTGCCCACGCAAACTCGTAAATGAAATTAAAAAAAACAACTTCGACATCTGTTTATTCTTTCAGACCTCTCACTTGTACCCACCTAGTGTACAATCAATATCGTCATTTCAAAGTGGTATGTCACCTTTCCCTCTAAACCCCATGACCCCAGCACCGCTAACACCCCTCACACCCATGACACCAATGTCCGTAGAATCATCAGGAATTCTACCTCAGCTACAGTAAGTCATTTTCTAATTTTATAAAATATTGTGAAACCTCAATTTCAGATGTATTACCTGTATGTCTGATGGATGTGATCAATTAGAAAAGTTATCAATAATTATCAATAGTTCAAATAAGGGCACTCGCACACAGAGCATTTATAACTATTCACTCATTTACATCTGTCAGAGGAGGATTTGGTGCCTTGCTTTTGATGAGATGAACTTAGATTTTGTCTCTTCATAGGAACATTGTATCAACTGTGAATCTAGGATGTAAACTTGATCTGAAAAAGATTGCATTACATGCAAGAAATGCAGAATACAATCCAAAGGTAACCTAAGAAAATGGCTGTGACTTTGCAAGCCTGTCTAACTGCAAATGTTTGTGCTAATCAATGTAGCTAGAGATTAATCTATAGTTGGTTTTATAGAGATTTGCGGCAGTTATAATGAGGATACGTGATCCCAGGACAACGGCACTCATATTCAGTTCTGGCAAAATGGTTTGCACAGGAGCTAAAAGGTGGATTATTACAGAATAAAATACATTAAATAAATAAAAAATCTCCCTCAAAAATCATGTAAATAATCATGATGAAAACTTTATTTTCAGTGAAGATTTGTCCAGATTAGCTGCAAGGAAATATGCCAGAGTTGTACAGAAATTAGACTTCCCAGTATGTCATTTTTACTGCACCTTTTATGACCATATTTACAATCCAAATTATCTTTTCTTCACTGCCAATTGGATTATCAAATTTTTGTCCTTAGGCAAAGTTCACAGAGTTTAAAATCCAAAATATGGTCGGAAGTTGTGATGTGAAGTTTCCAATTCGTTTAGAAGGTCTTGTTCTGGCACATGCGCAGTTCTCAAGGTTGGTCAATGTTTGGCCTCTGAGCTCTCAAATAACAAACTTTCATATCTCATCTTGTGTTGATCCACCTACCTTCTACATGTCCTGATATATTCTCATCATCAAGGCTGATACTAGTATTCCAATCCTCTTTCAGCTATGAGCCAGAGTTATTCCCTGGTTTGATATATCGTATGGTGAAACCTCGAATAGTTTTGCTCATCTTTGTGTCTGGAAAAGTTGTTTTAACAGGTTTGAAACCATTTTATATATTTGCTAAGGGAGATCTCAAATTGTTTCCATACCTCATCACTTGGTGTAAAATACGTGATTTCTCTCATGATTTTTTTCCATCCAGGAGCCAAAGAAAGACAAGAGATTTACGATGCATTTGAGAACATTTATCCAATATTGAAATCATTTCGCAAATCATGATAAAGGATGTCACCAGATTATACCAGAATCCACCGCACTTCATGCGCCTGTGCGCGCAACGTGATCTTGTGTGATGTTTTTTGATCATTAGAAAGGATCAAGTTGGGTTTAGAAAGGCAGCTTATACCACGTTCAACCCTGCACTTATATGTGGAATTCATTTCAAGAAACGGGGGAGTTTCAGATGAAATGCATTCATCTGATGTTGTATTTCTGGTACACGAGAAACCAGGCGTGTTTTGAACTTTATTGTGACTTGCATTCTGAACCAGGCCTTCACAAATTAATCTAGAATATTTTATCAAAATTTTATTCTATATTTCAATAAAAGAAATCTTCCTAAAAGTGTGTTTTTAATATTGAACTAAAGGTTCCACCATTGTCCAACTGTCCGTTATAAATAGACAGTTGATAAATTTGTTATTGTCATACAATACCAGCTAACATTCTCATGCTCAGACCAACTTTTAATAATTGTACTTCACGATAACTCTCTTGTTTTTCCATGCTTCTTCTCTCTCTTTCCGTCTGAACTGAACTTCCTGGCCGTCGTTTCAACCACTGGCCTATAAGACCCTTAACTGCATATTCAGAGCAAGGACTAAGCATGCGCGTTGGATGACTTGGAACCACCCTAAATCCAGCACATTTTGTTGCAGTTAGATCAGGTGGTTTATCGCCTGCAAACCTGACAGTTTTTTGCACCCTCCTGTATTTAATATTAAAACTACCATCCATGTGGTGAGACCAATTGCCCTCAATTGCCTGGTTTCCATAACGAGCACTGATATTAGGAAGCGATATTTCGTCTTCAAAAAGTTTCCGCAAGTCTCTCATTGGTGTGGTTTGTTCCCTTGTAAACTCAACGTTTGCATCAAAATTCTCAACGTCCTGTTGTGGGTTTAAGATTTTCCTTAACGAATCCCTCAGTAGAGGGTTGGAAATATGGTCCAAAGAGAAATCATCACTAGAATTTGGAGCGCGTTTGCTTTTTAAGTTGTTTGTCGAGTTCTTCCTGGATGATCTCGCTGATGATAGCAACAGTTTAGGACTGGGATTTGCTTGGCTGCTACATCGTCTTGAGATTGAGGAGTTAGGATTAATTTCACTGTTGTCAAAGTCAGGTTTTCCTGTTTTCAAAAGTGAACAATCTTTATTCTTATTCTTCTTGAGAATTTCGTCTTTTGATAACTTTAAATTATTGATGTGTTCCTTGGAGTCATCAGAGCTGACAATTTCATCTCTCTTTCCATTTGTTGTTTCTCGTTCTAAGCACTTGTCCTCTGACTTCTCTTCAGTCAAACCAGTGAAACCACCCAGACATAATATCGGTGCCTTTGTTTTGCTAACTGATTCCCCACTATCACTCACCCCAGGCTCTAATTCATCACCTTGCCTTGGTTCTTTAGTCTTATCTCGTCCATCATACGCGGAATTCGTCGCAAGTGAATCTATGGAGGTCTTTCCCAATCTTGTTTTCAGTTTGTAACCTTGAGAAGGAAAACAAGGACCAGAAAGATAAACTTCCCGTTCGCTATTTGGTGTTTTCCCTTTCTCGTTCAACATTGCCTTTCGTAAAATCCTCCTCGTTTCAATGTTTAGATCTTTCAGAGTGAGATTCGTGGTTAATTCTTGTGAACTTCGCATACTTTTCCTATCTGGTTCACTTGCTTGGTATGTTGCTAGCTGACGGTTCATTCTCTTTGTTGCAGAAGTTGTAACGCGTACGGGGTCATTCAAGTCATTTTCCACGTCACCGGATCGCAAGAGCATTTGCTCATCTCACTTAAACGGCCTGGTTAAATGCCCAATAATCAAGAACTCGCAAAATCGCCCCTGATGAATACCGTCACAATATGTACACTTTAAGCGGGAAACTTCACACTGTAGTGAGGACACAAAACAACTGCACATTTAGCATAAAATTTTCAAAACGCCAAGTACGGTACAAGCCTACAAGTTAATTGCCAGCACATTTCATCCACGTACAAATGCATTATAAAATTCGTGCCATAGAATAGGCCTTTCAAACTAACAATATCATATCTCCATAGTAACATAAAACGACATAAATATAGTTAGTTTCATTTAATGACAATAAATTATCATTTGGACTTGGCATATAATCCCTATTTTATTGATCTAAGACTAAAAAAGTCATATATATAAACGAGGTTTCCTGTTGAAAACACTGTTCAAAAGTGGCATTAAACAATGAAATATTTCGACGTTACTTGTCTAGTTGACTTTCATCTCTTAGCTTCTGATATTGGAGCTAAAAAACTTAACAATTGAAGACTGGATAGCAAATAGGTGTTAATCCTGGGTAATTGTGTAGCCTACGCAATTGTAATGTACGTCATGCATTTAATAGCCAGTATACTGCAATATCAGTGTTATCATTAACTGACATTATTTATAAACTATGTAGCTTTAACAAAACTATCGCAACTTTTGCATAATGGATATCCCAATAATGGTCTGGGAACTTTCAAACTATCACCTCCAGAAAAGACTAAAAAGTTACGATGTTTTGCACTAGTGAGGGGAAGAAAAATTATTGAATGATAATTGAGTGTTAATGCATGTCCCATTGCACCTTCAAAATATTCTTCTTGCTGGATTATGGAACGGCATTTTATTATTTATTCTGATCGTTTTGTTGACGTTGTACTTGACGACACTCGCGTGTTAATCCGACACATGGATAAGGGAGTGTTGTGTAAACATCTGTTAATCCCTCACTCTTAACATTCAGCGCTTCATTCAAGAACTGAGCCTGCAGGGAGTGCCGGGAACACTACCCTATTTTTGGTGCCATTTTTCTAATTTGAATCTCTGGTCTTGAGCTCATCAAACTCAAGCAATGTGTACAAGTAACTAGTGTCTTTATTATTAATAAAATCCTAAATATATACACTATGGTTGATGGGTTTTTGAGTGAGAATTTCACCCTGATTACAGTCATACAGTGTAGTAGATACGTTGGTTCTAACCTACTCTAAAATACGTTTCTCAAAGCGACTGAATTGTTTCCAAAATGATCACCGCTGTGACGCTAATTATCATATTATACGTTACAGCAAGAAGAAACTTATTAGTCAGGCTCTGGCGTAAACAGAGATTAATCCTTAAAAAATAGGCATATATAAGTTTTATTTACACATCACTCGCTGCAATTTTCAGGCCATGAACAATGAAAATTTGCTTAAGACTTGTTCACGTCAGCCTCGTGGTGCCATTGAATGATATACAGTGCTGTGATTGGTTCTTGTATTTGATCTGCGACAAAAGTGCCGCTGAAAAGTTTGTCTTTTAAAAGATAAAAGGATTATATACTTCATTGCTTCTAAAACTTCCTGCGTGTGTTGGAGTGCTGGGAAAATAGTGGAAAAGCAGCATAAGAGAGAGCGGTAAAAGTCAAAGGTTGTCGCCGCTACCTCTGTGAGCATTGTTGGATTTCAAGCAAGAAGAAAAGTTGAACAGTTTTAACTCGTTTTTTGTTGAAAAGAAACCCAGTTTTCAGGATTACACAGGGAATAAAGTAGGCTATATAATTATTAATATTTCCTGCCATTGCTTAATGCCATAAATCGACGCGAAAAGGTTTTCCCGCGAATACTCTGGAGAGCTCTGGAGAGCCTGAAGGTGCCGCGTTCAGGAAGGAAGCCGCTCTGCAAGCTGTCTTCAGCAGGAGACGACAGTGTTATTGTGTAAACTGTCCGTGTGTTTGTATTGTACAATATCATATTCAAAGTTCGAGTCTACACTTGTGAGTTATGTAATGTACATTTTAAGACGAGCGTGTACTTTACATTTAATCAAAGAGGAATGGATAGGACTGAGGTTGTATAACTCCAAGTTGCCGCGTCTATAAACCGATTCTTATGCTGTGGCATCATATATTGTTTGTTAACCGGTTGAGAATAAGTAAGGAGAACTAATTTGATGCCGGCTTGCGGCTACGACAGAGTAAAGAAAGGTGTTTAGAAGATTATAGGCTGATTTTTATATCAGTTTGGCTCGAAACAAAGGATTATTAAGTTACAGAATATATCTGACATATTGTGGGACGGCACCGCGGGAAACTTCATAGAAACATATTGTCAGTACCTTTGATAAGATAAAGCATCTGATTTAGTGCGGAACTCTGATGTAAATACAGTGTTTGACTGTAGACAAGAGGTAGAATTCGTGAAGACTTTTCAGGGTATTGTAAAGGATATACATTTGAAATCACGTTGAAAAAAACTGTTGACAAAAACAGAAGTTTACAAGTAATAAAGAAGACAACAAAATGGATGACAATCATGACACGTCGAGAAATAGGACATTCATGAGAGGAAAGGTTAAGAATGCCAGAGCTGAGGAATTACTTGCTTTGCTGAAAGCTGAACGAGAGTTAAACGATTTAGAAAAAACAGATATACCAAATACACTGACGAAGAGGCCATTATTGCCAGCAATACGACAGACGTCGAGCGATGAAATCTCCGCCGTGTGTTGCGATACAGCAAACTTTCCTGTAACCAAACTAAACTCTCGGTTTCTATGGAAAGATTTGGACTGGGAAGAGAAGGACGAGGAGAAGACGTGGAACAGCGAAAAGAGACGAAGAGATAGCGAGAGTTTTATTCATCAGAAAGAATATTGGGGTTACGAAAACACAACAAAGAATCTTCCTCCGTTAAAAACAAGAAGAAGTTATTCGCACGGTGTTGTGAGACCAAGCTGCCCAGAGCCCCCGATGACCCCATGTTTTGATAAAAGCTCACAGTAATTTGCCGGCAAATTAACGGAAGGTGCGTTGACGCCATCTGTGTACAATTTCTTCAGTTTCAGTATCCGCGGTTACCCCACAGGCATCTCATAATCGTTCATGACTGAGCATAATATACTGTTTGCACTTTGCTGGTGAGTAAGATAACATCATAACGAGCTTCGGGGAATAATCTTATTGCATCAAAGTTGTCACAATAGTTGACAGCAACATGGGGTCCACTTTCATGCACGTAACTTTTAAAATACATTTCGACCGCGCAGGAACTGAACAGTTCACGTTGTACGATTTACGAGCAAGTTCACCCTTAGGAAAGTAAATCTTTTTTAGAAAATTTTTCTCTAAATGAATTAAATCTAAGGAAAGATATAAACTACCGAGTTTTCTCTCGCTGTTTGGAAACCAACAACTATTGAGGAGTCCTGCCTCGTGTTCTTCTATTTCTATTGCAATTTGCAACTCTTCAGCTTGATAACACAGGCAAAGGTCTTCCCATTCATGTAATCAATCCAGTCAGAATAAGATTATCATGATTATTATGCATGCAAGGAAAGGGATCAATATTAAGAGCAGAAGTTATAAATTATTTCAAAGTTCTTTGTCTTCCTGTTTTTTTTTGGTCATTCCTCACTTTCATATACGAGGACTGACCAATATAAATGATTTGGGGAAAGCTAGAGGCGGGAATGACACTGTTTCAGTTATCGATGATTGTAATGTACGGCAATAACAGATTATTACATACATAAAAGTAATTACTATATAGTAAAATCTACTGTTCAAGCTCTAAAATTTAATCGTTTGTAATATCATGCAGAAACACAGCATTTACACATGGAATTATTGATCAAAACGGATGCTCTCTGTTAATATCGATGAATACGGGAGTTTGTCAATGTAATTTAAAAAAAGATAGAGAAAAAGTTGTATAGCAAAAATGAATTATTAATTTAATTCCTCTGCTAATAGTACGAAGCATGTCTACGATTATAATTATGTTTGTCCAACCGTCATCAATGCATGCGCTATCCAGTTTCAATACTTCATATACCTTGTTGCAACATCATGTGACGAGAACAGCTTACAACATATACTTTAGCCGATATTTAAAAAACTATTTTACAAATCACCATTTCTCTTACTGCAAAATGGTTGTACAATCCTCATGCGTAACGGATATGATAAAAATGTGTGTGTACATTGTCATGTAAATTACTTTCTTGCAGTCAATGAAATTTAAGCGTTCCTGTTTGACATCGAACCAATGAAAGATTAGGACGCATCCTATTACCTATTCTGAATACATGATTTGAACATTTAAGATGTTAATCAACAGCTTTATGCATAGTTTAAGTGAAATAAGGCGGGGGTATTCATGCCAGCTCTGACTCAGCGTTTGTTTGGTAAAAACATTTTTTTGAACCTTTGTGTAAGAAGCGTACACTAACATGGGAGCCAGGGTGTCAAGATCTGACTTTGAATGGAGCTATACGGATGAGCCGCATGCCACAAGGCGAAAACAGATATTAAGTAAGTCACGAATCGATGAGATACTATAATTATCATCAACGTGTTGCCTTAAGATCAAAAGTACTAAATTGCTGCTAAAACGGTCTAAATGTCCCAAATTCTAGTCATTCAGCCTAATTTTGAAGATGTTCTGCAGCGATATTCATTATCTAATGGTGTCGTGTGCAAGTATTTATGTAGTAATATCTCTGTATTACGAATATTGTGTACCCCCACATTTTGTTACTTGATACATCTTGAAATATCACATCATTTACACGAACATTGATTATATCGAAACTTGCAAACAGGGACTTTCATTTTTTGCAGAATTTTTAAATCCTGCAGGTTTTTTGAAGTTTGAATACAGCACTCTGAATTGTATTATAGTAACTGATAATAACATTGGCAATTGCATACCGAAAATTCCGCGTTTAGTGAGACAGGAACTGACTAATGACTACAACCTTGTATAAGCAGCCTTTCATATGTTGGCTGAAGTATTTCACCTTTAAAGGCAAAGGTGTCTTAGTACAAATATATTACTTCAGGTAACTTGGCTTAAACCGATGTAATTATAGCATTGCTTATATATACAAGGTGAAAACAAAGACACCGTTCCGGTATTTACACACTATATACGGTCAGCACTCGGTAGTTACAACTGCATGTATAGCGATGCCTTTAACTCGATTGTTTAATTAAAAGACCTCAGTTAGGATATACGATTTCCTATTAAGATCCTCGCTCGAGCAATTTATCTCGGAATTTAATTCTTTTTGTTGGAAACAGCATGAAGTTCTGTTTCTTTCTAAACATACTGAATAAGATGGATGCAGATGTTCGTATATGCACCACACGTATTGAAAAAACAAAGAGAAAGAAATGAGTGTTGAATTCTAGTACAACTGTTCGTAACATTTTCATTTTCAAAGATACGAGTCTTGTGGTGTACCAGGCCGTGGTATTCTTCTGACCAAAGATCATCATCTATTGTAATCCATTTATCAACAGACAATCTCATGTCTCGATGTTAATTTGTGCGTCGTCTTAAGTTCAATACTTATCATTAACGACCACTGTTAGTTCATCTCTCTTGATTATAAAGTACTTCACTACTTTTAAACAATTTATTTTGGCAATCTAGCAAGTTTACAACAACATCATCGGATGTAAAAAAAAACACATTAAAAGCTACGTTAACACGGAACGAGACCGTACTCGACCGTGACCTGTCTCCTTGTGTGAACACGTAGAAATTATTAAATATTTATCCATTTTACTGCATGAACAATTGAACTGGACGCCCTAGCACAGACCCAAATTCGACTGTTCTCGTTCGAACGTAGTCCCACTATTTGAGGCCATTCTAAATGAAGTTGACACTCAGTCAAACTTCGCATTTCCCAATCGACGCACTGCGTTTATAAAACGAGACTTCCCTGAATCCTAATCATTGGCGAAATTGAAAAAAAAAGCGAAATTGTAATATGATTATATGAATTTAATGTTAATACAAATCAGTCACTTCAAGTGAAGCATATTTGCAGAATGAATTTCTGTTTGTAAAGCACATGGACACAGAAATCAAGCTGTCTTGATATTGTATTATATGGGCATATGCATGGCTTTTAGTTTTGCAGCTGCATTCAAAAATTTACTTTGTAAAATTTAGAAGCACATCCCGAGGTGAAGAAGCTGATGGTTGTGGATCATCGTTTCAAATACCACGTTATACTCCTAGTTATCCTTCAACTTCTAGTGATACCCTTAATACCCCATCTCTCGTGGACCTCATTCTTCTTGCTCACCTATTTCTACGGCGCGGTCATCAACCATGCAATCCTGGACGCAATCCACGAAATCTCCCACAACATGGCGTATGGAAACTCGAAGCCGCTGTACAACCGTTTATTCGGGATGTTCGCAAACCTGCCCACGGCCGTACCGGTCAGCGTTACTTTCAAACGTTACCATCAAGATCATCACCGTTTCCAAGGCGATGAAGACTTAGATCCAGACCTCCCAACCGAGTGGGAGGGACGATTTTTTGCGAATAGCTTCACGAAAGCGATATACGTTGGCCTGATACCATTTTTTTACAGTCTTCGACCACTATTTGTAAACCCCAAAAGTCCAACCATATTAGAGTTCTTGAATTATGTGACCCAGTTATCATTCGACGCTATCGTGTATTACTTCTTTGGCATACGACCTTTGGTTTACATGTTATTAAGTGCTCTAATAGGCACAGGTTGGCACCCACTCGGCGCGCAGTTCATTGCAGAGCACTACATGTTTCGTAAAGGACAGGAGACATTCTCGTATTACGGTCCATTCAACTACATCACATTCAACGTCGGGTATCACAACGAGCACCATGATTTTCCAAACATTCCTGGATCTTTGCTGCCGAAAGTGCGCGAGATTGCGCCAGAGTTTTACAACAACATGCCACATCATTCGTCCTGGCTGAAAGTTATCTACGATTTCGTGTTTGATCCAGAGATCAATCCTTACGCACGCGTCAAACGCTCTGTCAAACAGCGCGCCAATAATAACGCATGCGCAGACAAAACGCACGAAGATTGAACGAGTGTGGCACGTATGACCACGAACTACTGGTGCAGTTCGTTTTACATATATGAAGACAAGTTAGTATAGCTACGAACAAAATCAAATGAGTGCATATTATTTATAACATTAGCCGAGGACATGTGTATCATATATATACGCGAACTTTTGTTGTGAATTTCGTAGTACCAGAGTCTACTTAAATAAATTTTTCAGCGCAATCAAATCTCTTGCTTTTTCATAGACCTACAATTTTTTCATGCAGACAGTAAATTTTCGACAAAGAAACTATTTGCACACGCCATGCACACGCATCTTTTTCTTTCAGGCCAAATATTCCAAACCAATAATCGTTTATCTTAAATGAGTAGGCGTGGCAATCAAGTTCAACAATACCCGCTGACAACCACTGAGAATATTATTAAGCCGGTATATACTAAGTAATGTCGCTTAGGATTGAATTTGTGCAAAACATCGAACAAATATAAAAGAAACATAAAATGGTGTGTTATATTGTATGTTATATATACACGCTCAACAATTCTAACAATTTTACGCCATAACAGTATTTTTTTACAAAGGATTATCCACATTTTATCTTTGAGTTCTCCTCTCGTAATATTCTAATGGGGCCTTTCAGTAAACATACGCACATGTAGTCTATTTGAACAAGGTAATTGGCAAAACAAGATGCTTCTATTCAAAAGTAATTAAAAAAATACTAATTGAAAGATCGCACATGCACGAGGACGCTAACATGCATTTCATTTTTTGGGTAAAAAAAATATTCAACATCGAGTGACATAAACGAAGTTTGGGATGAAATTAAAAGATAAGAAAAATGTATGATTCTATGGTTTTCGATGTATTTGAAAATTGAAATGTTCATTGCTTCGAAAGGAACAAAAGCAACAAAATGTTCATTTGTATAAACAGTCGAGACCTCCTTCAAGTAATTTGTCGCCATGACAGCTCAAAACAAAGGATAAAAACAGTATTACATTAAAATTTGCACCTGTAGTACACATTGCTTTGTGTTCTTTTCTAGTAAATTCTGTGTAAAAGAGGCTTGGCATTTTAGCTCTAAATCCGGTTTCCTATTCATGTGTCGTTGAGGAGAGGTTTTCGAGACTGATCCCAGCAGAGTTGAACCCAACCAAGGTAAGTTTAACCGGATCGTTACTGTATGCATGGTTCAGAAACACATTCATATGCGTGTATACAACATGTACACAGAAAGATTCTTAACAGAGAAGGTATAGAATTTTACGTTGAGACGTGTTCTACACAGCAATGCATGAAGATGTAGGAACAAATCAATGATATTTCGATGAAGACAACTACGACGTCTAAGCTAATGAATGGTAAACCACGACGTCTCATGCATGAACTATACTTCTACCCACGACGTTTACGTTGTATTTTTTTTACGGATGGACGAAATACAATGCAATATTAAAATGATCACCTATAAAAAAATCATAACAAATACAGAGATAGCCCAAGCATGAAAGTGTCATTTGGAATGCTGGACTTTAAAACATTGGCAAGCGTTGTTGATAAAATCGTTCGTACAGTAGTATATGTATAGTTCTCATTATAACAACATTATATTCCGGGATAGCATGCAGAGTAAAATAAAAAAAGAATAATCTTGCAAAGGATTAACTGGTTGCTCATGAAGAAGATTAAAAGAATAGAATGAAAGAAATTAAAGAAAACATAAAGATTGTGGAATCCTATAATATAATAACATTCTATTTTAAATACTTGTTTTTCCTGCAATTACTAATAAGTAACTTATTTCTGACGTAAAACACACTTTCAAATAGAGTGAAACAAGTGCCTATAAAATGCGTTGCGTGGTTTTATGTCGACAGAACAAAATACAGGAGAGTGAACGAGCGGAAACTATACAAAAGTGTACCAGCACAGTGCATACAACTATAATTAACGTGAAGGCTCTTCTAGAAATGACAACAATAGTAATGTTTGTCAAAATATAAGTTAAAATTATTTCTACAAAGTAATGCGTTGCTATACGACTACGATTATATCCATATAGCAAATAAGGAAGATGCCTGTCACCAGTAAGGCAATTTTACGCTGTACTGAATAATAAATATTTAATAAGCTGTTCAAACTTGTCACCCGCACAAAATTCATTTTTGCATGCAGACTTAATTCCAGTTTATTTCAAGTCATAAACCATGAATACTGTATTGCAGAATACTATAGAATCATATCCACTGGACTCGGTCCATTTTTCAGGTCGTTCAGACAGGGTGGGTGAACTCTCAAAAAGTTTATACTGTAGAATATAATCTAAACTAGAACGTGCATGTGTGTATATACCATGTTCTTAAGATATCGATTTATTTATTTTGAATTAGGAGAAAGGATGTATAATCAGAAACAAGGACCACATATACCACCCAAATTACCCCCCAAATCACGGTTCAACGAACAAGAGTCTACTGCAGTGCTCAGGCTTTTAGTCAAGCAAGAAAAATTGTTGAAAAATAAAGATGAGAATCCAGCCTTGAAGCTGGCACCTGAGAAATCCGTCAGAACTTTACCTCCCGTGATGCCAGACCTCAGTATTGACGAGAATAATCAGAAAGAAAATGTAGGAACTCGACAGGAATTATCTCATTACAGTCATCTTCCTGCGTGTAGTTCTGGTGAAAGACCAACTTCAGTTGGTAGTCCAAACGTATCGAGGACGAAAGAGAGGCCCAAGGTTTCTTATGGAAGACGACAGACACAGCAAGAAGAGCAGCGAAAAATAGAGCACCACCACGAAATCATTCCCAAACAACATCAACAACCAGAACTCCAATCTCACAACAAACAATATCAGAATAGAGACACCGTGTTAAGAACTCGAAGTAGAGAACTTTCTGACCAGGGAAGGGCACTGTCTTACGAAGAAACGATTTCAAATCTGAAAGAACAGACACTAAAACTTGGTGGTAAGATGCCCATTTCCCGTACACGAAGTTGCCCGGTTGAATATGAAACTCGGGTGCCTCCGATTTCCCCAAACAAACACTCGATGCTCTGCACAGATTCTAGTTCATCTCTCAACAACTCTTTGGGCAAGATCAATCTTAACAGTGGTCTTAGTTGACCGTTTATATGTATGTATATGTAATCTTAGTTTCAGAATATCTGTCAGATACAAATAAATCTATTGCAATGCAAAGCCGAATAACGTCGGTGCAAAAATATTTAGACAGAAAATAAATATAGCAAAAACTTAAAATATACAACGTCATTAAGATGCACCAAATATACGATGCACACGTGAATTATTACTTCCGTTATTTCCACAGATCTACGGCTCCTTTTTATAGTAAACAAAATCAGATCCGGCGTATGTGAAACAAATTAAACTGAATTGGGTTCCGATTTCAAGAATAATTTTATCCAGTATGTATTAAATGAAAGAAAATTACTTAAAATTATTTTCCGGCCCCCTGCAGCTGCAAGTAAATTCAACTATCTCGTCAAAATATTTCATCGTCAAAACAATATTTATGAGATAATAAAATACAGAGTTGACAATTCATATTTTAACAAAACAATTATGTTAATGACGAGCGAAAATTGATGAAAAATCGTTTTTGAGGAGCGAAAACTGATAAAAATATTATAGAGAACGTGTATGGGATAGTTTGGTGTGATAAAATTTCAATTAAGGGCTGGATACGGGAATATGTTCGAAATTTTGTACAAAATGAGGCTGATGTTATAAAAGATTGGGCTACAACAGACGACAGGTGCTTACAGGTGGATCGATATATATTCCGAAGGAAACTCATATGCATTTTAAATGAATATAGCGGATTAAGAAACGATTTTATTGCTAGAAAAGCACAGAGACCATTTTGTTTCCTTTGACTTCTTCAAAACATCGATATATCACACGTTAATGGCGACTAAACAGGTACCACCGCTTGTAGGAACAAAAACACAAATAAAGACAAGAGAACCAAACAAAGATGAAAGCATTAACGAATTGCTAGTTTTATTGAGAAGCCAAGAGGATAGCCCAGATGCAGCGCTCTTGAACGAGACAAAATGTCTGCTGTCTTTGTCTTTGGACAATAACACAATGCAGCCATTGCCATCAATACAGTCAAAGAAAAAAGGAATAAATGAAAAAGTAACGAGAAAATTAAGTGATGACGAGGTTTCTGATGCTAGCCAACCTTCAACACTTTCAACCGTCTCAGGCGCGAATGCTAAAAAACGTTTGCCATCTCTTGGGTCCAGAGAAGAAATAACACCTGCTGGAGGGGAAAAAACGTCCCGAGAATCTCGCGGCACAAGATAAAGACGTTGAAGATGTATTGAGGAAAATATAAACATAAAATAGGATAGTTGAATGTTAAAGAGATCATTCTGATTCAATGATTACAGAGCAAGATGCATGTAAGATAGATTATAGTGTGTTTGATAGATTGTGATCATGCAGATAACAAAAGTTTAGTAGATCAAAGTTGCTTCGTTATCGCCCAATACTGAAGGTTAATCCCACTAGAGTATAATGAAACTACATTTGCGCATGCGCATTTCATAACTAGAGAACACAAAGTTTGTGTGGGAAACCGTGAACAATTACATTCTTAGAGTGAAATTTCACTGTGTTGCAACACTGTATGATCAATTGTTTTCATTACTTGTAAAAATCAAAGTTTGATTTTAAAAGTCCCACATTCATTACGTAGATTAATCGTGGTATATAAATGTTTGCATTGCGATATTCCAACGAGGCTGACTTGTGTGGAAAAGCTCGTTGTCGTTATGGCAACGACAATTTTTGATCGGGTCTTATTTGAGGAAGACCCCAATAAGTGCACTGACTGAATGAATAAAAAAAACATATGGAACGTTATTGACATTATACTAAATTGTTACAGGAGGAAACCAAAACTAAACCGACATTTATACTGGATAGCTCTATCAGTTCTAAACTGTTCTTCCTAGAGGTCCAGTAAGGATCATCTCTTATTGATCCAGTGTTACTACAGGAGGAAACCTAAACTAAACTAACTTTATTTATACTGGATAGCTCTATCAGTTCTAAACTGTTCTTCCTAGAGGTCCAGTAAGGATCATCTCTTATTGATCCAGTGTTACTACAGGAGGAAACCTAAACTAAATTATCTTTATTTATACTGGATAGCTCTATCACTTCTAAACTGTTCTTCCTGGAGGTAAGGATCGTCCTTAAGGACATCTTTTATTGGTCCAGTGTTACTTCTGGAAGGAACCTAAATTAAACTAACTTTACTTTATAGAAACCACGGTTTTATGTCGTTGCAATTCCCGTTGTCATCCGGTGCCATTATCCACTTCAATTTTCAAATTATATATTATGTCTAACAATTATCTCAACCGACACAAACAACAATGCAAATTATAATAATTGTGAGCAGGTGCTTTGAAGGAAATAGTAACCTATTTTAAACAGCATGAAGTATTGTGTCGACCGGTTTTGAGTCCCTCGATCTAACCATGAATTAAAATCGTGTTGAATCTCGCTGACAGGTTTCCTAAATATCCACGCGCAAAAACAAACCAGAAAATTTTCGCAGGAAGAAACACGTAAAAGAAACATAGATATATGTAATAATGCAGACGCTAAAACGATATAAATATATCATAATGAATTTAATATAAATTTATTTGAAAGCGCAGTTTTGGGGTATTAGGAGATGCAGGAAGTTGGACAGTCATCGTTTTGTTCATAGCTTATAGTGTAACATAAAAATTGCAAGTTTAATTTTTTTGGAAACAAGAAAGTAGTAAGCTTCCTTGCTGCTCGGAAATTTTACACACCCTGCTCTCTAGCAAATCAAATTATCGTTCAGTAATATTCTTACGTATATTAACATAACCTTACGTCGTATTTTATCCATTTACAAATTACAATGATTGTATATTGAGTTTTTTATATCTACAGTTTCCAGGTCTATATTACATTTGTTTAACTGAGCAATCATTTATAGTACTGCCATACAGAGCACTAAAATCTCCGCTACTTTGGCCATCTAGAAACACCTTATACCATTTGATGGTTTATACACATATGAGAAACGTTAGAGGCAGTAAAACGATAATCCAGTAATAGTAAACATGACTAGTCATGAAGACTTAGATATAAAGCCTAGGATTATTTTGTTAATTCTAAACATATACTGTTTATTTTTTGTCTCTAAAAATGAAACTGTGTCTTAACCCTCATGATGCATTTCGTACATGCTTACTTGCTCTCTACGAGAAAGAGGATTGCTTTCGGTAAAAGATATAATGGAGTAAACTATGTTAATGACCTCAATAGACTGCGACGTTTCATTATGAACAAAATTCATTAACGTCAAAACAATAAATAATGACTCGCAATAAATATTCAACAGCTTTGAAAAGAGGCGTTGAAACCACAAAGTGTTATACCTGTAACCTTGGTAATGCTATTTTGATAGTAACACATTCCAAACACCGCAGGATAAGTTATCATATATTTCATCATTTTCATCTTATATACGGCTAATTTAGAGGAAACACAACGATTTCAAGGTAGTTTTCGTGAGCATTGCAAGATTACGATTGTTAATCTGTGCACAGTATCGCGTCGGGACAGATTATACAACAGTAATTAGTGGATAAAGTGGAAATATTTAATATTTCATGTTTACTAGAAGACTTTGGCAGATTCTACAAGGAATTGTGAAAAAAATTCACTTGAAGAAGAGAGTTTAAATCGCGATATTTTTTCCAAAGTTTCAACAGAATTGAGGAGATAAACTAGGACTCTTGGAAGGGATTGAATTGGATTTGACGTATTATTAACGAGAGAACGTCATTAACTTCATTATGGGGACGAACTTGGGCCAAGAAAGGGAAGACCTCGCGAAAGCTAAAAGAGATTTATTGATGCGATTTATAAAAGACCAGGAACAACTTCAAACAAGACAAGTTGCTTCAATATCGAGTAACAACGATGAAACGTTTGATATACTCGATGGCCTGACAACCGCTGAGGATAACACAAACATAAAAGGCGGCATTAGGCCGAAGAAGTTAACTCATAAACGAAATGAACAAAGCAAGGCAGACGAGAAGCAAAATATACCAAGAAGTCAAACTTGTATTCCCAACTTCAGAGTACATCAAAGAGAACATTCTTTTGCGGAGTTGAAAGAAGAGAAACTCCATTCTCGATTAAAGAGTGGTAAAAAATTACAAGACAGGACGAATCCCATTGAAAGACCAGCATCGGAGGCTTCCCTACGAAGACTGAGATCAGCTCCGTCTTTCTCAGGTAGACAATCCAGGACCGTATTAAGGTCAGGAGATATTGAGGTTAAGGCTAGGAAAGTGCCTTCGCTTAGTATTGTTGTTCCAAATCAGGCTGGAGACGTTGATAAAAAAACAAAACAACGATCATCGTTAACCTGCGCTCAGGTACGTTCACGAGGTGCTGTTGGAATTTCAGCTGTGGATGTTGAACTGTTTGATAAACGCGCAGTCCCCACTCTACCTTATGCTATGTTTCATCTACCACCTATCACCTCAGAAACGGCACCATCTCCCCCCTCAACATAACGTTACGAAGCCATTCAATCATAATCCTATCTTCATGAATCATCATGCACTATGGATAAAAACAATGAATGTTTTAGACTTGAACTGAGCCAAGTCTTTTGCATGAAGTTCTAAAAATTAACCTAGCTATAGTGTTATAAAAAATCAACAATGATAGTAAAAATTTTAACCACTCTCGTGTGTTTAATGTGTAATGTTCCATATTTTCATATTTATCACATGCAAAACAACAGGTTTACGTGCAAGGACAAGGTTAGCCATTATTAGTTACAATGTAAACATGAGGTTTTTGCATTTGTTTAAAAACAAGATTTTACAAAATTACACATGCTTAGACGAGGGGAAAGGCATTAACAAGGCCCCGGAGCTTGTCACTTTCTGAGAAAGATATCTCAAACGTGGTGGTCCAGTGTAGGTAGTATTCTACAATAAGCTGTCGTGGTTTGTGTCTGAACTACCTGAGAAAGATATCTCAAACGTGATGGTCCAGTGTAGGTAGTATTCTACAGTAAGCTGTCGTGGTTTGTGTCTGAACTACCTGAGAAAGATATCTCAAACGTGGTGGTCTAGTGTAGGTAGTATTCTACAATAAGCTGTCGTGGTTTGTGTCTGAACTACCTGAGAAAGATATCTCAAACGTGGTGGTCTAGTGTAGGTAGTATTCTACAATTACCAGTCGTAGCTTGGGTCTGAACTACCTGAGAAAGATATCTTAAACGTGGTTGTCTAGAGATAAAGTTATATACTCCCAAACAATCAACTATCGCAACTTATAATCCTTTAATCTATTCCTTGCATATATGATAAACCCCCAACCTGTTGTTTACGCGAGGATTTTGATAACAAAGACCTCCACCGAATACACACAATTAAATAATCGCATGATATCAAATTTTTATTAAAATTCAAGTTAGACAGATTTTTGATCTATTGTGACGATACTATGCTGACAATGGATCATATTATTGGTAAAGTACTGTTTCGAAGCATTAAGGTTGTCAGTAACCTGCACGACCAAATGTTCTCTCTTAGTCTGCGCATGTTGAATAAATTTGTGACGTTATGTACACCAATATATGGTTAACTAATCTTGGGCATGTTTCGAAAAGGTTTAGTCTTCAACATGTTTGCAATTCAGACAAAATACAAAATTTTAGGTAAACAGGTAGTTCAGTTACAAACCACAGCTTGTTGTAGAATACTACCTACATTGGACCACCACGTTTCAGAGATCTTTCTCAGGTAGTTCAGACACAAACCACGACAGTTCACTCTAGAATACTACCTACACTAGACTACCACATTTAAGATATCTTTCTCAGGTAGTTCAGACACAAACCACGACAGTTTATTGTAGAATACTACCTACACTAGACCAGCAAGTTTCAGAGATCTTTCTCAGGTAGTTCAGACACAAACCACGACAGCTTATATATTGTAGAATACTACCAACATTGGACCACCATTTTGACAGATCTTTTTCAGGTAGTTCAAACATACAATATAATGACAGGTTTAGGACAGAGCTCAACGGTGAGACACAAAACAAGAAAGTTGCCCCTATCAATTTACAGGGCAATGTTATGATAATGAAGATCCAATCCAATGAATCCATTACCTGTGTTGACCGAAGGCTTTTAGCCATTTTACAATTAAACAAGTACGCATCAGTACAGGTCTTCTTATTAATACAATCTAACCAAACAGATCGCTTTTAACGTTAATGGGCAAAGAATTGAGCTCTTCAAAGATTTGGTATAATATATGACGAGAAACGTAGTGAGCTGCATTTAATTATGAACACTCACAGTGTTTTATTTATAGTCTGTGTTGAGAATTAAAAAAATTGGAATATATAATCCCCCAGAACAGCTGGATAATCTGCTTGACAATACATACAAAACGTCTTAAGATACACATGGAAAATTTTAGCGATCATTGAACTCGGGGAAAACCTGAATTTTCAAGAAACAATACGAAAGGTGAGTTACGAGCGGGGTACAATTCAATTTTACACGTTTTTCTTAAACTATACTACATAAGCACTGTTCATTTTCGTTGCTAAGGGTCGCTAAATAGCAAACACGGATGATCAATTTTGAGGTTATTGCATGCCTGAAGAATTTCTTCTTCGACTATAAATCAACTAAAAAATATAGCTATGGTTGCAACGTTTTTGCCTAAAATTCATCAAAATATTTCAATTTTACAAAAGCCATCCTCAGATCGTTAAACGAGTTGATCTGAAAAAGCTAGGTTTCAATAAAAATTGTCGTAACAAGACGCGGTATATATTTATCTTCTGGTTTAAGGCTTGCCTTCCATATTTATGACTGTTTTTTTTAAACTATAGCTACAAAGAATATATGTCCTAATGATTACCCCAGTGTTAACAACAAGTATAACGATAATATTAATTATCATATAAATTACGGGCAGATGAAGAAACAAGTAATTATAGGTCGTTACTAGGAGAACATGCAATTATATTTATTATAATCACCACACGAACGGCAGCAGTAGGAAGAATATTCAAAAAGATGCTCTGTTGAGCTGGAGAAAAACAAAATCACACAAACAGCAATTGTGGTGACTGGTGAATGCTTAAGCCTTTTGATAGAAGACATTTTGACATTTTAATAGCTTTGGACGTTTTGTTGTATTCATTATTGATGATCACATTATCATAAAGCCATATACTACTCCGGAACTCTCAAAGTGTTTATTACATTTGATGATACGTATATATAAGTTGCATATCTTTGCTGTTTCCTTGATCAAGGTATTTTTTTTAAAATATCAATTTTTTTATAATATCACTAGCTCAACTGGCTCTACAGAGATAAGCACTTCAGAACAGTTCAATCGACGCGTTGCACTAATCACGGAACCAAGCGTTAAATATACTCCTAATAAAATAGTTTTCATAGCGAGTGCCTCTGTTATAGTGAACTAATTGTATAGGTATATGGTCTTCCTTTTAAGTACAACTTTTTCGTTTTTCAAACAGTTTCTTTAACGATCATTTCACGACCAACTTTAACAGAAAACGTCTTCATATATTTCTTGTCCAGGTATCAAAGAACGAATGTCAAAATGACGAATACGAGAGAAGTGATATCAACGACAATGCCACACGGGATTACTCCAGCCAGAAAAGCTGGTCTCCAGAGGCAGAGAGGAGAGCTGCCACAGATCAGACCACAGCGTCGAGAACTTAGGCCGATTGACGCGACACTTGAATCACACAAGACGCGGGAGAATAAACGAAATGCGGTGATGAAGAACTACTTTGAAACAAAACAACTGTTATCGTTTACGAAGCATCTCGATGCTATGAAAGCCGTGTACTTTGAGAAGATGAAACGCGAGAAGATGCGTGTTGGAAGGTCGTTGTGGGAGCTCGAACAAAGAAAACGTAAAATTATGAGGCAAATATACGATCATCCCTGCACTGATGTGAACAATTCAAAAAATCCAGCTCTCTTTTATTTTACACAAGAAAAATCGCGAAGAAAATCGAGAAAACACGAAAATAAGCGTGTTTCTGGACAGAATTTAACAGACACTTAAAAGACGGAAAAATTGGAGTGGAACAATCACGTGAAATTTCGAATGTCAAAAGACAAAGGTTGACGGTTCAAAACGTAATGTAAATGAACAATTACAAAGAGTATATCTAAGCATTATTAACTGCGAATGGGACCTTTTCTGAATAAAATAAAATTACCTGTAATAAACGGATGTACATGCCTGCATATTCATAATCAAATATTTAACACTGTCAATCATTGTTGTATAAAAATTAGCCTAGCATACATTATTGATGCGAACAAGCCATTAGCGGGTATCATGCCTTATGTTTCATACATGTGTTTAAGATAGTTGATATAATTATTATTCAAACTTGGATATTAAAACGATTCCTATTTACAGACCACGAATCTAGGATTGAGAGATGTGACGTGCATTGATACAAAACATTTAAAAGCCTGTCAATGATTCTAATTCTTATGAACATCGTTCCAAAAATGTTGACTTAATATTCATATGATATGTATACAAACATCTGGACGACATCTACTCTGCCTCGGCTACTTGCAGCTAAACTTTTCCTAAGAGCAAAGCTACTGGGTCTAAAAATCAGCCACCACTACCCCCGGCCGCCAAAAATTCTGCCCTGATAAAAACATATTTAGCGCGTGCAGGAAAGCTCCTTTGAAAGGAATGACGTTTGTCCGTCCAAAATTTACAAAGTTTGCATGATTGTTGTCGCTTCCTCGTGAGATGCACGGTCCTACAATGTGAACACGAGTTTGCCTCATTCAGAAAGTGTAACGTACGAAAAAGTCCCGTCCCAGTTGGGTGAGGTTTAATGAAAGAGAGTATTGTCTTAGTTGGGATGTGGTTTAATGAAAGAGAGTATTGTCTTAGTTGGGATGTGGTTTAATGAAAGAGAGTATTGTACTCAATGGATAATATCTAGTGTCATATCTAACCCTAAAAGCCAGTGAGGTTGCACACACCAAACCTACATAAATCCTAACCCAAAATTAAAGATAGGAATTGAGTAAAACTCACATCGTAATCTTTAACTGGCATCTCCAAGGATTTTTTTAGCCACTGTTTTGCCTTTTCCAAATCTCCTAGAGCTTTGTAACACTAAAACATAACAATATACAATGTTTCTTCTTTGAACATTTTTCTAATTTATTTTGTGCTCAGACAATTAACTCACCTTTCCTATAAAAAGCCAGTTACTTTTCAGTCCATAATAACCAAGTTTCTCTGCCTGAAACAGAAAATTTGCATCTTATGTTTTAAGAACTGGCAAGTAAACATGGAGAACTTTAAAAGAATTGATGAAGATGATTGTCATACATTTTTATTATGTAGGTAAATTCTAGAGGTTCAAATGGTCTTAATTTCGAGTGGAATTATACACACTTCAAATTCAAGCCAGGAAAAGTTGATGGAAAAATGAGTCAACACTTTTGCGATGCCGGTGCAATGCTCTTGCTTAATTTTGGTGATTAAGTTTCTTGTACTAAAGAGATGGAACAATTTCTTACTTGCTGAAAATGTGACAAGGCTTCCTCGTACGAAGTTGTTGGGGCATCTGTGTACAATGCATTAACTGCTTGACGTTGCCACCATGATAGATTAGCTAACTAATAAGAAGAAATTATAGCACTATCAGTTCTAAACTGTTCTTCTTAGAGGTCCAGTAAAGATCATTTCTTATTGATCCAGTGTTACTACAGAAGGAAACCTAAACTAAACTAACTTTATTTATACTGGATAGCTCTATCAGTTCTAAACTGTTCTTCCTAGAGGTCCAGTAAGGATCATCTCTTATTGATCCAGTGTTACTACAGGAGGAAACCTAAACTAAACTAACTTTATTTATACTGGATAGCTCTATCAGTTCTAAACTGTTCTTCCTAGAGGTCCAGTAAGGATTATCTTTTATTGATCCTGTGTTACTACAGGAGGAAACCTAAACCAAACTAACTCTATTTCCTCTGGATATCTCTATCTCAGTTGCAAACTGCTCTCCCAAAAGTTCTATTCTCCCATTACTAATGATCACTTTTTTACAGTGATACAGATAATACAGGGGCATTTAATTAATTATGAAAAGGCTATCAAGGTAAATAATCCTCACCTCAAAACAAAACCTTCCTAATAAGAAATAATTTGTGGAATCTTCTGGGTTTAGTTCAATGGCTCTTTCAGTATGTCTCTGTAAGAATCATTAGAGATACTGTAAAATACTATTTCTCTCACCAGGTACAGACAAGTAAGTTGTAACTAGTGCTTGCATACCTTGAATTTTGTAGCAAGGGGTACCTGTTCTGTAAGTGTGGCAAGACCAGCAGCCATGCCTAACAGGACAGCGTACCTATTTTTAACAATACAAATGCATGTAGATTGAAATGTTAAATGAATATAAAGCTCAAATGCACCAGAGAAATGGTTAATATGAACAATATAAAAAATTATTCCACTCACCACTTTTGAGCTTTTGGATGGTCTTCCAAGATCTCTACCGACTTTGCACCATATTCTAAGCCTATAACATTTATGTAATCAATTAAATTGTCACCAGTGTGAGGGTGATTTCTTCTTTACACCACTCTGATTGCTACACACCTTTAAAAACCACCTCTTTTCTTTCCTCTGCATTCTCAACAAAGTTTGCTTTTGATGCATAAGCCCGTGCACATCTGAGTAATACCTCAACATTGTCCGCATTCTGTAAGATGAAATATGGTGTGTAGACGATTACGTCAACTTTGTATTGCAATATAATCAAAGGCCTCACATCTGACTTACTCTTGTCAAGAGATCTTCTAGGATTGACATTTCTTTCGCATTGTCTGTGGCATTGTCGTTCTCTGATAGCTCATCACATTTTTTTATCAATTCATCTAAATTCAATATGCTTCTATCTTGCAAGCTGAAAGAAGTACCAAAATAATGAATCACTCCTCCACACACAGTGACAGAATTCTCAGAGGGGGGCGGAGTTCGTTGAAGACTTGAGGACCCCTGCCCCACAAAGAAAGTCAAACAAAAATCTAACATTTCTATCATTTACATACATTAGATAAATCAGTTCATTGATGTGACAGGCAATTTGCTTGTTTTCTTTTTTTTTTTTTAAATTACTTCTATCTAGTAAACATGAACAACGTTCATACCTTTCACTTCCAAGTTGTTCAGATTCAATATCCTCATCAAACAAATCAAAAAAATCATCCTCAGAGCTACTCTCCACTTGCATTGCCCCCGGCTCTCCTATCACTGTTCGGCTAACATTAACTCTGTTATATTTTCTCTTGCTTGTTAAAGCCTGCTCGTTTGAAAAAGCCGATGCAGTCCGTTCAAAATGCTGCACCATCGAGACCCGCAGTTCCTTGATTTCATTTGTAACTTGATTCAAAGCTAACACCACTTCACGATTGCTATTTTGCTCGGATATCTTCTTCACAACATAAGCACCGACTGCAACTCCTGTGCCTATTCCAAGTCCAATGAAGAAGCAACGTTTCACGTTGGAAGGCAATGAACTAGTGGACTCCATGCCTTGAACTCCTTTATACCGTTTCAAAATTCTTAGCCATATTGTGCGGGACAGCATCTTCAACGTGCCCGATTAAAACACGTAGCTCCATCCTGAATATAAACAAAGTTGTATCCATATATAAGTGTCCTTTTAATATATTTTTCAATTTGTAAAAATAAAAACAAGCACCGCTTTGTACACGTTTTGGACTTGGACCTTCCCTTCGAATTAAATCTCAGCAGAATACTTCATGTCAGAGGAAATATTGTTAGACTTTTAAGGTACCTCTTATGGTGGTGCCACGCCCTACAAGGCCAAAAATGTGCTCGTGACGTAGACGTACTATAAAATAAATCTATTTTCCTTATCAAATTAACTGATCAAATTCTAAACATCGTGTCCTAGAATTGATTGCGCAAAAATTATTTAAGTAAATTAGCCTGTAGGTACAGCACGTAAGTATTTGAATACTGCAAAGCTTTCGGTCCATTAACCCGAGCCTTCTTCAGTGCAATTGAATTTACTTATTTGATGTCACCATGCAAGCACAAAGATATTCTCCCGATTGTGAATCCCATGAACAAATCACCTACAATCTGGTCACAGCTTTCGCATCTTGACCAATGTTTGAACCTTATGTTTGGGCATTATGTCTAAATAAGTAATAACATATATTCTACAATACCAATAATCACAATCCAACCATAGGTTCCTACTACCATATCAAGACGCCTTTGTTATTCTTTGGCTGTATATCATTTTTCTAAATCCTTTCAGAAAAAACTAAAATAATCCGCTTATCCTAAATTAATTTTTGTATCTCCACAACAGGATATGCTGTGTGTTAGTTTGGGCTGAGATGAAGTGTGTAAGGTAGCATACCTGATAACCTCATATAAAAGAGAGCTGATATTTGTGCACGTGCTTTCATAAAATGCTGACCTTACTGCAACCATGGTGTAACCTTGGATAAACTTTCTGTTCAATGTCAAGGAGATCGTAGACAGTAGTTGCATAAATTGGTTGCATAGTCGTTGAAGCCAAACCGCTAGTAAAACCACGTCTCCTTTTAATTATAAGGCTGGACGGAGTTGGACTCTGTCCAGAGAGACTCTGAACAATAGTTGACAGTTCTCTGAACCCCAGGACTTTCAGTCCAAACTAACACACAACATAAAGACCAACTTGTACACTTTAAATCACTTCCTGACTATGGCATGCAAAACCCCAATCACCCAGCACGCTTTTCAGCCAAACAAACTCTTTATCTTATAAATCATTGGAAAATGTATAAACAAGGACCAGAATCCAGCTAAGCCAGTAATGTTTCGTTTCGGACAACATCTAATACGATCTACACAGCCGCTATGTTCAGCCACCCTGTTGTTAATAGTAGCGGCCAGAGTGAATCAAAGTGACCGTATTAAACCAAAAATAACCGCTCTATTTCCTCGAATTATATCCCCGTTGATAACAAAACTGCACGCAAAGTTTGCACGCTATTGCAAATGCACCCTGCTTTAAGTTTAAGGCTGATACAGAGAGAGGAAAGTTCTCAAAACGCCTTGAACAGAAAATTAACATTAAACATCCATAAACTTGGAATTTAAAAAGAGCAATATAGTTTAAACGTTTGTTTACAAAACAGTCTTTGCATTCTTTACGCGTAGAAGCATACCGTTAGTTTTACCCTATATGAATAATGTGTACAGGTTTGTTCGTTAGAATACAGTTAGTTTACAGTTAGAATACAGTTATTTCATTTACAATAACCGTGTAAGGATTCAGGAATTTTGGACGACAAATTTCACTTTTCTAGTTTGACTTGTAATTTTGACTTCGACCTCATAGCATTCATAAATAGTAAATATCTCAATATCAATAAAATCATTATGACATTATTGAATGAAATTACTTACCAAATAAAATTTGCTATTTGTCGCCACCGAATTTGATGGTATTTATGTGCGCTACCCTTCAAGTCTGCTTGTAATACGACGTTATTACTAGTATAAACATGCAGTGACAAACACTTTGTATAATTGTATGGCATGTTCGTTTGGGCATGAAAATTTGAATACGGTGTATGATAATTACTGCAGTATTGAATAAGTTGCTAATACTTTTAAGAAATATACACATGCACGCTTTAAGACAAATAAATGCAAAGAATTATCCGGTACAACAAATGTACGAGTTCTCACAAAAATTGAAAATTCCTTCATTTAATTTTTAGAATAATAGATGTAGTCTACTGCAGTCTTTAGGCAATTTACGTGCAGAGCACTTGGTTTGGCACGTCTTTGAACACGAGATGGCCAGGGGTATCAAGCTATATTCCTTAAGACGTTTCCCAAAACTTATTATTGGACGAAATGAATATGTAATGTTTTAAATATTGTAAAAAATATATAAACGTTTTTTTTAAAGCTAGCTTTACGTAAATATCCTGCCACAAAGCATAAATATTCATATTGAGGGAGTACTGCTAAAGAATTGGGAAGTAAAGTCTTTCAAGTGTGCAAACATCCGTTGTTCAAATATACGACCTAATTTGAATGAATTTCTTCTTAAAGTAACCACAGAGCACGACCCTATCCTAAGTCCAACAGAAGCGACCGGGAGTATTTTGCATACTTCGTTTACTCAGTCAGTCCTGGTATGAGGATTAGTTTAAGTGAGATTACTGGAAATAATGCTAGATTATTAAATTATTACAATCTTCCCAAAGGCCAAACCATTGGGTCAGTGAAAAAGTCCTTGAGCTGATAGTGTTTCAATTGTTGTTTACCATATTAAGAACTGACGTGGCAGGTCAAGGTTAGTTCTCAGTGAGACGGGAGTAATAAACTCAGGACATACACCGTAGTTATGGCAGCCAAAAAAGTACAGAGAAATATCACAATATATCTCCATGCTTTTAGGAAACTGGTATTTCTAAATTCATGCAAAGTTTAGGCCGCCGGCTAAATCTACTAAAGGATACGTCGACTGAACTAAAACCAAAGAAGGTGACTACGTAGAAACCCATACATTTTCACAAGCCGGTTTTTATTATTATATAGTATAAATAACTTTTCCTAGCAGGTTTATGTCAATTTTTGTCCGGTCAGTCTATCAAAAATGGTAAGAAAAACTGAAAAAAGACATGATTGAATTATTTGCATTTCTTACCAATTCAAATGACGCTGTTTCTTGCTTTCTTCAGTCAAAATCTGACTCCATTTTTTATGTCGAGTGAAGCTAGTGCTTAATTGATTCTAAAGAGAAGATTTGGTACATTTTGAAGTGTTAAAAAGAAAGCTCTTTATATGACGAGATTTGTTTCCATGGGTGACGTGTGGGGGCCATCATGACGAGTATCCGTCTTCACAATGACGTGAACTTGCACGAAAGGCGTACATATTTAACAATTAGTCGCCGAAGGCGAGGTGATTACAAGCCTATATTCACTGAGCCGAAGGCGAAGTGAATATAGGCTTGCAATCACCGAGCCTGAGGCGACTAATTGTTTTAGTATAATTTCAGTATTGAAAAAGTTTTATTTATAAATACAACTGATTTATGTTCTCAATTTCTGCTTCCGAAATTTTTCCGAAACGATTTTGAGTATTTTCAGCCATGTTTTTTGGGGAAAAGCAATAGTTACTTCTCAGACTGCTCTGAGCAGTAACTAGTTATTGCCTCATAGTTACTGCCGAGGGAGCCAATCAGAATGCTCAAAGGTCATTTTTCAATACTGAAATTATACTAATTGTCATTATAACCCGTCAAACGTTCTCTTATTCAAGTACTATACACGTACTAAAAGGAAAAGTAACTTACAGGTATGGTTAGTCTGGAGTTGGACAATTTTGACGGGGGGGGGAGCCCACAGGAGTTTCATAATTCGAGCGGGCGGGAAAATTAGGGAGCGAACAGCGCGGGCAGCTTTAAAAATGCGGGTGTGAAGACTTCTCAGGACAGAAATTCGTATTATTATTTATATTTTATTTTATTATTTTCTTTTCTTAACAGTTTGATGTTCCATAAACCGGCCACCAAAGATGCCATACATTTTAATCTCAACATTGATAAGGCTGGTATGCGTGTCATATAACCTGTTTAAGTTCAATTTCAAATGTTGATATTCACTTGTAAAGTATGCATGATGCGCACTCCCCCGTTCCACATTTTATAACGGATTCTATGTTGTTGTATGTAGAAGATTATCACCATAAAACACATTACAATTTTGTAACTTAACGCTGAAGATCTTCGGCAAAAGTTCCACCGAAATGACCGAAGCATCCTGGTCCACACTAGACCCCACCTACTCCCACAAGGGCATGAAATAAGGTTGCCAAAAATAAATCACCATTATAGTATAACCTTAATTAAACCCCCTGCCCTGATTTATCAAACCTTTTTGACATATTTTAAGGAATGTGGACCCACTATTGTTGGAGATGAGTGGTCTGATCCAGAACTCATGGAATTTTTAGGGGCAAAACTTATTCACGAGTTTGGGAACAACTTGTATGTGTTCAATTAATTCACCTTTTCAATCCTGATATGATAAATTATAATTTCTTACAACATCTCTTTTTCCCTCAATCTCAGCAAAGAATACAGATCATCAGATCCTCCTAGAAAAGTTTTGAACCGGCTTGAAAGCCGTGGATACAAAGTGATTGGTATGACTGGCATTGGACAGACATGTGTATGGACTTGTTACAAAGAAAATGAAGACAATATTGATAATAACAGTACATGATAATTATATCATGATTACCTTTTATTTGTCAAGTCAATATTTAATAACAGTGTAATATGTACATGGCACTGGATTAAATTGGGGAAATAATGATAGTTTTCAAGTCTGTTATAATCCAGCTTTGTCATTTGGTGCCTTCAAACTAGATTATGGTTGAATTACCTAGTGTATCCAGCTCTGATTGTTGTAGAGGTTTTGTGGTTTCAACGAATTCATCTCGGCTCTTCATGATCCTTGTAGTAAGTACATCATACTACAGCCAAGCCCGTTTCTTATTCCTGCTTCTCTCTTAACCAGAAACCAAGCTAATACTATCACCTTTATCCTCTATTCCCAGCCCACATCTTCATCTTCAAGTTCTTCACAAAGTCTTTTTCTTTCTTCAGCCTGTCGTAGTTTTCTCATGACTAAACTTTCATAGTCTCTAGGGTCTCTTGTGATAGAAGATGTTGCCTTAAAATAAGCATGAAGCATATTTCTTCAGGTTTATATGGGCAGAAAGTGGTGAATTTGGTTGTCTCATGAGAACTTGTATTACCATGTTTGGTGTATGGTATTTTGCTGAAAGTTTCTCAGGTTTAAAACCAGAGTCAACATCTGAAGAAGATCCCTCCAACCAGGATAGTTTAAGAGGGTTTGCAGGATTGCCCTTTTCGTTTTCGATAGCCATTTCCTGGAACCAAAAAGAGGTGGAGAACAAGGGTGATGTTCACCGCTGTAGTGCAATACCATATTAATTTAGTAGTTTTGAAGATCCTGCTCCACTCACAGCTGATTTTAAATCTTTGAACTCAATGATTGCACTTCCTCTCTTTGACGACACCACAATATTCTTAATATTACCATGCTAGGAAACAAGTAAATATGGTTCATCTCTGCTTGTTCACGAGACAATTGTACCATGTACTAAATTAAACAACCTTTATAAATACTGATTGAAGAAGCTCTTGGGAGTATCCCCCATTTGTGGGGTCATTCTTTTGACACTTCCAACGGATCTACAAAAGATAAAAAACTACCAAGTTTGATGTTATCCTAATTTGGACTTTAATGATTGGTATACTAGGTTTAGCCACCTTTATAAGTTTTGGTGTCAAATCTTCGCCAGTATTCAAAGATGATTTAGTTTTCTCCCTTTCCTCTTCAATTTGTTGTTTCATTAATTCTTGTTCTTTTTGTAACATTTTAAGTCCTTCCTCTCGTAGCCGTTCAATCTATAGTGGTATAGAGGTGAAGCATATCTAGTATTAAAAATTGAGAAACATGCGTAGGAATTCTCTTGGGAAAGTTGTAGGCAATCTATGAACTAGCATTCTTTCAAGGGCCTGTGAGAGTAAAGTTGAACAACTGTTTCATCATACTTCTTGCTCTAAATTCTTCACAAGAACCTCCTCTTTTATATAATCATCCTGACTCGACTTTTCTCTCTGTTCTAGATCTGGAAATTATAAGAAACGTTATGATGTAGCAAATCATCTTTAATCAACTTCTTTCCTAACTCATAACATATGAAAAAGAAAAATGATTTATACAAAAACCTTCTTTGAAACGCTTTCTCTTGCTGTCATAAGCCTGGACTCTCAATCGAGCTCTTTCTTTTGCTCTTAATGTTGCATCATATGCTGCCTGTTGTTTCAATGCAGTGATAACTTTAAACCAATATATTTAACTGGCTTGCATATTTCATTTGACGAATATTACCTTCGCTTTAGGATTTCCAATTACTTCAAAAGCCTTGCTTAATTTGTGAAACAACTCCGCTTTTAAAAATCAAGAAAGATCAGGTTACCATTATTGCCGTATGTATAACTGTAGTTGTTGTAATTTCTTAGGATGAATTTACTGGGTGTTGTAGGGTAAAATTATCCAGAGTGACAATCCAATTTTAGGAAATTATTGTGAGGAAATTAGTATCCAATTTTAATTATTTCAGCATAGTTGAAAGTGGTAAAATATTTCTTTGTGTGTGTGGTCAACAATGACCAATTTATATATAGAAAAAGACGAAAATGATGATAATGTGAAAATGATGATAATCATTACCAAATGGAAACCAGGGACTCAGACAAATAAGCAGCATTATATATTACAATATGTCACCTTAACTACCTGCGTTTGGGTTATCTGGGTTTTTATCTGGGTGACACTTTAACGCTTTCTTTCTGTAGGCTTTTGTGATCTAAATACGAAACTATTTTATTATTAAATACACATATGTCGACGATGTCGTACGAAATATATTGGATCACAAACAGATAACCGCCACATAAAAGCAAAAAATACAACGTTGTAATACGATATTATGTTTCTTTAAAAACATTTTTATACCTCTTTTTCCGTGGAGTGTCTTTCCACTCCTAGAAGTTCGTAATAAGTTTTCTCACCAGCCGTTTCACTGGCGGCCATAATCACTTTCCAAGCAAGCAAGATTTTGGCACGTTTTATTTTTATTACATCAAGTTTCCAGCAAAACATGGAGGAAAAATTGTAAATATTTTTGTTCTTTTGTTTATAAGAAAAATAATCGTCAAAATGGCGATGGATCCGTTGTTTTTAGCTCTGAGTTTCTTTCGGAGGAGAAAGTTTGAAGAGTGCTCTGAAATATGTACACAGTTGTTGAAGAAAAATCCTTACGATCAAGTAAGAGTTGAAATCGTTTACAGGAGGAAATGAAGTTGTCAAGTGTAAACATAAATCGTTGCCATAGGCTTCTTTCTGCTAAGGTTTTCCTGGCGCGATAAAGATGGATGATAAACAGCTTCCTTTATACTTATTATGATGCATAATACCCGAGTGAATTCCATATAACCTGGATGGACAGGCACTGTAGTCTGTACTGAGCATACTCACACCTAACCCTTGAGAATGTTGTAAATAAGACGTCATAGGCTTTGTAGATTTGTTGAGCTGGATCTATATAAATACACCAAGAGAAAACCTAGCCAGCTGATTGTAGTTAACTACGTCTAAATCAAAAAAGCAAATCAAGGTTTCTTCATTTAGGCAGCATGGTGTTTGAAGACTCGTGCATTGACTGAACAAGTTTATGTTGATGAAATAGAGGTTGATGAAGAAGGCATTGCTGAGGTGTTGATGGATGATAACTCAATGGCTCAATTGCCAAGTTCGTTATCTTTAGTTCTTGACTAAATTTGACTATATTTCATGTAAAGTCTGTGAATTGATTGTCTTCTGTAAACCACAGAGACCTAGCTGCCTCAGACCTGTTCATTCATCTTTGTAATAGGAATAATCATTATTCTCTAGGACCTGGGACTTCTCTAAAGAAACCAGGAACAGGAATTGGGGCTCCCACTCCAGGTGTCAGGTATATATAGTTCAGTAGCAGATATTAATCGCAAGTTGAAAACATTTGGTAACCATGATGATATTTTGTTAGACCCATGTCCCAGTCAGGTCGTCCCCTCAGTGGATTTGTTCGACCAGGCACACAAAGCGCCCGTCCTGGTACGATGGAACAGGCCCTTCGCTCATCAAGGACGGCCGGTACGGCTAGGTAAGGATACTTTCTCTTCAATTCTAAACATTCTGTACAGTCTTGTAGTGAGAGCTGTATTTTCTTGACATCCAGGTACCTTACTACCCGTATAGACAATTCCATGTACATCTAAATTAGTTGGAAAAACGAAAGAACTTGCTAACCAATAAATAACCCATATTTCATGAGGATTATTTTTTTATATTTCTTCTCAAAATCTATTCTCATCACCCCAGACCTGTGACAAGTGCTTCTGGTCGATTTGTCCGCCTGGGAACGGTAAGTTTATTCCGATTTTGACTTGAAAATTGATCAAAGTGTGGTTCATATCATTTTTACCTTTTTAAACCAGAACGAATGCTTGTGTTTCAGGCGTCGATGTTATCTCAGCCGGATGGTCCGTTCATAAATGTACCAAAACTAAACTTAGCGAAATATGCGCAACGACAGAATCTTGCCAAGGTAATTCACGCAGATCTTGCCAAGACGACCAATCGTCTATCAACTTATCACCTCTCGATGGTTCATTCTATAAATCTTTGCTGTTATATGTCTTTTTCATGTAACACCGTTGTTCGTCTCCATCTTTATTCACGACAACTTCCCTTCACGTTTTAGTCGCTATTTGAATACATATTCCACCAGGAAAATGACGTTCGTAACGTAAGATATTCTTATTTTAACGTTCTTCAGTTCACAAGCAGTTTCCTTTGGAAATACATGTGAATTTGTTCACCTTTTTACCACCTAAGGCTTTAGAGTTGGCTGCGCGGGCAACGGAAGCCTGCAATTTCAAGGATTGGTGGTGGAAAGTGCAGCTTGCGAAATGTTACTACAGGTATAATGCCTTTTGTAAGGTTTTGGTTCCAAGTTTTAACAAGGGGTGTTTCGTTTTTACCACTCGTTTATATGACATGTTTCTGGTCTGCAGCCTTTCTGCTTTCTAAATTCTTAGATTAGGAATGTTTCGAGATTCGGAGAAACAATTGAAATCTTCTTTACGAGACCAGGAGATGGTGGACACATATCTTTACCTGGCTAAGGTTTACGTTCGCCTGGATCAACCACTAACTGCTATCGATGTCTTGAAAAAGGTAGCCACAATACTGAAATTGTGTTTCTTGAAAAGCTCACAAAACGTTCGCCGTGTTTGTGAGTTCAACAATTCATTGCTTTTTAGGGCATTGAGAAGTTCGTAGGAGAAACTGCGCTGCTGACGGGCATAGCGAGAATTCACGAGGTATTTTCAAAGATCTATAAACAAAGAAGACAAATAAAGCACTAAAATGCGTCTCAAACTTCCTTATTTTACTCTTAAGGCATTGAACAACATGTCAGACGCCGTGCAGGTATACACGAGTGTTTTACATTACGACAACACTCATGTTGAGGCCATCGCTTGCATAGCAACACAACATTTCTACACCGACCAACCAGAAATTGCTTTGAGATATTTCAGGTAAACTTTATACACATGCATGCACTGAAAAGCGACCTGTCTGTTCTGAACATGTTCTTGACGGAGTGAAAGGGACGATTACTCTGTCAAAGTTCAAATAAAGTTCTCTTTTTATACATAGACGTCTTCTTCAAATGGGAGTCTACAACACAGAACTTTTTAATAATCTTGGATTATGCTGTTTTTACGCTCAACAATACGATATGGCTTTGAACTGCTTTGAACGGGCATTGAGTCTAGCATCAGACGAAAATATGGCAGATGTTTGGTATAACATTGGCCAAGTGGCACTGGTAAGAATACTATAGGATCTCACCATATTGATGAGTTAACTATGGAGCTCTGGGTTCATGAGTAAGATAAAAATTTTACCTGCTTTCTCTCGTAGCGTATCGGTGACTTGGGGATGTCGTATCAATGTTTTCGTCTGGCCTTGGCGTCCGACAATAATCACGCGGAATCTTACAACAACCTCGGAGTCCTTGAGTTTAGAAAGGGCAATATTGACCAGGCGAAAGTCTTCCTCCAAACAGCGCAGAATTTAGCATCTTTGATGTACGAACCGAACTTCAACTATGCATTATTGTCACAACAGGTAAGTGGAGAATAACAAACGAAATTACTCGTTCATTGTGAGGTATGACTGCTCTAAACACTCCCCAAGTGATTGTTCTTCCATCGTCATCGACCACTAAAATGAGGTTTGCTATCATTCGGGCAAACCTGATATAGAAATCTGGTGAAAATATTATAGGTTAAGGATATGTAAGTACTGTAGTTGCATGGTCATTGAAAATCTTATGTACCTATTTACTTAAAGGTGGGCGATCTTCAGAGCAGTTTTTCTGCTGTCAACAAATCACTAGAAGCATTTCCGGAACATTGGGACAGCAAAGACCTGTTACGACAACTGAGACTGGAATTAGCAGCGTTGTAAATAATAGAGCAGAATAACAGTTTGCATGTGAATTCATTCAAACTTACAATTATCATGTTCAATGTAGTGATTTGTGTAAATAAATAAAAACATCTTATTCAAACTATATGGCTGTTATTTATATCCATATTTATCCTCAATAATCCACACCTCTCTGTTCTGATGACGAAAACACAAAACTGTTTCATGTTTCATTTTTTATTACACATTTTGTCTATTTTACAAAAATAAGGCAAACACTATACACATCTTCTAAACTCAATTTAATTCTATAATAACTCAATGTTCTACTTTACAGAGCCTGCTCTGATAAGGTCATAATATAAACTAAATTCAACATTTGCACGCCTTCAAACTCCACACTACAATAAAGCGAATATTAATTTATTTATTATATTCACATCATTAATATAAGGAATCGAGTAAGGACTAAACTGAAATGCGTCAGTTCGTAAGCGACCGTACACAAAACACAAATTAAATGGTAGTGTATCATGGTATTTGACCTTGCTGCGTTATTGGGTTAAATATTGTTGGGTTTTGTTGCTTGTTTTGATGAAGTGCGCATGCGGCCCGACATCCAACATGGCCACCTGACTACCAAAATATATTAGGTTTCCAAGCATTTAAATTTATAACTTTCCGAAGTTTGTAAACGTCATTTCAAAATCATTTTAAAACGAGTTTTTATGTTCACGAACAACTGTATTCGATTCCTTTTGCTAGCGTATTTAAATAAAACAAGAACTTTAAAAACATTTTTTTCTTAATTTAAACATGATGCCTGAATTTAGTCTAACGAATGCGTGCTTGTAATATTTATACAGAATTAATAGTTTTAATATATATTTTACCATACGACCAGCATATTGGTAAAACACTTGCGATAAAATCATATATAATATAGGGCTTATATGAAAGAAAGGCAACTTTACATAAGATCTTTGTTGTAGGACACAGAAACGCATGATCAGATGTAATTTGATCATGAAACACCTGATACCGAACTTGTACCAAATATTCACTTGTATTTCATGTTTGCATCGCATATTACTCGCATCATATAAGACTATAGTCTTTAAAAATATATATATTTAAAATAATTTAAAAAGGATTTTGTGTTTATGCCTGGCGATCTTAGTTAAAGTTGCCTTGCTTTGTAACTTATTCAACTTATGCTCTACGTATAAACTCTAGTGTTCTGCGCCGTTGTCTCATATGGTAAGCGGCGTATCGCTATCTGAAGCTAATCGTGAGTGTGAGTACAAACCCTTTGAGTCCCGATATGGCTTAAAACGTCGTAACCTAGAAGATGATATGATTGATGAAATAAGTTAAAAAGGCAAAGTACTCTACTCTACTAGATCCCGACGATCACACAAGTACTGTAATTTCAAGACCTATTCCCCTGACCTACTGAACTCACCTTGCATGGACGCATCTTTTTGAGCTGCCTTCAGGTGGGGGTCTAGGCTGGTTCAATTCACTGCAATTATCCTTTTCCAACCCCTTCACCTCTTCATATCCTGTTTCATCCCGTAGATCCCCCATGGCACTTTCCGAGAAAGATGCTCTACGCTCTAAAATATGACCACGCTGTGTTTTAGCCTCTTCGGAGCTTTCATTGGGTTTTTCATTCTTGAAGTTGATTTCATCATTCAGGGAGGTCTCGGGGAATGATTTTGTACTATCGCTGTTCTTTGAACCACCGCTGTACAAATTCATTTGGTTAATGGATTCACTGCTGTTAGAGTTACTCAACCCTCGATGCTTTTCAAGTTCCTCTGCAACGAGTACATCTGTATCTTTATCTTGATCTGATGAAACGGCTTTATTCTCACTTTCCTTCTTGCTATCACCTTCATTGTCTGAACTAATAAACTCTAAACCATTTACTTGCTGTATTCCAGCCACCATTTCCGGATCCGTCTTTTCATTCAGCTCTTTATCTTTTGCGACAGATATAACAGGCATATCACCAAGTGTCCCTTCATGAACAACATTACTCAAACCTTTTTTACCATCAAGTGTCCCATCTTGTACATCATTACACGTATTACTCCGTGAACACCCTAGGACGTCCTTATCGAGTGTTTCCATCTCTATATTCCTATCCAAAACTTCGCAATTATGAGGTTGGTAATTCTCCTGTATCTTATCGTCAATATTTTCTATTTCGTTCATATCGTGGTCCAGCCGCGTTTCTTCTTGAGTTCTTTCAATATCTCCATTATTTCTCCCCTCATCTTCCAATAAATATAATTCTTTACTATTTACTACCTCCTCGTTATTTCCCAGTATATCGTTTCCCAGTATTACGACATTCATCCCTCCAGTTTCCAGCTGATCTTCAGCTCTGTGCATAACCCTGTCTGTTAACCTCGTGTTTACATTATCCTCCTGTTCTGACGTCACTCTCCTCTCTGTGCTTCCACAAGTGTCTGGTCGCTGCGACAGTCCAGTCACAGTTTCCTCGTGGCTGATTTTAAGATCAATGGATTTCGTATCATTTTCGGGCTCAGGAGAAATCTCTCGTATTCTAGCACTAACATTGCTTTGTCCAAAGTGGTGTTGATGATTTTGATCTTGGATACCATCATAATATTCCTGTTGTTCATGGTTCATATTTTGTTCTCTCAAATCAACCAAGCCTTGGTTTGATTTGTCCGCACCAGCTGAACCTTCGTTGGTAGTATTTTCTTCGATGTCCGTCACACCACCCTCGTCTGTTTCACGAACCATCGTTTTCTTATCTCTCTCCAGACCTTTGTCACTTCTCTCTGTCGCACGGAGCAGAGCAGACTGCAGACTTGGTAATATCAGCCCCTCTATCATCGGCAAATCTTTCTTCAATTTTGACATCAAACTCGGATTTGTCTTCCCGACTCCCTCGCTTTCCATAATAACCGGAACTTGTCCAAATGCTGCCGAAATGTTCGATATGGCCAACTTCTCCAACTGCTCAGCAGCAGCGACATCATCAGACGAGGAACGAGATTCCTCCCAATCTGGAGCGAGCCCAGCAAGACTGTCCCTGCTCGTCGCCCGAACGCCGACCGTGCATTCACGAAGCGCTGGCGAAGTTTCTGCTGATGAAGTTGTTGTTAAAAGATTCTCTGGAGTAAGCGCATTATTAGAGCCTTCAGCTTGATGCTTGTTAGATGAAGGAACTAACTCGTTCATTTCCTCGATTTCCGTTAAATTGGCTTCGTGAACTTTTTCAAGGTGGCTTCTCAAAGTAATGCTTTCAAGCGGACATACTTTATCATCAGGGGTGACGGTATTATCATAAGAACTCAATCTTCGTAACTTGTTTCCCAGCTGATCCTTATTGTAGTCAGCTGCATCAACAATTCCAAAAACATTATCATCCTGATCAGCACATTTCATTTCGTCATCAACATGATGGTAAATCACCTGTAAACCAGCTGTATTACCACCATCATCATGGTATAGAACGTAATCACCAGCATCCATACCTTCAGCTTTTCCTGGGGAACTTTGAGCTTCAACCTCCTCTCCTTTCTTCTCTTCCCCCCCGTCTTCAACGTCAGCGTTATCATCGACATCATAGTAGTCCACCATACGCAGGGGGGTGCCATATGCTGGATCATAGCTAGGAAGTGGATACCCCCACCCGTACGCGTCATCTTCCGCCTCATTTCCACGATCTTCCGTCATAACCACGCCCAAAATTCCCTCTCCCTCGTCTTCGTACAAATCAGAGAGCTTAGGAATCGCAAACATTCCCTCGCCAGCTCTGGATACCGTAGGATTATAATTCTGTGGCTCGTCCGAGCTACCCCAAAGCGCTGGAATTGAGTTGATGTCGTACGATGCTAACAAACCTGGTGAAAAAACACTCTTCGCTGGTTCCCTCGCATCGTGATCGTCCCCATTAAACGGTTCCTCTTCCATGGGACTTTTCAATCCCGTCCATCTCTCTTTGTTGGCAAAAATCTCGTCAGAATCGCGATGATCACAGGCCAGAATCTCACCCTTTAGCGGTTGATCTTGGGTTGGAACATTGAACGAATAACGCGGGCTAGTGATTTCATGTCGATGAAACAACGCCATCTCTTCAGTGTAAACAACTAACTCTTCGACCACAAGTTGATTTATATTGTCATCATTTGTTAACGCGGGTAAAGTATTCACGGGATACTCTGCACAATCGTTGATATCTTTCGTGCTATGCTCCTCGCCCTGTGACGTGACTCTGATCTCGACGCCATCCTCCTGATGACGTGTTGACGTGAAGTCCTGGGATTCAGCCTGCGTGTGGTGGCCATGCTCAGCACTTCTCACAACAATCGCTTCCATCACTTCCTTGGTCGTTGCGCAACTGTTGCCATGGTCCTTGATATCCTAGACGAGTCAGATTGATGATATCAGACCAGAAACCACTATCACGACAGCACTATATCCATGTTTTCATCATATTTTTCAGGGGCCGGTTGTATCAAGTCCGTTTAGCTTTAACGGCGGTTAAGTTCAAAGCAAAACCGACTTGACTTGGGCTTGATACAACCTGCCCCAGGTAGTTAACGTATAAACACACAGTACCAATGATCAATGTCATACAAACCTTAGGAGAGGAGAGTGGATTATCGTTGGTATTTTTCTTAGGCGAGGCGAGATTTTCATCACTGATCTTCTTCGGTGACTCAATCACTTCTTTATATTCCATTATTAAGTCTTTGCCTTTGGGGATTATTTCAACGTTACGGTCTTTTAAAGAGAAGAAGACGTGTTTAATATTGAAATATGAAACAAAGATATGAAATGAGAAACACTAGTTACATTACCTTCATCTTTGTTGAGTTTATTCTGCTGTAAAACATGATCTTGTTTCTTTTTCTCGTTCTTATCATCACCTGAACTCTCCGTTCCACCATCTGAATGTTGAATTTTGTTCTCAGGTGAAGAGCGATATTGCGGAGGAGTTGTGCTGGTTGTGGTAGTTGCTGTGGATAAATCAGTTGTAGTCTTCTCCCAGTCAAACAAATCATCATTTTTAACCCCTTCTCTCTCCATTGATTTCTCCAGTAGTTCAAAAATAAACTAAAGTACAGTACAAGAAGACGTTCAGAGAGATGAATTTGTACACATGTATGTATTCAGAGAGACTCATGTATGCACTGTAAGAATATGCATGGAGAATGATGGCTCACCTGATAATTGGGTTTGTCTGAATAGCCAAGACTTTTGATATGATTTAAAATGTTGTTGAATTCCTTCGGCATGCGTTTCAGCAACAGCGAGTGATCATAATTCTCTTTCATCTTTCCAACCTTTTCCTAAAATCACATATTCAAAGAATTAGGAACCCTATTTCATGTTTTTGTCCAATCCTCAAGGAGAATGTTATCAGTCTCAAACCTTTTCTTTGATCTTCCTCCATGGAAGGTGGCCATTACAGAACTCCACCATCATGTAGAAGAATGACCACAGATCATCATGGCGACCCATTTCCTGAAAGAAAGCAAATTCATCAAATTATTATAAAATCATGCTTTCCAGGAGATTATAGAAAGAGCAAAGCAGAATGAGCTTGGAGCTTTCTCTTCTTAAAACTAACCTTATTCTTATGTGCATTGATTGATGCATAGCGAACAGTTCCTCTGAAACCAGCACTGCTTCTTGCCTAGGCAAATAAAAGATTATTACTTGCATTATTACTTGCATAAACCACTCTTGTTTATGCATGGCAATGCATGAAAGACAAATGCAATAAAATCTAAACTTACAGGTCTAACTTCTCCTGTTGACTTTGTATATTGTCTGCATAGTCCAAAGTCCAGCATATAACAGACACGACTATTCACGTCAACATCACCCATTGCAAAATTTGACTGAAAGTCAAAGAGAAACAAGCACATTAAGCTCTCAATTTAGTGGACAATGATTAATGGATCAATGGATTAATGAATTTAATTGGTTTTATTTGTTGATATAGACTCACAGGTTTTATGTCTCTGTGAAGGAAACCAGCCGCATGTATTGCCTCGATAGATTGCAAAATTTGATGAGCCAAACGCAGCAACGTGCTCGACGAAAAGACGCCATGAGGTTGTTCCCGTCTTAGTTGTGCAAGATTATTGCCTTGTAGTGACATCACTATGTAATTGTAGTTGTCATTCCTCCCACAGCCAAAAAATTTGCAGATCGTAGAACAACCTTAATTAAGAACAGAATAATTGCTGAGTATATGGCTAGGTTTGGATAGATACATGCCTAAATGCCTATGAATATAAACATATATTACACAGAGACAATAGCAAAGCAGAGATAAAGCTAACAATTTGTATCATCATAATAAACACCTTGAAGCTTTTTAAGCACAGCAACTTCCATTTTAAGAACTTGTTTTGGTTGTGAAGCGGACTCCAACTTGATTGCAACATTATCTTCGGTTTCCTGATCAATACCTTCATATATCTCTCCTGCAAAATATTAACACTGATTGGTTTTGGATATTGAAGATATTTACTCAGTTAAACAAAAAAAATCATCTCACCAAATCCACCTCCTCCTATTTTTCTTATCTGAAATATTTGAAAAAAGTTTGAGCCATTTAAAACATTGGTATTCGCAATAAAAAAGAAATGTGTGTAAAATTAACAAAATGAAAGTGAAACACAGTAATATACAACTGTAAAAGTACAAAGTTTTTAACTCAAATCGTTAGATTTTTCGAAGAATTGTCAGCAACCGGAAACAATTATGACGAACAGACGTGATCGAAGTTTATAAGATTGTATATCAAACGAAAAGTCTCCTTGTAGAATATATTTATAGAACGCTGAAAAAATAGAGATCTTTTTATAAATCCCTGTAAAAATAGCCTTAAAAATAAGGCAAAGATCTAAATTAATAAATGATTAAAGTAAGTTAAACAGAGAACACATTTTATCACCGGTTTGCTAGGGGCTTGATGGAGTGACAAGCGTACTTTAATATTCAATCCAAAACAGCTGAATCTCGCCTAACTAAAGCAATCTGACTGTTCCTTGGGTTAAACAGATATATATCCCATAATCATAGCAATTAAAAATATAGTAGATGTACTTTGATGCTACAGAACTAGACGTTTATACTAGGATGTTTCTTGAGGAAAAACGTAATCAAACTCAAATATTAATATACACCGATGTGACAACGTTTACTTACAACTTTCCATCGCTGTTTTATGAACTCTCCTGGGTTGAGTAAGTCCGTCATTATAGTGTTAAAGTCTCCATCTATTCTGACAAGAGGTTCTAAGCCTCTTTCAGTATTGTATAAATGAATAAAAAGGAAATTATTTCGACAATATCATTTCTTCATCGTCTTCCTCCATTCTCGCATATTTTTTGTGTGACAATGACTCGGCTGTGTTTCCACTGACGACATGACACTTCATGCAATTTCCCGCACTAACATCGGCTCATTGAACTTAGAGGAAATGGAACGCTAGCTTCGAGGTGTAGCCCCCCCCCCTGCGAGAGCGAAGCCCGACGTTTCCAAATATTGCTAAATATATAGTGTTGTGCAGAGAGGAACCCCTACCCGCCCGCCTTCTTGCAAATATCTTGTATCTTTAACAGTAATACGTACATAGTAAATGACTCAAAGAACTGTCGCAGATATTTACGGGCTGATTAGAATCGTGACAATACAAAAGTTTTCAAATCGTCTGACTATCAATGTAAGACATCATCAAATCAGTCAACAGGAGACTGTCGACAGAGCAAGATTGGCCTAGCACGCAAAAATTCTCTCAAGCTTGACTGTTAAAAATATCGTTAAAACAATTCCAACAAAAACATTTTTTTCAAAATCAATCTAAAGTTAAAACATTTTAAATATATACTTTCACATTCTGGTATTTTTAAACAACATATCTGACAGGACGTTCTCTTCATCTCACCACTGCAAGGAATGGAAGTGATTGAATACATACGATCTCTATATATTGGAACATCTAACTGTGTTTTATTGATTTTAACATGGTCATAGTTTTCATTCATAATATATATTGTTTGCGAATAAATTACTATATAGCATCACTGTTGAATATCACTGGGGAATATCAGCGTGTAATATATAAAGCTATCTACTGTAATTGAAATTGCGGTAACGTCATCTGTGTCCTGGCGTAACCAGTAGTTGTTAACAGCCTCAACATCAGAACTCCCGGAAACTATCCTCGTAAGAGGTGATATTTTTAAGTAAAAATCTATTTTCATTGTACCAAATCAACGTGCGTTGCCTCAATCGGCGAAGAGGGAGGCGTAAAATTCGGGGAAGGTCATTTTGCGTCGACATTTGCGAATGATATCTTGGATTTTCAGCTTTCTGTAGACATGCGGTGGGCAGTAGCTACAGGAAGGAACAAATAATTAGCAAATCGCTGGCATTTTACATGGACAATTAGCAATGATAATTGACTGACTATTAGTACTACAAATAGACCTTTCTCATAATGACGTCAAACGCGGAAAGCCTGATGTTACACGAAGTTTGATTGGCTCGTTTTGTGTAGCCAATCAAAATTGCTATAACATCAGGCTTTGATTTCAGTTCTACTCCAAAACAGTTTCAACAAAAGAGCTTGGTCACACAAAAACCACAGATGTAAATGAGTTCTACTGAGCTTCTAAGAAGAACAGTTTATAACTATTGGGCCAATTCCACTGCAATCACTTACTTGTCGATGTCCAAACGGCGCCTGCGCCCAATATTGACAGCGGTATGTCTAACCATTGCACCCAACGATCGCTGGCTCACTACCATACCGTCCACCAAAGGGCCAGCCATTGGAGACCTGGAACGAGATAATATATCAAGACTAACTAATAGACCTTAATCCGCTATATAGCATGTTTCCACTCACCTGATAGTACATCTCGTATGTATACGAAACAAGCCATTATGCAGAGGTGCAATAAAGATCATCGCTGTTTCTTTCTCCACCGGTTTTCCACTTGGACTCGCCACCATTGTCGTTTCCTTGTTAATTCCTAACTCGTTTAAAATTTCCGTACAAGGAAACAATTCGTGATCGAGGAATCGTTCCAACCAGATAACAAGAATATTGATCTCTGAAAATGTTGAATGTGTGTGCAGTTTTGAGAGATGACGTAGATCTAGGCCCGTGTCAGCGGTGTTACGACTGAGACTAAGACCGCGTGTCTCTGGCAGGGTATCAGACAGGAGACTGGAGGAACTGCTACTTGCACTAGGAAGATTGGTTATGCTCTGTGGTCGTTTCATGGCGAATTGTTTTCTTTTTGTCCTCGGAGTAGTCGTGCGAGATTTCTTTCGTTTCTTGGCCACGCGCGGAAACAACGACGGAACAATGAACGCAATTTCTGTGCAAGTGTCTGCATGATACATGATACGATGACATTCGCCTATTATACCATCTCTTGAATCTAGAGAAATAAACAAAACTTTGCTTCATCTTTAAGGCATAATATCGAAGCATTTCATTTCCTTTTGCAATACTGAATACACATGATAAAACCAACCATACCTTCGGAATCACGTGATCCATGTTGACTGTCAGAGCATTGTTCCTCGTGTACAGCGGTCAACGATTCATTTCCATCGCATTCAGAAGATGACCTGGTTGAGAGATTGCTACTCGGGTTGGTTCCTTCGTGGAAAACCTGGTTCTTTAAATGACTCAGCTTCCAGCTAGAGTTTGGGTTACCAGTCCAACCAGGGTGTTCCTGTACCTCGACAGGCCAACCCAAGGATTGTAAAAACTCGTAGAACATATCTTTATATTCGCAATGTTTGATCTAAAAATAGAATTTGAACGATATACATTTGAATGAAGAAGAATGAATGTAGGAAAACAAGTTATTTTCACAATAGTATTCAAATATGATCTGCAAATATATCAGTTGAATTGTCAGAAAGTAAATTTGTCAGAATGTGAAAAAGTCTGTAACAAAGGCAGTCAGGTGTTAGTGACAGAATTGGCCAACCAGAATCGGGGATTTGAGAGTTGTTAGGCTGCAGATGTATTTTTCACAAACCTCATTTGTTAATATTTGTCTTGCTTCGTGCTGACTTCGCTTCACGTAAAGCACATAAGCTGTATCAAAGCATCTCGTTGGCAAATGATCCAACTCTCTTAGCAACTCATGGAACGAGTCATCCGATGAATTGAGCGGCGATAATTGGGAGGTCTGGGCGCTGGTATCCATCGAGCGGACTTTTTCGAATTCGTCTGGTTTGAGGAGACCCAGACGCGCCAAAATCATACGACAGGCGCTGAACTCAGTCACTGACCTGAAGATCAGGGAATATTGCGAGTCGTTGCACAAGAAAGTGAGCTTCCGCTATGCGGCATTAGATCGATCGAATATCGGAGATTTGTCATCCGGTGAAGCAAGATTCCTACCTGGGTGGTTTAATTTCTGTCATTGGACAAGGAAAAATGGATTCCCCCATTTCTTTTTCAATAATTTCCTGAGCCTTACCCTCCTCGTCTCTCTGTCAAAGATAAAGAAATATCAGTCCAGATCACACCCCTATAACAAGTTGGGAAAAAAACGAAGTTCATTCAACCTGTTCGTTGATCAAATTTTGGATGAAATCTTTCTCTTGCGTTAGTCTCTCGCATGGGATGTTTTCAACAGGAGGAATACTCAAGATCCTGCCAAAAAGGTAAAGAAAATCTTTAAAAAAGACCATTAACTTCACCATTTACAGTAGAGTCTCTTTTCTCCTGAGGTATGGTAAGATGAGATGAACCTTGACAAGAGATAAATTACTCACGCTTTTGTTAAAGCAACTGTTTCCACATCGGCTGGAAAATGTTTACGAATGCACTGTTGTTGTAATGGCATATCAAGATTAGGATCTGGTCGCTTTGGTCCATCACTTTGACACACGCCCAACGTTTCCTGAAGAAAACAAAATGGTTGGAATCAATCAACTACTGGTTGTACAAGCAAGGAAGATTGTGGCATCGTACGAACCTTTTTTGATTCAGGGATCTGTCGCAATTCCACTGTCCATGATGTTCTTCCCGTAGGACCTCGTAACAGGATTGTTGCAGTCGGGGACAGACCTGCAGAGATGAGGAATTAAAATGGAATAAGAAACGTCGAAATATAGTTTGAAATGTAGGTATAACCCATCAAACTTCTATCTAAAACTACATATTTCGAATCAATTCTGATTTATCTTCAGCAGTGATGCAAGAATATATATTCTTTTAAAAATTGAAGACATTGAATATGCATGCACTCTTTATTATATTCCGAATAACGTTTATTCTAGCAAAAACAAAACACTCTATAATCATCGTGGATGAACGATGAGTATAATGCAAGTTCTCACGTGAACCAGAAACGACTGAAGGGAAATTCAAGACAGACATGCATTACCATCATGAGTTTGGACAGATTCCTGAAGTATGGCAACAATAATGCTATCATCAATCACAAAATATTGGAATCGTTTCGTCTAGAAAATACATCAGTAAATACAGTGAGGATTGCATTGGATAAATTTCCAGCAGTCGAGATCGTTTTAAATGAATTATCTCTCATTAAGCTGATACGGGGTACCTGTTCCTCCTCACTTAGGAATTCCATCAATATTTCTTCATCAAGAAGAGATGAAGACGACGCTGGACCACAAGGAGAAGGAAATGAACCAACGTACTCCATGATGCTGCTAAGAACTCCTTCAGCGGCCTCTCGTACCCGAAACGAGGCAGGTTTTAATGATTTATCTCCTTTAGGTTGACTTTTCATCACCTCTGCTGTCGCTTCTTGACTCTCGCTTGCCTAACACCAAAGATATTTACACTTTTTAAAGACTACATGATGAAGATGAAACTGGAAGATGAGTGGACATACCTTGGACTTGGTTCCTGAGATTCCTAACTCGACAACCTCAAGAATTGCCTGAAGACTTTTCTAAAATGGATGAAAAGATAGTTGTGAGTAACCACAACATAATGACGTCATGTTGAAGAATGACATCATTATGGTGACATAATCATTGATGATGTCATACACGTATGAGCACCTGATCGTCCAGTAGCCAAGGATGTGAAGCAATCCAGGTGAGCAAACAGTTGAAAGCAGCGACCATCATGGAATGAAGATCGCGTGAATGAAACGGAGCTGGTTGTTTGGCCTGGTATTCAACATAGTCACAAAGCCACTTGATGGTTCGCTGACATTCTTGCTTGTCTAAACACATTTATGGGGTCTCAGGCTTTGAATAAGAAGCTAATCATTTCTGTAGTTGGAGATGAATAGAATCTGTTCTCCATGTAGAAAAACTCTGGAATTACTTACTAATATTCTTGATGTTCATCTCCGCCATTGCTGTCATCAGTTCAAAAGCAGAAAGAGTGACATGAAAATCAGTCTTCCACTTACTACCAAAGATCAACTTCTGGTTCACAAGGTGAGTGAGGTGAGTGAACAAGGAACTCGCTGAAGAACCACCTTAATGCAATACCATCCAAGATTAGTAAAACCTTATGCTTTATACCAATGGAAACTCAGGAAGTCCATATTTTTACCCTCTATCTATTTAAATTCTCAAAAACATTTGCACTGTTTTCAAGGATATTAGCTTTGAAATGTTGGATTATTACTTGAATTATTGTCTCAACACTTACGCAAATGAGAGTGATAATCAGCACTGGTATTGTTTGTTGTATCTTCAACCTCGTTCTGACTCACATCTTCCACCAACTTTCCTCCTACTTCAGAGCAATTGCTATCCTGAGTTTCCAGTGAGAATGCCTTATGCAGTGTATTTGGTCCTGGTGATTGTGCAAGTCTTTCTTTCCCCTCCTCGACCAGAGCACTGTCTTGGACAAATAACATCACACCTAAAAATACAGGAGTTAGTGATCTTCTTCACATTTAAATCCCACAAAAATGCATCGTCAGGAATGTACCTCCAAGCAAGAGCTGAGTATTGTGTGAGTCAACTTCATTCTCCAAAGCACGAACTAACAGTTTAATCAGTTTAGATTTCAGTGACAGAAATGTGACGTTTTCATTTCCCGATTTCTTGCTCCCTTTCTGGCTCATAGAAACATCTAAAAATATTGTAAATGTTTCTTTTTCAAAATTCATTCACAGGGTGATTCTCTGGTCACACACCTGACAATGTTATTCTATTTTGTTACATGTAAAATATGAAGCCTGAAGAAACGGCAATGTCACATGTGTGTGACCAGAGAATCACCCCACACCTTTATGCCTCTCATATGGTTTGTAATTGCAAATTACCTGCAATAGCCAGCTCTCCAAAATGATAAGGCAGACATAACATTGACAATAACAAATGTATTCCAGCTCTCTGAAGTTGAACCATAGGAACATCACACCTTCAAAGAGTGAAATAAAATGGACATACATTAAAGAGAAAGCACAGTGGATCTGGTGGTAAAAGATTAGACTTTCACTGACATGACAACCATATGAACAAGAGCAACTTACTCCATCGACATATCATTATGTCCAAGTACTTTCTCCAAGGCTGCAATCAAATGTGGTATCACTACATCCACTCCTGGTAAATTCACCCTCAGGAGATTTGTTGAATTTAATAAGATGCTTGATAACACATGACCTGAACAAGACTACAGGAAAAAAGATGCAGCGTGGTTTGAACACCTTGTTAACTCAAAAAAACACTGTTAATGATCTATCTCTAACCTTGTCATAGTTTAAGCCGGCTGCTAGAGAGAAATAAAATCTTGAGAGGTAAACTGGTAAAATAACACCAGATCTTTGACTGCAGAAGATTCGACAAAGGGCACCAAATGCTTCAGCTCGTCCTTGCTCAAACTCCCTGTATCCTTTGTTTCCTGTACTCTGGTTGCCATCATCTTCAAAACTGAAAAATACAAATCATAAATTAAGATGAAGCTAAAAAATTCAACACGACAATTTGAATGAGAAACTTGTCCCTGTTCATGCAATTCTTAACCCCTCATGATTGCCTTTCCTCCTTACTTACCTTTCATTATTCTCAACTAAACATTTCTCCCAAGTCCTGCAAAGCTTCATTTCCATGCTTCTGACATCCACATGTGCCAAGGTCGCTTGAAACAACCATGTACCAAGCAAATGCAGGACACTGTTTTCCAGTGGCATTGAAGTGTGTGTTTTTATTCCAACAGTTTGGCCAAAAAGATAATTTGATTGATTCTCCAATCTCCCAGGAAGCTTCCAATCTATGTCTCGTGTGATGTTAGCAAGATGATCAGTTGAGACAGCAGTTTGTACACGATAGGGTTTGCTTTCACTTTTTGAGCCTGGAATTGTTGAATTATCCGGAGAAATATGATTAAACATGACTGGTTTTTCACACAGGCACTTCTTCCCGAGCAAAGTATCAGCCAGTGTTGCAATTCCTTTCATAGCCGCGTAAAAGTTCTTCGGCAGAGAGTTTAGGCAGGAGTGTTCGGAGGGTTGATGAGTGTTTATACTGACCAGTGCATCTTCCTTGAACTTCTTTGTATCACTTATAATTTCTTTATCTGAGAGATCGACTGGATTACCCATGATATGGAGAAATCTAAACCAACTCTGAATTAAACATTTGTTTTCTAAACTTGTGGGAATTCTAATCTCGTGTTTCTTGTCATCTAATGGGTACAGCGGGAAACCGCTACCGTATTCAACCAACAACACTCTCCTCGTGATTGAGAATATTGTTTTATTCCACAATGCCACAAAATCAGTGTGATGTCTCCACGTGCAGCACATCTCTTGAAGCGTATTCCAGAGGGGTGGATCCGGAAACGCCCAAACGCAAGCTTGTAGCCAGACATCAAACAGTACCTCAATTAACAATCTACAAAGCTGTTCGGTCAAACCACCAGGAACAAAAGGTGGTGATAGCAACGAATCAGAAATCGATAACAGGAACTGTAACATGACTTTCAATGTAGTTTCGTTCATTTTGCAACATTCGTGAGAGATCCGTTGAACACCTTGCAGTACTTTCATACATAAGGAAGCTTGTAGTGCAAGTGTCCCTTCAGTTTTTGGTATAAACAAGTTCTTGAAATGTTGTAAAATTTTTTGACAATACGTGTTTGGGTCGTTCAGAATTACTTTGGGTACTTCTTGTTTTGGTTGAGACGATAAAGAACTAAGCCAGTCTAAGTATATTGAGACACAACCTTTTAATGTTTCACCTTCGGAAAGAGGAAGTCCCAAACCAAAGCAGATCACATGCATAGTCCATTTAATATCCTCGCCAGATTTAAATCGTTTCTTGCTGTTCTCTAAAGGATTATCAATTAAGTTCTTAACAACTACCTTAGCAACATCTCGTCCAACAGAGCTTGAATACACTGATAAAGCACTTCTTCCACTATCATCGTTTCTAATATCCTCGCTTAGAGACACCCACTCTGAATACATACTGCAGTGTATGTATTCCAAACAATCCTAGGTGCCAATGCTTAAACAAGTGTACAATATTTTAGTACTTTTATCCATCATCTGTAATACGATATAACACCAATTACGCGACAAACATTGTCCTTGAAAACATACTATTCATTACAGCTCCTTTCAAACACGCAGCTTTCGTTCATTTTTGATAATATCGGAAGAAATCCTGACATTCTCAAATGAACAACTCCGCCATCTTTCCATTTGCAAGCAAACAGGATTCCTCCTTCGCGCACGTCACGCGGTGTGTGGCGTTACACGCGAGATGTACACAGTGTGCGGGATCCTTGCGTGGAGCGAATAGGGAGTGAGATAAACACATTTACGATTGCAAAAAACATTCACATCTTTATTTTCTCTAGATATATAAATAAACATAAAGCCATTTTTGCATTTATTAATATAAATTTTAGAATTCTAACTGCTTTACATTTATCATCCCTAAAAATTGGAAGCAATCTTCCGTTAGTACGTCTCGTTTATTAAAGTTGAAAATAACGAGTCTTTATTTCTTCGTAATTCGTCAGGAGGGCCGAATTCTGCGACTTGAGCCTTGTCCATCACCAGCACACGATCACTGTCCAAGATTGTCTCAATTCTTGAAAACAAAATAGTTTAAAAAAAAGGGTAGGTTAAGACCAAGTTAGCTTCAATAATCAATGTTGTCGTAGGTGTATTGGTCACACCTCACCTGTGCGCTATAGTAAGAACAGTACTTGACTGAAATTCATCCCGTATCGCCTTTTGAATCAACTTATCCGTCTCAAAATCCACACTTGCAGTTGCCTCGTCAATACACAAAACCTAAAAACAAATATTTGATCCATGTTCAAAAGAAGGCAAATGACTTAATTGTTACACTCGAGATAATAACAACACTACCTTTGCTTTCGTCAACAAAGCTCTTGCAAGACATATCAATTGCCTTTGGCCACAAGAAAGATTACGACCGCGTTCACCCACATTTGCTTCGAGTCCCCCTGAAGAAGAATGTATTTCAGAAGAATATGAAACTTTACAAAAAGTTGTCTTTCGGTAGATTCGAAACGAGTCTCTTTCTTTTTCCGGCGAGGTGAAATTGTTATAAGACAATTGCGAAATGTTGAAATTGCGAAGTGAATTATTGAAACGCCCATCAGGAAGGCGAAAGATAGACTAAGAAAGTACCTAGTTCAAGAACTGCTTGTTTAAGGTAACAACAGTCAAGAACATGCCATAACTGAGCGTCGTCAAACTATAATAAAATGTGGATATATGGGTTATACCGAGTGGATTTTGGACCGCTAAATAATCATGAAAAGGGTGGGTGATCCTCTTACTTGATTTGTTGGGTCGACATTCTTCCTCACACTGTCACAAAAGAGGAACGGGTCTTGTGGAATAATCGCCAGAGATGACCTAAAAATAGCGATGACAAAGAGGAAATTGATGGACTAAATCACGCGAGACGCCCACGGAGAACACACGGAGAGATTGGCGTTACCTTAATCTTCCTAAATGTAATGTTGCAATATCAAGACCGTCTATTGTAACATGACCGCTTTGAAGGCTAACAATCTTAAAGAGAACAAGAAATAAACTGGACTTCCCAGATCCTGTTCGACCAACAATTCCAATCTAAAAAAACGAGAATACTCGTTACGCATATTTTCCTCTGTTAATGCTTGGGTTATGACAGTTGGAATTTTAAACAGGTCAATCCAAGGTTTTAAAGAATTTGTAACGAATACAAGGGTAAAATAAGCTCAGGATTAATCACTGCTTTCAATTCCCCCGCATATCCCAAACAAATTCTATAAAATTTACGATTTACCAGAGGAAAACTCCAACAGCGATTACAGAAAATTGCAGTCGCCAGTCGGATTCATCTATTCACGGAAATCGATTTATTTGGATAAACGTATAATTACTTTCTCATTTGGCAGAGTTTCAAACGTTACTTGACGTAATGCTGGCGGGAGACCTGGCCTAAAATAAAAGTTAAAAAATCAATGTATTGAGTACTCGCCCGACCTATTTTGGCACGACAAAGAACTCCCACCCAATATGGGCAATGAAGCATCGAGGTAAGAGACAATATTTATGAGGTTGTCATGGCCATAGAAGTAGAGGAACTTAACTCATCTAAATGATAAGAATTGATGAGGTTTCATATTTTGTTTCATCGGGGAAGCACCGAAATTTCGATTGATATTAAAAAAACACCTGAGTGAGTGCATTTTAGTAATTCTTAGAATTTAAATTAAAAATGTTAGCACAATATTTAGAATATTTAGTTGATGAAAAACAAGACGATGAAGCGTAATATCAAGTGTGGAAATGCCAAGTTGTTTTCAAGCATTCGTATTGAGTAGTAATTGATATATACAGAGGGATTTATAACCACTTAACGCAGAGTAAATTGCGCCCTCACATCCCCCTTTAATTACGTTGACTCCTAACTATATTTGAAATTCCTGTTTGGATCTCTCACAGTTTGGTTCCACTCAACACCACAAGTCATACATTGTCTCTACGAATTTACTGCTGTGTCTTCGGACGCCTGACAGACGACACACGATTTGGCGAAATTCAGAAAACTTGGCGGTGAATGATGCAAGCACGGAGATTTAATAAATTCATTTCATGGCATAATTGTCAACTTAACGACAATCTTAATCTACAGAATAATATATATATAAACTAATTTAAATGTCTAAGCATTACGTTGAACACAGGGGAGCGTAAACACGGAATTTTTAAAACCAGGCGTATAAAGGATTGTGATTAAGAATAGCTTAATTTGTGAAGGTAAACCCTTTGTGGTACACCCCTGCTGGTAGACACAAGACTGCCAAGAGAGTTCGTGAAAAGATCAATACTAGAAGTGCAAGCAAAAACATTAAAAGAGACAATAAGCAAAACAAAGAAATGCGGTGAGGTGCATACGTTGTTTTATGACGCGAAAGTCAATCATCTATCCATTGTGTGGAATATAAATAGCTAAGCAGGTCAGCTGGTGTCAACTGTCACTCAATCATGCATCAGTCATCTAGCACGCCTCTCTGAGGTCCTTGGACATCAACCAATCAAAAACGCCACCCTAGACAGGTCATGTGACACCCCTCCTAAGGGGAGTGCTGTAGGAGTCTTCAGTCAGATAACAATACAAATTCAATACAGAAACATTTCATAAAATAGCACGAGTTTCATTATGGAAGTAATACAAGATCTTCCTCTGCCAATGGCTGAGGATTTCCACAGCAAAAATTACCTCGCAATGGATTCGAGTCGATTTCTCTCTCAAATCGAGATTGAGTGTTTGACACAGAGCATGGAGGTTGCGTTGAAGAAAGTTGCTCAGAACAGCAGAAAAAGAAGAAAATCGAGAGTGTTGCGATATTTTAATCCAAGTTTAGAGGAAATCAAAGAACATGCAGAGGATGCCCAGGAACCGGCGGTTGACTTGAGCAGTTTGCATAGAGAGAGAGCTATGAACGAGGGACACTTCGCCCGCAGAGGTAGTCGCAAATCTCGAAGCTCAAAACAAGATAGGAACTGAGTAATTGGTTTTATGACTAACTTGTATCGACCTGAAAGCTCTGTAAAAGAATACAAATCTGGAAACGTTTTACAGCTCACGGATACGCAGACTTTGATAGACCTAGGACACATGAACAATTTTCACACCAAAGCAAAATGCTTGAGTAATTCCCATGAACTCGCTAGGATCAGATTCACAAAATCTACATATATGGAGTAACCTCTTCCAGAAAGATTGGTATAAACAATATATTAAAACCGAAGATCGATAGTACTCAAGCTATGGATTCTCCCTAGAATATACGACGAAATAACCCACAAAAAGGATATTTAATACGACACTCCAACAGAGACAATGGTATAGGAGAAGATGGGAACTAACGAAAGAGCGTTGTTTCAGCCCCGATTTGCAGAAAAAGTTCATCTAAGTTTGACTTCTTTATGTACTTATTTAGCTGCCCAGGAACCTATACAACCAATATTCGGAAATGCCTTAAAGAATTACTGTCATCTCGAATATTTGGGCACAGCAAGAGAAGAGATCATATATCTTGTATCTGACCTCACGATACGGTCATTGCTTTTTGCCAAGACCTGTTTACAAGAGTCAGAATATAACTTGGATTAATGCCAGGGAAAACCAGGCGCTCTTCTGAAATATCGACAATGCCAAAGCGTGCCAAAATTAAACCTGTTTTAACAAGTTATTGCTTGAAAAGGACAAACTACAGCTTGGCTGTTGAGATCTCAGCGAGCATCGTTGAATGGTAATTCACGAATGAATGTTGTGCTCAATATATATGGGAACATATGAAGAAGATCGCAAGAACAGAATTATAGTTCCTTTAGAAGAATCAAATGCACAAAATCGTTGAACGCATCGACGCAAAATTGTTCATATATATATTGTACAAATGTAGATAGCTTTTGTATGCGGTGTTTGACAATAGAAAACAATCCACATGCATGTTAATTACCTTGAATCATGTGCTAATAGTCGGCCCAACCAATCTTCAAAATGAAGAATTACCCGCATTTAAAAAACCTACCATTGCTGGTCAAACAACGCCACGTTCTGTATATATTGGTATAATAGAAATCAAAGCCTTGTAATTCGGATTTTCTTGTCGATATAGAACTATAGAGAGAAACGCTTTGCGAAAGACCGCAGACTTCTCATCGACAATATACACTTTATTTAGATTAATAAAATTATCCTGAGTATTCACTGAAAATAGAACTAAATATATATATATATATTTGTATATACGTAAATGTGTATAAAGAATTGGAATTTGTAGATACTTGATACCCAAAAGGTGTTTGTTTATATTGGAATTGTATAATAGATTTAAAATGTTTGAAGGTATAGATGTAACATAGATGGACATCATATATGCGTATTGATATTGTACGTGTTGTAAATAAGCATGAATTAGATTCAAGACGAAATGTGTTTTGTAGAAGAAAGTAGAAAAGAGTGTGCAATAAACTTTTCATAGTGAATCTTCATGGTGTATTTTGTTGGGTAGAATTGTTATAATTATGAATAATTTCCATTTATAAACTCCACAAACTTAATTCATGCCAATCACTCGGAAGTGTAAATATTCATTTCCCAATCTTCGGCGTTTTTGATTCGTTGGTTCAAAGCACACTTGAGGCTCTTAATCTTATCTAAGTCAACTCGGTCCCTGAAGGACAATACCTCTGTCGCATCAAGTTATCCTTGTGTGGAGTGAACGTATAATTAAAGACCAGAATAACTTTTTGAGTCAATACAGAGATCACCGAGGTTCAAAATTGACAAACATTTTGATGAACAATGTTTTCGTTGGGCCTAATCCTAGAAGATAACAAGGCCGAACATTTCCCTACAGAGATTTCAGATTTACATCTATACCGGCGCAGAATAATCTAGTATTTAATGCAAATTTTACATATTACATAACTCATAACGCTTTTATCAAGAGACTGTGAGATTTATACAGATTTACTAGACGCGCGCTACCATAAACTAGTGATTAAGTCCAACTTATATGGGAAGATTTCGATCCTCTAATACCCAATACCTAATTTGTCGCGCGAAATTTTGCCAACATTGTCGGCTTGTGCAGTTGTGATGCAGCCTACCTTAATAAATTACCAAACGTTTTTGTATCAATTGAATGACTACTTATAGCACAAGGTATTCTCCCTGCCGACTTTTTCTTTTACCTTATCAATTTAAATTATGTCTATTAAAAAACATTTAACGCCAAGGGAAGAGAGAAATAACAAATTAATTAATAAATCATTCTTTGTATAACTTGGCAAATTTCTTTACTAAGAGTATAGCAACTGCATGGTTTAAAATGTAAATAGCTCTAAGAAGAGTCAAAAATCTTTGTTCAAAATCTTCTTTTTATCGTAAAAACATCTAATATCAGCCGGTCAGCAATATTATGAGACAAACAAATCCTTCATAACTCATAGGAGATTATCTGTAGGATATTTGCAACGATTGATTGAAAACGAGTCTATCGTTATAACTCCTCTCAACTTTATCCACAAACAACTTTTAACAATTCATGATGGAAGAGAGAAATCAGCAAATGTATATCAATATATGATATTAAATATTTGTACAGTTTCCGCAGTAGACAGGAAAAACATTTTTTTTGAAATTTTGCGACAAAAATATACGTCATTCGTAATATCTTAATGAAATGATACTTTATGAGGTGAAATGTTACGAGGTGGTCTTGGTAAGACTATGCCACAGATACCCTGAGTTGTGAAATGACGAGTTTCACATGCAGAAGATGACACTATATTGCGTGTCAAAGAAGCTGGTAAACAACAGTTTGCATATCAGTTAGGTAAACGTTAAAAAGAGGCGCTAAAAAAAGCATTTATACTGACAAATGAATGATTTGAATGATTTGTTTGTTAAAAATAACAGCAAAATATTGAATATAAATATTCTAGAAGGCTCCTTTCAAAGCAATTGAGGCTAAACCTCGCGGTACGAAGCACCTGGTTCTATACAACTACAAGAAACTCAACACTCGCCAACAGAGACACTCGTTTATTGGCGCAAGACAAAGAACTTACAAGGCAACAAAGAAAAATGTGCGATTACGACCAATCTCAAAGAAATTCCACACACAACAGACCATTCAAACTCAGTAGCGCAGAACATCAAAGTTAAAAACGACAGCGAAACACCCTGTGCCTTGTTGCTTAGACAAAAGACTCCTACAGACATTATTCTACCTGATATTAATAGTTTCAGCAAAGTACCGATTCCAGGCAATATGAAAAGCTTGAAAATACAACTAGTAGTGTTTACACGCAGTCTGAATATCATATTATACGTATGGTTGTTGTTTTTAAACGATGCAAGTATCATTAAAAGATGATTTATCATGATACATCGATTAGACCTTCTAAAGCCGATATAGAAAATGCAAATGGTATCCTTCTTGAGGTTAATTCCGGGCAAACAACGGAAGATGATCTGTATTAGGAAGATTTAAAGAATACGATTGTAAATCAGCTAAAATCGTAGAAAAATCTTTGGAACATAAGTCTGAAAAATGTGATACCATAAGAAAGCGTTTCTAAGATTCAAGTATACTATATCCACAGACATGGAAGTGAAGATATAAGATTTCAGACTGACACCCTGCAGTGTCCGTGGGCTAGCGTGTCTCAAAGCAGAAAGCCCCAACAATATAGAACCACATAATTATATTTAAGATTGATCTCTAATCTATTGCTCATTTTTCCGAAATATATTGTTCTTCGAGTTCTTTGCTTTCGCTGAGAGTTCCACAGACAGATTTAGGGGAGGTTAAATATGTTCACATATTCGAAGATCTGGTTTCCATTATCTTACGTATATTACAGTTCGAATGACTCATGTGATAAGGCAGGCACTTGAGATATTGACCATTCCTGTCAACGGCAAAGATTTTAGGAACCTCAAGCAGTTTGATGACAGAATTAATGGCGCGAAGCCAGCCAGGGCAGCTAGGGAATGATAAATATAGCAGGTTCCATAAACACATCAATAATGATAATGACTGTAAAAATGTGATATTATTTTAACAGCACTTCAGGAACGCGTCAAGATGTGACACACAAAAGATACTGTTTGTATTGCGTAACTTTGAAAAAACAATCTCCTGCACAGGCTGCACTGACAAGACACAACTCGAACGAACATGATTTAGCTGTCGGCGACTATTTAATGAGTTTTTCGATTCTCCGGGTGGCAATGTTACGCATGATAGAAGATATTATAAGCTTTATTATAAGATTTAGAAGCAACTATTAAAAGAGACCACAGTAGTTGTGTTTTAACGCTTAATTAGTTTTTTTTGAAGAAGAAAAGCTTTGACAGAATCAGAATGAATCAAAAAGCTTGAAAAAAAAGAGACGTGATCCTTCAGGAGTTTTTGAGCTTATCAATTGACTTATGTTTAAACAGGAAGACAGCTCTTTGCTGGACTTGCTGTTTCTGAATCCGAATCTCTCCAAAGGAGTGGGAGGGACGAAAGTTTAATTAAAATCCAAGAAAGTGACCACATGGCTAGTCAGTGGGGATGAAAAGTTGTAAAAAAATCCTAAAATTGAGGCCAGCTGAGGACATTTGTTTATCTTATCATTCAAGTATAGAATTTCAAAGCAAACGAGTTCTAAAAATGAACGCTTAATCTATTATCTAATCAAAGTGTTGACAGGGAATGGTTTCAAAGAGACATTTAATATCAATCCCTATGAATTAGGAAAAGGATTTGAACACACATGAAAGGCCAAGTTAGGGTTCAAAATACTTCAATTCATTGATATAGGGGCCGAAATGTCAGACAACTCTCCTTGACGTATGAGATTTACTATAGATTCGATGGCACGAGTCTTGCTATTAGCTCAAACTTTACGAAAACGGATATTGTTGTTGTATTGCCCGAGATCACATACATCAGAACGACAGGCGGTGAAGCCTGCGCCCAATTTCAAGGAGAAAGAAAAGACGAAATTGTTTAGTGGAAACTCTGAAATGATATTCTCAAAGACATCAAGAAAAGAAGAAGTGGAATTTAGACCCTGATCAATGCGAGGCAGGAATGTTCACAGAAAAAAAGTTTCTTCTTCGTTGAGTTGGTTCCTCGCCGCTAAACATTTCTTTGTATCATTTCATTAATTGCAATTACGCTTTTCAGACAGGAAGTATTTAAATGGTCAAACTGGTTTTGTTGTCGGCATGAAAATCGTATATAGCTATAATTTAACGTCAATCGTACCTGTAAATAAGCGAAACGTTATTGAAGGTAATTTTTCCTTGATTTGGCCAAGATAACGGAGGCTATATAAGGAAGATGAGTCAACTTCAAATGATTGGCAGGACGGTGACGTAATACTGTATAACCAAGGGTGGTCAGCCTGCATGTAAAGCCACCGGGCGGGCAGGCAAGAAGGAAGCAACACTCGCACTTACAATGCAGAGTCCATCAACTTCATGTGGAACGCCGCTGACATACTGCATTGCTCTCTCTACGCTGACCATCTGTTTTTCGGTCTCAGTGAATGACGTCACGAGACCTGAGAGTTGATTCGTTATCGTTAGAGCGTAGGAAATAGCGAGACCAACCAAACCTGGAAGAAAAGTGGAAGCACATTTTGAAAGACGCTGGCTGAGAGTATAAGTGACTGATCCATCCAGTTTAATCAATGCAGTCACTCAATTTTGTCAATTAATAACTGACCTGGATCAACTGAGCTAAAGTGATGTTCCAACACAGCAATAAACGAGACGCAAGTAACCATAGCAACGCCAAGCATTTGAAGATGTAAACTCAACCACTGTGACGCCGCTAGACCTATGAAGAGGAAAATAATTGAGCTCCGCGCTGACGCAATCCTGATTTCTCGACATTTGCACATTCCTGCCTTACCAGAAAAATTTGCGCGTTGATTCAGTTCTAGTCTCTTCTCATTCTCGACCCGGAATCGTTCCGAGGCCCTGAGCGCACGGATGGTCGGCAAGCCATTCAAGGTTTCCGAGAAATGCGCGTAGACTGGAGAAAGAGTAACGGTCATGAAACGCTTGACCTCTCTGAAAAATAAACAAAAAAACTTCAAGGTGTTAGAGTCAGATGTGACAACCAGGTTAGCGATTGATGGCGGTCCATACCTGGATGTCTTTCTGTAGTAATTCTGAATCTTGAAGTAAAAAAAGGCGAGAGGGGAATAAGAACTAGTAAAAACCATGGGAGACCATAACATGTAATACATATTGTACCAACGACACCAAACAACTGAGCCAGAAATATGTTCATCATAAATGGCAGAGAATCATCGATAGAATACTAGAAAAAATGATACAAAGATGGTTGATCCTGGAGGTGAAGAAAGACACAACGGATGACAGAAATAAAGTCAGACATGCAGAAATGGTTATAGTGATAAACCATTGCTTACTGTATCAGACGAGAATCTGTTCACCACACGCCCAATCTAAGGAATAAAGTTACACAGTGTTTTTCATGGAGAAACTCGACTTATCATAATTTTGTGTATTTCACTCAAGTTCCCTACCGGCGTTACGTCGAAGAATGACACGGGTGCTGCAAGGATACTCTTCAAAAGTTTCTCGTGAATAACCTGGGCGGCCTTTACTCCGCCGTAGGCGAAGAGAAACGCTCTAAAAAACGTAAAAACCTAGAGGAAGAATGCACATTTAGGATGACCAAAGATGGTAATAAGAATGCCATATAATAATATTAAATTATATGTTTTCAAAGTTATCTTCTCACCGTATTTGCAAAAGCTATTCCTCCGTAAACAACGAGGTAAAATGTTAAACTTCCAGTCTTGATCCTAAGATGAGTGGCGTGAAGAACCTCAGGGTCGCTGTGGACTTCACTGGACGCGTGAGGTGGCCAGAGCACGTGACCATATGAAGACGTATCATTGGTGGATTGGGAATGTTTGTCGTGAGAGATCCAGTAAGCCAGCCACCAGTCACTGATGTTACGAGAGGCTGGAACGAGATACAGGTATAACAGTACCGTGTTTGTTTGGTCGAGTCAAACCAGATTAGCTAGGTAGGAATCCAACCTAAGGCAAAGAGCTGATTGACTGACACCCGGCCAGTGCTCACCTTGCATTAGAAACAAAGAGAGTAAGATACTGATTGTCAAACAGACACCAGCGGCTTGCCAGTATGAACGATAAACATCGTATTTTACAACACCAACATCTTTTTCTTCCTCCTCAACTAAACCTGGATCAGAAAGATTTTCTTCAACTTTCTTTCGCTAATTTCAACATTTTCTTCTCCGTCAACTGAAAATGAACACAGTAATACTCAGTCCCTAACCACCACGCAACATTTACTACGATGATGAAACCCTAAAAATCTCGCCTCCCAAAACTCTCTCCCCAACAGAATGTGCGACAAAATTCGCACTAAACATACCGCTGACTGACATTTTACTGATCCAAGTAGTTTTCTTCAAAACTTCATTCGGGAAACCATTACAAGCCACTTTCCCGTGCTCCATGGCAACAATCACGTCAGCATCATGTAGGTATTTCCAATGATGCGTGCAAAGAATTCTGGTCTTATGTTTAAGAACACCCATAATGCAATGTGTGAAGATGTGTGAGGCGACGTGAGTATCAACTGCGGCTAATGGATCATCCAGAAGATAAATTTCTTTGTCCTGAAAAATGTAAGCGATCGATCAGTTTTGAACTTCTGAAACTGTTCCCTTTTCAAAGCTCCAGCACGAATCAGTTCTTATTGATGCAGCAGATACCTGCTTTATGATACTTCTAGAGGTGAGAGGTCCATGCAGTAAGGATCATCTATATTTAATACCTGATAAATTGCTCGTGCCAGCGAGATTCTTGCCTTCTGTCCTCCACTAAGTGTAACGCCATTTTCTCCTACTTCTGTTTGATCATGAGCAGGAAGTATTTTTAAATCCTTTGAAAAAGAAAAGCAAACTGTTTGGACCAGAACTGACAACACATTATCTTCGCTGTAACTGCAGATTTCTCGCGATCTACGGAAACCATTGCATCCTAAGAACTCACCTCCTCCAGGGCACACGCCTTTAGAACTGCCTGGTATTTGCTGCGATCAAAAGCCTTTCCGAACAGTATGTTCTCTCTCACAGTAGCGTGTTGTATCCATGGTTCTTGACTAGCGAGTCCAAAACCATCTTGTAGCGTAGCCACATAAACCTATGATAGACGAAAACAGAGAATACAGTGAAGGGAAGTTAGAGAACTGGGAAAAGATGAAGACGAATAGAAACATAAAAGATACCTTGCCCTGCGATTTGTCCATGTCAGCGGTAATTGCGGAGAGAAGAGAACTCTTGCCAGAACCCACGTGGCCAATAACGCCAATGAATTGACCCTTTGAGAGAAAAAAATTAAACAATAATTAACTTGATGACTGCAGTTGAAAACAACACATTCATTACCTGATAAGCAGATAGATTAATCTTCTGCAATGGCTGTGTATGAGCGACTTTTTCTTCAGCTTTCCCATCACTTTCTTTGTGTTTTAATAAATCATTTGAATGACCAACATCGTCATTTTTAGTTGAACACAGATCAGCCTCAAGTCCACCAGAGTTCCACGTGAAATCAGCATCCTCTAGAAGAATCATTGTTCTGGAATCCATTTTACCATTTCCGATGCTTGAACTGTAAAATTCTTTCAAGTCCAGTTCTTCCAGAATTAGAAACCTGTTCACCCGGTTTAGCGAGACCCAGGCCTCGATCAAACCATTAATTACCCAAGGAAAGACGTTCAGAGGAAATATTAACATGTTGAATAAAGCAATACTTGTGAATACCTGTGAAGTTGACGAGAAAGTTAGCAAACAAATACGCGAAAGATATGCCATTTAGACATGGTATAGGCTAGGTGGCTATTAGCTAATTTTAAGGTCTGTTTATACGACCCAATTTTGTTGGATCTAATTCACTTCTGATGGATGTTTCATAGTCTGTTGTCTTGTAGAAGTGAATTGAATCCGACCTTAAGAAAACTTAAGATAAATATGTTCCAGTCAATTATAAAACTACCTTGGCAGCTGTCAATGTGTTTCCTAATAAGACGTAAGTACAGAATGTCAAGATTGATATCAGCACAGGAGTTGTAGCCCAGAAATATACACACAGGGCATCTAGATATTTCATCCCTTTCAAATTCTTTAATTCCCCAGATCTTGAAAATAAAACAAAGATATATATATGTGTAAATATTTTAAGCACTATGACGAGATGTGACAGCGAACCAGTTCTCAGAAAGAATCAGTTTCAAACGTTGTGGTCCTTGTCTGTGTAGGTTATATTTAAACACTACAGTTGCATGTGTACTTTGTCTCTGATAGGTTTACATGGAAATTGATAAAACGAATGAATAAAGAAGAAATGAATACCTGAGTTCATGAACTTTTGAGGAGAACATTCTTTCCCAAGCATAAAATTTGATCACTCGAATACCATAAAGAATTTCGTTCATTACCTAAAGACAAACAAGACCTATCCATACACTTCATCTGCGAACTACGATCAACACAGTTCACCAACAGATTTATTCATCGTTTTACAACCTCATAGGCTCAAACCTTAACTCTTGCGTCTTTTTTCTCCATCATGTTTTCAGAATATTTCCGTATTTTCACAGCCAGACATTTATTTATAGGAATGAGTAGGATGGCAAAACACAATCCAGCCAGAAACGATAAGCCAACCTGAAAATTTTTCATTCAAAAAATCAACTGTCTGCCGGTTAATCTTACTATTCCTGGCTTAGTTTTTACGATATTACCCAGTTGAACAAGGCCGTTCACGAACCTGTTGATGAAGCAGATACAAAGAAACCGCAACTTGAAAAGGAAGGCTCCAAAACTGATGAAAACTTTGACAAAAATTGACGATACGATCTGTATCCGTGCTCATGAAGTTAACCACCTAAAAAAAAGATTTGTTGGTGGAAGGCATGAACTAATGATTCACAAAATTGAAGTGCGCGAGAACTCAGTTTTTCCTATTTTTCCCGTTGGTAATTCGGAATCAGACTCGGATGAGTTCATGATCAATAATAGTTCGTTTGAAATTCTTCCTAAACTCTGGTTTACTTTACAGGTTATTTCTACGGCAATTGAAGCTAAATTATCGTGATTTACGGCTGTGACCGAACTGGCATTACCACGTTTATGTGAATTGTTTCTTTCCAGACCTACGGCGCCTACCTCGCCAGTTGAGAACAAGTAAAGACCAGTGGATTTAACAGCCAAAGTTTTGTGATAAACAGACGTTATCACAGCAGCTCTAATCTTCAATCCAACTTTATTCACCTAAGAATCAAGAGCAGACATTGATGAACACCAAGGAAGATGGACGAAGAAAATACTAATGTTATGTTCGACCTCTTCAACATCACTTTGTAATAAAGAAGGAACCATAAGCCAAGTTAAATTCATGTGAGATTTATTCTCTCTGGCTCTGACTCTCTCTGAAGGGTTTACTCTCTCTGGCTCTCTCTGACTCTACACTGTGTTTCAGACTAGCTTGGCTGACGAAAAAAGGAAGAACTCTAAAGGTGTCATATATTATCTACTCACAAGATATCCATAATGTGCAGAAATGAATGCACCAACTAAAGTAGAAGCAAACAGCCCAGCAGCGTAATAGTATCCATGTTCCATCGGTTCCTAGATAATCAATACCATAGATTATATAATAACCCATTCCCTACATTCAACCATTTGTCTGTCCAGCATTATGTTTACCTGTTTGTTCTCCATAAACGAGACGAGTGCATGTAATAACAATGGCCCAGCAAACCCAAGACAGTCACCAAGAAATTTCAAAATACCAATTGAATAATACTGCACACCAAATGCCTTATGCAGAGCCTTTAACAATAAATACTTTGTCGCATTATTCTTTTCATCAGATCCGCATGTCCCATGATCATTTCTGTTTAGAGACTTGTGCATTTTTTGGAGTATTCTTCGAAATGATTCTGCAATGTGTTTGGTGGACAATGATGCTGGCAGGCAATACAAATCCTCAGCAACTTTCAGTTTGTCTTCCAGACCTTTCTTCATAAGTTCGTATACCCACCAGAACATAGTCCTTGACAATATTCCAGAGTTTTCATCAACCTTACGGAGCTCTTCTGATGGATAATCTTTTGAAAGACCACTGTAATATACACGGAAATCCTCTGAACCTAACAGCTTGTCTGTTTCGCTGGCCTCAGCTTGAATACCTGTGTGCAAACGTTTGTTTGGAGCACCACTGGAATTCCATTTTAACCGTACTACCATCAACATGACCACAGCTAAGGTTTGCAAGACAAGGCGAACAAGACAACCATAATTTTCAACTCTGTGATGCTTGTTATTCATAGTGTGTTCACTAGATTCACTATGGATGATAATTCTACAAGTTTGTGCAATTGTTGTGCCCCATGATAGTATAAGAAATGTGCAAAAAATAAATGAAGGCTTGTTTTTCAGTTGCATGTAAATTGATGTCAAAAACCATGCCAATGCAATAAATGCTAACGATAAATAGTAGGATACTGGATTGTAATCTTGGAGTTGAGATAATGAACAAGCAATTTGGGTAACAACTATTAGGACAACAAGCGCAGATAATAGTTGGATTGACTTGATGATTAGTCCAAGTGTACAAACGTGGTTTTCTTGATGTTTTCGAATGTAGTAGACATTGATGGCAGCTAAGATGGCATGAACAGGGCAAATGAGATAAAGTTGAATGAAACAAGATGAAATATTGCCTTCTTGTAGCAAATCAAGACTTCCATTAACGCCACAGATTTTATGGATGTTCATCGTCATTGTACTAGGAATGCATTACGCTACATTACACATAGGTTGAAGAACCTAGCAAGACAAACAAGATTGTAATTAGAAAACTAATGAATGACAGGATGATTGACAGATTATGACAGATTAACAACATTCTAATAGTAATTTAGCCAGGACAATGTGACAAATTTGTAAAATTCTTTGTTACCTAATAAAATTGACCATTAAAAGTTTAAAACAACAATTTGACACTTACATAAAAATATAAAATGTTAAATAATTATTAAATATAACCCACTGAAAAGGAACTGGATTACTGGAACGCTACCTTTGGTCGGAAATGTGAAGGAAAATCCATGACGTCATGTCCAGTCATTTAAACATTAGGAAAAATGAAAATTCTCTCTTGGGAAGTGGAAACTATTTCCATGGCAACCGTTGGCAGCCATAATTTGTAGAAATTTTACGGTTGAAATGTAAACTACTTTATTGTTGATTTTCTTGTTCTTTTTTCCTACAAAAACCGTTACAATGGTAAGATGAGAGCCTTTATTCTATGGTATCATAGATATAGTTTCTTTAAACCTCCCTGGCTAATCTATTCATCATTTTACTGTACCTGAAAGTTTTGTTGCCAGAAGCAAAGTTATTCACTTGTTTATGGTGTATAGAACGGTAAAAAAAGCAATATCTGAATGATCTCATCTTCTTCTTGTAATCGCACAATATAGAATAAAGGAACAACGATTAAAGATGCCTTGTCAAAATGGGTAGGTCTTGAAAAAGAGCAACTGTAGATTCCCTTTAATATCAGAAATGTAAACACGACTCACATGAGCTAAATTTGCAGGAGGAAAAGAATGGGAAAAAAGCATCGGAGTCGACTGAAATATTACTCTATGCACAGTATCCTCCCATAGAAAAAATGGATGCCTCCTTGTCCACATTGGCTAACTGCGAGTATGTGATATACAGAGAGTTTTTAATACACAATTTTTGTAGTTTACTTTGCCATGTAAACCTCTTTAAGTCAGGTTTAGAAAAAGTCCACAAAAAATACCCAATCATTTGAATCCTCTTATAGGAAATTGTCCCTTTCAACAAACTGTATTGAGAAAATTGCTAATCTGAATGGACTGAGTAAGCAAAACAACATATAACGATTTTTTAGTTTCATTTCATTTCATAGCTTTTCACATTCTCATCTTTCTTCCTTTCTCTTTCTCTTTTAGAAAATTTAAGAATACTATCATTAGGAAGAAACAACATCAAAAATTTAAATGGCCTGGTAATAAGATATGTGTTTCAGTCATATAATGACGTACAACTTAAGAATGTCATTGTCTTTCTAACTCAAGGAAGCTGTAGCAGATACGCTGCAAGAATTATGGATTTCTTACAATAATATTGAGAAACTGAAAGGAATTGGTGTTCTTAAGAAATTGAAGGTAGTGATCCTTAAATGGCCTGACAGCAGAGATTCGTCAGAAAAGATAAACATAAAGTCTTTGATTTGCTTTAAGGTTTTATATATGTCCAACAATCAAGTGAAATCATTTGATGAATTTCAAAAGTTGGTAAGCACTAGTATTAAAATATTCATGATAGTAGGTGTCCAGTGGTATTATAGCTCATACCACCAACACTACTTTGTTTAATAATTATCTTGTTTGAACTTTTCCAGGCTGATTTACCCCAGCTACAAGAGTTAATTCTTGTTGGTGAGTTGTAGTTAGCTATTACTAGGTTTCATGATGGTTCAGACATCATTCCAATCATAGTTCCAATGCATGATTTGGCACACCACAGGTAACCCACTTGAAGAGAAACAGACAGCAGAAGGCACATGGCGACCGGAGGTGATACGAAGACTGCCAAATCTTAAAAAACTTGATGGTGAGTTTAAACAAACATGGTGATATTCATATTGCACTATGCTTAATGCTTGCACCAGTTATGAGAAACTGAATCATTATGCTTGCACCAGTTATGAGCAACTGAATCAATACGTTTTTGCCCTTACCTGGACCACTTAAATAGTTTGAAACTGCTTCTATCTAATCTGAGATGATGAATGTTTTTTAAGGTATCACAATTGTCAAAGAGGAAGGCGATGACGAAGAAGAAGAAGGCTAGCTGAGACTAAGAACATTATTTATTTTGTAAATATCCTGCAGGAAAAAAGTACTGCAGTTGTTTTTCAATTATGTACCAATATATATTTGTGCAGTCTAAAAGCTTGCTTGTTTTGTAGAGTTACATTAATGGATGTGAAAGAACCAAGAAATTGAAATAAATGAAAAAATTCTATTTTTTAGTTCATATTCTAAAACCCAACATTCTTTAGTAGTTGGAAATGTAAATCAATTATAAATACACATGGTTTAGAAACACAGCTTGTAAAATATGCACCTTTGTGCAAAAATATTAAACCCCAGCTGTTAACATTATACTATCAGATTGGTCAATAATTTTCTCTACTTTATATCATAGCATTTTCTGAGTTATATCCAACGGCCGTAAATGTCTTGTTAGTATATACATAAGGACAGGTTGTAATAAAGCAATGAACAAGAGGAGATAAACACGCCGTTTACTTGCACGTCCAATACTGTCCGCGTCCGCTTCTGGGAGAATGATCAGTCGTAATGTTCGCACCTGACAATTATGAATACAGCAAAAAAAGTTGGTGGAAGACGAGTCAAACAAATGGCCAATGCTGCACCTACCAAGAAAAATGCTGTTGTCAAACTCATCCAAACAAGCACAGCATAATATTCTGTAGAACGGAACACCAATCCAGCCAAGAGACATAGGATGATTCTACAAGCATGAGAGGTCATGGTTAAAAAAGCCATGTAATGCCAATCCCAGCCCAGGAAAGGATCGTAGTAGATCTTACCCCACATATTTATAACCACAAAAGGCGACCAAGTCCAAAGCTTTGATCTCAGCCATGACACTACAGATATAGAATGAAAACAGGATAGCCATGACCTCCACAAAGGACCAAAGAAATGCAGATGTGGCTGTGATCCCAAGTTGTTCCGGAGAGAACCTTGAATAATAGAAACACACGAATGATGTTAAAAAAAAACCACTTCAAGATATTCTTCACATTAATTTTAAAATGCAAAGTCTTTTACTTGTCCTGTGTTCCCATAACAAGGCCTGCAACCAGCACATAAGTCACAAAAGACATTGCTAGAAAAATGGAGAATTTTGAGCAAAAATCTCACCAAACTCATGACATCAAATGTGACTGAATATATGACTTATACAGTCATAGACTTAGGTCTGATATCCCACTTACTAGGTATGTACATGTCTGGTGCGTTGATCTCATATCTTGGCGCAATTGGTTCTGCTTTATTATATTTTATAGACCAGTTCTGTAATATAACAGAAAGACAACCATTTGAAGAGGAAATTGAAGATAAAGTGACAAGAATAAAACATATTATTACAATGAACATACTTGATGAGTGAACGGAAATAGCAAGAGCGCAAGTTTCCTTCCAACGTACGATGTATCAACCGCAAAATAATACTTCAACTTTGAAGTTGAAACAAATTCATCCAACTGAAATAATTTAATAATAAAGAAATGAATTCCAACAACTGGAATAAGTTCTATGATACAGAAAACCAGCAAAATATTACATTTTTATCAACATAATCTTTCCCTTGTGATGCCAAAGATGTTCCATACTGGAAGGCCATATTAGCCATTGGATCATTTGACAACTGGGTTGGATTGAAAACTGAATAACCCGTTGGTTGGCCATCATACCCAGATTGTTGGGTACTTGTGTCGTCAAACAGAGGTGCCGACTGAGGGGGTCCTGGGAGATGAAACAAGGATAATTGTAGACAAAAAAGCTGGATAACATAGGGATAAATCAGGACAAACATACCTCGCCTGGATCTCTTCTGTGTGGGACGTCTTGGCTCTGAATAACTTGGTTGGGCTTGATCTAAGATTTAATAGTAAAATCATTATTAAATACAATAAATTCATTTATATCTTTTGTACATGGTATAACGACAGACTACATACATAATAAGTAGTCTATTTTACTAAAAAATAGATCATCATTCAATGCTCTGTTTCGTAGACGTGTTTCTACAAGTTTTTATACTTGAAAACAGGCAATTTACAGTTGGAAACATTACAATAGTTCATTGTATGCTTTGACAGACGAGTTAAAAGTCACATCCATCTGAATAAACACCACTCTTACAACGAAATCAAAAGAATCCAGAATAACCTGATAATCAAACATACCGCTCATATACTGTGGAGGGTGATCCATTATTTAAAAAGCAAGAAAAATACCAGACGAAATAATCAAATCTATTGCAAAAAATATGAAATTTATTGTCTCATGTATTCTACGCATGCGTAGTCAACACAAACGTGGCAAATCAGATCGTATCAACACTTCATGTAATACGGATGTTTGTGGTGATCTCCAAATGGACGGTTTCGTTAATAAAGGAGCCATCTTGAATATGCAAAGCATTGTGGACTTCTGGTCTATATAGGTTTTCTCGTGTCTGTGAGTTCAATGACCGTCTTTTGCATGATAAACCATTTCCATTGACCAAGAACTGCATGGCAGAAATAATGTTTTCACAGGGGAAAAAATAATGACTAGTTTGTGCACAGTACACTGAATGTTTGAAGTGAACTTGTCTCTTTTTGCGTTGAATGAACTTGAATCACACTAGCCGGAGATGTAACAAAACAACCACCCGCAGTAGATGTAAACACCAGACAAATTAACAAAATATTTTTCAATACGTCAACAGTGAGCTTTCTTTGTTGCAACGGCTTTCAAAAGAACAAGAACATACAACTGCAATGTTGTCTAACATTCAGTTATTGTAAACCCTCAGGCGGCCAGAAAACATGAATTTTGTGCGATTAATTTTATTTTGTTGAGAGGAGGAATCACCACACATTGGAATAAGGCTGCTTCTTTCTGGAACTTGCATTGAAATGAGGCGAAAACTCAAACGTAAAATAACGTTATATACTGTACTTTTTATGTTTACAATGATAACTTTATTACATATCTATATAAACTGCCGTTTGAATTTAAACTGGAACGAGTTGCCAAGTGGAGTTCATCTAATATTTTGGACTGTGTCAAGCTTGACGAACGTTTACAATCATGGAATACAAACATCACATGGGAGAAGAGATCCTGTGATTATATATTGGACAAAAGTCTTTAGAAAACCAGTGAAAGTCGGGGAGAAGTCCTGGCCGTATTTTTACATTGGAGACTCGTGTCCTGTAAAATGCACGCTAACGACTGATCATAATATGATCAATGATGCATCGGCGATTATAATCCACGCCAGAAATATCGAAGAAATGCCGCAAAAGGATAAAATACAGCGTAAAAATATTCGTTGGATTTTGCACTCGAACGAAAGCCCTAAATTTGCACCTGCTCTGAGCAGTGCAAAAATAATGGCAAAGTTTAATTTCTACTTGAGCTATAGGCTTGATTCAGACTTTTCTCTCTCTTTGTTTCCGAAACCTTTACTCAGACCGCTACCAGTGCCTTTTGCCAAAAAAAGAAAAACGTTAGCAGCGGCTTTGTACAGTCATTGCGAGGCTGTTCGGACTGAATACCTCGTCCAGCTTATGAAAGAAATAGAGATCGATTCTTATGGTAGTTGTTTGCATAATACAGATCTTCCAGACCACATCGGTCCGCGTGATCAACAGCGTTTCTCAAACCTTTCCAAACCATTGGTAAATCTTTACAAGACTTATAAATTCACTATAGTCTTCATGAATTCAGATTGCGATTATTTCGTAGATGAGAAATTATACTACGCGCTCAGCGCAGGCAGTGTTCCTGTTTTTATGGGAACTGCCAAAATACGTGAATATCTTCCAGGAAATCTCAGGCATTCCATCATCGACGTTCGTGATTTTCCAACGCCAAAAGCACTGGCAACTTATCTGAAAAGACTGGCGAAAGACGAGAAGGCTTATAATAAGTTTTTAAGATGGAAATACGAAGGGTTTCAGTTTCCTGAAGGTTATACAAATTCCACAATAGGACAGCTCTGGGATAGTAGGTTGCCTGTCCTTTGTAAGATTTGTCAGAAAATCTCATCCGGAGACATGGGGCGAGATGGGCTTCCCGTCGAAACTTGCGAAAGAAAAAACTTCAGTGAATGGGTTGAACATTGACGGATATAGAGGGATATTGTGGATGGGATATTGGAGGACACATCGATGACCAGAGGACGACTCTTAGCCGAACTTGGGCATTGGATCAGCCTGGAAAAGATTCCGTGTTCTTCAGTAAAAGAATAAAACAAAATCACTGTGGGCAGAGCGTGTACAGAGAGATTCTTAGTACGAAGATGACTTATTGAAAGATTCTTGAAGAAATTCTTACTTATGAAAAACTCTTTGTTACAAAGTTATAACGTTCATAGTACATCTGTTGGCTCAGTCTGTTGGAGTGTGATATTTCTTCATGGAAATACGCCAACATATGAATATATATACATAGTTATATTGCATATAAATATTCTAAAACATAGACAGCATAATAATAATAATTACAATAAGCCTGCCCTATCACTTGTCCTAGTGAAGGAATATTTCCTAACCATATTTCGCTAGGGTTGTTCCCTAGGGTTGACAAACCGGGAGACATTGTTTCCTAGTGATGTTTGATATACCATGGTTTGTGCGCGCGTGGTCAAAGCTAAAAATTAGGTTCCCCTTTCTTTCTATTCGACACACTTATTATATTTATTTTTATATGCTGTTTCACCAACTACGTATTTCATAGCACTAATCAAAGCCTACTTTATGTCTAACGCGATCAAATGGAACCGAGGCGCGGTCGCTTAGCCGGTGAAGTTGTGGTGTCGTCATTGTCCTCGTCTTCATCGTCTTCGTCATCTGGATAATCAACCAATCCGATTATCTGAAATAAACACGTGTGAGAAAAATAATTAGTATGACGTAAGATCACGTGTGTCTTCAACGTCTACTTCATGAAGTACCTTGTTCGTTGAACTCGGTAGAAGAACGTCATTCGTCGCGGGGAAACTGTTGCAAGGTTTAAAATTTTCTTCAGGCGATTTGACAGAGGCATTGATTGAGGGCATTACGTCATCACCGCCATTTTGTTCTTCGTCATCATCTTGATCGAACCAGGACTCCTCTTCTTCCTCAAGCGCGCGTGGATCGCGACGGAACCGCGCACTAACGTGGATAATCCCACGCGGGGTTCTAAAGATACCAATAAAATGCAATGAAATATTTCTATCCAGTGCTATCCAGTATAAATAAAGTTTGTTTAGTTTAGGTTTCCTCCTGTAGTAGCACTGGATCAATAAGAGATGATCCTTACTGGACCTCTAGGAAGAACAATTTAGAACTGATAGAGCTATCCAGTATAAATAAAGTTAGTTTAGTTTAGGTTTCCTCCTGTAGTAACACTGTATCAATAAGAGATGATCCTTACTGGACCTCTAGGAAGAACAATTTAGAACTGATAGAGCTATCCAGTATAAATAAAGTTAGTTTAGTTTAGGTTTCCTCCTGTAGTAACACTGGATCAATACGACATGATCCTTACTGGACCTCAAGGAAGAACAGTTTAGAACTGATAGAGCTATCCAGTATAAATAAAGTTTGTTTCGCTTAGGTTTCCTCCTGTAGTAACACTGGATCAATAAGAGATGATACTTACTGGACCTCTAGGAAGAACAGTTTAGAACTGATAGAGCTATCCAGTATAAATAAAGTTTGTTTCGCTTAGGTTTCCTCCTGTAGTAACACTGGATCAATAAGAGATGATCCTTACTGGACCTCTAGGAAGAACAGTTTAGAAATATAAATAAAAGTTCTTTACCTTTCGTTACTTTTCGAGGCTTCCTCTTCTTTTTTCCTAACTCTGTCAATCTCCTGTTCAACTCTCAAAAACAATCCTTTAAAAGTGTTCACGTATTCGATGTCTGTGAATGTGGCACTGTATTCTTTGCACACGTACGAACAAAGTGTCTTTATATCCTCCTACAGTGAAAACATTCGTCTTTAAATATTGAAATGACTTTGCGAGAGGCAAAGACGAGATGACAGACTTACTTGTCGTATGAACTCGAAAAGTTCCACCGTAGCAGAATTCAAGAGGTTGTATCGATTTTCATTGCATTTAAAACTATCAACAATAGCATCGAAGAGCTTCCCCTTGACAATATAACGATTATAGAACTCATCTTTGAGACCAACTATGCGACGACAACAACGTAATGCACCTGTTGAAGTATTCATGATAAACATGAGAACCTGTACAAGCCTTTCATAGCACAACCAACAGTATACTCAAAGAATTGAACACTGACTTACTTAAAACTAAAAATTTGTGTTCAGATTTCATTAAAACCAGTATCCTCCTGAGGAGATCCTTACTGATCACGTAGTTTTTGATATGATACGTATGATGTTCAACACAAAATGCAGAAATCTCCAGGATCAGAGCAAGATTCACGGCAGTGTTGTAGTCCACTAAGGCAAAAACAAACATTGTTCACACACAAAACTTTCCAGAAGATTTTGAAGAGTGATTACGAACGATACATCGACAAAAAACAAACACAAACTCACATTTCCCAACTTTGCCATCAGCTGTAGCAGCCAAAAGAGGTGCGACGAGTATATGCATACAATGCTTGTAAAAATAACTTAAAAATTCCGTCTTTTCCATCTTCTGTAAGCAGAAAAGAGTCAAGTAACTTGTGCTATAACCTCATGTTCATACAAATGTGACACAGTAGTTCAATATCTGACTTACATTTGCTGTAAGAGCCATGTTTTCAGGGTCAAGAAGCAGACGAATGACTTGGGAAAGTTGAATGGCAATTCCTAAGGAAATGAAATATATTTGTAAGAAGAATTTGAAAAGCTGAGACAAACTGGAATGGTTCAAACACAATTACCTGAATCTCCTTCGCTAATCATTTGATAAATAATTTGATTGAGCAGCATCGAGTCCTTCAAGAAAAATAAAGACCCACATTTTCAAAAACAGTTTCACTATTAAATATGAAATATTGCATTAAAATGCTCCACAGAGAATAGTAAAATACACATACATCATCTTGTTGGGACTTGGACATTTGTAAAACATATTCACGGACAGCTGATGGTCTGACTTCACAAAGTTGAGAGAAAATTTCAACTGCAATGCTTCGAATTGTTGGGTCATCCATTGCCTAAAGGTATGATTCACTAGCTATAGTATCAACAATAGACCTTGCTCATAATGATATCACAGGTAGAGCCAGGTGAAGGGCTTTTGCTGTCACCTTCAGCACCAGTTTACTCAGAAATAAAGAGTGAAAAATAAATATTTTAGAAGTTATTGTTTCTTACCAGCAGCATCTCTAATGCCTGTAGGAGATTGTGATTCGTAAGAGCCTTGAAAGAGAAGTAAAGTACATAAGATCAAACAGGTTTACAGCTATGAATTTCCTTTATGTTTCTGCATCAAGTGATCATGGGAAAGATAAATTAATATTTTTTTTGAAATAGATCTTTACCTTGAAGAACTCTTCTCTGCTTACATGTTGCATTGGTTGAGCCAAGGAGCACAGCTCTTTGAGAAACTGAACCAATTGACCTTTCCTCTCGGGAGAGGTTTCCTCGTCACAAAGGTTTATAAAAAAATCTTCAAGAAATTTGTTGTCTTCCTGCAGCAATAAATAACACAATTTGTGTGATGTAGCAAGATTATCCAATATACACATGAAAGTTAAAGTAGAGGGGGGGAAATACAAAATGTGTTGTTTTTGAATTACAAAACAGGGGGACTCTGAATTTCTCAGAGGCAAAATATCTTACCTGAACCATATTAACTATTTCAAACTTGCTAAAAATTAAAAATGCATTTAAACTTGGCAGCATATTTTCCTCAAATACTGTAGGTGTTGGCAACACAATGTCCATAATATATTGCACTTGATATGTTTGATGTATCTTCAATAAAAGTTCTGCATTGTTTATTGGAATAACCTCTCTAAATCGAACATTTTCTTTCAGAAATCGCCGATACCGCTGCGGCTCCTTCTTGGTCGGATCATACTCAAGACATCCCAGGGTATCCATAATGACATTCTCACCAAACATTGTATCATAAAGAAAATTCTTATCCAGAAGAAATAAAGTCTTTACAATTTCAAACAAATGGTGAAGGCCCTCGGTATTTTCGAGGTCTTCGCACATATGAAAGAGCTCCATCAGTTGTTTGATGTAGCCTTCTTGTTCAATTTCCAATGATAGTTTCTCTCGTCGTATTGGTGAGGTAAGAACGCTGGTAAACAAGGCGGAGATGTCGGCAAGTTGACTGAGCTCGCACGGAGGTAGATCAATGGGAGCTGCTGCATCAGGAACGTCTTCAAATTTTTCCTCAAATTCGCTGTCGTCACCAATGTCTTGCGTAAGGGTGACTGATGGATCCTTTCCTTGAACCTATAGGATATAGAGTGGAATTCAGAGACATATTGTAGCATAAGGGAAGATGGCTACTTTGAGTTAAGTAATTAAAGAAAGCTTGTTTATATCTCCTACAAAATCTTTTCAGGTAGTAGAATACTATGTACACTCGAGTGACTGAACCAGCCCATTTTAGATAGGTTTCTTTTTGTATCAATTAGACACAAACAGTTACAGAGCACTCTGTATAATACTACCTAACACTGGCCTGGTATATTTGAGATATCATTATCAGACAATAAGGAAACAAACTGCAGAGACTTGTCCTAGAATATTGTTTACACTTTGTATGCAGTATGCCATCACTTTAACAGCAGGCATATCTGATTTCAGTAACAAATATCATGATCAAGGTGTCATTTCACTAATGATGCAAACTCTTGAACAAATGTGAGAGACACCTTTATATAAACAAAATGTTAAAATTTTACTATCAAAGCATAAATTATAGTAAAATTATTTTGCTCTATTATATTGGGAAAAAAACAGACGCAAACAAACACTTAAACGGGCCAAACACTCTTGTTAAAGAAACTAGGCCGTAGCAACACAAACTATTTGGAATTCCTCGGAAAAACTGACAGATGATCGCGGTTTATGTACATAGAGATTTCATTTCCGATACATTGGAGCGGTGTGTAATGTGAATTATAAACAATTTATCAATAATGACATACATTGCATATTTTTTCCCAAATTTCATCGCAACCAACTTTTTCTTGAAAACTGAGAGCTAAATCATAATTGTCAGCTTCAGCCCAGACGATCAACGTGTCCTGAAAGCATATGAAGACGTACGATTAGAGTTCTGAAGCATTAAATATTGTAAAAAAAACATGAAATCATTGTGGGTTACTTTATCTTGCACGGTGACTGACCTGTTGTTTTTGGTATGCTGTATGAGGATGGATCTTGGATTCGAGAAGAGTTTTGCCTATGAAATATAAACGGTTGAATTGAGCTGAAAGTTGAGAGCAAAATCTACTTTAGAGTGAAGCTATTTCTCTTGAACTTTGAAAGTATACAACCAACACAGTTTGAGCTGTGTAGAAAACTCTCTCTTTACGGAAGAGTTTTTTATATTTTGTCCTGGAAAGTCAAATCTTTACGCTAAAAGTTATCCTTAACGATCAAGTGGATGTATTAAAGAAAGAGACAGCTTAACATCGACCTAATTTGGTCGTGTGCTTGAAGTGATTGAGAACTCTCGTACCGTCTTCCTCTGAACGAACGAGTAAAGCCATTCCCTGTAGTAGTTCAACATAGCTGGAAGAAACGTAACCCGTTCCTCTATCGTCCCATTGCCTGTCTTCATTCATCACATAAAGCTTGACACGCCGCCTTGTGTTTGCCATAATGTTGACAAAACTTAACCGGGTCGAAAACAAGCAATCCGACGAGGTAAATCATGTGTTATCCAGTTGTTATTGACCGCCATCAGCTTAAAATCTCCGCCATGCTTGGCTTCGATATACTAAAATGGAGGATATCCCACACGCCTTTGCAAGCAGCACTTTAGCCCGCATCACACGAACAAGCAGGTGGAATGGGAAATCAGATGAAAATATATATTAATTAAAAAATGGTTCGTTTACATTTTAAATTTCAAATTTTTTTTTCATCTGCGACGTACTGCCTGAATATCTGCTTAAGTTTTCTTTAAGTTTCTAAATTTGGGCAATTTTTACACCTGAGGGATTTCAAACTCTCACGAGCGGAACAACCCATGCGCAGAACTGCTTTGTTTTGCAATTGACTACAAATGTTAACTTTTTTAATATTTATTATTTAAGTATTATCAAAAAGCGTCGAAATACAATATATACATTATTAAATAAAAATATATAGACGCATCTCAAAATTTCTTCATGTATAGAAATAAAATTGGATAGAAAAGTCGTTATTTTATTGGTGGTAAAGTTGCGTTCTTTTCTTCTTTTTGGTTTGTATCCTCTTGTTCATCAGTCATCCTCTCGTCTCCTCTGTTTGTCCACCGTGTTGTTCTTTTTCATGTCTCTCTTCCTTGACGATCTACAATCCAATGCAATGCAATACAAAATGTCCCTGCTCATTTCCAAAGCTACTGCGTTCGATCAACGTTGAAGTAGTTATACCAACCTACATATGTCTACTTTTGTGTCAGCATTTGTCTCTTTTCTTTTTCTTGTTTTAACTATTTCTATCCATTTAAAAATATACTTTCATGACCGCTGTCTTAATCGAAGTCTGTCCCAGTACAAGATATAAATCAGGTAGACCAATGTACTTCTAGTAGGACCTCTATTACATGCTAAATCATTACCAGAAATTTTTAAACAGAAGTAGCTAATTACGTAATGATTCCAACAAACCATGTTTTTAAAATTCTTTTACGACAGTGTTCTGGGAATCGAACCCAGAAGCCATAAACGAGTTTTTATCACTATCAACGAACACGTTTTTGTTTGGCCCCAAACATGGACACTGTTTTTTAAAGCCAAACGAAAAGGAGGGAAACCGGAGTGCCCGGTGAAAAACCCTCCAAAGGTAACCTGAATTTCAGGTTACCTGACCGGCGGTCCGAATTTGGTATTTTTCATTAAGAAATCGTCCGTAATGACATGCAGTTCTCATGCAGTTTTAATACCGTTTAATTTCTACTCATCCGAACCGAGTCCCAGGAATTGCTATTCAATTCTTGAGCTTTGTCAATTTGATCCTGCTGGTGGTCTAACCTGCGCAGCGCGCATATTGTTTGTCGCAAAACACCAGGCTCTCACGCGCTATGTCAGACAGTGGCAACAAAAATTATTTCAAATTATTCAAATTTTCATTTTATGATAAAGAAATTCTTCGTAAGCATGCTTTTTCATATGAAACTGATGTAGACAACAACACTCTTCTAATACCCATCCTTAGGACATGCATCTCATGCAACGTTTTTATCTTTTTTTATGCGTTCTGGATCACGGTTGACCGAAATTCAAAAATGGGGGAAGTAAATGTAATCGGGCTCAACATGCAACTTACTCAATATGGCTAATCAATCTCCCTTATCGTACGCACCTTATAATTAATTATCTTTGGTAAACAGTGTACCGAAATTCTCTTGCTTCCTTGCTTCTTTCCACGGTTGTGTTCTTCTTCAACAACATCTCGACGGTTGGGCGTGAAAGAAATTAAACAACATAATAAGTGCGTCAAAATGCAACGGGTTTTCTCTAAAGGATTAATCTTAGGCAAGAGGGTACTTATAGAATATTAACCAACAGTTTACCCAAGTCCAGTTATCATGCAATGTAATAGATCATGTAATACAGAAATATATTTTCTTTCTATTCAAACTTCTTCAAGTTGCTCAAAATGATTAGATTACGTTTTTTTCCTTAGTGCGAATTTTCTGAGCTTAAATTGAAATCCGAAAAATATATACAAACAAGGGAAACAGAAGAGTGATAATGTCAAACATCTAACAGTCGTTTATTCTTCATTTCAAACTTCAATAATTCGAATTTAAGACTGAAGTATAATTTTTGTTGCCAATGACGGACGCTCGCTCGCATTACAACAAGCTGCATGAACAGAGAACTTATATGAATCATATAAGTTACTCGCGATTACCTTCGTATTAATCTAAAACTAGGTCAATACGAATTCAATTTTTTTTCGCTGCGTGCTTTCGCGTCGCGCATGCTAATTGCATTCATTACTACATTTATTTCAACAATTTTACGCCATCTTTCGCAGTCGCTGAGGTGGTCGGCTTATACCAAAAAAATATAAAGATTTGATGACTTTTTAATAATTTGAGAAAAGGACTCATGAAATACCTTTCAATCGTACGCTACACCACCCCCAGTTTTTTTTTTAAGACCACCATAAGTCGCTAATATTCACACGCAAGTGATAAAACCATGCAGGATTGTTTCATTGAGAAACCTCGAAAACGCCTTCATGCATCAGGCTGTGAGAAATTTCTTTTTATCATGCATTGTCGAAAAGGGTGAAATGTCACTTGATGTGTGAATATACTTGGTTAGACCACCAGCAGGAATCAATCCGAGAATAAATCATGCACTGACATTAATCATGCATTACTCTAAGTATACTTATAGTATATACCTCAACCAGCTTCTGCTTGTACACCCGTCTCGTCGTCCATCATCTGATCCTGCGAATTTCCATTTGATGCGCGACGATCCTTCAACATCTGATCCTGCGACGATCCATCATTTCATCTTTAACGTAGATACAAAAATATGATATCATTCATTTCCAAGAGAGAAATGTCACTTATGTATAAAAAGAATTCAGGATAAAATCACTCAAAACTCGATTGTACACCTTCAACATCTCCAACGCCACTCGTCCAAAGCCTTCGCATTGCGCACGCGAATACAAAATATGTCATGCAAGTTTTGTAAGAAATATTCATCGTTTTCTGACTGTTTCTGAACACTCAACTATTATCTCCTTTTTGAAATACAATTTCTCATGCATTTTGATGTTTTAGGTGCTCTGCGAGCGATATTTTTGTTCCGGACTATTGTCGTTCAAGATGGAGGAAATACGAGTGATTGGGGCCCCAGAATCACTTGTATTAACTCCGCATGCGCTTGACACGACCAGACTCATGCAAAAACTTCGACTGAGCCGAAAATATGAAAATCAAGGAGGTAAACAGAAGAGTGTTCAGCATATCTCATGCCAAATCACATGCAATTTAACTCATGCACATTTTCATCAAATCGAGTTTTGTATTTGCGTGCATAAATGTCGCCCAAGGCAGCTCCGACATCTCTCGACTTCGATGATCCTTTCAATCTAAAAACAGAAAATTTCGGTTAAAACAAATCCACGGCCATATATGAAGCCTAGTAAGGCACTTGCTTTCCCAGTATTTTTTGTTGTGTAAAACTAAATGACATTGGAAGCAAAGCCAAAGGAAGCCATTACAGCAAGATAAGATATTACTTTGGAAGTAGAAAACTACAATAGACACTCTGAGAATAACTCAGCACACGTCAAGTCTAGCATAAAGTACACACATATACCAATATACCGGCCTTTTCCTGTACAAAACTAACCGATAAAAGGCCCTACGGACTAGTATTTACGATAAGACAACCGGTGTCCGATAAACGCATTCGCCAGCTGGCGAAAAGAGTCAAAAGACTCATTCTTAGGTTCATTTAGTTCATTTTTAAGATAAAGTCCCAAAAAGTTCGATTAAACTATATTCTAGTTTCGCCCACCGTGCAGTTGCAAAATACACATATATTAATAGAACAATACCTATTATCCCCTACAAGCAAGCGTTTACGTTTCTCCTTCCCCATCTATCGGCGCCGTAGTTCGTTCTGAAATCAAATAAGCAAGGAAAACAAAATCAAGTTGACAGCTTATACTTGTATTTGGCATTTTCAATCGAGATATACAAGATATAGCGGCAAAGTTTGGTAAGAATATGTCTCCATGCACTCGCTAATGTCTTCTGGTTATTCAAATCAACACGACGATGAATTAATTTGCAAAGCCAGAGTTCAAGCCAACAGATTCTTTAAACCAACTTAACTAAGACCATACCTGAGCAGGATTCTTCTGACTCTTCCTAAACGTCTCCAAATGATCCTTCCTCTTTTCAAGATAACCAAGTATGAGTTTCTTTTCGCATTCAACCACCTTTTAAGACCTCGAAAACATTCCAACCGACAATGCACTTTATGCATAGCCAAACGACGTGCTGAACGTTTGCCGAACGCATAAACAACAATAGATAATGAGGCACCATTGATTAACTATTGTTTTTAATGTCCTCGGCAAACGAGGAAGCACCACGTTTAAAACAGGCTTAAAAGACTTATGCAAATAATGTAATTTCCCCAGCCCAGTCTGGAAGATCTAAGCCAGGGCAATATGTTTTGCATATTTTTATTGTCCGTTGTAAACACTGATCAGTGGTCTTAAGCGATCAATTGTTCTTTGACAAAAAAGAACCTGCGGCGCAAATCTGGCGTCAGCAAAGGCCAAAATCCGCCATACTTTTGTATTTCTAAACATTAGGACTTAGGAGCAAGTCCACCAGAATATGTAGAGCTCAAAAACACGCCAAGTGGAATAAGAAATAAGATATGTCTCTTTCTGCAAATGTTAGCTTTTTTAGAGTTTGTCATTTTAATAATATTTTCAAAGGTGTGAAAATACAATATATATACATTATTATTTTAATTCAATTTAAAAAATATATATAGATGCGTCCCAAAATTTCTTCATGTAGGAATGGAGTTGGATAGAAAAGGGCCCGAAGTTGTTATCAGTTTATTGGTGGTAAGGTCGTGTTCTTTTCTTCTTTCTGGTTTTTATCGTCTTGTTCATCAGGTTTTCTCTCTTTAGTCTCTTTGTCCACGTCTTGCTGTTTCTCATGTTTCTCTTCCCTGACGATCTACAATCCAATGCAGTACAAAATATCATACGATATAATTGAATGTTCAACTACAACACTGTTCACTTCCAAAGCTACTGCGTTCGATCAACATTGATTTAGTTTTAAAAAAATATATCTACCTTTTTGCCAGCCTCTCTCATTTGTCTCTCTCGTCGTGCATTTGTACTGTGAGAAACAAAATAAATATTAAACACACACAATTATCATGCAGAGAAAACTATCAAACACACACAATTATCATTTTTATTGATATATGTTTTGTCAAAATGAATCATAGCTTACTTATTCATATAGGAAACATTCCAAGTGTCAATGCGACTTGGTGAAGCCATGATATTCAATATTCTCAAAAGAAGCTCATGATTTTGTTTTGCAATCATCTCTTGACGTCGTTCCTCTCCCTCGAATAAAAACAAGATAACATTTGTGGCTTCTTGTTGTGTCACTGATGATTTCATTTTGTATGTTACACGTTGTTGAGGTATTGTTTGTATTTTTCTCAATTTTCTGTGCCGTCCTGTTGTTGCTCGAGTGTTCATCCACAATACTCACCATGACTCTTCTCAATCTTCTTTGTACTCGATAAGTCTCCTCTTGTTTATTTTTCTCCAATTCTTGACAAATTCGTGGCTTAATTGCTTTCAACTTAACACAAAAATACTGTCCTTAGTTTTCCATCCACTCATCCTAACCACGAACTACACTGAGGTGAATCTTTTATGTTCGTATCAAAGTCAAGCGGACCTCGTTTATTATTTTACTCGCTCTCAGATAATGCAAGAATTTCGTACAAATTTTATATTTAACTAAATCTTGATCAATTCAATCGTGTTAACGGAGTTATTGCTTTACACAAAGCCTTCCATTTAAACGGGGTTGAAGTTACAAAACAGCATATCTCAAGACAACAGAATCTCGGTTAAAGAGGGTGAAAGTATATATGTACAAAACACATGTACTATTCATGCTTTTTAACCGTGGAGTCGGTTTGTATAATAGTTTAAGCGTTTTATGGGTTTAACGATTTAACCTCGCTTTGCCTTGAAGACAAATGAATGCGCGTGCGCTGTTTTCATCAGCAGGAACCAACCAAACTCTAGGATTTATTACCTTTTCTCTGTGTCTTTGATAAGCCATATCTTGCCATTTTCGTTCAAGCTGTTTATTACTAGCACAAAACGGTCGATTCATGGCTTTATAAAAACTCTAGTACACACACTGACAACTACAGAATGTAATAAACGCCAGAGCGTGTAGTAAAATTGTTTCAGATATATGTCAAAGGCTCAATATTTATCGAGGAGATTGACAGTTTGGTAGAATAACCAAGACAACCGCTCTAGTTTTGGGCTTAAAATAAACAGACAAGTTTAAAAGAGATTAGATATGGCAATATCTTATGCAAATTTCGTACATGACAGTAAGGAAGATTCATCAGTTAAGTAAATTTCAAATTGGCACGAATGCTTAGCGATACTCATCCACGATAATACCCCGAGACCACGAAAATACTGCCTGTATGAAAGACAACATTAGTGCAGGCGTTCATGACATACATATTCGGTGAAAAATATCAGGTTGTCTTTGCGTTATATAAACTTGGTAACTTCAGTAATTTCAAAATTAATTAAGAAATTCTTCTTTAATTTTAATTATAATTTTCTTTTATATGTTCACTTTAAAATACAAAGATACTGTTTTTGTTTGACACAATTGATGTTAAGTAATCCTTGCTTAACAGGTATTATTTGTTTAGATATATGATAACTATTCCTTTTTCCAAGTCCTCTACAGAGAAGTGGACATCAGCAGACAGAAAGTCATTTGTATAATAAAAAACGGGACACTATATTTTCCTAAAGCAACTGTTTGAATTAGACCCTGCATGGTAAATAAAATGAGATTACACCAGACACACTGTGTTTTTATGCCTGTGTCAACAATGGATGAATTAAGAACTATATGCGAATATCAGATAAAAAGAGATTACGGGACCTTCTCAACTGAACCAACCTTTCTATGTCCCAGCGGAGGTCTGTCACGTCCTTTATAAAAATCGTTCTTCGGACGCACATGCAAATCTTAAAAATTTGCATTTTCGCGCCTGGAGAGATCCTCTCTAAACTCCGGTCGGCAGTTTTTCCCGTTCACTTTCATGTTCAGTTTGTTCTATAGTGCAACTTCCACTTCTTTCTCGACTCTTTTCTTTTGTAAGATCATTACTCTCATGACGCCTTCGATAAACCACGACCACAGCAAGAACAAGCAGAAGGATAAAAAATAAAACAATAACAATGATGAACCCCAGCTTGAACTCCTCTTGTGCCGTCGATGAATGACTTGTTTCAGCTGGAAAAAGGACAACAAAAAATTAGGTAATCCTTCTTGAGGACAAAGTATTGCCACAAAAAGAGAACGCGTCTAGATTGGCTTTTGATGCAGCTCGAATCGAGTCCCTATCAGATTAGACGTTTAGAAATCATATGAACAGAATTAGGTTACACCTGGCAACGAACCTAACCACCCAAAATATATAATACAATACCTTGCGATCCACTTAACATGTAGTAATCTTCTTTTTCTTTCGTTTTAATTGGGGAAAGGTAGTCCGACTCATAGATGAGTTCCAGCTATAAGAAAGCAACCACGAAGGTAAATCAGGTCCAATGAAGAACAAGCCACTGAGGAATATGCATTACCTGTTCATTGTAGAATTTTTGAAAAATGGTGTACATTGTACCAGGTGAGAGTGGTCCATTGAAATACTTCATTCCAATCACACCCAAACTGTATCCACCATCACCGACAGTGAATTCTCGGAAATTTTTAAAATCAGCGACGTCGAATTCTGCTGTAATATAAGATGGCTCTGTGGTTGTTTTCGCGTCGTGGTAAGATTTGAAATTATTTGGATGAGATTTTGGAAGGCCAGCAGAGAGCGTCATCACAACGATTTGAATGAATCTAGAAGGTCAAAGAATTAGTTTGTATCGTTGTTTCAGTTGGTTAGACTTTAGAAAGATACCACTTTAGAAAGATACCACAGTAATGCCTTATTTCATCGTACCTGATCTCTTTTCTTGGCTGTTTCAATCTGACACTAAAATTCGTCTGACTTATTGTGAGAGGAAGTATTTCTGCTGGTGCTAGAGAAGAAGAACAAATTTTGATATTTTGATCATGATATCGTCGGGGTCTAGATGTAGTATAAGGTTGGTGATGTGGTAGAGGTGTAGTGAATGACATGGTGATGGTTGGGTGATGACTCTGGTGACATGGTAAAGGTTCTCAACCATGTCAAATTTCTCTAATAATGACTGACCGTCAATACCTGCATTGGTTATCACAATTTTATCCTTGCTGTATTCTCCATATCCAATTTTGTTTCTAGCTGAGACTTTAACTCTATATCGAGTGGCTGGTTTCAAACCACACACAACACAACCCAGAGATTTCGTCCTCAAAATGATGTTATATTTCTCGTCAGATGGCACACGCGCAATCAAGACTTGGTAGCCAAATATGGGAAGACTGTTTCCGAGAACGGGAGATTTCCATGAGACTTCCAGAGACGTTGAGCTGCCAACTTTTAATTTGATCTCTCTAGGAGGGTAACTTGGCGGCACTAGTACAAAGTAATTCATTTAACAAAACAAATATTTGTGTTTTCATGATTTAATAAATTCAGCATGTTGGTTTTTTCTACCACGAGGCCAATTTTCGCTTATTATATCTTTCCAGTGCAAAGTGCAGGTGGAAAACTGTGCAAAGGTAGGTTAAAATATGATACGAATCATTAACTAAAATATTCAGTTTCGGAGACAAACTCTCGGTACAGTTTTTATAAATAAATTAGTTGTGCATTTTGAATGAACCCCTCCTGGTTCAATCGCGAGTTAAGAATAAGTTGCTTTCAGTTCCTCAGTGAGGTTTATTTTGAAGTCAACAGATCATTCATTATTGTTTAGGGATAAAGCTGTGACTTGTTAAAACGTTTGATGAAATGTTTTGGAAAAGTTTTAGCTAGGTGTGCAATAACGTGAAGTGCAAACGAGATGATCCTAAGCTGATTCAGCGTTTAGTTCGTTATTATTTTCATTTGTATCGTTCATGGGAATCTTTTCTTCCGCTGTTGAGCGTTTTGGTTTATCTTTTGTTGTCTTTTCTTTGGCGTGTCGTCCTCGCCATTTTAGAAGTAAGAAACAAACAATAATGGCGATCAAAATACAGAATAATACAGTCATGATTATGAAAGGCACTCTGAACGTTGTCGGCTTTGAGTTAACGCACTGTGCTGAAATGTAGAGCCAAACAGAGATGATAAAATACAAGTCAACTTCACTATTTGAATGAATTGATTGTTTCTGTAATTTTCATATTTCGGCCTACCTTGAAACCTGGTTTCACTCATTTTTACACCACTTGTTTCGACGGGATCGAGAAAGTCAGAGAAATACAACACTTTCTACAAAGGAAGTGTAAAGAAGAATGTCTCTTATCAATCCTGACAACCAGATTTACTATAGGAAAAAATTAAAACAAGAGATTCTTCAAGACTGACCTTGTCAGAAAGGAATCTCTGGAACAATGTGTAACTTGTGTTGGGTGCTAACGGTCCATTGAGGAACCTCTTGGCCTCATTCCCTCTCGCATTCAACGATGACAGCGCGGGATATATTGATCTATTTCCAACTGTAAAGGTTTGATATTTGAAGAAATCTGAGGCTCGGAACTCCGCGGCAATATAAGGCACAGAAGAGTCTGCTGCATCAAGGTACGTGGCAGGATTGAGCGAATAAATATCATGATTAGGAATTCTACCATCTGATGACAAGGCAAGTACTACCACTTGACAAAATCTATATGTATAAAAAATTGAATTAAAAGGTTCTAAAAATGAGAGCTTTGAAAAAACGTTTTCAGACACAGCGTCTTACTTCACATCTCCTCTGGGTTTCTGAAGTTTGACCGCAAACGTTTCACTGGTTATTGAGGGACGATTGCATACAGGAGCATCTAAAAATGACAAAAGTGCGGCAATTTGGAACTAAACCAGCTTTATACAGGACACTGGCTATTCCTAGAGGTCCAGTGTCAGTACAGATGTCAACCTCAAACCTAAACTAAACTATCTTTATTTATACTAGTCTGGTAAGGTCATGATCTCCTATTAAGAAAGTGTTACCACAAGATTACCTGCGTTTGTAATCTGAGAATATTCTTCGCTGTAGTTCCCAGACCCCGCGTCGTTTCTTGCCAAAACCTTAACTTTATATTCAGTGGCAGACGACAGATAACCCAGGCTAAAAATGCTTGCTGATGTTCTTAATGTAACATCACATTCCTCAACAGATTTTACCCAACCAAAACAAACCTCGTAGCCGTTAATTATACCATTTCTGCGAGACGAAGGTGGTTTCTCCCAGGAAACTTTCAGTGAGCTTGAAGTGACTGGTGATAACACGATATTCATTGGAGGACTTGACGGGGCTGTGACGAAATGTTAAATTATTATAGATCAAACTGTGCCATTTGTACTGGATAGTTCTATCAGTTCTAAACCGTTCTTCCTAGAGGTCCAGTAAGAATCATCTCTTATTGATCCAGTGTTACTACAGGAGAAAACCCAAACTTAACTAACTTTAGATATACTGGATAGCTCAATCAGTTCTAAACTGTTCTTCCTAAAGGTCCAGTCATTAAACGCGATCAGTTATGAAGCCAGATTTACCTGTCGAGTTGGTTCTGAAAGTAAGCTCAGCCTTGAGCCCGTAACCATGTTGATTACCAGCTTGCACAACCACCGAATACTTCGTGTAAGGTCTCAACGCAGAGAAATGCTTAATTTCAACCTTGCTTGTGTAATTAGAGTCAAAATTACCATCTCGGAACAAAATAATTTGATAATCCGTAAAACCTCCATCACCAACGTTTGATGGTTTCAACCATGACAGGTCAGCGGAATGGGCTGTGACGTGGGTCAGCGTGAGACTCATTGGGGCGTCAGGAAGAAGCTCTGGAAAAAAAGTGAGAAACTCAAGAACATCGCGAGAAAACAATCAGATACAATTTCAAAAATAATAAAACAAAGACATACTGTGTCCACATATCTCAATTCTCATGCAGGGAGTGCCTTGCCATGATTTGGGGAAAATCTTAAGAAACCTTGCGTTAATAGTTTCATCAAACACAACACTTGATAACTTGTCACTTGCAGAGTTTCCAGTTAAACGCTGAATAAAGAAACGAAATTATCAGCATGCCACCATCCCCCGGTATCTTACCAGCCCGTTATTCATCCTTTCTAATTCTCTTCCTAAAAGGAAGACTATCGTAGAAACAACGAATGAATGAAACTTACATTCTTACCACCCACAATTACGGGCAACCAATCATTGCCATCTGCAGAGTACAACACTTCGTATTCCTGAACCCAGTTCCCTCGCTTTACCTCCCCTAACACGGACAGTTGCTTGATGACGTATAGCATGTTAACGTCTATCTTCAAATAGTCATGTGACCCGTCTGCGTCACGTGCACACCACGCGGAACCGCTTGTGATCGCTGCTCGGTCAGCGGGGTAGCCAGGAAGGAAACTTGATGCGCTAAACATGACAACTGGATGGTTTTTACTGCTGAGAACTGGTTCAGAACAGATTGAACCTAGAAATTGCAAACACCTACTTTAATTTCGCCCAGGAATTAGATCGAAGAATTGAATCCTTCTTCATAATGAGACGGTTTAAGCAACACCGAACAACTTTAGGAAAAAGATACAAAAATATACTCACAAGATACGCGAGCAATGGACAGACAAGTGCTTCCATCTGTATCAACCTTCTCTAAACAACAAGCAGATATGTTGTTTTCATTGCTGTTACAATACACATTTCCATGGATGACGGGCATTTCCGAATCCCTACTCGAGTTCCGACCAACATCGGGCTGCTCCGGTAGGATATCGGAATAACCCAGCGTCCGACAAATCACAGCTTTCTCAGAATCTTTCATGTCGTTGATGCACAAACGTTGCCAGATATTTGGTTTGTCGTTGGATGTCATCTCAACGTAACCTGCACTAGGGTTGCTTTCGGAAGAGAGACGCACCTTTTCAACTAAAAGAGGGAAACTTATGTGAAATTGTAATATACTTGACTTCGTTATCCACGAAAGAACACAAAATATTCAAATTCAAAATCTATATCCTTCACCAACAATATTAAGCCATCATCGCCGAGTTTCGACGAGATATGACAACAAGGCAGACGAACTTACTAATCACATTTTCTTTTTTAAATTTCTTTCTTTCCACGCATCTATACTGGACATAAAGATATTTTTTCATTCCTGGACAAGCATCATGCTTGAACTCTTCTGTCGTGACATTCATCTCACAGCTTTGACGTCCATCGCATGTTCGTCTCATATAGCACAAGGCTGATGGCAACAAACAGTTGTAATTTCTATAATAACCACACGTTTTCATCGAACCATATCCTCCATAATTTGCCTTTGTTATTTTGATCACTTGTGAAGCAGGACAGTTTATGTCTCTCGCTTTGCTTCCCTCACACGTGACAGAACCTAGTCATGATGTAAAACACTGCACTTTAGCAAGCATTATGAAACAGGACCTCCTCTCGAGATCATGAAGATATTATCACTAGGAAGAACGGTTTAGAACTGATAGAGCTATCCAGTATAAATAAAGTTAGTTTAGTTTAGGTTTCCTCCTGTAGTAACACTAGATCAATAAGAGATGATCCTTACTGGATCTCTAGGAAGAACAGTTTAGAACTGATAGAGCTATCCAATATAAATAAAGTTAGTTTAGTTTAGGTTTCCTCCTGTAGTAACACTGGATCAATAAGAGATGATCCTTACTGGACCTCTAGGAAGAACAGAAGAAAGATCATTTCCAGAAATACTGTTCGTTGAATCATATAGTACTAATACATACCTAACACAAAGTGCTGCAATGTCTTATTACAAACTGCTGTGTACTCCATTTGTGCGCCCACGGGCGGCGAGGAACCAAATGACGTATGAGGTTGAATACATTTACCATCAGCATGACGTAAAGAGCCATACTCAGTCTGAGTGTAGGCCTGAGCACTCTTGTTCTTACAAATATCTTTCGAAGCGAAAACCACCAGCTTTACGCCTACCTTCGGTGTAGTTGTGCCAGATAATGGCAAAACACAACCAGCAGAGGAAACGTGCTGTAGAACACCTTGGTCTAAGAAACGAAATTGTGCTTCGGGTGCTGTGCAATCATTCGTTAGTTCCAGGATCCATATTTTGGCCCATGCTGCTTGAAGATGAGGAGTTTTGGCGCTACGGACACAGCGAGCACTTGAGTGTTTGAGAAAAAGAGAATGGTTTCCTGAAAATCAAAGAGAAAATATTTCATTTAGCAAACAGACTCACGCCTCTCTGTGAAAAACAGATAAAAGCAATCATTGTGGTCGATATAAACGTAGTTTAATGGTTGAAGGAAAAAAATTTTTTCCAGCTTTTAGACGTATACCAAAGCAATTAACACAATTGTAAACATTAGCATATATTGATTTGAAAAACCAACAACGCTTATTTTCCCACAATTTGCATATTGTTTCAAAATTTAACAACACAAACTGATAAAAATAAATTTACAGAAGTTTAACCGACAAACAATTAGACATTACTGCATACGCTCTGTCCTGGGAGTCGAATTGCAGACCCAAGATTATAACATAAATGCTTTCAAAGTGAGATATCTGAAGCAAATCAATCGAATTTCCATTAGATGAAAAAGTATACTGTAACAGATGAATTTTACCAGAAGGATAAAAGGTGGTATAACTTTTAATCATTTTAAATCGATATTTATACTCATGTTAAACGGTAGATAATAAATATGGCGCATAATACCTACGAGTGATTTTGAGACCATAAGAACCATAAGACTTATTCAAATCATATGTAAAAAGCGAGTTACAGCCGCAAGATCAGCTTGACTTTTCGGGCAGTTTCAAACGAAATAACAGTAAAAAGTTTAGTTAAAAGCATACCTTTTAATGAAAAACTAAGCAGGATTAAAACACCAAGCCACAATTCGATAAAAAAACGGCTTTTCATGATCAAACCTTCAGAGCCCGGGCCTTGTTTTAGCGTCTGAACTCTGCAGGAAACTATGGCTAGCAATCGAAACTATAAAAGTTTAATTTCATGGGAAGTTACAACTACACAAATCGCAATTACATCGCGCCAGGAGGGTTGCTTTATTCAATAATTTAACGCTTTACTGAATGTGATCAAAAATAAGCTTTATGAAAGGAATATGCCTACTGTGCCGTTTTTGAGGGCTTTTGTTCGGATATTTTTTATATTCCCGAGTATGCATGGTATAAAGATTGACAGCTAGTGAATACTACAGTGAAAAATCATATTCTAGAGAGCCGGCGTTCAAGCACCAACCATATAGCTACTCGCGGTTAAATTCATGCCTTATCGCAGGGCAAATGTAAATGACCCCTTGAGATCTTGTAAGCCACTATCTGGAGGATAAATTCGAGGTAAAAAAATAAAAATAATTTCATGAAGCAGGGTGAAATCGTGATAGAGAAATTGGTAAAAGTTCATAGTTGAGGTTTTAGGTTTAAGCCTGATATTTGTAAGCAGAAGTAAAAACTCACATTTGACTTCTTCGGATTTTCATTGACCCTGAATCCAGTGAAGAGGATAGAAACTGATGAACAGCTTTTTGCCGGTTTTGTTAATCTTGTTTTAAGCAAGATCGTGATCTTGCATGACTGTCAGTCAGTCAGTTATACAAGTTGGTGTATTCTGAACATCTCTCAATTTTGATTAGGAAAAGAAGCTTGCAGTTAAGATGGTATTTAAACTTCAGAAACGTAGAACCCATGAGAATCGTATATTTTTATAGATTCATGTAAACTCGTGGTACATACGTCTTCATACAGTCAATATCTAGCTAGTATCATTGTCAGAATATTCGCAAATTATATTTCTAAGCTTAATCCACTCGTGCGAACACACGAATACCTAGAGAACTCTCTCTCCTACATCATCATCTATTTTTCCATTCTAGTCCTCAGTTGCATTAGTCTCGCGTTTTCAAGGTAGTTAATAATGCAGATACTACACTAATTTCCTCTCAGATCGACTTTAATTTTACCCTCAGTCAATTTTAAGATCATCGGGACAATCGGGTTGACGAAATGGATGTCCCACTTTGAATGCGTCTATGTTCCATCAGACGATCGTTTATCTCAGAAATACGCGGGAACTTTGTCATGTCAACTTTGAATCTAGGAAATTCACGTAGCGTTAGTTGAAATCCTAGTTTTCATATTGCGTATTACATAACATATTTCTAATGGTACCTGTTAGCATTGAAAACTTGTGGAACAAGACAAAGGTCTGCCATGGTTATCTTGAGAAAAACGTAAAATAAGATGTCAAAATTACTGTTTCTATTTTGGCAAGGTTTAACAGGAATCAATTGAAGTTAGCAATCTCTTGCCCCGGCATTGAAGGGGGACTCACTCCTCCCCCCTTATCAGCATTAAAAGAGTTCAAAAAAACCCCTGTATTTTCAATGCCTTATAACATGAAGTAGCTATGCCAGCACACATGTACCTCATCACCAACACAATATTTTCCAGATGTCTTTTTCAACATTTCCTCAATGCCTAAAAAACAAGTTAAATGATTTCATGAACAGAATTGGAAAAGGTCAATTCTCTGGGGTGCTAGGGTAAAACATTCAGTATACCTGGACAACAACAAGCTTGTTGTTCCAAGGTTGACACATGCTTTGTTGAAACAAATTAAAGCTGCTAATTTCTACCTTCAAAACGTTTGTCTATAAAGTAATGTGCCCATTCAACTTTCTTTTCATCGCCAACCTTCTTTAGAACTGACAGATTCTAGAAATGTTTTGACAATAGGAAACCATACTGATTAACCATTTAAATAAACATTTTAACAATATTTGAAAATTGAGCTGACCTGTACAGGTTGAGTGTCCATTGCAATGGCAAACACAATTTGACGGACCTAAATATATGTTTAATGAATCTATAGAGTTGGTTCCAAAGCTGATAAGATAGATGCTTAGAGATAGATGCTTAGAGATAGATGCTTAGAGATAGATGCTTAGAGAAAGAGGCTTACTGCAGCTCTTTTTGCAGGATCATTGGGAGGTAATAAAGGTGGCTCTGGTCGTGTTTCCTCAAGGTATTCCAGAATACTGATCTATGGAAATATCACAATGTTTAAAATAAAAACATTTAAAAAATCTACAGCCAATAAAACTTCACATTGCACTTATGTTAGATTGTAACAATGCATACCGATTGAGTCAGCGTCAGATTGTCAATAAGAAGTGTTGGTAAAGCATGTATTGGATTTAACTTTGAATATTCATCAGAAAACTAAAAATATAACCATTTGAATGATAAGCAAAAGTAAAAATCTTCTACTTTATGTGGAAAATTAAAATTTTGGGGAATTAAAACTATTTCTTGTAAACTAAATACGAACCTGTTGTCCTCCATCTTTGAGTAAATGGACAGGATTCGTTTCATAGTCAATGCCTTTCAATGCCAATGCTAAAGTGTCACAGTGAACATTAATCCATGATATAGATGATGATAAAAAGAATAGTTGTGACATGGTTTTCAGACAGAGCAAAGGTTCCTGATTGGGACCGTACAGGCATTGTCAGAAACATGTTTTGTCACTCAGCAACCTGCATCATAATGCATATTGTACATAATCATAAAACTAAACTAGCTTGCAAACTCAACTTTTGAGATCCTCAAATATCTATCATTGAGGAAACCTACCAATACGCACTCGCCATGAACATGAACTGCGGAAATATGAATACAAAATAGGCTAGAAAAAAATCATTAAAATAATGTTTTTAGTGTGCAAACAAGTAAATTTAAATTAGTTCTATTTATATAATCAAGTATTAAATCAATTTTTTTTCAAAACCTTACCTTACTCATTTTCGGTATAAGTTGAAAATTAAAGAGGAAATATTTCTTTTCAATTTATAACTGAAATTTCTTATTTAATCAGGTTATTTTCTTCACTCCTCGCGGCGGCCACGTTGGATTCCACCCCGAACGTTTGACGTACTTCTCACCCGTGCGCCCTGTTTTTACCCGCTTTTAGGCCAACTCAGGATCAGCAGACGAAACGGGTGTCCTTTAATCAATTGGCCTATTAATAAATAATGACCTCCTCCCCCCCGGAATGGCATAGGGACAACCATGGGGATGGGAGGAGGGGGGAAGGGGTTCTTTTTCTGACGTTGTGGTAAAGAGGCCTTTTTCACTTGGCTGCATTCCATGATCATAGGGAGTTGATAGTTTTGATAATTTGATATGTACAGTACCTGGTTAAATTCAATGTATTACTAAATACAAAATACAAATTATAACATACATCAAAATATACATATTTTAAGTTAAAATAAGTATTTTCATGGTATTTTTAAATGTGACACATATATTTGCGATATATACAATCTTAGATGCATAATCATGGGCGTGGCTATGCCTTGGTCTTGGTAATACTAATAAGATATTTAAATCTTCCAAAAATATTCCATACTCTTGTTCCTGCATGAATTGGCTATCAAATCATTTTAAAAACTTAGATCTGAGTATCCACTAGCTTGGCTAGAATTAAAGAAATTGGGTTAATAACCAACTATTAAAAAGTTCTAAAACTAGCAACACTGCTGCAACAGGTCATGATTTATTGACTGTATCTCCAGAGACCTGTTGCAGAGTTGTTATAATACAGTTGTTTGGGTATTTGAGGTAGCTGCCGCCTCTGCTCTTGGCATGTTTTCCGTTTGACAGAAGGCTTTCTTCATTTCTTGAGCCAGTTGTTTCTGCTGTACAATGTCACTTTCTAAAGCTTTAATCAAATCTTCGACTGTTGGTTCTTCAGATATTTCTCGCCATCTTTTCATCACACTCATACGTTTCATCTCTTCACAGCCATCAGAATTGTGATGTGCCATTTCTACTTCATAGTCTTTGACACCCAGATACTGGACAAACAGTTCAAAAAACCTGGCAGAACGACGTGCAATCCACAACAAAACTTTGTCACTAATCTCCTCCTTGCCCAAAAGAGCACGGATGACGTCAAACCGTCTCACATCTTCACTCTTAATAACTTCAATAATGTCATTCCATTTAGGTTTATATTCACTATTTAGTGCTTGCTTCCTCCAAGAAAGAAGTATTTCAATTTTTCTTTTTTCCACATCTTCGTATTGTTGTTTAATTCTTTCAATCTCATTTGAATCAACCATCAGTAGCATGGCACATTTTTCTACATCCCTGTTTAAATGATGTGCTAACCATGGAATGTGACATTCACGGACTTCATCATCAACTGAATGTAGCTCTGTTGAAGAGAAATGTTTTTACTTGTCATTACTTGTTGTTTTTAATAGCAATACAAAACCTATTATATCAACATTATTTGAAATTTTAGCTTCTCTGTATCTTTAAAAATCAAACATCAGAAATACTTTATAAGAATAGATACAACTCAAACTCTCACCTGGTTTCGTTATTTGGACAATTGGTTGTTTACAGGCATCAGTTTGCTCATTGACAACATCCTAATAAAACAAAAAAGGGATGTGAGTTGATATAATGCTTTACTGGATTATACAGCTTTTAGATTGAGTAAGATGAATTCAGCTTGCTTGGCTGCTTGTTACAGACATTTGCATGTATGGATGCAATTAAGCTAGATCATACTTACGTTCAGTATTTTATTCAATTTGACACGCCAAAGAGTTTCATTATCATCTTTGACCTTGACTTCCATACTGTGATTGAGATTCTCTAGATCAAAACTAAAATCAAACCACTCTGCACTTTTCTTAATAGAATTTCTTCCCATATCAAAGTTTTCTTCATTCACACATTCATCGCTTTTATAAAGGCCAACATTTAGAGTTCCTTTCCTCAACAGTTGCTTCGCTACACACTCTTTTCCTTTCACAAACTTTTCCTTTTCAGCAATAGTCTCTGGTTCTCCTTGCTGTGTCGGGTTCTGATAAAGTTCATCGCTTATTCCAATTATCCGCACATCAACATTCTTCTGCTTCTCATTAAAACAATAATAGACCAAAATATGAAACAGGACTTCACCACAAAATAATTTTAATATGTTATACTTCACTTTGCCAAAGCCTTTTTTTAAGCGAATAACCCAAACTCTTGAGGACTTTTTAACTGGTATTTCAATATTTTTGCCATTTTCCCTTGTTTTGCATTGATTGGTGATATCTCGCCAGTCTGTTGATCCAACCTCTTGTTGTAACACCAGATAATCATGATCTACTTCAGTGCTGAATGATAGTTCCATGTTCAAAGCATTTTGATTTTGGTTCATTTCACATGAACTCTCAAGTTCAATATGAAATATATTTTGACCAATTACGCTTTCACATTTGTCTACCTCTTCAAGTAAACTTTTGTCCATCTCATTCTCGCAAGAAGATAAATCTTCTACTTCCACTTGTGGTGTGTGTTCAAGGGTGGATGTACCATGTTGATTTCGGACTTGTAATGTGAAGCCATTACCAGACAGTGTATGTCCAATCCCCACCCATGTCTTGCGACAAGGGAAAGTAAACGATCTCTCCAAATACATATGTATATATATGAATACTACTCATTTAAAGCTATGACATATTCATTACATTATTATTCTGGTGTTCTTAATTACTATAATGTGCTGTACCAGAATGATAACCGGCCTTTTCTGTCGATGCGCTGTATATTCAACATTAAGATTTATAAAAAATACTGGGTAGCATACCAAGTCTAAAAATATCTTTGTCAGATCTGCCAACCATAACCTGGTGAAGATTTTTAATTGATCCCATGGGTGTAGCATTGTATGACTCTAAAAAATATGATATGGAACAATTGGAAAAATGCTTTTGTGGTTGATTAATTATAGCGAAGCACTAACTTATTTTACGTGTTTGATAAATGTGTGTCTGGACAACAACATACATAAGATTTCCCAATGGCATAGATGACTGGGAAGTGGTTTATAGCTAGGTTTCAGTGTTCTTCTATTTATTTAATATGATATCAAATTTATTGAACAATGTTCAAACAAGGAAAATGCAAACGGGACACGAGATCCCATACAAGGCATTCCTCCGATTTCATATAAGACATAAATTACACAGCTACACACATCGAAGAGTAAGCATATGCCACAAGCTTGTTGTTGGTTGTTTTTTTGAAGACACTTATCTAAAATATACTTGAGTTCAGTTTAAACTTTAAAATTAGGTACTCCTATGCAGTGATCTTTGTGATTTATTATTTATACACCAAGGCTCTATGCCAGATCATTTTTTGTGCAAAGAATGTACCCTAATATCAGTCAGGATCGATTAATATTTGACACTTACCACTATGTCGCAATGTTCTGCGAGGGTTGGCGCTTGAAGCCGCAACGCCATACAACGGATGCCAAGCTCCGTGAGATCTGTTTTCTCCTTCAACTCTCCTCCTTACCTCCCCCTGCTTCTGATGTTCCTTAAAAGACATGTTTTGAACCAGTTACTGTTCAGAAAAACATCGTGTTAACTACAACAGTACAGGAATCTGTCAATCTTTGATTTACTTAATTTGTTGACATCAATCGAAAACGGGGACTTCCCCCCCCGGCACTCCATAAACACACGTGCTCCCGATCAACAACATATCAACAACGTCCAAATCTTGTGCTGACACGAACATATGATCATAAGCAACAGATGTGAAAGTTAAAACACTAAATATTATACCAATCCAAAAATTGACAAAGGCGTTGGCTAGTTCTTGTCGGTTAAACAAATAAAGTACAAAAGCAAGGATAAGAAAAATCCCTGCAATTACGCCAAATATTATAAAACTTTTATCAGACGAGTGGTGTTGCCATCGGCTATAGATGCCTAAAAATCCGCCTGCCAGAAACGTGACAATTGCTCCAGCAGATATGTACTTTATTAGTCTTTCCATTTCAGACAGACAAACACTTGTCTTCGTAGAATAATTTATGCTTGAGAACTTTATACGAAGGTTGTCAAAGATCCTAAAGAACTCTCTCACTCCTTCGTCTTTACATCATAATTTACTATAACATAACTTTGTTTCCAACACAATCCTGAACGCGTTCTGGCCACTACTTTGGATTTCTTGTTCTATAAGTTTCTCCGGAAATGTGCATGAATGTGCATGTGGGATGTGGATCATATATTGTGGAATTAAAATGAAGCGGGGGGGGGGCGAGCAGGCGCAGTCAATGCCAGTGAACTGTCAATGCACGCAGTGACTTTTAGAGCTCAGTGCGCCCGGAGTGAGCTCTGTGGTGACCACAGTGAGTGACCACCACTGAGCTATATAATACTCTATGTACTCTATGTACTCACTGTACTCTATGGCGGCACCATAGCAGCCCAATGGGGCGAATGTTTTACTGGTATTTGAATTGATAATTTGAATTTAATGAAATTGACAATTGTGTCATTAAGCGAAAACTTGTCGTCCTATTTCATTTAGGACGTTCGTTTCAATTCGGAGCTGTCCCAAAAACTAGTGGCAAGCACCTGTCTGAACGCATACCATCCCAAGTTTAGCAAATCCAAACCTGGGAACAAGGATAATTTATTGATTGGATTATCATAATTTCCGACACCGTGGCTGCAATCACCTGTCAATCACCGTGGGGACGTCCACTGGTGGGGAAGTAGTTTCTTACTAGGATCACAGCAAATTACTGAACTGAAGACCAACTAACTGGATGGACGATTGCATTTCGTGTTCTTCTTTGTTTCCATATTACAACTCCAACTCATTCTTTCTCTTTTCAGTAAATTTCTCGTTCTCTAATTTCACCCTGGTTTTGCAGTCTTTAAAACCAAGCAGACCCATCCGCCTGCAGAAACATTTTCCCCACCGAGTCTAGTTCAAATACTATGATATCCAGAACTCACACACTCTCCCACCGAGTCTAGTTCAAATACTGTGATATCCAGAACTCACCCACTCTCCCACCGAGTCTAGTTCAAATACTGTGATATCCAGAACTCACCCACTCTCCCACCGAGTCTAGTTCAAATACTGTGATATCCAGAACTCACCCACTCTCCCACCGAGTCTAGTTCAAATACTGTGATATCCAGAACTCACCCACTCTCCCACCGAGTCTAGTTCAATTACTGTGATATCCAGAACTCACCCACTCTCCCACCGAGTCTAGTTCAAATACTGTGATATCCAGAACTCACCCACTCTCCCACCGAGTCTAGTTCAAATACTATGATATCCAGAACTCACCCACTCTCCCACCGAGTCTAGTTCAAATACTATGATATCCAGAACTCACCCACTCTCCCACCGAGTCTAGTTCAAATACTATGATATCCAGAACTCACCCACTCTCCCACCGAGTCTAGTTCAAATACTATCATATCCAGAACTCACCCACTCTCCCACCGAGTCTAGTTCAAATACTATGATATCCAGAACTCACCCACTCTCCCACCGAGTCTAGTTCAAATACTATGATATCCAGAACTCACCCACTCTCCCACCGAGTCTAGTTCAAATACTATGATATCCAGAACTCACCCACTCTCCCACCGAGTCTAGTTCAAATACTATGATATCCAGAACTCACCCACTCTCCCACCGAGTCTAGTTCAATACAAATGATATCCAGAACTCAAGGTGTGACCAATTCATGATTTACAAGTCGCCATCATTCCGTCTTGTTCCGAACTTCCGGCTGCGTTCTTTGTGTACATTCATCGTACATCTACCACTTATCAAAGAATTATGAGTTCAAGTTACTGCGTACGACCTACCAGCTCGGTTCTTCGTCTGCATGACGATGGTACAAGCTGTCCACCTCGTTGCAACCGTCTAATTACCGGTAAGTACGCAGTCTGTACCCCAACTAAACTAACAATAACCTTGCTTACATCTTACATACTAGGAATTTCCGCCACTGCTTCGCTCTTTGATCTTTGGACTCAGCGCTTCGTAAATCCCTTGTTTTCGGTCAAGATAAAGTAAAATGAAGATGATTATTGTTACAATTTATTGTTTCCATTTAGTGTTAAATCATAAAGTTTATTCATTGGAAACTCTTTGCATGAAAAATATTTATAAAAAGCGAAGTAAACAAAGGATCATTTTTCTGCTAGGAGACTATAGGAGGATTGCAGTTGAAAAATTGTGCTGATTACTTTTAAATTTACATTTTGTGTATCAAATTCTAGGAATTTCCCAATGCGATTTAGTTGTTGAAAATTCAAGTCTACGCTCTAACGCAACGATGGTCGTTAAAAATGAACGAGCGTTTGGTCGCGCTAGTTTTGGTAAAGTACTCCTTTTTATGAATTATTGCTTTGGGCTAATGCGAAGGGTTTTGAGAATATCATAAATCGTTGACAAACTGTTTCCAGATTTTTCATATAACCATCTAAACTTCTTTGTCATTTTGAAAAATAAAATATTTTGGACGTTAGAAATATTATTTTTGTTATTTAAATGTTGATCCATCCAAAAGGGAGAGTCCCTCTGCATCTTTCATCAAATGATGTGACATCACTGAATATCTGCGCAATGTCGTCTACTCACAACAAACAGTCGTATAGGACTCATAGGTCGCCGGCTTTCCTTTAAGCCGTCAAAATGATCAAACCGGTCATATTTTGAATTGAAATGGAGCATTTCGTTAATAATGTAGCGGTGAAACTGCATTTTCCGTGCTAGACAGATGTAAATAACAAGTACTAAAATGCTAGGAATTCGAACCAGGAATCTGCATGTCTGTACAGTGAAATACAACAGCCGGAACCGCTTAATATCTCTAGAAGTTTATATTCAAACATTTAGAAATATGAACTTACAAGTCCTATTTCTTGACAGATGAAAGACACTGTGAAGTCAGTCAAGCGCGTTCCGTAACTGTGTTGAGGGGAAAAGGATACATAGTCAATGTCCCAATGTCCAAACGCAAAAACTTTCGCATTCAAGCGCTTGATACAGCACCCTTCTGGAAAAAACTGGACCAATGTTCTCCCAAATCATCCGGGGACACAGACGTCCAGCCAATGTTTCTGGTAGAAGGAACAGATGAGGAGGAGCTGAAAGGAATAGAACTACAGTTGACTATTTTCAAAAAGAATAATTTCAACTTGAAGTATTTTATTCTTCAGCAAGACATACCTTCTCTGGTTTGGCGTGATATTACACACATGTCTAAAATTGGAAAAGGTACGTCCTTCCGTTGGACAGTAAACTAATTGCCTCATTAACCAAGTCAATGTGTTTTGCCCTTACTTCAGTCAAGAAAACACACCCGTCACTTCCATATCGTGTAGGTTTCAGTGTAAATTGTTACTCTCTAACAGGCTTTTGTCCTGAAATCAGGATCCCAGTTCAAAATTCCGCCCGCATTTGGGTAGTCCCTTTTAACCGTCGCCAATGCAATCTCCAAATGATTCTGGACCAACTGAATGCAAGACTGTCATTCCACGTTCTGTCGTATCTTTATCTACAGCAAGCGAAAATTAAAGTTAGACTCGTTGGAATGAGAGAGGATTTGTATCGCAGCCGTGATGCTTGTTTACCACCAGCTGGTAAGATCGCTGGAGACCAAACGGTTTGGAAACGTGGTCCAGAAAGCGGCCCGGTAAAGACGCTGTCTAGGAATCTCAAAGTTGAGTTTTACAGAGATGGCACTTGTTTTAAAAGCAGCATGTTTGATATTGAAAAGGCAAATGAAGACCAATTCACAGATGAGTGTCTTTTTGATGTAAAAGATCTGTGCGCAACCATGAAAGCAAAGGTTGTTGATGACAATGGAAATTGTGTTTGGTCTCTTGGTTTAAATGAAATACCGTTGTTGGCTCGCGTAAGTTCACAACTTAGTATACTTATGTCTACGTTGTCTGACTGCCATAAACTGCTCAAAATACTGAATCACTATGATATAACTTCTCAAGACAAACTTTTTTATATTAGCTCAAAATTTGTGCAATGCCGGATGATTTACCATGGCCAGCAGCTGAAGATCGCAAGCCGTTGATCATCGAACCGACGTATGATGAAAGCAAGGAAAAAGTGGAAGAGAAGTTGGAGTTACGATCTTTCAAAAGGTCAGGAGAAAACCTGGAGGGTTCACAACGCAAAAGGTCCACCAGACTTTGAAGATTAGAACGTTGCCGTTTCAATATTCATGTGTACATAGTATATAATATTAGCCTCACAAAACTGTGATTATAAAATACGTTTACATCAACAATGATCCGAATTCAATTCAATATTCAACCATTGGTTGCATGTATGTATATATGTCTATTCTTGTATTGATAGTTGAACATAACTGAGACGAAACGTTACCAATAAATCTCTCAAAAAATTTTAAACTGTGTAATGTCTGTGTTAAAAGTTATATGTTGGGCTCTTATATTTATATTTATTCTAAAGTCTGTTCACAAACGCTATCCAATATTGTTGGATCCAATTCACTTCTGATGTATGAGATGTAGTGTATGATCGATAAAGCAATACTGAATTGGCTTCAGTGTATTTGCTGCACATATTCATTGCAAGTCAATAGACTATTAAACAAACAGAATCCCTGACTGACGATATCCGGCGACTATCGTCTCTCTTACGCAAGAAATCACACCTGGTTCCCTTGCTATAAAACATACCGTCAACCCAATTGCTTTCAAATCAGAACACGAATAGGTGTATTAACGTATATACACCTCTGCCGCCTCTGGTTATCGGATTAGCCACGGCCCTATGAGGTACTGGACCAGGTGCCGCTTCAAGTTGGCGATTTGAACGCTACTCATAAATGGTTGCAAGTTTTTATCTACAAGAAAGAAATCATGCATCACTCATATGATTCAAGTGGAAAAAATAATGACATAACTTTCAAGAATAATACTGACATATTGCTTCGTTATATGTGGTTACATCACGCCAAGAACATGACAATGTAGAATTTTTTACTTTAATATCATCGACTCAAATGAAAAATATTCATACGTCATAAAGGTCAAAGTCCTTATATACTTCAGCGTGGGCGTGGGCTATAAGCACACATAGTAAACTGGTACTGAGAGGGCAGACTTTCTATGCTTAAATTTCAGTCTTTTGAGTCCGTTTAATAACTTTAAGTAAAACTACAACTGAGATTATGAAATTACAAAGTAATTACAAAATCTTTTTAGTTGCTGACTAATTCGTCTTGATTATAAGTTTGTAAACTTATTATCAAATGTGGTATAATAATTATATATTACATCCACCTACCTAATTGTTGTTAATCTAGAACCATGACTCAGAGATTCCTTTGCCTTTGGACGTTGACAGAGAACAGTTTTTAGCGTCGTCAGTGCAATATCATTCGCCATTGTTGGCTTTGCTGAATGCTGATAATTTTCGTAAGCAGAGCAACTTGGTTCCGTATTGTCGTAACTAACGTCCGCATTTAAATTTGTCTTCTATTTTTCTATTCAAATTTGGTCGGCATTGGTGATGCTCGCATAGAAATATTTCTTTAGTTTAACATCAGTCATCTTAACGTGTTCACGACAATTTTGACTAAAGGCATTAAGCTTGTCTAGTCATATCTCTTAAGGAAAAAAACAATGGATAATCCGCTGAGTTAACACGTTCAACAGCACATGAGAAGCACGATGTCTTAATTGTCTTTTATCTCTTTGTTCTAATTTAATAGACCGGCCTCCACATCTATTCTTTCTACTTTCAACTGCTTTATTTCAGGTCTCAGCGTTCGAATCCGGTTTTACATGGGCGGTAATTGTGATAAAACATTTGCACGCAATTTTGTAGTTAACTATTCTTGATATTATTACTAAACATCTATTCATAGCGTTAGTTTAAGAGAATGCAAGTCGTGTCTTTAAAGAAACCTGGGGAAATATTACATTAGAATGGTGTTTTCCACAATTCTTGCTGTGCAAGTAAAGTTACATCATCGTTGGATAACATTTGCAAAGAATTGGGCCTTCAGTTTGTAATTCTAACATCATCCGAGATGCTGTAACTTTCTTTCTTTGTAAATCCCCTGAAAGTGCTTGACACCTGTAAAATACTATTCTCTAACGTTCTTATGAAAACGTGGCAAAACTTTACATGTTGCTGATGATGCATTCCCCAAAGTGCTTCCCCCCCCCCACCTGCAATAAACCATGCAAGGGGTGTGATGTAATCATCAACTACAACAACAAATCATGCTATGAACACTGAAAATATTTCTTGTTGAAGGTGTTAGTAATCATATCATACTTTTCTTGTTACTGTGAGTGTTTCTTAGACGAGTATTTTTACAATTATTATGTTCAACCTTTAAACTTGGGGAGCTAGAATCAGCTGACTCAGTCGTGCGTGTTATCTCACATGTCGTAGTCATGTGATTTAATATCTTATTGTGATTGGCTATATCCGTATATATCGAATGCGTGTGAAACAGTGGGGAAATTTGTGAGGGAATTCCCATCTCAAAAAATATAAAACCCGACACGTTTACTGTTTTTTGTCGTTTCATCTTGGTTTTTGTGCACGACCCTACTCTTTAGATAGCCTCGAAATAATCTTACAAACCTTTTTTCTGAATTTAACAATGGAAAGTATGAAAAAACCAACTCCAAAACCAAGATCGAAGCTACTTAGTGACAAAGGCAAACAGCAAATGGAACTTGAAGAACTTAGGATGGCTCAGGTCAGTGAAAAATACGATTCTGGTATCGGTAGCATGTCAACTGTTTCGATGGACAGAAGCGTAACTGGTTGCGATTCCACGGATTATATATCCAGAGACCAGCTATGCAGCGAACAACCAGAGTTGATGAAAAACATGGCAGATCTAGTCATTGGAAGTGGGAAACATTCTAGCGCTGACGATGGGTTTTTTTCTATGAGTACGGACGGTAAAGAAAATCGAGAGAACTCACGTACGGCTGTACCATTTCCCAGAATAATAAACTATCATAACCCGAACACCAATGTTACTGCTTTTGACCTTATACGAAGTTTTGCAGTAACACAGGAACTGAGATATGTTCTGGCGCCATTGCGATTGCATTTACTGCATCAGAACGAAGACGGTGATACGTGAGTATTTTTACATTTAAATGTTTAAATTTAAGTATATATGCGACTAAATACATTAAACATTGAATAGCTAAAAAATAGGACACTTTTGCGTACAAATTTCGGTCAAAATTTTGCAAGAAAAGCAAAAAAATATGAAAACGCAAGTAAAAATTGTTGGGGGGAAAGTACCTTTGTTTGCTGGGGGTATATGGCGTTGTTTATTTAATTGGAAAATATTTCAATATAAGCGCCCTGATTTCAATCGTGTTTTAACGCGATTTCATGTCATTTATTAGAATTAAACTGCAGTATTTGTTATATATATCTAGGTTACTATGAACTGTTTTGTCAGATTTGAGATTTTTGATATAAAAGTGGCTGAATTAAAGCAAAATTCCTAGAACATAATGATCTGTTTCATCCATTTTTGAAACAAGATCCGTACTTCCTTTTATGGTATGATCTGAGAGGCTCATCTTCCTGTTGTCTCAATGTCACCTTGGTATTTTCGTCCAATGATGTTAACAAGAATTCCCGGATTAGTTTCATATATATGTAGTTTCATATGCTATTGACTCATGGATCAAAATAATTTTTTTATTATTCCAAAATATATTAAAATTATGACCATAAATAAATCACATTCTGATTGTTAATTTTTTGTTTCTAGATCTCTCCACTTGGCAATTATCAACTGCAACGAACAGATTATTTTACAGATGATAGATGTCTTAAGAAACCCCGAATGCTTTAATATCTACAATGATCTTACCCAAACCCCACTACATTTAGCTGTGATAACAAGACAGGATAAAATTGCAGGCAAACTAATAGATTATGGAGCGAACATTGATTCGGTTGATAGAAATGGACAGACTTGTGTACATCTCGCTTGTCAGTATGGGGACCTCAGATCACTAAGAGCGATTTTCAAGCAAAGGCCATTTAGACCAGAACTAGCTGAAAGATTACCGGAGATTTTAGAAACAACAAATTTTGATGGTAAGATTCGAAGATTGTCTTTATTTGACAGGCTTTATTTTGCCTGCACTAGAAAGTAACTGAATAAAAAATTTTTATTGATTCATTTTAGGATTAACTCCACTTTGTATTGCTGTGAAACAAAATCATATTGAAATAGTGAAGGAACTGATTATGCTTGATGTGGACGTAAATGCAATTGTAAGTATTCCTGGACAATAGTATTTTTTTACCTTAGTTTCATTGGGTCAAGTCTATCACTTCAAGTTTAATATTTGCAATATACTATAATCTTTGCACTGCATCCATTTCTAAAACTTTTTTCTATATTATAGGACACCAAAAGTGGTAACACTGCTTTGCATTTAGCTGTAGAAGACAATAATCTACCAATGCTTGCTTGCTTACTATTCCAAGGAAAGGCAGACCCAAACGTAACATCATACAATGGTAGCACACCACTGCACATTGCTGCAGGTTTGAAACTTGATCCAATTGTTGCAACACTAGTTGCCATTGGTGCAAATACATTAATAGAAAATATGGAGGGAGATACTGCTTTTGGCATGGAAAGTGAAGATTGGGAGGATGTACCTGACAAGTATGAGATCGCTAGAGAAACGTTTGATTCATCAGATGACGATATGGAAGAAATTGACTGACTGAAAGGGTAGACTTTGCAATAGTTTTCTGAAGAATTATGACATGTTGTGTAACTTATGTCAGCTTTTTATTATAATTTATATATGTTTAGGCACAATGTAGTAGAATTGCGCAAGTCTGATAATTATATGTTTGTAAACTTTTACCCTATAATTTACCAAACTTAACAAGTGCATCACCTAAGGCTAATGTATATGAAAACACAGAATGTTATCTTGTCATTATTAAATGTTATACTGATTTAAAAGGAAATTATCAATATAGGAAATGTCTGTTCATGATAAAATATTCTGTACCTATTACTTGGCTATTAGTGAAGAACAAACAATGCAATGGATAGAAATTGCAGTACTGGTACTATAGTAACAATGAATTGACAACCTACCAGTTTTCCTTTCAATTCTAATCTTGGAGCTGTCAGGATTTCTACAGGTTTCAACATGGACTTCTAATAACTTTTGACAAAATTTTGCATTTGAGTGTCACTTACATAATGTGACAGTACAGTATTTATTTGGGTTGTGGGCATATAATTCGGTGGGGATTGGGTTAGGATTGTTAATAATAATGACAGATAATAATGACAATTTCATGCACCATCACTATTCAGATAGACTATGTGTATTCATTAACCATTTTACAAGGCGATGTACTTTATGTAAATAGCGTTAAATTATACATAGATTTTTGAAATAAAAATGTATGATTAAGTTGTGACTTGTGTGACCAAAAACTATTAAAACATTCTGAAAGTTAGCAGGGTTATGCTTCCAAAATGGCTAATCATAAAATCCGGGAAAATTTTCGGCTAAGATATTTATTATATATTATTAGATTTAAAATTTATAATTTAGCTATAAATATTAGATTTCCTTCTTGGCATAAAACAATCCCCATTTTTGGTAGCCAACTGAGCAGCGTCCTAATTTTTTCTCCCATCCTGATATTAATGCATCGTAGTCTTCTTGAGAAAAATGCTACAAATATGTTGCAAGTAAGATAATCTGGAAGTTGCACAGGACTACTATTGCTTAGAATTTTACCTGTAAAACATTGTCTTTATCTTTTTCAGCACGTGCTTTTTCATTTGATAGTACACTGATAAACTGTTCAGTTCTGTCTTGAGCATCCACTTCAACAAAACCAACCTTTTCCAGAAGCTAAAATGTTAGTCATTAAATCATCAGTTACCATTAGGTCATTTGAATTAAACTCAACAGTTATTATAGTTTGAAATGTTTAGAGTTAACAAAGAGTAATTCAAACTAACAAACCTTTCCATAAGAAGCTACGTCTAATAAAAAGTAATTTCTTTGTTTAACATAGTTTTTGAATTCCTCATTCTCTATATTAGTACCGCAGCAATAATCTGAAATGAGTAGTTGACCACCTGGTTTCAACCATTTCTAGGTAAGGAAATAGACAATTAACCTCTAAAGAAGTAGTTAAAATCAACACAAAAAGGAAGCTAGCCATGAACATAGAGTTAACTGACCAGACACAACTTGAATAGTTCTTCTTTGTTTTCAATATGTAAGATTGTATCCCGGGAATAAACAACATCGAACGAGGCAGGTTCAAAATTTGCAGTTAATGCATCTATAACTTTTAGTTGAACCTTGAGTTATACAGGAAAAAGCAAATGAGTAATGTGTGCAGGGGTGCTGGAACCATGCATGGGGACAGCTTTCTCCATTGCCCTTTGCTTATGGGGGTGAGCAAGGGCAGCCCTGTGCTACCATGTAAAAGTATCATAAATTCACCATTTAATTATGATGCCTACTTTTCGCATAAAAACTAACCAGTAATATTATTATTGAAAATGTGTTCTCCCTGGGATTTGCAAGTTCACATGTACTTGTAAATTTGAGTTTCCTCTTTGTGTGGTTGCTAAGGTATAAGAAATGTGTGCATTTCTAAAACTCCACCCCCTGAACTGCTTCTGGCACCTCCGAATGTGCAAGTTATGGCATACTATACAAAGACTCATTAACAAACCTTGTCTTTAAAAATGCTTTCATTAGCAGCTCTTTCCAAAGCGATATTCACCATATTGTTTGACAGATCAATTCCGAGAACATTTGCACCATATTCCTAGGTACACTCACAGTTTAATGAATACCATATGATACCATATCACAACTTGGCAACGGCGATTGCACAATAATAATCAGGGTTGGTAAGTTACTGAATAAATAAGCCAAACATTGTTATTGGCAGCCCTTTGATTCCTTTGTTTTAAACAAAGAAAACAAATGTTATGTTAATATATTTGGCTTATTTATTCATAAAATCTACCAACCCTGATAATAATTGCAGTAGCAATGAAGACAAACAAAATATACCTTGGCCATGTAAAACGCACTGCCACCAATGCCACATCCAATATCTAGAACACTTTGATTTTCCTTCAAATTCAAACGGGCAACAAATTCCTAAAGTTTGACAATTTTACCATGAGTGCGTGAGGCTACAACCAATTAGAAATAGGGTAGAGTGCAAACAATTGTGACACGTTTCTTCAACCCAAATATACAATCTGAACTATACGTATTGCTAGGGCTATAAATATAAAGCAGTTATTAATAAAAATACACGACATAATATGACAAGTCAATTGCATTTCGTTCAGTAGAACCACAGAACCAACCTTGGTCGTATCAATTCCTCCTGTGCTCACAAACCCAACACCAAAGATTTTCTCGTATCGTAAGATGCCTTTCTTTGTGTACTGGTTTTCGTCTAAAAATTTCTGCATTTGCGAAGAGCTGTCTTGCGCCATTGCAAAGATAATTCAACTATTAATTTCCCCGATTATATAAGTAGCTTCTTGAATCTTGCTAATAAAAGAAATCACGAGCGGAAATTGGTCCTCCTAGCAATAACCAGGCAATAACCGAGAACAACCGGCAACCACCGAGAGCAACCGACTGGCAATTTCTCAGTTTCTAATTTCATGTCCAGAATCCACGAATATAATCCTCGATTTTAATCCTTTAATATAAGTAGTTGGGTAAGGGGGTTAGGGCGAGGTTTAGGATTAAATTAGATTAAAGTTAGGATTATATTCGTGGATTCTGGACATGGTTTCCCAACTGGCAATTCTAGGATTTCACCAACAAGTTTTACACCTAGTAACTACTGAGTATTTACATAGTATATGAACTGCAGTACACAAGGCATACTTTCTAAATCTTTTAGCATAAGAGTAGGTACATAATAACTTACTGTACAGGTAAAAATAAATTAGAACAATGAAACCTTTGAAGGCTATCGGTTACTAAAAACTTTACATGAACTTCACACCTGGAATTGATGAGTTGAAGTAGAAGTAATAATAGTATTTTAGTCGTTGTACAAGATACGAATGCAGAGCATTGACATCTGTGTCGTACTTGTAACAAAGAAAAATGGTAAAGGCAATAGTTATGAGCAATGAAAAAACAAAATATAGCATCAGGATTGTTCCACAGCTGGTGACTGCAAAAGAGAGATAAATGGTTAGAATAGACAGCAAATATTGCTGGCAACTGTGAGCTTAGTGTAATGGTGTGGAATATTACAAATTTTCTACCTTTTCTTTGCTGTGGACAGGATGATTTAGATTCTTGATTATTCTCAGGATTTTCACTTTCATTCCTCTTGCTGTTGGATTCAAGAAGAGTCTGCTCTTTCTGACTGTCATCATTTAATTCATTATTTTCAGATGTTTTTTCCTCCTCAGCAAAATTTGCACCAATTTCAGATTGTTTTTCAGTCATCTCAACTTCAGTTTTCACATGTTCTTGAACAGGCTTTGAATATTTCTCCATTGCAGCTAAACATAGCAGTAATGACATCAATCCTCATGCCTTTTGATAGGATCAATAAGGGACAAAAAAGGATTTAATAGAACTATCTAGTGTGAGGGCAACAGATTTTATATTAGAAGGCCACTTCCTAGTCAGGTTTATCCACGAATATCCTCTAACATACCAGTGTACTGCTCTTTTCCCATTTCAGCATAAATCAAAGTAAATTGGGTCAAACTTTTGGTTGTTATAGGATGTGTGTCACCATAGACCTTCTTACGCAATTGAGTTGCCTTCAAGAAGACATGTACTCATTTTACACAATTAAACATTTGTTCATATAAGAATGATTACATCATACAAAAGACAAATGCAACACAATACCTTCCCTGCATACTCCAAAGCAAGTGGAACACTAATAATATAAAATATGTATAATTTAGGAAAGTTTCTAACTTCCTTTCCAAATGGAAGAACTATCAGATTACATACTTGTTTTGTTTCAAACACATTTGTGATAACTTTTCATATTCATTTGCCATCTGTGCCTCATCTGGAGGCACATCTGTATCAGCAGTCTTGAAGATAATTACAATAAAATAAAAAGATTATGAAGATCTAATCCATTGTCTGGGTTTTTAGTAACCAAAGGCTAACTCACCTCAGACGACTTTTCATTCTGGTCTTGTTCTAACAAAAATACAAACAAACATTCAGCAACTATTTTATTCACAAATCAATCAGTGACAATCTCACCATTTGCATCATCTTTCCCAGCCTGAATAAGCGCGGTTTCATAAAACAACTTCTCTGCTTGCACGAACTGAATTGCTTTCTCATCTGCATAGCAAATACTTAAGGAAAATAACGAATACACTCTATTTCTACAAAGTAAATCACTTTCTGTGATTATCTGCAAGGATACACTCCCCTAGCTTGCTATATATCTCAGCAATCTATACAAAAATAATTCACAGGATAAATATGATCGAGTTTCATTGCCTTCTGCAGGTTGTCCTTGCAAAAATATACTTCACAAATCAGCAATTCTCAAGGCTTTGTCAAATCTTACATTGTGAAGACAATACGGCAGTTCTGAGAATGAGTCATCTTGTTCAATATCTTGCAAGCAACACAGAAAACACTGCAGTGCACGGGCATAGGAAGAATTTCTCTGAAAATTAATAATATAAGTAGATTATATTACACTTGTTAAGAATTCATGAGTAAAAAAAGACATGAATTCCATGTCAGTATAAGCTAGTTTATACTTATCTCCAGATAAATCAATGTTTTTACCTTGAATCTATACAAAATCAAAAATACAATCACTTTTGTTATATTTACGTTGTTATAAGTTTTTTCACTTAGAAAGTTTGGATGAACTTTTTTTGATGCACCATGCATAGAAAATACCTACATATATATTGAATTCATCTCATAGAAGCCGAGAGTGGAGATTAAAGATTTAAATTTGATAAAAATTTAGCCAGCCTTTAGCTTTTTTTGTCATGACAACGACATGCGCACTTTTGTCTTTAAATTTCCCGCTCAAGACTTCGCTAGTATTTTCATTATTTCCTAAACTGTTCTCAAAGCACTACTAAAGTTAAACCCTGGATGAAAATAATGTCGTACTAAGATACTTACTGCAGACCTTTATCATACAGAATTTTCCTCTCGTTTCCTGCAATTCTCTCTGAAGCTTCGAGCAAGCCCTCCGATAACTGCGCTATTTTATCATCTCTAGACTCTGATTCCTGCATATTTCGATGCCTTTATCAACAACAGATTTACGCTACATTTTAAAACAGCAAGAACTGTTGTTGAAAGACCTACAGTAATTTCGTATCAAAACATTTGAAATTTAAAATGTTTTGAAGCACATTTGTTAAAACGACTTTGCAGCTTTAAAGCGATAAAAGGATATCGTGGTACACAAGTTGATTACAATGTGTTTTGGTGTATTACAGTGGATTCACGGATGGACAATATTGGATCATAGGAGGATGCTGTAGTATACACAACTATGGATAATAATAGTTGGTTATAATAGTTGATAAAGGATCCAAACGTAAAAATGTCCAAGTATTCTTCTCATGTTGTCAATGTGGAAACAGGTTGTGATATAGTTAAATGTCTTCAAAATTTTACTACGGCACAAAATCTCCGAGCTGCCTTTGTTGTTGAATGTACTGGGGAAGTAAGCAGAGCCACCTTAAGGATGGCAGAATCATGGAAAGCACATGAACCAGTAAGTGGGTGGCAACTAAATTTGAAAACTTCCTTCTGTATAAGAATATCTTTGCAATGTACTGCTAGCAAGTCCATGTTTGAACCTATAATATGATGATTCAACAATGTACCACCAATATAGGTTAAAGAAGTCAATTACCAAGCCAAGATAGAGTCATTTGTTGGTACAATAACTGGTGAAAATGGTCATTTACATGCATCACTGTCTAGCCAAAGTGGTTGTATAGGAGGCCATGTTTTTGGGCCATTGATTGCATCAGAAACTGTTAAAGTTGTTGTTGGTGTATGTGAGGACATTGCATTCACAAGATCACACGATGAAGCAACTGGTTACCCAGAACTGGTAGTAGTAGATATCAATAATTGTGAATTGACAGGAAAGCCTCAGAAAGAAATGAAAGAAGATTCAACTATAAGAACATATGCTGTTCGTTTGATCCCAGGAGAAGAAATTTGCAATGGTTTAAAAAGCTTTGTAGTTGAAAAGGAACTTAAAACACCATATATCATGACATGTGTTGGTAGTGTCACAAAGGCAGAACTTGCTCTGGGCAAAGATGGAACAGAGGTACATTGTTAGTGTCACATCTGTTAGATCCAATGCAGTTTACTAAATTACCAATGCTCTAATTCTAGGTTGTTACAATGGAAGGCTTTTATGAGATTGTGTCATTACTTGGGTCACCTGATAATCTTGAGATCTCGATATCTGACAAAGATGGTCATGTAATTACTGGTCATGTGACAGGAGAATTGATAGTTTTCACTACAGCAGAAATCGTTCTTGCTGACACTCAATAAATTACAGTTTATTCACGACTCAAAGTTGATGTATATTTTTTAAAATAAATCATACAATTTTGTATAAATAAATTATCATTTTCATTTCATTCTAATTGTTAGAAATCTTTGCTTCGAATTTCTTTAAAAGTAATTCGGAATATTTATCTAATAATGGCTCTATCTGCTGGCTTTCCCGCTGTGTAAGAATGTATTCTGTCTGTTGGGAACTGTCTTTCGTTTCTGGTTTTTGAGCTTCCGTTTGACTTCCTCTTTCAGTTTCGCCGTGTTCCTCTCTCGGCTCCAGGGTTCTCGAAGCTCTAGGCGAGCGCACGTGTTTTCTTTCTCGTTCAGTTTTACACTCCGTGATACTCTCGTGTATCGTGGTGAAGGTCGCAGCAAGCATTGATAGTCCTTGACGTTGATTGTCCTTAATATCACCATTCAATATCTGGAAGAAAATCATCTCTTATTGATCCAGTGTTACTACAGGAGGAGACCTACACTAAACTAACTTTATTTATACTGAATAGCTCTATCAGTTCTAAACTGTTCTTCCTAGAGGTCCAGTAAGGATCATCTCTTATTGATCCAGTGTTACTACAGGAGGAAACCTAAACTAAACTAACTTCATTTATACTGGATAGCTCTATCAGTTCTAAACTGTTCTTCATAGAGGTCCAGTAAGGATCATCTCTTATTGATCCAGTGTTACTACAGGAGGAAACCTAAACTAAACTAACTTTATTTATACTGGATAGCTCTATCAGTTCTAAACTGTTCTTCCTAGAGGTCCAGTAAGGATCATCTCTTATTGATCCAGTGTTACTACAGGAGGAAACCTAAACTAAACTAACTTTATTTATACTGGATAGCTCTATCAGTTCTAAACTGTTCTTCCTAGAGGTCCAGTAAGGATCATCTCTTATTGATCCAGTGTTACTACAGGAGGAAACCTAAACTAAACTAACTTTATTTATACTGGATAGCTCTATCAGTTCTAAACTGTTCTTCCTAGAGGTCCAGTAAGGATCATCTCTTATTGATCCAGTGTTACTACAGGAGGAAACCTAAACTAAACTAACTTTATTTATACTGGATAGCTCTATCAGTTCTAAACTGTTCTTCCTAGAGGTCCAGTAAGGATCATCTCTTATTGATCCAGTGTTACTACAGGAGGAAACCTAAACTAAACTAACTTTATTTATACTGGATAGCTCTATCAGTTCTAAACTGTTCTTCCTAGAGGTCCAGTAAGGATAATCTCTTATTGATCCAGTGTTACTACAGGAGGAAACCTAAACTAAACTAACTTTATTTATACTGAATAGCTCTATCAGTTCTAAACTGTTCTTCCTAGAGGTCCAGTAAGGCTCATCTCTTATTGATCCAGTGTTACTACAGGAGGACAAAAGAATTTACAATTTACCTTTGAATGGCAGTCCAAAGCTCGTTCAAATGCTCGAACTAAGTCCACTACAACTTCTTGACATTCGTTCGTTGTGACTTCACTGGGAAATACTGAAAGAGAAATCCCAAATGTTATAATAATAATAAAAACAAAATGAACGTAAATCAGTTCAAAGATAGACCAGGAAAGTCCCAGAAATGACATCACCAAGCATACCTTTCCCACTGTCTGTCATGTGTCGTTCATACGAGCTGACGTCACTATTTGTCACGAGATAATCACGTGACAAATTTATCTGGATGAGCTGTGGTGCTGGTGTCGCTAGAGCCGCAGAGAGCTCAGCTGAGAGTTCACTCAATTCAGAGTTCGTCGTTTTAAAGCTTTTCTGTTGATCTAAAACCTCCAAATCCTCTTTCTGTTCATTCACAGATTGAGATACCTTTTCAGGCTCTTCCACCTCGACAGGACTTTCCTGAATATCTTTCGTTTTTTCTGTTAGTAAATCCCCGCAGGATTTCGCTTTTGGTAGGTTTGTCTTTGGCGCAGAGCGCCTACGATCTGAACTCTTCGTCTTCGTAAGTTTTGTTAAATTGAAGGGAAAAGATTTTCTGTTGTGAGATTTCTGCGTCTTCTCTCCCTCCTTGAGTTTATTCAAAGTTGTCTTGTTATTCGTTTCCTTATTCTTCGTTACCTTCTTGTCTTCCGCTTTGCTTTTTGTTTGAACTTTTTCTGCTTTCTTGTTCGTCTTAGACTTGCTTGTTTTGTCCTTTGGACCAGAATCAAAAAACGCTATCAGCTCTGCTGCTCGTTTTGTTGGACTTACTGGCTCGTTTGTACCAGGAGAATTTTCTGTCGAAACGTCAACTTTCTCTAAAACAGCAACTTCGCTTGTATCAGAGACAGGTACAGCAGATATTGCTGTAGATTTGTCTGTTTTATTATCGCCATTTTGTTCATTTTGCTTCGAAGTCTCCTCCCGTGGTTCGTAAGGTTTTGAAGCAAGATTTGTCGCTTGATTTTCATCGCTGAGTGAGCTTCGCTGTCCATCAATTACTTCGGCCATGTTGCTCGTTGATTCTTCCGTTTTTTCGACGTCGTGTTTTTTTGTCCAGTTATCTATGGATTTGAAACCCATCTAAACCGAAAAATGTTACTGTAAATGTCTTGCAATAGTAGGCTATAGCTTCATGAGTATATTAAATACAGGCTGTTTTGATTTGTGGTTTCTTATTTCTGCCTGAACAATGCTTGAATACACGAAAAACGTGAAGATATTGTAAAAGACAACCTATATATTCTCAGATATACAGACTTTAAGGATTTCTCTAGCTTTTTTTTCCGTCTGATTATGGACCACACATTGCCGCAGATGCAATGTTATGTGTTACAGCGTCGATATCTTAATTCAAAATCAACGCTTTGTGCATATTTAGAATACTTTGCCCTATTTGAATGCAAAACTTATGGAGATTGTTTGAATATTTTTTTGGCATCTGTCATAAGGATCTAAAACACTTGGCAACGAACTTACTAATACTGATTATGGGATTTTCAAATACATTAGATTTAACTCGAATGGCAAGATATGTTTACTTTATATTATACTAGCGTCTAGCGTCTATTGGCGTAGATTGCGTTTGTTTAAATCAGTCCATATCTACTTACGGCTTCGAGGCGTTTCTTTGTTGATTCAAGTTCTACTTTTCGCTTTTCCAGTTCAATAGTTTTCTAAATAAGGTCAAATCTGTCTTTAGTTTGCTAAGTCCGTGTTTTCAACCCCTTTTTAAGAAATGAATTCTGTTTCTCATCACTGCATTTCACAGACAAATATCACAAAAGCTCGGAGTACCCCCAGGGCATTAGCTGTAGTTTGATCAAAATAAGACTTCATACACATTTTCATCAAAACATAAAATCAAACCTGTTCTAAGCTTTCAATATTGCTCTCGTTCGTCGTTTCCGTCTCGTTACCCGATGTTGACCTAGTTGAGAAGAAAGTTATATTCATGAATAATCACGCGGTAAACTCAATATTTTTCATTGCAAGAAACAAAGGCATGCAGTTGTGGTTTCATTTTTCACGCGTTCGATCTCCCGAACCTTCGCAAAATATGCATTGTCCTTTGCGTACGAACCTTACAGAACTTTGCTTCGATCGCTGTATAAATCTGGCTGAAATACTAGTTCGATGAAAACTGTTTTTCTCGAAAGGCAAAGGCTCGCTTGGCGCCGCTTCATTTGAACCGAGAAACAACGGTTCCTCTTTGTCATCAGTTGGAGTTGAACCAAGATTTTCAAAATTTTCGGCGAAGAACTCCTTGTTGCTCTCGATGTCAGCTCGTTCTATGCTTGGGGCGGGTATTTCAGGTAATTCGTCCCATTTCGGCACAATTTCTGTGCTCAGCAAGTCTTCCTCATCCGATATGGAATCGCCTGAAATTATTTTAAATCACACACTCGAAAATGGGATTGAATCTGGTTAAATGACTCGATACCTGACCAGTTCTAAACTGTTCTTCTTAGAGACCATTTACATGTAAACAAAACTGCAATATTATTTATTTTATACAGAAAATAGCTGAACAGTTCTTCCTGATGTAACGATATTCAGTATTTCTTGTTCATCCAGGACTAACCTGTTCGTTCGTCAACCTCGTCCCTGGAAATCGACTCTGTGTTCTGAAGAATTACAAGGCCATGAATACAACAACACTACAAAGTACGTTTTATAAAAGGCAACGTTTTACCAACCTGACTTTCCCGCTCTTTTTCATCTTCACAATCTTCAAAAATTTTCACGTCGTACGGCCTAAACGAGCCATTTATCATCAACAAAACACATACGAATTAGGTTTAGTGTTACGATTAGTTGGAGTTAGGATTAATCTTATAGATTAGATTTGAGATTTGGATTGAACGATTACCAGATTAAAATGTTGAGTAACTTATTGTTTTAAACATCTAAGATTAATTTATTAAATCCAACGAACTTACACTGATTCTAAGGTTTGCTCAGTTGAATCTCGTCTTCCTAACAAGGCAAACTCAACTTCATGAATGACAAGATTATCCATCGAATGACCAGAACGCATTTCAAAATATCCAATTTCATCGCCTGCTGAACTTTGCATAATCTCCTGGATAGATCGTTTCTTGAGTGGAATTTTATAACTTGTCGCTGGTAACTCGCTCTTTTCTTCGTATTTAAGATCAGGTTTAGTAGTTGGGTTAGTTACGGCGTTTATTGATGCGTTATGTGGGTTAGTTTTAGACGTCTTGTCCGAGGAAAGGCTTTAAACAAAATTAAATTTACGTTTTATGTCGACTTTTATCGTTAATATGTTATTCCGTTGCTGTCACTTCCGTTGGAGCTATTTAAGTTATGAACTACAAAACCCTAGTTTATTTTAACCTGAGGATTTAATTTAGATGAAGGTATAACATTGATACGAAATACGAATCAGTTTATTGCAATGGCATGTCTTACACTACAGCAAAAAATTCTCCTTGGGCAAAGGTAAGAAGCTCTGCCCATTCAAACACTGTCTAACTCTAACTATATTCGTGGAATAAATAATGATTCACCCTTATCTTGGGTGATGGTGTAACGTCCTAAACCTCTCATCCCACCTGCCATCTCACAAGATAAAACTAACTTTATTCTTGTGAATCATATTCATAATCATCCTTACCTTGCTATTTCATCATCCAGATCTTCCTCGTTTGGATAATATATGATATCCTCGACAATTTCTTTGTTTGCTGCGATGTCTTCAGGATCGTTTTGCTCCGAAGAAGAGGAAGACGTTTTGTATTTGTTACGTCGGCTTTCAATTGCTTCAGCATTAATATCACTGCCTCGCGAGACCGTCACCTTTGACTGTAAATTCTCAGGACCCTTTGATGGTGCATGTTAAAGGAGAGTGGAGAATGATTAGTTTTGGGGCGGTGGTGCTAGTTTGGGGTAGTAGGTGGGGCTAGTTGAATCGTCGTAGGGAAGGTTGAATAGGTTAGTTCGCGGTGATAGGTGGGGTTGGTAGGTAAGCAGAAGATTTCTCAAAGAAAAGGCAAATGGTTAGCGAATTCATTTATAAAAACATTCACACACATACTTTATTCGACATTTCTTTTTCATAAATCTGCAAAAGAGCTTCTGGATTTTCAGAGAAAAACTCTTCCTCGTTTAGCTTTTAAAAGAGAAAACAAAATCAGTTTTATAAGGAGAAAAAAAGTAAAATAGAGGAAGCCGAAGACAGATAATGAAGTTTGAAATCTGCAAACAAAAGCACTAAATTCAATATAACATAGTGAACCAAATTTCACTCACTGATCCATTGGAATAACGTTTTTCAAGCGGCTACAAAGAAACGTGACACAAGTTGTAAGATGGAGAATAAGTTGATGACATTTGATTTGTGAGATGTCAGGCTTACCGTGTTTGCCAATATATCCAGGTGACTGTTTATGGGCTTTCTTTCAGGACTTCCGTCTAAAGAAATGAATGAAAGGTAGAACAATAAAAATAGACAAATGTCTTTTATTGCAAGCGACCACTTACCAAGTCCTTTATCATCTTCGTCAAGAGAATCCGGGAAAATCTGCATTGGATTAAAACGCTAGAAAAAGAAATGGTTTAATGATAACTTGCAGGATGTATGAGGGCTGCTTTGTAACGACTGTTTTGATTAAGTATAAAAAAGGACTCGAAACGCATCATTTTCAGTAAACTCACTTCGGCCCAGCGTCCTTCGGGCTTTCCTCTTGCATTGAGTGTTGATGTATTTGTCGTCTCAACTGATTCAGTGATGACAGAAACCTCCATGTCCACATTCGTGATAACCTGAATACATATGGTAAGAATATTTAACACTGGACTGTATTTAAAAAAAAGCTTAATTACGGCTGTATTTTTCTGTCATTATGCCTAATGAATAAGGACGAAATACGACGGAGAAATATGACGATGAAACACGACGATGAAACACGACGATGAAACACGACGATGAAACACGACGATGAAACAAGACAATGAATATGAACTATGGATAAGATATGGAACGCCAATCACTAGTGTTACACAGTTTACCTGTTTTTTAGCCCATGTGGGAAGTTTTTTGATTGTGCTAAGACGATAGCCGTCAAATAAGGTGCCAGCTATAAAACAAAAAAGGCTGAATCATTAAAGACCATTTACTATTGCAGTTACTTCACCCTGAACCCAAGTTCCCTTGTCACACCAGTGACACCATTGATCTAGTGAAATGAATCAATTTACTAACGTTCTTTCATCTCAAACATATCGTCCGTAGCTGGTCGAAATTCTTCATCTGTTCCATCAATCTCGTTCACGTCATGAAGAGTTGTTCTGCTCGGTGATTCATCCAGTTCTTGCATCTTCTCCAACATATTCTAGAAACGAATGTTTTCTTCAGCAAATCCTCCTCATCTCGTCCAATACCAGAATGTTAAACACTACATGACTCGACTCTATATTACCTGGGAAAACGCCGACGGAAGTTTCCAAACAAAGATACAACTAAAGGAGAATTGAAAATGTTTCATTCACTCGACTGAAATGTCAAATTTAGATGAAGTCAATGGGCCTCCATAAGAAGCCCTCGGTTCGACGCTGTTTGCCAATAAAGCGTGTTCCAGCTTGGTTAACTGTACATTGGCAAATCAGAAACACGCTACGTTGGCCAACAACGGCACAAAGATCTACAGCCTATGACTACAAACTCACCCGTCTCCCGAAACGGTGATCAGTCGTTCACAGTCCAGTGAAAACTGTAGGCCAGTGACGATTTCTGAGGCAAAGATTACATTTCAATGATGAAACATTGGTTATCATCGAGTCCCTGCCTAAGACGAGCAGCAAGGTTTACCTCACCTGAATGTCCTACCATGCCAGCCACACACTCTCCAATATCAAAGTCGTACAACGCCAATGATTTGTCAGAACAACTGGTTGCTGCGTAGAAACCTGATCTGTCCAACAACACCTAGGAACGAGATGAAATACTTCATGAAATGAACTTGCAATAATTAAAATTATTTCTCAAGAGATGATGAAAAGACACAATCCAACCTTTAAGATGATTCCATCATCTCCCATTGTTCCCTTAAACGACCTCAGTTGCTTCCCGCTGGCGATATCATACACTCTAACACAAAATTAAAACTGATCAGTTCAAAACCTAAGAAATGGACACGAAAATGTTCACAATTCTACCTCATGTTTCGGTCCTGCCCAGCGGTAACCGCATATGTTCTGGAAATGAAGAAGTGGAAAGATTAGAACAACCATTTAACATTAAGATATATTTTCTAAGGCGAATGACCCAGCTTACTTTGACGGGTGAATATCCATGTCATAAAACGTTGTTTTTGTCGCCACATTGGTGTACCTTGTGAACTGTAACTCGGGATCCTATAAATTGGGAAATCAGATTCAAACTCTGCCCAGCCGGCTTAACTCTGTCCAGGCTTCTTATATTACGCTCCTACTAGAACACTCTGGTTATCAAAGAAGTTCTTACGTAATTGATAACGTACCTTTTGCGCTGATCTAAATATAACAGATTTATCAGCAGCGCAACTGATGAGTTGAAAGTCTTTCGTTTCACTCACTGCAACACAGAAAATATGAAATCATTTCAGTTCTAGCTGTAACACCCTATGGCAACAGCTCACATCCTTGGACGAGCACTCCAGGCTTGTACTGACCGTTGAATCTTATGGAGGTGATCGAAGCTGAATGGTCGTCTATAGTTTGAAGCAGATTGAATTTATTCTCGCAGTCAAAAACGTGAATTAAACGATCGCGTCCAGCACTGGCAAGAAGACTGGAATCTAAAAGATTTGAGAAATTAGTCTAGTCCTACACTGATCTTTATTCAAGAAGACATTTCCTAATATTGGTTGTGACTGCGAAGGCAGAAATACATCATTTAGTTGAGTAAAACTTGAAGATCAAGTCTTCTTACACACGGTCTAAGTGAAAACAAACGACTGCGTAAATCACATACAACTGCCTCCTTACCAGCGTCAGGTGATGAGTACTCAATGCAAAGTACTTCAGACTCGTGCGCTTCGATTTTGATTATTTCGTGCATCTGAGCAACATCGAATATCCTGGAGATACAAAATAAAACTAGTTTGAGCATGTTGTGGTTCGAAGAGTGAGGTTTCATTCTTTCAGAAATAAACAGTCTTCCATCCCTACCGAATATTCCCCATTCTATCTCCTGAGGCTAACTGAACTCCGTCAGAAGACAACTTTATTGATCTGAGACCAGGCTTCATCTCCTGTTCTTTGCGACCATTTTCTGAACGAGAACACAAAGAAACGTGTTTCAACTACGAAATCGGTTACAATGATTAATCTACCAGCAAACATAGTTTAATCGTCTGAAACTTAAATACCTCCACGACTCTTCATGTCTTTTAGATTGGTGATGTCCTTTTCAGTGTAAATAACTTGCAAGAGTTCCTTTTAAAAAGAAACATTAAGAAAACTTAAAGAAGTGAAGGCTGGAAGATATTTGATTGAACGTGAATATAAAAAATCTCGACGTTTAAACCAACCTTGCTATAGATGTTCCGGCATGATGCCATTTTGCTGTCTGCAAAAAAATACGAAAAATGAAAGTGAGTAACCATTTGGTGATGCCGACCGCTCGTTGACTTATTTTGGTTGGTATTCGTTGTAAAACAGGCATGTATTTGAGATGAAGGGAACCCAGCTTCAAATGAAGTTTGTGTATCGTTGTTTATATGAATTAATATCAAATCCATAGAAAGCAAACCTGAATCAATATTCCAAACTCTGACAGTTCCGTCAGAGGAGCACGTCAGAAATGAACCATATGGAACATTGTCATTAACTGCGACATCTGGAAAAACCTTTAATAAAACAAATATTCCACTTTTTAACGCTCCTCAGAACTACAAAACACGCCAATGTGAAGTATTCTGTTCATAATTCCATCAACGAACAGCATATGAGCATACCGAGCAGTGAACAACTTGATTTGGTTTGACATATACAAATGTGCTTTCGCAAGACACACACGCACCTCAATTCCCCAGATGCATGAGTTATGGTAGAGAAAAGATGAAATTTTTCCAATCTTTTTGATGTCTTTAATGTCCCAGATATAAATACTATGATCGTTGTACACGCAGGTTAACTAGAAACGAAATACGATTTAAGAAACAGTCACAAATGGCTCTCCCATCATCAATCTGCCATCGTATGTCCTGAGAATTCAATTCTACCTTTGATCCTTGATGGTCAAGCGTGATAGCCGTGGTATCAGGATAACTGGCGTTGTCAACTTTTGCAAGCAAGTGACTGGAATACGAGAAATGAAACACACGGCAGTTAAATCAATATTTTGTGGCACTTCATTCGACGCCATTGCGATGCCGGTGCAATGTTCTTGCCAATGAAACAGTTTAACCATTTCTTTAGTGGAAACAACAGCAGCTTATTTATTTGAAGAGTCAGGGCTTGAATGATCTTTCAGCCTACCTGGCGTCGTGTCCTGCAGCAACGTCAACTCCGAGGCAGTGAGGTTTGGGAAGAGAACCGATGAATTGAAGAGACGATGAATTGAACACTCTGCAAGGATATCGATAGACAACTAGAGTCATCCATATTATACAATATATTACCTAAATATTCGTTGCTGCCGTCTAAGATGGAGTTTTTCTACACACACTACAAGACATCTTCCTCTGGCAGCTGTGAAACGATCATACATTATGACTTCCCTAACGTAGTTATCTTACCTTATAATTCCATCAGAACAACCACAAAATATCAAATGCTCATTTACAGTTAAACTGAAGGCGCTATTCACCCTCAATTCCACCCATTTTTCGAGCAATCGTTTCTCGTTAAACGAACACAACAATCCTGATTTTGTTACACTGTATGTAAGCGTAGAGTTCACCCCAACACCGCAAGCAACGTCGATGAATTGATTATTGCGTTTCTCTCCTAAAATGGCAGGTCGTCCTTGAAGTGGAGTCTTTTTCTTCACCTATAAAGAAACGATCAACAAAAAACATCACTTCCTTCATTTGTTCAAACCCCAGTCCATTTTCCATGGCAAATAACAGTCTATAATATTCATTGCATGGTCATATCACAGTATAAGGAAATACTTACATGGTATACCTACAAGCTAATTTACTTATATATAACAGTCTGTTGGTTGTGATGGTACCATACCTTGTTTGCACTGTCTGTTGATCCTATGTACCAAAACTTCACTATTCTTACACCAACTGTGACAAAGTAATCTCCTTTTTCAGAAAATGAGATTGCACTGACCTAAAGGCAATTGTAAACAAGTGTAGAAGCATTCTCGTGACAAAACATCTTACCAGGAAGTCTTACCAGGTTTTGCAGGGCACAAATCATGTTTTCCCTACCTTCGAAGAAACTTTGTTGCAAGCTATTGCAGTTCCTTCCTAAATGATTTGGAAGAATATTAAAGTATGAATTCATACCCTGAGCATAATGGGGAAGCAAAATATTGTGACTTTTAGTATTTCCTTGATATTTACCCTCCAATTCCAGATATTAACCAGCATATCATGTTGAAAACCAACAGAGACCACATATTTCATATTTGGTGAGAATGCCTGGGTATACAGACAATCATGAATTAATACTAGCCTGAGAGATTAAGATTAGTTTAAGACTGACTTAATTCTAATAAGATACCAAGGTTAGTTTCATCTCTCAAACCTACCACACTCTGGATACCATGCTTGTGTCCCTTCGCCATTTCCGACACCTGTGGATGAGTGTTGTCCTCTGCATCCCAGACACGGACAGCAGGCTGGTGACCACTCTGTATTGCAACATTATAGAGTAAGGTGAGTGACTGTGACATTGTGGCCACTCCCAATATTTCAACTTGTGGCAACTCCCAATATTTTGACTGATTTTTTAAAGTGCATTGATAAAACAAGGGAATTGGAGATGATCTTAGTGTAGGCTTATAACTAGCAGATCAGGGTGGCTAATCACCAGACAATCTTGCTCATACCTCCCCTGAGACGAGAAATTTGCCATCTGGTGAAAATGCCAAGGAGGAAACTGTCTTCCTTAAATGCAAATAAAAGCTGTGGTAAGCATTACTCCGCACATTCACCACTGAAATGGTGACCGACTGGTCTTTTTTTGTAAAGTGAGATTACCAAACATATTTTAAACCACTAAAAAGAATTACTGGGTGTACAAAAGAACTACTTATGAACCTTTTCTAACAAATGTAAATGTTTTAAATGGATAGCTAAGTTAAATTATTTCATAATAGCAATGAAAAGCATACTTGGATGAGTTAACAATATGACTTTGGTTGTGCCCAGTTGAACTGACAATGACTATAACACACCTAAAAGATATATATAGCCAATTATAACCTGTTTTTTGTTAATATCTATAAGCATATATAGTTTGTTATCAGTTTATGATCATTGTCATGAATGATTTATCCTATTTCAATACCCTGTACAAACATTGACCTGAATTAAATATATTTGACGTGGTGAAACAGGAATTCCACAGTGTTTACTTAAGAACTCCTATGGGATCATAGATTTTAAGCAAAGCTGGTTTAACATTTGATTTTTATATTACGAAAAGTAACAAGAATACTAGATTGTTTTTAATCGGAAATGATCGTTTCCTGCATCCAGTATTCATCCGAAAATATTGTACTTTGTTTGTACAACTTTTCTACAAATGTTTGGGACTGAAATAGGTAACAGGTTTAGATGATATTGCACAAAAACTTCTTTGTGTTTCGTAGGAACTAAAGTATATTTTTTCTATTTTTTTCATACAAATGCGGAAGAAACCACGTACTTAATAAATTATGCAGTCAAACAAAATAACACGGCCAGTGAATGAAAAATGTACAAAACACAGCAATATTGTTAAGAAATTTGCCTTGTTTTAAACTGCTAGGAGCTAATTAAAGAGGCTAAAAGGTCAAAACTGATTTGAAAACAGAACAATCACAACTCATGGTTCCTTGTTTCCAAGTATTGTCGAGCCCTGACTACCCAACAGAGAAGATATTAGCTGGAAATGTTTTTAAATAAGTATGCTACAAAAGAGAAGATTCCTGTAAGATAGTGTTTCTTGAAACATATATACAGCTTTTATATCAATCTATAAATCCACTGCTGCCAAATTCAGAAACGTTTTGGAACAAACCTCCTTCAAATCTTTTCTACTTACCCGGCAGGGAAGGCAATCTCTCCAGTTGTTGGACTGCATGCCAATCCTGAATTTCCTTTGAGTGTAACCCCAAGTACCTTCTCTAATACAATCTAGATAAGCAATTGAAATCGGCGCCAAATTTAGTCTCAAGCAGTGAATTTTGGAAACTGACACCAAATGTGGAGCATTTTTGCACGATATTTTACGGCTGTGAACCACAGTTATGTTTGATGAAAAACTTTGATGAAAAAACTACAAACCCTTTCCGTCAGAGGTCGTAAATCTCTCAGACTGCTTCCTTTTTTAACCAGCTTTCTTGTCGGTGTGAGTCTGCCAGTAGATCGTCTTGGAGCAAACATTTTTACTCCAGATTTCAACACCTGGCCATGTTCGTTCGTCTATGAATTTCATAATAATAATGGAGTTTGCTCATCGCAAATTTTCACTTCCGTTCCACATTTCATTTCCGGCACGCGGATCCTGTTTCCGGTTAATAAATATAATTATTATATGGCTTTTCAAGATCCTCTATTCTGATTGGTCGGTTAATACTCGAGGTTACTATCGCAAGTGAAGTGCTGCCGAATATACTTTCATATTAGAGAGAGAAGAGACGTTTAGTTACGGCTAACAAACTTTGTGTTTTAACTCCACCATTTTAAAGAGTGCAGCAATTTCGCTAAATTACAAACGTTCTACATAAAACTTGTGATGTAAGAAAGCATTGGCCACTTCTAATGTTTTTTAGCAAGGCAGCTAATTCAGCTTTGCCATATGTGTTTCTCTTTCGCCTTTTAAAAGTTCACGGGGGTGGGGAGTGTATAGGACAGGAGGGGATGTTCAGGGCATGAAGAGGTGTACAGGACAGGAGGGGGTTTACAGGATAGGAGGGGGTGTACAGGATAGGAGGGGGTGTACAAGACAGGAGGGGGTGTAGAGGCTGCAGGAATTGGCTTCAGGTGATTGATGCATGATACCCCACATTTCCAAAGCTAACCAAAACAAGATTTGTAGCAGTGCACAGCACTGGCCATTGAGATATTATTAAAAGAAATTGTATCAAAATTGACAAAAATTAGCATATCTAAGTTTTTTGTATTGATCATGAATCATGTGTTTTCCCGCAGTCCGTCTCATCGCAACCAGAGTTTTAGACGAAGAGCATCGACCCCATTTAAGTAGTATTTGAAAAGACGTTTGTCACGAACAAAACCCAGGTTTTCGTACAGTCGTAATGCCCCAACATTCGTTATTTCAGTCTCCAATACCACCTGTAACAAACAAATAATTTGTATTTTGATACAGAGTAGAGTATCAAATATCACAGAGTTGTCTTATGTTTTTTAAAAGGAGAATACTCACTTCATCACAACCTTGTGCTATCATCATTCGTATAGCCTTTATAACTAAGTTACTTCCTAAAAATACACACATGACATTAAGTCTCTATCGACATATAGGAAATTCTTTTACATCTATCATTTTGCGTACCTATTTGATGTCTTCGGTATAAATTATCAACAGCTAACATTGCTATATATCCCCTTCTTGCCATCTTTTTATGAAGATCAAGTTTACAAACTATAGCACCAATACAGGTTTCCCCACAGTACGCCTGAAATCAACAAGAATATATGAATAGTTTTAGAAAAAGTTTTTAGCATACAGTTAGGACAAAGGATTACCATTCAGGTGATGGTGATTTGGATAATCTGATCAATTAGCCTTCCTCGTGAATCTAGATGGTAGGTATTGGTCATTGTGAGGAACGCTACTTCAACACAATTTTACCAATATATCGATCAATTCCTCAAATGCCTGTTCCAAACATTGGGTTCTCAAATAAGCATAGAAAATGTTTTCCCTGCCTTAGACATCGTAATACACAACTGTTGACACTGATTTCATGTGGCAATATGTACTTATGTAGTTTACTCACCAAGAATGAGAGTTTTGGCCAATTATGTATGAAATATCTATATGTATAAATAGAGTATGGTTCTGAAAGATCCTTCGTTATTAATGCCATTATATCCTTCATCTGTGCTTCAGATTCATAGTTTAGATAATTAATGGTGACCTTTCCATGACCCTCCACCTCAATTTCATGTGTGTCACCATGTTCATCAAATTTCACCCTTCTAACAGAAATGGGTGGTGGCGTGTAGCCCAGGGGTAACAACTGTGACTGATGAGAGTGTCCACAGTTGCCATCCCTGCACGGCATGGAGTTTACTGGGATCAAAGTGGTTTCTGGTAAATTTACAACTGGCACGACCTTTTTTGGGTCAGAATGGTTGTTCTCTGCACCCAGAACTAAATCATTTGAAATCCCATCAGTTATATCCTGTAGTTTGTCTTCACTGTTTGTCAAGTTAGCATCACCTTCTGTAGCTCCTTCCATTCAATAAACACAAACCAACAGCGCTCGGGTAGGGTAAACAGAAAGTGTAAAAAAAGTACAAACGAAGTCAAACAAAGACAAAATTTAACACGCGACAATCACCATGTGATTTACTATAACCTTGTAGTTACAATACACAAAATAAGTCCTTTTTTGCAGTGTCGTGCTCATTTTCCGCATGTTTCACGATGATATTGCTTCATATTGTACAGAGTTCGGTGAATATTTCCTCAGTTTCCAACAAAAACAACATAAAAACCTTTGACAGTGATTTTTCTCCAGCATTCACTTGAATTTTCAAAATTTTACAAAGAAGCAACGAACACGTCCGACCATTTCCGAACATGTTCCGAATGCACGAAATTAATAGTATCATATTTTTAGTACTGATATTTAGATCAATTTCTATTATTCCTAAATAACTTATAAAACGAAAAAACAGCTAATCTAAAAAGAAAAAACAAAAATACAGAAAAATATACGTTTGAAAACATATTTATTTGAACACTGCACAGAAGTAGTAACCTACATTCCCGCTGCGCCTGAAATTAGGGATGAAAATTTAAAACCCAAGACTGTGGTATTGATGCACGTGTGGTAAAGTTTTAGCAAAAAATGTTCCATAGCAGTACACACAAGAAACACTGGATATTCTCAAGTTTGGAAGAACTCGACCAACTAAGAGAGAAATGCATTCACAATTACGCGACAAAAAACGCAATTCCTGCAACCAATGTAGTCACCGTGGACGAGCATAAAGTTCTATGCAAATATTATGAAAAAGTATTGTTTCATTTATGTCTGCAGTTTCAACCATCCTTGCCATATTCCGTTATGTTTACTGCCTTCGTGTACTTCAAGAGAATCTACTTACAGACCACAGTAATGGAGAGCTTGGCTGAGGATATGATCTCAGTATGTCTTTACATGGCATGCAAGGTTGAAGAATATAATGTATCTGTTGATAAATTCATTATGATCTATCCTGAGGTTGACAGAGAGCGAACAGCCAACATCATTTTGGGTAACGAGATGGGGCTAATGAGATTGCTTAATTATCAATTAATTGTTCATAGCCCCAAACGAGCATTGGAAGGCTTCTTTATTGATATCAAGACACGCTTCAAACAGCAAGAGAATTTTGAAAAATGCAGAGAGATTTCAAATGAATTTCTTAATGCAGTCTTGTTTTCAGATGTGGTGTTCTTGTATACACCCTCTCAGATTGCGCTCGCTGCTTTGTTTGCGGCATCTAAAGAAATTGTCCGTAGTTACATCACCTCCGTCCTAGCACCTGCAACACAGGGTCAAAATCTGTTTGAAAAAGTTGAAACAATAGTTAAACTTATAAACACAAAGATAGTTTGTGAAGATACCCATGTTGAACAAATCAAAGCAAAGTTGAGTAAACTACCTGTCCCAGACAAAAACAAAACTAAAAAAAGGAAAATCGATAATGGAGACAATGAAGGACACATTAAACGTCAAAAATCGTCTGATAGTATAGATGATACTTTAACAATAGACATTGAAAATGAATAATTGCTGTGTTGTTGGACTTAAAAAGTTAGTTTCTTCAGTTCTTTTGAGAATGTTAAAAAATATTGTCAAATAAAGTTTGTACTGAGAGTTAATATAAGGTCTCTATTGGTCTCTATCAGTTTACATACAGAGAACAATTTTTACTGAATTTTCACCTATTGCAGTAATTATAGCTCCAGTTATTTATTGAGTTCACATGGCGACCGCCTGCGTGTGCCTGATTACGTTATTGCGCAAATATTCGGGTTGTTTTGCTAAATCAGGCTAATATAACATTGCATAATTAAATTCGACGCAAAATTGAGGGAAGTGGTCGTTTATCGACAGAAATTAGCAGCGAAATACTTTAAAAGATTCGCGTTTATAACGCTAGGAGCTATTTTATATGTTGAAGATCCATTTTAACTAAAGTAAGTCGATTCTGATGTGATTGTTTTGTATCTAAATTGTAACTGTTTTGCATGGAGCCATTCAGAGTGTCTCGTACACGGACATCCTGTCATCAAGTATGTCATGTGTTTTCTATCAAGCTATCAATGTCTTGTTGCGTTCTTTGCCATGATTTGAATGAAATAAATACGACCATTAGACAAACAGACAGTTTAGAAAGGCATTGAACGGACCAGAACGGTCATTTACAGGCTAAATTGTTGAAAGTTCAAAACCTTCAAGAGGTTTGTATACAGTTATGACGTCAGCGCGTAAATAACACACGTATTTTCTTAGAAACCCTAAGGCATTTCCCAGAATTTCTTTGCAACTTACTGTCAATTAAATGACATTAAATGTGGGAATTTTTTAAAATTCATTTGAAATTGTTTGCCGTGGTTACCAGGCATGGTTGATATTAATGTTATCCGTGAAGAATGCTTTTTGGATGAAATTCTTGCTGAGCTGCCAAACAGGGTCACCAAGCCAACCCCTGGAGTAAAGGGAAAGAATTTGAAGAAGATTTTCCATCAGTTCAGTGACTCGTTGAAGGACATTCAACTGCAATATACTTGCCTTGATGTATCAAGTGTCGCCCTCGCATTAGGAACAAATGTTGGCAATGCTTATGTCTACCAACGGAAACACAGAAAGATTTTGAAAATCTCTTCGGAGGTACTGACCATTGTCTGGGTATAATATATAGCTTGGTTTTCATATAAGGTAGTGTTTGACTCACCAATAAGAAACCATGCAGTAAACGTCTTTATTTCTTATGTTAGACAAAGTATATTCCAGCCACATGTATCAAACTTGCTACTGGTTGCACCACAGTTGCATTTGGTCACGAATGTGGTACCTTTTCTGTGGGCCTGGTGGATCCACCCATACACAAGGTAAGATCATTGATGCCAGACTGAACTATTTCAACAGTGGCTAGGTAGAAAACTTTGTTCATTTTTCTTCACAGTCGTTTGACTCACTGACAGCTCAGGATATTCACCATTCAAGTATCTCATGTCTTGAATGGTCCACAGATGGTCTCATTCTGTATGCAGGTGATAGTGATGGTAAAATATCCATGTCTGTGGTCAAGATTTCTGAGGTACCCATACAATGAATTCACATAATTAACAACTTTGTATCATGTGATGAAAAGATGATTTTCTGTTTGATAGCTGCAGGTAGATGCTTCCAAAGTTTGAAGTGAGACTGAGCTATTGTTCAATATTCTTTATCCCATCTAGGGCATCTTACAGACAGCAATAATTGTGACAGAGGATTGCAGCGTTGTGCAGATATGTTACGGAGCAGATTCACTTCTCATATCAACTATGAAAAGAGCTGTGCTCTGGCTGTTTCAAAATGAAAGTCTTGTCCAAGTTGGTGAGAAAGAACGAAAAACGTAAGAATATCCAACAGCTGAGCAAAAAATGTTTAATCATCTCTGATGTTATAATAAATCCCAGCCACTACTCCAGTTATCCACTTTTATTGCAGCTCAGGGAGATTTGGAGGTTGTTTCCTTCCTGAAAATATCCAGGAACCAACAAAAAAACTTTACGCTGCTCGTCCAGGCCTCCGAATATGGACAGCTGGTAGTGATGGAAAGGTCTCATCAACCTCAGTTTTCAAATCATTACTTTCTGAAAAACCTCCTGTTATAAGTACCTTGATCGAAAACGATAATAAATTCAGCAGCAATGGACAGTTTGGTAAACTTCTCGTGTTCTATAATCAATATGTGTTATCCTGGGACCCAAGCCATATTTGGGTGTTAGACCTCGACATTGGCAAAGTCATGGGTTGTCATAGCAACTTGGGAAAAATCCGTGACGTAAGCGTAAGTGGTCACGAGGTGTTTGTATTGTTGAATCAACGGGAGAGGTTTTTAAGAAGGTTTGTTCTGGCGACGGAACGAGTTCTTGATTCGTCGTATTTGGATGCGGTCAAGGCTGGAGAAGAAGCGATTCCCACAGGTGCTGGGAAACCTGGTTTCAACCTAGGTTCAGCGTTGATGAAAGTTCCCTTTATGAATGTAAAGGTATTTTAGATTTGAGAAAAGTTGAAAAAAGATCATGACCAAATATCTGCTTTGGTTACAACCAGTTCTTCCCTTTCTCTTCCTGCAGACAGAAGATGGTACCAAAGAGTTTGAGAGCAAGGATGCTGAACCTGAGGTTTCTGCTCCACTGGCTGGTGCAAGCAATTCAAGTACACTAGAAGCTGCTGGAGCAACAAAAAGCGATATTTTTGACAGGATCAATGCGATTCCTCTTGACGAAGGACCAGCTGATATTGTCTTCACAGCAGCCAAGAAAAAGAAGAAAAAGAAAAAGACAAAACAAGGTAAGCCCCATCGTTGCCTTTACGTTGATATTGTGAAGTTTAAAATGCTTTTTACAGCTATCTCTAGTATTAGTATTGCACTTCCTGTATTCTCCTACTGTCCATCTTCATCTGTTTCCTGGACATCTCTTTATATATGAACGGCTCTCCTCTGTGTCTTCGGTCACATTTTAAAGTTTTCTTTGAAAATAGCATCTCCGCAAGTTGATGGGAGTGCGTCCACTGAGGCAACAGAAGAACCAGCGTCAAACACGACAGTGAAAGCAGGCGAGTAGTCACGTTTATGGATGATGTTCATGACTATGTTAGGTCGGACAATTTCTTAGAAAATTCCCAACATGTTTGATAACATTCAAACCTTTTTCTTTTAGCGGAAGAAAGGTTAGAAAATGAATCGGAAATGACCTCAAATCTTGAGAAAATGTCGTTGGCAACACATGTCGAAGCCAACGAAGAACTATCAACCATCTTGAAAGATACTAACGCTGTCGTCTCAGATACAAACGGCTTTCAAGCAAGAACGGATGATAAGCAATCACGACATGTTTTATCCAATGACACTCCAAACCAAGCAACGACTGATAAGCAGGTTGTGGGAACTCCATCCTTACCAGAAAAAGATGAAAGCTCTTCGGTTGATATTCCTGGGAAAACAATGGAAGAATCAACGCGTGTCGAGACTAAGACTGAAACACAACCTACCACATCAACACAACCTACAACCTTGGCAACACAGCCAATAACATCGACAATACAGCCAATAACATCGACAATACAGCCAATAACATCAGCACAACCTACAACCTTGGCAACACAGCCAATAACATCGACAATACAGCCAATAACATCGACAATACAGCCAATAACATCGACAATACAGCCAATAACATCGACAATACAGCCAGTAACATCGACAACACAGCCAATAACATCGACAATACAGGAGCATGAAACTCAATCAGCTCAGAAAACTGAGGCAACAAACGAAATGATCGCAGTTCAAGAAATCCCGACAACAGAACTTGACATTGCCACAACCAGTACTGACCCTCCCCAGGAAACCTCTCAGACATCCCGGCAAGACTCGTCGGACTCTACCGACGTATACCGAACCTCTACCGATATCCTCCGATTGGACAGCCACGAGGATGATAGATCAAAAAGCCCAGAAACCATCGGTGACCATAAAACATCAACCACCCCACCAAGAGAGGACCACGTTCCTCTAGTGGCTGATACCTGGTCTGGTCGTTCTCTGCCAACCAGCCAGCCCATTGAACATCTTGCCATCTCTCAAAAGTACATTTTCTGCATAGACAATCGCAGTCGCGTTTACTTCTCTGACCCCAATACGGCGTCTTGCAGCGGATGGGAAAAAGCAGACTTCAAAGCAAAGCAAATCTTCGTGAATTCTTCATGCGATTTTATTTGCTGTTTGGAGAACGGAAAGGCTTTCGTTCGTGGGAATATTAGCGATGCAAGCCCGGTGGGTACGGCTTCGTTTCAAATCCTGGACCAGGTTTCCATGGTTACAACGTGTTCTCGCTGCATTTGGACGCTGACTGTGGATAATACGTTGAGAAGGGCGGACACAGCGACGTTGGGAAAATTGAAAACTGATATGAAGCCTTCGTGTTCCACGTGGAAGATCGAGGACTCGCGGGAGAATCTTGCTCAAATTGCGTGCTATGAGAATGTGCTGTGGGGTCGCACACGTGATGAAACAGTCCTAGTATATCCAGGTAGGAATATTATCACATGATCATCACATGATCATAACATGATCATCACATGATCATCACATGATCATCACATGATCATAACATGATCATCACATGATCATCACATATCTTCGTTGTAAAAACTCAACATTGTTCTTAGCATGATGGAGATGCTTCAGACTGGACTGGCACCAAATACTAGTTTTAAGATGTGTTTTGACTTGCAACGAGTTCTACAAACCAGACGAAACCAAGAACATTTCTTTTGCTTTATATTTAGGACGTTCCGGTGGCATCAAAACAAAATGGGGCGAGGAAGGTAAACAGATGCATCAAGCATCATTTTCACATCATTTTCTGCCGAATACCATCGGCAATAATAAGAATACCACTAAGCATCGCATTCTCTAGTTGAGATTCCATGATTCGATGTTCAAGGTTATTGTTGATTTCGGTCTTGAATTAAGGATTTTCCATTCAATTTATTTTCCAGAAAAGAAAGCAAAATGGCTTCACATGAGCGATGACGGCACGGCTTGGATCATAACACCTGACGATCAGATTTGGTTTAAACCTCACGTGACCACGTCGTGTCCAGCTGGAGAAGTCTGGTACCAAGTCACTCTGGGTCAGTACATCATCGACGACCCAACAATGCTGGAGTCAACTTTCAATTTCTTCGCCTCAGTTGGTTCAGCGTACCGGAACGCTCGTACAACAGAATATCTTCGCAATGCTGCCAAAGGATTTCTCCAGTCAACAAAGGACATGGCTTGCTCGTTGTTCAAAGACGGAGGAACGCCCAAGCAGATATTTTGTAACACGCAGAGCGGGCTTTGGTTGCTGGATACGAAGAACGCCTTGCACGCATGTCGCGGCCAAGCGACCGGTGCATACTGGGATATTGTCTGTCCAGCTGGCACGGCACAATCTGCCACGTGGTGTGAAGTAACGACCGGGCTCGCGGGTTATATTTGGGCAATCCAACCGAACGGGGAACTGACGTGCTTTCATCCCAAAGGTTCGAGTTATAATGTCCAGTCTCCTTCTGAAAGGCTGCAGTTTGACTTCATGAGGGGCTCGCCCCATGGTCTTTGGTGCCTCATGTCCGCGCACAATTCCAAAGCCTACATTCGTGACGGAATCTCAGAGGATTACCCTCAAGGCTTTGCTTGGACCTCGTTATCGCTGAAACATCAGGAGGTTATTAGCATTAAACATTTCAGCGTCGGGAGGATAACAGTGTGGGCTGTGGATATGAGTGGACAAGTGTGGGTACGAATTGGCAGCGTTGGCGGCGATGAAAGTAGCGCGCTTTCCCAAGCTTGGCTTCCGTTGGATAATCCTGAGAATATCGAGTTCGCCAGTGTCGAGGTCAACTGTAAAGATTTAATGGTCTGGGCGGTGGATACCAGAGGAGGTGTTTACGCCAGAGACGGAGTGGATGAGAACTATCTTGTTGGCCAGCAATGGCGGGAAGTTGAAGGGGTAATTTTAAAGAGTATTTGTCTCAGTTCTTATCTGGTCTACGGCTTGTGCACGACTGAAGAAATCGTCTGCAGATTTGGCGTATCGGGTGCGAATTGTATTGGAGATTATTGGAAGAAGCTACCCGGATGTTTTCCAAAGATATCCGTGAACAGCGCTGGAGAGTTGTGGGCCATTAGCCACGAGAAGAAGTTGTATGCTCGTAAGATGAAGTATTTAGCGTTCCAAAGAGGAGAACTGGACAATATGAAGAAGAGTTTTGATGGCAATTTTGAGAGCAGCGACCATGATGAAGGGAATGGTGACGATAACGAGGCAGATTGGGAGTTATTGTGAAGAACTGAACGTTTTGATGTTGTGAGAAGAAATATAGACGTTTAATGATCGGTTAGATAATGATTAAGATGAAATTTAACTAATGCATTGACTGTGTTCTGGTCATGAACAGAAATTAACAGAATGTTTAATGTTATGTTCGAATACTTTTCAATGATGAATGTGTGTGTCATGAAACAACAACTTTATATAGCTTTTACAAATTCAGTATATCTTTGCATTGAAGGTTTTTTTGGAAAAATATACACTTATTACAGAAATATTTTCATATCTTCTGTTGACGTCCTCTTGTGGACACAACACGTTACATCGAAGCAAACAAATTCACTCACTTTTATAGAAGATTACCTTTTCCTCACTACTTTCCCGTTTTGTCCATTTCATCCAGAAACTGCGTACATTTTGTTTTTAATAGTTTTATAGCTTCACTGACGAGGACATCAGGAGGCAATGCGCCGGTTGACTCGACAGAAACTAAAACAAATTTAAAAAAACTCGTGTAAACATCAGTTTGGAACCAATCGAGTGAAAGCAAAGTTTGATTTCATAGATTTTTCATAAGACTCACAGATAAAATGATCTCGAACGCGTGATAACTTTATTCTGTCTTTTAGATCCTGAAAAGTAGATCATATGAATTACAAGACACACTTTTTTGGAAATTATTTGCTTCCAAACACTCCAGTTGTACATACTTCATGCCGCAGCACCTCGCGACTATATGTATCTTTTCTCGGGTCAGAAACTACAGCAGTTTTCACACCTGGACAAAAACAAAACCTCATATAATCTCAAATAATAATATGAGGCAAGAGGCAAGATGGAGTTAATCAAATAGCGAGACCGATATTCAGGTGTGATAAATGTTAAAAAGAGCTGAAACCAACCGTTTTTCTTCTCAATTTTCATGACGCCTTCAGGAAAGCAGGAGACAAGTTTTTCCGCCAGTTCTTCTTCGCAAGCTTTGACTATCGTAATCTCAGGCAGTAAACGATATGAAGCTGTCGCTATAGAAGAAAGAAATGCACGAATATTCCTCTTACTTCACTGTCTCGTATATCAGAGCACAAAAAAACAAACGATTGACAACGCACTTACCAACAGGAGAAAACTTTGCATGATCTTGTCCAATTCCTTTGAAACAGAACAACCGAAGATCCAGTTCCTGATAAAATACAAATTTACGTAAAATTCTCCGGAGTTGAAAGCTAAAATTACAATAAGATTTCGAGAAAGCAACAACTTACATGGCCAGGTATCAATTTTGCAATTAAAATATCATCATGAACTGGTCTGATACCATCAGGACCAAACTGAAAAGAAACAAAATATTAAGTATAATGACGTCAAGCATTGCGTCATTATGTGACATACCTGACGTCATTAGATGACACCATACATTACGTCATTATGTGACATCATACCTGACGTCATAAGGTTACATACTCGACGTCATTATGCGTCTAATGTGACATCATTGTATCCCAACGGAAGTGACTTCATAGTTTAAAGCCATTAGACAATATTCCTACCTTTTCTTTCTGGTTTCCTTTTGGGATCCACTTCAAATGTTTTGTTGTGACTAAAGGGAGGAAACTCGGTCTTGTTATTAGGTACTTCAATGGGAATCCATTTCAAACGAACCTCAGTATTAGCGCAATAAAATCTATCCAACCTTTGTGGTTTATATAAAGATCATCTGGAACAACTGCCTCATTTGACGCGCGAGGATTTCGCGTGCATTTCACTTTCAATTCAAACTCGATGACGTTATCCTCGGTCCATTCCTCTTCTTCGGAGATTTTGAAGTTAAACATTCTTGGATCAGCGAAGATTGGAATGAGACCAAGACGGTGAACTAACACCTGGAACATTGTTGATAAAAACAAAATGAGCAGTATATTGCTTGTTTCATGTCACTTGACTTCGAATAGCTAAGTACTGCATTTTCTGGCAATAAAATTGGCCAATGTATCACATATTAAATTATCAGGATACAAAGTATCCATGATTTCATACCTCGTCCTGTATAATCGTCGTATTATTGAAGATATGAATTTTCTCAATGGCCATCGTTGGAACTTCAGCTAAAAGGATCCTCCTAAACGCATTGGCTATCGAGGCATCAATACCAACCATATCAAATTCAATGTTGTTCTCCTCGAGGCTAACAACATCAATTCTGAAGTTCTGAAAGCGTAAAAAAGCATAGATAAGTGAAGGTCTTCCCACTCACGCATCATAAATGATGTACGAATTCTCTAATATCACCTTTTTAAACTCATCGAAATTCCAAGAATCGTCATAACCATGATATGTTCCAGGATAAGCAGTATTCTGTGTCTAAAAAGTATGTTTGATTTCAGATGATTCGATCTTAATGTCTAAGTTTTATCACGATAAATTTCATTTCATAAACCAATTAACACTGATTTAACCACATGCAAACGTGCCGTATTAAAGACTGTGATACACGAGTTTATTCGTGAAAAATATCTGCATTTCAGAGGTTTGGACTGTTAAAAGCAGATAAACAGCGATTATTACAACGAGTTGAGGAGTTCTATGAAGTTCTTTAATGTTTTCTGAACAGCATGCATTAAATTATAAATGTATTGCACTGTGAACGTTGTATTTTACAGCTTGTACTGTATTTATATACTTAAATACTTGTAAATATGGCAACCTTTCTCTAGAGTGTTAATATTTACAGCATTACAACAAAACTCACGTTAATCAATCCATGTTCTTGTAAGCCGACCCTAGTGCGCATTTCAGTCAGTCTTTCCGCCATGTTGAAAAACCACTTTATCCAATAGTAAAATAAAGTATACCATCTCTATGTTCTTACCGCTGATGGAGACCTTTTGTGATTACATGTTCATATTTTTTATCGATTAGGATCACTGATTAGGATCTGTGATTTCGGATTACACCAGTTAACTCGATTACACCGGGCGTGTTTTAGGATTATCGTGGTTATTATGATCTTGCATATGGATTAAGCAATCGATTCATCTAGATCACGATAATCAACGACCGATTGCTTATAATGGTTTTTCCCTGGAGGGGGGTACAAAGTACACTTATTAAAATCACACCACCGTTCCAAATTAAAGATTGTTGTAAAGTGATTCTTTATCTTCAAAATACCGCAAAAACTATTGTCACGCGATAGATATCTTTATGCCAATCTATTTTTTTCATGTTTAATCTGTTATCAAAGTTTCAAAACAACGAGTATACATGCTTAAAATCTATCATTCATTTTCAAGAACTTCCAGACAAATGTCCTGATAATACCCAAATAAGTCGCTAGAAAACCACATCGAATTTGGGCGGAAATGAACCCCACCTTTTTAGCCTCTGAATTTTTCGTTTCGATAAAACGCTGATGGGATATTTCTGAAGCCTTTGTCTTTAAACAGAGGTCTTTATATGCACTCACCCACGACTGGCATCACAAAGGATTGTTCTCAGTAATAAAATTATAAATACAAACATTGACATAAGGTCGAGTTGGCTGTTCAAAATCCATCTTTTCTTGACCCTCTTCTTGTTCTCAGAACAGGCAAAAAAATTCCATTTCGAAGGCGAAAATGCTTCTGATATTCAAATTATTTCATTTTGCCACGTGAAAATAAAATATAGTTTTGACAGGCCTATTAAAATAATGCAAATATTGTAGATTTTCAGCTTAGCGACATTAATTATTGATTTGCAACTTTTGGCATAATAAAAGGAAAAAAAAATCATTGACAATCACTACAAAAAGTATCGAAAAGAAAGGAATGGCGAAGACAAAGCATTAAAAAAATATGTGCTGTATATCTTAATATAAATGCATGAAAAACCCATTGTAGTTATTATCAATATATTTGAAACACAAAGTTCTGAAGAATACATATTTTAGAATAATCGTACTACGCAATAATATTAGCTGCATTTTATATTTTCGTCTAGTTTTCTATTGTTTTTTCTCGATTGCTTACTCCGGCAAGCCGGTGTTTCCCTCTTCTTTGTCTGATTTTAGTTGTTTAGCAAAGTACAAAACAATTGCAATATTGACAACGGCAAATATCAGCATAATTCCGACGGAGTTGAGGAACGTTGGGGATGCCCAATCGTTTAAAACCTCGCGTCGATTTGTCATGTCACTGAAAATGGCCGAGAACTCGTCTGAGGCGCCGATCGCTGTGAACAAATGCAGAAAATGATGGCTGTTTCCAACGCAATCAAAAGTTCCCGGTGTTAGCCGTTCCGGAAGCCTTGCAACGTTGATGATCGCAGCGAAAAGATAAAACATTGCGTGTCGTTTGTGGTAGCTTAATGACTCCAAATTGCAGTCGATGGCTTCCACGCAGGTATAGGTTCTCCAAACTACAGGTGAGACGATGTACAGAAACGCGAATACAAAAGGCGTCGTTCGGATGAGGTATTTCATGCTCAACCATCGATGACGTGAAGCACAGCAAAGGAAGTTCGCTGTCAGGCTTATAAACGCGCTCAAACCGAGAAACAGCCAGTGATTGTTGTACAAAGGAACATCGCTAAATGCTGGTCTGCCATAGTAAAAAAATACTTGCGAGGCACCAAAACAGTAGACAGCTATTGCCGCGTAGTCGAAGAAGAAACAGATATGTCTGAGCCTGGGAGACATCGAGTTGAACATATGAGCTCCACAACTCATGGAACAAAAGCCACAGATACAGAGCGCAAAGCAGAATAGAGGATAATTATACGGATCTGTGAAGGACATGCTAGCAAACACCCGAACGAAACGAATGATAAAACAAAATAATGGTAGTAAATGTGTCCAAACGTTTAAACATTCGTTACTTTTTACGTCAAGTATGCTCAAGAAACACTCTTTCGCCGAGGAGTATGGTCTCCGATAGCCAGAAACGATGAACATTTCCTTAAACTGCGGTGGAACTTCATCAACAGTCATGTAGGGAACGACATTTTGAGTTGTGGACTGATCGTGACGTTTCTCGGCCGTTAAATCCTCGTTTACTGCATCAATCGTCTTTTGTCGCTTGTGAACTGTAGTTCCATTCGTCTCTGGGAGATTAACCTTGTTTTCCATCGCTTTTTCTCGACTAAAAGTGGCGATATTTCAAAGTATATGTCAGGGCACAACAACTCTCACGCCGAAGTATAAACTCAGGGAAAAACCATATGACGTCATGTAATTAATATTTAACTAGCGTCAGCAAACACAAACCACAAGTCAAACAAGCTGCGCGCGCAAAACGTAATTGCGTTTTATCCAAATGCATTGGCAATTTCAAATTGCTTTTTTAATTGTTTGGCTTGGTTTTAAAATAATTGCTTTGACAATTCCGCTTCTTCTTGAATTTATTAAATAACTTTTGCGCTTTGCTCTCTATAGGTTAAAAATATATATATATGTTTGATGTTTTCTAATTTCTAAATTATCTTCAAAGAACTTGTTTGTTTTTTTTCATATACCGACACTGTTATCCGTTATGAAGATGTCTTTGCACTTGTCTCTGCAATATATAAGGAAATGTTTCATATTTAAACAATAGTCCATGGAAATTTTAACCAGATGAAAATATGGCCAGATCGCCCATAACTTACCTTTGGGACGCAAGTTTGCTACGCCGTCGATAAACGAAGCTAAAAGGCTAATTTCGTGTTGTAATTTGACGTGAATACCGTCGACTCTATATTATATTTAAAACAGAAACATAGCGATGAATTATGAGAATTTAACGCGTCAAATATTTCAACACGACTTACTTCGATTCTCTTCCTTTCGTTTCGTCCTGAAGCTTTTTAATATCTTCCAAGATTTTAATATCACGTTCGGCAAACGCCTGGATAAGGAATTCATATGTGAAAATGAAAAGCAGAGAGATCGTCGATTAAAACAAATAAAAAAAACAATATAACACTCGTTTAACTTTGGTAAAACATGTCCTTGTATTTTTAAATTAACTGCTCCATGCCTGCATTGCATGTGGTCTGATTAAATCTACAAGTTCTCTTTACGCACTGATAGTTGGGAAAAGCACAATTTACCTTATCAAGTTTCAAATCTTCGTCTCTCGCGGTCAACACATCCGCTGTAAAATGATACGAAACGATGAATATTGAAATTGTTGAGACCCGGGCACTGGGGATATACGTAGCATCCCACAGATTTTTGCTGGCCGGGTCTTGTCCCGTGAAATATAATCAAAGAAGTATACCTTGATATCCAGAAACCTGTTGTTCAAGATCAGCTTGGCGTGATCCACTTGCCTCGTTCAGCTGCTCCAACAATTTGATTTCTTTTTCCATGTTTTCTATGGCCTTATGAACAACATATAAAGTTAGAATCTTAGACGTACATTATTTTCCCATATATATAATCGATATTTCACTGGACCATACCTCTCTGAACCTTGCAACCAGAACGGACGTGAAGAGGATTCATGGAAGAAATGAAAAAGTATTTAAGAACTGAATGAATAAGAGATGATGCTTAATGGACCTCAAGGAAGAACAGTATAAATAAAGTTAATTTGTTTTCATTTACCTTTCATTTTCCTTCGTAACAGTGCTGAGTTTTTTACAACAGAAATAATTTTCTTTCTCAATATTTTTGACTTCCTCATTTTGCTCTGTCATAATGCGAAGAGCGTCAGCGCGGCGTTTTTTCAGCTCGTCTTGTAAATGAACCTAAATAAAAAGAATCGCACAAAATCTTTGCGTTCGTATAAATTCGTCTTTCTTGTGAGTTGTTTTATATTAAGCAGTTCAATGGCAGTTCGTTATCTCAGTGACGGATCAATAGACCATTCATCATTTGCCTCAAAGAAATACTTCTGCTCTGAACTAGGTTCGACAATACCTCAGGTTTTAGTGTTTTTTCATTTTCTTTTCCAGTTCTTTTTATCGACAATTCCAAACTCGCCTTTCTATTCTTTAAATCTAAAAAAACAACGTTCAAATTTCAACACAATACAAGTTCATAACAACGAAAAACCTGGGGAGAATATCTTTATCGGCTTACCAACAATCGACTGTTTTAATTCACTAAAATTTTTAGAACTTTCTTCAAACTCTTGCTCCAGAATCTCAAAGGCAGGCTTAAAAAAAGAGAGCACTTTGCTTCTAAATTCTCCTTATATGGAGTACCAGATAAGTAGGATAAGTAGAATAAGTACGAAAACCTGGGCACAAGGATAACTTTGGATGGTTTATCATACCGTTTTATCACCGACTGTCCTTTGTTTATCCTCAATATCCTTTTCAATTTTGTTGATCGAGTCCTAAAATGAAAAAAAAACTTTTTGATATACGAGACCTGGGTCCTAGTTTCATTCTGTTAAGCCCGAGGGACTATTGACTGGAACCTTGCAAAGATATTGCACGTATGCAGAGCAGTTTATCAAATCCATTCCAACCAGAGTCTCATACAGCAAGCAACGAAATGATACCTGTAATTTTTGCAGCTCATCTCTCAACTTCTTTTGAGTTTCGATGTAAGATTGCTTGCTGTTCTTTAAGAGTTCCTGTTTGCTTAAAATTTCCTGTTCATCTTCTCGTAATGTTCGTTGAAGTTCATCCCCCTGCATGAGTTGAGAATGGCTCGTTACAAGAGAATAATATTCGATTGACAGCGTATTCGACCATGGTCGAGTCCGCGGGAAAATAACGTATTCGATCATCGTCGAGTCCGCCGGAAAATAGCGTATTCAACCATTGTCGAGTCCGCCGGAAAATAGCGTATTCGACCATCGTCGCGAGTCCGCCGGAAAATGGCGTATTCGACCATGGTCGAGTCCGCGGGAAAATAACGTATTCGACCATCGTCGAGTCCGCGGGAAAATAGCGTATTCGACCATTGTCGAGTCCGCCAATGAACTTCCAGATTTTAAAAGTGATATGAAAGTGTATAATAACTACCTTCTGCGTGAGCTCTGAATGTTCATTTTTCGCACTCTGAATAGTGTCGGACATCTTGACCATGTAAGAGCTGTATTCACTTTTAAATTCACCAGCTTCTTTTGTTACACCGTCTCTCTTTGTTTGTAACGATGTTCTGGAAGGCACAAAATATTTCACAGCATGGAATGACGACAGGTAAGTTTCTCTTATGCGAGATTAGTTGATAGGGCTCGTGATGGACACTTCCTTAATTTGCTTTCTGCCAATGAAGGTACACAACAACTATAGCAATACATTATATTTTGTCTGTCTCGTTTAAATGCTGAAAATGTCCACTTGGGAATGAATAACCGAATAACTACAGCTAAAACTGTGTGGTGTGATAATATTACTTTAATGATTGATAGTAATAGGAATAGTGTGGTACCATCCAGATTTGTGTAGTGAAATATGGTATAGTTTATTGATGAAAAATGGTAATGGTATGGTTGGGTACCAACACAGTGTAATTATAAAATACAAAACCTCTCCGATCTTTCGCCTTTCAACGCAGCCTTCAGCTCTTCAATTCGTTTATTAAAAGCTTCTGACATGGCTCTGTGAAGAACAACAATCTCATCAGTTACCATCAACTACTGCGAAAAGTTTCCTCAGCATATTACTATATAGGAGGAGTATTCTTTCCATTAAAACTATTCTTGGCCAAACAGTCCCGACGATGACACCTGACTATAATAGTAAGCTATTTCACCGCCTCAGACACTCACTGATGGCTTTCTTTCAGTTGGTTGATTTCATCTTCAAGTTCGTTGTTTTCATCTTTCACGCGCGTACATTCGTCGCTCTTGCTTTGCAGCTGATCTCTTGTCCGCCGTAGCCTGGAATGCGACATTACATGATCTCAAGCACGAGACATGTTAACACTTCTGTGGGATTAAACCCGGGTGAGGAATATAGTCATATTCCAGGATTATTTCAAGACAGGGTAAAACTGAGCAAGGATGGATGATACAAATGGACAGGAATTTTCAAGGCTCCCGAGAAATACTTCAAAGGACACTAAATACTAAAAACCTTCGTTCAAGCTCCTTAACTTGCTCTTTCAATTTCTCGCACTGGCCTGAAATGATCTCGAAGTCTAAAAATTAAATCAAATTTTTGAGATTTAGCCAATGGATTTAGCGGCCTCTGGTTAGTCACAATCATTAGTCAGAAAAAAGCGAGTCATGAAGTGTTGTATAGAAAAATGTTTTCTCATAGATACTACCTTCGTCCATTGCTTCCTTTTTAAGAGTCAATTTAGTATTCTCTGTTTTTGCACTTGTCAAGGTGCCTTCAAGCTTGGAAAACAAATTAAACATCGAATGAACAATCCTGAGCAGAAATTTTCAAAGTATGGCCTTTCTAATGACAATGGCTACCTTTTTATATTCATGATCTAGTCCAGCTTTGGTATTTCCCAGCTTCGTCAACATATCCTGATGCGCTTTCATAACTCTCATGCTAAGCAGAAATATAGAAGAATCCACGGAATAATTCAGTTATACATGAAGCATTCATTAATTCAACATGATCGTACTAACCCCTCTTGTGTTAGGATCGAGTTCGACTTTATTGCTTTTTGAAGCTCGCGGCTTAGCTGAACAACTTGTGATTCGAGTTTAGCCTTGGAGGTTTCAAAACGACGAATGACCTGTTTGTTTGAACGCAGAAACGTTGCTTTTTATTTATTTCACTTTATTGGATAAAGAAATGAAGCGGAAACAATGAATAGAATCCAGTACCTTTCGTCTAGCGTCTAACTGCGCTTCACTATCCACAAGGTCTTCCTGCAAGCTCTCAATTTCACTAAAATATGAAAGAAACATTTGTCGCTCGAATACTACAATTTGGTGATCAGAGTGTTTTTTTTTATTTCACCAGAAAATACGAGCCTCGTCAGTTTCTGATCTTGTCTGACGGAAAAATTGAAACGTTTGCACAAACTTATTTTTTCCTTCGTACCAACTTGAAGTTGGTTGGGACGTTTTAAGAGTTGAGATTATAGTTAAAAATACAGACCAGCGCTCGCTCTCTCTCTCTCTCTCTCTCTCTTGCCATCTCTTGTCAATCTTCCTCCTCCTCTGAGGAAACCAGAGATGATCTCATTTACCTTCTTTGTTCCTCGTTCGCTATCTTCTGTTCCTTCACTTTTGTACGAGTATCTTCCTAAGATCAAAGACAAGATTTGGTAAAAAAACCGAGCGATAACATACGGAACAAGTCAAATCAATATAAACTGTGATATACCATACCACTGCCTTTTGTAGTCTTTCCTTCTCTTCAACGGCCTCTTCTCTCTCCAACGTGAGATCCTCTTTCAACTGAACTATAGATTCCTCCAACTGGATTATCTGTACACAGGGAGACAAAGTCAAACGAGGGATCAAAGATCGCTCCTACCATCATGCACTCAGCGCTGCTATACTCTGGTACTATGATCACGATCAGCTCCCATGGGGGGGGGGGGGAGGATGTTACTCACCGTTTTGTATGTCTCTCGCAATGTATCTCTCGTTTCATTCAACGTGATTTGTTTGCTGTTGAGATATGAACCGAAGCAGAAAATAAAAGGGTGAAAAAAGGAAGCTCAATAGCACTAGAATGGTTCTAGAACTATAATGGTTCATTGCCAACCTTGCTTTGTCAGCCATTTTGTGGTTCAACAGGTCAACGACAGTATCGTGTTCGTTCAGTGCCTCGTGTCTTTCTGGTCTAAAAACCAACAGAGAGCAAATGCTAGGAAGCCATCCTGTAACTAGCAAAGATCAGTGGCGGTCAAACGAGAGCAAAGGCGAAAGCTGACGGAAAATCGCAGCTTATCACCAAATAAACTTCTCGTTAAAATTACAGTTCATAGTCAGAGAGAATTGAAGCAAACATTTGGTTCAATCGTATTCGATCATCCATTTCTTCAACATTTTAACTCACTCTAATCTTGAGTTTTCGCTCAGTAATTCCTTGTTTCTTGCTTCCAGTTTTTCAATGCTTGAATTGATCTGACTTAAATTATCCTGGTTGAATGAAAGACGTTCAGAATGAGTTTAAAACATTGATGAAGTTTTTAGCCCTAAGCACGGTCGAAAAAGAAAAACCGTTTCAAAAGTTCGCACCTTCAACCTCTGAATCTCTGCCTCGTTTGAGTCGCGTGCAGCAAGAACCGCATCTTAAATTTAAGACAGATTTAGCCTTTTAAATCGAAATAGACTGAAGCTGTTTTCAAGATCGTTTATGTTAGAATGATACCGGTCTTAAAACGATCTTATCATGTTTCTGTTTATTCGTTAATTTGCGAACTCATCGGCATAAAATTTTGCAATGATAAACAACTCAATAATAAATGCAGAACAACGTAATCCCATTGCTATACCTTGGACTTCATCTTTGATTTGTGTTGGCATTCTATGGAGTTGGTATCTCAAAGAACTCGCTTTGATCGTCTCACTCTCCAACATTTCATGAAGTTTCAATCTGTCACGATCCTAACAAGATTGGTGCTGTTATTTACAGAGCAGTTCTGATTGAGACAGCAAAATCATATTACCACTTTGAAAATAGCGAAGCTTTCAAGTAATTCAAACTATTCTTGAACTAACCATCTCCTGTAATGCTTCAATGATGATTTCAATATTCGAGGCGTCATATTCATCCTCTCTAAAATCTTTCTTGGTCTGCACGACCGTGGCTGTCAAAAGTAAATTGACGAAAAAGGTACCGGTATAATGGAAATTTTACGAATTAAAATTATTACAAAAAATGTACATATCTTCTTTACAATGTACATAATTTAGCCATCAACTGGAAAATATGGAATTAAAGGAAGGTTATATGAAAATAAAGGAAGGTTAAATATGTGGTATGTTTTCAGAATGGCGTATTAATAAAGAGTCTATATATTAGTGCACAGTCAGCTCAGAGAATGAGATAAAAAACGGCATTTTTACCCAATTCATGCAGATTATCAATAGCCTTATGAACAACAGCGGAGAGATCCGAGGCCTTTACAAGTTCCATGGCCATTTTCCGGAGTCGTTTCTTCTCAAAACACCTCGCAATTACGGGAAACAAAATATCCTTTTATTTCTCACTCCTCATGTGGCGGCCATCTTGCTCGTCGCGAAGAGTCACGACAGCGTTGCCATGACGATGACGCGAGTCCATGATCCTCTTCGAGCTTGTGTTGATGTGTTGATGACTTGTTGTATTCCATTGATTCCATTGAGTTTCTCATCGCCAGGATCGGGACATTTTTCACATTTTATTCATTTCGTATCAGCAAACTAACGATTTCATCGACGAAGATGACTGATTGGGAATTTGTCTTTGACGGGGTGGTTGGATTTCTAACATCGCCCATGTGGAATATGCCGATCGTCTCGTTTATCGAGAAACATTGCATCGGTAAATATGCTAATATTTTTATACACAAGTTTGCCTTTGTCTATGTATTAATAGCTCGGTTAAACATGATTAAATGAATACCATCTTCTACCTGGTTTACATAGCTTCATATTTTATTGATTTTATTAGCTTGGATTAGGTGCTGTGTAATAAAAATCAATTTATAAATTTATTATAAATTTCTTATTTCGAAATTCCAAGTATTAATTTTTTTCGAAGATCGTGTCTACGTAATTTTTTTTTTAAATCTAAATACTGGCTTATAATAGACAAGGCTCCTATCGTTGCAGATAAGATATTGTAAAGTAATAAAGACAAATACCCAAAGCAATTTCAATTGCTTTTAAAAAACTTATAACTCATGCACCTGTTCCAGACAGGAATATGCAAATTTGAGAAGCAATTAACATGTTAATACATATACAATACATATACCATTGTTTTTTAAGTTGCTGTCTACATGCCCAGCCATATCTCTGTATTTAACAGGTGTTTGTATGTCTGGTTAACCACTGTGGTTAATATGGGATAGCATGGAGCCGATGAAGGCTTTCAGTACTTGAATGGGTACAAGGAACATATATGGGTTACATTCTCCTTCTTCTAAGGGGGGATTTTCCTGGTGTTAACCAGTGGTTTTTGAGAGTCAAATGTGAATTAGTTTTTGTACATCTGGCTGTTAATTCAGTGCAATGTTTCCTACTTCAGGGAGCTTGTCAAATAAAAACAAAATTGAGTCAAATTTATTTCTTTACCCAGCTGCAGGGATGAATATTCACTAGATATAAACAATGTGTAAATATTTGAATGTTGTCACTTTCAGTGTTTGATTCCAGTGATGAAAACATGTTAGTACTGACTGAAATACACAAAGAGTACAGTGCTTTAGTAAGTGAACCAATTTTTGCCTGGGTAAATAGGATGGGATAGGATGTAGGTTGTATATACTTTTTTTGGTCACTTTTTTCAACTAGGTGGAAGAGTTATTGACAAGTTATCTAAAAGATGTTGGTATTACTGAAGAGCAATTTGTGATGGCTTGCGAAGCAGGCTCTAATAACGAAGATCAGACAAAGGTTGCCGACAGGGTAAGTTAGAAATCCAGTTACTCAGCCTGTTAGCTCAAGCTGTCAGTCATTAAACAGTTTGGCATTAATTGTCTTTTTGTCATAAAATATTAGTCCATATTTGAACAAGTTTGGGCCGGAGAGGACTTTCAGTTATTCAAGAGTATCATGGTGAAGAAGAATCTTGATTTAGAACTACAAGCATTGCACATGATCCAGCAAAGAAATGGTGTGGTTCCCAAAGTTTTTGAATCAGGTAACAAAGTAAGATTTATGAACACCATGCAGTGGTCGCAGGTCATTAAGAGCGAGGAGGGGAGCTAATATTCATATATTTACATCTGAGATCCTTGTTTTATTCTAGAAATGGATAAATCAAAGGCCAAGAGTTCAAAACGTCAAAATCAAAATGAAGAAGAGAAGTTATTAAAAGAGGTAATTAAGTTGTCAGAAGACGAATATAAGAAAGAAAAGGATAGAAAAAAAGAGATAGAAAAAATGGAAAAGACACTTGCTTTGTCTTCAAAAGAAGAGAGTGAAAGGTACTGTGTTAAGGTCCATAGTAACACTTCAATATCTATTCCATTTTAAGTCTAAACTTCACGCTTGCCTATCACTTTCCTTTTTTTCTTTCTTAGGTTGTATCAAAGGGCAGAAGATGAACTTCGAAACATGGAAAGAATGGTGTCTCTCACTCTAAAGCTGGAAGCTAATATGGCTGCTGAAGTACCTGGCAAAAAAACACCAAGAACAGAGAGCCCAAAATCAGGAGGCCCTAGAACAGAAAGTCCTAGAACAGAAAGCCCTAGAACTAAACCAAAAGTTGAGAAATCATCATCGCCAAAGCCAAGTTCAAGTAAATCTGGAACCAAAAGTCCCCTGAAGGAAAAGACAAAGTCTGGTTGGTCTACCTGCAGTACTTGTTATTCTTCAATTCATTCACTTGTATCAAGTTAAGTTCATATTTACCTATTCTATAACTTTCCTTAGCATCACCACCACCTAAAGCCCAGTCGTCTGGCAGCAAGAAAACACAACCAACTGAACCAGCAAAATCAAAGGCAAAAAGTGAAGAACCAAAATCTGTCCCTGTGTGCGCTGGTAATAAATGCTAAATCTAAATGTTCTCATTTAACTAATGTCTTTGATGCTAATTTCATTCTTCACAGAATAGCTCTAGCAGTTTGTGTTTTTTTTCCTTTCAGCTCCTGCAACATCCACTAAGCCTGCTGCAAAGACAGCAAAAACTACAGAGCCTTTGCCTGCATTGGGAAAGTCTTCAACTCCAGCTGATGCTGCTAAAAGCTGGCTGAGCAGTGCCCTGGCTGAAGCAAATACACCTTCAGGAAACATGGCTTCTGCATCAAAGGTAGTAAAGAAATAAAAATGGAGCTTAACATATGCACATAAATTGTTCTGATTCTGATCTTTTTTCAATGTATTATTTTAGTCTGCTGATCAAGCATCAATGGACGAGCAAATAGCACAAAGAGCGCAGTACATGCGTATGCAAAGAGAGAAGTTACTGAATTTGAAAAAACAGCAACGTACAAAATGTCTCAACACCTTTGAGGAGGAAACGCCCAAACGTCCCATGTCGTCCAGAGTTGCACGCCGTGTCACAACAGGGGCTGAGGCAGAGAAACCGCAAGTCGCTGTTGACGCAAAGAAACTAGAATTGAGACGAGCATTGGCAGCGAGATTAAAGAAAGAAGTTGTTAATGCGAAATAGATTGAAAATATTGGACTAAATGTTCTAGGTTTTATTCTATATTTTATCACCACTAATTATAGCTATATATATGGTAGTATATATTATAGTCTTGGGAAAATGATTTGATACATTATTATACCTAGGATGATTCAGTCGGAGTTTGAAGCATGGAATGTGAAAATCTCATTGTATTTATTTGTTTGACGAAAAAGTTGAATAGGCAGTAATCTTTGTGAGTGTTGTCGTTGAATTAGGCAATGTAATAATAACATAAACGAATGTCTAGAATTACAGAATTGCAATTTCATGATATAATGTGTAGGGATAGAAATTACTGTTGTAAATGCTTAGAATTATTGTAAAATTAAAATGAGATCACAAGAGAATAAAATTTTCACAAATAAATGTAATTGAAGAAGGTTAATTCTTTGGGTGGTGGAGGACATTAATGTTCAAAGGATTGCTATGGTAAAGTAACCAAAGGGGTGAATAGGAGGTATTAAGATGTGGATAGGGTCGTGGGGTTAGGTGGGCATACCACCCCAAGGCAACTAGTGGGTACCATCTAAAAATGGATGAGATTAGAATCCTGGAGTAGTTGTATGTGAAAAAAGAGAGGGACTAGCAAATTTGTGTTCCTTTAGGTTGGGTCAGTGGGAAATAGAGAGAATTACATTGACTTGGAGACTAACTATCTGTATTTAAATAATTCTACTTTTTATTCGTTCTTTGTTGAAGAGCAGAAACAAGTGGTTGTTTCCACTTTTCCTCTGGTACTTTCTTTGCCCACTCAGGAATAGCAGAGCTTGGCAGCTGAATGTTTGTCATTACCGATTTTATCAAATTTATTTCATCTGAAAAAGACCAGATGGAATCAGACATCACGTAAGCAATGCCGAACAATTTTCTAACATTGACAAGCAGGATACAAATCTCAGCGACAAAAAGATGGGGGATATTAAGCCGAATTAAGGTAGCTAGCATATGTCAAACTATAATACCTTCACCCATCTGAGCCTGTGAGGAAGATGAGAAGGCGGCAGTTGATGAACCACTAGGAAACGTTCTGGACTCTTCAGGATCTTCAGTTTGAATATCGGGTTTTTCCTCATTACTGTCTGCACTCGTCTCTTGTTCAGCCTGGAAGGAAAGAATGTCTTTATATTGTTGGTGTTAAATATAAATTATATTAAAATAGATCAATTGAATGAAGTCGTATACTTCAATAACAAACACATACCTGTTCAATTTCATTTGCTGCAATATCGTCTTCACTTTGGGCAAGGGAGATATATCCTTGAGCAGCCAAATTTTCGCCATCTTCGTCACTGTCACTTGATACAATTACATCGCCACCATTTTCATGTACTTGTTCAAAATTTTCAATGTTTTCCGACCATTCATCTTCCGTGTTTTGAGGTACATCGTTTCCTTTACTACAAGGGGACATTCCTAGCTTATTTTGTAAACCATCGCAGTCAGACATCGGTCGTTGAAAGCGAGAAATTGTCCGTTTTTAGACAGAGATTGAAGCAAAACAAACCATCTTCTCCAAAAATTGCAACTATCGGTACTTCATGTTCGCTCCACAAGCGAGTACAGAAAAGGTTAATGCCGTCAAATGCATCATATGATGAACGAGCGCAGTAAATGTTACTGTAGCTGGTTCTATATGGTAGCTATGGTATGCAACGAGATGTTTTCCAATAAAACGGTCTAGCTAATTTAAATGTTTCATTAAGAATAGCTAAGCCGACCAGTCACCACTCAGGTTGTTTTTCTCAAGTATTTTAATGACAGCTTGATTCAAGTCAATATCATAATTACATCTCTGAATTATATTATCTTCCTTACGAACGATTACTTTTAATTTAAAAGGATATGTTTGCGTGTTAATTCTTTCATAAAGGCTGTTCTACTCCCTCTACGTATTTCCAAGCAATGCTAGTACTTTCTGTAGTCTTTTGACTGTTCAAAGGAAAGGATTTTCCTCACCCCTAAAGAGTAAAGAGACAGTAAAACAGCCTTTTTATGAAAGGAATGCATAAGGGTCTAACCCTCAAACTAGGTTAAGATTTTCATGGAACAATACGTGTGTGAAGACGATGAAAATGGAGCAATATCATTTCATGAATGAAAGGTATTGGAGCTGCCGTGTCCAGCGTGGCCGCCTTTGATATCTGCAAGATGAGATGTACTTCGTGATATTCGCTCAGATCCAGGAACTTTCGCTTGCTCCGTTAGATTATCACGTGACGAAGAACGGGTCAGCTGCTGATCAGAATCACTGCTGGTCCCAGCACCCATCTTTTCCATCAAACGCTGTCCTCGGTTGCTCAACGTCTTCCTCAGCCTTGTAAAAGCTTTCTCACGTTTGCTGTTTGCGCGCTTGTCTTCATCTCGTAGTGCAGGGTCGTCTTTGTCCACCATCCGAGCGGCACCTGAACCCACCGGGGAAGCACTCCGAGGGGAGTTCGTGCTTGGGGAGTAAGTTCCTCCATCTGATAGAATTTGAACAACCTTGCTTTGACGAATCACGTCTAGTGCCTGAGAGTGAATATTACAAAGAGATTGCAAATTGTTCTTTTAGCATAAAGAAACCCAAACTAAACTAAGTTTATTTGCACTGGATAGCTCTATCAGTTCTAAACTGTTCTTCCTAGAGGTCCAGTAAGGATCATCTCTTATTGATCCAGTGTTACTACAGGAGGAAACCTAAACTAAACTAACTTTATTTATACTGGATATCTCTATCAGTTCTAAACTGTTCTTCCTAGAGATCCAGTAAGGATCATCTCTTATTGATCCAGTGTTACTACAGGAGGAAACCTAAACTAAACTAACTTTATTTATACTGGATAGCTCTATCAGTTCTAAACTGTTCTTTCTAGAGGTCCAGTAAGGATCATCTCTTATTGATCCAGTGTTACTACAGTTCTCGTCTGGTTAAGCTAATTTCTTATCTCCTATTCTCCTCTTACATTTTTCTTCGATCTCAAAGCACACTCCTCCAAGGTCTCAGCAGCTTCGTACTTCCCTTGCCGTCGATACAGGGCACCAAGGTTGCGTAGTGTAGTCGTGACCGTAGGACTGTCAACTTTAGCAGCCTTGTGCCACCCCCCGTATTCACCGTAAGGAGCGTTGTCCCCACCCCGACCACGTTCATCACCTTTGCCATCTGTCTCAGTCCCAAACTCTCGCTCATGTGCACGAGTTAAGACCTGTGGCAGAAAGAGAAATGATATGAAAAAAGAAGGATCTGTACACCAGCAAAAAAAGGATTTGTACACCAGCAAAAAAAGGATTTGTAGACCAGCAAAAAAAGGATTTGTACACCAGCAAAAAAAGAATTTGTAGACCAGCAAAAAAAGGATTTGAACACCAGCAAAAGGTTTTACCTGTTTATATAACGTTTCTGCAGCTTTGTACTTCCCTTGTTTGAGGTATGCTGAAGCCTAAATTATTATAAACAATATTATATTCACAATATTTTGTTCAATGTTCCTTCAATGGCAGAGAATCCACAACCAAGGGCTGGATGAATATGTCGCAGTTGCAAGTTTGTTTATGTTGTATGGTTGTTCAGAAAGAAGAATTCTAATCGTTCGGAGCTCGGAGTCACCTGGAAAAAGCCTCGAAGTACATGCAGGAGGATTGCGACTGAAATAAGTCAGTGAAAGACGCTGGTCTGAAGTGAGTTTCAACGGGGACCTTGCGACTTGTTATCACACTGGCTTGGCTTAGTCTTAAGACACAACGTTCGCATGATCTTGCCTCTTAAGAACGAATTCGAATACATACCAAATTGTTCTTAGTTTTAGCCACATTTGGATCGTCCGGGCCTAGTTTGGTCGTGTAAATCTCCAACGCTCTTTGATAATATTTCTCGACCTAAACAGTTGACGATATGTAAGCGAAGATAGAAGAAATTCAAGCTCAACATAATATAGGGAAGATAAATCAACAATACTTCTTCATATTTTCCTTGATTTTGGCAAAGCAACGCCAAGTTATTCAGCTGCTTCGCCACATCGGGATGATCGTTTCCAAGAACCTGAAAGGTGAAAAGCATATTTATTTTCAACCCGAGCTGTCAGTAGATTTGACTTTGCTTGTTCACTAATAATGACACGAACCTTTTCCCGTATCTCTAAAGCTCTCTTGCATAACGGTTCTGCATCTTTGTACTTTCCTCTCTTTCCATACAAGACCGCCAGGTTGTTTAACGTTGCTGCAACCTGGAAACAAATACCGCAAAAATGTGTAATTTGTGGAAGCTCTTCACGCACAGAGTGACTTCCCCTTAAACCTCATCCAAAGTTGCTTCCTGGTAACCTAAAACTAAGTTTCTTTCGCCTTGCACGAAGACGCCGACATAGAAAGGCGAGTCTTCTACTAAGACTGCAAACTTGGCTGTATCGTAAATCACTGTCGTGAAAGGTAAAGGGTACAATCTGTATGAGATGGATGGGGGTCATTGCTAGATAATCGGGATTGAGAGGGATAGGGATGGATTCACTCATCCAGCAGGATGGCTAAAATACATACAGCAGGATGATCCTCTCCGAGTGTTTTTTCTCTGATCGTTAAAGCGTCATGAAGTAGATTCGCGGCTTCTTTATACTTGTTCTGATCTCTGAAAGAAATGCATCCAGTTCTTTTTAATAATCGGACCACGGTCCTGATATGGGTTTTTACCTCAGTGCTTTTTACAGACCGCTGGTCAACCAATCAGAATAGAGAATTTTGAAAAGCCATATAATATTGTATTTTATTACAACACACTAAAACTATAAACAATATATTAATATAAAGTAATACTTATCTACATATATACCATTAAAAATGAATTAAATTGAACTTTACATATTAAAACATAAAATAAACAGTTTTACTTGTACAAAAATATTTCGCGATAATATATTAGTAGACCCGTTCAAACCTAAACAATATACAAACTCTACAAAATAATCAATCTTTAATTTTGGTAAAATGCAGAAATCACAATTGTAAGTAAATCACATTGGATATTGAGGATATTCCGAGTTGCTGAATCATCGATTAGGGAAAAAGATTGAAAGGTGATTCTGATTTTGCAACAGGAAGGTAAATATTGATCAAGCAGGCGCCGTGTTTCTAGCTCAGAAAACGATTATCAGTAGTTTTAAGTAAAGAGCCTCAGTAACAGCGTCTGGGATGTCAATATTTTACATAAATCATTAAATTTATCATTAATTAAGGTGTTTGTCTTCTGCAGCCGATGCTTGTGATGCAGTGAAATTAGAAAAGAGAAAATGACAATGATGCTGGAAATTATCAAGCACAGTACTTGTACTGGGGTGCAACGCTTTAATACTGTATATAAAACTAATCATTTCAATTAACACTATTTGATTAAATCAGTCCATAAGAGAAAAGGAGCAATATATTAATATAATTTATTACAAAAAGCGTTTTAAACGACCAGACCTCTCACACCAGAATCCTGTCTCTGCTTTGAAGAGATCTGAGTATATAAGGTTTTGAAATCGGGCAAAAACGAACCTTCTCTTTTTCTCTTGGACAAAGCATTTTATGTAGGGCTTTGATAGATCTGGTTGTTTCTTAAGAATTACTGGCGCAAGATTCATCCAATTAGCAATACCGCTATCTGCTGGACAACAAAATGCCACTGTGAAGATGATCAAACAAGCATTTCTCTATACTCTCGTCATGTAGCTCTGCACGTGACTCGCACAGCCGGCTCAATTCATTTTCCATCTCGTCCAGCGGTAGCTCAGAGCTGACCACAAAGCCCGCGGGTTCATTATCGACCGTACACGGCGTGGTGGCCTGGTGATCAATCCTCGTTCGAACAGGCCCCATTATAAACTGAAGGATGTCTTGTATTATGTATCTAGGCAGCTTAACTGTCTGGTGGACTATATTGAATCTATACGAAGAAAAAAACACGTGTCAGCCTGAGCACTCAAATCTCCAGGATAAAACTCGAATGACTTACAACGGGGTGTGACTCATCACGTTGATTTCAAGGCCGAAAACTATTTAAAAACGATACTTCAGGTCTTTTTAATGCAGTAATACGTGTTGTTTTATTGGTGTTACACAGTATTCATGTTTAGAAAATCACATTTAGGAATCGTTTAGGAACTTATCGTGTTTGTAATGAAGATTAGAGGAAGGTTAGAAAAATGTTACAAGAATGTTACAATGTTACAAGAAATGTTACAAGGTTTTAAGGGTAAAATGGAGTTATTGTTGAGGCAGGGTGACACGTTGTTTTTTTCTGGTGAGATTCTTCACTAAAGCTAAAGCTAAAGTTACATTCATAATAAGATACATTACGTGATAGTTTGCCTTAATACAGTTTCGTACAGTTTAATAGTATTTACACTCATCTGTTATAACAGGAGTCATCCTATTACATACTCCATGCTTCCCATAACCGGTTTTATTATCATAATTACTACCAAATATTTAATACTCACCACAAAAAAATGGGGGGGGGGGGGAAAGTTCCAGCGCTTAAGGCCTGACGTGTTACGTCGCTTTTCCAATGCAAAAGCCGTTCCGCGAGAATACAAGCGAATATTTGCAAATAAAAGGGACGTAGTAAAGTGATATTGCTGGTGTCTGTCACAACCATCAGTTGAATCCCTTCACCCAGAAATAACCCCCTATCTTTTTCTAAATTTGTTCAATTCATGCATTTAGATAAGTTTGAATTCTTACCTGTAAACCAAAGCCAAGATATTCAACATTGTGGCAACATCTGGATGATCATGACCTGAAGTCTTTTCTAAATCTTCCAGCGCTTGTTTGCACAAAGGCACTGCGACCTCATATCGACCCTGGATATAGAATATTCCCATGATTATTAAACCATACTTCAAATACACCAATCTATATTCTAAAGCTGATCTAATTCATCATTTCTAACCCAGTATATTAAATCCTAATTCAAAAAGAAAGACACAAACCTGTGAAGCATATTGTATGACCAAGTTATGAAGGGTTCGTAACCTCGCCGGGATTTCGTATACCCCTGCGGTTGTACCAGTTGAAGTCGCTGAGACTTGGCTCAAAGTTTCATCTGGAAGAAACAAATGTTTCTTATAAACATATCATACCTATCAGACACACTCAAAACAAATATTCACTCCTGGCACTTACCATCAACACCATTTTCAGACTCTTCATCTTGAGATAGGTCCGCAATGCTACCATAATCATTTTCAATTCCTTCGTCCTAATGAGACAAATACAAACACAATTCATACATGATGATGTCATATGATAATACATTTCCTAGCCCTTTTAACAGCGAAGAAACTTCTTAAGATGTATTATCACCTACCTGAATTTGTCTATCCTGGTTTTTGATATATAGAAAAAGAAAAGATAAAAATTATATCAAATGTAATGAATTCTTAGTGGATTACAAATGTCAAAAGTCTGTATCTGTCAAATCCTCAGAATTCAGACAGAAATCCTGGGTGCCCGTAGTTGTCCTAGTTGACCACAGTTCAAGAAAAGGAGGCTTTCTAATGAGTGTCTTGTACTGGTTATATTCCTACTTACATCATCATATTTCTTCATGGACTGCATGAATTCCAAATGTTGCTTTTCTTCCTCTAACTGAGCAACTTTCTGCTCGCTTTCTTGAAATTTCTGTTGCGTTACAGAGAGTTCTTCTCGTAGCCAAGCGTTCTCCTGGCATAGTCGCCGAACCTGAGCCTTGAGCTTTTGCTTCTCTGCCTCCACGGTACTCAGGTGACTGCCGAGGGCCATCATAACCTGGAAGAATGTTTAGATGAACATGGTGAGCACTTTAAACACTAGGTATACACTGACCCTTGCTGAGAATGAATAAATCTGTGTATTATAATACTATTTTTCAAAGAACTGGTTGGTAAAGATTTACTGGTAGAATACAATAAACAATATCGTCACACCACAAACGATATAATGATATATATTCAAGCAATCTTTATACCTGAGCTTCACCAATCCCTAATTCGATTTTCTCCAAAGATGATTTTAAAATGTCAGTTTTAACATGTCCGGCGTTGCCATAATTTGATGTCTCGGGAGTCAGATTTTTCAAAATCCCAGAATGTTCATTCTTTAAGGTTTCCAAACCACGGACAACGTTTTTCGTATTGCTTATTATCTCGTCTTGTGAGAGTTTCCTATTTTCGTCGTTTTTAGCAGACATTTCCACAGGATAATTATTACCACAATGACACCGTCGTCCGCCCAGTCACTTTGACTATTGTAAATCTGTGCGCTAAAAAGCCTTCACCCGGCAGAAATTGTGGATATTTTCGTCCGCTTAAACCAGAAGAGATATCCGTCACGAAGATTTCATTGAAAACTAGCCTAGAATACACGGTAAAACGTGAAAAGAAAGCTAAATTTTAAATGAAAACAATCTATTTTCATTTCAAGTTGACACTATAAATAATGAAATATGGCGTACTTTCTCGTCCGCCGACAACAAACCGCAAAAAAGGTCGAATGGAAAAAACTTGATTTGCTAATTACGCATGCGTGGTGTTAGTCTTCATCGTGGCATAATCTGCACATGCGTAAAGGTGAAAAGGGTGTGGTAAAGGTGAAATCGTTCGTACCAGAGACCGAGTCTGACCGACCGCCCTTTAATCACTGACTACAATACACAGAATTTCACATAGAGAATTTGCCATTGTGATCGTCAGATCAATAAACTGCCGTCAAGAAAAATTGCTAACAATTTGGTGAAATTGCTTCGCCTTGAAAAGTAATTTGAGAATAATTTGAGAATGCAACAAAAGATCCATGAGAACAATGTTACAAAAACAGAAGATGTGAAGTAGGCCATATTACTGTGAAGCTTCCGAAAGTAAATTATACTTTTCAAACACAAGCCGACGTTTCCCTATTCGCCATTCAATATGGCCATTAAAAAAACTAAATAAAGTAAAGCATTGAAAACCAAACAGCCAATATTGTTAAACCTTTACTTTTAGATATGTAAATTTTCCATAATTTATCAGACTTTCAACCGACAACCTTGTTAATAATGTAACACCCACTCAATGAATATCGATATTGGATTTGGGATTTGAAATGCAAATTTTGGCTGCAAACTTCACCTGTCAAACCGCAATAGATACTGAAAACACTATTCCGTTACATACGGTGTCACGTCGTTTACTTATTAAAATTTAAAGAAATTAAACAAACAAATGTCTGGTTCGTATCCACCAAGCGAGACTGTGGATAGCAACCAGGAAACTATGGAAAGAATTGCGCCGAACGATGAAGTTTTCAACGCGAAAAATATAACAGAATCCGAGAACGAATTGACTTTGCCAAGAAAGGAACCCAGCTGGTTTTGCAAACTTGTCGTATTTCGTCCGGTATCGGTCTTTGGTATGTTGCTATGTTTAAAATATAAATTCAAATGTTGAAGATTAAAGTTTTCTAAACTTTCACAGCTTAAATCAATAGACTACTGAAATATACGTCAGTCTAATCGTGCAGTATTCACATAATAATATTCATAAAAGTAGTATATGAAGAAACGTGAGGAGCTAAAGCATTTTTGACACAATGACAATGTGCACTCTCTAAGTTGATAAAATTTGTCAATTTTACCTCAACAGTATTGCAATCATTAATAATATAATAAATCAACCATCACGTTGCCGCTAGCTCCCAGCGGAAGGAAAAAGTAATTGTTGTCAAGCTATGTTTTCTGTACAAACCAGGAAGCCAGCATTTTACGCAACTTTAGATATGCAATGAATCTTTAGATATGCAATGATACTGAACTAGGGACCTTGAAATATAAACAAAAACAGGAAGTTTGACAGCTGAATCTGGCTAGGTCGTGATTCAGAGAAGGACTACTGACAATAACTGTTAGAATTTAGTCATCATATCAAAGTATTAGAAGTCGTCTGCACCTGATTACCGCAACGTATTTTTCGTTCAATACACGTCCCTTCCGATGGTTCCAAGTGCAACTGAGGCAGTAATCTAAAAGTGCAAACAGTTTGCTAACCTTTTCTCACTCTTTTCTATAGCGGTGACCTTGGGCGCCCATGTTCTGCTACTGCTGTTAACAGTTCTTCTTGTCATCAGCGGTTACGACATATTGCCAGCAGACTTCGGTCGCGTGCCGTTGAACCTGGAGAAAGACGACACGAAGCTTCGTTTTGACGCGTTTAACTTCGCAAAATATGGCGGCGCTGTCACAGCGAAACCTCCCAATGCAGGAGCACAACATGAACGTGGGATCACGTATCAAACACTCGAATTCGTTTACGAACTCAAAGACGCGAATATTCTGACAAAAAGCAACCTTCTACGAATGCAGGAAACGGAGAACGCAGTTCTAGAGAAGGAAATCTACAAAGAAAAACTCTGCCAACTCGTGCAGAGTAAAAATGGGGCGAAAACTTGCAGACCAACGTTCTCTCTTCTTCGTTTCTTTGATGGTAGCTACCAGAAGATGCACCCTGATTTGTACGACCCGAATTTTGAGAATATTTCGCGGGTTCTTATGACTGCTCGTGCTCTTAATCTCACGAGAACATATCTCGCTTATCACTTGGGCAAGGATGTAGAATTCGATAAAGTCAATGATATCGTTAGAACGTCATATTGCCGCAGTCTGCTGTATATAGGCTGGCCACTCGCGGGATATGATAATGTTCAGGAGAAAGAGGAGAAACAAACTGAGAGCTTAGATGAATATATCTTCACAGCGTTTGGTAGCAGTCTAGCTAACTTGGCAAAGGAGGGGATTGGCGCCATGAATTTCTACTATAACAACCGGGCGTTGCGAAGGAAAGCCACCCAGGAACAAGTCATAGCCGATATGAGACTTGCAATTATAAGCTTTGTCTTTATAGTCGTTTTCATGTGGCTACAAACTGGTTCGTTGTGGGTCACAGGTTGGGCCATTTTCAGTATTCTGTCAAGTTTCAACATCGCCAACCTGATCTATCGCATTATCCTGGATTATCGTTACTTCGGAGTGTTCCACGTGTTATCTATCTTTATAATACTTGGCATTGGTGCAGATGACATTTTCGTATTCACAGATACCTGGAAACAATCGGAAGGAATTGAGTTCCCAAGCAAGGCTCATCGGTTAGACTTTGTTTACAGACGAGCAGCCAAAGCCATGTTCATAACATCATTTACAACAATCGTCGCATTTCTCTCCAACGCCCCGTCTCCCCTTCTGGCCATTTCGAGTTTTGGCGTGTTTTCAGCTGTGCTGGTCTTTGTAAACTATTGCTCCGTCGTCATCTTCTTCCCAGCCGTTGTCATAATGCATGAGACGTATCGCATTGGCAAATGTTGTTGCTGTTTGTTGACATGTTGCAAGCGACAAACACCGCAGCCTGATGATAGTTCGGCTCAAAATAAAAGGAAAAGATTGGGCAAATATATCGCTGAATTCTTTGAAGAAACATTCTTTAATAAGGTAGTGAAACACAAGATAACAAGATATGTGGTGTTGACCTTGTTCTTAGTTGTTATTATCGTCTCGATCATACTCGCTATTGGATTAGAGCCAAACGAGGAGCAGGTGAGATGTTTATTCCTTAACAAACACATTTTTTCTTGATAAGGGCTGCTTTACACTGTAAACGGGCGTAAAAGCTTAAAACTTTTCGGCTAAATTGTTATATAATTATATTTATTATAACTGTTTAACCATGTATATAATATAAGCATGAATGCATGACTGAACCTTGGTGACCTTTGGTAAGTATATTTAGTTTTTATTTACATCACCCAACCACATTTGTGTGCGATGCGTGTATACTGGCGTGTTCTATGCTAATCAATGCGGGCAATCCAGTGAATCCACCAATCACCGGGGGGTATCTGGCTAAAAAATACGCTCGAAAGGCGGAATCGAACCGCTCCGACGCTAGTCGGCTACAGGTTTGAAGCCTGCACCCCACACCAGTGAGGCTCATTCAAGCAATATATATGCTAATCACATTCATATTTATATCCGTAATTCTATGCTTTGTTCCGGCCTTGTGGGAGGATTGTCAACGCATCTATTTGTCATGCGCAAAAGTTATTTTCGGGAAAAACGTCGTTCTTTAAAAGTTTTAGGTTTCTAGTTCTTTAGTTACTGAAATTTCAGATCCCTCTTTATAACTACGTTCATATAATTAAATTTTTCATACATTCTGACTCTGATAGTAAGATGCAGCATCCAGTTAACATAACGTATATATTTTATCCAGGTTGAAATCTGGAGTCCTGATACGAACTGGGCGAAAGTGAGAAAGCTTCGTGAAACGAAATTTGCAGCCAGCGAGAGTGATCGTGTGGTTAAGGTGACGATCGTGTGGGGTTTGAAAAATCAAGATCGTAGCGACTGTCATCACACGGATTTCAAATGTCGAGGGAAGACGATTTTCGATACAAGTTTTGATATGAACTCTCCGCCGTGTCAAAGATCAGTTCTTGTATGAATACTGCATTACTAAGTGTATTACACAGGATGTGGGGAGGGGAAGGTGGGGAACAATAGTTAACCACAGGGGGAGCAGGTGGGGGGAGTTGGCAGGGGCAAAACTGTCACTTATATCACTATTTGGAGTGAAAGGCGAAGTGAATGTTTGTTCTATAAATATTCAGAATTTGTTCTCACATTTTTGACTCGCAGAGTATTATCCTTGACAGCAAACTTACTTTGATTAAATGTTTGCTGTAGAATTTATGCGAGAAATTGAGGAATCCATCACCAGACATTAGTAACAAGCTTAAATTGAGAAGAAACCAGGTGACGGGCAAAATTGAGATGGAGTGTTTCATGACGAGAATGGACGAATATTTTAAAGTGTGTAAACCAGATCCGTTTATTCGATAACTACCGTTAACTCTATCTTCAGAGCATGACCACTGTCTCTGACCACAGTTTTCCTTCAAACATCATGCCTTCTTATTGCGTGTCCATCTTATCTCATCCTTCTTCAACTTCTTTGTAATATCTCTGCATCTTCACCATGTTTTCCATCCATCATGCGCTATGTTTTAAAATTTAGGCTGAAGGAAACAAATCCAAGTACACACCGAACAGCGACCTGAGCATTCCTTCCAGTGAACAGAAGATGACGACGTTGATGAAAGGAAACCCTTCACGTTACAACATGTCCATGCACTCAAAAGACTATTTTCGCTTCTTCGAAGTCGGCCTTGGATTCTTTCTGAGAAATGGCTCTCAGTCTACTTTTGTCAACAACTATGATTACAAAACGTACAGTAAATACTTCGGTTCAAGAAATGATATTACAACGTCGGGAACTTATGAAGGTCTGAAGCTACAAGGTAAACTGAAAAAGGTGTCTCTATCGATCCCAAATGATGGTCTAGTAGCAAATATATATTTTTTACTCTAATGCTGGAGATGAAAACTAATAATTCGCTACGCCTTTTCTTTCCTTAGAAAATCAATATGGTAACTCGTTATTATTTATGGCAGTCGCCTTCAATACGTCACTTCAGGTCGCGAAACTTGGCTACAAAGCTGGGCTACCTGTACAAGACAACTGGGAGGATTTCGTGAAAACTGAGGTACGCCGGATAGCTCTGTGTGATTCGTATTGCTATCATCAAAATGTTCATTTATTTTCTTTACGTTTGCATGTTCATGAAACACAGATGGAGGAAATGCCACCGTCGTGCAACAAAGCATTTCAACAAACTGTTGACGGGTTTAATATTTGGCATTGGTTGAAAGTGCAAAAGGTAAGATTCCGATGTATGTTCTACAAGAGTTTAGCATCAAATGTGGTATAACAACTGCCTAAATAGACAAAACACTTCTCGACGTTTCGACCTGAACTACAAGGCTACTTTTCCTTATATTGGATAGTCGATAAAATGGCTTATGTAATTGACGGAAGATTCACATTCCTTTTAGATTTTGATTAAGAATGCCGTTCAAGGAATTGTGATTGGACTCTTGCTTGCTTTGTTCGTTCTGATAATTGCAACAACCAACGTCATTGTTGGTATCCTAGCAACGTTCACCATAGCGATGATCACGTGTAGCGTCCTAGCAACCATCACCTTGTTGGGTTGGAAACTTGGCGTTTTGGAGTCTCTGAATATGACCTTAGTCGTTGGCCTCTCTGTGGATTACGTTGTTCATTTAGCAGAGGGATATATGGAGCTGGAAGGGGGTAATCGACTACGACGTACGAAGCACACTCTGGGACATGTGGGTATATCTGTGGTCTCAGGCGCATGCTCTACACTCGGAGCCTCTGTGGTTATGTTTGCAGGAAAAATTATCTTTTTTATTCAATTCGGAACATTCATATTTGTCACTATCGCCTTTTCTACACTTTATTCGCTCGTGTTCTTCAGTACAGTGTTAGCTTTGGTTGGACCGGAAGGAAAGCACGGATCTATTTTGCCCGTTGTTCGTAAAATGAAAGATATCATCATAGGAAAGGGAAAATATGATGTCATTTGCAATCAATGCAACGGTCAAGGTTATCACAAGAGAAGCGATTTAAAACGAGATGAAGACGGCGGAGCGAATGAGGGAGGCCTGGGAGCGTGTGACGTCCCTAATACTTGATCACTCGGTCCCATAGGGCAGTGACTGTTGAATCTCAAGGATATTAATTAATTTTATAGAGATTGCCGCGCTTTCGTTCAATACACGATGAGTAATGAAGAATAGCGAGTCTGTCTTTTGAATGGTCACCCCCCCTGAAGAATTTGCATTTGGTCGCTTGGAAGCTGAGCATTCAATGTGAGAGTTTTTAGCTCATATGTCATGTACAGAATTATATTTAAATAATTGATTGCACACCGAATAAATGTATTTTACCATACTTCATATTACGGTAATCGTCAGCATGTAATAATGACAGGTAATTGAGGGATTTTGTCACCTCTGAGAGGCATCACTTCCTCGAGTATTCTTGAAATAAATACATTATACATCATTTAGTGTCAATGTAGTGTCTGTCATATAGTCATAGTCAAAGAAAACACCACCCACCGAATACTTCGCAAACTATAGCGCCCGTTTGAAAGAAAAGTGATCAAATATTAAACGCAAATTATGAGCAATCCGTGCAGGACTTGACAGCAATTAACTTTGGCGGCTCAAACAGGACAAACACGAAATTATATTGTCTCCTTGGGATTGGAGGAATACTGTTTAGAATGATGAATTCTTAACACTTTGCCTGCTGTTTTTCCTAATTCGTATTTTAATCTGCCGCGATGTCATTGAGGTTTTGAGATATGCAGTTTTTGAGATATGCCGCGAGTCAATTTTACACCGACATAGTTATCCTGTATCTTTACATCTCGGAAAACAATATATCTATTATATTATCTATTATAGAGCCCCTAGGATTTACGATTATTGGATTAAACTAAGGTTTTATCCTGCCCAAATCTTCAAATATACCTTTATACTCTTTTTCGATTTAATTTCTTAGTTTAATAAGACGTTTTTAATTCATGGTACGTCTGAATTTTCAAGCAATATTTACTTACGATTACAAACACAGACGTTTCATAAATTCATAATTACTTTACCATAGAAACGAATTGTGCCTTTTAGAATATAGTTCAATTTGAGATAGTCATATCTTGTCGTTTTCAAGTGTCTGATAGGAGACTACAGACAGCGTCAGGTGATGTAGACTATCTAAGTCTAAGAGTTTCAACGTTCGTGTCGGATGCACAAAAACATCGCCAAGAGGCTTTGCAAACGAAATGTTTGATGTATTTGAACGTTTTACTAAAACGAAAGAAAATAAAGACACCCGTAAAGTGTAATTGGTATGGGAAAAGTTTCGTTGCGAGACAAATGACAGCCTATTTTTTTTGTGGAGATCGGATAACGCTGTGAAGTTATCATCAAAATGATACAGCGAGCCACATCAGTAGATGATGGGATATCGGATGATATTCATGTTGATAATATCGATCCAGATCAAACAGTAGACAATAAGGAATTAAACGCAGGTGTTGGTGTTTCCCAGCCTAAGATCTCCGAAGAAGGCATGAGTCCCTCTCCAACAAAAGAATTGAAGATTTGCAAATTGTTTGCAACATGGCCTAAGTTATTTTTTTGTAAGTATCTTTCTCGCAAGTTGTTGTATTGAACTGTATTTGAACCGTTCATTTATCTGTATTATCAAACATCAGACTATTAAATTATTACACTTCAGCTGGAGTCTGCTGGACGCCTTTAAGACTGATATTTACTGCCGGCAGCGGCGTTAATGGTTGTACATACAACTGCCACTTGCAAACGGACATAATATTAATCACCCGGCACATTCTCCTTTGTTTCATCTAGCACTAACATTGTCGTGCCATTTGCTGCTAATATTTATGTCAGTCATTCTGTATATCGTCGGCTACGAAATCCTTCCGATCGACTTCAGCGACGTACCGTTAAATCTCGAAGATGACCCGACCAAGTTACGGGCGGATGCGTGGAAATTTGCCAGCGAAAGCGACGCGGTTACGCTCAGTTCTTCTGTCGTCAGCGGTAGCACGAAGAGAGTCGTGCGGTATCAAGTACTGGAACTAGTTTACGAATCACAGGAAGATAACGTACTCACGAAAACAGACCTGAAACAAATTCAAACTTTTGAAAACGAGCTTCAGAACAACACGATTTGGGAGCGAAAGCTGTGCTTGTTGAATCCGTCGCAAACTTGCCAAACGACCAGCTCAATTTTGCGATTCTTCGACGGCACATATCGCAATTTTCACAAGGATTTGTTTGACCCAAATTTCGAGAATATCCACAATGTCCTAGAAACTGCACAGTCGCTAAATAAAACCCGATCAATACTTGCTTATCACCTGGGAAAAGACGCGATTATTCGAAATGAAACGGCTCGATCAAGGTACACGCGTTCTTTGATGACCATCGCCTGGCCTTTGGATGGTTTCAACAGTACTTTGAATAAAAAAGACGAGCAAATGGAAAAACTAAACTCTTTAACTGTTGACGCGTTTGCGCAAAAGCTCAAGGATACATATAAATCAGGTTTATCCGGTATTCAGTTCTATTATTATAATCGCGCTATTTATGTTAATGAGATAAAAATTCAGGTTGTTTTGGATTTTCTCCTAGCCGGGGGGAGTATGGTGTTTATTTTTATGTTTATGTGGCTTCAGATCGGATCATTATGGATAACATCTTGGGCTATCTTTAGTATACTGTCTAGTTTTGTCATAACAAACTTCATTTACCGTGTCATACTGGATTTTCGCTATTTTGGCGTGTTCCATGTTCTCTCCGTGTTTATCGTCCTGGGGATTGGTGCCGATGACGTATTCGTGTTTATGGACTCGTGGAAAAGCACCGCACACGTGACCGTACTGATTACCAGACTCTCCGAGGTCTACAGCCACGCGGCTTCAGCCATGTTTGTGACGTCGTTCACGACGATGGTTGCGTTTCTCTCCAGTTCCCTTTCGCCGTTGCTCGCTGTGTCAACCTTCGGGACGTTCTCGGCACTGCTCGTCGCCGTCAACTACCTCTCAGTTGTGTTGTTCCTACCCTGTGTCGTTATCATTCACGAACTATACCTAAAAACAAGCAACTGCTGCGTCGCGTCATTCCCATGCACAAACAGCAATCGGAACGAACCAAACAATTGCTCACCATGTTGTTCAAGAACAAGCAACACTGTTCATCCCGTTCAGAGCAGTTCAAATTTACTTCCCACTGAGCCACCCCAAACCATAACACAAAAGCTGGCAGCGTTATTACAAGGACCATATTTTAAATGTTTCGTGGGCCACAGAAAAATTCGTTGGTTTATTTTGCTGGTTTTCGCAGCAATCTTGGCGACATTCCTTGCATTTGCTACGTTTATTAAACCGGACGAAAAACAGGTGAGACTTGCGTTGAAAAAAAGTTCTGAGATTTTGAAAATGCGTGTTACGTGATGTTACAGCATTTAAACAATTCATTCGTAGGTGGATATGTGGGTGCCTGGCACGAACTGGTACGAAGTGAAACGGTTAAGAGAGTCTGCATTTCGACCAAGTGAGGAAGACAATATTTTTGCTGTTCATATCATCTGGGGTTTGAAGGAGCAAGATCGAACAAACTGCCATTTCACTGACTATAAATGTAAAGGAAAGACGGTGTTTGACACGAGTTTTGATCTCAATCCACCCCCCTGTCAGAATGCTGCACTGGTGAGTATAGTGTGATTGTACTCCTTTGTGGCAGGGGGGGGGGGGGCAGTAGGGTACTTACAATAAGCGAGTACAAATTATAGCTTGTCTTGGGCCCCGTTAAAGTGGTGTGGTAACACTGGACAAAAGAGTGGTTGCTATATATAACTGAAATTCTGAAAAGTGGATCTGAAAAGAGACCATGCTTCTGGCTAGTAGTTGAGTACTGCTGCTTCTTCTTTTAGAGTTTATGTCAGAAGTTGAAAGATCTACCAAGAAAACAGCAAGACGCTTTGAAGATACGACGCAGTCTTGTTTCTGATGAAGTGCAGTTGAAATGCTTGCTAGCAAGAATGAGAGAATACTTCGAGGTTAGCATAATCATACCGCATGTTGTCTTATCGATTGTAAACTTAGTTTCTTAGAGGCCAAGTAGAGGAGGGAACATCGCTTGCGGTCCTGCACCAAGTGTCACTAGGAAGTACTGAAAAAATATTTGACCAACTGATTGTAGATGCCATGCAGTGATTCGATTAAAGCATGTGAACGTTTCTTATTTCAGGTTGAAAGTAACAAGTCGAACAAGTACCCTTTAAACACAAATCTTCGCTTGCCTGTTAACGCCGAGAAAATGGGAATTTTAATGAAGGGCAACCCGCAGCTGTACAATAAAACAGCGTTACCTGAAACATATTATCGGTATTTTGAACTGGCTCTGGGTTACTTCATAACAGATGGTTTAAAACCCGATTACTGGAGAGATTACGATTTTCAAACTTACTCTCAGCTCGTTGGTGGAGAAAAGGATCCTAGTGCTCTAACCAGTAGCTCTAATTTACAAGGTTAGTGAAGCCCGGCTGTTTTTTATCGCCGCTACGCGAAATTGGCCACACGAAATACAATACACGCTTTCACTGCTTAACAACACTGCCGAATTAATAAATTTATAAATAGAAAAAATTAAATTACCCATTAGGAGAACGGACTAAAATACACACGCTTCACACAGCTGTTATAAGGGCCTGTTCAGATGACGAGATTTTGAGCGAGGTTTGGCCGAAGCGTGAAGACTTGTCGACTTTTTTCGTGAAAACGAGCGCATACAAGTTGATGAAGAATATTTGCTCGTCTGTGCGGGGTCTCTAGTCCGAAAGCAGTTGACTTTGATGAGTAAAGGCTTGTGATACAGATACAATGCTTCATTCTTCGTGAAAACTCACAGGGTTGCCGAGCATCATTTAATGCCTAGAGTGTGGGAGGTGGCTAACCTTGCGGTCTTCGATTGGGTCTGCGGTTAGTTCATTTAATTATCGTTGTTTTCAGGTAATAAATATGGGAATCGTTTACTTTTTATGGCTATCGCGGTGAACACAACGTTATCTGCAGATAATCTGGGATATGAACGTGGCTTACCCATCTATAATGAGTGGGAGAGTTTCGTTAAAGATCAGGTATATCAACACAATAGTTACCATCATCCTTATCGCTGTCCTTAATTGAGAAAAAATTGACGTTAATTAAGCCGTCTCCCTTTTTATCAGATGAAAGAAATGCCACCGTCCTGTCGACAAGGTTTTCAAGCGACCGTAGATGCACGCAATGCCTGGCATTGGATTAAAGTCCAGCAGGTACATATATATCAAACATACCCAAGCATATTCCGCCTATCCTAGCTCGGGTTTATCTTTTACTTTTTTCCCCGTTATCACAAGTGGAAAGAAGACGATGATGCTTGGAGGGAGCCTGGAGGGCAGCGTGGGTAGCGTCCCTCTCACCTTTCACAATCGGGGGGAAAGGTACCTCACTACCTCTCATTGAAAGTCGGTAATGAATCGGCTTTGTGGTATGTACCACGCTAGATTTACAGCCAACGAGCATTAAGCTAAGGGCCTGTTTATGTGGAGCGAGTTATCCCGGCTAAACGAGGTGAAAACTGCATATAGTGAAAGACTGACTAATTAGGTTAAGCCTTTGATGTGATGCGCTTGTTAACTCACCTAGACGGGATAACTCGCTCCATGTAAACAGCCCTAAATGCAGCCAATTTTTCTGACGGGAACCCCCCTCCCAGATGTTTGGTAAACACTGCCTCAGTATCCGTAAATACAGAAGTGTTTATTCATGAAATCTTCCCCCATGCCTTCATAACTTTCTAGTGTCCCTGGTTGTTTGGTATACTCAACGGGGCAAAGCTATCGCATTTCGTAGATTGGGCTGGTACAACTGAGCTTAGAATGTATGGAACTATTTATTGCATTTAGATCCTTGTCCGAAACGCTGTACAAGGTATAGTACTGGGTCTGTGTCTCGCTCTGGTTATACTGACTGTTGCAACAATGAACTGGATGATAAGTCTCCTAGCAACGCTGACGATTGGTCTGATCACGTGTTGTGTTGTGGGCGTCATACCAATGGCAGGATGGAAACTAGGAATCTTAGAATCCTTAAATTTAACTTTGGTTGTCGGTCTTTCTGTTGATTATGTCGTACATCTGGCACAAGGTTACGTCACCGCGCAAGCTACCGGAAGATTGGAACGAGTCCAAAGCACACTTGGTCACGTGGGCATCTCAGTGCTGTCAGGCGCATGCTCAACTTTAGGTGCATCCATATTCATGTTCGGCGCGAAAATCTTATTTTTCTTTCAGTTCGGGATTTTTATATTCTCGACGGTGGGATTTTCATTAGTTTTTTCCTTGGTATTCTTTGTTGCCGTCCTTGGTCTGGTTGGACCCGTGGATAATGCGGGGTCACTATCACCTTGGGTGGGGATGTTTGTGGGTTACTTGAGGGGTAGAACCAAGACTGACGTGGATTGCAAGGGGTGTCGTGGAAAGGGCTTTGTGAAGAAGGATACGTAACGATAAAAAAGGAAACGTAAATCAAGATGCGTGCGCACAAGAAACCCTCAATGAACAGAAATGTTTGGTATGCAGAATATGTAGATGCTCATGCTGAATAACATGGCGGATTTTCATCGCAGTATTGTGCATTTGTGCCTAAAGGTCTGTGCGTATTGAGAAACCGCTTCATCCTTATATTGCCCTGTGGCCAAGTCAAATTTCTATCGTAGTCCGCAGACAGCGCACAAACCATCAACGAAACCACCGTAAAAAGTGAACTGTTAGTCTGATTTAGAACTAAAAATAGGCGACTGCTTAGTAGAAAGGAATGGGGAAAAGTGTGGTGGGTTAAAGGTTTAATATAATTTATAAAATAAACGTTGTGAACGTACGTAACTTGTGACGTTATGCAAGATAGCAGGAAACCTAATTATGACCTTATTAGTGTGGAAAGAATATAATTTCCTGACCTAATTAAAAATAGTAATCTTTCATACCCAACATTCGCTGTTTTTGTAATATTTCCGAGTACCTCAATGACACTTCGGACCCCTTCGATGACAACGAAATACGACACGATGGCATCAAATGAAATTCTTGAAAATGTTAGGCTGCCTTTCGTGATCACGCACGCGGGAACAAAATGTGCGCGCAGTCATAACATCATCTTAATACACGCATTATCCCGTGATCATTGCTGCGCAGAACACACGGCACAAACCGGTTCGGGAGACGACGTCGCCTATCGGTAAGAATGAACTACCTTATTTCAGTATTTACTGCTAGAGTATTTTGGCGTATTTGTAGTGGGGTAGCTAGCTGGGTAATAGACATTTATGAATTCATAGCTATGGTAATGCGTTAGTAATGCGTTAGGTATTCTGAGGTCACTCAATAAATGGTCGCTTATTACCATTCAATTTCTGGTTTGATCAGATAAGTTAAAATTAAAAGCAAAAGGCAACTTTGGAAACGACGGGGAGTGCGTTGAATCAATAAATGTATTCAGCGCAAAACATTACGGCTAGGAATGAACGATGCATGATGCTATATATACTTTGTATGGAGCATAAAAAAGCGCCCTAGAAGATGCTAAGATAACAGTGGGACATAAAGTCTCTTACTACGTGATATGATTTGAGATGATTACATCTCACGGGTAGTCCCATTTGATGTGGCAACTGCGCACTGCCCCTCTGAGCAAAAGGCAGTCAGTTGACAGGAATTTGTTATTCACATGAAGATTCAATCGAAAACTCTTTATGTGAAAATTCTTTATGAAGTTATTATGAAAATCGATCCTGCGTCAAAGCTCTTGATCCGTTGCATTTTTTCAGATAGATTAGTCTAACTGTATTTCATATAAGGGCGTAAAATGACAGTTAACGCAGGTTGCAAATGATCTAATTTTAATAATATGCGAATTCCTGGTATGGTCCATTGATTGACTGATCCCGGTTTTACTTAGAAGAGCGTTATACGAAAATATAAATGAGTATACAGTGGAAAAGACGAAAAATGGGAAGAAATATGGGGGAGTATGACTTGGCAAGTCATACGGTTTGCGCAATGTTCGCTTAGGAATGCTTTCGACAAAATGTTGCAACGTGATGCATGCTTGCTAGAATTTTATTCATTCGAAAGCAATAAGTTAATACAAACGTCTTTGATAATTGATTGTGTAGGTAATGATTTAAATGCGCATTTGAGATTACGGTACTAAAACTGAGTGGATAAATTGAGGCCATTGAAAATGTCAATCATTGCAGCTTTTCTTGGCAAAAAAACCCATCTTAAATAATATGTAACAAATGTACATCACTGAACTCAGTGCGAATGTCAATGAAAACATATCTTCGTTGACATGAGTACTAATTTACAATCTGAATGATCTACTCCCAACGCAACATGATGAAGCTCATGAAAGCGAGCATTGATGCAATCGTGACAAATCTTTTCCTATTTCATCGTTGTTTGGTTGCATTCTCACAGACGCGTGTAAACCGAGTGTTGTGTTTAGTTCCTATAGTTAATGAGTGAATCATTGTTCTTGAGTGTCTCACTCATTTACCAAAGGTCAACACATGAAACACATTCCTCTTTAGTTTCAAGACAAACGTATGGTTTATATTTTGATATATTTCTTTATTCCTGCCACTGTGTCTGTCGACAACTTCGGCAGGTTCACTCGGGCACCACTGTTGTGTGCGTGATGAAGAAAGTTGGGAACTGATGAAATAGTTAAGTAGGTAACTTAACATGTGTTTTACTGCTTTCACATACAGCTATCGTGGAAGGCATCAATCACCAGTCAAAGGACCTACGTTATAAACTGGATAGTTCTATTCATCAGTTCTATACCCTTCTTCCTATATAAAGACCTAAAGGTCCAGTAGTATATAGGGATTCACTTTTATATGTCTCGTTACTACAGGAAAAACCTTAAATACCCAACTCCTGACAGTGATATTGGTAGTTATATCAGTTGATAAATTGTTTTCCTTAGAGGTATATAACGAATTGTGTTCACCATCAGCTTTAGAACTCTTTACATAGGTCCGGACTACAGGCTACAGGCAATTATGTGCAATCCCTCTCGCCCCATTGTGCAAATATTTTCCTGCAGATCAAAGACGTTTTAAGGAAGGAAAATGATTTATAGAAGTGCAGTGCATGCATGTGACAACATCCGCAATCATTGTTATCAAAATATAAATCCACGCAAAGGTTAGATAAACACACACGATTTGGGAGGCCATGCTCTTGAAATGATTCACTTTTATAGACAGACAGACAAACACCGCATGGTTCTTTTTAGGCACTCAATTTCCTGTTATATAGTTATAGACGAGGTAGGGATGACCCTTGTTGAACCTCGGGGGAGAACTAACCACAGACTAATCCAGCATGAGTGAAAAAATTTATTTTCTTGCCATGGACCATTTAGCAGCGATACAGCTATCCAGTTTATACCACGGAGGAAACATATGAAACTAAACTAACCTGGTTACATATAGAGATGATTTTTACTGGACCTCTAGGAAGAACAGTTTAGAAGTGATAGAGCTATCCAGTATAAATAAAGTTAGTTAAGTTTAGGTTTCCTCCTGTAGTACCACTGGATCAATAAGAGATGATCCTTGCTGGACCTCCAGGAAGAACAGTTTAGAACTGATAGAGCTATCCAGTATAAATAAAGTTAGTTTAGTTTAGGTTTCCTCTTGTAGTAACACTGAATCAATAAGAGATGATCCTTACTGGATCTCTAGGAAGAACAGTTTAGAACTGATAGAGCTATCCAGTATAAATAAAGTTAGTTTAGTTTAGGTTTCCTCCTGTAGTAAAAATAGATTAATGAACGAGAGTTTATCTTTACCGGATAGGGAGAGACAGTTTACTGATAAAGCTATATCCAATAAAAATAAAGTTTAGGTTTCCTTTTCAAATTTGATCACGCGAACCTCCAGAAGGAAATCTCAACCAACTGATGGAGTTTATGCCATGTGTAAATAAAACTTAACCAGTTCCTTCTTCACCTTGGCCTTCAAAGGAACACATTATAACTCGCAGTGGCATCCAAGATAAATAAGTCGAGTTTAACTAATTTAGAAGTTCATATGTTTTTCTGAACTTTTCTCTTTTGAGTCTGTGCCGAACTTGCGTCATTGGAATTCTCGTTCTAGTGCGTAAAGTTGATGGAAGATTGGCTCATATCTGGTATTCTTCCTGTATATTGTGTGAAATAACATGCATCCACGCGACCATTGGGACACCTGGGAGGCAACATTCACAGAGTGTTTGTATTACAGAACAGAATGTTCATACCCAAGAAGTGAATAAACAAATCCCGTCTTAGACTAATGCGCGCATTAAGGATGTGTTGATAGGCGGCTGACAGAAATGATGGATATCTTGAAGGAAATATTTGAAAATTTTCAGGAGACGAGGCACACCCATAATGCGAGAGACACCGGTTGTTTGAACGGATTCGAGGATCTCAGATTAATCTAATTCGTTAAGATTGATTTCCGGCTAATCGCTCAAATGTTTTCCCATTCGCTCCTCTGTCGATTGGCAAGCTCTCAGCAGTTATCTTTTAGTAAGGTTATCGTCGTCCAACCTAAACTCGATACTGAATAACAGAGAACCCTTTTATTTTCATTCCGCCGGGAAGGGGAATTCAGTGAATATAGAAAATAACGGGTCTGTTCTTGGAAAGGAGTAGCCTTGGCAATAAGTCAATTAGCTATTAAAAAAGTTTGAGACTGAAAATATGGTTGAGATTATCTACGTCATGGTTAGTCGTGTGTGGTTACTAAATTTTACCTCTGTTATGTGGCTGCTTGTAGATATGGAAAGAAATTACCTTAACTACATAAAATATTTGATAACAGGGCAGCTGAATTTCATGTCAAGAAAGGGAGACGAAGATATGGCTTGAAACATCTTTTTTATCTTACACATTTAACAAATGAACGATGGAATTTAGGCCTAAAGGTGCATGGATAAAATTGAAAACAAAAATCACACAAAATGATACAATTCCTCTTAAATCTTCAATATTCATCTTTGAGCGAAGTTTATGGGATATTTGCATATTTCATTTAAAATAATCAACCGAGACATAAAGATAAACAGATTACATCTAAAAGATGATAATTCATAATATTGAAAAAAACCCAAGTAATTTAGACTAATTTTTTATTCTAATAACCTATTTTTAGTTGATGATAGCAATGCCAATATTAACCACCCTGTGGCCTGTGGGAAAGTATATTTAATAACTTGTTGAATCAACGTAACGTATATTGCGAAATTGCAGATAGTGCATGCATGGCAACTCAACGTTAAACGCAAGCGTATATTATGCCTGAACGCACGCGTGGCTGACTACGCCATATCGAAGGTTCCGAGAAGATTGATGGAGCCTTGTGATTGGTCGAAATAGGCAGCGTCATAGGATACGTCACAAACCAAATTGACTCACAAAAAATTCTCATTACTTATATGAGAAAACTCACACCGCACGTGTGAAAATATATACCTCGCTTATTTCGTTGTACTGACTTTCCCTAAACGTGGAAGTCGATTTTTCTGCAATTCACATTCAGTCTTTCGTGGGCTTTTTTGATCAAACTATTTTTAACTTTGTGTTTACGCTTTGAGAATCCTTTGACTTAGCCAGATCGGTCTGTGAAGAATCTATGTATTAAATTTGAAAGTTAATTGAAATATATTTCACGACGAATATCATAAATATAAGTAATTTCAATCGTATATTTTCATTGAAAAGTATATACTGAAACTTACATTATTTCAGTTTTATTTATAATTCATTACTCGAAAGGTAAAATCTTAGAATTTACAAAGGAGATACTCCAGGAACGTGGGCGAGGGAGATTGTATAACATTGTTATGCGTTCCCAGTGCTGATGATTGTATATAACAGCTGAAACTATACCGCAAGAATAATAGCTGACACTAGGCCTAAACACAAGACAACCATTTTGAATCCCGCAGTTCAAACAAATGAATGAGAATGAAGATCAGATCGAAAGATTGTATACACGCAATTTACGAGATCTTGTATTTAATAGTTATAGTAGTGACCACAACTCTACCTTTCAACGTTAAATATGTGAAGAATACCCTAGTTCTAAAATCTGACGAGATAGGAGATGCAAGAAGTATATAGCTGTGTCAACTGTCACCCACATGAGATAAAGAAACAAATGAAGCAATGTTTGCCAGGTGCATTTGAATACCACCCACATGACAGCTCTGCATCCAAGAGCAATGGCTCACGTTTTCACAGCTATAGGTCTTTTTATAAAAAGCATATACATAATTTGATTCTTTGAGATAATAGCGCAATCAAGGTTTTACTTTAGTGGGTGTTTATATTCAGGGCGTGTCTCGCACACTGCGGTCTTTCAAGCGGCGAATTCAGAACAATAGCAGATAATGAGATGAGCCATCATCTCTCCTTATTCCCATGTTTTTAATTTATTTGTTACATGGAAGAGACGAAAACAAGTCGAATATATAAAGGAGGGCATGGTCCAAACACAGGCAGTTTGCAGTTTTGTCAAATATCCGAGGACACAGTCCATCAACAGCCTATATAATATATCAAGTGAAGACATCTGGATGCTTCGATCTGAAGTCCTCCTCTGTTACTAAGGAAGCCTCAGCTCGAAACGTCGAGATTTCTTTATGCACTATTTCGCCAGTGAATGATCTGATTTGTCCCGTCATTTATATTAGAAAGATGAACACTTGTTTCTTTCGTAATTGCAAGACTCGTGTGAACTGCAGCTGAAAACTCCCGCCTCTTTAAAAGGCGTAGTTTGAATTCAGCCACGTTGCAGAGTAGGCCGAAACATCCTGGTATGTCCGAAGAAATATTTTCGTGACTCTATAAATACGTTCGGCTCCTAAATCAACTGCCCTACAGGGTTTTTATGCATGAAAAATGTGGCGGGTGGCACGAAATTGCAAATGGCCTCCGAGTTGCATCGCCTGCGCAAACAAACTGCAGTTTTTTACGTATTCCACCGTTTCAATAAAGAAGAAAATCATGAATCATGTCAAACAATGAGTACAAAGCCAAAAGATCTCATTTTTGCCCTAAAGCATAATCAATAATTGAAATCTTTTCAATGGATACCATGCTCTTAGTATTTTAAGTTCCGTAAATGGACGCCAAGCACTTAATTATCATATAGTTATGATGGGAGAAAAGAAAGATAATATTGGGAGATATTTGCCGCAGAATTGCAACTTCAATTTAGTAGAATATAAAAGCCAATAAAATATTAAACAAGTCACTTGATGCATCACCAGAAGGGAGCCTAAGTAGTGTCATCATAACAATTTTGGATCGCACAAAAAGGTAAAAATATATGATTCTTTTTCATTCGACTTCGTTTCGTCATATTTAACAGCAATGAATATTCATTTGCATCGAAATTTGTCAGTTCTTACACCGCTAGTTTATTTACACAACGTGTAATACTCTCTAATGTAAAAAGTAAACGCTGTCGGTCCACAATGTACACAAATCAAAATTAGAAGTAAAAAAAATTAATGATTTCATGTTCAACTAGCGTGTAGAGAAATTAATCCAAAATGATTGAACTAATATTAATCAAGATTTTTGTACGAACGCATTACCGCGGGAAGTAGTTAAATTCTTACAGTCTTCGTGAGCTGATTGGCTATTAATTTCTAACTGAAGGTTGGATTAATCGTATACGTTAGACAAATAATACGTCTGTGAAGATGATTGAGTGGACTTGGCTATTTTCGTCGGCGCGTCTTTCAGGCCAGTGTTTAACTTAAAACTTAACGTATTTTCGACGCAATTGACGTGGGAAATTTGTGTGTTTTAATATCGCTGTATTTTCAGCTGAGTTCTCAGGAAACAATGCTCGACGCCTTTGCGTCGCTATGATACGATCGAGCAGAAAAACTCGCTTTTGACGCAAGAAGGCAGACAATTTCTACTCGCAATTCGTCTGGCTGAAATACCGTAGACAATCTATGCACAAGCACACGAACTATACATAGAACTTTGTAACCGCTCAACGGAATGTTCCCATATCAACATTCAATATATGAAGCATCTGAGGTGGGGAAAGCCAAAAGCAAAGAAGAGGAGGGGTAGAATTCCTTTTAACGCGTCTTGCCACTACCCAGCGCCCGCCAGCATTACAACTTTTGCCTGGCTGCATGCAACTCGATTTAACTGATACTCGCATGCCAGCAATAAACCTTTGTGGAGAAAGATTGCAATAACCCCCTGATAAACATGAACCTTTTTCACTCATATCTGCATGCATCTGTTAAAAAAACGGAGCACATGTTAACCACGTGAACAATACAATGCAATATCGATTTATTAAACTTGCCCAGACAAGCCTCATTTTCATGCAAGCAAACTTATAATCCATCGGCGAAGGATAAAATTTTGTTGCAACGATAAAAGTTCGAGGTCTCTGGCGATGATATGCCATGAGATTGTTTTAAAAAAGTTGCCATGTTGAGGTGGATTCTATAGGTTTTTATTATAGTTCGTTTCAAAACCTTGTTTGGGGAATATAAACTATTACAAATTAGCAGAGGCAGTTAAGATAGAGTTGTAATTCAGTCTTGGTATCATAATATATTTTTATCCCTTTAAAAAACAGGGTTTCATTCAAACCAGCCATGCTGTCGCAAAATAAATAAATCTGTATTAAATTATAGCTACAAATGATTTTAGCAAAAAGCTAGACCGAGAGGCGATGTTCTTGTCACCTAAATCTTAGCTATATCGGGAAATGACTCAAATCATATATCAAACTAAATATACGACACGTTCACGAGTGAATTTGCATCAATTTCAAAAGAACTCGCCTTTTCGCAATGCTCACAGAATGATTTTGGTCTGGCCACTAAGTGGACTTAGTGGAGAGGTCACGACCAGTATATATATTAGGCTTATTTATGGTATGAATTGCGTTAGTTTCCCTGCAGGCTTATTTCATAGCGATATTGAGTGTAAAACATACAGCTAGCGTGCAAGGATGAGAGAGAATAAAATCATTCATGCCAGCCGGTTTTGAAGTCACAACTGGGTTTTGCAGAAGAGGTCGAATTCACAAAGGTTAGGAAACGGTGTTTATCCGTAGTTGTGGGCAAGATCCGTCATTTGTTCAAGGTTAAGAAGCAATGGTGACATTTAATAACCAAATTATATTGTGGTATAACGTATAGATAGCCGTGCATGTAATCTCATGCAATACATCAATTTGACAGATCACCGCCACGAAGGGCAGAGAAAACTAGCGGGAGACAACAGAGCTTTGCTTTTAGTTGTAAGTCTTCGGTTATAAATTTTTAATTTTTAATCAAAGTTAAGAAAGCGTCTACGACTACATGACTCAATATAAAGTACTTGGGTTACTAACGTAATAGTAAATGTATGCGCGATGATAAAGCCTTCTCCTGATCCATTTCTCTCTAACAAATGCAAGTGTTAAGATAGAGACGCTCCCTGCAACACTTCCTACGCAACTATATATAAACGTTATTCCAACAAAATGAACGCTTGGGTTGAAAAGCAGATCTTCCTAGCTTTCATGATGATTCATTAGGCTGCATAATTCTCTTAACAACTGAAGGCCCTTTCAAGATTCCCAGTTTTTAGCAAGCTTATGGAAGGAATTAACGAGGCAGAAGATTAAAATTTTTTCAATTCATTGTTTTGTGTTTGTTTTGGGATATACAAATTAAATGCGCTGTATATCCTAGAGACGCGTGCGATTAACTGACACGAAAGTTTTTCACCCTGATAACGGAGGTATTAATTTTTGGAGCCAGGAAGAAATGGGAACAGTTTCAAAGCTAGTTTACTTTGCGGTTTCAAAATTAATTGTATTTGAAATTTAATAATCCCTAATTCCTCGTGCAACTAATTGATCGAACGCATAGATTAAACACGTTTATAGATATAAGAGAATAAATAGGGCAATGCATGTGTTTAGACACCAGATGCGTGGCTATATAGCGCCATATAGCTTCGCAAACAATCAAGTTTTCTGCGGAAAGATCATCAAAGTGTTTTAATGAATGTTGAGGTAAACACGACGCGTCACAGCTTGGATGATATTTAATGAAAGGGAATCTGTTTGGATTATAAAAAGTGTACAAAAATCGTTGTCAATATTACGGGAAATGGGTCGGATTTTAATTTTAAATCATGACGCCCACGCCTAGTGTAATAATTGCTATATCGATAGTACCCACAGTATTTAAGACAATCTTTTTTTCTGCGCTTGATAGCACAAGCACTCGTCTGTACATAGAAGACAAGAACGTTGAAGGCTCACGCAAGATGTTGTCAACGATGAAATTCACATGCCTATGTTTCCTTGTGCTTGCTTCATTGGCCATAACAGACGCGCTCCCCGCACCAAGAAGAAACGAAAACAGATCAGAAAAAGGCATCTTTGGACGAGAGACAATTTTTGTAAGTCTCAACGATATTCTGATGCAATTAGACTGCTTTCCCCGAGCCCTTTAAATTTACAAATTAGGTATGGTATTTCATACTCCTTTTAGAGTATTCAGTTTAGTCTATCGTTCAATTTCGAAAAATATTTCCAGCCATATAATTAACGTTGAACTGCGAATATAATTAATTACAAGCTTTTTCTTAACGGCTCCAGCAAGGTGGCGCTCATCATTTTAATCCTAGATTATCATAAATAGTTAACATTCAATTTTCAACATGGAGAATATACTTCCCAATATAGATGAACTTTATTTTAAGAGCTGCCAGACTTTGTACTGGACATGAAAATGAAGGGCTTAATAGTATACTACGATAGAGACCGGACAATCATGGTCCAAATTAGATCGCATTCATATAGTCTATACCTCTCTAAATTAGATCTCCATAAAGCGCTTGTCAAAATTGGGAGGGAAAAGTTGACTGTACATATAGTCGAAGTATTAAACTTGAGTATAGGGCTGCTCATGTTCAGACTAAGGCTCTAGCCGGCCCTAGGTTAAACACGCACCTTCAAATGAAATTGGACACAGTGCTCACAGAAACGAGCAGTATCTCAGCTTATCTCTTTGCAGAGGTAGTGCTCAAGAAACCTGTGCTGTGCTTTCCAACCAGATTTAACTTAGGCTGAGCCAGTGCCGGGCACTCCAACGCTATACGCGCAGCCTAAGTTGAATAAAATGATTCAAGATGATGGTTTTCCTTTTTGTTTTATAAATTACTTAATTTAAGAATCGTACTTAAACATGCATTTTCAGTTTGAAGACGCGCTTCCTTCGAGAAAGAGAGCTCGCCAACTGAGTTTGATTTGAGTGCTATTGAAAGATATCAGTTGAAACCAGACTATAGGAGAGTGGAATCCTGTTCAACCCGGTGTTTTCGAGGCAGGGGGCGGTCGAACAAGGGTACAACAAGCAACAAAACCTAAAACGATTTAAATCTGAGATAAAGCTAAAATTAAAAAATTTAAAAATCCTTGGATCCACTATAAATAGATGCTGTTTCTAAATTCCTGTTTTATGCTTTGCTAATTGTTGTGTTTTTTTTATTATTCAGCTGTCTTGTCGGAACGTATATTATAACTGTTTAAACACAAGCAACTCAAATCGCTGTATGGAGGATTTTAACCAGTGTATTCGGGGCTAATCATGATGACATAGAGAAGCAGAAACGTTTCAAATAGACTAAAATATATATTATAAACAATGTAAATCTTAATAAATTGTTAATATATGTTGTTATGTGCCAAGGAATGGACCTTGAGACTGGACTATGATTCACCAGCATTCCCAGAATAAACACGGTCATGGCTCATGCAGAGAAATTTCATCAAACTTAGCTTTTGGCGGTCATGGCTCATGCAGAGAAATTTCATCAAACTTAGCTTTTCGCAATTTCGAAATGAATTGCACCCCAGGTTAGCAAAAGCTTTCCTTTCCTCCTGATATACGACAAAATACAGTACAACTCTTTTTAACACGAAAGTGTAACCTCTTTTAAACAAAATTGGAATAAGCGTTTGTCTCGAAATCACGTTGGGGTTGTGCTGTTCACTTAACACATTCTCTTCCTCTTAATGCCAGACAATATGCATATATTGAAATGAATTTCTCATGATTTTTTACATGGTAATACACAAGATGTCTGCTTAGAAAATGTCACAAGAGTACACGATAGTTTGGCTGATAATTTTATAACTCTTTTAACCGTATGTTATACTAGTACACAGGCAAACCACATTCACTTGTTAGGCTTGCCTTTTCTGTTGCAATTCCCACAGATATGATTTGTAACTAAAGATGAATATTTCTGTCTCATTGCTCTTCTATAATTATGCCCTACATATCTTTGTGAGAAAAACATACACTAGAGTGGATCTCGATAAAAAAAAACACCAAAGTTAAACAACCCTTTTGTACATTCCATTGTGTCTGCAGCCAATATTTCTAAACCAGAGGTCATAGGATTCTTGGTGTATTGCCTTCAGATCACTCGAACAAGAAGTGGAGATTGCTATATTTAGTTGGATATTAGCATACAGGATCTTCAATATTTGTGGCTTTTTAGTAGAAAGTTTCTCTCAGGCGCTGGACAGTACTATCCACCTCATAAGGTTTTTTTCAAATGCTATAAAAGTGCCCATTGTTCAATATAACCTGGACTATTTCTGGAATATTCCTAAATTTAGTATTCTTTTTAATAACAGCTCAAAATTTATAAGGTTTTTATCCAGTGAATAGTGCTATCCAGCCTTGGACAGCTGTCCTCAGGCAAACAACATGTTCTCATTTCTGTATATTATTGAAGTCTTTTAAAAGTCCTTGTTCCAAATGGACATTTTGAACCTTGAAATTATTCTTCTTTCGATTGCCTCGTTTCTTTTGAGCTGGAGGCAAAGGCTTCCTCAAAGCGGAATCCTTCATTGCACTATAACCATGGTTCACAAGATATCTTTCAATATCAGTTTCTCCCATTCCTTCAACACTAGAATGATGCCAGAGTTCTTTGAACTTTGCATCAGTATCCATCCAGTGCTGTACATCATTATGCAATAGCACTATTTTCTTATCTGTTGATCTAGTCACAGTTAAAACATGACCCTTTCTCATTGTGCTCCTGACAATTCTTTCGGCAGAAGGAAGGCTTTCTTCAACATCGCCAAAAAGCATTCCTCCCATGCCTTCATTGTAGTGCCGCTGCAAAACATCTAAAAACTGCTTTTTGTTTTTCATGTTATAAATTGGTTTGAATACGAATTTCCCAGCCTTGCAAGTTAGCTTTTCATTCTCTCTCAAAGCTTGGTTAGCCAACCAACTCTTATCGTTGGGATCTATGTCTGTGTACTTGATCCGATCTAGTATTTCATCCAGGGAAAGTGGATCAAACTCCCCGTCAAGATGGCGTTTCTTCATAGCGTCTATGATGCTGGCTAGAACAGCAAACCGGTTCTTCGGACGAAGTGTTACGGTTTTATAATCGTAACTACTTGGCGTTTTCTTCGGCTGAGAAAAACTACTGCTGAACGTTCTCTTCTGTGACTTCTTCGAGGAATCATCTTTAAACGATTTTGATTTTTCCTTTGCCTTGTCTTTTGACTTCTTAGATTCCACTGAAGGTGTGAGAAGGCTTCTTTTCTTAAAACTGGCATGCTCTTTCAATAACTTCGGGTCCATTTTGTCCATTTTGTGATTTAAAAATAGAAGAAGCACCTTTACAAAACAACGTTTGAAAGAAAAGGATGAAAATACTCACATGTCGGAGAAGTACGAGTATCGCCGAATCCAGGCCGAAGAAAGACCGAATGTTCATTGGCCGAAAAAAATAAGAAATATTTATTTTTCTTCGAGTAAGAATGCGTATTTGGAGCCAAATAATGATCAATTTATGCTAAATATGAATCGAAAATAAAATTCTGTAGTTTCATTCAAAACAATTTAAATAACATTTGAGATTTATTACGTTTTTCCGAAGAACAGTTGGTAGGAAGTGTTGCTGTTGTAAATGGAAACACAGCCCGCGAGATTTGTTATTTGGCGCGTATTTTGGTTATATTTGGAAGTAAAAGATATGGAGGACGTGGAAAATCCTAGCGAGCAGGTATGAAAACGCGATTTAAGGACATAATGGTAGTAATTTTTCATTAATTAAACGGTTGTGGTATTATTGGTGGTGTTTTACAGCTGTTTATGGTGGATAATGATCTTTACGATGCTGAGATTGATAGTGGAACTGAGGCCAATGAAGAAGAAGATGGTGTTGATGTGGTCAAGAATTATGGGCTGAATGGCGACAGTGAAGGAGAAGAGAGTGTTGAAGAGCCATTTGACAGCGACAACGAGGAAAGCCTTGAAGCAATAAAAAAGCAAGCTAAGAAGAAAGCTAAAAAGATCAAGGTGAGTTTTAAAGAATTGAGTACATTTTGTACTCTTTTAATTAATGACAACTGCCAATTTTGAATTTATATCGTGGAATATATACTGTACTTGAAGGAGTTTGTCTATTTTGTCTATTATACGAGAGAGTGCACTCTATTTAACAACCATAAAGAGATGGTTACAAGACCTACCACAACACTGGGTATTAGTCTATTAGATGTAAAGTACACTGTATAATACCAACAGATATTCTACCTTGCTGTTATTATACTGGTAGTAACTATCTATTAACACTTTCCCTGCCAGTGGTCTAGACAGATCAATAAGTGATAATCGATCAAAAAACAAAAATCTCCGTCTTTGGCGGTCAAAGTGTTAATAATAACATTTTAATTGAGCGGTTTAAATTTATGCACCAATCTTAATCATCTTATAGTTTAACATCTTACACTTATATGCTACACCTTACCATATTCATCAGACAACACTGGATGTGACCACAAGTTCTGTGAGAGAACCGAAGAAACGGAAGGCAAAGAAGGAGAATGTTACAAACCTCCACAGCGAGACTCAACGATTAGTGAGAGGTAGTAATCTTATCAGAACTTATTTGATTATTCACCAGGTAACATACTCCAAGAATATTTTTGTATTCAGAGTCGCGTGTGAAACTACCGTATCATCAACCTGGTACAAGGAACATCACACACTTTTTGAAAAAAGTTCCAATCAACAATGTATCCAGGTAATGAAATAAATGCAATTTATACCCTCTTCCAGAAAGAGATATGGTTATCCAAGATTTATGACAATACAGGAGTATATCTTTCCTTGTTTCTCTTACCCCACAAAATAGAAGGTGTGCCCTCCAAACAATGCTACCCCTCCCTCTTTTACTGACCTGAGCATTTTAATATAAACAGGAGCGAGATGCCAACAAAAACAGCCAGGGATGGAGAAACCACATTGGAGCCTGAAAAAGAAAACATAATACCTCAAGATATGGCAACTGGAGATGAAACTCCCAATGAAACAGTTCATGAAAATCCAAAGTTAACTGTTGCTAATGATTCCTTCTTTTTGGACAAAAGTTCTTGTGAAAAACCTACAGGTTTAGATCATTTGATGAAAAGGTAAAACCTGTTAATGTAAACTTTGCACTTCTGTATTGTACATCTCATATTTTTCACATGGGGTTGATCTATGTGTAGTTTGGATATACATAAGGTTACACTGTTATAATATGCAAAGATTCAATGTATATGAATTTATATTTCCTTTTCTTAGGTTCTATAAACACAACAGAAGTAAGTTAAAACAGGATAAACCTGTGGAAGAGGATGTCAAAAAACAGGCTGATGTGGTTGAAATAACAGACAAAGTGGAGGAATCAAAAACAACAGAGGTGGAAGCAGAGAGTTTGAAAAACAAGAAAATAGCTCGACCAGTTTTTAAACCAGGTTAAGACATCTGTGAGCGTTTTAGGAGGAAGCTTTGGATGGAAAATTTCTAACTTCAAATCTACATTTGCATGTTTTTTAGGTGATGACCTGAGAAGTTTGAAGAAAAAATTGCAGGCAAACATGAAACTACAGAGAGCTGAAGTGAGAAAGATCCATGAGTCGGTGCGGAAGATTGATAATGAAGAAATTAGTGATGAAGAGGAGGAAGAAGAAGAATATGAGAGTGAAGGTTGATTGTTAATAAGTTTATCATAAAACTTTTGTTTCCAGTGCAATGGAAGTGTACAAAGGAGAGCTGTGATTCTCGCTTGTGCAAGCCTGAAATTTTCCCTCCACAGTCAGTTGATGATTAGGATTAAGTCTAGTTCTTAGATTAGGTTTATGCTGGATTAATTCTAAATCTAACCCTAATCCTAACCTAATCTCAAGAATTAAATTCGTGTATTTAGGGTTGACTGAACATTGAATTATCACCTGACTTTTTCAGATAGCGATTTTGAAATGGAGGAGTGGAACGCTGCTGATGAGAAGGCTCAAGAAGAACAAAGCTTGGAAGAGCAGGAAAATAAGGAAAATCATGAAATAAACGACGACCAATTTGATAAGGAAGAATCGAACAGCATCGCTGCTTCGGACACAAACTACGGGAATTTCAAATCACAGCCAAAACCTGTGAGAAAACATCAAATTTTTACAGACGATCAGACAATGGATCTGTTCCCTTCAGATAATTCAAATCAAACTGCTGACCGTACTTTAGATGAAGAACTTTCAGAGCATGGTAGTGTTAGCTCTGAGGAGAGTATGAAACTAAGACTTGATTCTTTGGAAGACACGCAGGACTGTCTCAATGACGACCAGACATCAAAGTTTACGAAGTTAAAGACATCAATAAGTGAACTAAGTTCTGATGCATCAAACGTACCCAATGGCCAAGTCGAACGATACGAGATAAACAACAGGTCATCAGAGAATTTGGATAGATCGAGCAGTAACGACGGTCTCACGCCGTTTTCCCGGATACAGAGATTACTTGGCGTTGAGAGTTCTTCTAGCACGAAAAAAGATCAGGTTGAACAAGCTTACATCTTTGTAGATTCTGTTTTGAACTAGACACGTCTTTTGTTAAGAATATAGGAAAGATTATAAAGAGATCTTAAAGTCGTGAAGAATAAGATTGGATTTGGACAGAAACGAGAAAAAAAACTAGCTTAAGCCTCGCGTCTTGTCTCGAGATTTTGTGATGAAAAGTTAGTGCTTTTCAGGGAGAATTTTGAGAGACAATGTATGTATTCCTAGAAGTATCATAACTATTCAATTTTCTTGTTTTTTAGAGGCCCAAACCTATTTCTGAGCTGACTCTACCTATTGAAGACTCCCAGGTACTTGCAAAGAGTTGTCTGCATCATTTGTAAATTATGATACGGACGATTCTATGATACAGTACTTATTGTATCGTTTCTTAATAGGATTTGTACGGTGAAGGTGATGATGGAAAGCTTGGTTTAAACACTTCGAAAGATTTCAATTTCGCTTTGGATGAAGACACGCAGTTCACGCAATTTGTCGACACGCAAGGGTAGGTCTGATTGAGGTCGGAATCTTTCAATATTGGAGCCGTTGTCTGCTTGTAGCAATAAATGATCAAATGTATATTTGTTTTTAAACAGATTTCTGCTCAGTACAGGTAAAAAAAAGAAAAAGAAGGATTTGGTAAACGATAAATCAAACATGAGCGAGCTTCTAGGTCTCTGCTCTGGAACATTTTCTGATAAACCAAAAACGAACGTCACCACAGAATCTCAAGAACAAATGAGCGAATTACTTGGCCTTTGTTCAGGAAAGTTTTCAGAAACAGCAAGGGATAAGAGCAGTGAAGAATCTCAAGAAAACATGAACGAACTCATTGGCCTTTGCTCGGGAAAGTTCACAGATGAAAAGAATGAGAATCCCGAGTGTGAAAGTCAAAATATGAGTGAATTGTTGGGACTTTGCTCTGGGAAGTTTGATGATGAAAATCCACAACCAACGACAACGTCTGAATCCCAAAATATGAATGAATTGCTAGATCTTTGCTCGGGAAAATTTACCGATAAAAAGAAAGAGTTTCTTATCTGAGGAACGAGGAAGCCTTACATTTGAGAGTTCATCAAATATCAGTGCTCAAAGTGAGTCAACGAGAAAAGACCAGAAAATAATGAACGAGTTGCTTCGTTCGTGTTCAGGCCACTTCAGCAACATCGCGAATACAGAGGACTCTGGGAATGATCAGACGAGAGATGGAAAGAAAGGTGTATTCAGTGAACTGGATAAAAATGATGAAAAACCATCAAAATCTAAGCAAGGACTGTCAGCCATGTTTGAAAATATGGCAGACGACGAAGATAACATGAATGATGCTGTTGCATTGTGCTCAGGTAAACCAGCTTTCTTTGCAAAACCCGCCACTTGTAAATCTATCTTTTCATCGCTTTTAGATTAGAGTGTTTTGCATTTCACTTCGTAGGTAAGTTTCCTAATACTCCGCAGTCAAAAGACGGGAAAAATGAGGAGGAAAACCTGGAATCTGATCTCGAGATGGAGGATTCCTGTATCGCAGAAGATTCCGATGTTGAAGAAAATTCCGAGAATTCCGACAACGACGTGTTCAGTGATGATGAGAAACAAGTAGACTCAGACGACGAAATGACAGGAGGCGATGAAATGAAAAAAATAAGAAAATATGGCGTTACTTACGACAAGAAAGCGCAGTGAGTGTTTCGAAGTTAATCGTTTGCTCATCAACGAGCTTGATGCTTTACCTTGCACGGAATTTACCTTTTTAGTCCAGTTTTCAACAAAGACAACTTTGTGGACGAAGAGGCTGAATTGTCTGGAAGCGACGCAAGCTCGGATGAGGAGGAAGAGTCTGGGGACGATGAACTTGAGGAAGATTCGGATTGTGAAGATCTTCCTTCTGACGAGGAACTTCAGCGACAAGTGAACAAGGTTCATCTGTAAGTAACGAAGGTGTTCCTGGAGTGAGCACATGAAGAGAGAATAGTTTAGAACTGGTAGAGCTTAGTTTAGTTTAGGTTTTCTCCTGTAGTAACACTGGATCAGTAAGAGACGGTCCTTACTGGACTTCTAGGAGGAAGAGTTTAGAAGTGATAAATTATTGTCAACCTGTCTTTATGTGCAGAAAATCAGTGATTGACGAGGATAAACGGGAACTACGAGAGTTAAAAGAAAGATATTTGGAAGACGGAGATCTTTACTCAGAGGGGGGAGGTCGAGCAAGAAATTTCAAGTGGCAAGGGCTGGAGGATTCGCAGCATGATATGTTTGACAATAAAGTCCTCTGGGGTGATGATGAGATTGTGGATAATGAGATACTGCCTCAAGCTGAACTTGAGAGAAGAAAAATGAGGCATGAGAAAGACCAGTTTTTTCAAGAACAGGTGAATCCCTCGAGTTTAATACACACCTCAGCATAATCACCATAACAATGACCACAACAGTGTATGTATACTTGTCTCTGACATGAATATTGTTGTTTGCAGTTGGCTCGTACAAAGAGTAACTCACAACCAACAGAGGTGGATGAAAATAGCCAGACTATTTTAGGCATGATAAATGACAGAAGCAATATGGGAGATGGTGAGTAGGTGTACTATGAACTTGGAAATATTGAGTCCTTACAATTTAATTTTGATGAATTGGTTTTTACGATCTTTTCAGAGGAGCAAACGCAAGAGCCTGAAAAACCAGTGCTCAAAAGACAAGATTCAACCTCTACAAAGATGTCTCAGGTTTGTAAAGACACAGCAAAGACCATTAATTCTGTGACTTTGTATCTTTTATTAACCCAATTTCCACTTCACATAGAAACGTGGTTCATTCTTGAAACGAAATAAAGTTCAAATGTCACGGCTTTCCTCAATCACCACAACAACAACAAAGAAAACACCAAACTCCACCAGAGGATTTGTGTTTCATACAATATCTCCCAGCAGCAAATCCAAAGACAGTTCTGGCCAGGTAGGAATATTCTTCAGGATTTTAATCAAACAGACAGTTCATAACTTTTGCTCATAGAAAACTGATTTTTTCTTTAGAAACTACAAAGATCTGAATCCTTGTCAGAACCACCAAACCCCAAAAGACCTCGTCTTGATAAAACAATGAGTGATATTGCAACCGGGAGTTTGTTTGCAGACATGCCTGTTTGATAAAGAGTGTTTTTTGTATAACAGTTTGTTATTATAAGAATGTAATTAACTGGCTGTGTTTAAGTTATTCTTTATTGTTAACTGAGTTCATGCAATCATTGTACACCATGGCAAATGGACACACAGCTAGGTGTAATTTAGGAATATATTTGTAATACCCATTTTATTCTTGGTTTCACAAGTACACCATATAATTTAACCATGGATATATCAGATCCAAGGTATTATAGTTGTGTATACCAGAATATCATAAATCCAAGACGTTTAGGCCTGTATTTGAAATATTGTAAATTAAATTTTAGTCTTTTTTTAATTTTATTACCATACATAACATATGGCTTGCTAATGTTGCTCTTATCTAATTAATTTATAATAAATATATGTACAAATTCAAATTACATTGAAATTTCCAATCGTATCTGCATGTGGTAGGGCTATGACCCAGCACAGGATAAACAGTAGGACTTCTCCATCGGATCTTCATAACTAAATCAAAATGTTGTCAAGAATTTTATATTGTCAACTGGATTGTTTAATTTTTCAAAGAAAAGCACACTGTTACTATAAAATAGCATAAAAAAGCCTAAAGTAAAAGTAGTGATGGTACCTCAAAACTGAGCAAAGGTGACAAAAATTCTGTTCACATTTAAAACAAACATTGAAGCAGTAGACACAGACATTCTTGTCACAAAATGAACATTTTGCCAGCTGATTTGAATAATTTCCTTTCTTGCAGTTTTGACAAATATTTGTGGCCTGAACATTGCCCTCCTCTGCCTTTTGACATTGTGCCTTCGCTCCAGCTCTGAGCATACTTTGTGTTTTTGCTGAAAATAAGTTTATCTATGAGTGGCATTTGTATGCTCACCTGCAGAGGTACCGTTGGCTCATGCCGAAGATCTTAAGCATGGGGCTACAAAACTTATATATTTTATAGTAAAATTTGGCGTATCTTCGCCAGGGTACATTGTTGAGGGCATGATGCAAAATTTCCAATAGTTCAGGCATTTGGTGAACTATTTTTCCTCCTTTGCCCCAAAAAGTCAGGCTGCATACAGGTTATCATGGGTATGGTCACTAGCACAATTAATGGGAGAAGCAGGCAGTGGCAAGTGCAAATTTCCACGGGGTGACACCCTCCCTGTAACTATGATGTCATAACAGTAATATAAATTATTTATTTTTGTAAATAATTTGCAACAATGCTCAACAAGAATTTTTGGTTTATTTTTATTATAATACTTTACCATAAACCTTTTGCCTGCTTTCTTCGTTATTGTTGACATGTTTACTTTCCACGTGAGTCTTGAGCTGTAGAGGCGAGCAGCTGTTAAAAGGGAATGCTCTTTTTGACATAATTGCGAGTTATTTTCGTGGTTTGATTCAACTAAACATTCATGTAGAATATTTCCCGCTTTTTTCAAGACTGAGGGTTTTAAACTGGCCACGTGATCAATCTCGTTTCCCGAGCTCACCACGATCATCTACGAGGAGGCTGGCGTGATTTCACGCAGTCCACGAACGTCCCACGCAAGTGGAATGGACGTCGAAATTCAATAATAGAAAAGCGCAAAAAAAGTAAAATGTGAACATGAAAGTTAATTCGAGAAAGATTCTCGTCAATTTGGACCCTAAATTTTAAAAAGCAACAGTAAGTGAATTCAGATAGGTACTGAAATGACTGAATAATCATATGCATAAATGCAAATATCCGGCATCTTTGGTCAATATAAAATAATTCTTTCCTTTTTCATCTAGTTTTTTGTTAATTATATAACTCAGCGATCAATCTCTATTTATACGTCTTTTTGTACTCATATATACCCTTCATTGACCCTACCTGTCTGTAAAGATTTAAATCTTTGTATATTCCTACCTATCCCTCAATTACCCCAAATTTCCCTCGAAGTTAATTATATGGTCATGTTAAAGCCACTGAGGTTAAAGCGCATGTCTTTCTGGTTCTAGACCCTCAATCTTGACCCTCAGCGTGATGATGGTTGATAATGATGCGACATCACAAACTGGGGTCTGTTTCCAACCCACTTCAATTTTTTCAACCTAACCTCACCAGGCTTCATAACTTCATTAACAGTAAAATGTTCAAATTTTAAAAGTCTTTAAGAAGACTTGAACAGTTGAACCAATGACAAAAGACCAAGGTCTTTACCACTAGACCAGAGAGTGCTCTGACAGCTGTGTTGGTAGTGTTGCTAGGCAATGGTTGTCTATTTCACTCAATTTAAAACAACCATTACCACTACCATTAGGCCACAAATCTTGTGCTGATTGTTTTCTTGTTTCCAGGGCACTGATGGAACCTTGTTTCAGGAACCTTGTTTCCAGGGCACCATGAGCATACAGTTTGCAAGACCAGTTGTCTTCACCACTAGACACCATCAACTCTTGAGGTAGCCAGCTTTGTTTTCCATTTTACATCATTTTCCTCAAAAGAAATTCCTAAAAGGCCAAGTCTTCACCAGTAGACCAGGAAACTGTGTAACGGTTATAAATATATTTCGTTCAAGCTTTCTCTCGCCAGATCATTTTCTTCACCACTGATCATTGATCAGCGGTTGATTGTAGGAACGCTGGATAGCGCTATCCATTGGATGGATGATTTTTTTTATTGCTCAAAATTTGCCCGTTCTTCTGCAGATGCTTCGATAGCTATTCATTTTTCAGCAATAGAACGCTATAAAGACGCGTCGTGCAATTTTTCATTCTCACAAGCTATTCCAAATCCGATTTGCAGTAAAAAATGACGATACCCCTTGACTGGGGTCACTAAGAGTACTTAGTGAAAAGTAATTACCTGTTAGCCTTATCTTTGTGTCTTGATTTTGACGTTCCTGAATGTTGAGAATGCAAAATATTTTTCCTTTAATCATACGGATTGAACAAATTGCAATAAGATTAAATCTTTCCTGCTGAAGTCCTGAACAGCTCGTGTCTTCCTAAGAACCCAATATAATCGAGACTGAAAGTCGTTCCTTAAAAGCGTACTAAGCTACTGTCAGGGCAACTGATATTGGATTGTCTGAGGAAGAGTTCGTAAAATTGTTTATGGGATGACTGTTCAAAAATTAGCTGGTGTTTGTGGGTGGAATTTAGCCTCATACATTGGTACTTCTGTTATTTAACCTATGTGGTATAACCGTATAACACCATAATGCTGTTTGTTCCTGTTGGACTTTGTAATTTCATTGTGCGTCAATTTTTCTGCCGAAATAAAATAAAAAACACCATTTAAGCATAACGCCAAATTTCAATTTATTCAGCCTGAAAAAAACTACTTCGAATATCGCGAAACGTTGTGATAAGTTTTGAGCTGATATTCACATGTGATTTGTACATTGATAATTTTGTATATATATTTATGCAATTCTTTTTCGATTAATGAATGATGTTGTAACTTTTTTTATGATAATTTCATCTGTTAATTCCTTCTTCCATGGCCTTGGCAGTATTTAAATCGTGCTATAATGAAAGTATAATCAATTCAATGGCCTATTCTTTGCCGTTCTAGAAAGTTCATTTCTCGCCATTGGTGGTTCCTGTCCCTAATATTGTTTGCATACCAATCTATAGTTCTTACGCATCAAAACAACTCCGATTCAGTATGGACTTTCCTTTCAAAGCCTCGCCAAAACTTTGTCCAATTTCAAACGCTTTCGAGAATCGCCCTGTAACAACTTTTACCGCGACGTCAAAGCTGGCATGTTGATGTGATTTTATCAAAAAAATGTCGTAAAGCGACCGCTAATGACCAAAGCACGTTCATTTAACAACTTATGCAGGAATTTGACCCCTTCAAATGATTCACAATTGCTATAAGCCGTCATGCCATAAACATCTACCTTGTATTAAAACACCTCTTGAAGAAAAATATTCGAAAATCTTCGAAATTTTACGCGCTTTACGTTTGGCAGCCGGTTCAGGCAGAGATCAGGCCAATCGGACGGTAATTCAGCGCGGAATATACTCAGCGTTCGTTTATCTCGCCTGCGATGCGATCTGACTATCTTTTTTTAAATTGACTTTAATTAAGAACTCTTGGAGAGAGCAAGCCGTTCTCACAGCAGGCGAAATAGTTTCGTATTGTTGGCCACAAGAATTTGTTATGTTGGCGTGATTTTGACAGTGAATGATATATTCATAAAATAAAAATCATCTCGAGATTTTATTCTTAAGCTATCCACACCATTTCGAAGCAACCGTTTGCGCTCGTAAAATTCGTATTTATATTTCGACCTCTACAAATACTTGGCATATTTTTGATATATCAGGTTTTCACTCGGGCCGTGATTTACATAACAAATGAAAAGATGGAATGGGCCAATTAAAAAACAGATTACGCTGGTTCCCCAAAATTTCGGCAATCAGAGCGTAACTCGCGGCCACAACAACACCAAAGTCGTCGTCTTATAAGACCAGACGAACGAAGATAGTGGCTGCCGTGATGCGTTCCCACCACAGACAAATTGCTTTGTTCATCATGCTGCTTTGAGGCTCAACGAGCGGTTAAAATCCAAGCTGCTCTCGATCGATTAAGAAGACAATGAGCTGCTCATCGCTTCTCCTCGTAGTATTCCTGTCACAAATACACCATGCGGATGCTGCAACGTGTACCACCGAATTAATACTAACCTCGGTGCTCGGCGGCGTTCTAGCATTGCTTCTAATCGCACTTGTTTTATACTGTTGCATTACCCGACGGCGTGAAGCACGTAAAATCCCAGGTAGGCTATGTTTATAGGTGGTATAAAAGTGATTAATAAGACTATTTTTATTCATCCCCTATATAATATTCATTGTGATCATCAAGTTTCAAAATATACATAATTCTGATTCATCCTGGATATTCGTTTGAGGGTAATTTACATTTAAACCCCCATATTTCCTCGTGGACACGTGGCCGGCAGCTTAAAAACGCCTTGTCTTGTCATAGTGTCCACCAAATCACTGGTATCGTCTGTCGAAGAGGGAGGCAGCCAAGGATTTGCTAATTCAAGAATGGATTTCACTCTTGCTGATGTGGAAATGCAGGAACGAGAAAGCGAAGAACGACAACTTTGTTCACAGTGCCATCAGCGAATGAGACGAGCCAATATTGGTAAGAGAACATTTTATTTAAACGTTTATTTTGTAATTCGCCGGCATCTTGCTTGGTCTTAAGTGTGGGATTTGTGGGAGGATTCGCTTTATGGATTGACTAGACCACATACTGTGTTCCGTAAGATCTCTGTACTTGCTCTCATCGTAACCCCGAACGTATCCGCTTTCTACCTTGTCGATTAGCGATTGCGTTTCGATTCCGAAATAAAACTAGACCAGCGCTGTAATCTCTAGCTGCCTGCAGTCCAAGTTTCCTGGCTTGATAATTTGCTTTGCCTATTTTGTCATGAATATCTCGCAATGCTTTTTGAAAACGATGCATGGTGCGCCTCGGCTTTTCACGGGGCTCATACACAATGCTCGACAACTCTTCGCTCGCGACACCATAGGTCAAAAAGTCAGACACTATAACATCGGCATTTTATGTTCGCTCAAATGATTTGCCTTCCACAAAAATAAATTCATTGTTCAAACGGTGCGTCAATGATCTCGTACAGTAACTATTTTTACGAATTATGCACCAAATGAGTCGTACAGAATTTGCATCTCGTTTTGGGTTTGGTGAACGTTTTGTAACCATGGAAGAGGTAGTGTTGCTCTCCGAATGTTAGTGCTACCGGATGTAATCTCCTGCAACGTGCTTTAACTAAGTACCTTGGTTCATGAACCGTTGAATGTTAAAGATCACCAATCAATTCGTATTTAGCGATATCCTCTCGGATTAACATGATATTTCCCCGAGGATTCTGAAAACTTTTTCAATCTAAATCAGAGTCGAGCAATAGTTTTTCAACTTGATATGGTATAATTCCTAACTATATATGATTGCATGAGGTAGTTACTACACATTATATATATATACAGCAAACTTTGAAACCAAAGAATACATATAGAACCAAGGAATAATTGTGGAATACACGGCCCTGCTATGCACTAAAGCAAGTCGTTTTAGTAAATAAAACCATACAAAACTATTAAAATCCACATATATGAGAAGTATATCAGTGACTAAAATGCGGAATGCTTGAAGGAAAATATAGTAAAAAGAACCCCACAAATAAAAAGTTGTTGTATAGAGGATTATAGTTGCATGACCTTGCGGGGTATTCTATATATATAGTTGGGCCGTGTTTTTAAGGTTATATTTAAGTTTAGCCTTTCGCAAACACTGGTATCTCTTGTTTACACTAGTCATAAGTATCGTGGATTAATTGTATATTTTTTGAAGTGCAGACAAACAATTTTTACACCAATGGCCATAGACAATAGACCACATCGCTGACTCTTAGGAAATGAGGAAGCTTGTTTACACAACAAATAAATGATGACAAACAGAATCGTCGGTTCAAACATACGGTTCATGGCTGGAATTTTTTATATAGAACGAGTCAATACCATCTCGTCCATTGTAAAGTTATTAAGGGATTGCAAATTTGAAGCTTTTGTACAACCTTTGCCTAATTTTTTGAAATATTGTAGATGCGTTTAGATGATAGATCGAAAATAAATGCGTTTTCCATGCACGAGTACTTAGCCAGACGGTATAGAAGCCCTACATATCCATCGTGTATAAGATAAATACAAGCAGACTATTTTTAACAAATGACTTCCAGGATCTATATGAGTTAGCATCAATTAATCTTCGAATTAAGCCAAATATATCCCGTTAATTTTATATAAATAATGGCGGATTTGGTGAAGTTGCACACATTGAATTGAGATTAATGAATTCTGACATGCACATGACCATTTTGCATGGTATTAAACCACTAGCAGACGGACGTGGTAAAAAAAGAACTTGTCTATCGCTAGAATGATTTTAAAATGATTGACAAAAGCTTGCGTTGACGCAAATCCAATGATCGGTATTAGGTTAAAAATAAGTTTTTCCCTTTTAATCGTTCGATAATGTAATTATATACGCTTGATGATAATTTATATTATAATACTTCAAGACTATTGAAAGCTATGAAATGGCAACCGCTTACAATTGGGAACCAACCCAACGAAAAACACTTATCTTTATGACTTTATATAAACACACCCGGCTATAAGATGATTCACCCCGATCGTTTCAAATGTATCATTGCTGATATTGTTAGCAGTTGACCTCAACCGACTTTCACCAATCCTTTTGCCGCCGTTTTTCTAACAGAAAAACTGTCTTTGATATATATGTATCGGGTATGCTAAGCGTGGGATATCTTAATGCAATTGCACTACCGTACTCCGTAAAAACAATATATATGTGCACGCTTTCGATGGTTATTACTTAGACTTTGTAATCCTAGATAGGTGAGAATTTCTCTAAGTGCGATCTCCATTAAGCGGCAAAATGGTCAGACCGCGGTCATATTTTAAATTGAAATAGAGTATTTTGTTAAGAATATAGCGATAAAACTATATTTCCCGTGCTAGGCAGATGTAAATAACGATGTACTTGAATGCAGAGTTCTTGAAACACTCTAAAATACCAGTAATCTGTCCGTACCGAAATACAACAGGACCAGTCGGGCGGTTTTTACCGTATAAAGGAAGCGCCCTAAGTTTCTGGAATACGGCATGATTATACCAGGCAGATATGCGCATGTCAATGGTGCCCAATATATTATTGTAGTTCCTGTAGATAACGGAATGATAAGCATCCACTCTGCATAACTTAGGCCTATTCCTGCCGACGAACAATATCAATGAAAAGTAAAAGTGAACAACAACTATTAATTAGCGATGAAAAACAAAAATAATCCTCGGCGATGCTCGTTAGGTCTGGTAAATGACACAAACACCGGAAAAAAATTCTATTCTTAAGATGCAATTAAGCTTATCGCCTGCGACGGCTTGCCAAGCAGTGTTGCCATTAGCTTCTTGAACTGTCTAGTACTTCTCGCACTTCAAACTCTCTTTATTTTGCAAGTCATGTGATATACGCGAATGATAGTTAAGGATAAAAAAAGGCGCGCGGTTAGTGGTTCGTATATTTAGTTCGCTCCTTGTGTCAGGAATTCGAAATAGTCCGACGATTGACGATTCCATCGGAAAAAAAGAGGAGACTCTCATATAGAAAGCGTTCTACATTGACATCGCAATCTACAGCGCTATTTACAATGCTAGCTATTGCGAATGATTTAAAATCAGATTAAAGGATTATAAACGAATTATAGTCAATCTCGCTAAGCGTGTTTGAAGAATTTGTTCTCCATTCCCCCAATACAGCGGTAGTTTCTCGCTAGTTTAACGAATGTTTAGCTGGCCGTTTGTCATCGTGCAATCAAACATATAGTCCATGTTACTGTAGTATGCTGATCATTGATAGGTGCGCATTTGATTGGCGAGATGTGTAGGAAAGATAGCCCACTGAAGTCCCGTGGTAATATACAAAATATTTGTACCACTGCACAGTAACGACGGGCGTGTACCGTATCGAATTTCGTTTTGTTTTTGTTGGTGTTGAAATAAATCTAGGTTTTTCTGAGCGAAGTCGAATGAAAAATAGCCGTCTGGTGATGGCAGAGATCTCTGCTCTAAAAATACAGCTCAATTATTTGTGTTTCGTCGTTCACCTTGAGTTCACAGCCGAATGAATATTCAAGTTTTGTGGTTAACACATGTGCCTGACGTCACTGTGTGATATTTAAATTTCGACAAATGAGCAAATTCCAGACAATTCGAGCTACGCTCTCGTGGAGTATTCTAGTGCTTGGATAGTATACGTCAGCTTGAAATAGGCCTCAAAATGTCCTAGACTTTACACGTCAAGTTCACATTTACTGGCTTTTCGCTTGCGAATATCAACCGTACATTGAAAGAAACTTGTTCTTACGTTTGTGGAGTGTTATTTGAGATTTGGTGAATTTTGTAGGAGTGTCGCGGAACAGGTATGCTTAAATTTAAGACATGTTATTGCCGAATGTTCATTTCATACCAGCTTTAGATAGTACCTGATATGGACTATGTTTATGGCCTCTGTTTTGCAACAGATATTACCGTGTTTCGACGCGAAAGGCATGCTCGTGTAGGTATTGCCTTCACAAAGTCGCCTAACATTCCAGTGATCAGCGACGACAGAGCGTACGCAAGTTTGTTTATGTCTAAATGCATGTGTTTACTGTATACTTATTGGTCCAAGGTTTGTTTGGCGTACATCGCACCAGATTATACTACCATGCGTTAGTAGAACAGGCGGAATATACGATTTTAACGATTTTCAAACAGCTAACAGTATTTTGTGTTACCACGCGTAACACGCAGTCAATATATTAGTGCCATCTCCCACTTATTGTAATGCAAACGTGAGGAATATACGTATAAACGTATAAGAAAAAGCTCGTAAAAACACCACAGATGCATGAAAAAGGCTTTAATCAGAACTAGATTTCTGATCGACTACGTCTAGAAGCAAGAGTTCTGAAGGCATTTGATGACGGGGAACGCCTTAAGCTTGATTCAAAGGGGGAGATATCGATCGAGAACGCTCTTTGAGTTCACATGACCCTTTTCACGAAAACTCTTGAGGAGAAATATCTGTTGATCAATAGATGTTTTGCTAAAATTTCTTGTGATGTTTACGTTTGGTGTTTGAATATTTATTTCCTAAACGAGTCTCACTTTCGGCCTGATTCAGCATTTCCGTCATTTAATATCTACAAATCGCTGAAGGCAGTGAAAACAGGCAGCTCTATGCGTGCAGTGAGAATTTTTCCTTCGTTAACCTCGCCTCTTGCAATGCGTTGTGTTTGAGATGAAAATGCTATCGTTGTCGGTGTGATATTTTAATATGTCGCCTAGTTTGATCTATTTTAGCTGCTAACTCGGAAGTGAATTCCTTTACACATTTAAAAGGCAAAAGGAATGCGAATTTGGCGTGGGCATATTGCAAATGGTTTAACATATTACGATGAATCGCAACGCCAAGCAGAATATAGCGCACAAGTCATAACAATGCGAGTAGACTCCGACTGTATTTCTTATTTATATCATATATACGTTTCAGTATTCTCAATGTTTACCATGTTATTTCTAAACTTATGTAAAACATCTCAAAAATTCATTCAAGGATATAACAGGCTTTGTTTATGCTCAGAATGCATTCTCTATGCATCTTCATTGCCAACAATAATTGAAAAGTTGTGATTTTGATTGATTCAAACTTCGTTACGACCGCCTTTCACATGAATATTTCGATGTAATTCATTGTTTAAATTCCCGCGCATTGGACAAAACCTGTTATATGACCTGGACAAATCCTGCTTTCAACAATTCATTGGTATGTTTAAGTGGCGCTTGTTTATGGCAAAGATAGGTCGAACCAATATTTCAATAGCTCGCGTCTTCGCGACTTTTTAGTAACTATTTAGCATGCAGCAAGTCAAGCCTTCATTTGTGACGAATTATTGATATAGTGTCGTGTGTATTTATGCGCTTTTCGTGGGCTGTACGCTCAGATTGTGGGAGGATTAATAAGGTCTGATTGCACAAATATTTAGCAGGGAATCCTGATTTGTCATCACATGTGTCTACATGCATGTGCTAAATTAAATCATGCATTGCCGTCGGAATAATGCCAAACACGAGACAACAATGCGTTATGAGGATTCTTGACGTGAACATCGTTGAATATACTCCAGTTGATATGAAATCGTAGGCATTCCCGTCAACTTAATAAGCCTGCACACGCTAATGCATGCACGTAAACCGAACATAATTTGGCAACGCGGATTGCGGAAGTTCTTCAGAGGAATTTCTGGAACCTCATCGTGGCCAGATCAGCCTAGATGTGTTAAAATGCGCTTCAGCTGAGTAATGTTTTAATATTATAACCGCATTATTTTTACTTCCCAAAAACTGCATGAAAATCATCGCGACCACGTTTACTTTATGCTGGCATTTCATACCGTGTGTAGATTAAATTCCACAACAGGGCGTCTCAAAGTTTTGTCTACTGAAACAAAATTCCAAAAGTTAGCACTGGCGACTTTATATCCCCAGCGTCTTCGCGAAAGTTCCACTCAGTTAAACGCCGACCATATAATATTTTAATTACGCAAACGGCAAAAACAGTATTGTGAGTATAAAAGGAAACAAACGACCTTGGTTAATTCAAAAGGTCGTCTTTTTATGATCAAATTTAAACGTAATTCGTAACAAAGAAGTAGTTTTGCTGTCTTTGTTCTTCTTCAGAGTTCATTATACAATGCTGTTTTACCTATAGCTGCTTCATTCTAGATTTCATTTCGCAAGTAAAAGAACTCTGCGCAGAGGTAAATAAAACATTGACATTGTTGACCATGTTTGTTTCTGTCACGCAGTTTCTCCCAGTTGGTGGTCCCTGATCAGTCTCTACACACGAAATCACAACGATATATATAAACTGAAGCATTAAAACTATTATGCTGATATACAAACACTGGGAACCGACGGTATATAGCGATGCATCGTTTGCAAGCTGCCTGTTATATTGAATATATATATCTTTTCACCAGTAGAACTCGCTAATTTTCGCCAAAATGTTGCGATAAACTTGTTTTTTTTCTTTCGAAAGCCTTTTGAACCAAACCTTTATTTAATAGTTCGGCGTTGAATGAGATTCTTGAGATCTAGTTCAACCTGTGCAATGGTCTTTATCTTAAAGAGATCTCGTGCATTGAGAGCATGTAAATGTCGAAGTCGGGTTATAAAAGAAGTCGCTATGACAGCGTCGCGTAAGGTTGAAATGCGCTACCTCTCCTTAAAGTTGGCCAACTGGGTGATATATTGTGCGTAAAAAACGTAATATGAAGGTTTAAACGTGCATAAGTGTTGATGTTGGCAATTTGTTTGCCAATATACCATGATATAGTGTGTCGAAAGTTAATAGCCTGTCATGCTTTTGATAGCCTATTTCAAAATATGAACAAGGCAATACCTCGAGGTCTTCCTCTTGTCTGTGTTTATCGATTATAAGGTTAAGTTGGGGGCAAGGTCAACTAATTCACGTTTAAACATGAAAACTTTTTGAACAATATTCCCAGACATTCTTCACAAAATTTCCCCAAAAAGGTAAATTATGCATTTTTTAAAATTTGTTCTAGTTTCTAAGTAAGACAAAGAAATGTCATGCTTAAACGATGATGCGAGATAATTGCAGTCGCTACTTGCTTGTGCTTGCCGCACCCAATATCACGGTCGGCTGACGGTGTGAAAGGTCACATGTAAATACTCCATGTTCAACATTTCCTTTCCACTGCTGTTATTGAAAGATATTAATCAAGCAATCTTATTCAGGTCTATCAGATTAGCCTATCGCAGGGCCAATAGATCAACGAAACGTATATAGTGGTTGTAAAAATGAAAAGTGCGCCTTGGTGTAATATATCGCTTTTTAAATCGCGTTTTTGAAAGCGATGGCAATAGGTCTATAGTTAACCTCTGTCACGGAATTAGAGATTGACTCTAGTACAGATTTCTCTTCTAATTCCATCGACGTATTTGTCAGCTCACGTGCCTATATTGCACCTGTATAAAATATGTCATTTAAACAGGACATTTAGTTTACAGAATAAGCATCGAGTGTGTTGATCATATCCGCTTTGTCACTCCCACGCATTCCTGTGGTTTGATTTGGAAAATTAAACCGAGAATAATCTGCAATATCAACAAGGCTTCAAACTCGTGGGAACTTCAACTGTCGCACTATATTCACGTTTGCACGGCCTGCCACAACAATGACGGAGCTCTTGTGCATCTGTCGTAAGAGAGAGAGAGAGATGTCTCCTTAGAAGCGTGTATAGAATCAATAATTTCATTCTTTCACGCTGTTAAGGTCTGACCAGGGGCGTTCAAAGGCAGTGGCGTAATGAGGTGGGGCCAGCTCTGTTTCGATTGTTAAGATTCCTAAGTCAAGTAGAAGTGCCTCGGCCCCCCGTAATATTTTTTCTAGAATGCATGAAGGCTAGTTTTCATTGTGTTCTTGCTTCTCGCTGCCAAAAGAGTGTTATTCGGGTGTTACTCGGGCTATCATACCAGTTCAAGCAAAAGACAAAGTATTCTTAACCAATTCAACATCCATCGCTGTAGCAACATTGATGAAAACGTTTGAAACTGTCCATTGTATTTGATTTCCAAAAAGTATATGATTTCATATATTATTTTCCCATTAAGTCGGATGTTGTACCCGAGAGTAAATCAACTAACTTGGAAGCTTCATATCACTTCAACTCGTTTCGTGATGGATGTGAATTGTTAGCCAGTAAACGTTTTGTTTTTTCTTTTTCAGAAATGCCTACCGTGGCAGTAAATATCGGCATGTCTACCAGCGAAGAAAGACTTCCTGTAAATGGTAGTTTTTCGGAGTCTGGTTCGGTTTCACCCGTTGACGAGGTAATGTTTCTTTCCTTCCCTGATTCTGTCTAGTTCCGGGTGCATGCTGTGTGCAATTGAGTATGCTTGTTGAAGTGGTCCACGCTCTGCATATGATTACAAGATTTTGACAGTAAATAATTCGTAGCTTTTTTCTGATTTTTCAGCCAAGAATTTTCGTTTTTGTTGAAAAAAAGGAAGGTGAAAGCCTTGGTTTATACCTTGTGCCATTTGAAGAGGAACCCTTAACGGGACTTTATGTGAAAACTATTGTTGCTGGAAAATCAGCAGCACGCCTGCACGTCTTTGATCCAGGTAGTTATGATCACATACACCACATTTACACTACAACAAAATAATGTCTGCGTTCTCTTACCAAACGATGTCTGTTTCTGCAATGCAATTCTACTTTTAAGATATGTAACTTAGGGAAGAGTCTTGAAAAGAGTAAGTTTAAGAAACATCCACGAACTGTATGAGAAACAAATGTAACGCCATTTAAACAAATTTTAATTTCTCGAAAGGAGAATTGTATCGCAAGTTGCATGAAGATTTGGACCGTGCTACAGAACCTTTAACAATTGCAATTCTCCTCTTCCAGGCGACAAAATCGTAACAGTGAACGGAAAGTCATTGAGTGGTCTCACGTATCGTGAAGCTACAGACTTCATCCGACATTGTCCTGGACCCAATGTAAAGATGGGAATTATCAAACATGCGTTGCATAAAAAAGAAGGTATTCTATTATTTTACCAGACAAACCGTTGTGCCGATCCTCTCTTGCGAATTTCAGTTTTTGGGAATAAATTTTGCGAAAAGTTTTACCCGATCTGTTGAATATATTTGAGGAAACTACAGAGTGTTCATGCAAAACTAACCTATTTCAACTCGATATACATTATTGTGATATTCGTTCATCAGAGTATTAGGATTTCCCAATGTGAAGTGATACTGTGATCAGATTAACTTTCGACGCTATTAACTGAATATTTAGTTCTTTCCCAAGGGCCAGTTGTTCAAAGCTAGGTTTGCGCTAACCCTGAGTAATATTTACATCGCTCTTTTGGTTTATCTAAGAAATATTTATTGCAAAACGTATTCAACTTTATATAAACAAGCCGTTCAAAAGATTTGATGCAGAGATTTGTGTTAACCCAGGGCGGTTTAGCAAACCTGCTTTTGAACAACCTGCCCGGAAGAATATCTCCACCATTCGCAGGTTAAATTTACTGGTGGAAAACCTGTCGAGGGAATGCAAGTAGTAATTTTTAGCATGAGATCCAGTTTGGAACAGTGTCATCGTTTGCTTTCCTTCCCCGCATGTTGACCAAATGCTCGGCGTGGCTGTTTTTGTAATCAAACAGGAAGTGTATTTGATCGGGTTTAAACGAGCTCCAATACAACACATTCACACAACAACAACAACCACCTCGAGCATTCGGGTTTTAGCTTCTCACGATTTGCTCTCGAAAAAGGTATGGAAGTGGCACTGTTCACCACAATGGGTCGTTATTCTAGTTCGAGGCAAATTGGCTGGTTTCCACATAGGCAGAAGTTATACAATTTTTTCCCACTCTGAACCCACACGCTCGCATACGAAAATTGAAAAGAAAAAACACAATACGATAATATTGAACCGATTAAAGAAAAGACGAAGCTCTTTATTTGTCATTCCTTAAACAGGAACACAGTTTTTCTCAATCCGGCCTGCCATTAGAAGTCTATACTCTTTAACGCTGTATAAACACTCTGTTTAAATTCAATAAAAAATGCAATCGACTAGTCGACCGGTTTAAACCTTTATGAAGAATGTTTACCTGTAGTTTGTCTATTTGAGAGCCAGCCAGTTTCGTTAAATTACGCATGCGTTGTTGTTGTTGTTGTACTTTATAGAAAGTTTTCTCAGTTTGTAGCTATATTGTGATGTGTTATTTTCAGACCTTGCAAAGCTCGACAGCATGTCGGTCTTTCAGAGTCACTCTGGCGCAGATCTTGAACTTGCCGGGTCCGCTGCTCTTGGTGTCAGCGGTCACGCTTCAGCCGCACGGTTATCGGGAAATGTACCTAAACCTAACCTCGTGGGTGGTGAAGGTGCATCAAAAGAGTTGGTTGTCGAAGAGCAAATAGCCATTGCAAAGCCCGAGGTCTCATACAATGTTGAATCAACTCCGGACTTTGGGATGGATTTTGACGGATTCGGAGGTAAAACCGATAATAATTTGGACACTTCCGGTGGCATAGACACTAACGCAAATTTGGATGGGAAAGGTGATGCTTCCGAAGGGGATGTGAATATCGACTTCACCCCACCTGCTGGTATCTTCGACGCTGATCTGTCGATGCCTGGACCATCAGCTTCCACTGAGGTAAAGTTACCAGATGCACCTAATAGCGATACTAAAGAGGCTAACCTTAACGTGCACTCAAAAGATTCAAAGTTTTCTTTAAAAAAGTATTTCAGCGGCAGCAAATCAAAGGAGGTTAGCATCTCGTCTTCTGATGAGTCTAAGAGAAAATCTGGAGGCTTCTCGAAGTTTTTCGGGCATAAAAGTCCCAGTCGCCGCGTGGATGCACCGCGGGGCGACGCCTCTGGGGACGTGGAATTGTCAGGCTTCAAGGCTGGCAAGGATAACGTTGATGCGAACGTTAATCTGCCATCTGCAAGCGCAGATGTCAATATTCCCAGTGCTCAAGTTAAAGGTGACTTACCCGAGAGAGATGTAAACCTGGGAGTTGGTCTTCCGTCTGTTGGTTTTGGTGGATTGAAGATTGAAAGTAGTGGAAGCGAAACATCAGATGGCGAAGGAGGTCGCATTAAAAGGAAGTTGAAAACATCGAAGATTGGAATAGGATTTGGTGGTGGTGTATCTGGTGGTGCTAAAGGTGGTGGAGACAGTGACAGTACTTCCGATGGTCAAGGAGGAAGAATAAAAAGAAAATTCAAAGCTCCAAAAGTTGGTTTTGGTATCTCTGGTGGTGCTAAAGGTGATGCAGACAGTGACAGTACTTCTGATGGTCAAGGAGGAAGAATAAAACGAAAATTCAAAGCACCTAAAGTTGGTTTTGGTATCTCTGGTGGTGCTAAAGGTGATGGAGACAGTGACAGTACTTCTGATGGTCAAGGAGGAAGAATAAAACGAAAATTCAAAGCACCTAAAGTTGGTTTTGGTATCTCTGGTGGTGCTAAAGGTGATGGAGACAGTGACAGTACTTCTGATGGTCAAGGAGGAAGAATAAAAAGAAAGCTGAAGATTAAAGGTCCCAGTTTTGGTATTTCTGGAGGTGCTGATAAGTCTGGTTATGAAAGTGATAGTGAAACATCGGATGGAGAAGGTGGAAGGATAAAAAGAAAACTGAAACTTGCTAAGCCTGGACTTGGAGTAAATATTTCGGGAAAAGCCGACCAGTCAAAACCTCACAGCGACAGTGAAACCTCAGATGGCGAAGGTGGAAGAATTAAGAAAAAGAAGAAATACAAATTCAAGTTTCCGAAATTTGGTTTTGGTGGAAAAAAGAAGTCAAAAGACAAGCTAAAGAAGGGAAAGCATGGTGATGCATCTGCAGGTGTGAATGCAGACTTCGATGGAGTGAAGAAACAAGAAATTGACCTTCAACTGCAAAACAAACCACCATCTAGTGTTGGGATTGGTGGTAACATTTCTGGTGGATTTAAAGGACCCAAAGGTGATGATAGTGGTAGTGAAACATCAGATGGTCATGGTGGAAGAATTAAACGTAAGCTCAAATTGCCTTCTGGTGGTTTTGGGATATCTGGTGGTATCAAAGGACCAAAAGGTGATGGTGATAGCAGTGGTAGTGAAACATCAGATGGTCATGGTGGAAGAATTAAACGAAAGCTCAAAATGCCTTCTGGTGGTTTTGGGATATCTGGTGGTATCAAAGGACCAAAAGGTGATGGTGATAGCAGTGGTAGTGAAACATCGGATGGTCATGGTGGAAAAATAAAACGAAAGCTCAAAATGCCTTCTGGTGGTTTTGGGATATCTGGTGGTATCAAAGGACCAAAAGGTGATGGTGATAGCAGTGGTAGTGAAACATCAGATGGTCATGGTGGAAGAATTAAACGAAAGCTCAAATTGCCTTCTGGTGGTTTTGGAATATCTGGTGGTATTAAAGGACCAAAAGGTGATGGTGATAGCAGTGGTAGCGAAACATCAGATGGTCATGGTGGAAGAATAAAACGAAAACTCAAATTGCCTTCTGGTGGTTTTGGGATATCTGGTGGTATCAAAGGACCCAAAGGTGATGGTGATAGCAGTGGTAGTGAAACATCAGATGGTCATGGTGGAAGAATTAAACGAAAGCTCAAATTGCCTTCTGGTGGTTTTGGGATATCTGGTGGTATCAAAGGACCAAAAGGTGATGGTGATAGCAGTGGTAGTGAAACATCAGATGGTCATGGTGGAAGAATTAAACGAAAGCTCAAAATGCCTTCTGATGGTTTTGGGATATCTGGTGGTATCAAAGGACCAAAAGGTGATGGTGATAGCAGTGGTAGTGAAACATCGGATGGTCATGGTGGAAAAATAAAACGAAAGCTCAAAATGCCTTCTGGTGGTTTTGGGATATCTGGTGGTATCAAAGGACCAAAAGGTGATGGTGATAGCAGTGGTAGTGAAACATCAGATGGTCATGGTGGAAGAATTAAACGAAATCTAAAATTGCCTTCTGGTGGTTTTGGGTTATCTGGTGGTATCAAAGGACCAAAAGGTGATGGTGATAGCAGTGGTAGTGAAACGTCAGATGGTCATGGTGGAAGAATAAAACGAAAGCTAAAATTGCCTTCTGGTGGTTTTGGGTTATCTGGTGGTATCAAAGGACCAAAAGGTGATGGTGATAGCAGTGGTAGCGAAACATCAGATGGTCATGGTGGAAGAATAAAACGAAAGCTAAAATTGCCTTCTGGTGGTATTGGTATTTCTGGTGGTGTTAAAGGAAAAAAAGGTGATGATAGCGGAAGTGAAACATCAGATGGAAATGGAGGGAGGATAAAGAGAAAGTTGAAATTGCCATCAGGAGGAGTCGGAGGAAATATTAGTGTGGGGGGTGATGTCAAATCCTCCCGTAAATCACAAGAAGACAGCTCTGATGATGATGACCACAAGAAAAAGAAACGATTTAGCTTACCGAAATTTGGATTTGGGTTTGGTGGTAAAAAGTCGAAGGACAAAAAGAAAAAGAAAAGCAAAGGTGGTGATTCCGATACCTCTGATGACGAAAAGGCAAAAAGGAAGATTGAACTTGGAAGTACAGGACTTGAAGCTGATCTGAAAAAACCAGAAGTTGATATCAAAGTTGGAGGGGCCAAAGTAGGCGATGATAGTGGTAGTGAAACCTCTGACGGTCAGGGAGGAAGAATCAAACGTAAACTCAAAGTTAAAGGTCCAAATTTTGGAATTGGCTTTGGTGGTGACGGTAAAGCAGGAGGTTCAAAATCGGACAGTGACACTTCAGATGGTCATGGTGGGAGAATAAAACGAAAGCTCAAAATGCCTTCTGGTGGTTTTGGGATATCTGGTGGTATAAAAGGACCAAAAGGTGATGGTAATAGCAGTGGTAGTGAAACATCAGATGGTCATGGTGGGAGAATAAAACGAAAGCTCAAAATGCCTTCTGGTGGTTTTGGGATATCTGGTGGTATAAAAGGACCAAAAGGTGATGGTGATAGCAGTGGTAGTGAAACATCAGATGGTCACGGTGGAAGAATAAAACGGAAGCTCAAAATGCCTTCTGGTGGTTTTGGGATTTCTGGTGGTATCAAAGGACCTAAAGGTGATGGTGATAGCAGTGGTAGTGACACATCAGATGGTCATGGTGGAAAAATAAAACGAAAGCTCAAAATGCCTTCTGGTGGTATTGGTATTTCTGGTGGTATCAAAGGATCAAAACCAGATGACAGCGGCAGTTCAACTTCCGATGGTGAAGGAGGAAGGATAAAAAGAAAACTAAAGCTTCCATCCGTAGGAATTAAAGGTGGTGCAGGTGGAAAAATAGACGGTGAATTTAAACATTCAAAATCCAAAGGTGACAGCAGTGATAGCTCTGATGATGAGGGAGGAAAAAAGAAAGGCAAATTTCATTTCAGTCTTCCGAAGTTCGGATTTGGAAGTAAGAAATCCAAAAAAAAGAAATCAAAGAAAGAAAAAGATACGGAAAGCAGTGACAGTGAAACATCAGATGGTCAAGGAGGAAGAATTAAGAGAAAACTGAAATTGCCTTCTGGTGGTATTGGTATTTCAGGTGGTATGAAAGGACCTAAAGGTGATGGTGATAGCAGTGGTAGTGAAACATCAGATGGTCATGGTGGAAGAATTAAACGAAAGCTCAAAATGCCTTCTGGTGGTTTTGGAATATCTGGTGGCATTAAAGGACCCAAAGGTGATGGTGATAGCAGTGGTAGTGAAACATCAGATGGTCATGGGGGAAGAATAAAACGAAAATTGAAACTAAAGGGTCCTAAATTTGGAATTGGTTTCAAAGGTCCAAAAGGTGATGGTGATAGCAGTGGTAGCGAAACATCAGATGGTCATGGTGGAAGAATTAAACGAAAGCTCAAAATGCCTTCGGGTGGTTTGGGGATATCTGGTGGTATCAAAGGACCAAAAGGGGATGATGAACCTAAAATCGAGCTTCCATCTGTTGATTTTGGTGGTGAAATCAAAAAGGCAGAAGTTGATACTCAACTTGAATCACAGCCATCTGGACACGGAGATTTTGGTGGAGATTTCAGCTTACTAAAGGCAGAAAGTGACAGTGGGAGCGAAACATCCGATGGTCAAGGTGGAAGAATAAAACGTAAACTAAAACTGAAGGGTCCTAAATTTGGAATTGGATTTGATGGAAGTGCAGACGGAAAAGTTAAAGGCTCTAAATCGGACAGTGATAGTGACACATCAGATGGTCATGGTGGAAGAATAAAACGAAAATTGAAACTAAAGGGTCCTAAATTTGGAATTGGTTTCAAAGGTCCAAAAGGTGATGGTGATAGCAGTGGTAGCGAAACATCTGATGGTCATGGTGGGAGAATAAAACGAAAGCTCAAAATGCCTTCTGGTAGTTTTGGTATTTCTGGTGGTATCAAAGGACCCAAAGGTGATGGTGATAGCAGTGGTAGCGACACATCAGATGGTCATGGTGGGAGAATTAAACGAAAGCTCAAAATGCCTTCCGGTGGTTTTGGCATATCTGGTGGTATAAAATGTCCAAAAGGTGATGGTGATAGCAGTGGTAGCGAAACATCTGATGGTCATGGTGGGAGAATTAAACGAAAGTTCAAAATGCCTTCTGGTGGTATTGGTATTTCTGGTGGTATCAAAGGATCAAAACCAGATGACAGTGGCAGTTCAACTTCCGATGGTGAAGGAGGAAGGATAAAAAGAAAGTTAAAGCTTCCATCTGAAGGAATTGACGGCGGTGCAGGTGGAAAAATAGACGGTAAATTTAAACATTCAAAATCCAAAGGTGACAGCAGTGATAGCTCTGATGATGAGGGAGGAAAGAAAAAGGGCAAGTTTCATATTGGCTTACCAAAGTTTGGATTTGGAGGCAAAAAAGACAAGAAAAAGAAATCAAAAAAAGGCAAAGATAGTGATAGCAGTGACAGTGATACATCTGATGGAAATGGAGGACGAATCAAGAGAAAACTGAAATTGCCTTCTGGTGGTGTTGGTATTTCGGGTGGTTTCAAAGGACCCAAAGGTGGTGGTGATAGCAGTGGTAGTGAAACATCAGATGGTAACGGTGGAAGAATAAAACGAAAACTTAAACTAAAAGGTCCTAAATTTGGAGTCGAATTTGATGGAAGTGCGGATGGAAAAGTTAAAGGCTCTATATCAGACAGTGATAGTGACACATCAGATGGTCATGGTGGAAGAATAAAGCGAAAGCTCAAAATGCCTTCTGGTGGTTTTGGAATATCTGGTGGTATCAAAGGACCCAAAGGTGATGGTTATAGCAGTGGTAGTGAAACATCAGATGGTCATGGTGGAAGAATTAAACGAAAGCTCAAAATGCCTTCTGGTGGTATTGGTATTTCTGGTGGTATCAAAGGACCCAAAGGTGATGGTGATAGCAGTGGTAGTGAAACATCAGATGGTCATGGTGGAAGAATTAAACGAAAGCTCAAAATGCCTTCTGGTGGTATTGGTATTTCTGGTGGCATCAAAGGATCAAAACCAGATGACAGCGGCAGTTCAACTTCCGATGGTGAAGGAGGAAGGATAAAGCGAAAACTAAAGCTTCCATCCATAGGAATTGACGGCGGTGCAGGTCGAAAAATAGACGGTAAATTTAAACATTCAAAATCCAAAGGTGACAGCAGTGATAGCTCTGATGATGAGGGAGGAAAGAAAAAGGGCAAGTTTCATATTGGCTTACCAAAGTTTGGATTTGGAGGCAAAAAAGACAAGAAAAAGAAATCAAAGAAAGGAAAAGGTAGTGGTAGCAGTGACAGTGATACATCTGATGGACACGGAGGACGAATCAAGAGAAAACTAAAATTGCCTTCTGGTGGTATTGGTATTTCTGGTGATGTCCAAGGCCCTAAGGGAGATGGTGACAGCAGTGGTAGCGAAACATCCGATGGTAACGGTGGAAGAATAAAACGAAAACTTAAACTAAAAGGTCCTAAATTTGGAATTGGATTTGATGGAAGTGCGGACGGAAAAGTTAAAGGGGCTAAATCAGACAGTGATAGTGACACATCAGATGGTCATGGTGGAAGAATAAAACGTAAGCTCAAAATGCCTTCTGGTGGTTTTGGAATATCTGGTGGTATGAAAGGACCCAAAGGTGATGGTGATAGCAGTGGTAGCGAAACATCAGATGGTCATGGTGGAAGAATTAAACGAAAATTGAAATTAAAGGGTCCTAAATTTGGAATTGGTTTCAAAGGTCCAAAGGGTGATGGTGATAGCAGTGGTAGTGAAACATCAGATGGTCGTGGTGGAAGAATTAAACGAAAGCTCAAAATGCCTTCTGGTGGTATTGGTATTTCTGGTGGTATCAAAGGATCAAAACCAGATGACAGTGACAGTTCAACTTCCGATGGTGAAGGAGGAAGGATAAAACGAAAACTAAAGCTTCCATCCGTAGGAATTGAAGGTGGTGCAGGTGGAAAAATAGACGGTAAATTTAAACATTCAAAATCCAAAGGGGACAGCAGTGATAGCTCTGATGACGAGGGAGGAAAGAAGAAAGGCAAATTTCATTTCAGTCTCCCGAAGTTCGGATTTGGAAGTAAGAAATCCAAAAAAAAGAAATCGAAGAAAGGAAAAGATACGGAAAGCAGTGACAGTGAAACATCAGATGGTCAAGGAGGGAGAATTAAGAGAAAACTAAAATTGCCTTCTGGTGGCATTGGTATTTCTGGTGGTATCAAAGGCCCTAAAGGTGATGGTGATAGCAGTGGTAGTGAAACATCAGATGGTCATGGTGGAAGAATAAAACGAAAGCTCAAAATGCCTTCTGGTGGTTTTGGGATATCTGGTGGTATCAAAGGACCAAAAGGTGATGGTGAAACAAAAATCGAGCTTCCATCTGTTGATATTGGTGGTGAAATTCAGAAGGCAGAAGTTGATACTCAACTTGAGTCACAGCCATCTGGACACGGAGATTTTAGTGGAGATTTTAGCTTACCAAAGATAGAAGGTGACAGCGGAAGTGAAACATCAGATGGCCAAGGTGGAAGAATTAAGAGAAGACTGAAAATGCCTAAAGTTGGTGGTGGTTTTGATATTGGAATATCAGGCAGAGGCAAAGGAGATAAAGATAGTGGTAGTGACACATCAGATGGTCATGGTGGCAAAATAAAACGAAAACTCAAAATGCCTTTTGGTGGTTTTGGGATATCTGGTGGTATCAAAGGGCCTAAAGGTGATGGTGATAGCAGTGGTAGTGAAACATCAGATGGTCATGGTGGAAGAATTAAACGAAAACTCAAAATGCCTTCTGGTGGTTTTGGTATTTCTGGTGGTATCAAAGGATCAAAACCAGATGACAGTGGCAGTTCAACTTCCGATGGTGAAGGAGGAAGGATAAAAAGAAAGTTAAAGCTTCCATCTGTAGGAATTGAAGGTGGTGCGGGTGGAAAAATAGACGGTAAATTTAAACATTCAAAATCCAAAGGTGACAGCAGTGATAGCTCTGATGATGAGGGAGGAAAGAAAAAGGGCAAGTTTCATATTGGCTTACCAAAGTTTGGATTTGGAGGCAAAAAAGACAAGAAAAAGAAATCAAAGAAAGGCAAAGATAGTGATAGCAGTGACAGTGATACATCTGATGGACACGGAGGACGAATCAAGAGAAAACTGAAATTGCCTTCTGGTGGTATTGGTATTTCTGGTGGTATCAAAGGACCCAAAGGTGATGGTGATAGCAGTGGTAGTGAAACATCCGATGGTCATGGAGGAAGAATTAAACGAAAGCTCAAAATGCCTTCTGGTGGTTTTGGAATATCTGGTGGTATCAAAGGACCCAAAGGTGATGGTGATAGCAGTGGTAGTGAAACATCAGATGGTCATGGTGGAAGAATTAAACGAAAGCTCAAAATGCCCTCTGGTGGTTTTGGAATATCTGGTGGTATTAAAGGACCCAAGGTGATGGTGATAGCAGTGGTAGCGAAACATCAGATGGTCATGGTGGAAGAATTAAACGAAAGCTCAAAATGCCCTCTGGTGGTTTTGGAATATCTGGTGGTATTAAAGGACCCAAAGGTGATGGTGATAGCAGTGGTAGTGAAACATCAGATGGTCATGGTGGAAGAATTAAACGAAAGCTCAAAATGCCTTCTGGTGGTTTTGGAATATCTGGTGGTATTAAAGGACCCAAAGGTGTGTGATAGCAGTGGTAGTGAAACATCAGATGGTCATGGTGGAAGAATTAAACGAAAGCTCAAAATGCCTTCTGGTGGTTTTGGAATATCTGGTGGTATTAAAGGACCCAAAGGTGATGGTGATAGCAGTGGTAGCGAAACATCAGATGGTCATGGTGGAAGAATTAAACGAAAGCTCAAAATGCCCTCTGGTGGTTTTGGAATATCTGGTGGTATTAAAGGACCCAAAGGTGATGGTGATAGCAGTGGTAGCGAAACATCAGATGGTCATGGTGGAAGAATTAAACGAAAGCTCAAAATGCCTTCTGGTGGTTTTGGGATATCTGGTGGTATCAAAGGACGAAAAGGTGATGGTGATGGCAGTGGTAGTGAAACATCAGATGGTCATGGTGGAAGAATAAAGCGAAAGCTCAAAATGCCATCTGGTGGTATTGGTATTTCTGGTGGTATCAAAGGATCAAAACCAGATGACAGTGGCAGTTCAACTTCCGATGGTGAAGGAGGAAGGATCAAACGTAAACTAAAGCTTCCATCCATAGGAATTGACGGCGGTACTGGTGGAAAAATAGACGGTAAATTTAAACATTCAAAATCCAAAGGTGACAGCAGTGATAGCTCTGATGATGAGGGAGGAAAGAAAAAGGGCAAATTCCATATTGGCTTACCAAAGTTTGGGTTTGGAGGCAAAAAAGACAAGAAAAAGAAATCAAAGAAAGGCAAAGATAGCAGTGACAGCAGTGACAGTGAAACATCTGATGGACACGGAGGACGAATAAAGAGAAAACTGAAATTGCCTTCTGGTGGTATTGGTATTTCTGGTGATGTCAAAGGCCCTAAGGGAGATGGTGACAGCAGTGGTAGTGAAACATCCGATGGTAACGGTGGAAGAATAAAACGTAAACTTAAACTAAAAGGTCCTAAATTTGGAATTGGATTTAATGGAAGTGCGGATGGAAAAATTAAAGGCGGTAAATCAGACAGTGATAGTGACACATCAGATGGTCATGGTGGAAGAATAAAACGAAAGCTAAAATTGCCTTCTGGTGGTTTTGGAATATCTGGTGGTATCAAAGGACCCAAAGGTGATGGTGATAGCAGTGGCAGTGAAACATCAGATGGTCATGGTGGAAGAATTAAACGAAAGCTCAAAATGCCTTCTGGTGGTTTTGGTATTTCTGGTGGTATCAAAGGACCAAAAGGTGATGCTGATAGTAGTGGTAGTGAAACATCAGATGGTCATGGTGGAAGAATTAAACGAAAGCTCAAAACGCCTTCTGGTGGTTTTGGTATTTCTGGTGGTATCAAAGGATCAAAACCAGATGACAGTGGCAGTTCAACTTCCGATGGTGAAGGAGGAAGGATAAAACGAAAACTCAAGCTTCCATCCGTAGGAATTGACGGCGGTGCAGGTGGAAAAATAGACGGTAAATTTAAACATTCAAAATCCAAAGGTGACAGCAGTGATAGCTCTGATGATGAGGGAGGAAAGAAAAAAGGCAAATTTCATTTCCATCTTCCGAAGTTTGGATTTGGAAGTAAGAAATCCAAAAAAAAGAAATCGAAGAAAGAAAAAGATAAGGAAAGCAGTGACAGTGAAACATCAGATGGTCAAGGGGGAAGAATTAAGAGAAAACTCAAAATGCCTTCAGGTGGTATTGGAATATCTGGTGGTATCAAAGGACCCAAAGGTGATGGTGATAGCAGTGGTAGTGAAACATCAGATGGTCATGGTGGAAGAATTAAACGAAAGCTCAAAATGCCTTCTGGTGGGTTTGGGATATCTGGTGGAATCAAAGCACCAAAAGGTGAAGGTGAAACCAAAATCGAGCTTCCATCTGTTGATATTGGTGGTGAAATCCAGAAGGCAGAAGTTGATACTCAACTTGAGTCACAGCCATCTGGACACGGAGATTTTGGTGGAGATTTTAGCTTACCAAAGATAGAAGGTGATAGTGGGAGTGATACATCTGATGGCCAAGGTGGACGAATTAAGCGAAGACTGAAAATGCCAAAAGTTGGTGGTGGTTTTGATATTGGAATATCTGGCCGAGGAAAAGGAGATAAAGATAGTGGTAGTGACACATCAGATGGTCATGGTGGAAGAATAAAACGAAAACTCAAAATGCCTTCTGGTGGTTTTGGCATATCTGGTGGTATCAAAGGACCCAAAGGTGATGGTGATAGCAGTGGTAGTGAAACATCAGATGGTCATGGTGGAAGAATTAAACGAAAGCTCAAAATGCCTTCGGGTGGTTTGGGGATATCTGGTGGTATCAAAGGTGCAAAAGGTGATGGTGATAGCAGCGGTAGCGAAACATCAGATGGTCATGGTGGCAGAATAAAACGAAAACTCAAAATGCCTTCTGGTGGTTTTGGTATTTCTGGTGGTATCAAAGGATCAAAACCAGATGACAGTGGCAGTTCAACTTCCGATGGTGAAGGAGGAAGGATAAAAAGAAAGTTAAAGCTTCCATCTGTAGGAATTGAAGGTGGTGCAGGTGGAAAAATAGACGGTAAATTTAAACATTCAAAATCCAAAGGTGACAGCAGTGATAGCTCTGATGATGAGGGAGGAAAGAAAAAGGGCAAATTCCATATTGGCTTACCAAAGTTTGGGTTTGGAGGCAAAAAAGACAAGAAAAAGAAATCAAAGAAAGACAAAGATAGTGATAGCAGTGACAGTGATACATCTGATGGACACGGAGGACGAATCAAGAGAAAACTGAAATTGCCTTCTGGTGGTATTGGTATTTCTGGTGGTATCAAAGGACCCAAAGGTGATGGTGATAGCAGTGGTAGTGACACATCAGATGGTCATGGAGGAAGAATTAAACGAAAGCTCAAAATGCCTTCTGGTGGTTTTGGAATATCTGGTGGTATCAAAGGACCCAAAGGTGATGGTGATAGCAGTGGTAGTGAAACATCAGATGGTCATGGTGGAAGAATTAAACGAAAGCTCAAAATGCCTTCTGGTGGTTTTGGAATATCTGGTGGTATCAAAGGACGAAAAGGTGATGGTGATAGCAGTGGTAGTGAAACATCAGATGGTCATGGTGGAAGAATAAAACGAAAGCTCAAAATGCCTTCTGGTGGTATTGGTATTTCTGGAGGTATGAAAGGATCAAAAGCAGACGACAGTGGCAGTTCAACTTCCGATGGTGAAGGAGGAAGGATCAAACGTAAACTAAAGCTTCCATCCATAGGAATTGAAGGTGGTGCAGGTGGAAAAATAGACGGTAAATTTAAACATTCAAAGTCCAAAGGTGACAGCAGTGATAGCTCTGATGATGAGGGAGGAAAGAAAAAGGGCAAATTCCATATTGGCTTACCAAAGTTTGGGTTTGGAGGCAAAAAAGACAAGAAAAAGAAATCAAAGAAAGGCAAAGATAGTGATAGCAGTGACAGTGATACATCTGATGGACACGGAGGACGAATCAAGAGAAAACTAAAATTGCCTTCTGGTGGTATTGGTATTTCTGGTGATGTCCGAGGCCCTAAGGGAGATGGTGACAGCAGTGGTAGCGAAACATCCGATGGTAACGGTGGAAGAATAAAACGAAAACTTAAACTAAAAGGTCCTAAATTTGGAATTGGATTTGATGGAAGTGCGGATGGAAAAGTTAAAGGGGCTAAATCAGACAGTGATAGTGACACATCAGATGGTCATGGTGGAAGAATAAAACGTAAGCTCAAAATGCCTTCTGGTGGTTTCGGAATATCTGGTGGTATGAAAGTGCCAAAAGATGATGGTGATAGCAGTGGTAGTGAAACATCAGATGGTCATGGTGGAAGAATAAAACGAAAACTCAAAATGCCTTCTGGTGGGTTTGGGATATCTGGTGGTATCAAAGGACCGAAAGGTGATGGTGATAGCAGTGGTAGTGAAACATCGGATGGTCATGGTGGAAGAATAAAACGAAAGCTGAAAATGCCTTCTGGTGGTTTTGGTATTTCTGGTGGTATCAAAGGATCAAAACCAGATGACAGTGGCAGTTCAACTTCCGATGGTGAAGGAGGAAGGATAAAAAGAAAGTTAAAGCTTCCATCCGTAGGAATTGAAGGTGGTGCAGGTGGAAAAATAGACAGTAAATTTAAACATTCAAAATCCAAAGGTGACAGCAGTGATAGCTCTGATGATGAGGGAGGAAAGAAGAAAGGCAAATTTCATATTGGCTTACCAAAGTTTGGATTTGGAGGAAAGAAAGACAAGAAAAAGAAATCAAAGAAAGCCAAAGAACATGATAGCAGTGACAGTGAAACATCAGATGGTCATGGCGGAAGAATAAAACGAAAGTTAAAAATGTCTTCTGGTGGTTTTGGTATTTCTGATGGCATCAAAGGGGCAAAAATAGATGGGGATAGCAGTGGTAGCGAGACTTCAGATGGCAACGGTGGAAAAATAAAGAGAAAATTTAAATATCCTTCTGGTGGGGCTAATATAGATGTCAACCTTGGTCACAAAGGAGACCTTTCTGGTGATGATGAGCACAAAAAGAAATTTAAACTTCCAAAGATGAAATTAGGAAGTCTACGTAGGTCCAAAAAGTCTAAGAAAAGTTCCAGTTCGGATGCTGAGCATAACATTGACTTACTATCTGTCGATCTACAAGGTGGAACCCCTAAAGCAGACGTTGATGTCAAGTTACAATCTCAGCCACCAACAGCACGTGATAGTGATAGTGACACATCAGATGGTCATGGTGGAAGAATTAAACGAAAGCTCAAAATGCCTTCTGCTGGTTTTGGGATATCTGGTGGTATCAAAAGACCAAAAGGTGATGGTGATAGCAGTGATAGTGATACATCTGATGGTCATGGTGGAAGAATAAAACGAAAGCTCAAAATGCCTTCTGGTGCTTTTGGAATATCTGGTGGTATGAAAGGGCCCAAAGGTGATGGTGACAGCAGTGGTAGCGAAACATCCGATGGTAACGGTGGAAGAATAAAACGAAATCTTAAACTAAAAGGTCCTAAATTTGGAATTGGATTTGATGGAAGTGCCGATGGAAAAGTTAAAGGCTCTAAATCAGACAGTGATAGTGACACATCAGATGGTCATGATGGAAGAATGAAACGAAAGCTCAAAATGCCTTCTGGTGGTTTTGGTATTTCTGGTGGTATCAAAGGATCAAAACCAGATGACAGTGGCAGCTCAACTTCCGATGGTGAAGGAGGAAGGATAAAAAGAAAGTTAAAGCTTCCATCCGTAGGAATTGAAGGTGGTGCAGGTGGAAAAATAGACGGTAAATTTGAACATTCAAAATCCAAAGGTGACAGCAGTGATAGCTCTGATGATGAGGGAGGAAGGAAGAAAGGCAAATTTCATTTCAGTCTTCCGAAGTTCGGATTTGGAAGTAAGAAATCCAAAAAGAAATCGAAGAAACAAAAAGATACGGAAAGCAGTGACAGTGAAACATCAGATGGTCAAGGAGGAAGAATTAAGAGAAAACTGAAATTGCCTTCTGGTGGTATTGGTATTTCTGGTGGTATCAAAGGACCCAAAGGTGATGGTGATAGCAGTGGTAGTGAAACATCAGATGGTCATGGTGGAAGAATAAAACGAAAGCTCAAAATGCCTTCTGGTGGTTTTGGGATATCTGGTGATATCAAAGGACCTAAAGGTGATGGTGATAGCAGTGGTAGTGAAACATCAGATGGTCATGGTGGACGAATAAAACGAAAGCTCAAAATGCCTTCTGGTGGTTTTGGGATATCTGGTGGTATCAAAGGACCAAAAGGTGATGGTGAAACCAAAATCGAGCTTCCATCTGTTGATATTGGTGGTGAAATCCGGAAGGCAGAAGTTGATACTCAACTTGAGTCACAGCCATCTGGACACGGAGATTTTGGTGGAGATTTTAGCTTACCAAAGATAGAAGGTGACAGCGGAAGTGAAACATCAGATGGCCAAGGTGGACGAATTAAGAGAAGACTGAAAATGCCTAAAGTTGGTGGTGGTTTTGATATTGGAATATCAGGCAGAGGCAAAGGAGATAAAGATAGTGGTAGTGAAACATCAGATGGTCAAGGAGGAAGAATTAAGAGAAAACTGAAATTGCCTTCTGGTGGTTTTGGAATATCTGGTGGCATCAAAGGACCAAAAGGTGATGGTGATAGCAGTGGTAGTGAAACATCAGATGGTCATGGTGGGAGAATTAAACGAAAGCTCAAAATGCCTTCTGGTGGTATTGGTATTTCTGGTGGTATCAAAGGACCCAAACCAGACGACAGCGGCAGTTCAACTTCTGATGGAGAAGGTGGTAGAATTAAAAGAAAACTAAAGCTTCCATCCGTAGGAATGAAAGCCGGAGCCGGGGGGAAAATAGACAGTGATTTGAAACATTCAAAATCTAAAGATGATAGTTCCGATGATGAGGGAGGAAAGAAAAAAGGAAAGTTCCATATTGGCTTACCAAAGTTTGGATTCGGAAGTAAAAAGTCTAAAAAGAAATCAAAGAAAGAAAAAGATAAGGAAAGTAGTGACAGTGAAACATCAGATGGTCAAGGGGGAAGAATTAAGAGAAAACTGAAATTGCCTTCTGGTGGTTTTGGTATTTCTGGTGGTATCAAAGGTCCCAAAGGTGATGGTGATAGCAGTGGTAGTGAAACATCAGATGGTCATGGTGGAAGAATAAAAAGAAAACTGAAATTGCCTTCTGGTGGTTTTGGTATTTCTGGTGGTATCAAAGGACCCAAAGGTGATGGTGATAGCAGTGATAGTGAAACATCAGATGGTCAAGGTGGAAGAATAAAAAGAAAACTGAAATTGCCTTCTGGTGGTTTGGTATTTCTGGTGGTATCAAAGGACCCAAAGGTGATGGTGATAGCAGTGGTAGTGAAACATCAGATGGTCATGGTGGAAGAATAAAAAGAAAACTGAAATTGCCTTCTGGTGGTTTTGGAATATCTGGTGGCATCAAAGGTCCAAAAGGTGATGGTGATAGCAGTGGTAGTGAAACATCAGATGGTCATGGTGGAAGAATTAAACGAAGGCTCAAAATGCCTTCCGGCGGCTTTGGGATATCTGGTGGTATCAAAGGACCCAAAGGTGATGGTGATAGCAGTGGTAGTGAAACATCAGATGGTCATGGTGGAAGAATAAAAAGAAAACTGAAATTGCCTTCTGGTGGTTTTGGTATTTCTGGTGGTATCAAAGGACCCAAAGGTGATGGTGATAGCAGTGGTAGTGAAACATCAGATGGTCATGGTGGAAGAATAAAAAGAAAATTGAAATTGCCTTCTGGTGGTTTTGGTATTTCTGGTGGTATCAAAGGACCCAAAGGTGATGGTGATAGCAGTGATAGTGAAACATCAGATGGTCAAGGTGGAAGAATAAAAAGAAAACTGAAATTGCCTTCTGGTGGTTTTGGTATTTCTGGTGGTATCAAAGGACCCAAAGGTGATGGTGATAGCAGTGGTAATGAAACATCAGATGGTCATGGTGGAAGAATTAAACGAAGGCTCAAAATGCCTTCCGGCGGCTTTGGGATATCTGGTGGTATCAAAGGACCAAAAGGTGATGGTGATAGCAGTGGTAGCGAAACATCAGATGGTCATGGTGGAAGAATTAAACGAAAGCTCAAAATGCCTTCTGGTGGGTTTGGGATATCTGGTGGTATCAAAGGACCAAAAGGTGATGGTGATAGCAGTGGTAGCGAAACATCAGATGGTCATGGTGGAAGAATTAAACGAAAGCTCAAAATGCCTTCTGGTGGTTTTGGGATATCTGGTGGTATCAAAGGACCAAGAATAAGACGACAGCGGCAGTTCAACTTCTGATGGAGAAGGTGGTAGAATTAAAAGAAAACTAAAGCTTCCATCCGTAGGAATGAAAGCCGGAGCCGGTGGGAAAATAGACAGTGATTTGAAACATTCAAAATCTAAAGATGATAGTTCGGATGATGAGGGAGGAAAGAAAAAAGGAAAGTTCCATATTGGCTTACCAAAGTTTGGATTCGGAAGTAAAAAGTCTAAAAAGAAATCAAAGAAAGAAAAAGATAAGGAAAGTAGTGACAGTGAAACATCAGATGGTCAAGGGGGAAGAATTAAGAGAAAACTGAAATTGCCTTCTGGTGGTATTGGAGTATCTGGTGGTATCAAAGGTCCCAAAGGTGATGGTGATAGCAGTGGTAGTGAAACATCAGATGGTCAAGGTGGAAGAATAAAAAGAAAACTGAAATTGCCTTCTGGTGGTTTTGGTATTTCTGGTGGTATCAAAGGACCCAAAGGTGATGGTGATAGCAGTGGTAGTGAAACATCAGATGGTCATGGTGGAAGAATAAAAAGAAAACTGAAATTGCCTTCTGGTGGTTTTGGAATATCTGGTGGCATCAAAGGACCAAAACGTGATGGTGATAGCAGTGGTAGCGAAACATCAGATGGTCATGGTGGAAGAATCAAACGAAGGCTCAAAATGCCTTCCGGCGGCTTTGGGATATCTGGTGGTATCAAAGGACCCAAAGGTGATGGTGATAGCAGTGGTAGTGAAACATCAGATGGTCATGGTGGAAGAATTAAACGAAAGCTCAAAATGCCTTCTGGTGGTTTTGGGATATCTGGTGGTATCAAAGGTCCAAAAGGTGATGGTGATAGCAGTGGTAGTGAAACATCAGATGGTCATGGTGGAAGAATTAAACGAAAGCTCAAAATGCCTTCTGGTGGGTTTGGGATATCTGGTGGTATGAAAGGTCCAAAAGGTGATGGTGATAGCAGTGGTAGTGAAACATCAGACGGTCATGGTGGCCGAATAAAACGAAAGCTCAAAATGCCTTCTGGTGGTTTTGGCATCTCTGGTGGTATCAAAGGATCGAAGGGTGACGGCAGCGATAGTGACACATCTGATGGTAATGGTGGTAGAATCAAACGTAAAGTGAAAGTGCCAGAAGTGGCAGTTGAAGGGGATATAAAAGGAAAGGGAAAGAAAAAGAAGTTCGGTTTACTGAAATTCGGATTTGGTGGCGGCGGCAGCAAAAAGGATAAAAAGTTAAAAGCAAAGAAAGAGATTGCCAATGACATATCCGATGATGATAATGAACATGAAATAAATAAGAAATTTGAAATACCGACGTTGGATATGGACGTAAAAGCAGTCAAACCGGACGACAGTGGTAGCGAGACCTCGGACGGACATGGTGGAAGAATAAAACGTAAGCTCAAAATGCCTTCTGGTGGTTTTGGAATATCTGGTGGTATCAAAGGTCCAAAAGAGAGGTGATGGTGATAGCAGTGGTAGCGAGACGTCTGATGGTGAAGGTGGTAGAATTAAACGAAAGTTGAAACTTCCTGGATTTGGTATCTCCGGTGGTGTGAAGGACAAGGGAGATAGTGACAGTGAAACATCAGATGGAGAAGGAGGAAGAGTTAAAAGAAAACTGAAATTGCCCAAGGTTGGATTTGGTTTCTCCGGTGGCCTCAGTGGATCAAAAGACGATGACAGCAGCGGTAGTGAGACGTCTGATGGTCAGGGAGGAAGAATTAAAAGAAGACTAAAGATGCCAGTAGTGGAGATTGAGGGCGACGTTAAACAGGACAAACAAAAGAAGAAGAAATTCAAACTGCCCAGTTTCCGTAAGTCGAAAGACAAAAAGAGCAAAAAAACGAAAGGCGACAGTGAATCTGATGGTGAAGGTGAAGCAAAAGCTAAATTCGGAATCCCGACCGTTGATGTGGACGTGAAAGCGCCCAAGCCTGATGGCGGCAGCAGCAGCGAAACCTCGGACGGAGAAGGTGGACGTGTTAAAAGAAAGCTGAAGATGCCGAAGTTTGGAGTTAATTTAAGTGGACCTTCGGTCGATATCAAAAGTAGCAAACCTGATGACAGCGGTAGTGAAACCTCAGACGGAGAAGGAGGCAGAATAAAACGCAAACTCAAAATACCTAAATTTGGATTTGGTGTAAAAGAACCCAAAGTTGACATTAGCAGTGGTAGCGATACGTCAGATGGCGAAGGCGGTAGGATTAAAAGAAAACTGAAAAAACCAAAACTTTTCGGTTTGGTTGGTGGTGGAGTGTCCAGTGGAATATCTGCTGATGTCAAAGGAAGTAAGCCCTACTACAGTGGAAGCACAGATACATCGATGAAGTTCGACTCTGGCGATATAAATCTTCTTGTGTCAGATTTCGATGCAAAGACGTCTGACTCGACGATTGATCAAAGTTTCACAATATCGAAGCCAGAAAGTGTTGTCGAGGTAGAGTCCGCTCCCGGGGGGGATCTCTTTCCTGCGTCTGTTGGATTTGGTGGGGGAGTCGACGAAAGCGTCTCGCGTTCTGCACGCGAGTTATCGGACGTAAATCGTGACATCGATTTTGGAGACATTGATTTTGGTGATTTTGAAAGCGAAGTTGCTCTTCCATCGGCAAATGTAGACCAAGACATCAGCGTGTCAACGGCAGGAGGAGATCTGTTTTCAGCCCCCCCTGGTGGATCATCATTTGGAAATGTTGACTTAGAGTATGAAGTGGACGACAAACCAGCTGAAATCCCGAAACCAAAACCTACCGGTCCTCTTGTTAGCGAAGACGTCACGAGTTCCAAACGTGACTTACCCGACATTAATCGTGACGTTGATTTTAGTCTGATCGAAGCAGATTTGGATCTTCCGTCTGCTGATGTCGACACGAATGTCGGAATTTCTACTACGAAAGTCTCCGTAGAGCCCACAAGCACGGCAGCCCGTTTACGAACACGTTCAACAGATGTCGATGACGCTACGCTTGACTCGAGTATTCAAGACATGAAATCAGATGATATTAAAGAGTTTATATTCCGAACACAGCGCCAAGGCCGCACGGGTATTTCAACTGGTGATACGAGCTCTACCACAACAGTACCTACAATCTCGAAGAATACTGTAATGGTTCCAAAGCTAGACACACTCAGTACGGCATCTTTCTCGTCTTCCTCGCGAGTCCAGACATCATCCACAACCGTTCGAACCTACGCAACAAAATCCACGAAGTTCGAGTCTTCCAGCGCCAGTTTTGGCACAGGAGAACCTGCCGTTCAATCTACCGTTGAAACGAAAGTCGAGAGCAGCGCCGAAATGGCTGAACTAGAATCCTCAATCGACTCGATGGATCCTCGTGACATCAAGCAGATCATCTTTTCCTCATCACGCACCGGGCGTCTTAGCTTGCCAGCAGAACGAGAAGCAAGCGGTGGCTACAAGCGACGACCTGTATCAATGGATGTCTCCAGAAGTTACGGATCGTCGCAACTTCCCGGACTTTCAGCCCGTGCAAAATCTGCATCTACTGAAGATCTTGCAAGCGAGAAAGGTCGATTGCTCAAACCCGTAACGGTTATCTTGAAAGATGACGATGAATCAAAAACTACTGCAACAACGGGAACAACGTCGATGAAGACAACCAGCAGCGTTGTAGCACAACAGTCCTCGTATTCGACAAGAAGTGTATTCACAAGGCAAGGAGACACGAGTATTGGATTTGGAGGCTTGAAAGGAATTGCAGCTGGGCAGCACACCGTTGGTCAACCCGTTGAGTTAACCCTTGGTAGTGGAACAGCATCTACCGAAAGAACCGTGTTGAGTTCGTCCTCCACTATATCAACCAGTTCCACTTCGAGAACGATGACATCCCGAACCCATGTCGTCCAGGTTCCGAGCTTATCCCGAACATTCCCCGAACTCCTAGACGAAGAGATCCGACAGGTGAGAGCTTCGTCCGAAAAGAGCGACGATGCTATGGAAGACAGGCGGCGTTGGTCAATGGAAAAACGATCAGAATGGATGCTCTCGAGCCCCACATCAGACCCACAACAAAGCAAGGAAGGTGGTCATAAGAGATTAACTTTACAAGAACGCAAAAAACTTCTCGAAGAATCAAAAGACAAACCTAAATAATTTAGTAATACAAGTATATAGAACTTTCGTTGAACAGATTATTATTATCAAACGCGCGCAGTAAAGAAACACTTATATAGAAACATTTAGGATTATTCTAGATACAATTTACTTTTAGTTTATAGATTGTTCGTGGATGGAAACATAAGAAAATAATGTCCCGCTGTTTAAGCGCTACTGAATTCATTTGCACGGTTGATATTTAACGACATAACTTTATTTAAGATTTATCTAAGATTCTATATTCCATTGACTTTGTGTGGCTGAAAAAATAAGTAAAAGGGTGTGGTTTGAAAATATGCAAGTTTCGTGAAGCCTTAACAAAGAATACTGCCTTTTACAATCAATTTAAAATATCCGCAAATGAACTAGTTGGCAAGTTCTCTAGTTCACGTATTTCACATTTTCGTCTTGTTTAAAATAATAACTTTACATTGGGTTTAGTTTTAATCAACAGTTTCTGAGTTATTTCTTTCACGAAATTTCCATATTCGGGGGGAAAATAAGTACATCACTAGCATAGTTGTAAATTTATAGTTCATTTTTGTAAAAAATAGTTTAGCATTTTATGTAAACCAAATGATAATAATATACTTGCTCGTTATACGGTTGATTTTTCGCAAGCAAATTGTAATAATTTTTGACGAGTTAAGTTTAATCCGCAAAATAAATTTTTAGTTGAAACATTTTATAAAGTGCTGTTGTTTGTTGTCTTACTTGAAATATTTATTACTTGCACAAGCCGGATCTGAACAACAGTGTGCAGACATTATTGATAAACTACGATATGATCTTACGTGAAATGCTTCTCAGCAAGGCTTCAACCGTCAACCCAAATTGGAAATCGTTGTCCAACTCAATCAAATTCAATTCTGGCAAACGTTTACATGGCAAGTCGATGGACGCGTCCAAACCAGATGCTGCGAAGGACCACTCTCTTGGAAGAATTGTTCAGTCCAACAACGACTAATCTGACCTCGATATTGCGCACCTCCTGGTAACCATCAGACCACAAAAATACCATTAACACGAGGGCACCAAACACACACCAGGTAACCTGGTATTGAAATCTGTGTGCAACATTGGACATACGCAATGCTGTAAATGAAATTCAGTGTTTCGTACCTAATTTTTCGCTATCCGAATTGCACTAATATCTCTAACGACCGAAGAAATGAATGTTTCGAATCTTGAGTGCACGTAAAATATTAACAATTTCTTAACGTAGTTATAGTTGTGATATGTCAAACGTTGCATGCGCCTCCTGGGTTTATCTTTGGTGAGATTGAGCGACTCGCAGCTTTTTAACATTGTCACATGTGATCGCTTGCCTTGCCGAAAGGAAACCCAGTTTTTCATTTTATTTACTAAACACCTTTGGTTTTGGAATTGTGAATATAACATGAATCCTGTTTTTTTTTCTGGTAGGATTTGGATTCTGATTCAAGTGTTGAAAATCGTCCTCCGGAGAACAGGCGTCTACAAAAATCCTCCTATGCTCCTCGTCGATCCCATTCCAACCCTCAAATTCGCCGGCGCCACTCGTCGAACAAGGCGTTGACGTTCGTCCAGCGAAATACGCACGTTATTCCCCCGACCAGCATCGCTCGCCAGGCAGGGAGATTGCGATTGGTAAAGGCTTCAACTACCCGGCATTCCATGCGGACGGTCATTATGCTGTTGCAAAACCATTAACGCAAAGATCACCTGATTCCAGAGGTTTCTCATCTTACCTCGTTCCGCTGTCAGACGAACCAGTCGCGTTACTCTGGCAACGCAGGGATGTCAAGAGTAATCTTTGGATAAATCGACGAAATCATGCGAAACGACCCGATTCTAGCGAGGACTACCTTGTAACCTCTCCGTCGTCGGCGTCGAAATCGATACAGACACAAACCGACACCGTATATCGGAAGAAGAAACCCCGACGCAAGCGGAACGATCGTCCGAGAAGTCAAATCCTACCACCGACGTACCTTCAGTTACCCTCGGTCACCTGGCTTCCAAATGAACTGGGTAGCACCGAGAGTCTACAGAAACCTGTTCAAACGAGTGCATCTCACGAGGTGCGACACGAGTACTACCTGGACCCGAGTTACAACCGCGCGACTCACCGTAGAAGATCGAAGGAGGAACAAGCTCAGATCGTTCAACGCTGGATAAACGAGATGATTGAGCACAAGAAAGCGCAAGAACTTCGACGCCAAAATATCGTCAGACAATCGGTCGGGCGAGAGCGGTCAACGAAACTAAAAAAGAAGAGTCGGTCAGTTCCTGAGCACTCCTTTCGTGGTAATCAAACGAAGTTTGAGAGACGGCGCTCTTCTGATCAAAGCGCGGACACGAATGGAGAATATGTTGATGATGTGAAACTGAGACATTCTGATAGTGATCCTAGCTTTAGATCTCAAATGTCTGTGGAAGATAGATACCATTCTGGTGGAAGTTCATCTGTCAGCATTGCAACCACTCAGACCGTTGGAACTGAAGAAATGATTACTCCGTCTTTGCAATCTCGAATTCGTAGTTTGGAGCAATCGTTTCAGCAAAATAATACGTCTAGCTCCAGTTTACAAAGTAATAATAACTCATTAGAGTCTGGTAAACATGTAGTTAGGCACCCCACTGAATCTTCTCCTAGGCTGGCAAGAAGACGCTCTAGGACCTCCAACCCAGACTTGCCACTGATCTCACACCTATTATCTGGCGGGGAGTTGGACAGCCAATGCTAGTTTTTATAATTATATATAGATAATGCAATTACCCTAATACAATTTAGTAAGCAGCATGCACCAATAATATAATCTAGTCCAAATACAAAGAACGCGCTTTGAGCGTATGAATATATTGATAGTAATTTGTACTTATTTTCCTAATTTTAACAGTTTTAATTTTATGGTAAATAATAGTTTTTGTAACTCTCCAACGATTGTTTTATTTTTGGTGTCAGGGAGTGGCTCGGTTCATTTCAATGGTAACTCATGATATCCTCATAAATCCTGGCCTTTATTAAATTTGGCTTTCGCCTCAATATTGTAGCGAAAGACGTCGTATATATTATTGTCTAGAAACAGAAATACGATACGGTTAAATGGTAAATCAGGCTTTATCATAAATCAACCTCGTTTCTTTCGCTCTGTCCACACTATCTGATCATAGATTGATATAAAAAACTCATTCCACTCCAGTTAATTATTTTGAGAGCATAGTTTTGTATATATGTCACTGCTTCTGCGCATCGCTTCTGCTCATAACGTAGGTCTGTTATAAAAATATGCTCTTTACGTGACTTTCATTTAGTCCATATTTACTTAGAGGCAAAGATACAATGAAATACTGTGTTGGACATTCAGATAATAGCATGGTAAACACTAAATAGTATGAATCTTATTCAAAATCTACTGCAAACTACAAATTGCCTCAACCCAGCCTCGTTCCCAGGCGCTTCAACTGAAAATAAATATAGGAACACTACAGGCTTTTATATAGATCAGCCACTGTCCTCAGCCCGTCATCCCGTCGCACCTGTTTGCGGGTTGAAGAACTTCCGGTCGGTTTAAAAAATATAAAGAAATATAAACAAAGTTTGTGTACTTGTACATTGAAAAATGCTGTTTTTGAGTCGAAAACGAAAGGAGACGCTGGTTTGTTTCTGAAATGCGATAAAGCAGAGTCTCTACCTTTATGGCAGATAGCCACGAGCTACGTTCAAGCTCATTTTCAAGCAACACTTCTCTTCCAAGCGGAGAAGTCGATCATGTCGAACTGCTGTCGTCTCAACTGGGGGCACTGCTTCATTCCTCAGAATTCACCGATGTCACTTTCATAGTTGAGGACAAGAAATTTCCAGCGCACAGGGTGTTTTTGGCGTCGAGATGCGAGTATTTTCGTGCTCTGCTGTTCGGCGGAATGCGCGAATCCAAACCAGAGGCAGAAATCGTACTTAAAGAGACGTCTGCTCCGGCCTTTGGAACGCTTTTAAAATATTTATACACAGGACGAATATTTCTGCGTGATCTGAACGAGGAACATGTATTAGATCTCTTGGGTTTAGCGCATAAATACGGATTCCTTGCTCTGGAAAGTGCTACCTCCGGCTATCTGAAGGGAAACTTGGATGTGAACAATATTTGTCGTATAGTTGACATTGCTTGCTTGTATCAGCTGGACGAGGTTCTGGAGACCTGTTTAAATTTCGCCGACAGACATGCCGTGGAAATGCTTCAGAATACAGCTGACTTTGCAAGCCTCTCAGAAGTCGGTCTTGTGAGCATAACGAAGCGAGATTCATTCTGTGCGCCAGAGGTGGAAATATTCCGAGCAATCCAGTGTTGGATCGAAGAGAATCCTGAGGTGGTGAACAGGGAAGTGTTGTCTAATGTCCGACTGCCTTTGATTGGTCTTCATGATCTCTTTCATACTGTGAGACCTTCCAAGTTGTTCTCAGCAGATGCTATATTGGACGCAATCAAACTTAAAACAGAAAGTCGTTTGATGGAGATGAATTTCCGTGGTCATCTTGGTAGGTAACTAAGTGGGCATGATCATGGTATGAATGATTAATAAACTAGCCTACATTGTGGACAGACTAGACTGACTGAACCACAAGTTCAGAGGTCCATGATGTAAGCTTATTTTACTTAGATTATAACCATTAACTAATCCTAGCAAATGTTCCAACAGACATGGATGAAAACGTAGCCTTGCCGCATCTTGGTGCCGAAGTAATCGAAGGTGAATTCCCAGACGCACTGCTTGATTCTGATATCACAAGTTTCGACATGGACAAAGGCTTCACGTTACACTACTTGGAAGAAGGTCGCTCAATTGTGGTACGTCTTGGTCGACCATCGCTAATTAACACTATTAAGATGCTTCTCTGGGACAGAGATATGAGATCATATTCATACTACATTGAAATCTCAATGGATAATCAAGATTGGATCAGGATTATTGATTATTCGCAATATTTATGTCACTCTTGGCAGACCTTGCATTTTGAACCGAGGGTCGTAAGGTGAAGTAAAATATTGACATTTCTACTTTGTAGCAAGTAAGCTGGGAAAAGCCTGAAAATTTGTGTTTTGTTCATTCCCTAGGTATGTTCGACTTGTAGGAACACACAATACAGTAAACAGAATATTTCATGTTGTGCATTTTGAATGCATGTTCTCATCAAAACAACACAAGATTGGTGAAAATAATGTCCTAAGTATGTCATCATTTTTGAAACGTCCAATTCTCACATAGCAGTCTTTCAGCTTTGCTTTTTTCCTACAAAGTAGCTCAATAAATTCTTTGGCACTATTTCTTTAGTTGCAAAGGAGAATGTTGCAAGCATTGAAGCGAGTGCGACCGTCATTGAAGGAGTCAGTCGCAGTCGTAATGTTCTCTTGAATAATGATACCAAGAATTATGATTGGGACTCTGGTTACACCTGTCATCAGCTGGGCAGCGGAGCCATAGTGGTCCAGTTAGCACAACCATATATCATTGATTCATTGCGGTATGTACTTTTGGACCAGTGCATAACACATTCTTGTTGTGTTAGGATTATTTATAAACTTAAAGTTCTCTTATTGATCCAGTGTTATTACAGAAAGAAACCTAAACTAAACTAACTTTATTTATACTGGATAGCTCTATCAGTTCTAAACTGTTCTTCCTAGAGGTCCAGTAAGGATCATCCCTTAATGATTCAGTGTTACTACAGGAGGAAACCTAAACTAAACTAACTTTATTTATACTGGATAACTCTATCAGTTCTAAACTGTTCTTCCTAGAGGTCCAGTAAGGATCATCTCTTATTGATCCAGTGTTACTACAGGAGGAAACCTAAACTAATTGGTTTTGTTTTGTGTAGTTTGCTGTTGTGGGATTGTGATGAGAGAACGTACAGTTACTACATCGAAGTTTCAAATGATCGTCAAAATTGGCAGGTCGTGTCTGACCACAGAAATGATGCGTGCAGGTATGCTGAATCAGCCTGAACGATTTGTAAAGTATGTGTTAAATCATAATATGTAAACTTGCAAGGCAAGATATGATTTTGTTTTCTCGATAACAGGTCCTGGCAAACGGCGACGTTTCCTGCCCAAATAGTGACGTTTGTAAGAATTATTGGAACCAGAAATAGCGTGAACGAGGTGAGAGTCTCAATTATCCTGTATCATGGAAATTGAAGAGTCGTGAAACTAATAAGTTTCAAGATATGAGTCTTGGTGGAAGATATTTAACGATGTGTTTATATTCCAGTTCATTGCGAGCTCTTTCTTTACACTTACAGGTATTCCACTGCGTTCACTTTGAATGTCCCATCAGCTCTTCAACGGTCACAACACAATCGCAAAATTCGAGCGTTGAAAACTACAACAATAATGAAGTCAGCGTTGAATCGAGTTAGTCAGTCTTCCTGTCTTGTCGTTAACGACTTCAACAAGGTTATCCGCGATTTTCCGTGAATTTTCATCTATTAATGGCTGTAAACAAGCGAATAGTTATGAATTCTGTGATCTTAAAGTGCCCTTATTCGACCATACGTAACTATTCCATTCGTTCCCATCTATCAAATGAAGAAAGTCTCACGCAAAATCGCGGAAAAGTTTAAACGGGCCTTTTGAAGGATTCTTTGCTTAAGATAGCTTTCGTGGGGAAAATTTCTGTAGTTGGAAATTATAGTGCATCTTCAGGTCTTTTTATAGAGAAAAATTGAAAATGTAATGACTAATGGTATTATCATGCTGTAAACTTGCTTTGTAAATGAAATAAAGTTAAATATATATTTATTTCTTGTTGTAATGAAAGGTATTTTGAACGAGGTCATCGACGTTTTGCAGAAAATTAAACCGCGCGTAAATTCACTAGCTACTAATTACTGACGTAATAGACAGGTTTGATTGTGAACATTGTGCTAAAACAGTGCGGTTTAGATTAAAAATTCGCTGTGGATTTCGTTTGTGTTTTTGTCAATTTAAACAGGAATGATTCCTGATGACGATTGTGAAGTTTCCGGGGCACAAAAACCTGAAGAAGGTTCAGAGATATTGGACTACGAAGCTTACGAAAATGTCGATAAAACAAGGTGCACAGAATTTCAGTTGAACATGATTACAATGAAATAGACAAGTTAGGCCTGAAAATAATAGAGAAATTGTATTTTTCTGTAGTTTAAGTTCTGCGAATGAAGGGTTAAAAACAAGTTCCGTTGATGACGGAAAAGATTCGACGTTCAAAGACAAAGGCAATAATGGAGTGAACTCGTTTTCACAAGCTTGTGATGAAGAAGACGACGACGACAATCTCTTCAAACTTTCTGTGCTTTTCGTTCGTGGAAATCCTTTCGACAGCCTAAAACATTGGCGAATGAGATCTGGTTTCCTAGAAACAAATCTCAGAATTAGTAGCTTGGGTCGAATCCGAGAAGTCGATGAAGAAATTCTTAACATTTCTGAGCAGGAGATTGGGTCTCGAAGCCGTGTTCGCTTGATTCAAGTGGAAACAAAACATGAAGAACTGGGCGAAACAGAACAGACAAAATACGAGGAAAGTTCACAAGAACTCAACGAGTTTTCGCCTGAAGCCAAGAGTAGCTCGTGTACTGTTCCAAATGACTTGGAGAGAACTAAACCTGGTAAGATGGACTCAATGGTTGATCTATAGACTAGAGAATTGAGAAGGATCGAGGATATATATTTCTTGTGCATAGTAAAGACTGACAATAAACTAGTATAATATCGCATGGTGAAAAGGCAATCGTCCATTAGCCTCATCTTTAGACTTTTCAAAGCATATATAATTTCCTGAACTTGTTTTTTAGACCTAACCTCTTTAAAACACATCGCGTGTGAAAGTGCAGTGGTGAACGAGACGAAAGACAGTGTAACAAGTCTCGCAGATGCTGCGTTTGAACAAGATGAAAGAAAGACTTCCTCATCTAACAGTTTTCTTCCTGAAGCATGGACCATGGACCAAACACCAACAAAGTCCTCACCTCAGGAAACGGTACACTCAGATCAGATCAAACAGAACCCAATGCGGAAAGACCTGGATTGTTTACAAAAATCCTTCGGAGAGTAATTGCTTTATTACAAGGAAGAAAAAACGATGTTTGGCCTGTAGAGAACTCGCAAAGACAGTCAACAACTACTCCACAATCCTCTGTGTAGTTTTTATACTTTTTAAAATAAGTAAGATGTATTATATAGATTATTAATTTTTTACGACACGTAATTATTGTGTATTAAGGTGTATTATTTAGAGCTAGATAATATACAGCTCTTATTGAGGATTTAAAAGCGCCTACTTTCGTCACTGTCTATAATAATACAAGGCAAAGCATGGAATGAGTTATTAGGAAAATATTTAAGATTGTTTTCGTGTCTTCGAATCATCTAGTCTATGGTGCAGAATAACGTGAGGGTGTTAGGTATGCGTAACCACTAGCAAACTCGCTGCAGGGTTCTTTAACAAAAAAATTCTTATGCAAAATATTTTCGAAAGAAGAATAGCGAGCCGCTCGAGTGATTGCATTGAATTTAAATCGATATTTAAACTCGTGAAATTCATCAGACATATCTTGCTGACTCCATAATAATATCAAAATTTATCAACGATCATTCTGTCAGCCATGGTGTTTTCAAGAAGTATCGTCTTGTTGCTGTTTTTGTTCGTGGTAGTCAGTTTAAGCCGGGCCGCTGACGAAGCTAAGAATGTATGTATGATTTTCAACGTTTATTGTTGATATGTTGTGTTGGCAAACTAGTAATCACTGTCATCATTTATCAGATAGTAACCAGCTCATCAGTCATCATTATAATCATGAGCATATATAGCAAAACCTCGTACTGACTTTCAAGGCAAATAAAGGATATTAAGGAATTTTATTTTATTGCTCCTATTAACTGCGAATTTTTTCTAAATTACAAGCATTAAATTTAAAACGACCTCAATCATCAGTCGCTATGAGGTCGAGGGTGTTAGATCCTAATATATCCCAAGCCAAGGCCAGGCTAGATTTTATTCTATAGTATATTTTGTCTCCTAATTTAGGACAGTGACGATAAAGAAAATCCAAGTAAGTGAAGGTTGAAGGTCTAATATTTAGGTTGTCAGGTTGAGACTGATCTGTTGAGTTTACATCCATGTAAGTTGTCCTCAGGATAAAAACTTTTGCCTGCGATTGAGTAGACCAATGCCTCTACAAAAAAGGAACTTTCCTGTTAGTTTTGCTGCTAAGGATTGTTATATCATGGCTTGAAACTAGCCTAGTCTCTTCAATTTCTTGTCCCGAAACAAGTTATTTCCATAATCCACTGATGGGAAAGAGTCCGAAATTGAACCAGGATGATGTAAACGATAAATGGGCAGATTCTGATCATCTTTTAACCAGTCACTATTCCCACAGTAAAAACGCTATCTGCTTCAGCCAGATGCAATGGTATGAGATTAAAGACTAATAGGAAGATGATACAATGTGTATTTTCTATCCTTACAGAACCATCGTATACTATGATGCAAAATCATTACGATGGGTTGGGGAATGAAGATGGTTTTGTGTCTTATGATGAAATTAAGAGGGCGCTGGGACGAACGACAGAAGAAGAGTGGAGGACAGAAATTGAACCTCACGATAATGGCGATAACCTGCTTGATCCTACAGGTCTGTGATGCCTGTCTGTTTTTGCATAGCAGTAGAAGAATCAACATTCAGTTGAAGTTTTCTTTCTTCATCTAGAATTTGAGAACTGGATGAGAAGTTTCAGAAAGACCGAACTTTAGAAAAGAAAGCTTGGATATGCTGGCAGACTCACTGCAACTAACTTGTTGCCTGTCAACAAACTTAACGTATTTCATGATAGTTAATTTATCGATGAAGTTTCAGTTATAAGACATGTTTTAATGTATATCTTGCATGTGAAGAACTTATTTAATAAAGCTAAGCTGTGTAAAATTTGTTTTCAATCCATCTGAAGAATCTTCAGCGTCTCATAATATTAAGGTTCACAAAATCATTCAAAATTTATTGAATCCAATTCACTTCGAAAGGACAACTAAAGGACAACGAAAGGACAACTAAAAGACAACTATATAAAGGACAATTAAAGGACAACTAAAGGAACTCCTTGTTGGACTATCTTTATCATAAATTCTTTGTCATAGATATAAGTTTATATAACTATGATTTATTATATGATTTATATAAAGTAACGAATAACTCATAACGTATCGAGGTCAGTGGCTTTGATGTGCCTGTAGGCTCAAACAATGTTGAACATAAGAAGGATACTTTATGAAAGCCACACAACTTGTCTTCTGCTCATATTTTCTGTAACGTAATATGTTACAAATTGGGAAACTAGTTCCATCGAAGAGGGATTCTTTCAGAGATATTTGTTGAATTATACGTTTAATTGTCTGGTTTTGTTCTCCAGGTACTGAATTTACCTATCATACTGTAAATGGCGTAATATTTTGGGGTGTTTTGTGACAACTTAGCCTTGAATTATTGGGTCTCAAATACATTCAATTATTAAAATTTTATTTATGCCTAAAGTCACGGAAATCAAAGGTTAAAGGAGCTTCAAATCAACAAATAAAGGCAAAATGAAAAGCTTTTTAAAACTGAGTTTAACATTATTCATGTACATTCTACTTACGAAATTTGGTCATGGGTTTTGCGAGAAAGTCGTTTACTACATCACTGCTGAAGTTGGTTCAGGGAATATGACTTATTATAGCTTGAAGACTGAAGGTACTATAACATTAATCATGGACAGTGTTGTTGGTGATGCTGACATATATGCATCACAGTCAAATCCAAAGCCAGATTACAATGATTATGACTTGCAATCTTCAACGTGTGGTCAGGATGTCATAACAATACCAAAGGATTTCAGCCGACCTGTTGGTGTTGGTATTTTTGGCCATGTTTATCACCCACTTTCAAAATACGAGATAATGGTAGTTTCAGATTATGATGCAAGTGTTCCTGACGCTGAAAGACGTTCTTATGCAGGTTTCTTTCAAGGTGATGACGGTTCAAATGAATCAACCCTTTGGGTGGTCTTTGTCAATATATTAAAAATTATTCTTGAGATTTTGACTTGACATACTCAGCTGAAATTCAGCGCAAAGTAGCTATTTGCCATGTGATATATTGATTTAGAGAATATGACAAGACACTGAAAAACATAGTAATCATATATCATTCTTTCCTAAATTCCATACTTATATCTAGTTGTGAAAAACAAAATTTTATGGCATGATTAAAAATATCTGAAACCTGTGCAGAATCATCTAGAGAATCAAGTCTACAATGAAACAACAACCAATATATATAATGCCTACAACAATTTAATATATCAAGGGCGTGATAATTTACATATTCTGTAAAATTCCAGAAGTTCAATTTTCTATTGATGAACAATTATTCTAAGATTGAATCCAGCCAGTCTTCCAAGTCGTCTTTTGTGTCTGCTGAAGATTGAGGTTTCTGTGTCGTCATTACTGTAGCTTCCTCTTCACTTTGATTCCCACTAGCACAAGTGCACTGAAATAAAACATGTGATTTCATAAGTAAATTGGAGTAAAGCAAACATTTCCTGGTATAGATATTCACTAATTCACGTCTTACTTTAGCACCTACAAAAATTTCTTCTTCCAGTGAATTCAGTTCTTCATTTTTATCTAAACCTAATAACAAATCCAAGTCATCTTCGACAACAGATTTCAACATTGGATGCATTGTTCTGTTCTATTTCATTGTCACTTCTCAAGTCTGCTACATTGCTTCCCTCCTCATGACTGTTAATTTCATCAGTAGATATGCTAGGTTTAGATGAGACAAAATTCATAGTACTCTGTACAGTTTCTTCCTGTTTTCCACTGTTAATATTTGTGGGCTTTTTTACTTTTATCTGATGGTTAGCTAAAGGTTTGTCCAGTGTACTTTTGTTTGTATTTGCTCCACCATATACCTCCTAAACCATTATGAAATAGTCAACAGTTATGATGTATCTTGGTGCTATCAGATATGGAGGCTAAACTATCTTGAAAACTTGATCTCACCCCAATCGAGTATTTCTCATCAATGTCAAGACGCTGTGCAAGTGGTATGTTCCTCAGAGATTGTGCTAAAGCATGACAGTCAATAGACAATAAAGATGTGGTAGCCTAGTAAACGAAAGATGTTATTTTTTAAAAGAAAAAACTGGAGAATCAACAAGTGTTCACAAACATGAAGAAATATGAAATATATCAAGTAGATAACCTAGCAATGTTCAGAGGTTTGGCCTACCTTGCCATTTGTTTTGTTCATGTCAATATTTTGCCATTCTTTCTCATTCTCAAATTGGAAATGAGAACTTGAAATGGCTAGAGATTAGAAGAAATTACATCTTAGGAGTTCATCAGAAGATATGTTTCATTAAACCTCCCTCATGTTTCAGTCTAATGGTATTGGAAAACCTATTTTAGGTCTTTAATTACTGATGTTTTCATTTCTTACTTGCTTTATCAAGGAGGCTTTGAAAATCAGCACCGATGGGGGCATTTTGTGTGGATGAAGAACCATTTGATTCATCTTCTGAATAATATCAAACAGCAAATATATAAAGACAGGAACTATCTTTAGTAACTAGTCATCAACACCGAGGTGCATCTCAGTTCTATAAACCATAAAATTAGGGTAATTTCTCTAAAATAAACTCATACCAAACTCAAAATCATCATCTTTGTATCTCTCCCAATTACTTTCTATTTTTCGTCTTGAGAAACGTTTTCCTTTGTGACTGCTACTTCCATCTTCTACCTAAACACATTCCTGAACACATTACCAAAGTACACAACTATTTGTGTTAAATATGTCAACTGTTAAAATAAATGCACAGCAGGACTAGTGAGTCTTGTATGACCACTGCTGCTAGCGAATTTTCGTATACTACTTTTTCCCCAAAGTTGACAATATTATGTCATTGTTATTTGTAACAGCTTTTAATAATAAGTGAAAAAATTATAATAATATTGACAAGGCATGTGTGTATGAGATAAGTGAGTCTAAATACTATCAATCATCTATCATTTAGCGTAAAATATGTTGTATTTTACTTACATCTGCGCCATCTGATTCTAAGTCTGGTTCATCTGATGCGCGCGATATTTCTTCACTCCTATGGTTAGTAGTTGTTAGTTGGTCCTTTTTTATCAGTTTTTTTGCCTTTTTCTGAAGGAATACCGTGCTTCTTTTTATACTCTGAGTTCTTTTTTTTCTTGTGCTGGTCTGGACGCATTATTATTACAAAGTGATAGCCAGAAATCTTTAGTCAAATTCATCGAAAAATCGAAAATTGACCGCCATTTTGTGATGTGAAAATTAGAATTAACCAAATCTAATCTAATGCCTAATCCTAACGCTAATTCCAACGCTAATCCTAACGTAATCTCAAGGATTACATAAATCAACGATCAAAATTCTGACAAACATGGCGACCGTCAGGAGTGAAAAAAAGAAGTAAAAAAAATTAAATAGTTTTGACGACGTTTATGCTTTTATTTGCGTGACTGTTTGTCCGGGTCAAGCTTTAGAAAAAACCGTGATTTTATAGAGAGCAACAAACAATATAAACATTGAATATTGCAATGAAGTTATGAACTCTATTTCTCTGTTAATTCTGTATAAATATAAAGTATAAGTTTAATCTAAAGTCGAGGAAGAAGAAGAAGCGAACACCGGTAGCAATATTGGCCAAGGATGTTCATAAGATACAGTAGACTGCAGATATCAATTTTTAGTCTGTACAGGCGGTTAATACGTACTTGTGAAGGACGACCTGGATTTAAGGAATATGTTCAAGCAGAATTTAGAAAGAATGCAAGGATTCCACGTTCTAACATTTTAAGGATAGAATATTTGATAAGAAAAGGTGAAAAACAGTTAAAGGACTTGAAGGAAAAGGATATACAGTCTATAAGCGTGATCAAACCAGGTATGAAGACAAACAAATCTTGACTAGGGGTAAATTTAGAAGTCAGCAAGACGTTTTCTTAGATAATAGTGCCTGCAAATAACTCTACATCAACTAACCATGCTATTTTGGTGATTTTTTACTGGAGGAGTGGGATCTCATAATGAGATTTTGCTTTTCCTGAATATTTTCTGTTCAACCTTGAACATTGCTACACCGTTTGAATTGACTATATCCAATGACAAACATGCTTTATACACTGTCCAGCAGGAATATTTATTTCAATGCACAACAATTATCTAGTGTTATATAATCATGTATCTGCATACTATACATGCATTTTAATAATGCAATAATCTATATTTACAGCTAGTTTTTCTTCAAATGTTGAATATACATTTTCTCTTTATATTACATTACACTAAGTCCATAAATATTACAAAGCTAAAAATTTTCATTTGTCTTTAATGTCTGTAAGAATGAAGTTGAAATGAAATGAAATCAAAAATATAAATAACCCAAAATGCCACATCTAGGAAACACCATTTCTTTGCAGAATATGCAAGAATATATGCTGTCCAACTCATTTGGTATAAATAAAGTTCTAAGGCAATATTTGGCCCACTTAATCAAAGAAAAAGTGGAAGTCAAATCTGTGCATAGGCAGCCCAAAATCGCACGAGAAACGTTTCGGTAATCTGTCAATATGGTGTAATAATGTGTAATTATACAATATTACATTATATTGACAAATTACCGAAAAATTTCTCTCGCAGTTTTGGGCCGCTATGGTCTGTGTTGAAAGTGGTTGAAACAAATGCTTTGTTCTGTGTGAATTTCTAACACATTTAACAGACTTGACTTCATTTTAATCCACCTATTTTTGTTAAAATACGGTCTTCCCTAATATACCTACAAATCAATTTTAAATCAATATGTTATATCGCAATATTTACATGCAATCTCATCGCGCATGCGTACTAACAAACGCTACGCGAACGGCGAGCGTCTTATTTTTGTACAACTAAGTATCCTGGAGGACCTTCAGGACTCTTCTCAAGATTTTTAATAAAGAGCTTGAACTCTGTAAAAACAAAAAATAAATTAATGTTTCAGTAGAATAACAACTAAAATATTTTACAATATAGAAAATCATCACCTTGAAAATCAATGTAGCCATCACCGTCTAGATCAGCTTCGCGTATAATCTCTTTTAGTTCTTCGTTATTAATACTTTCTCCTTGTTTTGACATAATCGTTTGAACCTCCATCGCGCTAGAAAGCGAATGTCTTTAAATTAGTCAGATCAATGCAAACAGTCTCCTTAATCAGGATAGTCAGAATACGAGAAAACCTTTTACTGCATCTTCGAGATAGTTACGATGATAGATTGAATAGGCACTAGTTACCAGAATTTGCTCTCTGGCAACGAAAACTGCTAAGAATAGATTACATTCCCAGCCTTGTGGTTGATTGGAATTGTTTTGTGTGAACTCAAGGGCAGAAAGTGTTTAGTGTGTGGTACTATTATGCAATCACCCACAATTGCGGTAGTTTCTGAATGTCTGTTTACCCTTGTAATATTTGCTGTGTTTTTGTCGTTTAATGGATGTAAACGAGTGAATAGTTACGAATACTCAGATGTTCGAGTGCTCTTAGTTTGAACCTCAGTAACTCATCCACTCGTTCGCATCCATCAAAAGAGGAAAATCACATCAAAAATTGCAAGTGTTAACGGTGAAAAGCTAGTGATTTATATCAAAAATATCCTTGGAGGACAAACTAAGCCATATTACAAGGCGATGATTCGTTCTTTCAAAGCATCGGTCTAAATCTTTCCCTGTTTATGTTTAAACAATAATTTACCTTATCTTTCCATCAGAATTCATATCAAAGACCTGAAATAATTCCCTTAATTCATCCTCTGGATCCATGTGCTGCATTTGTTTTTTCATCAAAATAAGGAACTCATCAAAATCCACCTCGCCATTTCCTACGATAAACGAAAAAAACCCGGTCAATTTTCCTCTGAGATCTTCTTCAAAGGTGATTGACAGTTCTGCTTGAGAGAAAGCGAAAACCATATCACAGTTTTATCTTATAGTTGAGGTTTGAGGTATTCGCTTTATGTGCAATAATTAATAAAACGGGTCCTCTTTTCAAACTTAATGGTTGTTTTGACTACCCCTCATGCTTGATTGTTTCTATGTTAAAAGTTGTGCTGCAAACTCCAGTTTTAATTTCTTAATTCTCGCGTGAATAATCTCACCTCTCGCATTTTCTCATACGTGTATATTCATTTCGCGTGCATGCATGAGTGCATGAGATCCTTAGAATATTTCAAGCTTTATCACGTATACAAACAGAGCTAATCTTTTTATGCATTCACAGAGTATGTCTTATCGTTCTCACCATCGGCATCAGCCTCTGCTATCATTTGCTTCAACTCTTCTTCCGTTGGACGTTGACCCAGAGAATTCATCACAACCTCCAACTCGTCCGTTGATATCGTCCCCGAACAGTCGGTATCGAATAGCAGAAATGCTTCTTCAAATTCTGCGGAGATATTTCAATATGTTGTTGTCACTTTGAATCTCTGTTGCATGCATGCTTGTTAAGTATACGGCAAATATTAATCCTAAGCTTTCCCCTCTAGCCTTCCACTGTCATCTATTGTACAGTAAGCCCTCTACCCCTCTAGTCTACTGTCATCTGGTTGTTCTACAGTAACCGCTCCGTATCAGATGTCATCACTTATATATATATGTTATATGACACTTTTAGTTTGATATTTACATATTGTATAGTTTCGACTGCAATCGTGTCGTCATGCTATATTGCCCGACGTAAATACATCGACAAATTACATAATCAGACTTAGCGAAAACATATTGCGCGTATCCTGTGTGCAAAACGAATGCCAATTCTTTGCGATGCGGCTAAAGTTTCAACCAGGGAGATTTCTTTTGTGGATAAATGTACAATAATACCTGCATCACGTCGTGTTCAGTGTAATATACTATACAATACAATGTTGCCTGTTTCCCTAATTAGAAGCCTCCGGAAAACTGCTTTCAAAACATACCTTTAACTTGATCCTCAGTCAATTCCCGTTCGCCCTGTTATTAAGAGGAGACGCAACAAGTTTAGCAAAACGTTAATGCCTTCTGCGTACAAAAGAACTGCATGGAAAAACCAGCAGAACTCTGACTTTCCTTGTGGATAAACGTCCATTAAATTCTTATCTTCTGTAAATATTCCCGTATCCCCTCAATGCAAGTGTACTGACTTACCATATTTACGGCTTTGGCAAAGACTTTACGAACAATTTCCCAGAGGCCAAGTTTTGCCGCGGTCTGGCCAGCCAAACCTCAAGTGAATCGAAGAGAGTTAATATCTACTACCGTCGCATGCTTCCTTATCACATTATTATTGTTCTGATCTAGCTCGCGAGGCCTGACTTATAAAAAGTGGGAAGAATTATCTTTATTAAATATTTATACCGGGATAAATATGACGGACAGTGCACCTGCTGTGGTTCACAATGGCCAAGTCTTATTGGTCCGTGAAGTAATTGTCACCCAAATTGGACAATTTTTCTGCCGTCCTAAATACGAGCAGTTTTTGAATCATTTATAGCCAAAATTTGACGACTTTTCAGGCGCGACTGTTAGAATGGATTGATAAAAATCAAATGTAAAACACTGCTGATTGCAATATTTGCTTTGAAGACGTGTCAAGCGCGTGTGTTATCGGTGTATATATTACATCTGTTTATTACTATATTCACAGCTTAAAACTGAGTTATTATATATACGTCTTTTTGGGGTTTACTGCAATTCAACCTCAAACCATGAGCTAGGGTTTGAACTTGCTTACTGATTATTTATACCAGCTTAGGTTCGTCCACCCGTAAACCACACCAGAATTATTTAAAGGCTGTTTTCAAATTCTGACAACGGTTGCCCTGATGTGACATTAAGCACTTTGGAAAAACGAGTGTTTAGGAGGAAACTAGGTCTTATCTCATTGCACTGCCAGATGGTCAAATACTGATGTGGGCCGTAGTTTTTTACTTTTCAGTCTATTCAGAGATAACTAAATGGACATTTTGTTTTTTTCTGTACTTCCCTGGCCTCCAGCAAACCTGATTGACATTTATCGTAAGATCTGCGATTCTCATTGTCTGCGATTTTTGGCACTCTCCTCCGACAGACGCCATCGTTTAAATCATCGCTTGTCGGAAAAGAGTGCCAAAGAATGATCTCCAATTCTTGTGACAAGTTTGTACCATGCCTCTTCTGACTGTAAACATTCTTAATCGCGCCATTAACTCGAGTCGTGATATAAAGCTATGTTTTTTAAGAACACGTCTCAGGCAAAATATAATAATACTTGTAAATGTTATAGATCATTCGACATTTTAACGCGTTTTAATAAGGAAAATCTGAGGTTAAAACTATAAAGAAATTAGAGAGAATATTTCATATGGTGAGCCTTGCTTATCTAGGTATAATACAAAATGCAAATTTAGAAATCAAATACTCTAATAACTTATTTATCAGGTTGAATAGATTCTTCTAAAAATCTTTTCTGCCTCAAGGGAGGTCCACTTTTCACGATGATTTCTATAGCTTGCTTGTTACATGAAGTTGCACCAAGGCGAGGCTTACCACTGGCTTAAATACTGTGGTTTCAGGAATGAGGATGATTTTCTTGGAAAAGTGGAACAAATAAATTGAGTTAGAATTTCAGTTTTACAAATTTCGGTAGAAACAAAATGAAAGTGGAAATGAAACTGCAAAGCAGTTTCAAGTATAATGAGCGGAAAGACATCTTGTGATTTTTTGTGTAGTCCCTGTCGCTCGTGTTCTTCTAATATGGCTGACCAAACTAGTACAGGTATAACTTAAAAGAAACTACGTGTCAGAAACTATTTAATGTTTATATATGACATAAGACAAATATAGATATGCGTCTTGGATACTATTTATTACCAGCCAAATAAAAGACAGTTTAATTCACATGCAGGCAGTAGAATTACCTTCATCTTTCGTTAATTCACGTTTTTCCTTTCTTGGCTCAGCATTCAGCTGGTTTACCTGAACTAACATATATTCCGATAATTCGTACACCCTTCATTCAGTCCCCTGCAATAAATCCTAGCAACTGTTTGTACAAATCTCTGAAACCATTACATCTTATTCTCTGTCTGAATAGATCTTAACAAATTAAAAGATGAAGAAAAACCAGCGGTGGTGGTTGCCGAACCTGAACTACAAAATAAGCCACCAAGTGGTCCAGACAACACTCCAGGTGCTACCATTGATGACCCCATGAAGCCCGAAGATGATGCCTCATCTGATTCGAACAAACCGAAAGAAATCTCTTCAGCGGATCCAAGAGACACACCAGGTATTGATCCGAATGATGCCCCCATGGAATCTACAAATGTTGCCTCATCTGAGCCTGAAATACTGACAGATAGCTCCTCAAATGATCCAAAAGACATTCCGGGTAGTCTCAATAATATCACTATGGAGTGTACAAATGTCGCCTCGCCTGAGCCTAAAAAATTGGCAGATCCGCTCTCAAATGATCCAAAAGACACTCCAGGTAGTCTCAATGATATCACTATGGAGTGTACAAATGTCACCACAACTGATCCTAAAAAATTGACAGATCCACCACCCTCAAATAATTCAAAAGACACTCCAGGTAGTCTCAATGATATCACTATGGAGTGTACAAATGTCACCTCACCTGATCCTAAAAAATTGACAGATCCGCTCTCAAATAATTCAAAAGACACTCCAGATAGTCTTAATGATGCCTCCATGGAATTTACAAATGATGCCTCATCTGATCCTCCAGAACTGAAAGATAGCCTGTTAAATGAATCAAAAGACCCTCCAGGTACACCTTGCAATGATGCCCCAATGGAAATTACAAGTGGTGCCTCATCTGAGCCTACATCAAAAGATCCCCCAAATGATTCAGTAGACCCTACAAATATCTCTGTTAAGCCAAGTAATACCAACCCAAGCAATTGTGAAGGGCTGACAAAGAGCCCTCCATCTGGTCCTAACAAGTTGACTGATGACTTTCCAAGTATTCCAGAAGATACTACGAACACCACCAATGATGGCCATGTTGAACCAACAAATAAACCCCCGTCTGATCCTGTAGAACCAGTGAACAATCCACCAGATTCAAGTGAGTATTGTATTGTAAATTCCCATAATGTGAAAAATCTAGCTTTTTAACTCTACCCAGAAACTTGTCCAGTCAACTGCGATTTTCAAATTCTTCACTCCAAAACTTAGGTACAACAGTAGATTGCAATCTAAATGTCTTCTCTTCTTGAAGATCATTTTTTTCCATCCTAATTTCCCTCTGTTCAAGTTACCTTTTTATTTGCAAGCTTCCTGGTGTTTCTGGAATACAGATAAAGAAAAAAAGAAACCAAAGACACCTGATTTCAGCAACATGCCTTTGGATGAAAAACGAAAATACTACAGATGTGGCAACCGCTATCTGACATTAGATAAGATAGAAACTTGGCCAGAGTATGTGAAAAATAATCATGATTTCCTGAGCAAGCAAGGTATTGGTATAATCATTCTTCACCTTATGAATTTTTAAGACTTACTCTTCACTGGATGCCATTTTTCATTGCAGCTAAATTAAACCTAAGATCTCATAACTATCATATATCTGTCATTTAGGTTTTCTTCCAAAAGATATAAAGACTAAAGAGTTCTTCACTGATGAAATCAACAAAAAGGTTTCTCTCTGGCAGGGAGATATAACGTGGCTGGAAATTGATGCTATTGTCAATGCTGGTATGCTCCTTTAGATATCATTTGATGCTTCAATGAATATACATCTATCCTAGTTTTTTCATAGGGTAAGGAAATTCGATTATTTTGTTTCAGCAAATAAAACTCTTCTCGGAGGCGGTGGAGGTATGTGACGCAATATATATTATACTGTCAGTTAACAAAAGGTATTATGAATGATGGTTTTTGATATTTTCTGAATTGGAAAATGTTTGTCTAGTTGATGGCTGTATTCACCGGGCTGCTGGCAAGGGTCTATTAGATGAATGTAGAAAATTGAATGGTTGTGATACAGGAAGTGCCAAGATGACGTCAGGTATAGAAGAATGTGTGCTTCTTTTTCATGAAGTCATAATCAAGTGATCTTTTTGTAAATTTTTAATCTCTTTCTTCACTTTTTGTTAAAACTTTCTAAAGGACACAAACTGCCAGCTAAAAGTAAGGAATTACCTAATAATTTCTTGTAGTTTAATAATTTTGACATATCAAGACCGTTCTTTCAAAGTGTGAAAAAATAAACTAAGATTTTATTTGGTGTTGTTAAGATATCATTCACACAGTTGGTCCAATAGGAGAATGCAAGTCTTTGTTAGAAAGTTGTTACAACTTGTGTCTCGATCTGATGAAAAAAAATGAACTCAGTTCAATGGTATGTTTTCAATCATTATGTCAGCCTAGAGCTAACCATTTCGGCTGTTTAATTCACTAATTATAGTTCTCTAAAGATTTTTTATTTCATTTTTTGCAGGCATTTTGTTGCATATCAACAGGGATATATGGTATGCACTTTTGAATCGCTGGTTATTGCAGTGAAAAACTTTTTTTTTCTGACTGAACTTTTACACTGGACTGATCTCTCTCCCAGGTTATCCTTACGAAGCAGCATCCAAGGTTGCCTTGGAAACAGTGAGGTTGTGGTTGGACAAGAACAAAGACTGGGTATGTTTACTATATATGATACTAAATTATTCCTTCTCCTAAAATTAACTACAGTGGCGTAGCCAGCCTGACAATTTAGTCATGCTATGCTAAAATTTGGTTTTCATTGACTGTGAAAACATTAAATTTCTAAAGAAATGAATAATGATAATAACATAAAATTTGCACATCATGAGATCACTAATACCTCAGAGTAAAGAGCACCATTACAACAATTTATCTTCTGAGTTCAAACAACATAATTTGTATATCCCATGGCATAGATGATGATCATCATGCAGAGAAAGATAACTAGTCTAACTAGGTCTCACTTTGTATTCTAGACTCTTAATTCAGCTGCAGTACAGAATTATAGTTTTTCGTCTTCTTATTAGCAACCATTATTGCCCTTGAGAAAGAAAATTGTGGTCTAGCTATGGCGAAAAAATTACCTGAGGGGAGATTTCAATAAACCTAAAATTAAAAAAATAAAATTCTCATAGACATATAGTGCGAATAGTAATAAAGCTTCGCAGTTTGCTAAATATTTGGCGGAATACTTTCACTTATCGTTTCCACAAGAAACGTCAGCTCATTAATTCCGATACAACAGAAAAGGACTGAGTATTTTTTAACTGGTTTAGGATGGTCGCATTATTTTTTGCGTATTTTTACAAGACGACTTGGATATTTATGAGAAGTTAATGCTTCACTACTTTCCTTGTACGATAAGTAAGAAGAAAGGTTCTGAGATTAGCGAGGATGAACCTGCCGGTGCACACCAGGGTGACTCAACAACGAAGTCCGTAAAGATGCCAGGGACAGGTACTACTACTGATCATGAAAAGAAAAATCCTAAAGGCAGAGGGCGCGGATTTGGTAAGACCGGTTCTTCGGGACATGCGCCTCCTTCAAAGAAAAAGCAACCCAGTTCTGCAGCGGAGAAAAAAGAAGATACTGGAAGTAGTGAGAGCAATTCTGTCGTTCGTAAACCAAACCAAGGCCTCTCAAAAACGAAGCCAAATTCTGGAGAGACGTCAGGGTCAGTTGCTCCTGGTCATAATGGGGCAGGATCTCGGAGCAAAGGCAGAGGGCGTGGCTCTGCGAGGAAGGACGCTTCTGGAAAGACGCCTTCAGTAAAGAAGCAAGAAAAGAACCCGACGACTTTATTGGTTCAGGCAGAGAAACATAAAGCAGAACAAGCTAAGATTGAGAAGACAAAAAATAAAGACAGCGGACACATCGAAAGACAAAAGAGTGGAACTGAATCATGTGAACATGAAGACAGCGAGGAAAAGATGGATATTTCTGAACCGAAGGAGGATACAGGGATAGAGAAGGATACAAAAGAGGTGGTCCCGTCGAAATCTGTAAGTGATATTCTATCTGTAATTTCAGGCAATTTCCTGCCATTTTCCGAGATAATCGTGATTATTACCAACCGTGTGATAGGCTGTTGTGTTTAATATTTACAGGGAGAAATAATAATGGAGTCAAGTGTTTAACTGTGGTAAGTTGTAGATGACGGATTTTGGGCAGTGTTAGGATCAGTTGTTGAGAAAAACTTCTACTTTGGTTAAAATATATGTATTAATGTATATAAATATTATAATCACACATGCACTACAATATATACAGACGTTTATTGTCAGTTTAGGTTCGGTATAATTGTTTGTATAGAATATCATGTAATCTAAATTTTATGGTTCTTACAGATAAGCATTATATAATGGCCCGATTTTGATGCGAATAAATTATGTATTATACTTGTGTGTCGTGTTCTGTTTTCAAAATATACAATGTGATACAACGTGCAAGGGGAGGAGGGGTGTCATAGGATTTTCTAGGGGGTTGAGCTTGGAAGTTCTCAGTCCCAGATGACTGTATTAATCGTCGTGTAGCTAGGAAAGTTCTCCATTCAGGCTTCGTAGTTTTTTTAGTCTTCCTTATATTCCAAAACTTTCATGTCATCCAGTTTTTCTTTTCCATGTTGACCTGCGAACAGGCTCCTTTGTGAACTTCTACACTCGTTGCTCCTCGTAATCTTCCATACATTATGCGTGTCTTTCACGTGTCCATCTGTCATATTTTCATATGTTTCGGTGACATGACCATGTGTATTAGTCGTGTCAGAAACGTGCTCGTCTCTCGTGTTCACGTTCTTCTCTGTCATATTCCCATGCGTATGAACCGTGTCATTCACGTGCACGTCTGAATCATTTCCGATGGCTGAAAGTTTTAGTTCTTGTAACTGTGAAAACATACTCATCCGTCTACCATTCCCAGACACGTTGTTATTTGTTGGGTGCACGTTCAAATTTCCAGCCATTTTACCGGACGTTTTGCTTATAAGGAAGGAGTTTCGTTGTTGTGTCTTTCCTACACCTGTTGCTGATAACTTGGTCTCGTGCAGTTCCGAGAAAAGGCTCATTTTTCGTGCACGGGGGGAGCGTGAACCTTCGCTGTTATCTGCTGACGTATGTGATGGTCGCTTCCATGAGGGAATGTTTAAATGTTGACCGTGCAAATTATTAAGTGTTTGCGTTGTTGTTAAAGTATCGCTCGATTCCCTCCCCTCCGTTGTCTCCCCACACACGATGATGATGTCGACCTTGTTCTTCATCCTATTACGCTTTGCACTCACGGTAAAAACAAGCAGAGCCCCTAAAACCTCTGAAGTTCGCATGCCAGTTTGTAGAGTAAACCATGGCCACGCCTCGACAAACTCTACTTCAGAGTAGACTCCAAACACTCCAGCTGCTGAGTAAATGATCAGAACACATGTGAAAAGGTTTGCAGCACTGGAAAGGTAGATGAGCAACAAGTAAACACGGTCTCCTCGTGTTTTACGTCGACCAGCCGCTTTGAACAAGACTTTGTTCATTTTTTGCGCGAGAGCAATGTACCAGAAACCCAAGAACGATCCCCAAATGACGGAGAATACCTGACAGAATAAGATCATAACTTTAGCGCTCATATGCGCTGACACGACGATATCTGTGGTTATGACTAAGACAAAGTGTAGGGAGATTACAACCAAAATATTTGACAAACGTTGAAAACGTTGGTGTGTTAAATTCACGTTTGCCGATTCCGCTAGAGCCAGGATGCACAGAGAATCCGAAGCCAGCAAACAGGGAGTTCCAATCGACCACATCATATGAAGAATAAGTTTTTCTTTCATTAAAGTTCCCTGGTGATATGGGTCAAAGAATAATACAAACGAACGTGTTATGGATAAAATGAACATCATAACATTTAATGAGATGCTAAGATATTTCTTACGTAGACCATCTTTGACATTGAATACGACGTAATATCCTGAATAGAAAGCCATCAGCAGAAATATTATTGCAAATATGTAATTATGTGCAGGCCATGCACTTTTCCACAATTTGTAAGCTTTCTCCCATTCAGGGCCTGGTTCAGGCCATGTTTCAGGTTGTGGTTCAGGCTCACTTTTACCTTCACCTTCAGGTTCAGATGTACCATCATCTTCAGGCTCGGATGTACCATCACCTTCAGGTTCAGATGTACCATCACCTTCAGGACTAGGTTCAAATGTACCATCACCTTCAGGACTAGGTTCAGATGTACCATCACCTTCAGGACTAGGTTCAGATGTACTGGATGCAGTGAAATTTAATCTCTCGTCCACATTCTTTCGTATACGGAATGGAAGAGTTCTAACGACTCTATTTTCGACTTGTATTGATCTGTTTATTAGGCTGTCTTCTTCAGTGTTCGCAACAAAGACCTGCAATAAGAATATAGGGATATTTCTATCGTTTTAACCGTGTCATGAATACCCAGGCTGTTAAATTCCACATTTCATAATGCTACCGTCGTTTTTATTTAATTATCATAAATTTTAAACAAGCTAGCATTTACATTCATAATTCAGCACTTACCAAAGCTAAAATGAGTATCGCGATAAGAAACCTTGATGAATGATTCATTGTTCAACTTGGAGTCGCCTAAATTGATCCGAAGGCGTCACATCTGTGTGCAGATGGCAATGATATCTCTCTGAAAAGAAGATTAAAAACTCGAAAAGCAGAGGAAATGAGCTTCTAGCGTTGATTATGCATTTAAACGAAGATGTCAGTAATTTTACAGAATATATTTGCCGAGATAAAAAAATTCGGTTTGTATATGTTGCTACAACACATGTCGCATTTCTCGTGCAATTTTATTATTGTGAGCTGAAAAGATGTAGCAATTTTCAAGCAATTTCTTCCAGGAGTTTGTTGTTATAGACATCACGTAGCCTCGTTTTGACGATTTAATAAAAATGCCGTCAAAATACTGCATGACTAAAGCTGAATTGTTTATTCCGATGATGTAAATAATACAATGCAAAGTAATTGTTCGCCATGATATTTCCCCTGTTCTAGCTTTTACCCGGATCTAAAATGTTTGAAATTGATAAATAAAAAAAACTGTGTCTATACAGCATATAGAAGGCTTTTTATTTGCTTATTTTCAAATATAGACTTAGTATATGTTGACAAGCATTTTAATGCTACGTTCACACGGGACTGAACGAATCTGGGATCGTTGTCGAATTTGTCTATAGTTCAGGTGTTCACCCTGTAAAAATGGATTAAAATTTGACTGGTTCAATGTGTTCGCGCGAGGAAGCAAGATGAACTCGAACACGGTCCTATAAATTCGTCCGATACGTATATATCACTATATAAACTGCCATAGATATAAAGTCTAAACTGGGGTAAAATTTTACTATATACCTTTAGCCAACTATGATCTTTGTCTCATATACTTGATGTGAAAATTGGACGAGGCTCACGCATAACCTGTTATTTAACTTATTGATCAATATCACCAGCTTGAAAGTGTCCTTTTTATTTTCTCGCATAGATAATTGAGTTTACCATATATCACTATATAAACTGCCATACATATGAAGTCTAAACTGGGGTAAAATTTTACTATATTTACCTTTAGCCAACTATGATCTTTGTCTCATATACTTGATGTGAAAATTGGACGAGGCTCACGCATAACCTGTTATTTAACTTGTTTATCAATATCACCAGCTTGAGAGTGTCCTTTTATTTTCTCGCATAGATAATTGAGTTTACCACTTCGGTCTTTTTCCCTCGATATTTTGCAACGTTTACTGTTTTTATGCTACATTTTGTTACGTTTCCAAATGGATATACCGTACGAAATTATAGATGACATACTGTATCTTAAGTGTGCTTACAGCTACAATGCATACATGTGGAACTGTTTTTTCATAATTGGACAGATGCTTTTAAGTCGCTGCCCGAGTTGCCTTGGAAACAGTCGGGTTGTCGTAAGACAAGAACTTCGACCTTGTACGATGCTAAATTGTTTGTTTTTAATTTCAAATTCTGAGAATTTGCACGAAGATTCTACGCCAAGCAAGAGTTAGGCCAGTTTGCGTGCTAGAGAACTTGAAACTTTTCAATCAAAAGCAGTTTTCGACTAAATTGCTAAAATTATCATTAAACAATTATTGAGCCCTCGCCGAGTTATAGCAAGGGCGAAAATACTCCAGGAAGGTTTTAATAACCTGAAATTTGCACAAAATGTCATCGTAACATTCGTAAACCAAACAAAAGTCGCTTAACAACGACGCTAAATGGCGAAGAGACGTCGGGGTTTGTTGCTGTCTGTCATGACGTGGCAAGATTACTTATCTCAGGGCAAAGACAGAGGGCGTGGATCTGGGAAGAAAGATGCTTCTTGAAGGACGGATTCGTCAGAAGTTAAGAAGCAGAAGATCTTATTGAATCATGCAGAACAAACTAAGATTGGGGATACAGAAAATAAAGACAGCGGACACAGCGAAGAAAAAAGGAGTAAAACTGAATCATGTGGGCATGGAGGCGGCGAGGAAATGTGGATACTTTTGAACTGAGGGATGATACAGGGATAAAGATAAATAAAAAAAAACTGGACCAGACGGAATTGATAAGTGTTATGCCACATTTTATCAAGAAAACTGCCATATTCCGAGATAATCGTAATTATTACCAACTATGTGATGATTGGTTCTTTAGCTTAATATTTACAGGAAGAAACAATTTTGGAGACCGTAGCTCAACTGTTGCCGATAGATGTAAATGAAAGTTGCATTATAATTGTGTGTCCTGTTCAGTTTTCAAAATATAAAATATGCTACCAAGATTACCCATATGTTACCAAAAAAACAGGAAACAGGTTCTGCACTTTCACTTTTACGCAAATTCGAACGGATAAAATGTGCACTGTTCGCTTTACTCAGCACAGACAGTGATCTGTGTCTAAGAAAACACAAGTTTAATAATTTGCATTCATTTGTTTTCTGTTTAATGGTATCCTAGTGTTTAGTCCTCCTCCTCTTCTTCCACATCTTCGATGATTTTCATCTCATCCAGTTTTTCTTTTCCATGTAGACCTGCGAACAGGCTCCTTCGTGAACTTCTACACTCGTTGCCTCTCGTAATTTTGCACACATTATGCGTGTCTCTCACGTGTCCATCTGTCATATTTACATATGTTTCGGTGAAGTGATCGTGTGTATTAGTCGTGTCAGAAACGTGCTCGTCTGTCATGTTCTCGTGTTCATAATGCGTGTCATTCACGTTCTTCTCTGCCATATTCCCATGCGTATGAACCGTGTCATTCACGTGCACGTCTGCGCGGACCGACTCTACCGACCGACATAACTGATTTATCCTGTTTAGTTTTTGAACTGGTTCTTTTTGTGACTTGGTAGTCGCTGCTCCAACTTTAGTGTCGAAAACTTTTGAAAATAAGTTGAAACGGTTGTTGTTTCTCCCAAACTCGTCCGACGCAACTGACGATTTTTTACGCTTCTTCCTGTAGGAAACTAGCAAATGATGTAATCCTGAGAAAATACCTGAATCATTTGTTCCAGCTTCTTCATCGTTTTCTTGATGATTAGTGTCGTAATTCTCTGGTACTTGGCGCGCTTCTGTTGAAAGCTTTAGCTCTTGCAGTTGTGAAAACATGCTCCTTCTTCCATTGCTTGGTAACATGCTGTTCTTTGATACAGGACGTGTCTTTTGTGTTTTTCCCGATGAAGGTGGTATAGAATTGTTGGGATGAGCTGAACGTTTTAGCTCTTGCAGTTGTGAAAACATGCTCATTCTTCCATTGCTTGGTGACATGCTGTTCTTTGATACAGGACGTGTCTTCTGTGTCATTTCCGATGAAGGTGGTATAGAATTGTTGCCATTAGCTGAAAGCTTTAGCTCTTGCAGTTGTGAAAACATACTCATTCGTCTACCTCCTGTGGGTATGATTGAGCTTTCATTCGTCAACTTTATGGACCGATTTACTTCCGCAGGGGTTAATCTGCTTCCTAAGGAAGGTGGCTGCCATGAGGGAGTGTTTAATTGTTGACCATTGCCAGCATCGTCTTGTGCCGAAATTTTCGACAAGTGCACAGCTGAAAACATACTCATTCGTCTATTCCTAGCTGAGGGGTACAAATTATTCACTGTCGGTGTGGTGCTTATAGTATCGCTCGATTCCCTCCCCTCCTGTTTCTCTCCACACACGATGACGTTGTGAACCTTGTTCTTCATCCTATTACGCTTTGCACTCACAGTAAAAACAAGCACCGCTGCAAAGACCTCTGAAGTTCGCATGCCAGTTTGTAGAGTAAACCATGGCCATGCCTCGACAAACTCTACTTCGGAGTAGATTCCAAACACTCCAGCCGCTGAGTAAATGATCAGAATACATGCGAAAAGGTTTGCAGCACTGGAAAGGTAGATGAGCAACAAGTAAATACGGTCTCCTCGTGTCTTACGTCGACCAGCCGCTTTGAACAAGACGTTGTTGATTTTGTGGGCGAGAGTGAAATACCAATAACTCAGTAACATTCCCCAAATGATGGAGAATACTTGGCAATATAAGATCATCACTTTAGCGCTCATATGCGCTGACACGACGATATCTGTGGTTATGACTAAGACAAAGTGTAGGGAGATTACAACCAAAATATTTGACAAACGTTGAAAACGTTGATGTGTTAAATTCACGTTTGCCGATTCCGCTAGAGCCAGGATGCACAGCGAATCCGAAGCCAGCAAACACGGAGTTCCAATCGACCACATCATATGAAGAATAAGTTTTTCTTTCAATAAAGTTCCCTGGTGATATGGGTCCAGGAATAATACAAATGATCGTGTTATGGATAAAATGAACATCATAACATTTAATGAGATGCTAAGATATTTCTTACGTAGACCATCTTTGACATTGAATACGACGTAATATCCTGAATAGAAAGCCATCAGCAGAAATATTATTGCAAATATGTAATTATGTGCAGGCCATGCACCCTTCCACAATTTGTAAGCTTTCTCCCATTCAGGACCTGGTTCCGGCCATGTTTCAGGTTGTGGTTCAGGCTCACTTTTACCTTCACCTTCAGGACTAGGTTCAGATGTACCATCACCTTCAGGACTAGGTTCAGATGTACCATCACCTTCAGGACTAGGTTCAGATGTACCATCACCTTCAGGATTAGGTTCGGATGTACCATCACCTTCAGGATTAGGTTCAGATGTACTGTCACCTTCAGGACTAGGTTCAGATGTACCATCACCTTCAGGACTAGGTTCAGATGTACCATCACCTTTAGGGCTAGGTTCAGATGTACCATCACCTTCAGGACTAGGTTCAGATGTACCATCACCTTCAGGACTAGGTTCAGATGTACCATCACCTTCAGGACTAGGTTCAGATGTACCATCACCTTCAGGACTAGGTTCAGATGTACCATCACCTTCAGGATTAGGTTCAGATGTACCATCACCTTCAGGACTAGGTTCAGATGTACCATCACCTTCAGGACTAGATTCAGATGTACCATCACCTTCAGGACTAGGTTCAGATGTACCATCACCTTCAGGATTAGGTTCAGATGTACCATCACCTTCAGGACTAGGTTCAGATGTACCATCACCTTCAGGACTGGGTTCAGATGTACCATCACCTTCAGGACTAGTTTCAGATGTACCATCACCTTCAGGACTAGGTTCAGATGTACCATCACCTTCAGGAGTAGGTTCAGATGTACCATCACCTTCAGGAGTAGGTTCAGATGTACCATCACCTTCAGGACTAGTTTCAGATGTACCATCACCTTCAGGACTAGGTTCAGATGTACCATCACCTTCAGGACTAGGTTCAGATGTACCATCACCTTCAGGACTAGGTTCAAATGTACCATCACCTTCAGGACTAGGTTCAGATGTACTATCACCTTCAGGACTAGGTTCAGATGTACCATCACCTTCAGGACTAGGTTCAGATGTACCATCACCTTCAGGACTAGGTTCAGATGTAGTGAAATTTAATCTCTCGTCCACATTCTTTCGTATACGAAGTGGAAGAGTCATATCGACTCCATTTTCCACTTGTATTGATCTGTTTATTAGGCTGGGTTCTTCGGTGTTCGCAACAAAGATCTGGATAAAAATAAAGGGAGATTAATATCGTTTTCAACGCCCACTGAAAGTGTCGAAAATAAATTCATGATAAATTCCACATTTCACAATGATACTTAGTATAATTATCATAAATTTTAAAAAAGCTAGCATTTACATTCATAATTATAGCACTTACCCAAGCGAAGATTAATGTCGCGATAAGAAACCTTGATGAATGATTCATTGTTCTACTTGGAGTCTCCTAAACTGATCGTTGCCCACCAAAACGTCAGATCTTCATGCAGATGATATCTCTGTGAAAAGAAGATTCGGCACAACTCTTAGAGCAGGAAACTGATATTTGCGCGCTGATGATCCATTCATTATGAAGCTGTCAGACTTGAAATTAGGAATATTGGGCTCCTTGAACCACTGATTGGCATTAATATTAACGAAGTTGAAAGGCGTATTTAAACAATTTACTCAATATTCGCTGAAATAAAAAATCTAGTTGATATATATAGATATATGCATGCATGTGCCTACATTCCTACAACAAATGACGCATTCACATGAAATTTTATTTCCGTTGGCTAAAACAATGCAGAAATTTTCAAGCAGTTTGTTTCGTCTGACCTTCTATCCGGGTGTAAAATGTTTTTAAAATCGATGAATGAAATGAAAAAGCTGTGTCTGTACAACACAGAAGTTACATATATTTTCAAATATAGGCTATATTGCTTTTTGCTTTTTAGTTAAACTCTCCATCTTAAATTCCCGATTTTTTTAACAGCAAACATGTTATATAATTTTTTTATATATGGAATTTAAGCTTGTTTTAATCTAAAGTATAAATATACTTTAATCGACCATAATCCTCGGTTGGATCTGATATACGTCGGTTTTTAAAATTAAACAGGTTTATTTATTACTAGGTTAAAAGTCCCCTTGATATATTTGTCGCATAAATCGAGTTTACCACTCATCGTTCTCAGATTTTCGTCGTGTTTACCGTTTCTATGCCACATCCCGGGCTGTCAAATATGGGACATACGAAATTAAAATGAAAGTAAAGCCCGGTTTTCTCTGAGCTTTGGCGTTCCGCTTCCTGATTGATATCTTCAGAACTTCATTGAAAATTTGTCACGATAAATTCTCGATGTCATTTTGAGCTCTTTGGGAGAAATTGTTCTCATGTAAAGCGGAAGGTGATATTGAAATTAAAACGATGAGATCCTTACGATTTCAAAATTCTATCGAGTTCCAACTTTTCTCTCCCGAATAATTTCTCGCAAATGCTAAAAATATGAAACATACTTACATGTACATATGGTGTTTCAATATCTTTCATTCGGAGCCTTTTTTCATATATGTAATTGTGCGCCCAGAAGAAAAAGATCGTCCGTCCAATTTGCTGAATGATACACGCACCTGTCTCTAGCTCGTAGACAAACAAAAGTAAATTAAATGTTGGAATGGAATAAGACGCTTAAATCACATTTGCATCTCAAGCAATGGCCTCTTAATTTTGTCATTTTTCTTTGTCAAAAGCTAGCGTTACGTTTTATTGTATATAAACAGGCGTTAATGTAATAACGCCGAAAATTTTGGGCGCATAAATAAATAAATATTTCTTTACCTGCAAAACTCTCTAGTATGGGTTATAGCGGCTATAATATAGCCGTTACCTTATGCTGATAGCTATTAATTAAAGACAACGTCATATTCCAGCGTTAACTATTAATATCCAGGCAATGTTCATTTCAATAATTCAGCGTTCTATTTTCCCCACACGCTCGTGCAAATTATCGATGATTTTATTATCTTTTGTGAATGCTGATCAGCGCTGACGATTTTTGAAGGCCCTTCATGATCAAGTGGATTTAGAGGATCATTAGTTCGCTAAAGATAAATCGGCGTCTCGCCAGCGGTACCCAGTTTTTATTAAACATCACAAGAGATGTTTATGCATTTCATTTGATAACAGAGCTAACAGCAGGTGTTTGACGAAAGTTTGAACGAAATTTAGCAACGGTTCAGGTCACGTCTTCAAAAAACACACGTTTTCATGACGTAAAGGTTTCCTCACTGACCTATACTAGAACAGCTCAGGGGGTTTGCTACATGCATTGATATCCAGGATCCTCAAGATCACGTGTCGCGCATGTGATGCGTTTTATTATGACGCAACTAATTCAAATTAGAATGATTTGCAACCCCTGCCTGCGTTGAACGATACAGAGGCAATTTGTCTCTCGAGGATGTCGTGGTTCCTGTTGGTAAGTCTGCTGTAAGTTGAGTAGTTTGAAATTCACATGGCTCGTGTTTCCTGAATTATCTCGACCTGCAGTAATACCCTCAAAGATCTACCCCAGGGGCCTGTTGTGTGACAGATGGATAGATTTTGATTTTTTTGACCGCTTTAAAACATGCTTGTCAATAAAGATAGGCATTCAACAGAGTTTATTTACAGTAAAAAATGTTCTAAACTTTCGACAGATAACGTTTCTGTTCAAAGCCACAAAACTCACAGAAGGGTTTCCAGTTCAGGGCATTTTTCCTGGGGGCAAACTTCCTGGATTCCTTGCAGCTGCCGTTGAAGAACCTGCCGGTACACCAGAGCCCGAGACCGAGCCTGGAAGCGAGTCTGTGCCGGAAGATTGGCCGGAGCCTGGGCCTTACTGGGACGATGCTTACGAAACGTGGGGCTTAGCTTGGGAGTTTCATATCTACGCATTCGCTGTTTGTTTCTTCATCGTATTTGCTTATGCCTTGTACTATGTTGTTGTAAATATTGCTGATGGACTTCGAGGGAAATACCTGAGCGTAAGTCTGAACCTCATGATGGTCGTCTGTGGTTTCACCAGAGCGTTTGTCCTCGCAATTGATCCATACCACCAGGGAACTGTGGTGGGTACGCCAATCAAACTCATGCGCATTTTGTGGTCGCTGACAGACCCATGTTTAACGGCGGCCGATTCCTTAGTAATCCTCTCACTACTCGAGACCTACAGATTATCCATTGCCCCACAACGCTTGCAGAAACCTTCAACAATCATCCCAGTAATTTACGTTCATTTCGGTTTCGTCCTGACCTCCGACCTCGTCGTTTGTTGAAGCAAAAGCAATGCTGTTGTTCTGCCAAATATTCTTTATCACCTGGTGCGCTGTTTTGGGGATCTTCTATTTCCTGATTGGCTACAGCTTGATCAGCTGATCTTCAAATCTGGCGTCAAAAACGAAGTGTCTCAAGAAGGACGATGGTATATATATTTGATTCACGCTTCAGGAGCCTCAAATATTATTACAAGTGCAGTGTATATTTACTCCGCGGCTGGCGTCTTCGGTGTTTATTCTGACGTCACGTACGTTGATCCTTGGCCCTGGTGGAGCCTGCAGTCCGCATTGCGAGTCACAGAATTGGTGGCAGCGGTCTTGGTGTTCACCGTGAGCGCCAAACGAGCGCAACCCGATACTCGGGGACTGGAGAATACGGACACAGCACGCCCTAGAAAGCGAAAGATGAGCATGTTTAGTAAAATGCGTTCAATAAGAGATGAAACTTATTTGAAAAAGAATGAAAGTTTACAAATGACTGAGAGCGGGGTCCAGTGCTTGGTTGGGGATATTACAGACAGCTTAGAAGATGTCGTGACGAAATCTGAAAATGACCTGGATAGAAAAGATAGTATGTTCACAGCGCTTGGCGAAAAGGCACAGGCCGCCCTAAATGTGTTAACTTGAATGTTTAAGAAGGAACGAGCGTATCTTTGCAAGATAAGATCTGAGATTGTTTACCATAAGACGGAATGAATAAAGCTGTTTAATGGAGTGTGAAGTAGATTTTGAATGCAAAGTAATGATGAAATAGATAATCCGATTGGTTATCCCCTAACTTTCCTAATATGTCCTGTGATATGTCTGACCGAATATAATCTTATTATTGGAATATATTAGCCTTAGGGCCGGACGAATTTGTCTGGGCTAAGGTGGGGATTAGAAATAGCTTCTTAACCGATACTTGGTAGATGATAACACAGCACTTAATTTGCCGGGAGGTGCAGTTGCATCCAATATCGTCATGTGAAGAGTGAAAGCTCGTCATTCTACCCAGAGGGATGTTTCAATAAGCGATACTGGGTCGCACCCTAGCCAACTATCAAAGCTTTGTTTGGTGATGAAAAATACCTTGGTTGAGACCCAAAGACGCGTGACTCGCAATACATGTCGTCCGGAAACTATACTGCACCGTTGTGAACACAAATCAAGAAATCATTCATCAAGGTGGCTGGGAAAGTTAGGAATATGTAGGCGGATACGTTGTGTGTGTTTTCCTTGTTTAAATAAGCGAGCAATATCCTCACGTTCGCCCACGTCAATTCGGATGTACAGATACTTTATACTCGATCATATTTGGAAACCGTTTTAAAATATACATGATTTGCACGAACCGTACGTGGTGTTTTGAAAAGAGCCAAGTCTGAGACATGTTGTTCAAATTTAGTCGACAAAGCATTTTAGATAATCCTCTGTTTAAATACCTTAATCCATAATGAAGCTTTCTAAATGCCAGATTGTGATCATTTTTACGAAACTTTTTTTCAATGATTTTTTTAATCCTTGGATGCGAAAATTGATGCGTGGTTACAAATTCCCTTGTAATTCTCGAGGTAGATTTCAATAAATCTGTAAAAAATGGATCGCCTCCGTTTGAATACAGAAAATTTTTACAGATTTCGAAGACCTTGTAACCTTTACATCTATGAAGATATCTAAAGACTAAAATAACAGAGCAATAAGTCATAACATTACCTTCAAATAAAAATAACGTATTTATATTTCTTGAAAATACCTGTCAAGCAAAGGCAGGCTGATCTTAAGAGTTCTGATGGAAAATATCCATTTATGGGGCAAAGGGCAATATTTAAAATCTTAATTGTCTGTTGGAATCCTTGCGGAATTCACTAAAGTGTTTTGATACCGTGAGAGTTTATCATTCAAGTCATTTCCTCGCTCGGTTACGAGTTGTTTTGTTTGAAAGGTGGGAAATAGCGACAGAAAGAGGACGGTGTTTTGACGTGAAACGGTAAGATAATGTCGCTTGTTTTCGCTGGAAAGTCTGCTACAAGGGAGCGGTAGACTGCGCTTGTGATTATTGCCATAATAGTCATTCAAAGTACGTAATACCAACGGCTATCAGTACGATTTAAAGGCTGCATGCATGCTTGCATCGTGTCGTGTCCTATCACTGTAGATGCTTATCATCAGAACTGATAATAATCTGTTGAAAGATTTATTAATGGTGGTTTATTTGCAATCAAATATCGGCCAGAAATCATAGCGAATTTTGTGCGAATGCTCGATGCATCTACGTGTGTTCACATAATCCAATAAATAATTCCGCATATGATCGAAATCACATCCGAAATACTTGACAAATCCGCTCTACGTGTTTTCCACAAAAATCTAAGACTACCAGACACTAGATATAAAAAATCACGATGAAAGCAACCCACGTATATTGTTCTGTAATTTGACCATATAGCTAGTGTACGTGTGGAAAGATATAACCATTCAGGAAAGAAGAGGAATCACCCCAAGTCTTGCAAAGGTAAGCCGGAGAACGATATTTCGTGATAACCATAGATACCTAGACCGCATCTTTACAATCGAGATTGTGTGATTGGTCGATTATAACAATGAAATGCAGCAAACAAATGGATAGAATATAAGGGTTTGTTGAAAGCAACCATCCTAGGTAAGACATAGGCAATAAATCTTTTGATTAAAATTATAAACGATATTTCATCGCTTTTTCCGCCGTGAAAGGAACTTGAGTGTAAGTCTCATAATCTGGACTAGAACTATTGTATTCTACAGCTGGTTTGGGTAAGGAAATACGGTTAAATATTACACGAAATTCTCAAGGCAATATTTCCTTAATATATTTTGTTATCTTTGACAAGCAATAGGATTATACGACTGCATCACTTGTCTGATTACACTTCATTTGCGCGTGTTTGGAAAGTGCTTCAGGTTTGCAAATCGTAAGGACAGTTATAAACATCTTCCGTCTAATAAACTAGAACTCAGGTTAAATATTGACATTATAGCTGTGTTCCCTCCTAAGCGCAGACCAGATTATCGCTGATTTACGGAAGTACGATGGCGAGTTATATAGCGAGTTAAATCAATAGGAAGAGAATAGCAAGCAAATCTTACGTTATTTGAACCAAACAAAGACTTGTTAGGCAATAATATTTCTAAAGGAAAACATGAAAGTATTCTTACGCATGCGCAGCGACATATCTCTTTACGATCTCTGTGATTAGCATATCTTCCGCTGGAAAAATGCCACTTCATGGCTGTGTTTAATACCTAAACTGGCGTGGGATTTGAAAATTAATTTCTATTGACTGACAACAGGATAATTAGGTCAGAAACAATCTTATCTTGAGACAATATATTATTAAACATTTGAGAAACACTTCAAGAGATGACCACACCTGTCGCGGGATACATCTGACGGCAATAACCATTGTCGAAAAGTCGGGAAAAATAAACAAGCGAATAAGTAGATGAATTGAATTGAAAGAAAACGAGATTTTGCAAGGATTCGTGACACGTCATGGTATTTTTGTCTTCTAAGAATCCCCGCAGGTTCTTGAAACAATGAACCTCGCAGTCATCTGTGTTACATGGTTTGCATGCCATACTATCATAAAAGGTCTTCAAACTTGCAGATTTTACCCGTTCCGTTTGCCCTACTTGGTTATCAGAAAGGCTCATCATAACGTATTAACGAAGTCTCTCATAAATTACTCCGAGAATAGGCAGTTAAACTAACCAGCATGGATCAAAGGTTTTCAATCTTCCAATGGATATAATCTTCGATTGGCCTCTGTGGTTTGACTATTGCAGTACATGTAGCTATAGTATGACCAAATCGGATTTGCTTACTACTTCAACTAGACCAACTACCGTGTTTATTGGATGTTCAACCGTTCAGCTCAACCAAAACATATTATATACGCACGTACTAAAATTCTCTAACTCTTTAACAACCAAAATTTACTAGAAGTAGTTCTCTGCAGCGATCAGCGATCTCGGATACCAGAGATCTTTTCTGTTTGTATCAATCCACGTCAGGTGCCATGCCAGGTTACCAGAATATCTGCTGAATCAGGTGGTCGAACACTAGTGCACCGTATCATATCTTGTGTGTGTTTCATCAGCCTTAATCCTCACCGCCTCTGATGTTCTAGCCATTTGATTAAAAAATTTACGTCCTCGACTGAATAGCCTTGCTTGGCCGGCGAGACACAGTAATACACTTTTGGCGGATGTTCCAGCTTACCATACTAGACCATGAGAAACCCAGAAGTAAACATTGGCATGTTTGGCGAGCGTCCCGTTAAATATATACGTAATAAAAATGTCACAACATTTATTGAAAGGTTATCAAATTTGGAATTGATTCAATGTGTCTGTTTTGTGATGTTCTAAAATAACGCCCGCGTGTTTGGTACGGAGGCGTCGTAGTCAAAACACGGAGTTTAAATTCCCTTGTGAACTAGAAGAAAAATCAGCCACCAGTTAT